AAGCCATGCTGGTGGGTACCCCGCTGGGCGCCGGGGAAAACCAGGTGGAGCGGTCCTTCCACAAGTGCGATTGCTGCCACTTAGTAGCGCGGTCGACCCATCGAGCTCGTCGGATCGGAACCTCTCGTCGACGGTGGGCGTGTTGGTCGCAGGTGGGCTCACTCGGGGAGCTTTGACGATCGCGCCATAGGTCGCGGTGCGGCTTGGTGGGGTCGGAACCGAAGGCGGAGGAGAAATGTCGTCGGCGATAGCGGCCCACTCGGTAATCTCGTCGATGGACGGGACCTTCAGTCCGAATCGCCCAATTGTCACCAGCGAGTTGTCGTGGTATTCACGTAACATTCCCGCCCGCACTTCCCGCTTGGAGGAGTCACTGAGCGATTGGTAGAAGGTCGTGGCGAGCTGAAGCGGCGACAGGGTGAAACTATCGTTGTCGTGCACGAAGGCACGGTACCGCGCCCGCCACTCCCCGACATGGTCGTAAGCCCGAGACGACGACTGGCGACATCCGTGGAAGTCTTGAGCCACTCTATCGGCGAACCCGGGGTCGGGCCAACGACGTCCCACTGCCTTCATGAGCGACGTCCAACAATGAGGGCGCCCTTCTCCAAGCGCGTCCCTCATCGCCTCGACGGCCCAATCGAGCGGGGATTGGCGGCGCTGTCGGGTTGTCGTACGAAAAAATAGCGTCGCCACAAGCTGGATCACTCGGCTCGTGTCGAAAAGGTCGGAGGTGGAGATGTCGCACAAGAGAGAAAGATACGACTCCCCAAACGCAGTGAAAATCACCAACCTTTCCGGATGATCTCCGGTCCATAACCCTTCCCGGTCCGGCAATGTCCCTCTCCAACGAGAGCTAATCACCGCCGAGGAAGGGCCGTCCCTAATTCCGCTGTGAGATTCCCCCCCAGGGGTACGAGCAAGGGGGTCAGCGGCAGCTCCCGGGCGTCCCAAAAATGTGTGCGGGGGGACGTCCAGGGGGACCGGTCTCACCGGCAGAGCCTCCCCGACCTGCGCCCCAGCAGGTGCGGTGGATTCTCTCATCAATCGTTCCACCATCTGCTCCAATTTGCGGATGCGTGTCTCCGAGTCGCGGCGCAGGGCTTCCGATTCTGCGAGGCGGGATTCAAGGGACGTGATGACGGCGGCGGCCTGGAGCGGGTGCGGCGAATGCGTCGGCGGGGACTTAGGCGGATTCGCGCGCGAGGGGTCTTCGCGGACGGGGGCGGTGGTGTCTCGCGACGTGTCGGTGGGTTCGGCCATGGCGAGTTCGCGCGCGTAGCGGTTGGCGGTTGTGGGGAGAACGGATGCGAGCTCGAGAAGGATGGAAGAAGGGGTACGAAGGGATGACGCGTTCGTCGTCGGACTCAGTGAATGAGGTGGCGAATGACCACGACGCGTCAGCGGGGGATGAGTTCGGCAACGGGGAGGAAGCTGACGACTCAGGGGTAGTGGACGATTGCTCGTCCAGGATGCAGGATAGAGCAAGGGCAAGCGAGATCGAAGGTTGGCGGTGCCGGACTTGAAAAAAGTGGCAGGCAACGTCCTCTTCAGAAGACGTTGACTACACGCGGAGGAGGGGATCAGGCCGAAGGAAGGTCGACTGGGCGGGGGCAGGCGACCGAGGGACAACCGAGGAGGGACGCGGTTGTGAGGCTCGCAGCAAGTCAAGTATATCGGACTTTATTGCCAACGAGATCGAAAACGAAGGATGAAGGTGAAGGGATCTTGGGAGATGTAGCGGACCAGGCTGAGTGGGAAGGTGCTAAAAACAAAAGGGAGGCACTCAGGCGCAGAGGGGACTTAGCCAATTCAGCTACTCCAAGAGGTCGCCTCAGGGGGAAAAAGGATTGCTCGCGGGAGCACCGGTAAAAACCCTGAGGCCGCGCCTCAGCTAACAAAAAGAACAAAAACCGAGAGAAGATTGCGCTCTGCGCGCCTTGAACCCGCGACCATTAAGTGCGCGCCCGCGCGCCGAACGACTACGCCATCACACCCACAATGCTTGAATGGAGGGAAGCATTTGGTGACCTCAACTCTACCTGCACATTACCTCAGGGACTTCCTTCGAGTGTTGCTGTCAGTGTATCGCTGTTTGCCTGACATGGTCTGTCTCGACGCTCGTGCGGAAGCGTTTGCTCGGATCCGACAATTACGGAACCTCGACGTGACAGATGCGATCATTGGAGCACGCCTCAACCAGTCCCATCAGGCCAACAAGCATCGACGCCCAGACGACCCCGCCTTTCGGACCGGCAGTTACGTCTATCTTTCGACAAAGAACCTGGCAGTTCCTGACGGCATGAAGTCGAAGTTGTTGCCGCGCTACATCGGCCCCTTCCGTATCCGAGCGGCCATCCTGCGACGTCCAGCTACGACCTCGAGCTCCTCCAGCGATGTCGCGAGTGCACAATCGTTTCCATGCTCGACTGCTTCGGCCTTGCGTTGAGAATGATGCTGAAAGGTTTCCTGGGCGTGACCCCGCAGTTCTTTTTGTCGAAGACGTAGCCGACGCGGCCGACAATTCTGCGATTCCGGAACGGATTGTTCGCGATCGGCGGAACGCTCGGGCGCTCGTTCGTTCTTGGTTCGATGGGTAGGCCGTAACGACACTGACGATACTTGGATGTCAGAGCAGTCCATTCGCCTTGACCATCCGTCCGTCCTCGACGCCTACCTCGCGCGCCTCGATCGCTCGAACCGCCGCCTCGCCGCACGGTAGACTTCCTTCTGGGGGGACAGTGTCAGGATGACAGCGTGTACTCGAAGGAAGCCCCCCCAAGACTATGTGCGGGTAGAGTTGACTTGACCAGAGACTTGCCTCGTTTCACAGCATCGTCGGTGCGATGGCGTAGTCGTGAGGCGCGCGGGCGCGCACTCGGTGGTCGCGGGTTCGAGGCGCCCAGACCGCAGTCTTCTTTCGGTTTGTTTTATCTTTTTGTTAACCGAGGCGCGGCTTCAGGGTTTTTACCGGTGCTCCCGCGAGCAATCCTTTTTACCCCTGAGGCGACCTCTTGGAGTGGTTGATTTGGCTAAGTCCCTCTGGGCCTGGCACAGTCCCTTCCCTTTAGTTTTACCACCTTTCCCCGGGAGCTTGGTCCGCTCTTCTCTTTTGTTGCCCCTCCTCTTCTTGTCGATCGTTTGGGAATTAAGTCCGTTACACTTGATTTCCTGCGAGCCTTTCGACCGACTCCCCTCCTCGGTTGCTCCCTTGTCGACTGCCGCCGCAACAGCCGACACTTCCAGAAATCCCCCCCCGTACCAACGCGTGTAGACGACGTCATCCCCTCCGACGTCGCTTGTCAGGCTGGACAATGACGACGACAGCGACGCCACAGCAACCGCCGCCACCGCTTCCGCGAATCGACGCCGCATGAACCAACCCCACCTCTGTCACCCGAAACTCTCGCCAAGTCGCTACGCGAGGGGGAGGAGTGGGACAGGATCAGAGCTAACTGGGTTGAGCAGGCACGACTTGAGCGGGACCAAAGCATCGAGAGGAGGCTCAACGCTGAAACCCCTTTGGTGCGTCACAACTTTGCCACGTGGGACGAGGACGGTGAGATACGCTCCATCAACATCAGGGGGACCGCTGCGAAGTTCAAGAAGCAGGTGATGAAGAGGTCGCAGACTGCGGCGGACCTGTGAGGAATCCACTCTCCGCTCGGCTCAGGACTTAGGCGCGCGGAGCGAACCGGGCGCGGACTTAGGCGCGCGGAGTGAGCCGGGCGCCCCGGCCCAGGACTTAGGCGCGCGAAGCGAGCCTGGGACTTAGGCGCGCGGAGCGAGCCTGGGCCATTGGCTCAGCCCCAGGCTCGCTGGCTGTGGACTTGGGGCGCGCGGGTCTCTTATTGTTAGCTTCCTATTCATCACTCTTGGCTATAACTACATCGCTGACGTAGTAGAGTTGATCGAATAGGTATGTTGAAATGCATTTATCACTCTTGGCTATAACTACATCGCTGACGTAGTAGAGTTGATCGAATAGGTTATAAGCCCACGAGCTACCAGCCCCGCCGCTTGAGGCTTTTTCGCTCGAGCCCAGCCACTCGAGCCGCACACGTCCATCGCACCATCACATCATGGACAGCTCTCCCGCCTCGCCTTTGGCCCCCAGGGATCCCAGCTCCCCTGAATCTTCGATCGGCGAACAAATCGCCACTCTACAGGCCCAGCTTGCCGCTCTGCAGGCCTCGCAACCCGCCGCCGCCGCAGCCGCCGCACCCCCGGCCGTCACCGTCGTGCCGGGGAACGCCGCCACCGCATCCAAGGTCGTGTTTCCCAAGCACGCTCGTCTGGACGGCCCCAAGTCGTTCACCAACTGGTTGCGTCAACTCCGTCTTGCACTCCCGAACCAGGTTCGTGGTTACGTTCTCGACGGTGTCGTTCCCCCGACCTGGACCGCCGACCAGCTTGCCGCACGTGACGACGCCGCCCGGGAAATCATCGTTGGCTCTATCGACTCCGCCGACGTATCGGCCACCCTCGACGCCATCCCCAGCGACGACCTGTCGGCACCGCGCATCTTTGCCGCTCTCAAGGCTCGTTTTGCACCGGACGACGCTACACGCACTCTCGAGTTGTTCGCTCGCCTTTGGGACTTCAGGAAGATGCCTGCCTCCGTCGAGGCCTACGACACTTGGCTACGCGAGTACATGTCGATTGCTCAGGAAATACGCGACGCCAAAACATCGCTCAACGACGTGCTCGCCACCCACGTGCTCGCCATGGTCCCGTCTTGCCTCGACAGCTTCCGACTCACGTTCACGGACGAGCAGCGAAACCGACGCGACCTTCCCGAACTCACGACGCTTACGGACCGCATTCGCATCCAGCTTCGTTCGGCAGGACTCTCGACCTCGCATTCGGCCATGCTTGCCACCAGCTCCCCCTGCCCCGCCTGCCGCGCTCCCGGTCACCGCCTGCGCGACTGCACTTCACGTGCGAAGCACCCGCCCACCGGCCCCTGCCGCCGATGCCACAAGAAAGGTCACTGGGCACTCGACTGCAAGAACCGGGGTGAACAGGCACGTAGCAGCGACGACACCCAGGACGACACGTCTTCCTCCGCGGCCTCGCAACCGAACGTCGGCTATTTCGCCTCCTGCCTCTTCGCTCGTCGCCAACTCCCAACTGACGCCTTTGTAGTCGATTCGGGTGCCACGACACACATGGTCGCCGACCGATCTCTATTCACGACTTATCGTCAGACGGCACACACCAAGATCGGCGGCATCGCGGGCGGCATCACGGCTATCGGCATGGGGGACGTGGCATTCGTCGCCAAGACTGGACACCCGATCACGCTCCGTGGTGTTCTTCACACGCCTGGCCTACACGTCAACCTCCTCTCTGTCTCTCGCCTCTGCGACACCGACCGCGTTCGTCTCGCCTTCACCAGCGACGGCATCGACATCGCCAAGGACGGCCGGGCCATTGCTCACGGTACCAGGGTCAACGACGGTCTTTACCTTTTGGACGCGGATCACACCAAGTGTCAGCATCTTGCCTTCCTCTCACGCTCTGAGTCTCCCGTGCCCCTGCTTACCCTACACCGCTGCCTCGGCCATCTTGCCCCATCCTCTATACAGAAGATGATTGCTGCAGGTTTGCTGGACGGGTTTGGGGCCGGGTACAGTGACAAAGACGTAGAGGAGTTTGTTTGCAATGCTTGCCTTGGTTCCAAAGGTCACCGCCTTCCCTTTCCCGACTCTGAGTCGCATTCCGCCGAGAGACTTGGCCTCGTGCACAGCGACGTCCTGTCGTTCCCCACTCCGTCCTTGACCGGGAAGCGCTACCTTGTCACGTTTCTAGACGACCACTCTCGCAAACTCTGGGCATATGCGATCGATCACAAAAGCGATGTTTTCCCGACCTTCCAGACTTGGCTCGCCGAAGTGGAGTTAGAGACGAACGCGCGGTTGAGGATCCTTCGAACCGACAATGGCGGGGAGTACCGATCAAACGCATTCACGGAGTTCTGCAAATCCAAGGGCATTCGTCGTCAATACTCTATCCCTTACACGCCTCAACAAAACGGTCGCGCCGAACGTGTCAACCTCTCCATCGTCGAGGGCGTCCTCGCTCTCCTTGCGGACGCCCGTCTGCCGGCCACCTTTTGGGATGAAGCGGCTGCGTATTTCGTTTATTGCAAAAACAGGTGCTCACACTCAGCTTTGGCCAAACAGACTCCAGAATCCGTTTGGAACGGCCAACGCACCACCGCCACCGCCCTCCACCCGTTCGGCTGCACAGCCTGGCTCACGGTCGCCCCGGACCTTCGCAGCAAGCTCGACCCCAAGGCCGCGCGCGTGATCTTCACAGGTTACGACCTCGCCTCCAAAGCTTTCCGTTTCTTTGACCATTCCATCAACAAGATTGTACTTGGTCGCAATGCCACCTTCCTCGACGACGACTTCCCCGGCCTGCCAGTCACCACGCCCGTCGATGCAGACGACACCGACCGTCAGTTCGTCGTTCCCGCCGACACGCCCGCCCCTGCCGTCAAGACGAGGACCCCACTAGTAAGGTCGGCGCACATGGACGTCTCATCCTCCCTTGATGATTCTGCCATGAGCGCCGTTGACGTGGCCCCAGGGTACACTGGCGGAACCTTACTTAATTCCACAGATACCGAATCGTCCTCGTCACCGTCTCCTGAGCCGTCCTCGTCACCGTCGCCCACAAACCCTTTGTCACCGTCGCCTGCGCTGTCACCGTCGTTGGCAGCGTCATCGTCACCCTCGGTCTCACCGACCGACTCTGACTACTCCGCCGACCCTCTGGACCTCATCGGCTCACAGACCCCGACTCGCCTTGGCCCACCGGACGTGCACCGCCCAGACTTCAGCACGTACCGTGAGCCCGCATCGGCTGAGGAGTCGCCCGACGAACTCGACATCATTGGGCGTCACTCGCGCGATGAATCGCCGGATGAAATCGATTTCCTCACCCAACACCACCGCGCCTTCATCGCCACAGACGACGACGACCCCACCCTCGACGCCATCGAGCCCGTCAAATCGATCACTAGCGACCCCCAGACCTGGCGCGAAGCAATGTCCAGCGACGAGCACAACATCTGGGCTGAGGCCGCCGCCGCCGAGTTCACCGCCATGCGCGACGACTTCAAGGTGTTCACCATCGAGCCTCGCTCATCTGTACCGCCGGGCGCCACCATCGTCACCTCCAAATTCGTCTGGAAGACCAAGCGCAACGCAAGCGGTGAAGTCACGGGGCGGAAGGCACGTCTTGTAGCGCAGGGTAACCGACAGCGCGACGGCATCGACTTCTCAGAAACCTTCGCACCCGTCGCCCGTTTCTCCTCCATTCGCTGCCTCCTGGCTCTTGCCGCTGCCAATGGCTACCACGTTCATCAGGCCGACATCGACAAGGCTTACCTCCACGGCGAGCTCGATCATGATATCTGGATGACGACACCACGCGGTTTCGACTTCCCGAGCGATAAGGTTCTCCGGCTGCGACGCTCAATCTACGGTCTCAAGCAGGCCGGTCGCATCTGGAATCGTCACATTGACACATCACTCAGGAATCTGGGGTACAAGGCAACAGGCACTGATCACTGCATTTACTCTCGCATTGACGATCAGCAGCGGCCTCACTATATCGCCTTGTATGTCGACGACCTCCTCATTGTCAGTCCAGCCCTCGACGAGATCGAACGTGTCATCTCCGGCCTTGAACAGCGGCGTCGACTCGGCCCCGCGGAGTACACGGAATCCAATACGCCGCCTGGACGACCCATTGCAGGAGCGCTACATCATGGACGTGCTTTTCCACTTCGACACCACGACACGCGGCACTACGGTGCCGATGACGCCCGGCCTCTCGCTCACGGCAATTCCGGGTCAGGGAACGGAGCGCATTCGTTCGTGGTACCTACAGGCCATCGGCTCCCTCCTCTACATCTCCCTTGGCACTCGACCCGACATTGCCTTCGCCGTCTCGTACCTGTCCCGGTTCGCCAACAACCCCGGCCGCCGCCATTGGATTGCCGTCAAACACGTCCTTCGCTACCTTCGCGCCACGTACCGCGATGAGCTTCTCTATGCCCGCGGCCCAGCAAAAGTCACGGGTGTGGTTGGTTATTCTGATGCGAACTGGGGGCGCCTGCGTCGACACATCCATTTCAACGATGGGCTACGTATTTTACTGGCAGGCGCCGCTGTCTCTTGGTCGTCGAAGCGTCAGACTCGGATGCGGATTCCACCACTGATGCCGAGTACCTGGCCTTGTCGCACGCGGGTAAGGAAGCGATCTACCTTAACCAACCTCTCCCGAGCTCCACGTTTGCCCAATCGCTGCAGCTCACATCTTCACCGACAACGAGGCCGCGGCCGCCGTCGCTCACGACCCCGTTCGCACCTCCGGCACCCGGCACATTCGCCTCCGCGAGCATTTTGTCCGTGACATGGTCAATCGAGGTGATATCTCTCTCTCACACGTTGGCACAGCAGACATGGTTGCGGACGTATTCACCAAAGCGCTAGGCCCCAAGATTTTTGGTACACATTGCTATGCTCTAGGCCTCCGGACGCGACATCCACGGCTCAAGTCTACCTCGCGTTCGCGTGGGGGGGGGTGTGAGGAATCCACTCTCCGCTCGGCTCAGGACTTAGGCGCGCGGAGCGAACCGGGCGCGGACTTAGGCGCGCGGAGTGGCCGGGCGCCCCGGCCCAGGACTTAGGCGCGCGAAGCGAGCCTGGGACTTAGGCGCGCGGAGCGAGCCTGGGCCATTGGCTCAGCCCCAGGCTCGCTGGCTGTGGACTTGGGGCGCGCGGGTCTCTTATTGTTAGCTTCCTATTCATCACTCTTGGCTATAACTACATCGCTGACGTAGTAGAGTTGATCGAATAGGTATGTTGAAATGCATTTATCACTCTTGGCTATAACTACATCGCTGACGTAGTAGAGTTGATCGAATAGGACCTCAGTGACCCAAGTGACGAACCGACCGACGCCAAGCGAGTCATCATCAAAGGGAAGAGCCGCGTCGTGGTGAAGGATGGAATAGAGGGGCGGAGGGTGACGAGGTCGATGTCGGCGGCAGCGGCGATGCAGGTCGAGGTGACGAAGGTGGACAGAGGGAAAGGAAGAGGGTAGCTGAGGAAAAACGATGGTCCGACCACGAGCCCGAGGACGATGTCCTGCCCGCCTTCCCCTCTTTGAGGATGTCACCACCGCCAAGAGCGCCTCGACCTCGACTACCCATTAATGATCAAGCACACCATCATCACCTGGAACGTAAGAAGGGGCATGGGGGTCCCGGAAAAACGATGTAATATCTACACCTACCTTTCCACATTCAAAGCTTCCGCAATTCTCTTACAAGAGCATTTCATCAGACCACAATTCTGGCAGCTCATCAAGGACGAGTACGAGGGCAAGCTCTTCATCAACCAGCACTGCCTGACCCTGATCCCGGCCGACTCGCCCCTGATCGACGCCGAGCTCTTGCGCACCCACTCGGCACTCGACGGCCGGCTCCTCGTCACCTCCTTTCGTCTGCGGGGCGACATCAAAATTCTAGAAATCAATAACCTCTACGCGCCCGTTGACCCAAAACAACGAGCAAAATTCTTCGACAAACTGATCCTCCACAAAACACAGAAATCCCACCTCCGACTCCTTGGCGGCGATCTCAACGACTGCCCGCGCCCAGAAGTTGATCGGCGGAACCAAAGTCGGCGCGGCCACCACTGGCCGATTCTGATGGGCAAGCTCGACTCGGCCTACACGGACTGCATCCGCTACAAGCACCCCATCACCCCATCTTTCACTCGACCTAATCCCAATCGCAAGCGACCCAACTCCTTCTCCCGGCTTGACTACTTTCTCCTACAAAGAGCTCACCAAAAAAGGCTCGACCAGGCCTCGACGATCTACGACTATCCCAAGGATCTTTCCGATCACCGACCGGTCTTGATCGTACTAGCTCTCTCAGACGATCTTGATGCGGCTCTCCCACAGCTCAGCCTACCTACCACATCCGACCAACTACATCGAATCAATACCACAACCTTCAAGACGGTGGAATTTCAGCGGATGATGGAAGGATGGTTGGAAGGGGCAAGCGGGGAGGATCTGGTGCGAGAGCTTGAGGAGGTTCTGGAGGCGTGCAGGGACAGGGGTGGGGAGATGGCGAGGAGGCTGCATCGGGAGCGGACGGAACGGATGGAGTATTTGGTGGGGAGGGTGCAGGATCTGGAGGCGTTACCGGTATGGGGGGAGGCGGAAACGGCAGAATGGACAAGGACGTCCGAGGAACTCAAGCGGGCGGTCGAGGAGCGCGCGCGCCTACTCCGGATCCGAGCCCACGTCCCCGAGATCGCTTCCGAGGAACGACTGTCGCGGCCGGTCCACGCCAAGCTCGCGGCGCGGAACTCGGACTCCAAGATCACAGCACTGCGCTTGGGTAACGGAGAGCTAACGCATGACATTGATGTCGCTCTTGACCACACGCAGGCGCATTTCCAGCGCCTCTACCACATCGAGCCTCGTGATCCGGAACGCGTCGACCGACTTCGGGACGAACTCCTCGTGCCGATCAGGGCGGCACGGACTTGCGACGACCCGCGCTCAGATCCGCTCTTTCTGCGCCGACTCTCGGAAGCGCAGATGATCTCCTCCAGCAACCCATCACCGAGGACGAGGTCGTGGCCGCGATCGGGACGACGCACCCGGGGCGATCGCCGGGCCCGTCGGGCGTGCCTTACGAACTCTATCAGACCGCACCGGAGGCGTGGTCCAAGGTGCTGACCAAGGCCTACAACGCGATGATCGAGCGCGGTTCACTCTCTCCCAAGCAGGGCCAGGGACTCGTGCGCCTCATCTTCAAGCGCCACAAGAAGAATGCCGATCGCGCCGAACTCTCGTCGTATCGCCCCATCACCCTGCGCGAGTGCGATTACAAGATTTTTACCAAGGTCTACGTCGCCCGATTGAACCAAATTCTGCCCGATCTCCTCCCGCCGCAGCAGCACGGCTTCGTCAAGGACCGCCGATCGGCCGACGCTGCACTACACCTTTGTCTCCTGATCGAGGAACTTGGCGCGCGCAGGACCGAGTTCCCCGCGGCCGCGCTCTTTGTTGAATTTCATTCTACTACAAGCGTTCGAACACTTCAACCTTGGGCCGCCGTTGTCAGGTCCGCCCATTTTCGCCTCGGCGCCTTTGCCTTCGCAGCCAAGCCGCCGCCCCATTTTCACCTCGGCGCCTTCGCCTTCGCAGCCAAGCCGTCGCCCTCCTGCCTCGCGCCGGCCTGCTCAACTCACGCCCGCGCGCCGCCGCCTCCACGCCGGGACTCTGGCCGTCTGCCCTCCAGTCTTGCTGAGCCAATGCCTCCACTTAGTCACCAGCAGCTTGCCGCCGCCGTCCTCATGTTCCATCGGCCATCAAGAGTATCGCCCATGCATGACGCCCGCCGTTCGCAACCTGAGTCTCGTCGCTATGGACTCCCTCGCTCACCAACACTCGACATCGTAGATAGGTTTCCCCTCGTGGCCGTTGTCCAACACGACCCCTCTCAGCACCCGAATGACCCACTTGGAGTTTGCCCTTGATGCTTAGCAGCGCATCCGCCCGATTTGCAGTAGATCCTTTGCGCGCCCGCTTGCTAGAACCTTGTCAGACTCGCGCTCCTTGTGCTTCCCTTCCTCTTCTCTACCGCTTCCCGACATTAGCCAGACTGCTAATCTTCGGTAGAGAACAGGTTAGTTGAAATCATATCTACCGCTTCCCGACATTAGCCAGACTGCTAATCTTCGGTAGAGAACAGATCGTCCAGCCGCACCGCCGTCTCGTCAGACCGCGTCTGTGCCGCCTTGCGACTTCTCCCAATCGGACCGTCCGTCGCAACCGTAGCCACGTCGACGCGCCCAACAGTAGCCCCAGCGGTCGCTACACCCAGTTCCGAAAAGTTCCACGACCTACACTCTATACTCTTGTCTCTTGACCAATCATCCGCCTACGACCTCGTCGAGCATGACTGGATCTTTGCCATCTTCGACGCTCTGGGCGCTCCTACCACCTTTCTTCGCGTGCTGAGGATGCTCTACTCGGGTGACTCGACCTCGGCGCGCTACATCATCAATGGGTTCCTGACGGCGCCGGTGCGACTGACGTGTGGGCTCGGCCAAGGGGACCCGGCGTCATCGTCGGTCTGGGACATCGTGTTTCAGCCGTTCCTGGATGCTCTACACCGTCGAAACATCGCGCTGAATCTCTCCATACCTGCACTTCATCCGTACCCACAGAGCCGCGCCATTACATCACTTGCATTTGCCGATGACGTTGTCGTCGCCGTCGCGGGCTTGGAGTCACTCAACTTGCTCGATGACCTGGCGCTCGACTGGAGGCATGCAACGAATGGCCGGCTCAACACGGACAAGACGGTCGTCCTACCGATTGGACGTCGCTGGGACCCTGGCGAATGGCCAATCGTCGTCAAGGCCGCAGGCGAGTCGCTCGAGTGGATCGGCCTCCCCTTCGACCCCAGCGGCGACACCGAACTCGCCTACGCGAATCTCATCGAACGGCTCGAGGCGACGCTGGAAGCGGTTCAGCATCGCTGGCTCACGCACCACACCCGTGCCTTTTACGTCAATCGGTACGCCATTCCCAAGATCCTGCATTTCCTTGCAGCCGACATCCCGCCGCCCGAAGTCGTCAAGAAGCTCGATGACATGCTCGTCGATTTCGTCCGTGGGGGCAAGGGCAGGACCAGCTACGGCAGAGACATTGTGTTCACCGCCAAGAACAAGGGGGGACTCGGGGTGATAAGGATGCGGGACGTTGTGGACGCGGTTGCGGCACGGCTCTGGGACGTTCTTCTCGGCGGTTCCGGCGCGATTTGGCAAGGACTTGCGCGCGCATCACTCCAGCGAGCTCAGCCCGACCTCGACCTGGCCACCGATCTCTGGCCACATCCATCCACTCCCATCCCCAACGACCTTCATCCCCGATGGCACGCCGCACTGGGCGTTCCGAAACTTCACGACGCGCAGGTCAACCCGAGGGCCTTGACCACCGCGAACTTGCTCGCGCTGCCCACCCTGCTCGGCAGCCTCCACACCCCCATCAGAGGGAGACAGACCATCGACGCGGTTCATGTACCTGACTACCTTCGTCTCCAGGGCTACCCGAAGGTGGCGGATCTCTATCGACGCGAGTTGTATGCGGGTGGGGGGTTTCACCTCTGGACGCCGCCGGCGGATGTGCTCGGCGACAACAGCGAGTACAATCGACGCGGGCTCCCGCAGCGACTGGCAATCGCGGCCTGGTACCGGTTCACTGTCGATCGACACAAGAACACCCCCTTGGCGGCGGCGGGACGACTCAACGTGCCTCCCCGGATCGGCACCAGCGCACCACTCGAGGCGATCATCCCCAAGCCCGTGGCCCGCTTCGCAATGGAGCAGCGCCTTCCGGACCCGGTGCTTCCACAACAGGCGAGCCAGTATACGCTGCTGAACATGGCTCGCCCCTACACAGTCCGTCGCATCCGCCGGGTCCTGAACGCGAAGGCATTTACCAACATGCTCGGGCTCAAGGGACCACCGCAGCCGGACGACCTCAGGAGCTTCTGGAAGGCAGTCAACTCGAAGGCACTGACGGCGAGGGAGAGGGAAGTTTGGTTCAAGCTGATCCTCCGCTTCACCCCGACGCGCAAACTCCAGCACGAGCAAAAGCACGACACTTCTCCCGCGTGCCTCGTGTGCGAAGCGCCGGTGGACGACACCGATCACTACTTCTTCGGCTGCGTCGACTCGCGGAACATCTGGACCGCGGCAAGGGGCGTGCTCTGCGACGCGCTCGGATGCGACACGATCGAGGACGCCGAGTACACGACACTACAACGACTCTTTGGCCTCCCCAAGCTCAAGGCCAAGCTCAGCGAACAGGAAGGCGCAGGCAGGACGATCGAGATCTTCACGGGGATGGTCTTGGAGATGATCAGCAGTGGGAGATGGAGGATGCAGAAGCACGGGACGAGGATGGAAAGCCTGGAGCGGAGGAGGGTGGTACTGGAGGAGAGGATGAAGTTGAGGGCGGGGGGAGCAAGGGGCGGGCGAGGGCAGTAGAGGCTGGGTTCGATTTCCCCCCACCCGATCCCACACTCACACACCCCACATCACACATCCTCTTACAAAAACTGTATACTAAATATATTTTCTTCATCTTTCTTTCTTTTATTACAGGTCTGCCTCCGTTGCTCATGGACCGGCTCGCGATTTGGGATTGACTCGACGGTGGCTCGCGCTCTTTGGCTTCGGGGTTCTGAGTCAAGGGAGGGATCAGCAGACACAGGCAGAAAGTCGGCTTTGAGGGGCCAGGGACTGCTGAGGTGGAGGTTTTGAGGGGCCTCCACCGCGTCTTGTTGTGACCGAGCATAGACTTGGGGACTTCGCGGGTCAGGGTAGCTGCGCAGTCGCTCTCCTGTCTTTGTCTCGACCGAGTTGGGAAGTGGGTGCGGGGTGGGCCTCTTGTCGTTAGTACGCCAGTTCTTTTTCATTTTCTCTCTTTCTCTTCTCTCTCTCATTCGTCTCCTGGGGGGGAGCAACCGCTTGGCTGGGGCACTTGAATCCGAAGTATCGGATTGGTGGACTTGGCCCGTTTCTCGCATCTTGCGGGCGGTTTGTGTTATCATCGTCGACTTCCATCTAGTTTTTCCGTAGGCCAATCAGGGGGAACAGGACTTGGGGGCAATATGATGAACAGTTTCTACAAAAAAAAAATCCTTCGAGTATTGATGGCAGTGCAGGCTGTGATCCTGACAACAACGGTGTGCATCGAGTGCGACACTGCCCCGACGACGACGCCCGCAAACGTTACATCGAGCGACGCAACGGACACCAACGTCAAACCACGGCCCCACCCATTGCCCCACCGGAGGATGCACCCGTCGTAGCAACAATTTCAAGGTTTCAAGAACTCCCAGATCCTTCGACGTCCGGCGGCCAAAATTGGTAAAGTCCCCGCTCCGCCCACACACCCAGGTCTCACTACACCGGTCACTGCATTGTCGATTACACCACTTGCCAAAACCTCCTTTCGTGCTCTTCTGGAAGCGTTCGAACAAGGGGGGGTGTTGAATTTCATTCTACTACAAGCCTTCGAACACTTCAACCTTGCGCCACCATTTGTCAGGCCTGCCCATTTTCTCGCCTCGAGCGCCCTTTCGCCTCGGCGCATTCTCGCCTTCGCAGCTAAGCTGCCCCCTTTTCTCCGCCTCCGCGCATGCCTGCTCAACTCACGCTCGCGCGCCGCCGCCTCCACGCCGGGACTTAGTCAGCCTGCACTCTCCAGCTTTGCCAAGCCAACACCTCCGCCTCGCCACAGCCAATTTGCCACCGCCGACCTCATGATCCATCGGCCATTCAGAACATCGCCCATTCATGATGCCCATCGTTTGCAACCTGGAACTTGTCGTTACGGATCACCTCACTGAGCAACACTGGATCATGTAGATAAGTTTCCCTCGCGTTCGTCGTCCAACATGACATCTCTCAGAACCTCGATGGCCCACTTGGAGTTTGGCCCTTAGGGCTTCGCAGCGTGCTCCTCTGATTGGTAGAAATCCCCTCATGCGCCCGCTAGCTAGAACCTTGCCAGACTCGCGCTCTCCTGTGCCTTTCTTCCTCTTCTCTACCGCTTCCCAACATTAGCAAGACAGCTAATCTTCGGTAGAGAACAGTCCGTCCAGCCGTGCCACGTTCGTCTCGTCAGACCTCGTCCGTACCGCCTCACGACCTCTCCGCCCGGACCGTCCGTTGCAACCCAGCCACGTCGACGCTCCCACAGTAGCCCTAGCGGTCGCTACGCCAACCTCCCAAGGTCCTGCAGCCTACAAACAACATTCACCGCCTCGCGACTTCTCGACCGGGGAGCACTTTGCTACGTCGTCCTGCCTCGCAACTGTGAGGAATCCACTCTCCGCTCGGCTCAGGACTTAGGCGCGCGGAGCGAACCGGGCGCGGACTTAGGCGCGCGGAGTGAGCCGGGCGCCCCGGCCCAGGACTTAGGCGCGCGAAGCGAGCCTGGGACTTAGGCGCGCGGAGCGAGCCTGGGCCATTGGCTCAGCCCCAGGCTCGCTGGCTGTGGACTTGGGGCGCGCGGGTCTCTTATTGTTAGCTTCCTATTCATCACTCTTGGCTATAACTACATCGCTGACGTAGTAGAGTTGATCGAATAGGTATGTTGAAATGCATTGATCACTCTTGGCTATAACTACATCGCTGACGTAGTAGAGTTGATCGAATAGGTTATAAGCCCACGAGCTACCAGCCCCGCCACTTGAGGCTTTTTCGCTCGAGCCCAGCCACTCGAGCCGCACACGTCCATCGCACCATCACATCATGGACAGCTCTCCCGCCTCGCCTTTGGCCCCCAGGGATCCCAGCTCCCCTGAATCTTCGATCGGCGAACAAATCGCCACTCTACAGGCCCAGCTTGCCGCTCTGCAGGCCTCGCAACCCGCCGCCGCCGCAGCCGCCGCACCCCCGGCCGTCACCGTCGTGCCGGGGAACGCCGCCACCGCATCCAAGGTCGTGTTTCCCAAGCACGCTCGTCTGGACGGCCCCAAGTCGTTCACCAACTGGTTGCGTCAACTCCGTCTTGCACTCCCGAACCAGGTTCGTGGTTACGTTCTCGACGGTGTCGTTCCCCCGACCTGGACCGCCGACCAGCTTGCCGCACGTGACGACGCCGCCCGGGAAATCATCGTTGGCTCTATCGACTCCGCCGACGTATCGGCCACCCTCGACGCCATCCCCAGCGACGACCTGTCGGCACCGCGCATCTTTGCCGCTCTCAAGGCTCGTTTTGCACCGGACGACGCTACACGCACTCTCGAGTTGTTCGCTCGCCTTTGGGACTTCAGGAAGATGCCTGCCTCCGTCGAGGCCTACGACACTTGGCTACGCGAGTACATGTCGATTGCTCAGGAAATACGCGACGCCAAAACATCGCTCAACGACGTGCTCGCCACCCACGTGCTCGCCATGGTCCCGTCTTGCCTCGACAGCTTCCGACTCACGTTCACGGACGAGCAGCGAAACCGACGCGACCTTCCCGAACTCACGACGCTTACGGACCGCATTCGCATCCAGCTTCGTTCGGCAGGACTCTCGACCTCGCATTTGGCCATGCTTGCCACCAGCTCCCCCTGCCCCGCCTGCCGCGCTCCCGGTCACCGCCTGCGCGACTGCACTTCACGTGCGAAGCACCCGCCCACCGGCCCCTGCCGCCGATGCCACAAGAAAGGTCACTGGGCACTCGACTGCAAGAACCGGGGTGAACAGGCACGTAGCAGCGACGACACCCAGGACGACACGTCTTCCTCCGCGGCCTCGCAACCGAACGTCGGCTATTTCGCCTCCTGCCTCTTCGCTCGTCGCCAACTCCCAACTGACGCCTTTGTAGTCGATTCGGGTGCCACGACACACATGGTCGCCGACCGATCTCTATTCACGACTTATCGTCAGACGGCACACACCAAGATCGGCGGCATCGCGGGCGGCATCACGGCTATCGGCATGGGGGACGTGGCATTCGTCGCCAAGACTGGACACCCGATCACGCTCCGTGGTGTTCTTCACACGCCTGGCCTACACGTCAACCTCCTCTCTGTCTCTCGCCTCTGCGACACCGACCGCGTTCGTCTCGCCTTCACCAGCGACGGCATCGACATCGCCAAGGACGGCCGGGCCATTGCTCACGGTACCAGGGTCAACGACGGTCTTTACCTTTTGGACGCGGATCACACCAAGTGTCAGCATCTTGCCTTCCTCTCACGCTCTGAGTCTCCCGTGCCCCTGCTTACCCTACACCGCTGCCTCGGCCATCTTGCCCCATCCTCTATACAGAAGATGATTGCTGCAGGTTTGCTGGACGGGTTTGGGGCCGGGTACAGTGACAAAGACGTAGAGGAGTTTGTTTGCAATGCTTGCCTTGGTTCCAAAGGTCACCGCCTTCCCTTTCCCGACTCTGAGTCGCATTCCGCCGAGAGACTTGGCCTCGTGCACAGCGACGTCCTGTCGTTCCCCACTCCGTCCTTGACCGGGAAGCGCTACCTTGTCACGTTTCTAGACGACCACTCTCGCAAACTCTGGGCATATGCGATCGATCACAAAAGCGATGTTTTCCCGACCTTCCAGACTTGGCTCGCCGAAGTGGAGTTAGAGACGAACGCGCGGTTGAGGATCCTTCGAACCGACAATGGCGGGGAGTACCGATCAAACGCATTCACGGAGTTCTGCAAATCCAAGGGTGTCAGGCAAACAGCGATACACTGACAGCAACACTCGAAGGAAGTCCCTGAGGTAATGTGCAGGTAGAGTTGAGGTCACCAAATGCTTCCCTCCATTCAAGCATTGTGGGCGTGATGGCGTAGTCGTTCGGCGCGCGGGCGCGCACTTAATGGTCGCGGGTTCAAGGCGCGCAGAGCGCAATCTTCTCTCGGTTTTTGTTCTTTTTGTTAGCTGAGGCGCGGCCTCAGGGTTTTTACCGGTGCTCCCGCGAGCAATCCTTTTTCCCCCTGAGGCGACCTCTTGGAGTAGCTGAATTGGCTAAGTCCCCTCTGCGCCTGAGTGCCTCCCTTTTGTTTTTAGCACCTTCCCACTCAGCCTGGTCCGCCACATCTCCCAAGATCCCTTCACCTTCATCCTTCGTTTTCGATCTCGTTGGCAATAAAGTCCGATATACTTGACTTGCTGCGAGCCTCACAACCGCGTCCCCTCCTCGGTTGTCCCTCGGTCGCCTGCCCCCGCCCAGTCGACCTTCCTTCGGCCTGATCCCCTCCTCCGCGTGTAGTCAACGTCTTCTGAAGAGGACGTTGCCTGCCAAAGGGCATTCGTCGTCAATACTCTATCCCTTACACGCCTCAACAAAACGGTCGCGCCGAACGTGTCAACCTCTCCATCGTCGAGGGCGTCCTCGCTCTCCTTGCGGACGCCCGTCTGCCGGCCACCTTTTGGGATGAAGCGGCTGCGTATTTCGTTTATTGCAAAAACAGGTGCTCACACTCAGCTTTGGCCAAACAGACTCCAGAATCCGTTTGGAACGGCCAACGCACCACCGCCACCGCCCTCCACCCGTTCGGCTGCACAGCCTGGCTCACGGTCGCCCCGGACCTTCGCAGCAAGCTCGACCCCAAGGCCGCGCGCGTGATCTTCACAGGTTACGACCTCGCCTCCAAAGCTTTCCGTTTCTTTGACCATTCCATCAACAAGATTGTACTTGGTCGCAATGCCACCTTCCTCGACGACGACTTCCCCGGCCTGCCAGTCACCACGCCCGTCGATGCAGACGACACCGACCGTCAGTTCGTCGTTCCCGCCGACACGCCCGCCCCTGCCGTCAAGACGAGGACCCCACTAGTAAGGTCGGCGCACATGGACGTCTCATCCTCCCTTGATGATTCTGCCATGAGCGCCGTTGACGTGGCCCCAGGGTACACTGGCGGAACCTTACTTAATTCCACAGATACCGAATCGTCCTCGTCACCGTCTCCTGAGCCGTCCTCGTCACCGTCGCCCACAAACCCTTTGTCACCGTCGCCTGCGCTGTCACCGTCGTTGGCAGCGTCATCGTCACCCTCGGTCTCACCGACCGACTCTGACTACTCCGCCGACCCTCTGGACCTCATCGGCTCACAGACCCCGACTCGCCTTGGCCCACCGGACGTGCACCGCCCAGACTTCAGCACGTACCGTGAGCCCGCATCGGCTGAGGAGTCGCCCGACGAACTCGACATCATTGGGCGTCACTCGCGCGATGAATCGCCGGATGAAATCGATTTCCTCACCCAACACCACCGCGCCTTCATCGCCACAGACGACGACGACCCCACCCTCGACGCCATCGAGCCCGTCAAATCGATCACTAGCGACCCCCAGACCTGGCGCGAAGCAATGTCCAGCGACGAGCACAACATCTGGGCTGAGGCCGCCGCCGCCGAGTTCACCGCCATGCGCGACGACTTCAAGGTGTTCACCATCGAGCCTCGCTCATCTGTACCGCCGGGCGCCACCATCGTCACCTCCAAATTCGTCTGGAAGACCAAGCGCAACGCAAGCGGTGAAGTCACGGGGCGGAAGGCACGTCTTGTAGCGCAGGGTAACCGACAGCGCGACGGCATCGACTTCTCAGAAACCTTCGCACCCGTCGCCCGTTTCTCCTCCATTCGCTGCCTCCTGGCTCTTGCCGCTGCCAATGGCTGCCACGTTCATCAGGCCGACATCGACAAGGCTTACCTCCACGGCGAGCTCGATCATGATATCTGGATGACGACACCACGCGGTTTCGACTTCCCGAGCGATAAGGTTCTCCGGCTGCGACGCTCAATCTACGGTCTCAAGCAGGCCGGTCGCATCTGGAATCGTCACATTGACACATCACTCAGGAATCTGGGGTACAAGGCAACAGGCACTGATCACTGCATTTACTCTCGCATTGACGATCAGCAGCGGCCTCACTATATCGCCTTGTATGTCGACGACCTCCTCATTGTCAGTCCAGCCCTCGACGAGATCGAACGTGTCATCTCCGGCCTTGAACAGCGGTACGGCGTCAAACGACTCGGCCCCGCGGAGTACATCCTCGGAATCCAAATACGCCGCCTGGACGACGGTTCCATTGCTCTATCCCAGGAGCGCTACATCATGGACGTGCTGGCCCGTTTCCACTTCGACACCACGACACGCGGCACTACGGTGCCGATGACGCCCGGCCTCTCGCTCACGGCAATTCCGGGTCAGGGAACGGAGCGCATTCGTTCGTGGTACCTACAGGCCATCGGCTCCCTCCTCTACATCTCCCTTGGCACTCGACCCGACATTGCCTTCGCCGTCTCGTACCTGTCCCGGTTCGCCAACAACCCCGGCCGCCGCCATTGGATTGCCGTCAAACACGTCCTTCGCTACCTTCGCGCCACGTACCGCGATGAGCTTCTCTATGCCCGCGGCCCAGCAAAAGTCACGGGTGTGGTTGGTTATTCTGATGCGAACTGGGGCGCCTGCGTCGACACATCCATTTCAACGATGGGCTACGTATTTTACTTGGCAGGCGCCGCTGTCTCTTGGTCGTCGAAGCGTCAGACTCGGGTAGCGGATTCCACCACTGATGCCGAGTACCTGGCCTTGTCGCACGCGGGTAAGGAAGCGATCTACCTTAACCAACTCCTCTCCGAGCTCCACGTTTGCCCAATCGCTGCAGCTCACATCTTCACCGACAACGAGGCCGCGGCCGCCGTCGCTCACGACCCCGTTCGCACCTCCGGCACCCGGCACATTCGCCTCCGCGAGCATTTTGTCCGTGACATGGTCAATCGAGGTGATATCTCTCTCTCACACGTTGGCACAGCAGACATGGTTGCGGACGTATTCACCAAAGCGCTAGGCCCCAAGATTTTTGGTACACATTGCTATGCTCTAGGCCTCCGGACGCGACATCCACGGCTCAAGTCTACCTCGCGTTCGCGTGGGGGGGGGTGTGAGGAATCCACTCTCCGCTCGGCTCAGGACTTAGGCGCGCGGAGCGAACCGGGCGCGGACTTAGGCGCGCGGAGTGAGCCGGGCGCCCCGGCCCAGGACTTAGGCGCGCGAAGCGAGCCTGGGACTTAGGCGCGCGGAGCGAGCCTGGGCCATTGGCTCAGCCCCAGGCTCGCTGGCTGTGGACTTGGGGCGCGCGGGTCTCTTATTGTTAGCTTCCTATTCATCACTCTTGGCTATAACTACATCGCTGACGTAGTAGAGTTGATCGAATAGGTATGTTGAAATGCATTCATCACTCTTGGCTATAACTACATTGCTGACGTAGTAGAGTTGATCGAATAGCAACCTCCCGAAACGATCCGGTCCGTGCCGCCTCACGATTCTCCAGCGACCCCCCGGTCCCAACTTAACACGTTCTTGGTTCGATGGGTAGGCCGTAACAACACCGACGATACTTGGATGTCAAAGCAGTCCCTTCGCCTTGACCATCCGTCCGTCCTCGACGCCTACTTCGCGCACCTCGATTGCTCGAACCGCCGCCTCGCCGCACGGTAGATGTCAGGATCACAGCCTGCACTGCCATCAATACTCGAAGGAATTTTTTTTTTTTTTGTAGAAAACGTTCATCATATTGCCCCCAATTCCTGTTCCCCCTGTTTCGGCCTACGGAAAAACTAGATGGAACACTACGATGATAACACAAACCGCCCGCAAAAGTGCGAGAAACGAGCCAAGTCCACCAATCCGAGATTCGGATTCAAATGCCCTAGCCAAGCGGTTGCTCCCCCCCAGGAGACGAATGAGAGAGAGAAGAGAAAGAGAGAAAATGAAAAAGAACTGGCGTACTAACGACAAGAGGCCCACCCCGCACCCACTTCCCAACTCGGTCGAGACAAAGACAGGAGAGCGACTGCGCAGCTACCCTGACCCGCGAAGTCCCCAAGTCTATGCTCGGTCACAACAAGACGCGGTGGAGGCCCCTCAAAACCTCCACCTCAGCAGTCCCTGGCCCCTCAAAGCCGACTTTCTGCCTGTGTCTGCTGATCCCTCCCTTGACTCAGAACCCCGAAGCCGAAGAGCGCAAGCCACACCGAGTCGACGCCAAATCGCGAGATGGTCCATGATCCGCAACGGTGAACCTGTAACAAAAGAAAGAGGAAAGCGAGCTATTTAGTGTACAGTAGGAGAAAATGATGTCACGAGAATTTGGTGTGTGTGTGGTGGTGGGGGGAAAGTCGAACCCAGCCTCTACTGCCTTCTCCTCCCCCAAGCTCCTCCCGCCCTCAGCTTCAACCTCTCCTCCAAGATTATCCTCCTCCTCCCAACACCTCCATCCTCGTCCCCCACTTCTGCATCCCCCACCTCCCGCTGCTGATCATCTCCAAGACCAGCCCGGTGAATATTTCGATCGTCCTCCCCGCTCCTTCTTGATCGCGCAGACTGGCCTTGAGCTTCGGAAGTCCGAACATGCGTTGAACGGCCGTGTAATGCGTGTTGTCGATCGTGTCGAGCCCCAGTGCGTCGCAGAGCACGCCCCTTGCCGCGATCCAAACGTTCCTAGAGTCAACGCAGTCGAAGAAGTAGTGCTCCCGATCGTCCTTGGGTGCTCCACAGACGAGGCACGCGGGCGAGTCGTCGTGCTTTTGATGAAACTGCAGACTCCGAGTTGGGGTGAAGTTCCTGACGAGCTTGAACCACACCTCGCGTTCCCTCGCCGTCAATGCCTTCGAGTTGACCCCCTTCCAGAATCCCTTGAGATCGTCGGGCTGCAGCGAGTCCCTGAAACCGATCGTGTCGGTGAAGGCCTTTGCATTCAAGACTCGGCGGACGCGACGGATGGTGTATGGCCGATCCATGCTGAGCAAGTTGTATTGTGTTGATTGGTCTGGGAGAGCCGGTCTCGGAAGGCGCTGCGGCGGGTCGATCGGATGGGGCAGGATCGACTCGAGCGGCGTGGTGGGGCGGACTCGGGGAGGCCCGTTGATTCGTACTGCCGCCACCGGTTGAGCTATTGGTGTGAACCTCAATCGATTGATCGCATGTCGGTACCATGCCACGATGTGCTCTCGTTGTGGGCGGCCCCGTTGATCGTATTCGCTGTTGCTGACGACCACATCCATCGGCGGCGTCCAGAGATGATGTTAAGTCGTGTGTCTCGAGAGGGGACTGGATCGGCAACCAGTGAGTACACGAGACACAGTACGAGTGTTAGGAAGTAGTTTGGAGCGTTAGGGGGAAGACTAAAGAGGCTCGCGGTGCGAGTGCGCGAAATATCTCTAAGTCCAAAAGGGGTCCGAGCGGCGCGCGGCTGGCTAGGCTGGGCGCGGGCTGGAGATCGACCTAAGCAAGAGTGTATGGAATTCAACACCCCCCCTCGCTCGAAGCTTACTTAGCCTCGAAGACCCAGGTTGTCACGATGTACCTTGAACACCAAGGGTCCAAGTGCCTTGGTGAAGATGTCGGCGACCATGGTTTTCGTGTCCACATAGTCGACTTGGATGGTGCCCAGCCTGACCTGGTCGCGTACAAAGTGCTCACGAATGCGAATGTGACGGGACCGGTGGTGAAGGGTGGGGTTCTTGGCGAGAGCAATAGCACCTTGGTTGTCGCCGTACAGCTGGACGGGAGCTCGTGTGTCGATGCCCAGTTCCATAAGCAGTTCTTGCAGGTGACCAGCTTCCTTGGAGGCGTGTGAGAGGGCGAGGTACTCGGCGTCTGTGGTGGAGTCGGCCACACGGTTTTGCACTTTGGAGGACCAAGAGATGACAGATCCGGCCAGGTGGAAGCTGTACCCCATGGTCGACCGTGACGATGTGGTGCAGGTTCCCCAGTCTGCATCAGAGTAACCGGTGAAGCCTGAGAACTTGCCTTGTTCAGAGCTGTAGTGCAGGCCTAGACGTGCGGTTCCACGTAAGTACCGAAATACGGTCTTGATGGCCGTCCAGTGTTCGGGTGTGGGACTGGCAGAGAAGCGTGCGAGGTATCCGACAGCGTAGGAAATGTCCGGGCGAGTACCGGTGGCGGCGTACAGGAGGCATCCAATAGCCTGCATGTAGCGTGTCCGAGCAGTTTTGGATGTTTCCGCGAGCGAATGTTCGAGCTGTCGGTTCGGGGCCATGGGCGTGGAGGCGGGGCTGCTGTCTGACATGCCAAATCTGCGGAGGATGCTCGTGATGTACGCCTCTTGTGACAGGATGATGGACTTGTCGGCCTGTCGCTTGATCTGGATCCCCAAGATGTACTGGGCTGGGCCAAGTCACTTGATGCCGTATTTTTGCTCCAGGCCGTTGAGGATGCGCTCAATCTCGTCCTCCGAGGGGCTGACCATCAGCAAGTCGTCGACGTAGAGGGCGATGTAGTGGTAGTGGTCGCCGTCGCGTCGTACGTACACGCAGTGGTCCTTGGCTGTGGCGCGGTAGTGGAGGCTTTTCAGCGTCAAGTCAATGTGCTCGTTCCAGACTCGGCCGGCCTGCTTGAGGCCGTAGATCGATCGATGGAGCTTGAGGACTTTACCGGGCATGTCAACACCTTGTGGGACGCGCATGTAGAGGTCTTCCTTCAGCTCGCCGTGGAGGTATGCCTTGTCAACGTCGGCCTGATGGACGTGGAGTTTCTTGGCGGCGGCCAGGGCGATGAGAGCTCGGATGGAGGTGAACTTGGCAACAGGGGCAAAAGTCTCGTCGTAATCGATACCTGGGCGCTGGGAGAATCCCTGTGCAACGAGCCGGCCCTTGTGCGAAGTGATCTTGCCAAGTTGGTCGCGTTTGGTGCGGAAGATGAACCTGGATCCGAGGACTTTGGCGCCAGGGGGCAGTGAGGAGGAGTCAACAGGGGTGAAGCATTTGTACTCGGTGGTAAGGGAGTGAAACTCGTCGGCTGCTGCTTGCCTCCAGATCTCCTCTTTACCTGACTTGACCGCCTGCGACCAATTCTGGGGGTCCTCGGTTGGCCCTTCGAGTTCGACGACCGGTGAATCTGCAGTGGTGGCGGCAAAGGCAGCGGCGCGAGACGGGCATGACAGGAAGTCGATGGGGTCGGCCGAGTCATCGGTCACGTCCGACGCAGGAGGTGACAGCGAGAACTGAGCCATGGACATGTCGGACGGGGTATCAAAACCATCATCGGACATTTCGATTGTTGCGTCGTCGCTCGCGTCGGTCTCAAGTGCGGCAAATCGATTTTCGTGCACGACGGGCGGGAGTGACAGACGTGGGACAGTGCGGGAGCCATGTGCAGCGTCAACGAAGGTCCAGTCGCCAGCAGTGGACGTCGCGCGAGGCTTCGGTTGGCCAGTCGGGGCATCTCGAGCGGGGAAGACGTTCTCATCGAATCTGACGTCGCGGCTCTGGAAGAACGAAGTTGTTTCTGGGTCGTACAGCGTCCAGGCCTTGGTTTTGTTTTCGATGCCGACAAAGATGAATGGTTTGGCCTTGGGGTCGAGTTTTGCCCGCTTGTGCCGAGGGGTGGTGTGCCAGGCGCGGCAGCCGAATGCTCTCAGGTTTGCCGTGCTGGGAGGTTTGCCATACCAGATAGTGTCCGGGATTTTGTGATCGATGGCGCTGTGCGGGCTGAGGTTTTTGGTGTCAACAACGTACCGGAGGGCCTCGCGCCAGAGTGTCATGGGCAGTCCCTGTAGAGTGTAGGTCGTGGAACTTTTCGGAACTGGGTGTAGCGACCGCTGGGGCTACTGTTGGGCGCGTCGACGTGGCTACGGTTGCGACGGACGGTCCGATTGGGAGAAGTCGCAAGGCGGCACAGACGCAGTCTGACGAGACGGCGGTGCGGCTGGACGATCTGTTCTCTACCGAAGATTAGCAGTCTGGCTAATGTCGGGAAGCGGTAGAGAAGAGGAAGGGAAGCACAAGGAGCGCGAGTCTGACAAGGTTCTAGCAAGCAGGCGCGCAAAGGATCTACTGCAAATCGGGCGGATGCGCTGCTAAGCATCAAGGGCAAACTCCAAGTGGGTCATTCGGGTGCTGAGAGGGGTCGTGTTGGACAACGGCCACGAGGGGAAACCTATCTACGATGTCGAGTGTTGGTGAGCGAGGGAGTCCATAGCGACGAGACTCAGGTTGCGAACGGCGGGCGTCATGCATGGGCGATACTCTTGATGGCCGATGGAACATGAGGACGGCGGCGGCAAGCTGCTGGTGACTAAGTGGAGGCATTGGCTCAGCAAGACTGGAGGGCAGACGGCCAGAGTCCCGGCGTGGAGGCGGCGGCGCGCGGGCGTGAGTTGAGCAGGCCGGCGCGAGGCAGGAGGGCGACGGCTTGGCTGCGAAGGCAAAGGCGCCGAGGCGAAAATGGGCGGACCTGACAACGGCGGCCCAAGGTTGAAGTGTTCGAACGCTTGTAGTAGAATGAAATTCAACACAAACAAGGGGGTCAGCGGTATTGCCTGAACGTTCCAGAATGGTGTGTGGGGGAATGTCCAAGGGGACCGATCTCACCGGCGTAAACGTAAACTCCCCAGCCCGCGCCACAGCTGGTTCAGAGACTCCGGCCCGCGCCGCAGCTGGTTCAGGTGAGCTTTTCAATAAACCCTCCACCAACTTCTCCAATTGCTGAACACGTTCCTCGGAGTCGATACGACGGGCTTCGGATTCCTCGAGGCGGCTTTCGAGGGACAATAGAGCGGTGGCGGTGTGGTAGGGTTGGGGCGGCGGGGACTTGGGCGGTTTCGCGCGGCCGGGGTCTTCGTCGCGGAGAGGAGCGTCTCGATCATCGGTGGTGGCGCGGTACACGTCGCGCTCGTCGGCCATGGCAATCTCGTGACTCAAACGTCGGCGATTGCGGGGCGAACGTGACAGGCAACGTCGGAGGGGATGACGATGACTACACGCGAGAGACGAGGGAGAGAGCGAGAGAGCGCGCGAAAGCGCGAAGGAGCGAAAGGGGTGTCGACCGAGGCGGCGGCAGTCGACCGAGAGGCAACCGCGGAGGATACGCGGCTGCAAGGCTCGCAGCAAGTCCAGTGTACCGAACTATGGTAGCCAACGAGGTCGGACAGAAGAGGGAGGGCAAACGATCCAAGAAATAGCTGACCAGGCCGGTGGGAAGGTCGAGTCGGCTGGGCGGCGGAAGTCGACCGAGAGCAACCGAGGAGTGGATTCGGTCGGAAGGCTTCGCAGCAAATCAAGTGTAACGGACTTAATTGCCAGCGAAATGGGTAAAAAGAGGGAGGGTACGAGTCATGATAATGAGTGGACCAAGCTCTAGGGGAAGGGTGGCAAAAGCAAAGGGAGGGAAGTGCTCCGAGCGAAGGAAAGACTGAATCAAATAACTACACCACGAGGTCGCTTCAGGGGTAAAAAGGATTGCCTGCAAGGCACCGGTAAAAACCCCGAAGCCGGGCCTCGGATAACAAAAAGGAAAAGAAACCAAAAGGCAGATCACGCTCCGGGCGGATCGAACCTTCGACCACTGAGTGCGCGCCCGCGCGCCCTCACGACTACGCCATCGCGCCGACAATGCTTGCAACGAACAAACCGGTAGCTGATGTCGACTCCGGCCGCAAACTTGGGAGACTTCACTTCACCTCACTTCACTTCACTTCACTTCACTTCACTTCACTTCACAATCGCCCTACTGCAGCCTTCGATACTCGAGTTAACAAGTGATACACCGACAAGATGTCTACCGGAGACCCTGGGTCCCCACTGCCGGCACCGCCACCACCGGTATCCGCCGCCAGCGTCCAGCCCCCCCGCGACCGGATCCCGATAAGCTCGAAGAAGACGCAAGTCACGGGCCCCGCCACCGCCGCACCCAACTATGCTGCCGCTGCGAGTCAGATGGCGGCTCAAACACCTGAACAACAGCAACAACAACAACAGCGTGCCAAGGCTCTGGGCAGCCTCCTACAAGCCATGGGTGCTGTACCCGGAAACCGCATGGATCGCTGGGTCCAGGCCATCTACTTCGCCGAACTCTACCCCGTCGCCACCGCCACATCGCTGAAATTTTCGGCCTTGAACGCGAACCGGTCCGTCGAGAACATCTTCGATTACGCCCTTGAAGTGACTCTGTCTCACCAGAGCGCCTCGCGAGCGACTCATGCCGACAAGATCGATCTCGTGGCCTGCGTCACGAGGCTGCTATCGCCCATCTCTCCTATCTGCTTTGAGCCTGGAGTTCCTCTGCCGGACCATCTTGCGGCTTATCAACCACAGATCTTAGGCGTACAACATTCATCAATCCTGCGTAATGGGGCGGCTCACCATCGCGTTACGGTTGGGTTCGTCACCGGCGAGGCACGTGACGCGGCGCTCACGACGCCCCCCGCTCTCACTTGGCGATCGGCGAAGGCCCGCTTCGCGAAGTCTCACAGGTTCCACCATAACATGGTCGAGCTTCGAATCAACGTCGGTGTTCAAGGAGTGCCCTCCATGGATGCCATCATCAAATCGTTCCAATCACTTGTGCAAGACCTGTCAGGCAAGGGACATTCATGCCAACTTGTGCAGGTTCTGCGCGTTATCAGCGTGGACAACGCCTCGGCCTTCGCCCACGTTGCCGGAGACTACTCGGCTTTCCTACACTTCGATGACGACTCCCTATTCCAACGCCCCAACACGACCTTGAAGGAGATTCTACCTTCGAGGATCGACCTTCCCACTCGAGGCATCCCGGTTACCGCCCTTCGCCATGACTATGAGAAGGAGGCGGCTTGCGGTAGGTGCCACTTTGTGGGTCACGTGGGAACCTGCGGACTGGATCAGGAGAGGAAGCGGAAGGAGGCTCACAACGGCATCATCAACAGCAACAAAAACACCATCACCCACAACACCAACATCGCGGAGGCCGAGGCCCCCATTCCTGTGCTGGTTGTTAACAGGATCGCATCACAGAATCACTTCGCCGGGCTCGAGGTCGAGGAGGGACAGGAGGAAGAGGTAACTGGCCAGGGCGAACAGGGACCGGAGGAATCGGGGGAGGAAGACGCTGGTGATAAGGCGGATGACGAGGACTCGGAGGACTCGGAGATGGAATCGGAGGCGGCCGCGAAAACGGAGGTCATCAAAATTGAAAGCGAGGACGAGTCGGTCTTGGAGGACTGCAGCGGATCCGATGGAGAGGTGATTGATGAGAATGAGGTGATGGCGGATGAAAGAGGTGAAACGGAAGGAGAGGTGGCTACGGAGATGGAGGAAGAGGAGGTGGCGACGGAGGTGGGCGATGTGGACGAAGCGAGGGGATCGACGAAAGCGGAGAATGCGGAAGCGACGGACTTAGGGGAAACGAACAGGCTGGACAATGACGACGACAGCGACGCCACAGCAACCGCCGCCACCGCTTCCCGCGAATCGACGCCGCATGAACCAACCCCACCTCTGTCACCCGAAACTCTCGCCAAGTCGCTACGCGAGGGGGAGGAGTGGGACAGGATCAGAGCTAACTGGGTTGAGCAGGCACGACTTGAGCGGGACCAAAGCATCGAGAGGAGGCTCAACGCTGAAACCCCTCTGGTGCGTCACAACTTTGCCACGTGGGACGAGGACGGTGAGATACGCTCCATCAACATCAGGGGGACCGCTGCGAAGTTCAAGAAGCAGGTGATGAAGAGGTCGCAGACTGCGGCGGACCTCAGTGACCCAAGTGACGAACCGACCGACGCCAAGCGAGTCATCATCAAAGGGAAGAGCCGCGTCGTGGTGAAGGATGGAATAGAGGGGCGGAGGGTGACGAGGTCGATGTCGGCGGCAGCGGCGATGCAGGTCGAGGTGACGAAGGTGGACAGAGGGAAAGGAAGAGGGGTAGCTGAGGAAAAACGATGGTCCGACCACGAGCCCGAGGACGATGTCCTGCCCGCCCTTCCCCTCTTTGAGGACGTCACCACCGCCAAGAGCGCCTCGACCTCGACTACCCATTAATGATCAAGCACACCATCATCACCTGGAACGTAAGAAGGGGCATGGGGGTCCCGGAAAAACGACGTAATATCTACACCTACCTTTCCACATTCAAAGCTTCCGCGATTCTCTTACAAGAGCATTTCATCAGACCACAATTCTGGCAGTTCATCAAGGACGAGTACGAGGGCAAGCTCTTCATCAACCAGCACTGCCTGACCCTGATCCCGGCCGACTCGCCCCTGATCGACGCCGAGCTCTTGCGCACCCACTCGGCACTCGACGGCCGGCTCCTCGTCACCTCCTTTCGTCTGCGGGGCGACATCAAAATTCTAGAAATCAATAACCTCTACGCGCCCGTTGACCCAAAACAACGAGCAAAATTCTTCGACAAACTGATCCTCCACAAAACACAGAAATCCCACCTCCGACTCCTTGGCGGCGATCTCAACGACTGCCCGCGCCCAGAAGTCGATCGGCGGAACCAAAGTCGGCGCGGCCACCACTGGCCGATTCTGATGGGCAAGCTCGACTCGGCCTACACGGACTGCATCCGCTACAAGCACCCCATCACCCCATCTTTCACTCGACCTAATCCCAATCGCAAGCGACCCAACTCCTTCTCCCGGCTTGACTACTTTCTCCTACAAAGAGCTCACCAAAAAAGGCTCGACCAGGCCTCGACGATCTACGACTATCCCAAGGATCTTTCCGATCACCGACCGGTCTTGATCGTACTGGCTCTCTCAGACGATCTTGATGCGGCTCTCCCACAGCTCAGCCTACCTACCACATCCAACCAACTACATCGAATCAATACCACAACCTTCAAGACGGTGGAATTTCAGCGGATGATGGAAGGATGGTTGGAAGGGGCAAGCGGGGAGGATCCGGTGCGAGAGCTTGAGGAGGTTCTGGAGGCGTGCAGGGACAGGGGTGGGGAGATGGCGAGGAGGCTGCATCGGGAGCGGACGGAACGGATGGAGTATTTGGTGGGGAGGGTGCAGGATCTGGAGGCGTTACCGGTATGGGGGGAGGCGGAAACGGCAGAATGGACAAGGACGTCCGAGGAACTCAAGCGGGCGGTCGAGGAGCGCGCGCGCCTACTCCGGATCCGAGCCCACGTCCCCGAGATCGCTTCCGAGGAACGACTGTCGCGGCCGGTCCACGCCAAGCTCGCGGCGCGGAACTCGGACTCCAAGATCACAGCACTGCGCTTGGGCAACGGAGAGCTAACGCATGACATTGATGTCGCTCTTGACCACACGCAGGCGCATTTCCAGCGCCTCTACCACATCGAGCCTCGTGATCCGGAACGCGTCGACCGACTTCGGGACGAACTCCTCGTGCCGATCAGGGCGGCACGGACTTGCGACGACCCGCGCTCAGATCCGCTCTTTCTGCGCCGACTCTCGGAAGCGCAGATTGATCTCCTCCAGCAACCCATCACCGAGGACGAGGTCGTGGCCGCGATCGGGACGACGCACCCGGGGCGATCGCCGGGCCCGTCGGGCGTGCCTTACGAACTCTATCAGACCGCACCGGAGGCGTGGTCCAAGGTGCTGACCAAGGCCTACAACGCGATGATCGAGCGCGGTTCACTCTCTCCCAAGCAGGGCCAGGGACTCGTGCGCCTCATCTTCAAGCGCCACAAGAAGAATGCCGATCGCGCCGAACTCTCGTCGTATCGCCCCATCACCCTGCGCGAGTGCGATTACAAGATTTTTACCAAGGTCTACGTCGCCCGATTGAACCAAATTCTGCCCGATCTCCTCCCGCCGCAGCAGCACGGCTTCGTCAAGGACCGCCGATCGGCCGACGCTGCACTACACCTTTGTCTCCTGATCGAGGAACTTGGCGCGCGCAGGACCGAGTTCCCCGCGGCCGCGCTCTTGTCTCTTGACCAATCATCCGCCTACGACCTCGTCGAGCATGACTGGATCTTTGCCATCTTCGACGCTCTGGGCGCTCCTACCACCTTTCTTCGCGTGCTGAGGATGCTCTACTCGGGTGACTCGACCTCGGCGCGCTACATCATCAATGGGTTCCTGACGGCGCCGGTGCGACTGACGTGTGGGCTCGGCCAAGGGGACCCGGCGTCATCGTCGGTCTGGGACATCGTGTTTCAGCCGTTCCTGGATGCTCTACACCGTCGAAACATCGCGCTGAATCTCTCCATACCTGCACTTCATCCGTACCCACAGAGCCGCGCCATTACATCACTTGCATTTGCCGATGACGTTGTCGTCGCCGTCGCGGGCTTGGAGTCACTCAACTTGCTCGATGACCTGGCGCTCGACTGGAGGCATGCAACGAATGGCCGGCTCAACACGGACAAGACGGTCGTCCTACCGATTGGACGTCGCTGGGACCCTGGCGAATGGCCAATCGTCGTCAAGGCCGCAGGCGAGTCGCTCGAGTGGATCGGCCTCCCCTTCGACCCCAGCGGCGACACCGAACTCGCCTACGCGAATCTCATCGAACGGCTCGAGGCGACGCTGGAAGCGGTTCAGCATCGCTGGCTCACGCACCACACCCGTGCCTTTTACGTCAATCGGTACGCCATTCCCAAGATCCTGCATTTCCTTGCAGCCGACATCCCGCCGCCCGAAGTCGTCAAGAAGCTCGATGACATGCTCGTCGATTTCGTCCGTGGGGGCAAGGGCAGGACCAGCTACGGCAGAGACATTGTGTTCACCGCCAAGAACAAGGGGGGACTCGGGGTGATAAGGATGCGGGACGTTGTGGACGCGGTTGCGGCACGGCTCTGGGACGTTCTTCTCGGCGGTTCCGGCGCGATTTGGCAAGGACTTGCGCGCGCATCACTCCAGCGAGCTCAGCCCGACCTCGACCTGGCCACCGATCTCTGGCCACATCCATCCACTCCCATCCCCAACGACCTTCATCCCCGATGGCACGCCGCACTGGGCGTTCCGAAACTTCACGACGCGCAGGTCAACCCGAGGGCCTTGACCACCGCGAACTTGCTCGCGCTGCCCACCCTGCTCGGCAGCCTCCACACCCCCATCAGAGGGAGACAGACCATCGACGCGGTTCATGTACCTGACTACCTTCGTCTCCAGGGCTACCCGAAGGTGGCGGATCTCTATCGACGCGAGTTGTATGCGGGTGGGGGGTTTCACCTCTGGACGCCGCCGGCGGATGTGCTCGGCGACAACAGCGAGTACGATCGACGCGGGCTCCCGCAGCGACTGGCAATCGCGGCCTGGTACCGGTTCACTGTCGATCGACACAAGAACACCCCCTTGGCGGCGGCGGTGGCGGCGGGACGACTCAACGTGCCTCCCCGGATCGGCACCAGCGCACCACTCGAGGCGATCATCCCCAAGCCCGTGGCCCGCTTCGCAATGGAGCAGCGCCTTCCGGACCCGGTGCTTCCACAACAGGCGAGCCAGTATACGCTGCTGAACATGGCTCGCCCCTACACAGTCCGTCGCATCCGCCGGGTCCTGAACGCGAAGGCATTTACCAACATGCTCGGGCTCAAGGGACCACCGCAGCCGGACGACCTCAGGAGCTTCTGGAAGGCAGTCAACTCGAAGGCACTGACGGCGAGGGAGAGGGAAGTTTGGTTCAAGCTGATCCTCCGCTTCACCCCGACGCGCAAACTCCAGCACGAGCAAAAGCACGACACTTCTCCCGCGTGCCTCGTGTGCGAAGCGCCGGTGGACGACACCGATCACTACTTCTTCGGCTGCGTCGACTCGCGGAACATCTGGACCGCGGCAAGGGGCGTGCTCTGCGACGCGCTCGGATGCGACACGATCGAGGACGCCGAGTACACGACACTACAACGACTCGTTGGCCTCCCCAAGCTCAAGGCCAAGCTCAGCGAACAGGAAGGCGCAGGCAGGACGATCGAGATCTTCACGGGGATGGTCTTGGAGATGATCAGCAGTGGGAGATGGAGGATGCAGAAGCACGGGACGAGGATGGAAAGCCTGGAGCGGAGGAGGGTGGTACTGGAGGAGAGGATGAAGTTGAGGGCGGGGGGAGCAAGGGGCGGGCGAGGGCAGTAGAGGCTGGGTTCGATTTCCCCCCACCCGATCCCACACTCACACACCCCACATCACACATCCTCTTACAAAAACTGTATACTAAATATATTTTCTTCATCTTTCTTTCTTTTATTACAGGTCTGCCTCCGTTGCTCATGGACCGGCTCGCGATTTGGGATTGACTCGACGGTGGCTCGCGCTCTTTGGCTTCGGGGTTCTGAGTCAAGGGAGGGATCAGCAGACACAGGCAGAAAGTCGGCTTTGAGGGGCCAGGGACTGCTGAGGTGGAGGTTTTGAGGGGCCTCCACCGCGTCTTGTTGTGACCGAGCATAGACTTGGGATTTCGCGGGTCAGGGTAGCTGCGCAGTCGCTCTCCTGTCTTTGTCTCGACCGAGTTGGGAAGTGGGTGCGGGGTGGGCCTCTTGTCGTTAGTACGCCAGTTCTTTTTCATTTTCTCTCTTTCTCTTCTCTCTCTCATTCGTCTCCTGGGGGGGGAGCAACCGCTTGGCTGGGGCACTTGAATCCGAAGTATCGGATTGGTGGACTTGGCCCGTTTCTCGCATCTTGCGGGCGGTTTGTGTTATCATCGTCGACTTCCATCTAGTTTTTCCGTAGGCCAATCAGGGGGAACAGGACTTGGGGGCAATATGATGAACAGTTTCTACAAAAAAAAAAAAAAATCCTTCGAGTATTGATGGCAGTGCAGGCTGTGCTCCTGACAGCAACACCCGCCGCCAGGACCCTGTCGCTCCTGCAAGAAGAAGGATCACTGGTCTCTCGACTGCAAGAAGGCGCTCGAGGACGGCAAAAAGCCCGACACCGCTGACTCGACCGTCGACTCGCAACACCATGTCGGATGTCTCGCCACCGGTCTTCTCGCTCATCGTCGCCAGCTTCGCAACCACTCTTTTGTCGTCGACTCGGGCGCCACTTCGCACATGGTCTCGGACAAGTCGCTGTTCACGACCTATCGCCATATCGCTCCTACGAAGATTGGTGGTATTGCAGGGGGCATCAACGCCATCGGAACGGGAAACATCGCCTTCATTGCCGCCTCGGGTCATCCGATCACGCTTACCGGTGTGCTGCACACTCCGGGCCTGTTTGTCAATCTTCTCTCGGTCTCTCGACTTTGCGACACCGACGATGTCTGTGTCGCCTTCACGAAACACGGCATCCACATTGACAAGGACGGCAATGACATCGCTGAAGGCGCAAGACTCGACGAAGGGCTCTACTTGCTGGACGCTGATCATTCCAAATGTCAGCACCTTGCTCTCCTTTCTTGCTCACAGTCATCCGTGCCCCTGCTGACTCTCCACCGCTGCCTCGGCCATCTCGCACCGTCCTCCATACAGAAGATGGTTGCCGCTGGTTTGCTGGAGGGTCTCAGGGCCGGATATAGTGACGAAGAGGTAGAGAAGTTTGTCTGCAATGCTTGCCTCAGCGCAAAGGGCCATCGTCTTCCCTTCCCCGATTCGGATTCGCACTCCCCAGAGAGACTCGGCCTTGTACACAGCGATGTGCTTTCCTTCCCCGAGCGGTCCTTGACTGGCAAACGTTACCTGGTCACATTCCTTGACGATTACTCGCGTAAACTCTGGGCCTACGCAATCGGACACAAAAGCGAAGTCTTCGGCATATTCAAAACTTGGCTAGCCGAGGTTGAACTCGAGACGGGTGCGACGCTGAAGGTCCTCCGAACCGACAACGGTGGCGAATACTGTTCGAGAGCGTTCACAGAGTTCTGCAAGGCACGAGGCACCCGTCGACAATACTCTATCCCACGCACACCTCAACAGAACGGTCGTGCAGAGCGGGTCAATCGTTCCATTGTCGAAGGCGTCCTTGCCCTCCTTGTCGACGCCCACCTACCCAAGACATTCTGGGAGGAGGCCGCAGCTTATTTCGTTTACTGCAAGAACCTGTGTCAACACGCGGCCCTGGACAAGGCAACACCAAACTCCGTCTGGCAGGGTGACCACACCACTGCCTCGGCGCTTCACCCGTTCGGCTGTACAGCTTGGCTTACGGTCGCGCCCGAACTCCGCTCCAAACTCGACCCGAAGGCGGTTCGCGTTCTTTTCACCGGCTACGACCTGGCTTCAAAAGCCTTTCGCTTCTACGACACTACGACACAGAAGATTATACTTGGCAGAAATGCCACGTTCCTCGACACTGAATTCCCCGGTTTACATGGCGACCCCACCGAGCAAGACGGCGACACGCACTTCGCCAGCGCTCCCACCACCGAATCTCAAGCCGTTGTCAAGACATGGACCCCACTAGTAAGGTCGGCGCACATGGACGTCTCATCCCCCCTTGATGATTCTACCATGAGCGCCGTTGACGTGGCCCCAGGGTACACTGGCGGAACCTTACTTAACTTCACAGATGCCGAATCGTCCTCGTCACCGTCGCCCGTGCCGTCCTCGTCACCGTCGCCTGCGCCATCACCTGCACTTTCACCGTCGTCGGCTGCGTCATCGTCACCCTCGGCCTTACCGACCGACTCTGAAGACTCCGCCGATCCCCTCGACCTCCTCGGCTCACAGCCCCAGGTTCGCCTCGATCTACAGGACGTGCACCGCCCAGACTTCAGCACGTACCGCGAGCCCACATCGGCTGAGGAGTCGCCCGACGAACTCGACCTCATTGGGTGCCACTCTCGCAACGAATCTCCGGACGAAATCGATTTCCTCACCCGACACCACCGCGCCTTCATCGCCACCGACGATGACACCTCTGACACAGAGGCAATTCAGCCAGTCAAGTCCATCACGAGCGACCCACAGACCTGGCGCGAGGCGATGTCTAGCGACAAGCGTGAAGTATGGGCCAAAGCCGCCACCGACGAGTTCACCTCCATGCGCGACGACTTCAAGGTCTTCACCATCGAGGACCGAGCCACGGTGCCCGCGGGTGCGACTATCGTTACATCCAAGTTCGTCTGGAAAACGAAACGGAACGCACTCGGCGAAGTCACTGGACACAAGGCAAGGCTGGTCGCGCAAGGCAATCGGCAACGCGACGGCATCGACTTCAACGAAACGTTCGCACCGGTCGCACGCTTCTCCTCCATACGCTCACTCCTCGCGCTGGCGGCCGCCAACGGCTTGCACGTGCACCAGGCGGACATCGACAAAGCATATCTGCATGGCGACCTTGACCACGACATCTGGATGACGGCACCGCGCGGCTTCGACCTTCCCAGCGACAAGGTGCTTCGCTTGCGACGCTCCATCTACGGGCTCAAACAGGCTGGTCGAATCTGGAATCGACACATCGACGCTTCGCTTCGGGCCCTTGGTTACACGGCGACGGGCACCGACCACTGCGTATACTCTCGCCTCGATGATCGTCAACGTCCACACTACATCGCACTGTACGTCGACGACCTCCTGATGATCAGCCCGGACCTGGCCGAAATCGAACGTGTCATCTCAGGCCTGGAACAACGCTACGGAGTCAAGCGCCTCGGCCCGGCAGAGTATATCCTCGGCATCCAGATCAGGCGGCTCGACGACGGCTCTATCGCCCTATCCCAGGAACGGTACATCATGGACGTGCTCGCTCGGTTCCATTTCGACACCACGACTCGTGGCACTACAGTTCCGATGACTCCCGGCCTTTCGCTCACAGCTATCCCGGGTCAAGGCACCGAACGGATCAGGTCATGGTATCTGCAGGCTATCGGCTCGCTCCTCTACATTTCGCTCGGCACCCGCCCTGACATCGCCTTCGCCGTGTCCTACCTGGCCCGCTTCGCCAACAACCCCGGTCGTCGTCATTGGATCGCGGTCAAGCACATCCTACGCTATCTCCGGGCCACGTATCGCAACGAACTCGTGTATGCTCGCGGCCAGGCTCGCATCACGGGTGTGGTAGGCTACTCCGACGCGAACTGGGGGGCCTGCATCGACACATCGGTGTCCACCATGGGCTACGTCTTCTACATCGCTGGCTTGGCTGTGTCCTGGTCGTCCAAACGCCAGTCTCGAGTTGCCGATTCGACCACTGACGCTGAATACCTCGCCCTCTCGCATGCTGGCAAGGAAGGGATTTACCTCAGTCAGCTGCTCGAAGAGCTCCATGTCCAACCTGTTGCACCGGCTCACATCTTTACTGACAACGAAGCCGCTGCTGCAGTTGCTCACGATCCTGTCCGCGTCTCTGGCACTCGGCACATACGCTTGCGCGAGCACTTTGTTCGGGACATGGTGAATCGGGGCGACATCTCTCTCTCGCATGTGGGTACCAGCGACATGGTGGCCGACATCTTCACCAAGGCTCTCGGCCCAAAGGTCTTCTCAACGCACTGCTACGCCCTCGGCCTTCGCACTCGACACCCGCGGCTTGGGTCTGCCTCGCATTCGCGTGGGGGGGGGTGTGAAGAGTCCACTCTCAGCTCGACAGGGGCACCTCGGTCGTTGCGCGCACTTGCTAGCCCGCCCCCGGCGGTGGGGACTTAGGCGCGCCGGCAATTTCACCCGCGGCTGACTTAGGGATGTACATTGTCACGCGCCTGGGCCTATCCCAGCGTGGCCCCCCTTTCTGTTTCTTAGCTTCCTTCTCATCACTTCTGTTCGACTCTCAACCTCTCCTGACAGTAGTGGTGATCGTCTCATACAGCTGACTATGGGGCTTCCCCTTTTGCGGGGTCGTGGGAGAACGACCTCGAAATGGATGTGGGTTTGGCTGGCCTGCGCGATCGGCTTCCAGCGGCTGCACCTGCTCCGCTGGCGCGTTCATCAGCGGTTCGAGCTGGACAACGTTGTGGCTCCTCCCTCGCTTCCCAGTGCGCTCAGAGCGTTCGAGCGAGATTTTCTCTCTCGAGCGGGTTTTGTGCCTGGGGTTCGAGATGTTGAATTTCATTCTACTACAAGCCTTCGAACACTTCAACCTCGCGCCACCATTTGTCAGGCCTGCCCATTTTCTCGCCTCGAGCGCCCTTTCGCCTCGGCGCATTCTCGCCTCGGGCGCCTTTCGCCTTCGCAGCTAAGCCGCCCCCTTTTCTCCGCCTCCGCGCATGCCTGCTCAACTCACGCTCGCGCGCCACCGCCTCCACGCCGGGACTTAGTCAGCCTGCACTCTCCAGCTTTGCCAAGCCAACACCTCCGCCTCGCCACAGCCAATTTGCCACCGCCGACCTCATGATCCATCGGCCATTCAGAACATCGCCCATTCATGATGCCCATCGTTTGCAACCTGGAACTTGTCGTTACGGATCACCTCACTGAGCAACACTGGATCATGTAGATAAGTTTCCCTCGCGTTCGTCGTCCAACATGACATCTCTCAGAACCTCGATGGCCCACTTGGAGTTTGGCCCTTAGGGCTTCGCAGCGTGCTCCTCTGATTGGTAGAAATCCCCTCATGCGCCCGCTAGCTAGAACCTTGCCAGACTCGCGCTCTCCTGTGCCTTTCTTCCTCTTCTCTACCGCTTCCCAACATTAGCAAGACAGCTAATCTTCGGTAGAGAACAGTCCGTCCAGCCGTGCCACGTTCGTCTCGTCAGACCTCGTCCGTACCGCCTCACGACCTCTCCGCCCGGACCGTCCGTTGCAACCCAGCCACGTCGACGCTCCCACAGTAGCCCTAGCGGTCGCTACGCCAACCTCCCAAGGTCCTGCAGCCTACAAACAACACGAGATTGGGAGGTGTGATGACCGAGTTAAGTCCTTCCTTTTCGGTCAGAAGCTGACTGTCTTGAAACTTGTTGCGCAGTGGAAGGCTGTGCACCTCTCCCTCTCTCTACTTTGCGCAGTAGTGATTTTCGTTCTTGGATGGATCAGCAAGCCGGGTCGATCGTCGTTGCGTTGGAGGCTTTGTGAAGTTCTCCCCCCTCTTTCCCCCCCCCTTTTTTTTCCCTTCCCTTCCTCTTCTCTTTCCTGTTGCTCGGTTGTTGACTACGCTTCAGCCACTTCTCCTTTTATTCCTAAGCCGTGTGTTGGATTCCGTCGAATGGATCATTCGTTCGCGTTGGTCAAGATCTACGGCATGGATCGGGAAGAAAGTGTTAAGTCGTGTGTCTCGAGAGGGGACTGGATCGGCAACCAGTGAGTACACGAGACACAGTACGAGTGTTAGGAAGTAGTTTGGAGCGTTAGGGGGAAGACTAAAGAGGCTCGCGGTGCGAGTGCGCGAAATATCTCTAAGTCCAAAAGGGGTCCGAGCGGCGCGCGGCTGGCTAGGCTGGGCGCGGGCTGGAGATCGACCTAAGCAAGAGTGTGTGGAATTCAACAGAAAGGTCGCTCGTTTTTTTGGTCAATATCCTCGCGTCAAGGCGAGGCTTGTTTCGTTGTATTGGATCGTTTTCGCTCCGCCCCGACGGCTCAACAGCCAGCACTCGAGACTCAGCCAAGGGAGGACATCAGGCGCTGTCGGGGTGACGAGTAGCTGGGGCTTGGCTGCGGCCTGTCAGTCCCTGGGGACCTCTAGCTCTGGCTTCGACCCCCTCCCTTGGCCCCTCGGGTGTGTTCCCCTCCTCCTCCCCTCCTCTCTGTCTTAGTATTCCTGGTTCTCCGTGTTTCCAGTCGTGACTTTTTGAATATTCTCCCCTTTTCTTTCTCTAGGCGCTCTTGCCTGGTTTTCGAGTATCTTCGCTCCCGCTCTTGGGACGTGAAGCGGCAGCAGTACTCACCACCCGTTGGAGTCCATGTTAGGTGCTCGGCGGGTTTTGATCTGCGCAGCGCTCTTTGCGCGCAGGGGTTTGACTTTCACCCAATTGCTTGCCGTCGTTACTTTATAACCTCTTTTAGCTCTTTTTGTAGCGGTCCCAGCCAACCCGAAGGATTGCAATTTATGAGCCCCAGTAAAATTAAAAAAAATAAAAATCCTTCGAGTATTGATGGCAGTGCAGGCTGTGATCCTGACAATCAATACTCGAAGGAAGTCTCCCAATTTTGCGGCCGGAGTCGACATCAGCTACCGGTTCATTCGTTCCAAGCATTGTCGGCGCGATGGCGTAGTCGTGAGGGCATGCGGGTGCGCACTCAGTGGTTGAGGGTTCGATCCGCCCGGAGCGCGATCTGCCTTTTGGTTTCTTTTCCCTTTTTGTTATCCGAGGCCCGGCTTCGGGGTTTTTACCGGTGCCTGGCGGGCAATCCTTTTTACCCCTGAAGCGACCTCGTGGTGTAGTTATTTGACTCAGTCTTTCCTTCGCTCGGAGCACTTCCCTCCCTTTGCTTTTGCCACCTTTCCCCCAGAGCTTGGTCAACTCTTCTAGACTCGTACCCTCCCTCTTTTTACCCATTTTGCTGGCAATTAAATCCGTTACACTTGATTTGCTGCGAAGCCTTCCGACCGAATCCACTCCTCGGTCGCTCTCGGTCGACTGCCGCCGCCCAGCCGACTCGACCTTCCCATCGGCCTGGTCAGCTATTTCTTGGATCATTTGCCCTCCCTCTTCTTTCCGACCTCGTTGGCTACCATAGTCCGGTACACTGGACTTGCTGCGAGCCTTGCAGCCGCGTATCCTCCGCGGTTGCCTCTCGGTCGACACCCCTTTCGCTTCTTCGCGCTTTTGCGCGCTCTCTCGCTCTCTCCCTCGTCTCTCGCGTGTAGTCATCGTCATCCCCTCCGACGTTGCCTGTCACCTTGAGCCCGAGCATGTTGGTAAATGCCTTCGCGTTCAGGACCCGGCGGATGCGACGGACTGTGTAGGGGCAAGCCATGTTCAGCAGCGTATACTGGCTCGCCTGTTGTGGAAGCACCGGGTCCGGAAGGCGCTACTCCATTGCGAAGCGGGCCACGGGCTTGGGGATGATCGCCTCGAGTGGTGCGCTGGTGCCGATCCGGGGAGGCACGTTGAGTCGTCCCGCCGCCACCGCCGCCGCCAAGGGGGTGTTCTTGTGTCGATCGACAGTGAACCGGTACCAGGCCGCGATTGCCAGTCGCTGCGGGAGCCCGCGTCGATCGTACTCGCTGTTGTTGCCGAGCACATCCGCCTGCGGCATCCAGAGGTGAAACCCCCCACCCGCATACAACTCGAGTCGATAGAGATCCGCCACCTTCGGGTAGCCCTGGAGACGAAGGTAGTCAGGTACATGAACCGCGTCGATGGTCTGTCTCCCTCTGATGGGGGTGTGGAGGCTGCCGAGCAGGGTGGGCAGCGCGAGCAAGTTCGCGGTGGTCAAGGCCCTCGGGTTGATGACAGGCAACGTCGGAGGGGATGACGATGACTACACGCGAGAGACGAGGGAGAGAGCGAGAGAGCGCGCAAAAGCGCGAAGAAGCGAAAGGGGTGTCGACCGAGAGGCAACCGCGGAGGATACGCGGCTGCAAGGCTCGCAGCAAGTCCAGTGTACCGGACTATGGTAGCCAACGAGGTCGGAAAGAAGAGGGAGGGCAAACGATCCAAGAAATAGCTGACCAGGCCGATGGGAAGGTCGAGTCTGTCAGGATCACAGCCTGCACTGCCATCAATACTCGAAGGATTTTTTTATTTTTTTTGTAGAAACCGTTCATCATATTGCCCCCAATTCCTGTTCCCCTGATTCGCCTACGGAAAAACTAGATGGAAGTCGACGATGATAACACAAACCGCCCGCAAGATGCGAGAAACGGGCCAAGTCCACCAATCCGATACTTCGGATTCAAGTGCCCCAGCCAAGCGGTTGCTCCCCCCCAGGAGACGAAGGAGAGAGAGAGAAAATGAAAAAGAACTGGCGTACTAACGGCAAGAGGCCCACCCCGCACCCACTTCCCAACTTGGTCGAGACAAAGACAGGAGAGCGACTGCGCAGCTACCCTGACCCGCGAAGTCCCCAAGTCTATGCTCGGTCACAACAAGACGCGATGGAGGCCCCTCAAAACCTCCACCTCAGCAGTCCCTGGCCCCTCAAAGCCAACTTTCTGCCTGTGTCTGCTGATCCCTCCCTTAAACTCAGAACCCCGAAGCCAAAGAGCGCGAGCCACCGTTGAGTCAATCCCAAAACGCGAGCCGGTCCATGAGCAACGGAGGCAGACCTGTAATAAAAGAAAGATGAAGAAAAGATATTTAGTATACAGTTTTTGTATGAGGATGTTGTTGTTTGTAGGCTGCAGGACCTTGGGAGGTTGGCGTAGCGACCGCTAGGGCTACTGTGGGAGCGTCGACGTGGCTGGGTTGCAACGGACGGTCCGGGCGGAGAGGTCGTGAGGCGGTACGGACGAGGTCTGACGAGACGAACGTGGCACGGCTGGACGGACTGTTCTCTACCGAAGATTAGCTGTCTTGCTAATGTTGGGAAGCGGTAGAGAAGAGGAAGAAAGGCACAGGAGAGCGCGAGTCTGGCAAGGTTCTAGCTAGCGGGCGCATGAGGGGATTTCTACCAATCAGAGGAGCACGCTGCGAAGCCCTAAGGGCCAAACTCCAAGTGGGCCATCGAGGTTCTGAGAGATGTCATGTTGGACGACGAACGCGAGGGAAACTTATCTACATGATCCAGTGTTGCTCAGTGAGGTGATCCGTAACGACAAGTTCCAGGTTGCAAACGATGGGCATCATGAATGGGTGATGTTCTGAATGGCCGATGGAACATGAGGACGGCGGCGGCAAGCTGCTGGTGACTAAGTGGAGGCATTGGCTCAGCAAGACTGGAGGGCAGACGGCCAGAGTCCCGGCGTGGAGGCGGCGGCGCGCGGGCGTGAGTTGAGCAGGCCGGCGCGAGGCAGGAGGGCGACGGCTTAGCTGCGAAGGCGAAAGGCGCCCGAGGCGAAAGGGCACTCGAGGCGAGAAAATGGGCAGGCCTGACAAATGGTGGCGCGAGGTTGAAGTGTTCGAAGGCTTGTAGTAGAATGAAATTCAACAGATGTGTCATGTGAGGTGTGTGTGTGTATGGAGTGGGGTGGGGGGAAATCGAACCCAGCCTCTACTGCCCTCGCCCGCCTCTTGCTCCTCCCGCCCTCAACTTCATCCTCTCCTCCAGTACCACCCTCCTCCTCTCCACGCTTTCCATCCTCGTCCCGTGCTTCTGCATCCTCCATCTCCCACTGCTGATCATCTCCAAAACCATCCCCGTGAAGATCTCGATCGTCCTGCCTGCGCCTTCCTGTGCGCTGAGCTTGGCCTTGAGCTTGGGGAGGCCAAAGAGTCGTTGAAGTGTCGTGTACTCGGCGCCCTCGATCGTGTCGCATCCGAGCGCGTCGCAGAGCATGCCCCTTGCCGCGATCCAAATGTTCCTAGAGTCAACGCAGTCAAAGAAGTAGTGCTCCCGATCGTCCTTGGGCGCTCCACAGACGAGGCACGCGGGCGAGTCGTCGTGCTTTTGATGAAACTGCAGACTCCGAGTCGGGGTGAAGTTCCTGACGAGCTTGAACCACACCTCGCGTTCCCTCGCCGTCAATGCCTTCGAGTTGACCCCCTTCCAGAATCCCTTGAGATTGTCGGGCTGCAGCGAGTCCCTGAAACTGATCGTGTCGGTGAAGGCCTTTGCATTCAAGACTCGGTTCGGTGGACGCGACGGATGGTGTATGGCCGATCCATGCTGAGCAAGTTGTATTGTGTTGATTGGTCTGGGAGAGCCAGTCTCGGAAGGCGCTGCGGCGGGTCGATCGGATGGGGCAGGATCGACTCGAGCGGCATGGTGGGGCGGACTCGGGGAGGCCCGTTGATTCGTACTGCCACCACCGGTTGAGCTATTGGTGTGAACCTCAATCGATTGATCGCATGTCGGTACCATGCCACGATGTGCTCTCGTTGTGGGCGGCCCCGTTGATCGTATTCGCTGTTGCTGACGACCACATCCGTCGGCGGCGTCCAGAGATGAAAGCCCCCGCCTGGGTACAGGTCCGCTACCTTGGCGTAAATGGCAAACGCAGCATAGTCGGCGTCGTAGGGTGGTCGCGACACAGCTGGTGTTCCCGGTAGGTAGTGAAGGGTGTGCAACTTGATCGGAAGAGCGAGAAGGTTCGCGAGCGTCAACGTCCTCGGCTTGACTTGCGCATTGTGCGTAGATGGTACCTTCAGCACGGCCTGCCATCTTGGGTGTAGATCGGTTCGGATCGGAGTGTAGTCGCAAGGCCACGCATCGGTTGCCAAGTCAAAGTCGGGGGCGGGATGGGCTCGTACAATCGCCGCCCGCGCAAGTCCCTGCCAGATCGCATCCGAACCGCCAAGAAGCACGTCCCAGACGCGTGCCGCAACCGAGTCGATGACGTCCTGCATCCGCATGACCCCAAGACCCCCCTTGAACCTCGGTGTGAAGACAACGTCCTTGCCATAGCACGACCTCCTCTTGCCGCCGCGGACAAAGTCGACGAGAATGCGATCAAGCTCCTTGACGACCTCGAGCGGTGGGATGTCGGCGGAGAGGATGTGCAGAATCTTGGGAATGGCGTATCGGTTGACGTAGAACGCTCGGGTGTGGTGTGTGAGCCCTCGGTCCCGTGCCGAATCGAGCACCGCTTCGAGCCGTGCGACGAGATTCACGTTGGTGAGTTCGGTGTTGCCGGTGGGGTCGAAAGATAGGCCGATCCACTCGAGCGACTCGCCCTCGGCCTTGACGACGAGCGGACGATCGCCAGCCTCCCAGCGACACCCAATGGGTAGTACGACAGTCTTGTCGGTGTTGAGCCGGCCATTGGTTGCGAGCCTCCAGTCGAGCGCCAGGTCGTCGAGCAAGTTGAGTGACTCCGAGCCCGCGACGGCGACAACGACGTCATCAGCAAACGCAAGGGATGTAATGGCGCGGCTCTGTGGGTAGGGGTGAATGGTAGGAAGCGAGAGGTTCAGCGCAATGCCTCGACGGTGCAGAGCATCCAGGAACGGCTGGAACACGACATCCCAGACCGACGACGACGCCGGGTCCCCTTGGCCAAGCCCACACGTCAGCCGCACCGGCGGAGTCAAGAAGCCGTTGATGATATATCGCGCCGTGGTTGAGTCACCCGAGTAGAGCATCCTCAGAACGCATTGGAAGGCGGCAGGAGCGCCGAGAGCGTCGAAGATGGCGAAGATCCATTCGTGCTCGACGAGGTCGTAAGCCGACGATTGGTCAAGAGACAAGAGCGCCGCGTCAGGGAACTCGGTGCCGCGCGCGCCCAGCTCCTCGATCAAGAGTCGCAGGTGGAATGACGCGTCCGCCGATCGGCGGCCCTTGACGAAGCCGTGCTGTTGCGGTGGGAGCAGGTCCGGCAGCACGTGGTTGAGTCGCGCAACGTAGACCTTGGTGAAGAGCTTGTAGTCGCACTCGCGCAAGGTGATGGGCCGGTACGACGAGAGCTCGGCGCGATCGGCCCCGATCGCGCGGCTCGAGATCGTAGAGGCGCTGAAAGTGCGCCTGTGTGTGGTCAAGCGCGACGTCAATGTCATGTGTCAGCTCTCCGTTGGGCAATTGCAGTGCTGTGATCTTGGAATCCGAACTCCGTGCCGCGAGCTTGGCGTGGACCAGCCGCAACAGTCGTTCCTGTTGAATTTCATTCTACTACAAGCGTTTGAACACTTCAACCTTGGGCCGCCGTTGTCAGGTCCGCCCATTTTCACCTCGGCGCCTTCGCCTTCGCAGCCAAGCCGTCGCCCTCCTGCCTCGCGCCGGCCTGCTCAACTCACGCCCGCGCGCCGCCGCCTCCACGCCGGGACTCTGGCCGTCTGCCCTCCAGTCTTGCTGAGCCAATGCCTCCACTTAGTCACCAGCAGCTTGCCGCCGCCGTCCTCATGTTCCATCGGCCATCAAGAGTATCGCCCATGCATGACGCCCGCTGTTTGCAACCTGAGTCTCGTCGCTATGGACTCCCTCGCTCACCAACACTCGACATCGTAGATAGGTTTCCCCTCGTGGCCGTTGTCCAACACGACCCCTCTCAGCACCCGAATGACCCACTTGGAGTTTGCCCTTGATGCTTAGCAGCGCATCCGCCCGATTTGCAGTAGATCCTTTGCGCGCCCGCTTGCTAGAACCTTGTCAGACTCGCGCTCCTTGTGCTTCCCTTCCTCTTCTCTACCGCTTCCCGACATTAGCCAGACTGCTAATCTTCGGTAGAGAACAGATCGTCCAGCCGCACCGCCGTCTCGTCAGACCGCGTCTGTGCCGCCTTGCGACTTCTCCCAATCGGACCGTCCGTCGCAACCGTAGCCACGTCGACGCGCCCAACAGTAGCCCCAGCGGTCGCTACACCCAGTTCCGAAAAGTTCCACGACCTACACTCTACAGTTCCTCGGTAGTGATTTCGGGTACGTGGGCTCGGATCCGAAGTTGGCGCGCGCGCAAGTTGACCGCTCGCCTAAGTTCCTCCATCGTCCGCGTCCATTTGGCCGTCTCCTCGTCCCCCATCACCGGCAACACCTCCAGATCCTGCACCCTTCCCACCAAGACCGCCATCCGCTCCACCCGCTCCCGATGCTCCCTCCTCGCCAGCTCCCGACCCTCCTTTGCGCAGTTCCCCAGCACCACCTCGAGCTCCCCCACCGGTTCCTCCCCACTCGCTCCTTCCAACCATCCTTCCAACATCCCCTGGAACTCCGCCGTCTTGAAGGTCTCCGCGTTGATACGATGTAATTGGTTTGATGTCGTTGGTAAACTGTTGTTGGGTTGAGCCGCGTCTCCTCGCTCATCCGAGAGAACTAGGACGATCGAGACCGGTCGGTGATCCGAAAGGTCCTTGGGGTGGTCGTAGATCGTCGAGGCTTGGACGAGTCGCTTTTGGTGGGTGCGCTGCAGAAGGAAGTAGTCAAGTCGTGAAAAGGACTTTGGTCGCTTGCGGACGATGTTGGGTCGAGTGAAAGATGGTGTGAGCGGGTGTTTGAATCGTATGCAGTCGGTGTAGGGCGAGTCGAGCTTGCCGATCAGGATCGGCCAGTGATGGCCGTGCCGACCTTGGTTCCGCCGATCGATTGCCGGCAGCGGGCAGTCGTTGAGATCGCCGCCGAGGAGTCGAAGGTGGGTGCTCTGCGTCCTGTGGAAATGTAGTTTGTCAAAGAATGTGAGTCGTTGTTTTGTATCGACTGGTGCGTAAATGTTGTTGATCTCGAGTATCCGGATGTCGCCTCGAAGTCGAAAGGAGGTGACCAGGATTCGTCCGTCGAGTGCCGAGTGGGTGCGCAAAATCTCGGTGTCGATCAGGGGCGAGTCGGCGGGAATCAGAGTCAGACAGTGTTTGCTGATGAAGACCTTGCCCTCGTACTCGTCCTTGATACATTGCCAGAGTTCCGGTTTGATGAAGTGTTCTTGTAGTAGAATGGCGGATGCTTTGAATGTTGATAAATAGGTGTAAATGTTGCGTCGCTTTTCCGGGATCCCCATGCACCTCCTCACGTTCCAGCTGGTGATGGTGTGCTTGATCATTATTGGGTAGACGATGTAGACGTGCTCTTGGCGGTAGTGTCGTCCTCAAAGAGTGGGAATTCAGGGAGAATGTCATCCTCGGGCTCGTGGTCGGACCAGCGCTTCTCCTCCTCCACCCCTTTACCCTTCTCCGCTTTCGCCTTGGCCCCCTTGACCTGCATCGCCGCCACCGCCGACATCGACCTCGTCACCCTCTTCCCCTGACCCGCTACCTCCTTTCCTGCTCGACCTTTGACCCTGTTCAGAACGCGCTTGATATCGACCGGGTCGTCGCTCGGATCGCTGAGATCGGCCACCGTTTGCGACCTCTTCATCTTCTTGTTCGACCCGGAGCCGGTGCCACAAATGTTGATGAATCGCAGTTGTCCATCTTCCCGACCCCACTCTGCAAATTGGTGGCGAACGAGCGGTTCCTCCGTGTCGAGTTGGGTGTTGATGATCGCCTCCTTTTCTGCTTGGACACGTGCAGCAGCTTCGGCGTTAGCTCGGTCCCACTCCGCACCCTCGCGCAGCGACTTTGCCAACGTCTCAGGAGATAGTGGAGGCCACGAGGGACTCCGAGGAGTCGACTCGCGGGAAACCGTGGTGATCGTCGTTTGGTCGTCGTCGATGATCATGATGCTGTCGTCCTGTACCCCCTGTTCCTGCTCGACCTCTTCTTCCACCTCCGTCTCCGTCCCTTCGTCCTCCTCCTCTGCTCCATCTTTCATCACGTCATCCCCATCGTTTCCTTCGTCCTCCCTTTGTTCGCTTCCCTCCGAGCTGTCGTCCTGTTCGTCCTCGTTGTCGTCCTTGTCGTCGCCTCCCGCCTTGTCGATGCCCGCTCTGGCGTTCCCATCCGAGTCCGAATCCTCGTTGTCCGCCTTGGCGCCCGTATCCTCGTCTCCTTCTTCGACCTGCTCCTTTTCCTCGCCCTCCTTTCCTGCATCCTCCTCCTGTCCTCCTTCGACCTCGAGCCCCGCAAATCGGTTCCGCGATTCGAGTTGGTCGGTTCCGAGGGCGCGGCTAGGGGCCACAACCTCGGAAGTGTCGTTGTCGGTGTTGTTGGTGTTGGTTGGGTTGTTGTTGTTTTTTGTTTTTTGGGGCTCATAAATTGCAATCCTTTGGGTTGGCTGGGACCGCTAGAAAAAGAGCTAAAAGAGGTTATAAAGCAACGACGGCAAGCAATTGGGTGAAAGTCAAACCCCTGCGCGCAAAGAGCGCTGTGCAGATCAAAACTCGCCGAGCACCTAACGCGGACTCCAACGGGCGGTGAGTACTGCTGCCGCTTCACGTCCCAAGAGCGAGAGCGAAGATACTCGAAAACCAGGCAAGAGCGCCTAGAGAAAGAAAGGGGGAGAATATTCAAAAAGTCACGACTGGAAACACGGAGAACCAGGAATACTAAGACAGAGAGGAGGGGAGGAGGAGGGGAACACACCCGAGGGGCCAAGGGAGGGGGTCGAAGCCAGAGCTAGAGGTCCCCAGGGACTGACAGGCCACAGCCAAGCCCCAGCTACTCGTCACCCCGACAGCGCCTGATGTCCTCCCTTGGCTGAGTCTCGAGTGCTGGCTGTTGAGCCGTCAGGGCGGAGCGAAAACGATCCAATACAACGAAACAAGCCTCGCCTTGACGCGAGGATATTGACCAAAAAAACGAGTGACCTTTCTTCCCGATCCATGCCGTAGATCTTGACCAACGCGAACGAACGATCTATTCGACGGAATCCAACACACGGCTTAGGAATAAAAGGAGAAGTGGCTGAAGCGTAGTCAACAACCGAGCAACAGGAACGAGAAGAGGAAGGGAAGGGAGAAAGGGGAAAGAGAGGGGAGAACTTCACAAAGCCTCCAACGCAACGACGATCGACCCGGCTTGCCGATCCATCCAAGAACGAAAACCGCTACTGCACAAAGTAGAGAGAGGGAGAGGTGCGCAGCCTTCCACTGCGCAACAAGTTTCAAGACAGTCAGCTTCTGACCGAAAAGGAAGGGAGGAAAGGAGGGGAGGAAAATGGGAAGGAAGGACTTAACTCGGTCATCACACCTCCCAATCTCGAACCCCAGGCACAAAACCCGCTCGAGAGAGAAAATCTCGCTCGAACGCTCTGAGCGCACTGGGAAGCGAGGGAGGGGCCATGACGTTGTCCAGCTCGAACCGCTGATGAACGCGCCAGCGGAGCAGGTGCAGCCGCTGGAAGCTGATCGCGCAGGCCAGCCGAACCCACATCCATTTCGAGGTCGTTCTCCCACGACCCCGCAAAAGGGGGAGCCCCATAGTCAGCTGCTCCGGAGTGAACGTCGACGGATCGACGTCGGTATCCTCGATGCCGAGCTTGTCAAGCAGAATGCGTAGCAACCCACCCCAGAAGCTGGGAAAAAGTAGTGGGTAACGGAGAGGCATTGCGGACGGATGGAGCGAGCTAACAACTTGGTATTTGGGCCGACCCTCGGGACATCGATCACCGTGCACCTGGAGAATAAGGTCTTGACGTCCACGATCTCCCGTGTTGGTGTCGGAATCGCAGATGAGTATCGCCATTTCCGTGCTCGACGTAGGAAGGTTGTGGGTGCGTCGGTCTCAGCCTGGCGGGAGGCAAAGGCGCAGGATCCACTATTTGGCCGTATCCCAACCTGCACGAGCTTTGGTCAATGCAAACAGCCTCACAAAGCGATTGTTGGTACGCAACTTGGACTCGAGCTTGGTCAACGTAGATCTTTGTATGCGACGGTCTGGGCTGTTGGGTCCAAGTCGAGTGTCGGTGGCCTCGACCGGGTCGATGAGCCATGTCTGAGCAAAGGCTGGGCGTTGATTCACGGCGGGGATCAGGGCACCGAGTCGATGATAGAGGTGACCGAACACGCGAACACGGGGGTCCTAAAGTGCCGAGTCGTATCTGGTTGAAGTGAGCAGCAAGCAAAGTGAAAGACAGTGCGTTGTTGTACGACCGGGCATTCTCGCGGAACGCCAGAATGCCTTAGCTTCTGTGTAGGTGGGTCGCACAGTTCAGCATGTGGGCCTACTACAGACGAATGTCGTTGGACGGAGCAACTGACCGCTATCCGAGCCTTCAAGTAGCTATTGATACTCGGGATTGGGCCAGAGAGAGGAGGTAGCTGCACCTTACCCTGCAAGCAGCACGTGCTGAAGTGTCCGGTTCGTCCTTTGCACTCCCAGTGTCGAGCCTTGCAGTGGGCACACACGGCCATCTGGGGCCGAGGTAGTCGCGGATGGGAACGTGGGGCTTGAGTGGTTTGAGCTCGATTCGAGGCCTTCGCACTTGCCTCTGCGCAGGAAGAGGTGGTGGTGGGGCGAGCTCAGCATCGGATCGGCCATCGGGTCCTCGCGCTGACCACGCTGTTCATTCTACAAAGCTGTACGGCGGAGCGAACACTTATACGGGTCGTAATACCAAGATCGGTCGAGTGGTTGTCATCACGCGCGGGGAGCTGATTCTGTTGATGGGAGCGGGACGAAGAGGAGAGTCGAGCAGCGGGCCCTCGAGCAACCTCGAGCAGTACGACAGTACGCTATCGTACGGTGCTACCCTCGCGCCAAGTCTTTGGCGCGGTTGTCACGAAAATTCGATGAGAGTGGGAGGGAAAAGGTGAAAATTGGAGAGAGTAGCGCGGGAGTATTCATAGCGCCCGCCTGAACGTCATGTTGTTGTTGAGTCCCTAAAACCGGTGTCGGGATGCAAAAAACATGTCACGTGATCGTCGGGGCATCGCGCAGTGTAGCCGCGCCCGCGTCCGCGCGTCAACAACAGCGAGACCATGCCTGAGCTCTGTAGAAGAAGTGTCATGCAAACCCACACGCTAGCTATACATTAAATCCTACACAAACAGCTCAATAGTTCCCCACCATGTCAAAATTCGACAAAAATCGTAGTCGGGCGGTAGGTCGACTTTTATGGTCCAGAAAATGCAGAAAGGGTCGTACGTGACTTCTGGTCGAGGTGCCGATACCACAGGCAGGTGCGGCAGACCCAATAGTGTACAAGTACATCCATCAGTTGCGGCCTGGAAGGCCGCAACACAGACAAAAACTGTGATTTTAGGGTTATGGGTCGCGGATCGACCTTTTTACTAGATAGAGTAATAACTGAGATAAAGTCTGACCCTGACAGGTGCGCGACAAGCTCAATCCTAACCAACTTCGTCCAAAAACTTCCAAACACACCATCTTTGACAATGGAGCCACTCAGTTTGGGAAGACCCGTGGACGCCCACATGAGACAAAAGTTTCCAACAGCCTATCCTCGACCAAGGATCACGCGGCTGCTAAGCGAATGGCGGCCATTCCCGAGGTCATTGACATCGAAGAACTGAGGGATGACGAGAAGCCACCATGCCAGCTCGCACCGTTACAAGAAGGATGTCTTCCACTCAATATCTACGATACAGTTCAGCTGGAGGAGCGCCGAAGCAATGTTTCTGCCGTCAAGGACATTATCAAGCGCATTCCCAATGATATTCAGAAGGTTGATTGGGACATATTCCTCGACATTCACGCCGGCGACCACGCACCAGGTTTGAACTTGAGCTCCTTGCACGAAATGGCCAACATGAATTTGTGGTTGAGGGCTTCGCACATTGATGCTTTCAGCAGCGCTATCAACCGGTTCCAAGGCCAATTGCCTTTCAATGGTCGATCAAAAGAGGTTCGCGACCTTGAACCGACGTGCTACGCATTCTATCTCGAAGGAGGGAAGTGCGCAAAGGGAATTGGAGGCACTCGACCAACCGAGCGGCAGCAAGGTGTGAGTTCGGATGAGAATGGGCATGCATAGCTTTCTAGCATCATTGACAGGAGGTCTGCCTCTTCGTTGCGCCGCCCCCTCACCAGATTCTCCTTTCTCGAACACCAGTTCTACTCTTCCCAACTCATGTCACCAATCATTGGATCCTTGTCGAGGCACGCTTTTCCGATTGTACATTTCGCGTGTACGACTCTCTTTTTGGCAGGGAGAACATGCGCAAGGAGGCAAGCGAAAGTCTCGATGTGAGTTCATTCTCTAACGATCACAAAGTACTTCCAAAGGCAATCAATCTCTGCGCAGCCGCTGACGTCATTCGCCCTTTCTGCCTGCCAGTCAATCATCAATTTTTTGGAGACTCGTGCACAGGGACCGATAGAGCGCATCACTGGAGGCATTGATCGACCGACAGTCCCGTACAAAAATTGGAAGTGATTAATTGTCAAAGCGGCGAAGGTCGGTGATCAGCCTCAACCGGATAGATATCCTCAACAGACTGATGGCAATGCATGCGGGGTGTTCATGTGCTGAGCGATGGAAACCCTGGTGTGCGCAGCAGTTGCCAAAACGGAACCTGATTGGAGCTGGGGCCTACAGATTGAGCCGGGAAGATTTTATTCCAAGCTTTGAGACTACATGTTGGATGTCACCCTGCACTCTCGTCTACGATGTGACATGAGCTTGTCTTGGTTTTTGGGCTCGCCGGAGTCTCCAACCATCGCGTGTGATACTTGTGATCCAGACAAGGCATTGGATAGCAGTAACCCTCATGGCAATACACAGCCTGGAGATTACGCTGGTGAGTTCAAAATTGAAGCTCCTGCATGCTCTATTGCCCTATAGGGCTCTGCTCTCCTTGTGTCCCTCTTTATTTCGGAATGACTTAACCCTGATCCCATCACCCGGCCATTGTTTTGTGCGCAGGCTACAGCATGAAAGGCACAAGATTGCTCTCAAGCCTCACTGATTCCGAATCCAAACAGAAGGATCAAATGGTGTATTCGCAGGCGAAGAAAGACTACTAAAAGGACTAAGGTCAAGAGGTGCCTGTGGCGCCGTGCGCAAGTAAAGCTTAGGCCACTGAGGTTGGCTTGAGGTTGTCGTGAGGCGGAAGCGGAGCGGCGCCTTACACAGCAGTGACGACGCGGAAGAAGTCTCACAACTTCTCAGTAAGTTCCGGGACAGAAAACGCAACTTCTTGGCTTTGCTTGTGCCCTTGCTCCACGATTGTCACTCAATGATCCTTCCTCTCTTCGTGTCTGCGTTGCGCTAGTTCCCACCCCTGGGTCTACGAGATCCGTAACTTTCGAGGGGTCAAGGCTGGCAAGAAATGTTTTCTCCTCTGCTGACACAGTCATCACCCAGCACCCACAAGCTGGCAGTTTGTCGCACCTGGGATCTGTACAAGGAAACAAAATATTGAGAGCACGAACTTGTCTTGCATCGGACCAATCTGGCACTCCTTCCATCAGCAACTTTGCCACTCGCGCTTTAGTGCAATTTAGCTCGTTTTCTATAATCTCCGGTGGGTCGCTAAATGACACTTAAAAGGCAGTTAACTTAAGTGCACTTTGTGCCATTTAGTGCACTTATAGTGCTTTTGCAACAGCAAACTGATTTCAATGCTTTTATGTGTATAACCGCGCTTGAGCGATCAATGCCTGGTAGTACTGGTATATGCTTGCATTCCACTCATATTACGCAGTGCTAAGTACTAGGCTACTGCCAGCCAAACAATCTATTCTGAGTCCTCTTCTTACGTATCATTCGGTGCCCAGTGTAAAGTGCCAGGCCCCCGGGCTTGCCTCGAGCGAGTCTTTGGCCACTGTTTCGCCGCCTGAAAACGGAAGCATACCCCCCCCCCCTTTGCCCGCTGCGGAAACAACCTGTGTATGTTGCAACATCTGATGATTGAGACTCACCGGAGAACCCCGCAATCGGGGGCATCACCTTTTCAAGAGACACGCGCGCCTATTGATGAGACCGGTAGACGAACACTAGGTCGAATGTCAGAGGAATAAAACCGATATCCGCGGATGATCTCTTGACTCACCGCAGCTTAAGTGTAAGAGCGTAAGATACTAGACCAAAAGCCAGGGCTTGGTGGTCCGGCTGCGCCGCATTGAGGGAGGTCAGCTTTTGGCTCTTGGCGCAAGCTGCGAACATGGCGGCGAGATCGTTCAACAGTGAGTTTGACAGGACGTCTGGCTTCCGGCCAAACTGGAAATCTCTCTGCAGTAATGCAAATACTTACCAGCAAATTCCTGCTCTAGACAACAGTATAACTTCCTCAAGCTCACCTTAACAGTGGGGCCACAGCAAAGTTCCAAGAACCCCTCCGAAGATGGTTAGCGTTGCCAAGATGTGACGTGCGCCTCTCTCTGCTTTGTGTTTGTTTTCACCGCGCATTGGTCCCGCCGGACGCTGGCGGTGTCTTTGCCGGTGGCTTGTAACGCTTCAGCCATCCTTTCAATGGCTGTGCCATACGGTCGACTCACTCGGAATGGCCGGGGCCAGGTTGAAAGATGATGGTGGAGGCAAGAGGGAAGAAGGGGTGGGCATCGCGAGCGGTGTCAGTGAGTGGGAGGAAGGAAAAGGAGGTTCGCGACGGCGCGTGGACTTGGTAAACAACCGGTCCTCACCCCATCAATCCGGGCGGGTTCCGTCATGAAATGGGGGACGCTCCTTCTCATTCGCAACAATCTGCCGCTACTGGCTTCCTATACTTTTACCGATGGACCGCTGGCAGGATGGGTAGCAGCTGCGGATGTATTGATTCGAAGTCAAGGAGGAGCAAGGATGGTGCCAATCCGGATCATATCCGCCTACTGCCCACATGGAGGATACGCACGCAATGCGGAAGGTGACGGTAATGTGATCAACACTTTTTGGGCGGCCCTCCAGGACCACCGAACTGGGCCATAGTGGGTGACTTCAATGCAGTGCTCGACGCTCGCGAGACCACAGCAATGGTTTTCCCACGACTCAGACCCACTGCGGTAGAATACTGCCGCTTCTTACGCCAGACCAACGGCCACGATGTGTGGAATGAAATGGAGTCGGTTTCACTCGCGGAAAATTGGACACATAAGGCATACGGGGAAGCGCAAACCATCAGCATCATAGACCGTCTCGCAACGTCAGCGCCGGCGGGGAATGCGGATATCCATACGTTGCGTCAGGTTATGGCCACGGATCACAGACCAATTCATTGCAGACTATGGTTCCCGGGTCTCTGTGCGACAATTGAGGTGGCGAGCAACGACGGACCTCGGAGGGTTAAAGTTCCGCCGCGGAATAGCGACACTCGGCCAAAATTTCGGCAAGAGATGGAAGAGGGTGTTGCTAATTCACAGTCTTTGAATCGAGTTGCCAAGGATGGAACAGTAGCCTCACAAGAGGCTTGGAATGCGACTTACGATGAATTTTCCAATCTAATAGTAAACACTTCCCTCCAAATATTCGGCGAACGAAGATCGCCAGCGGTCGGGAAACGCGAGTTTGTCGGATCACCAGAGTTACAACAATTGAGTCAGGACCGTCACCATATGAATCGCTATATATACACACTCAAGACTAACTCCATTCATATATTGAGAAACAAACCGGACACAAGACGATGGTTCGAGGAGCTCCATACCGACCTAGAAACGGCAACATTGCAACGTCTCCAACAAGAAACAGGCAGAGCAGTGTGGTACCCCCCCGAGGATGAAGTGTTAGAAACCGCGACTGTCTGGCACCGCCAACTCTGCAAAAGAATACACGCACAAGAGAAGCAGGAGCGTAAAGAACTGGCACAGAGGTCTGATGATTTTCGGATACAGAATGTCATCAACGGAGGTTCAGTGAAGAAAATACTGATACCACGTACGTCACTGATACAACCACATGCGGTAGAAACTGTGGATGGAAATCTTACCGCTGACTCCACAGAGGTACGGAACATGTGTAAGCAGTATTTTAGCGCTTTATTCCAAAAAGAGGATGACAATGCTCTGACAGACAAACCTTGGATGAATACGGAAAGTTCCCAGAAGTTTCGGGAGGCTATGCAATGCGACCCATTTGTCTGGCCTAGGCCCCTGATGCTCAGCGACCTCCGGGCGCTCCTCGGCAAAGGCAATAGGGAACCATCCCCCGGTCCGGACCGATGGGAGAAATGGACAGTAACGATACTTGGAGACCAAGCGATGTCTGTTGTTCTGGCACTCCTGAACTATGTACTGGTGCACAACTACTTCGACAAGCTGCGCGACCACTATCTGCTTCCGATGTTCAAAAATCGCGGACTGTCTTCCCAACTGAGTAATTACCGAGCGGTCTGTTTTGGCAATTTTTTGGTGGTCACAGCGGCTGGATGGTTTACACGTCAGGTGCAAGCTTACGCAATGAAACACCACATGATTCCAGAAACACAGGTGGCCGTCCAGAGCGGTGTACAACAGCACGACCTCACAAGTTTCCTAGCGAACCTAGAAGCCTGGGCGTTCCGGGCCAAAACTCCGATCTACGGGCAAGTACGAGACCAAAAGAAGGGCTTCGACCTGCTCAGACCAGAAGCTGGGTATGATGCCTACCATTTTTTCAGCTTTGGCCCAAACGCAGAAGCTTTTGACCGAGCCCGATTGGCACACGGTGCTTTTATCGTCAAGACACCGTACGGCCTCGCGGAACCTTTCGAAGTGGACGGGCAGATGAAACAAGGGGATCCCCCGAATCCTCTTCGTTTCTCCTTGGCCATGGCTATGGGCTCTTACTGGCTGGACGAACAAGCGTTCAAGGACCCACTACTCATCACAACACAGAACAGGGCACACTCAAACAACCATACACAAGCGGATGAACTGACCCTCAAGATTACTCAGGTATCTGCGATGGACGACACCATACTACTGGCCAAGAGTGAAAGGACGCTGGCAGCGATGACTCTCTACATGGAGCATTTCCAGGAAGCCTACGGAGCCCAAACCGACTGGGGTACAAAGACTCGAGCCATCATAATGGGCCTCGGCAACCAGTCTGATACACCAGGGACAGTCCAAGTTGCCACTCCTCATGGGAGACGACAGGTCACTGTCGACCCAGCACATGTTTTTCTCAAAACACCGTTCGCTGCGCCGGACCGACAATACACTCAGCTGGAAAGTATTGTGCGATCGATCGGGTTCCCGAGCACGCCAACGAGGCGACTCCCGCTCTCGGCATTACGACGATTCATCGAACAACAACTAATTAGCAGGCTGAGGCCACGACTGGCTTTATGTCCTATCCGACCGGACGATGCCCTTAAGCTAGACCAGCTTATAGCAATGCGGATCAAAGAGTACTATGGATGGGTTTTCACACCAAGCGCTAAGTTGGTCACCCTCCCCGTCGCTAAATTTGGATTCGAGCTTACTAGTCTGTGGCGACTGAACGGGGCTATGGCAGTCGATGGACTACTACGAGACCTGAACCATCATATTCCAGCTTTCGCACAGATGGCAAGAATAACGCTGGCCGACCTACAATGCCAACACCATGGCTGTATATCGCCGCTCCTGAACCCTAAGCCCCTGTCTTTCAAGCACTCGCAGCAGATGGTTCCTCAGATCTGGAATACGGCACTAGGTGCGCTACAACACTGCGGGAACCTCCGAGTACTCGAAACCGACCAGTCGAATCACACCGACTCAGGTATTAGTGCGGAACATGCATACCTCCAAAGCGGAGGGGCCAAACGAAACGAACCGCAACTACAAAAAGCCATGGCGGCGCTTCCAGCAGGCCTGACAGACCTCCAAGTGCTACGGAGAGGCCCACAGCGCGATAGACCCGACCTCTTTGCTGGATGGCTGCACCCAAACATGAGATTGGTGCGACAATGGTCTAATCGCTTTGATGAAACTTTACTGGCGGACGGGCCGGTTAGGTTGTTGAAGACGCGAGCACAGCGACAAAACGACGCCGAGCAGCAGATCAAAATCACACTCCTTTCCCTGATAAATTTTCGAGGCCAACAAGACCAGAATATTTGGGCTACGGATGGCTCACTCATCATGTTACCCACAGGACTCACATCTGCGGCGGCAGCGGTTGTAGGGCCATACTCGGCGGCTTGTGCGGCACTACCGGCGGGCGTGACTATCATGCAGGCAGAGGTGACAGCCCTGATCATAGTGGCACTGACCTCACATTTTGGGTCAGCAATTCAGGTTGTCGCAGATCACCTTACCTCCGTCAAATTCGCTGAGAATCTGAAGAAAGATCAAGTTGCACCAAAGAAACCGAGGGCCGCATTTGCACACTACACTTGGCTCGAACACCTGCTGAGAACGAGTGATTCGATACAAATACGGCACGTTAAAGCCCATACGGGTGGCGGAGACGAAGCATCGCGTGCAAACACTCGAGCAGATGAGGCGGCGAAATCGGCACACACTCAACCTGACTTCTTCGTGCTTTTCCCGGACTTTGCAGTCCCACAATGGACAATCCAGGCATCCCTTGGCGAGCAAACTGCTTGGATAGAGGGTGATGTGATCAAGAAAATCTACGACCTACAAGAAGCATGGCAAATCAAATCGCTGCCCCAGAAGATCAGTAACGACGTTCAATTGCTACTCCAAGTCGCTCATTCCGCAGGACGGTATCCTTACCTTCGCGCAATTTCGACGTACGCAGCGCAAAAACAACTCCAGCTGCGGGCACACATCCTTCCCACCGCCTCGCGATGCTCAGAACGATTTGGTACGTCGTCTTTGTGTACTATTTGTGGATTGGCAGAGGAGACAGAGAAACATGTTTTCAGGGAGTGCGAGGCAGGTCGTGGACTGCGGGAAAGAATTGGACAGGACTTGTTTCAGATGACGCGTAGGGAACTGGAGATGAGACACCACGAATGGACGGGAGCACAAGTATACGAGCTTTCCAATTTCGCTGCAGGGCTAGTAACGGGACATCTATGGTGGTATGCGATGCCGATGATCCCAAAACCTGACATCTACTGGGCCCTCGATGAGCGATCTCGGACGCGGCTGGATCGGACATGGCATCACGAGCTTATAAAGGGAGCCGGACGGTTATGGGCGGCGAGAATGAGGAAGTGGTGGGCACTGCAAAGGAATTCGCATTAGTGACAGAGGCGGTGGTGGCGGCATTCCCCACCTGCCTTTGAGGGCGGGCGCTGAGCTGGACGAGGGAAAGACTGATGTAAGCCCTGGAATGGGGGGCATCGGTCCTGGTGACAGCAAGGTGACGGCCTACGTGACATGAATATGGTGGTCCAGCGGATCTAGCAATTTGTTAGATTCTGTCTTTAAACAAGACTAGCTGGAATATATGGATTAAAACTTTAAAACAACAACGCGGCCATGGCCTAATGCGAGTCACTTGGCCGCGACGGCGCTTGCACTGACTGGCGAAGGCCCGGTTCACGCCAGTTGGCGCGCCGCGCGCGGCGACTCGCGCCTTACTCCCAAAATTTGTCGAAGTCCCACTCCATTCGTAGGCGCAGGAGGCGCATTTCCTTCTTCCGTCGCCGCACAGCGACTTCAATCTACGACACTCGGTTGAGGATGTTTTGTTTTATGATTGGATCTTAGGCAGGTGCTACTTTGACAAACAGAGATCACGCCGGCATGGAATATCCAGAATGTTGTGGACATCTGGAAAGACCAGTTGACTGTAAATCTGTGAACTTGTGAGCATGTGTATGTTATCGCTTTGCGAGATTATTTAGCATCAAAATTCTACATGATCAGAGAACACCTCAGAGTCGCGGGAAGGGGAAAGGGAGGGCGGCGCGAATGGATCTATCAGAATAGCCCCTGTCATGATTTTGGTCAATTGAATCAACAGTATAGCTTCAGTCCTTCGAGAGTAGATTATAATACTGCAAACAGGTGTTGAGAGCAAATCATGTCTTTATGTATCTATTGCGGGTCGAGTACTTGGTATACTGATACCTAGAGTTTGTAATAGGAAGAATAGCAACCAAGGTCCTGACATTGTTACACCTCACCACAGCACTCCTCCAAATTTTAAGTGTCAACTTCATCAAACTTTGCTAAGTTCATCAAACAGCGCCATTTTTAGCGCCATTTTGTGCCATTTTGTGCACTTTAGCGGTTTAGCGGCTCGAGATTTATTTAGTGGTGTTTAGCAAAGTGGCAAAGTTGCTGATGACTCGAGCCTCAGAAACCGACCAACGCTCGCCTTTCCTTCATTTCCGTCAGTATTTGCTACGCGGGATATCGAACACACCCCAAAAGTATGCAAGTAATCTGCGTTTCCTCAAGACAGTAGCCCTTCCACGGTTGTGACTCCCAGCAAACGGCGTCATTCAGAAGCGGAAAGCGTGACCTCGAGCACCAGTCGGAAGTAGGTACAGTCTAACATTTCGTCATACCAACAAAAGAGCTGACAACTGGTTTGTTCACTTTGAGCAGCGGCACTAAAAAAAGGAGAGGTAAAGCAAGCCAAGGTTTTACATGTGAATATGTTTAAATATCGCTCAACTGCAGTGATCGTACAAAGTCCGCCAATGTCGAAGCGTGACTTAATATAATCTGCATCTTCGCTCAAGCTGTATGAACTGTTCTTCATGGATGAGAGAAGCGAGGGACCGGTGCCAATTCTGGTCTAATCGGCGCAATCACGTTCGGGAGTGTCGGCCCTGGCGGTTCGGGCGCCGGACCGCTGACGCCACGGGCGCGGAGCGGCCAAGCAGGGAAGAACGCCGCTGTAGCAATTACTGCATTGCCCGCCTCGTCTCACCGGCCAGAAGTACTATAGACCTGTACATATATCATACTTTTGTCCCCAGAGTGATACATCACATATTGCAAGAGATACAGGTGTCTACACTATGTGGTACCAAAGTCCCCATGAACGTGGTACAGAATGGCCTGTTGAATTGCATTCTGTCAAGCGTTCAAACACTTCGACATCGGGCCGCCGTTTGACGGGCTTGTCCGCCTTTCGCCTCGCGCCTTCGCCTCAGCCGCGCCCCCTGTCCTTCGAGCCTCGCCGCATGACGCTTGCGCCCAGCCTCGTCCCTCGACCCATGTGCACCGTTCGTCAACTCGTCCACATCTCGGTCCGTCTGCCCGTCGTTGCCAGCCTTGCCTGCTCTGCCATGCTCGCCACCACGCGCCTTTGCCTCTTGGCACCTTCGCCTCGGCGCCTTCGCCGCGCCCCCTGTTACCCGAGCCTCGTCGCCTGATACACACGACCAGCCTCGCTCCATCAACCCATGTGCGCCTTTGTCAACACTTCCACATCCTGGTCCATCCCTCCGGCCGTCGCCTGCTAAGCCTGCACGTCACCGCCCGTTTTTCGTCTCGGCGCCTTCGCCTTCGCAGCCAAGCCGCCCTCTCCGACTTGCTCCGCGCCAGCCTGCTCAACCCACGCTCGCGCGCCGCCGCCACCACGCTGGGACTTAGTCAATCTGCCACCTCCAACCTTGTTTAGCCGATGCCTCCGCCTAGCTACCGCCAGCTTGCCGCCACCGTCCTCATGTTCCATCGGCCATCCAGCGCATCGCCCATGCATGACGACCGTCGTTCGCAACCTGGATCTTGTCGCTCCGGACCGCCCTGATCACCAACACTCGACCATGGTAGATAAGTTTCCCCTCGTGTCCGCTGTCCAACACAGCCCCTCTCCGAGCCTCGATGGCCCGCTTGGAGTTCGGTCTTGTAGCTTCGCATTGCGCTCGCCCAGTTTGCCTTAGATCCTCTGCGCGCCCCCTTGCTAGAACCTCGCCCGACTCGCGCGCTCTCGCACCTCTCTCCCTCTTCTCTATCGTTTCACTCGCCTAGTCAGACTGCTGAGTTTCGGTAGAGAACAGGTCGTTCGGCTACGCTCGCGCCCCCGCGCTGCGCCCGCTCCGCCTCACGACATCTCGACCTGGGAGTACCTTGCGACGTCGACCTGCCTCGCAACCTCCCCGAAACGATCCGGCTCGTGCCGCCTCACGAATCCTCAGCGACCCACGGTCCCAACTTAAAAAAACTGAGGGTCGAATGGCGCTCTCGACCCAGACGCAGGCCCCGCAACATGAATCACCTTGTCGTCTCGCACGCAAGATTGTGAGTCATTTAAGCTGTCATCTTGACCGGAAATCGAGCGGGCACCAAAGTCTTCATCCCTCGCATGCGACTTGAGAGGAATGCGACTAGCAGTTACCAGCGTGTTTTCATCTAATGGATAATGGTTTCTTTGTACTTTGTATTTTTGTTTCTTTGAACCCCTGCTTAAATCATGTATAATATTCAATCCTCCCGTTCATTTAACGGGATCCCACTGGTAGAAGACAAGTCCGGAGTAGACAACAGGTGAGATGCTGAGTTGTAAAGAACTTTTGCATTCCAGAAAGGTCTGTCTAGTTTCTTTATGCGTTTCGTTTAGCAGTCTGTGCTTGTCAAAGCAACCTATCTTGGAAGATGTTGGTGTATGATCAGACTAAAACGGTCCTAACCGATAATGGTCCCTGTCGTATTCCGAATTCGACTTGTGACCAGCAAGAAGGAAACCCAACTAATGCGCCTTTTGCGATCCATGGGATTGCGCATGCTTTGAAAGGTCGAAAGCTTGCTCCATGAATTGCTCAATCTCGTAGAAGTGTTGCTTCTTGGAACCAGTTGCAACCGAAGAGACAGGCTCGCGTCCGGCAACATAGCTGCACCATGAGAGATATGCACAGTCAATCATTGGGTGGTCCGACTTTACAAGTGCACCATCCACTCACATTCGCTTTGAGGCATGATGCGCAGTCTCACGCATGGCAGTCTCCAGTCGAGGCTGCATGTACTGCCATGCCCCTCCGTTGATCGGCTACACGCGTAGTAAAGCAGTAACCCACAAGATCTAATCAGCAAGCAGCAGCCAAGGACATTCCTGACCGCCAGAAGTACTCACTTCTTCTTGAACCCAGTATTGCACTGCAGAGGGAGGCGGTAAAATCACTGTCAGCATGGCTGTCACCAAGGCATAGCAGTGAACAACTCACCTGCATTGGGATACCTATCCAAATGCGGCGTAATAAGATCGTAGGGAAGCGGAGACAGTTGCTCCACACGCGAAATCGCCACAATCGCTTGAAGGCCCCGTTTTTCGCGCTCTGCCAAAAGAGCGTAGTAGACTTGACCGGAGCAGAGCTGTGGCAGTCCAAGGTAAACATGCAAGCAATGGGAGCAGATGGGATTTGTCTCATTTAAACACTTACAATGTGGCGCTGTACATCTTCCGCCGTGCCAAAGCCTTCCGGTTCCGGCTCGGGAATGTACCGCTGAAAGTGCGTGTCGGGTCCTATCTCCTCAAGCGAGGAGCGGGCTTGGGGATGACGCAGCAAGTTCTTTGAAAAGAAGACGATGAGCGGCTTGCGGTAGTCACGATGAATCTGGCGGCGCAAAGCGTGGAAAATGTTGGACTATGGCCGAAGTAGACAAAAACAGCAGGTTAGCTCAAAATAATGAACGACCTTAAACGATGTGCGGAAAGCATATATACAGGGATCGTGGGGTAAACTAGCTGCATGTTGCAATCTTGATGTTGGCGAGCTTGCTTCTCCGAAGTGGGGTAATGGAATGGATGGTCGTCGCACAGTTGAAGGAATCGTTCGATCCTGGCCGAGGAGTGCTCCGGCCCTTGGCCATCGTAGCCATGAGGTAGCGACATTACAAGACCAGACCGCTGCAACCACTTCTTCTCACCGGAAGCAATGAACTGTAGTAGTAGCAGGTCGAATAATGTCCTGAGCATATGTCTGAAGTGGGGAGAAGATCTGCACTCCACTGACCTGATCAATCATAATCTGAGCGCCGTTAGAGAAATCTCCGACTGAGAAGGAAGAACATTAGCCGGGGCCAAACTTTACTGTATCGACGCGATCACAATCTCTTCACTCACACTGTGCTTCCCAGATGACGAGCAGGGCCGGATCAACCAGCGAGTAGCCCAACTCAAACCCTAGGACGCCGAACTCGGAGAGAGACGAGTTGCAGACGGTCACAGTGGCTTGATCCTCAGACAGATGGGCCAAAGGCATATAGAGCGCATCGGTGTTCTGCTCGTGCAACACCGCATGGCGCTGCGAGAACGTGCCGCGCTCGACATCCTGACCCGATACGCGAACATGAGTTTTTTCCAGAGCCAGAGTTCCGAATGCGAGTGCCTCCGCGGTGGAGTAATCGATGCCCTTGCCATCTTCAACCGACGTTCCGCGCGTCTTCAGAATCCTTGCAAGGTTGCGATGCACCTCGAAGTCTTTTGGATAAGTAGAGATGATCTTGCCGACCTTTCTTAACACATCAAACTCTACGCCCGTCGGGCGCGCCTCCAGCACATTCTCCTTCAGTTCGCGGGGACTGGGAAAACCGTCCCAGGATGACGACAGCCATTCTTTGGACGTCGGCTTGTACTCCTTGCTCGCCTCAAATGAGTTCTCGAGCATCCCCCAAACCCAGCTTTTGTGCTTCTCCGTCTCCTCATTTGTGAATGTCGACTCTTCCACCAGTGCTTGCGTGTAGACGTCGAGCGTGGTTGGCTTGTCCTTGATTACTTGGTACATCTTCGGCTGCGTGAACATAGGCTGATCGCCTTCATTGTGTCCATGTCGACGGTAGCAGATGAGGTCAATGACCACGTCCTTCTTGAACTTGGCGCGGAAATCCGCGGCCAGCTGGCAAACGAAGGTTACGGCCTCGGGGTCGTCACCGTTGACGTGGAAGATGGGTGCATCAATCGACTTGGCAATGTCGGACGGGTACGGTGTCGAGCGCCCCTGAGCAGGGTTGGTAGTAAAGCCAATTTGATTGTTGACGATCAAATGAATTGTTCCACCAGTGCCGTAATACGGTAAGTCATGGAAGCCCATAGTCTCGTATACGATGCCTTGTCCGGCGAAAGCAGCGTCGCCGTGCAGTAGCAAACCCATCGCGCTCGAGAGGTCACCTTGGCCTTCAAAGTGTTGAATGCCCTTGGTCTTGCCCAATACGACGCCGTCCTCAGCCTCCAAATGGGACGGGTTCGCAACCAAACTAAGAGAGACCTTCTTGCCACTCGGTGTTGGTCGAACGTAGTTTGCGCCGAGATGATACTTGACATCAGCTGCTGCTTCCTGAGTCGGGTCGAGCGAAGGAGCGAACTCGGCCAAAATTGCTTCCGTCGGTTTGCGAATAACGTTGGCGAGCACGTTCAAGCGACCGCGATGAGGCATACCGATAACGATCGATTGCACACCCAGCTCGACCGAACGATCGATCAGCGCCTTCATGCCCGGGATCATCGATTCGGCACCTTCCAGACCGAACCGCTTCTCGTTGGGGTATTTCGACGCGATGAAGCGCTCGAATGAGTCGGACCAGATGAGCCGATCAAGAATCATTCTCTTCTCGTCGACAGTGTACTTCCAGGGCTCAGGAATCTCGATTCGTTCACGGATCCAGTCGCACTCGTCGCGGTTCGGTATGTGAATGTACTGAATGCCAATAGAGCCGGCTATTAAAGCGTCGTGGTCGGAATGGGACAGTCAGCTAGGCAGTCATCGGTCACGCGCGCTCCGAGATCGAGAACGAGGTCCATTGGCGACTCGACGTACAGTAAATTTGCTTGCAGGCGTCGATGATCTTACGCAGCGACATTTTCTCCACTCCTTGCTCTTTGAAACGGGGCAAAATGCCGGCACCCAGTTCGAACTCCATGTCCAAATCTTTTTCGGTCCAGCCGTAGTTCTCGATTGTGAGTTCGGGCGGCATGGTCGAAGAGAGATCGGGCTGATTGATCCCAAGTGGATCAAGGTTTGCGATGTGATGGCCACGGACTTGAAAAGCTCGAACAAGAAGTTGGACCTGCGAAGAACACGTTCTCGATCCGGGTGAGCATCGACATAATCCAGGCTCTTCTGACTGGGACTGTGTGCAGTCGAGTCAGGCCAGATACGATGGCTTGGTGCGGGCCATCCTCCCGCCATCCGCATAAGGAGAACCGTCCAGCGTTGACATCGCCGATAACGAGAGGACCCCTCTTCCATCAAACAGACTCACTTTCATATGATCTTCAACGAGGCCTGAGCCGTTCCCACCGGCCAGACTGAAAGGAGCGTTGCCGTCGGTTGAGGGTAGCGAGACGAGACCCGGGGGGGGTCGGAACGCATCCTCGGAGCGCAATCCAGAGTCCAACCCGGAAAAGTACGTGGCCCACGAAGGGTGTACTGACGATGGGTCCTGGGTTAATCAAGTCAGAAGGCGCGGCCACGGTCAGTGCCAGAACTAAGCAGCCAGGCAGCCCGCGTGGAGTACATCGGTGGCGGCGCGTCAACGCCAACCAGATCTGCTACGAAGCACGATACCTCCGAGGACGCACCTGCCTCCAGCATCTGAACATCTCCTCAGCGTAGTAAGCATTATTTCCGTTCGCGAACTGATCAACTGGCGACGGGGCTTTGGCAGTGTCGGATGGAGTCGCGGTCGCATGCGGGCCGCGGGTCGTGGAGAAAGCAGCGGTATGATCACGAACGACACCTCTTGCAATAGAGGTGGCGTGGATGTTGTTCCAGGCCGGGAGACGACGAGTCAGAAGCCGTCGACCCGTAGACAACATATCTGCGACGAAGGAAATATGTCGGAACGTGTAGCGAGGCGCAGAGCGATGCGGTCGGAGCGAGAGGACGGCGTCGAAGGTGGAAGGGTGTTCGAGTCGTACACAGCGAAAGAGCGAGAGAGAGCGAGAGAGAGCGAGAGAGAGCGAACCCAAGCGAACCCGTTCTGGCCCGAGCCTGCAACTACCTGCAAGTAGCCCGCCCAAGCTGTGCTGCAGCGTCTTGCAGCCGTTCAACGAGGTTCAACGTTCAGATCAATGCTGGCCCCGGCGATTGAAAGCTGGCAGGAGTTTATTTTTTTGTAGAAGCCCAAAAATACTTGAACCCAAAGCCAAACATGAACCTCGGTGCGGTGTAGTACTGTCGTGTTTGTTTTTTTTGGTTTTTCACCCGATGAATTTCCCGCGCCATCAGAGAGGTAGACCGTAGATGACGGGGCACGGGCTGTGGGGATCCCGGAACATCCCCGAATACCGAGTACGACTCGACACGAAGTCGAAGCCATAGTCATGGGTGGTCGGAATGAAGGACGAGAAATCAGACATGGCCTCGCACAAGTCTTCCCAAATTGGCCTCCGAGGGGTCTCTGCCTGTCGCCTCGCAAGTTTGCCAAGTGATCCAGACTGGAGTTTGCCTGGGCTATGGTGAGAGCCCTTTTTCACGTCTTGCTTGTATTCCCTTTCCGCGTTTGGCCTTTCACGACTGTATGTGTTGTCATCATGCAGGGAAGAAGCAGAGCCGAGAGAAGGACAGCGCGGGCTACCGATTACAGCCATAATGGGAACACCTCCCCGAAGCCTACGTGCCCCAAATAAAAGAGCCTGCCCCACCAGAAGTGAATCTGTCCAGGAAACTACAGCAATGAATCCATTCTGTGAGTGGAAGGGATTGGGTCAGCCATCGCGACAGTTTCCTCGATCAACTTCAACGCCGCGCCACGCACCTCCTGCACACCTCTAGAACGGCAGCTACAACTTCCAAGTGCAGCTCTCGTTGCGTCTGACCTTCCGCTCCACCTTCGCCGCCTGACATCTCCCCCCTTGCCAGCCTGTTAATCTCTGCAAGATTTGCGCTCTCCACGTTCGCCGACGCGCTGCCCGCCCCGATCCCTCCCCCGCCAACGGTAGGCGGTCGGAATGCGGCGAAAGGCCACTGAGAGAACTCGGCGAGCAACTCGTCGCATTTTGCGAAAGCGGCCTCGCGTGCATCGTAGCTGAGATGGACAAGCGCGTTCTCGAGTACGTTGGCAGAAAAGGCGGCGCAGACCATGCTTACGGCTCGAATAGTCCGGTATCGGACTCGCTCCCCGTAGAGGTCGGAGGTGGGTACTGCCGCGGTGCGAGCCGTGAGTAGGCCAAGAGTACGCCGCAGAACGTCATCTTTAAACGTCGGGTCCGAAACCGGATGCGTTGCCATGTCGAAAAGTAGGAAATTGCGTTTCTCCGTCCGCAGCACGCCCTTGTCAACGAGACCTTTTGCCAGTCTCTCTCGAACTTGCTTGAGCTGGTATCCGATCTTCATGACGTTCCATGTCTCGCCTATGAACAAGATCCGTTCGTGTTTTGTTAGCGGCCAAGTGCAAGGCGCCACCAGCGCCCCGACAACGAGTGTGTGACCAGCAATGATCGGTGCAGGAATCGACGAGATGTGGCGGCACGAGGGCAACCACTCACCTGACATCAAATCGATCCACGTCCCAACGCTCATTCTCTCTGAGATCTTCATCATCTTCAAGGCTTCGTCGAGCAAAACTTCTCCAGTGAGGCGATCGTCGACCACCTCGATGTAGCTGAAGCGAACAGGGCCAACATGTCAGCAGTGAAACCTCCTGACGCTCGCTCCCTTCCGGATGCCCAGATGAGAACGACGAGCCCCCTTAGATATGATCGTCGCATCATACGTGGGAACCACCGGAACTTACCGATCGGCCAGCGGGAACCGTCTCCGATTGGGGTCTCGGACCATTGCGATTCGGTGGCGGAGAGCAAGCTCGAGCACGATACAACCCCTGAGCGTGTATGAGATGTTGTCGTTCCAAAACGAGAGATAGCCCTACACACAGCATGGTGGATAGGAGGAGGAGGATCAGCGCTCGTCCTCCTGAATTTACGAGGATGACCCGATGCCCCGGCGCAGGCTTTCTGGGCCAGCACAACCTCGAGTAGGAGCGTAGTGACGACACCGACGGTCTGCGCTCAGATACAAGCGGTGCCGTCCCAACGTGTTGGCGATCCAATTGTGCGGTCGGTCCGACCCCCCGTCGTGGGCATTGGCCAAACCACGACCGAAGGCGCGTCGAAGTGCCCGACGTCGCGAGTGACACCGTCACGTTGGGGGGGACATGCCCCACGCCGACATGCAAAACACCGGAACGAATGACCGCATGAACGCACCTGCTTGTCCTTGAGCCCGAGCAAGAGCACCTCTTCCATCAGGGTCAGTTTGGGCATGATCTGATCTTCGGAGCTCTCGAGGTCACGCTCGTCGAAGGCGACACGATGTCCAGCTGGAGTCGTCGGTCGCGACGAGGCCCCACCTGCACCCGTCGCTGCAGCGGCCACCCCACCGAAGCGTTGGGAGGGCGAGTTGCCGTTCAGACTCGCTCCTGGAGGCGAACTAACACCTGGGGCTAGGGGCGCGGTGCCATTGTGGCTTGTTTGGGCGCCGCCAGGGGATGGGCCCCCTCGTCGACGCGAGAGGCCGGACTGAGTCGTGGCCATTCGTTCGCCTGTCGTGACGCAACGGAGTAACTGCGGCCCGTCACTTCGCGTGTGGGTCTGCCGGGAGTGTACAAGGATAGTGAGCCGCCTCGAGGCCACAGCAGGAATGATCGGTGGCGAATGCTCGCTCGATAGGTTATGAGCTGAGACGTGAACGATCCGTGACCAATATGCTTGACTGCAGGAGGAGGCGGCAAGGCAGCGCGCTGCAGCTCGTGGAGGGCCAATCGAAGCCCGAGTGAACTTGGTCGCGGCAGGTCGCGGCAGGCTGGCTGCAGCAGGCTGGCCTAGGCTGGCAGGCTGCGGCAAAGTATTGGCCTGTTCTGGCAGCTGCTGGCACTTGCTGGCACTCGCCGGCAGGAGCCGGCAGGGCGCGGCGCCGGCTTTTGTGAAGGCGCGCGTAGGCTCGCTCGCACGCTCTTACGCTTACTACTGACCCACATAGACAGCAGCATGTACGTCGTCGAATACTCGTCGTATATCGCTGCGATCGCTCATTCCGCTCCTTGCCCTGCTCATCAACTTTGCATCTCGATCAATCCTGCGCGCAGGTCCGCGCTCGAGCTCCTGAACCCTCGCGCCGAGAGCGTGCGTCGCAATCAGGCGTTCCAGATCAATGTTCGTGAAAGAGCCCCCTTCCCATACATCGACGGCCTGAAGCGTTTCGCCATGCGTGGCAGTGGTAATGGAGATCGATGAGCTAAATCCTTGCATCCGACTTTGGGTAGGCCACCGGAGCGATGGGCCTTGCGAATGTCGTCAAGAGCAACTTGGGTGAGTGGGAATCCGGCCTTACTATCTACACCGGGGTGTCAGCCATCCTTCGTGCATGCGCAAGAGTCGCAACTGCGCAGAGCCTCACTTAAGTTCCACGTCGGTCGTCGTGGCGTCGTCCCCTTACCCGCGAACATGCCGCTCCAAAGCACTCGGGGCATGGTCACGCGCTGTTTCGTGATACGGCCGATTCTCCGCATGAGCCACACCTTGTACTGAAGTACCGCCTCGATTGTATCGCCATAGGACCCCGGGGTACACTCAAGATGCTTGTCGACGGCGCCGGTCAACTAAAAATGACCAAAGATGGCAAGGTTCTGCTCAGTGAGATGCAGATCCAGGTATGTGCGGTCACCCAGAGATGCACCTGAGCACGAGCTTGTCTAAACAATTGTGCTCAACTCGCTTCTCTCCACTTCCACTCTACGCCCTGTGCCAGAACCCAACCGCTGCTCTGATCGCGCGAACGGCAGTGGCCCAGGACGAGATGACCGGCGACGGAACCACGAGCGTAGTCCTTCTCGTTGGTAGGTTGATGACCCTTATTGGGAAACGTTGCAATGCCGCCGAGAGTGCACTGACGTGACGAGGTTCCGTATTCTCAGGTGAATTGCTCAAGCAAGCCGAGCGCTACACCTCTGAGGGAGTGCATCCCCGCATCCTCGCTGATGGCCTTGACATTGCCAAGAACAGTCTCACGATGTTCTTGGACAAGTTCAAAACTCTTTTTGCGATGAGTGGCTCGCCATTTCACGAGCTCTTGGTCAATGTTGCCTTCACCTCATTGGCCACTAAAGTCCACAAGTCCTTGGCCAAAGCCCTGTCCCAGTCCCTTGTCGATGCCGTACTGGCCATCCGACGGGTTTCTACCGTTGGAGAGATCGCGACGAAGTCTCTCATAAGGTCGCCGGATGGCGCGAGCGCATCCAAATACTTGCCGATCGATTTGCACATGGTCGAATTGATGAAGATGCAGCATCTGACCGACACCGACACCCGTCTCATCAAGGGCCTCGTGCTCGATCATGGACCTCGACACCCAGACATGCCCAAGCGCCTAACCAACTGCTCAATCCTCATTTTAAACGTGTCGTTGGAATACGAAAAAACGTATGTCGTGCCCATTGCAAGGCGCCTCAGAGATTGAAAAAGGACTTCGCGGTCTGTTCGAATCAACTGACCTTCACCTCTCCCGGCCTACAGGGAGGTCAATTCGGGCTTCTTCTACTCCTCGGCGGAACAACGCGAAAAGCTCGTCGAGTCGGAACGCAAGTTCACTGATGCCAAAGTCCGCAAGATCATTGAGCTCAAAAAAATGGTGTGCGACAGCCAGCTCGATAAGGACGGGAATATCATCGGCGAACCGAAGAATTTTGTGGTCATCAACCAGAAAGGGATCGACCCACTGTCGCTTGACATGCTCGCGAAGCAGGGGATCATGGCACTCCGACGAGCCAAGCGACGCAATATGGAGAGGTGCGTCAGACGTGCTCTGTCAATGTCGATGCGGGGTCACTTGCGCAGGCTGCTGAGACAGCCCATCTTCTTTCTCGACGTAGGTTGCAGCTCATCTGTGGCGGAACCGCTCAAAACTCCGTGGAAGACCTTCAGCCCGAAGATCTTGGCTATGCGGGTCTCGTCTATGAACACACTCTTGGCGAAGAAAAATACACATTCGTGGAGGAAGTCAAGGACCCGCAGAGTGTGACGTTGTTGATCAAAGGTAAGCGTAGTCAAGGGACGTGTTGCCTTCGTTCAATCCGAGTCATTGACCCTTCACCCGCACACACCTGCACGCAGGGCCGAATGCTCACACTATCGCCCAGATCTCGGACGCGGTTCGGGACGGCTTGCGCGCAGTCAAGAATGCGCTTGAAGACGGTGCTCTCGTTGCGGGAGCGGGAGCGTTTGAGATCGCTGCCCATGCTTATCTGGCAGGGGAAGTTAAGAAGAACGCGAAGGGCCGTACAAAGCTGGGAGTGCAAGCATTTGCGGATGCGATGCTCGTGATCCCGAAAACACTGGCCGTGAACGCCGGTCTAGACGTGCAGGACTGCATCGTTGCGTTACAGGTTAGTGCCCTTTTCTACTGGTAAACGAAAGAAGTATTCATCTTACAGCTTTTTGCATCAACGTCTTTTGATGATCAGGACGAGGCAGCCGAAGGGAATGTCGTTGGGCTGAACCTGAGCACTGGTGAACCAATGGACCCTGTCACGTATGAACGAGCACCCTGGCATGCATGTGATCGCCGATAGCGAGAGTTTACTCATCGGTGTGGACTTCTCTCTGTTTCAGTGAGGGTATCTGGGACAACTATCGCGTCAAGCGGCATATGATTCACTCTGCGTAAGTCATTGCACGCACAGGTCCCAAGCGCGCGAGCTGACCCCGCCCTCCCTCCGCCTCGTTCTTGCAGAGCCGTGATCGCTTCGAATTTGCTGATCACTGACGAAATGATGAAGGCCGGAAGGAGTAGTCTCAAGGAAGGGCCGCAGCAATAATCGCATAGATACTTTGCAGTGCGTCCGCCCACTGATTATTTTGCAATCTAGAAAATTGGGGTACACATCGTCTATTTCTTTGCTAGCTCGGTGATTGCATACGCGTCCCAGCCGATGTTTTCCAGTGTCTGCACCTTTGCAAGAACTTCATCCTCTAGTCCTGCCGCATATTCCGCCAGAGCCTTGTTCAGCCTGCCCATTCCCCCTGCTGCCAGAATTCTGACAGCTAGGAGACCAGCATTCATCGAGTTGTTGATGGCCATTGCCGCGACAGGAATCCCGCGGGGCATCTGTACGATTGAGTACAGCGAGTCGACGCCGTCCAAACTGGAGCCCTTGACAGGCACACCGATGACCGGCAAAATCGTTTCACTCGCAATCATGCCCGGTAGATGCGCCGCACCCCCAGCTCCAGCAATGATGACCCGGATCCCGCGACTCGCGGCGGTTCGAGCGAACTCGACCATACGGCCAGGTGTCCGGTGAGCTGACACGATCGACAGCTCAAAGGGGATCTCGAACTGGCGAAGGACGCTGGAGGCGTTCAGCATAATAGGCAGATCCGAATCCGATCCCATGACAATCGAGACAAGTGGTGATCGAGCCGATCGGGTCGCCTCTTGCCGTTGGGCCTTCTCGGCGTACTCCCCTGGTAAGAGTTCAACCAGTTGTTCGAGCTGCGAACGGACGATCTCATCGGACTCGCCGACTATCGTCACGTGACCCATCTTCCTGCCCTTGCGACATCCTGCCTTTCCATACAAGTGCACAGCTGCTCCGAACTCGATGGCCTTTCTAACTACGCCAGACGGACCCATGAAATCTGACTGAGCTGAGGACGACAACCCGAGCAGATTGAGCATGGCGGATGATCGTGGGAGAAATTGGATTGGCGGCAACGGCAGTGACAAGATCGCATAAAGGTGAGCGGTGTACTGCGAGATGGAGCAGGCTTCGATGGTATAATGGCCCGAGTTGTGCGGTCGTGGTGCAATTTCGTTGAGCAAGAGGCGGCCTGTTGACATTGAGGTGAGGTCAGCTATCGCACAAGAATCTCCAGAATCTACGAGCAAAAACTGACCATCCGATAACCAAAACATCTCTACACCAAACACACCGACGGCCCCCTCCCCGAGGGCGTCAATGGCTCGCACAGCAAGCTCCTGTGCGCGCTCGTCCACCGGCTTCGCGGATATGCTGAACACGCCCTTCTGTTTTGACCCCACCCCGTAATCACCGTCGCACAGCGGTCGAAGGGGGGCATACACGATGTGGCAGATGCTATCCCGGTGGACAGTCTCGACTGCGGGATATGAACGCGTACTTCCATCGGCACCGCGGACAACCATAACGGCGACCTCTTTGACGAAGGCGGCCCACTTTTCGGCGTAGAGGCGATCGGTCGGAGCTCTCGCGCCTTGAATCGTCAGCGACGAGTCCGGGATAAGGGCTTGCAACGCGAGTTCAATGTCGTTTTCCGAGCGCAGCACGAAGTTGCCCTTGCCGTCGTAGGCGAGGTGTCGGGACTTCAGCATGAGAGGATAGCCGAAATCCTTGGCCGCATCTCGCACCGAATCACGCAGGTCGGCCCGCGGGTGCACAGAGTCGGCGGCTGCGGCGCCCGTTCCCATGATGGGCAAAAAGGGGGCGACCGCAATACCGCGCTCTTGGAGATAGAGTTTTTGTGTGTACTTGTCCTGAATCGTACGAATGACCGCCGGAGCGGGGTAGATTCTGACGCCTTCGCCCGAGCGCCCTCCAGTGGACGCGAAGTCGTGTTGCACCCGCTCCAGAGCAGCGACGTCGACGTGCTCAATCTCGATGGTCAGAATATCGACGTTTTGGGCGAGTTGCCGAATGTGCGACTCCGAGGTGAAGGGTCCATTCAGGTGGGAGAGAGGACCGGGCCCAGAGCCAGCCTGTGACGAAGTCGAAGCAAGCTGCGACAGAGGCAGTCGCTCGGGCGCCGACACTTGCTTAGCCGGTGCCCCTTCTTCTGGGTCGAGCACAATGATCGGGATAGACAGAGGCGATGCAGCCTGAAGGAGCATTCGCCCTAGTTGGCCACCACCTAGAATCGGAGAGCAGAGGGGCGATCGAGCGTCAGATGGACCTTGCCACCTACGCGAAAGGCGATCGTGAGATATGCGGGATCGAGGGTACACAGCCCGTTTATTCTGATAGAACTCCGGCAGCACGGGGAAAGACACCGAGGGCAGACGCCATGTGCGTGGGCGAGCTGGCTCCGGCTGTTCGAACTTGCGGCGGAGCAATCCAGTCGGCCTGACCGTGCCTCCGGTGCGCGCAATCAGAGAGCAGAGGAGACTTGCAAGTGACTCCCAGAAAAGACTGAAGACTTACCAAGTACTCCAATGACTTTGTCGTCCATGATTCGTGATTAGCGAAGGTAGTGTGAGCAGCGGAATGGAGCCACCTCAGCTTGTAGGAAAGGGAGAGGAAGAGACGCTTGTCGGAATCGAATCAAGCAGTCAGGCAGCACCTCGCATGATACGGCGCGATATTGTGCGGGAGGCCCAAAAGCCCTCAATAAGGCCCAATTACGCACCGCGGGGCGGCGACGAGCCGCTGAACCTCAGCCTGCACTACTGTAACCGTTCGGATCTTCACCAGATTTTATGATTGATCCCTACATCATTTTCTGTTGAGCTACCCGGCGATTTCATGGAATCGTCCCCCAGAAATTCGGCTTCGAACCAGAATTCCGCCGAGCGGTTTGCAGGGACTGGAAAGGAACTTATTTGGCAGTCAAGTCATGTTGAAACACGTGCAAACGGTCTGGCTCTATCATTATTCGAGCTCCATCCATCCGCCTCTGCACTTCCAGTCTCCGAGTTGCAGCCACCCACGGTTTCGATTGTCTGATGCGGATCGAATCTTCGCAGAACCGAATTATCTAGAGCAGCAGCAGTGATGACATATATTCGCTCCACTACATGTGCTGGTTCCAAGTATCCTCATATACAATCTTCGCCCCTCATGAACTCGCGGTCACCATAGTAAATCAGAGGCTCTTCGGTCCCGGACCCCGACGTCGAGTCGGACGACGGTCATGGTCACGTGGTGAAGGCGTTCATGATCCTGGGGCCGATTGGACCTACGAAACAGAGCTCCTATAAGCCCGAAACATTGATTCTTCCGTTTCAGATCGTTTCGGCTTGATCACCCTTCGTGATTAGCCATCCCCACCAGGAATTCGGGTGTCGACAGTCAAACCGGCATTAGGAGGGGTCGTGCATTGTCGCATTAACCTCAGCGCGTTCCCAGGGCCGGGCAGGCGCGAAGCTTCCTTCACCAAAGAATACAACTTGAAGACATTCCAGTTCTCACGTGATTGGCCAAGTCAGTGGCGACGAGGACGAGCCTGTGTCGAGGGTGTGGCTGAGTCCTCACCCCACACTACCACTGTTCAGTGAAGCCGAGCCCGAAGCCTGTTAAGCCGAATGAGGCGGAGCCGCGCTCGTCGTATAGCTGAGCTAGACATTCAGACCCATCTTTGCGGCAGTTGGGGCCCAGGGCTGACATGCCTAGCCAATAGTACTGAGTACTCGCCGGACGTCACGTACTCGAGCTCACGTTCAAAGTTTGGAGGTGCCTTTGTCCAAAACCCGACCAGGCGCGCGCGAGTTTCTTCCATTTATTTTACTTCGGGCCCGAACGCACATTTGCCATTAGTATTTCGAGCTCCGACGATCAGGTTCTGTGAACCTCCAGCTCTAATGAAATTCATGAATAAGGATAAAGACTGCCTGCCGCCTGCGATTCGGCGCGCGCCGATCCTTACGAAAGTTGCGACTCGGGAAGAGGCGTGGTGCCTTCCGCCTCGGTGGGCTTTGGTCTGCTGTGGTAGGATGGAGCAGGATGGGGCAAGATGGGGCACGGCTGAGGCGCTTCGTCGCTCGTCGAGCGTCTCGTGTCGGCCAAGTAATACGACGAGCAGTCTCCGACTGAACGTCATTTGTGCCGAACTCTGTTGATTAATATAAATAGTAAATGGCTTGGTTTGGGCTTGGGGGCGAATTTCCCCACGACACGTCCCCGCGAAGAAACCGGCGACCCAACCGGCGCAGATTGCGCCGCCGCGAGCGAGGCCGAAAGGGGGGAAACAGGGGGTCGAAGGGAGAGCTCGCCCCCCAGCACAAACCAAGCGAGTTTCTGGGCGATCCTCAGATCCCATGTTTCACATTACCGGAGACGCGTCCGCGATTGACCGGGTGCGCGTCGTTCCTGATCACCGACAGCGAATTCGAGCGGAGAGGGCCGACTTGAAGGCGAAAGCAGTCGTAGTCAAAAAGCTCCGCGATGCGACCCTTGCATGGAGAAACGGGAAATTTCGCTAGCCGCTACCTCACGAAATGCGTCATCATCGTCCGAAACGTGCTTGCTCGGAGCAAAAGGTTCCCTGGGAAGGTGACGGAGGCCGAAGTCGAAACCCGCGCGGATCTGGGTCGGGATCAAAGCGACTTGCTCGAAAGAAGTGTTGCCACAGTATACGCGAAGGCGATTCATGGCCGATTGTCATCGATTAACGTTGAGGGGCGTAGCGACATCGGTCAACGCCGCACGTAAACTGTGATGGAACGGAGAGCGGAGAGCTTATCCAACCCCGACCTAGGGGCTCTCGCTGACTGGGAAGAGGCATGAACAGGAAACTAGTGTCCCGTTGAAAAGGGTCTGTAGTAGATAGGTCGAAAAAGAAGTGTCTGTGTGGAATGCCCAGCTAAGACCTGGGCGGGTGACACTGGATGCGTGGAAAACGTAGGCACCGAAAAATACGGGGCCAAAGAGGGGCTTTGAGAAAGCGACCACATTCGAGGACGGATCCGGCCGTATGATAGAAGTAAAGCCAACATGGCCGGACGATAGAAGTCAAGCCAATATGGCCAAATGATAGAGGTACAGCCAATATGGCTGTACGATAGAAGTAGAGCCGAACATGGCTGTGTGACGGAAGTAAAGCCGAACATGGCCATACGAAGTAAAGCCGAACATGGCCATAGGGAGTACAGCCGAACATGGCCATACGAAATAAAGCCGAATGTGGCCATATGAAATAAAGCCGAATGTGGCCATATGAAATAAAGCCGAACGTGGCCAAACAAAATAAAGCCGAACATGGCTATATCATAGAGGTAAAGCCGAACATGGCCATAAGGAGTAAAGCCGAACATGGCCATAAGGAGTAAAGCCGAACGTGGCCATAAAGTAAAGCCGAACATGGCCATAAGGAGTACAGCTGAACATGGCCATACGAAATAAAGCCGAATGTGGCCATATGAAATAGAGCCGAACGTGGCCGTACAATAGAAGTAGAGTCGAACATGGCTGTGTGATGGAAGTAAAGCCGAACATGGCCGTATCAAAGGTGCGCGGATTGCGAATAAACTCACTGGCGATTGGAAAATTTGTGAAACAAGGCTCCCGACGAGGAACGAGTGCAGGCATCCGAGTTGAATTCGTGGCTGGGACGAATGGGTGGGTGGTCTAAGAACGTCGATCCGCAAACGATGCCGAGACTTGATGCTGGCTCCAGGTGTGAACAGACTCAATGGTATCGCTTCTGGTCGCCGCGTTGGACGCGATGTCAAACAGCTCTGACGAGACTGTGACCGGCGAGTCCGCGTAGGCCGCAACCAAACTGGGACGAGAGTGAGACGTTGTGACCTTGTATGAACTGAACGACTTCTTTTGGGAATCCGATGCCCCCGCCTGGAAACCCCTGTAGCGGCCGAAAGAGGCTAGTACTAGGTCCTGCGGGTTCGCCCCACCACCAGACGCGTTCGCACCCGCATCAGCGACACCAAGACAGCTAGAACCAGCACCAGCACCGCCAGTACCGGCACTAACAGGACCGCCAGCACCCACAGCTCCGCCAGCACCACCCGCACCGCGGGGGGTGGGGCGACGGTCTCGCCGCCTCCGAGATTGATGTCCGACATTGGGAATGGCGATCGCCGCAAGTGGGACACTTGTTCGTGTTGGAACGAGACAGTGGGGAGAAAGAGGTTTGTTGGCGTGGGAAGGCGTGGAAAGCAAAAATTTCTGAAGTTTCGAGCGAGCAACAGGCGATGTTGCGAGCGAGAACAGATGGTTCTAGTGAGAGGAAGTGACTCACCGCACTCGCCTTTCGACTCGCTCGGCGCGCCCGTTGGTCGCCTTTGGCAACCGGCCAGCACGGCCTAGCACGGTGGGGCCTGGTGGGGCACGGGCCTCAGGCCACCGCGTCTCCGACTCCCTTTCGACTTTCGTACGGAATACAGCGCCCCTCGCTCCCCGTGACATAGCATCCCGTGTGTGAAAGATCTGGGCACGCCTCCTGACATCGTCTGTCCGTGAGCATCGGCAATCGCCATGTCATCGCCATCGGTGCACCGAAGCTCCTCACACGACAGGGCCGGACTACGCTCTGCTCTCAAGAAAGATCACGTCCACCCTGATCCGCGGCCCGACCCTACCGAGGATGGAAGGACTCTGGCCGATTCGCTCGGTATCGACCCCAAGGTATCCTCCCACTCGGACGGCAACACAATTGGATCTCCGCCGCACGCAAGTGGTGGTGCGCCAGTTGCCTCCGGCTCGTACCCGCCCAGCGATCCCACGTCTGGGGCCCCGTCTGGTAGCGCCACTTCATTTTTAGATCCTTCGGATGCCGAGGCAAAGAAGAGCTCGTCGAGCCTTAGTTTGGCCCCCACGTTTCAGCGGCGCGTCGGCTTCGACACGTTTGACTCCGAGGAGGTCGAGGGAAGCACGGGCGGAGGAACAGGTACGGCCCGCGGTCTCATCAAAAGGGCTGCAGCGAGCATCTGAACACTGCACCAGTACCATATCGCTAATAGCTGATTCTGGCTCTCACCACCGTGTTCCCAAAATTTTGTGACGATCTCTCGACTTGCGGGGATTCGATCGACACTCTCAGGAGTGAGTTACTCGTTCACGATTGGCGCCAAATCAGCGTCGTACTGCCGCGCGAGGTACACCCGCACCTTTCTATGCTGCACCGATCTAAACGGTGGGTCTGTATTCAGCCTTTGTCTTCAATGATGGCGTGAAATGCTGATCACAGCTCACGTCGTAGAGTATTCTGTCCACGCCCTTGACTGGCTACTGACCAATCTCGTCGAGGACCACGACGAAATTGTCGTCTTGCGAGTCATCGAACCCGGATCTTCAGCGCATGCCGCATGGAGGGCGAGTATAGAAAAGGCGAAGAGGGAGGCCGAAAGGGTGCTGGAGGAAGTGATGCGCAAGAACGGCGAGGAGAAACAGGTCCGTCCGGCCTCCTCGATTGCTGCTCCGAAGACCGACTAATATCCTGATCAGCGGATTTTTCCGGGACAGATTTCGATCATTGTAGAGTTTGCCATTGGTCCTATTGAGGAGACGATTCATAGGTGCGATTCCCTGTTTGAAAACACGAAACGTCTCACCAATACCAATACTATGCCTCTCCTCAGGATGGTCGAGATCTACGAACCGGATTCGCTGATCGTGGGTACGCGTGGGAAGCAAGAATCGCTATTCAAGCCGATGATGGGCTCCATATCCAAGTATTGTGTGGCGCGTAGCCCCGTACCTGTTGTGAGTTTTACATTCGTTTGTCCATTGGGCGTGCCAGAACAACCCCCCCCCGGGTCTCAAGGCTGATCTGACTGCGTGTTCACCTCGTATCGCGACAGGTCGTTGTCCGTCCCGAGGACAAAGTGCAGGCATCTCTCAACGCTCGCCGCAGCGACTCGAAGCGTCAAAAGCACCTCTACCAGCTTTACGACGACGCGCGAGCGGCCGCATCGACGCCGGCGTTGCAGGGGTCAGCTTTAGAACGTAGTACAACGACTACACCAGCCGCTGCCGCTTCCGCGGAGAGCAAGCAGGAAAAGAAGGGAACCAAGTTGCAAAAGTTTGATACGTTTGGATGACGAGTCAGTACCTTCTGAACTCTTGAGTGTAAAAAAGTACGACATTCGTCGTTTCACATGGCTCACTAGCTACTAGGTAGTCAGCCGATGGAAGTGACCACTAAATGAGATAGATGCAGTTCAGTTCTCAAGTAAATGCGTTCCCAATTCTTCCGTACCGAGGTAAACTCCATGTGTAATCATTTTATTTTTCATGAGGTGCGACCCGATTCAAGTCCGCGCTCGTCTGCGCTGAAGTGCATTGGAGTGCGCTGCTGGCGTGCGGCGAGTCAGGGCCTGTCGACTGTCAGGGCGCGCGTCCGCCTGCGTCTGCGAGCGTCTGCGCTCGTGCGTCACCGCAGGTCACCGCGTCACCTGAGCTGGCCCCACTTGAATCGACGTTGGCCATTCGATCCAACGTAGCTCGGCGGTGCCGTCCCCTCCAATCCAGATCTCGACCGAATCCTCCTCCCTCCACTTTGGCCTGGCCTGGTCCAATCCACTCAATTGTCCTTCGTAAGCCATTGTCGGTATGGCAGAAGCAGTGAGTCGCGATCAGCGGCTGTGCCATGTGCCCGGCCCCGCTTCGTGGGCTCGCTCATCTTGGTTTGGCTGAAGATATCTGACGTTGACGTCGACCGTTATTGCCTTCTTCGATCCTCGGGTCGGGGTTCATTATCCTACTTGATCACCCGATCTCAGTTCCCTTTCAAGGCAGTCGCTCTCTCAAAGTACAAGTCAGCGCCCGGCGCGCCCAAGCTGGCTTTCCTGCAGGGCGACGAGTTGACTGTGCTGAACCGCGATGATGACTGGTATGAGGGAACAACCATCTCGGGCCAAACGGGCTACTTCCCCGTCGAAGCTGTCCGGCAATTGGAAGATGACACCCCAGCTCCGTCCGGCGAGATTGCATCGCCAGCCCTCGCGACACGTGTTGAAAGCGTTGCGTCACCGCTGCCCAGCTCGTCCGATCCACCAGGCCCCACCACGCTGTCGCTGACCCCACCGACGACCCACCGTTCGGCTCAGCGCCCCGAGCCCAAGATCACGGTACCGAATGTTGTGGATCTTTTTTCCGAGGAGCAACCCAAGCCGACGTCCCTCAAAGACCGGATCGCGGCTCTTAACGCGGCCGGGGCTGGGGCCGTGGCCCCACCTCCCGTCCGTCCCAAGCCGCGCGAATTGAAGCGCTCCACTGCACCCGTCCCCCTCGCAGACGGTGTCAGACCGGAATCCCCCACGACAGGCTCGCCAGCTCTGTCGCCTGTCACCTCAGCCACGGACTCGAGCATAAAGTCTTCCGTTGGCTTGTCAGCCGAAGACGCCGCGGAGGCAATCGGGAAAGGAGGGGGTAGCCTCAAGGACCGTATCAAGGCACTGCAAGGAATCCAGATGTCCACCCCTGCAGCTCCTGGACGTGCTCCTAAGCCGCGGAAGAAGACTAGTGTCGACACTGCCGCAGGCTCAGAGCTAGAGCGAGCTGCAGATTCGCCAGCGCTTGCTCTCCAATATTCTGAGTCCGATGAGGCGCAAAGGGCCGCTGTGAGGGAACCAAAATCGATGGAGCCATCTGAAGTCGTTCGGGCTCCTGTTGATGCGGGAACAGGATCCTGTGCGAACTCCGTCGCGGACCCCGATGCCCACGCGGGGCCTCGAACACTTCCGCCGGAGAACGAGCAGCACGAGCACCGTGTATCGACCAAAGCAAAGCTCGAACGCTCTTCAAGTGATGTAGACGCCCCTCAAAGACCTCCAGTGGCCGAACGAGCAGCGGGCATTGGTGACCAGCAATTGTCGATGGCAATGCCAGCTCTCCCGAAACGAGCGGTCCCACCCAGGAGGAAACCACCGGTGGTGAAGCCGGCACCGGATGATGGTGTAAGCGACGTCGTAGTCGAGGCATCCTCCGCAGGACCAGTCGCTACCATTTCACGCGGGGAGACTTTGAAGATACCAGCCCCGTCGCTTCTGGCGGGTGACAAGCAGTCGGATGGGCAAGATGACAGTTACATGCCAGAGACTGACCCTAACACTGTCGCCTCTGGACACGATATCTTGTCTGAGAATGCGGCCGAGGAATCCAGTAATGGCACCAACTCGGATACACCTGCCGTCCCTCCCAATACGGTCCACGTCGCATCAGATTCGCCTGCTGTGAGTTCGTTTAGAAACCGAATGAGTCCGGACCTCTCCCTATCGGCCAGCAGAATCTGGTCCCTGCTCAACACAGAATTTGCGCCGCGCCCACAGGAAAAACATACTCCGCTGCCGGGGTCGGGACTTGCGTTGACCCAAGGGCCGTTTGATACCAATGTATTCACCTCTCCACCATCTCGTCAGGACGATCCTTTCACCAGAGACCTTTCCAGTCCTCTCTCCATCGCAGCAACTTCAGCGCCGACAAACGACGACGAGCAGAAACTCACAAGCCCGCAGCGACCTGCGATCCCTCAACCATTCATAGTGGATCGCATCGAGCACCAAGAGGATAATACTGTGGATGGAGACAACCATAGCTTTACCAAGGTATCCAATCTCGAAGCCGCGATTCAGCCCAGCACTCAACAGCTCGGCTCGGATGAGGTGGGACTTGAGGATGAAGCTGAAGAAGTCGAGGCCGAGGTACGGAACCATTTATTGCAAGATGTCCCGGATCAAAGAGTCCTCCAAGAGACACAAGACCCTCGAGGCTTCCACGGAGGGGCTGGTGCACATGATAAGGAGCCTGGGTGTGCGAAGGCGGAGGAGGGGGAGGACAATGACGACGATGAAGAGGACCCAGAACTCGCTCGTCGAGCTGCTCTGGCGGCACGAATGGCCCGCCTGGGAGGGATCAGCATGCGCATGCCTGGAGGTGCCATGATGCCGCCTATTGGTGGTATCCGATCATACAAGAAACCGGTCAAGGCCATGACCAAGGACGATTCAAACTCCGGGCAGCAACTTTCAACGGGTGAGAGACACTGCTTGCCGAACCTTCGCCACTCGACGACCTTGCTAACGCATCCTATCCGCAGATGACGACGACGTATCATGCAACCAGTCGGCCGCAGAGCAAAGTTTTGTCCCCTCGCCTTTCCTTGGGATTCCTAGAGGAGGGGTCGCCATCCCTGGACTTGGCGTGAGGCCAGCGCCGCCTCCGGTCGACTCTGAAGATACTTCTGCCGCGACACCCACGGATGAGGTTGGAGGTTCTCAAGCATTCAAGGGGTTACAAGCATCGGAAGAACTGTCTATGCGGCAGAACTTCGAACAGCTCGACGATAACCCGCGTGGAGAGGAGACCTGTAGCGACACCGGCGCAATCAGTCTACGCGAACGCGAGGAGGCAGTGCCGGACCCGTCCGTTCACGCTGTCTCTGACCCTCCCCCCAGACCTCGAGGCGGCCTACCCTCCGTACCAGCTCAGCCGATCTCCAGCCTCGAGGATATCAGTGAGCTAGCGGTTCCTTCGTCCCCACAAGTCGAAGCAGAGACTCAGATGTCAAGCCATCGAGACAGCGTTACCTCGCTCAATCGAATTGCTACACGTTCGAGCTTGGATTCAAGGCCAGCAGGGACAGCTGATTCACTCCGTCGAGGCTCCATCGAGTCTTCCCGTGACGTTCGATCCCCCTCGTCGGCTCAGCTCTCGTGGCCCGCCGTTCCACGCAGCGACCTCGAAGAATTCTCCATCACTCTCGGCGCCCAGGTTTTTGCTGCGGCCCACTTGAAGCTGAGCGAGAAGGGGGTCAAGTTCTCAAACGACGATGAGCTCATTCGATTTTGCCTCCATCGGGTGAAAGATATGCAATGGCCTGGTAATGGATCGTATGGAGTGACCGTATGGGGGATCGCTATTTTGGGCAAAGGCCTGAACGATCCGCGTATAGCGAATCTGGACGAACCACGAGCGGGTGATAGTCAGTTACTACGACCCAGGAATGACAGCCAAGAAAGGATACTAATATGTTTCCTTTTCGCTCTATTATAGTTGTCATCATGACGGACTGCAAATTTAGGGCGACCCTCTCGTCAACGCGCGTTGGAGCAGACGGGCAGCCGAAGCAGAGCGTGTGTCAAGCTTGGGACGCTAAGAAGCGCAAGCTCAGGACGATTGAAGTCGGGAAAAATGGTGGTGTCGAGGAAAACAGCTACAAGGTCGACGACCTCAAGGAAGGGCGCGTAGAGATCCAGAGAATAGTTGGGGCAAAGCCAGGAGAGTAAGACGGGTTCCCCGGGGTCCCAAATCAGTTTGATTTCGTATTCAGTCATCGCTTCATGTAAAAGAATGCTAGGGTCTGTCAGGCCGAGCCGACTTCGCTCTTCGCTGAATTGGGAGAGGGAGCCAAGTATCGGCATCGAGTGGAAGGCACGAGTACAGTCATAATCGAAAGAAACGAGTGGATGTGAATGCAAACAAGCATCTACAGAGTTTTAGAACTTGAGAAACAATGAAGAACAACGGGAGAAGTTCGGCAGCCATCGTCCGGAACCTCCTTCCCACGTGAGAGCTTCAGCATGCATGAAAGAAATAAGCTACATGAGCGTGCCTGGGTACCATATGAGGCAAGGGTTCAGAAGAGTCAGGACACAGGAAAAACGAGCGAGCGCATGAGAGGAAGCTTGTCACCGAACTTACAACCACGCGAGAACCACCAACTTGAACGGAACTGTTCAATCCAAAACACGAGCAATCGAAGACGCTCGCGTGGGCTAGTGATTTGCAAGAGAAGAGCCTTGTTTTGATCGTCGACAGGCATAACTTCGGCCATCCAGAAGGAGAAATCAGCGGGCGTTGTAGGCATGGGCCCGATCGTGTTGTTGAGGCGCTGAAGCACCCACGGCGCCGAGCCATTGCGAAGCGTCGAGACGAATTCGAGACATATGTCCATCAAGTCAGAGGTCGATCGTTCGATTTGACGCGTGTCGGTCATCGTCAAGCTGGGAGCAGTAGACTGAGTGTTCCGCGCAAGCGCTTGTCGCTCTAGCTGGGCTTCCTGATCCTGCGGTATATCGTACACGCGTTCGATCCGACCGACCGTATAGCCATCTAACACGCCTTTCTCAAGAATTCGAAAACGGTAGGTTCCGACCGTCTCGATGATCGAGCGCCCGTCTTCAATCATGTTGCACGACTGAATCTTGAGCATGGTCCCATACTCATTGATGCCACCTTGATCACGGCTCGGCAGCACCATTCCAAACTCGCGATTTCCTTCCATTGCCCTGCGAACCATCAAGCGATAGCGTGGTTCGAAAATGTGGATGTACGTCGGCAAATTGGGCCATGCGAGTGTGCACACGAAAAGAGGCGTGTCGAGGCCACCATCGGCGCCGCGCTCCTCTGCTTGTATCTGGGCGAAGCGATCTGCCGCAAGTGAGGGAAAGAGCGATAGAATGATACGCTGTGTGGTGGAATTGATCGGTTGGGATCGGAAACGGACGGAGGAAGGAAAGTCGTGGCGACAGAGCGGACACTTGTCGGAGTGGTCGTAGGACCGGACGAGGCACTTTTGACAGAACGTGTGACCGCATTGCGAGGTAATCGGGTCATGCAGCAACTGAAAGCAAATCTGACATTCGAGCTCGGAGAGAACGTCAGCGAGAAAAGTGGGAGACGCTTGTTCCAGGTCAAGCTCAATCCTGGCCACGATCGCCGCCTGTTGATCCCGATCCTTCATCTCGGCCGAACCTGCATGACGTCGTCGAGCGCGTTTGAAAGAGGCCCAAGGTTTCACTCGAGAAGCTCGCTTCATATCATCGAGTGAAGTGGGGTTTTCGCCTCCTCCACCGCTGCTGGTCGAGCTTCCGCTCGGAATCCGAGACGAAGCGCAGCCTCGGTCGAGCGCTAGTTTCTCATCAAAATGACGCTCGGATGATGCTGCATCACCCAAGTGGTTGTACCCATCCGCGGACGACTGTTCCCCATCAGCGGGATCGTCCAACTCGGCCAGTTCGATCCGAGCGACTTCGAACTGGTGGTCGACGAGAGGGAAATCCGATCGCAACAAGTGTAGTACTTTTTGAAGGACGAAGTCGGGCCTAGCCTCGGAAGACGTTCCCAGTTGCTCCTTCGACACCTTGCAGTCGTCTTGGGCGCAGCGCAGTCGTCCGCGATGATTCATGCCTGGCATGACACGGAAACCGTCCCGACCGTGACCGCGCGATCCAGCTTCCGGTGCGCCATTAGGCGCCTCGCTATCCGCAGAAATCAGATGGGGCAGCGCATCAGATTGACCTGGGCCGAAGGTGGGATTGGCGGAGTTGCGAGTGAAAAGCGACTCGCTCGACGATACAGTGTTCGAAGCGAGGATAATCGAATCGACTGAGCGATGAACGATGGGACGCGAGCATGGCAGACACACGGTGTGACCGCAAAATAGAGTCGTCGGATCGCGGAGGAACCTCTGGCAAGCCGTACATGTCACAAGGGAGAGAAGCTTGGGTAATAGGCGATCTAAAGGTGGATCAATCGCCGAGCACGACGGCGTCGGTGAGGCGCGATTCGTGGACTGTGGAATGGTCGATGGACGATGATGGATCGAATGATGGGCCCGTGGAGTACTCGGAACGAATGATGTCAAATTGCTCGGGTTCTTGTGCTCGTCACTGATCGCGGTGTCTGGGGCGACACGATGGCCAGTCTCGCAATCAGCGGGTGTCGTGCGTCCTTCACCGGAGCGATCTCGCGCCTCACATCTACGTGACCGAGCTTGCGAGGGTGTGAAGCCATTTCGAGTAGCTGAGGTATGAACGCCACGCGCTTCGTCTTCTGAAAGCCAGCGCTGATCGGCGTCGAGCATAGTTGTCGATGCCGATGCCGAGAACGGTGAATTCAGTCGCGATGAACGATCAGATCGGGAGCCAAGGGGATCATGGGATGTGGATCGTGTGGGGCGCGCCCTTTGGTCCAGGCTGGGGTGATGTTCCATGGACCAGCTCGGCGGCGATGATCGGCGCGCGCGCGCCGAAGAGAGAGACGGGCCGACCTCTTGCACAGGAGCCACCGGACAGACGTCGGCAGGGCTCGAGATCGAGATCGCCGGGACGGGACGAGGGCTATCGAGCTGTAAGACTGACAGCGAGGGGTCTGCAACCAAAGTGTTGGTATCCGGTTCGAACTGGGCTGTCGAAAAAAGTGGTGAAGGCAGTGGCGTAATGTGCACCGCCGCCCGATCGTGGGCGTCGTCGAGCACCGCCGTCGATGACGAGAGGTCGGCGGCAGCAGTCCAAGGAGCGCCTGCGGGTATCGGTCGATGCGCACGTCAGTGAATCGATCTCGAGTACAAGAGGCCACCGGCTCGTACGACGAGTAAGGACGGCACAGTGTGACAGTTGGAACTCACCGTGGTCTTTGCGGTCGGGCACAGGTGATGTTGCAACGGCGCGCTCAAGCTGATTGCGCACGATGCGGCTCGTGGGCGCCGGTCGGGTGTCGATGTCGGCGATCAGGGCGTGGGCCGGAGTCGGGCTCGAGGTCGATGGCGCAGGGGTCGTGCTCGGCGAGGGGGGCAGGTGTAGCGCACAACGATCGTCGTTGTTGTGATCGCAGGTAGTAGTTGCCTGGAGATGAACTTTCGGCGACGTATGCGATATTCGCGGCTGCTGGACCTCGTCCCTGGCCCCGGTCGCGGGCGCGGGCGCGGTCATCTGGGCCGCAGTGGGCAGGACTGGAGCCGGCGTCTGCGCCGACGAGCCGGCAGTGGACTGGGTGGAGCTTGACGTGGCGTGGTGAGCACCAAGGTGGATTGGGGCTGCAGAGGAAGAGAATGTCGATTCGTGGGCTGTACGCTGCCTCGACTCGAGCGAATCGGTGAAGGCTCGATGGTGAGGCGGCATGGCCTCGATCGCGGACGGAGGGGCCCGCGTCGGGGTCGAGATGGGATGCAAGCGCAAGCGGCGGGCGCGGGCGCGGGAATGCTGCGGGGCGATGGTCGAGAAGAGGGATCGAGCGGGGTCGATGCTGGTAGGTGCCGATCTGACGGGTCTCGGTCAGACTGCACCACTCCGAGCGGGCATGCGTTGGTGGCGTAGTGGTGGCGTCGGGAGCGGGTGAGAGCTGAGATCGCTGAGAGCTGAGCGTTGAGCGTTGAGCGCTGAGATCGCTGAGATGAGTGAGGACGGTAGTAGCCAACTGGTAGTCAGGCTAGTCAGGCCAGAGGATCGTCATTGCCAAAGACTGCCACTGTCTGCCACTGTCAGCCGCGGTCAGAATGCGGTCAGCCGCGCTCCGCCTCGCTCCCTCTCGCTCCGCTGCGCTCGGGCCTGTTTACTGAGCGCGCGTGTGGGCCGGCCGTTCCATCTTCCCCACCCGACATTGATCACCCTCGACAGCTCGTACGCAGCTAGTGAGTAATCTTTGACCGACAGTGAGTGGCCTGACGGGCTATGTAGTAGTCTGTCTTCCGTATAGGCTCGTGCGGGTTGCGGTCACCTCTCGAGTCCCCGCCAGTGTATCCGCTATTGTCGTGTCGCTTTGCCACTTCTGATCGTCATTATAGACCAATCCGTCGCCGACCACGCAACCGGATCGCCGACCGTGCGACGACACGCCAGTCGAGGCAACTCGCCGCAGACGCCCATGATTGATGGCGATCGAATGGCCACCATGTAGTCGCTGATCGTCGCGTCGGCATCGTGCAGTGCCCGTGCAGCTTCCTACGATTCTATACGACCTGCCGCGCAACCCGGCGATCGCGGTCGGCCTGCCCCTGACCGTCGGCTGGCTCACAGGCCTCATCACCCGCACCTCCGTGCAAGCTTGGTACCCTTCGCTGCGCAAACCGTCGCTGCAGCCGCCTCGTTGGGCGTTCCCCGTGGCGTGGACCTTCTTGTACGCCTCGATGGGCGCGGCGTCGCATCTCCTTGTTGCCGCGTACGATAGCTCGCTGCCAGGCAGTGCCGCTCGATTCGCCGCCGATCATGCTCTCAAGCTGTACTGGTTACAATACGGTCTCAATCTTTTATGGTCACCGACCTTTTTCGGACTGCGACAGATCACGATCGCCAACGTCGACATCATTCTTCTCCTGGCAACTCTGCTCAGACTCGCGCCCGCTGCGTTCAAAGTGGACCAAAGGACCTTATTCGCCTTTGGCCCTTACGTCGCCTGGATCTCGTTCGCGACTTATCTCAACAGTGAGTACTAACATTTCAATTTCACCAGATCATCGGCTGCAGCGCACCGCTGATGCTGACCCGCTGCAAACTCGACCCCAGGCAGCATCTGGTGGCTCAACCTTGGGCCCGGCTCCAAACAACTGCGAAAATAGGTTCATCCGGCTTCGGCTAGGCAGCTCCCCTGCCTTTCTCAGAGAGTTAACATCAAAAAAAAAGTTCTTCGCATTTTTCTTCTCCGCTCTTCTCCAGCAGCGGGAGAATATTGCTTTAGTAGTCCCACACCAGCAGCTCGGTACAGGGGGAGTCGTTTGAAATTGAGGATGTATGTAATTATGGTGCAGTCGAGGTGGCTAGGGCTGCACAGAGATCGACTTATCCAACCTACACCGATTACTCTGACTTACCAGACCACGAAGAGCGGTCCATTTCCTCTTCACCTCATCATCATCGTCCTGCAGCCAAACTGTCGCGCCCCACCTGAGCGCCGCTCCATCTTTGGACTGGTCATACCTCGCAAGCGCCTTAAAGACCTCATCCGAAACCCCTACAACAACTGTGTCCGCGAGTTTACTCCTCGTTGTCGAATCCAGTGACGCCGAGAATAGCGCATTTGCCAGGTGGTGGACGCCAATCAGGTACAAGAGGGGAGTCTGCGCTTGGGTAACGTCACCCAGGCTGAGAGCCTTGGCGTACGCGCAGAGAACGGTCAGATCCGTTTCGGCCGGTGCGAGAAAGCACGAGAGTCGAGCTTCGGGATCATCCCAGTCCGAGATTGCGTCCTCAACGCGGGTCCTGATCTGTCGCAATAAGTGAGCGTAATCGTTCCAGAGCAGACGACGGTATTCGACCGGGTAGGACATGGCTAGGGGCGGCAGAAGAATCCAGGTGAACACTTCATGGCCCAAGGAGATCGAATCGTAGAGTCCAAGCAGGTCTGAGTAGGTTCGGTAAAACGGCGCCGAGCTGACCGTCGCTGAATGTCCTTCTAATGTGTCTTCGCTCGATCGGGCATCTGCCTTGTTGAGCTGCTGCGGACCTACAGCGACGCTCCAAAGGGTTAATAAATTGCGAAGTGAGAAGTCGATCCCTTGATGTCGATACAGATCGGTGGACGCCGGGTCGTAAGACTGCCGGGTGCTAGGAGTGTTCGGATTCTCCTTCTCAAGCATGAAGACTTTGATGAGATCGTAAATCATCCTCCTTGGTTGTATGCGTGCTGAGACCTCGCCAGCATGGACGACAAGCCTCATAAGCGCCAAACTGGTGCGAACAAGGTCCAACTCCGATGCATTCCAGTCCTTTGGGAGCGACTGGAACACAGGGGAAGTGCCGGACCGCAATAGCTCGTCGAGCGCGACAAGCGGCCAGTCCGAGTGAAGCAAAGTGCCTTTGAGACAGAACGGAGGAAGGCATGCCGTCAACCTGATGTCGCGTGGCGTCGGATGGTCAGGCCCAGTGACCCGACCTCCGCTGCTGGCGATGAGCGCGTGCATCAAGAAGGGCCGAAGGACCGCGGCGTTTGACAGGGCGCTCAATTCGAGATCGGCGTCCAGTGACGCCAACGGCGGCATGCTATGGTTGGCTAAGGGGTGCACAACCCGTAGTATCCATTCCAGTAGGTCTCTTGCGGCGACTTCATCGCCAGCTCGGAGAAATCGTAGAGTGTCGACGGTGCGGGAGAACCGAATAGAAGTTGTCGGTATGTGCCTAAGAAGGAGTATGAGCAGTTGCACGAGGGACACGTCCGGCGCCGGTGAGCGCATGACAGCCATTTTCGGGACCACGGAATCAAAGAAGGAGATGACCGATGATCCATCGAGGTAAAAGAGCGCCGGTGTTGATGGATTCGAGTCCTCTTCAAAAGTTGTCGAGAACCGCACCGCGGCAACGACGAGCTCGGCATCAAACCCGATGCTACGTGTGATATCCAAGCACTTGATCCTGTCGAAGGCAGTCTTCACGGCCAAAATCGCGATCTTCCCATCCTCAAAGTCGGTAGCAACGTGCTCTTGGATCCAGTTGCGCGCCAGTTCTCCTCTCCACGCCGAGTTCACTTTGCTGCCCTCGAGCCAGACCGTCCATAGGTTCCACGCTGCCGCTATCAGAGCCGGCGAGGCGTCTTGCAAGCCTCTTCGATGTGCAAGCAGGGCAAGGTTCTCCCAGCCGTCGATATGACTCCATAAGATGTCGTGCTCGGACACGTGAGGATCGATCGCAGTGATGGTCCAAATGCGGAGCAATCGCAGCAATGCGACGACCATGTTTATTTCGCTTGCATCGATGGGCATAGCGTCCCCCAGGAGAAAGGCTGTCCGGTCCAAGAAGCTGGAGAGCAGACTAGCTGCTGTGGTCCGTAGACTCGTGCCCAGTCCGTACTGTGCGAGCGTTTGCCACAAGTCGAACGTGGCATTGACCAGTCCGTACGTGAGCCGACGTGCAGGGGAGGAAGCGCTGTCGAGCTCCCACGGCGGAACCCCCAAAAAGCGCAAAGCGGGCTCGGCGAGATAACGCGATACGATAGATTTTGTGCGCGCCCTGGAAGACCGCGCCAAATCCGAGAGCATTGCAAGCGCATCGGCTGCCGTGGCAAGGACGGTCGGATCTTGAGCGGCAGGTCTAGGCCAAGGGATGGCGATGAAGTGCTTGGTCACCGCTTCAAGCAAGTTCGGCGTATCAACAATGGCGTCCAGCTCGACGAACGGGGCCGAACTCCGATCAAGAGTAAGCTGAATAAACAACTTGAGAATCCGAAGGACTTGGCGAGATGCTGATGTGGGTAGTCGCGCGTGCAGCAACTCCTGCTCAAGCACAGCAAACGGCAACGCAGTGAGGAGTGTCGAAAGGAGAGAAGATTCTTCCAATCCTTGAGGCCGAATCCATGAAAACTCTGCCCGCGGCCGTCGGCACTCCGTTTCGAGAAGAAAGGACAGAAGATCGAGTGCGACGCTCCGAACACCCACGGTCGCGTCGAGGAGGGCGTGGCAGGCTCTTTGGGCAATGTCAAGTTCCAGTCGGAGCCACGCTTCCTTCCCAAACTTTGGCTCATGACTGGGGTTACAGGACAAAATCCTCAAAAGGGTTTGTAGCGCGCTTGAGCGTTGTGATGGCACAGAGGATAACGCGAGGCTCATCAGTGTCGTGATCGTGAATGCCGACGAGGACGAGACGTGGTGCAACGCTGACACTTTCGGTGCTGCGCCGATGCCCTCGTCAGACGAAATGAAGGCACCGTTAAGGGAGAAGGCCAAATGTCGGTAGTGTCCTGCGCTATCGACTCTAGCGTTAGAAATTTGATTCGGCTTCATCCAATCGAGGTTCGCACTAGCTGGCTCTTGCGGAAAATAGTGCTTGCGGATGAATTCGGGGCTGCCTTCAGCGTCATTTGGGTCGGTTTGCACGGATTGTAGAAGCCCTTTCCCACCGACCTGGACTTGCGCTGTCGAGGTGGTCGGTAAATCTGACTCCATGGAAGGCAAAACTGCAGGTCGGGTTTAGTCTCGCTGGATGGGGGCGACCAGGGGCAAAACGGAGGTTGCTGTACCTTTGCTCCTCCGCGAGCGCGCTTCCAATATCTTGAGGAGCTCATCCGACAAGCCCATTGATTCCTTGATCTCGCGTTGCTGGTCTAGTATCTCTTGGTCGGACATGCCGGCCAGTAGACGATCGTTTTCGTCCGACACCGAAGCGAGGATCGCCGGTATAGAGTTGGGATTGTGAATGTCACCGACCTCTCTCGTCGTCGTCACAGGCGAGTGAAGTTTCGAAGTCCAGGCAGTGGAAGACGAGGACGGAAGCGGTTGAGACTGCGGCTTCGACTGCGGAAGCACCTGGGTTTGTTCCTTCAATGAAGTTGGTGTATGTCGCACGGAGACGGGGAAGCCCAGCGGGAGCGCAGCTGGCGATGGAGAAGCACCAGCTCCGAGCAAGTGGGGTACAGCGGCGAGCCTGGGCAGCTCGACGGAAAGCTCTGATGATGCGCGCTCGACGACTTGACCGACAAGGTTGTACGCACCAGTTGCGTTGTGATGTATGGAGGCTTCGCCCTGTACCTGACCGTGCACTGCGGCTCGTAGGGCTTCTTCCCGGCGTTCGCGCTCGCGGTGCAGGGCGAAGCGAGACTTGGGCTTTGCCTTCGGAGCCGTTGGAGCAGTCGGCGCAGTCTGTCCAGCCAAATCTGGGGTGGGCTCACGGTCGAAGATAATCGGGAAATGATCTGAGCAAATAGAGCAGATTCAGAACTGGTTCGACCATCTGCGCATCGCCACACACACGAGTGGAACCCACCAGGAGCGCTGGTCCTCATCGCGGACGAGCCGACTTGAGGAGGTCGACGGCGCGTCACTGTGACGGCGGTGCCGAATGAGGGGAACTTCGCAGAGTTTGGGTCGGCATCAGGAGAAGACAAATCACGCAGCGAGGGTCGTATCCGTTGCGCATCCATCGCGTTTCGCCGACAAGCGGAATATAGCGGAGTAGAGCAGAAAGGGTCTCCGGCCGAATGAGCGCGCTCTCGATCGATCTGACAGGAAGAGCTTGCTGACAGCAAGAGACAGGACGAGACAGGATCAGGGACGGCCTTCCTGACGGCCAGCATTGGAGAGCATTGGACTAGCTGGAAAGTAGGCCGCGAGAGTGAATTGGCGACTCGTAAGAGAGGAAACGGCATCTGTTCACACAATTAGGGTACATAGTCTACACAGAGAAACGATCACAAAGAAGAAAGACTGAGGCGGTGACCCGCCTACAGCCAAGGGGCGAACTGTTAAAACATGCAAGAACTCGTGATCAGCGATCAACGGTCTCTCGGGTGTGGAGATGACAGCCTCGTCGCGGAGAATGACAACATACAGTAGGTTCCATCTTGGATAGATTTTGGACGCTCGTCGCGGACAACAAGAGCTCGAGGATCGACTGATTGACGGGGACCGAAGCCGAGGGCGGCTGTAGATGAAAAGAGGGGGTTGACAAGGTCAATGACAGCGAGGATCAATAGATGCAGCGAGTGGTCGCTTGTGCTCGGACCGCACAGACACAGAACAGAGGCGCACCTTCTCGCGTTCCATCTTGCAAGACATAACCTTGGCGCGCTGCACCACGACGTCGACGTTGCGCAGAACGAGCTCGCGCAACTGCCCTCGCGGATCGCTCTTCGCCATCTGTGCCCAAACTAGAATCTCCTCCCGCACAAAGATACTCAGACGATGTTCAAAATCGAACTGGGAGAGAACACACAGGGAAAAATGGGAGTGTCAGCAGGAAGCCCACCCGGCTGTAGCGGACGAACATTGGCAGTATTCTTGGTGACCTCTTGACTTACCTCCGATTCGGTCAAGCACCTGGCAATCGCCATCATTGAGCTAGTCAGAAGACCCTCGGTACCGATGGGGGTGATGAACCTCTGGAAGTTTGGCGTGAAGCGGAATGGCACTGCTTCATTGTTGAAGAACTCAGGCTTGGTAGGAATGATCGCTGCAGAGGTGAAGGAGGTCAGCTCGTGGTTTCTCTTTCTACCCGCCATCCGAGACTAGAGCGCACGCCGCAACGCACAGGGCAACATGTCCGAAGTGAGAAGCTTGCCCGACGAGCGAGAAATATGAATGCGCGACGGCAAACGCACGCCCATCGACATGACATAAGTCATAAAGATGAACGCCGCCATCTGGAGCGTCATCTCCCGACGAATATGCCACAGCTCGCTCGAGCTGGCCATCGATCGGATCATATATTTCTTAAGAATGTCATCTGGGACCATCTTGAGAGCAATCTCTTCAGCGATCTCTTGACGCGCATTCCACAGCTCGGTTCGCTGTGGTGTGGAAATGAATGGCCGTCGGAGAGTCCGTCAGCAAGGGTCTGCGAGAACACGAGAAACCAGAACTGCACTCGTCAATACTCACACTGAGGGGAGGATCGTGATGATGAAGGGCCCTTACGCGCTCCGTGTGCGCAAGAATCGGGTCCTCCTTCTTGATTCCGGCCAAATCGCAGTGCTGCTCAAAAATGTCCTGCAAACTCGTGATGGAGGCGTCGTTCGCGACCAAGCGTACATTGGGCGCAAGCGGGACCACGATGGGGATATTGAAAGCGAGGTTGCGCTTACGGCTCTCCTTCCGTGTCGCCAGAGGACAGTTAAGCATGCGGAAAAGTTGCATGATGCGTTCTTCTCGACGCGACGTGCGAGCGGAGGGTACTTGGATCGCGAAGCGGTGCGTGCTGCCATCGTGGCCGAGAATCGTCAGACGGCGGAAGTAGATGCCGTGAGAGCGGGTGACGTCAAATTTGTTTGCAAAGTGGCTGATACGCACGAAGTTGCCGTTGTTGTCCTCGTGCTACAGATGGCAAAGTTGAGTAGAACGGTATCTATGAGCTTTCGTCCCAAGCGCAGACACCAAGGCAAAGGAGGACGCGACCAACCATGAGATACTGCCCCGGGACCTCAATTTCGTCAAACTTCTGGTACTGGAACTCGACCAGCCAATGCGAAACAGCTTCGAGATTGGCCTTCTTGGCCTTCTTGTCAAGCATGCCCTCATACCGGTCGCGCCATCTCTGGAGCCTCTGCACATACTGAGCGAGCGTCGGTTCCGAGGTGAGGAAATCCTGTACAAAGCTCTCTTTGATGGTAGGAGGATGGAGATTCTCGGCAAAGCGAGTGACGTTTGATATTGTGGGCGCCGCAAGCTTTCCATCGTCATTGGGCATGCCGGCACGCGCCAGGAACTGCTGCAGACCGTCGGCGAGGAGAGCGCTTATGAGGCGGAAAATATCTTCGTCGGGTGTCGGTTTGAATCGAGTGGAAATCTGATCGACGATCATCTCCATTGAAAGGGCTAGAAGTGGGAAAGCCGTCTTCAAGATAGACATGATTTCATCGACATACTCCCACGGATGCCTAGGCCCGTTCGGCAACGGCGTCGGCGCTGGAATCGGCTCGTTGCGAAGTACAGCGGTGGCTTCGGCATCGAGACCCGCCGCTCGTGCCTCGTTCATTCGTTGGGCTTGAACGGCTTGGATGTGAGCGGCCATGTGCTGCCGCTTCGGCATCGAAAGATCTTCTCGCGCCGTACGCAATTGAAAGAACAGCGACTGGCAACGGATGTGTACCAGTGAGAGTGTCAGCATCCGCAAATATCTCCGAGCTAGGGCAAACGAGGGCAGCAGCGACAGACCTGTGGGAAAACCTTCGCAATCTTCAAGAGGATCACCCGAGAATAGCGTGCCTCTCGCTGGGACAGCGACAGCAGTAGCTGAGGTATGAACGTGATCCAGTACCACGTAGGAACCTCGCCCTTGTAGCTGTCGAATGCTTTGGAGATCGTGCCTTGCGCGTCGTCAAGGCTGAGCAGCCACAAGATGCGCACAAGCAACTTGCGGACCTTGGCGCTCTTGTACAATCCGGCGGCCTGCAGGTAGCACGAGACGGCATTGCTGGCGATGCCGAGATCGGTGGGGTTCTCCTTGAACATGCGGTCGTGATATTCGCCCCATTCGGCCCAGGCCTTGGGGAAGGCCATTTCCATGGAGACGGCGAGATTGAATGTCTGATTCGCTTCCTCGTGCAGATGCAGCTTTGCCAAAAACATGCCCTTGAGGGTGAAAAATTCGGCTTTTTGCGACGCATTGAAGTACATGAGATTTGTGTTGTTGATGACCTCGAGACCTGACGCGAGCTCGGAGACACTCGCATAGTGGCACTTGGCCTGCTCGCGAAGCTTGAGGAAAGCCTCTTGAATCTCGATGTTGGGCAGGGTGTAGATCTTCGTCAGCGAGGTGATACAGACCTCGTTGAGATGATGCTTGCGAGCGACATGCGCAAACCGGTTAATGATCCAGGCCGTCTCGTGGAAGCCGCGGTAAGCGAACGAGCTCGCATTCTGCGGCTGACCAGGGGCGGCCTGCGGAACCAGAGGCAAGTACGTCGCGTTGATGGCTTGGAACACGTGTTGGCGCCAAGCAACGAGATCGCTCCACACATTGATGTCGTCCCAGAGGTTCGGAAGTCGGTCTCGCCAAGTCCCAAGGATCGTCTTGAGTTCGTTCGAGCGTTGATCGAGGTTCGCAGCGTCGGTAGCATAGAGGCTGGCGAAAATAGCATTTGCTTCTTGCAGCTCCACGAACTGTTGGAAGATCGTCAACAGCGGCACATGCGCTTGCGACACCGCCTCGGGCAGGTAGTACCATTTGCGAAGCGACAGCTGGATCCCCTCGTCGCACAGCTTTGCGAACGCTTTTTTGGCCGAGCCATCATTGTTGACACCCTTGGGATAGGCGCGCAAGAGCGCCAAGTAGGCCTCAAAGACGCGACGTCGAGGCGTGGCGATCGGCGACATCGAGCTTAGTGTTTGTTCGATGAAATCGCGCTCGACGTTCCAGTCCGTGAGACGCCAGCTGCATTCGAGGAGCAGCTCCTTGTTGCCCTCGTTTTTGGCAAGATCCATGAGGACATCCCACTGCGCACAAGGTCACAAGGCGTGAAGAGGGCATGAGCAAGTGCCAGAAAGTGGCACTGATCCGACAAAAACAGAGTCCGTCGTCGACTCACCTGTTGCAGCTTTTGTGCCGTCACGATCCAGTGATCCTCCCACAGAGCCATCTCGCTCTCGGTGAAAGGCTGGACTCCACTCCGAGCGGTGATCTGGGCCGACTCGTACAGCACCTGAGCTTGTCCCCATTGGCCGATCTGCTCCCAACTGCCAGGCACAAAGTAGGGCAGATCAGTCACTGACCAGCAGACTCGGATACTCGCGTACCATTGACTGACCTGATTGCAGCGTTGGTCTCATTGTAGCTCGCACGTCGACGCCAGAGTCCGTAGAGTAGATCATCTTCGCTTAGCTCGCTATAGGTCTCGGCTAACGCATCCAGAGTCATTTCGCGCACGCTGTCCTCCTCCCTCGGATTTTCCAGCGTCTCTTGAAGAAGCTCGAGACCTGTGTGCCAGGCGTTGAAGGTTTTGGCGAGATAACGAACAACATGGGGAGGTAGTGTCGGCGCGGGCGAACAAGCAAGTACACCCGCCAGCAGCGTCTGAATTGCGTTTGGACGGCGGTCGATGCTCTTGAGATGATACTCCTTGGTGATGAGCGAAACAATGAGTCGGGTGAGATCAAGATGTTCGCGACGGTTAAGGCAGGCCCAGCTCGTCTTGAACGTCGATATCCAAAGCGCGTGCGTAGCCTGCGGATCGGCATAAAGAATCTTGCGGGCGGCGCCCAGGAGCATACCAGAAGTGTAGGAGCTCAACACTTCGACGAAAGGCGGTGGGGATGAATCATCGGTGTCCATCGTTGCATCGGGCATCGCGTTCAGGACCGATTTTGGAGACGACGCCACGAACAGCGGCTCGTCGGGATCGACACTGCCGAGAAGCAAATCGAGAGCTTGATGGATCCAGTAGGTATCGCCTAGGGGCTCCCAACTCTGGACTCCAAGTATGTAGTGTAAGCGACTGAAGAGAGATGTGGCGAGGCTGCCGTCGAATGTGCCGAGGAACTTGGACCGCATGACCGGATCACGTGCACGGCATCCCATGAGGAAGGCGGGCTCGAGTTTCATTGTCAGGTCGGAGCGCGCAAGTGCTGGATTCGAGTAGATGTCTAGGATCAGTGAGAGATAGTCGCGGTGCAATGGCTCGTTCCCCCGTGCCTCGTACGCCATCATCTTGTGCAAAATGCCGGCTTTCTCCCTCATGGTCGGAAACGGCTCATCGTGATCGGTCACCCACTTGCGCGTCATCTGGAGCAGGAATCGGCAAAGCTCGACATTGTTGGACTTCTCGACGAGCTGGACGATCGAGCTAAGTAACCAACGGCGATGCTCGCCGAGATGAGAAACGCGCTGGCGAAGAAGCTCCAGGCTCGAGACGAGGAGGCGAAGCGTGGGGTCGCCTGGAACTGGTGCTGTAGAAGTGCTGACGACATGGTCCTTGGTGTACTTGGCACACGCTCGAGCGATGAGGGAGATAAACTCATCCACGCACTCGGGGGACGCCTTGGCCCAGGCCTGAAGCACAAGCATTGTCGGGGGCATCTGCGTGATCGTGCCCAAGTTTTTGTTGATCATGTTCCTCGCCCACTCAAAGAAGGCGACGACCTCGGGCGTTGCCTCGGTTCCCTCGCCGCCGACGCCCCTGGGAAGCGCGTCGAAGGTGCGCTCGAGAACTGGTCGCAACGCAGTCTGCAGACGCATCTCGTTGATCACCATACTTGGTGCTCCCAACGGCTGGCCAGGGATGGATTTGCTTGGGGAAGGCATAGCGACGATCGAATATCCCTTATCGAAGATGAGCTGCAGCGTCGCGATATTCGAGATATACCAGTCGGGCGACTTGTGCAGAGAGACGACGTTCAACACCTCGGCCGAGTTGCAGAGCGTGATGAGCGTAGGCTCCGGAACGTCGGTCTGTACGCCGGCGAAGGTGCGTTGAAAGAAGGCGAGCTTGACATGCAGATCGTTCCACACATTAGGGCTAACGAGCTCCTTGAGCAGAACGAGCGCGCGCGCGACAAAGTTATTACGCAGGAATGCCTCCGGCGAGTTGGCGATGAATCGCAGCAGATTGTTGATGACTTGGTCACGCAGAACGACGGGAACGGCATAACCACCTGTGCGATCAGAAGTGCTGGTGGTAGAGGGCGCAGTCGAACCCGCGCGGTCCTTGCCTGTCCTCTTTGGCGAGCCCGCAACGACATCGGTCAAGTCCGCATCAACTTCCATTTTGGTCATCTCTTCGAGCTTGGCCGCTTCGATCCGCTTCTTCTCCCATTTGAGAATGAGCTCAATGACGTCCAGGGTGAGGACGCGCGTATCAGAGGTCGTCGTGGAACTGAGCGTCAATTTGGCAAGCGAAGCGACCATATGTGGAACGAAGAGCTCGCGCGTAGGGTAGAACAGATCAGGATGTCGGACGATGAGTTGATAGATATTGACGAGCAGAGCCATGCTACCACTATCCTCGACCAGGATCTTGCGCGTCCATTTCGCCCAGTATGTCGAGTCAGCCGCGACGGAAGCCGGCCCGGCGCCAACTCCGGGACCCATCCGTTTGGGCAAAGACGGGGCCAGAATGTCTAGTGCTTCACGAACGAGGGCGCGAGCCTCGGGTTGGTGGGCCTTTAGAAGCGCAACATAGATTTGGACAACGATCTTGCCCGGCGACTCGTAACGCTCGAGGAAGGACGCGATAAGCACATATGCTGCTTGCTTCACGGTGATGTCCTCAAGTTTGATTGTAACCCAGCCAAATTTGATGACGTCCTTCTTGTTGTCAAGAACCAAATGTGAGTAGGATTTGATCAAAAGCGTTGACATGTGGCATAGCTCGACCCGAAGTGCTTCGTCCTCAAAGGTTGTCAAGTCGGGTACGGTCGTCAACAGCGGTTGCCATACCTTGGCGTGGACCTTGTTGATGAAATCCCCGTCGATCAGGTTGTTCTCGCCAGCACCTCGGGACGACGAGATAAGCAAAATCGGATTCGTGAGCATGCGTAACGCGGCCGTCTTGTGCGCCTTGGCCACCGCTGGATTCTCGAAGATGTCAATGAAGCGATCGAGGATTGCCCGCTTGAATTTTACATCATGGCTCAGAGCGACGTGCTGGTTGAGGAATCGCGTCAAGACGGTGAGGTTGGCCGAGTTCCAGAAAGTGAAGGCGTCGACGACATGGAACAGAAGGTCGATGTGCTCCGCCTGTTCAAGATACGCGATGAAGATGTCCAGAACAACGGCGTCCTCGCGCAGTTGTTGGAAATGTGCATCACCCTCGGCCGCGAGCCGCTGGCGTCGAATGTCCGAGACCCAGCGAGTGATTAATTGGCCAAGCACACCCGAGCATTTGACGATCCACGTTCGGTCGATCTCGATCAGTTCGCGCATGACTAAGGCAGCATGATACCCGACGTCACCCTCAGATTCGAACGATGAGATGAACAGCTGATTGACTCCCGAAGTGATCTGGTCCCGGATCGGTTCCGAAAGCTCCGAGGCGATGACAGCGCGGAACGTGGTGACGAAGCGAGCGTCGGCGAGTCGCGCAAAGAAGAACTGAACAGCTTCGCCCGGGTACAAGCGAAGGTACTTGGTCAAAGGAACCGTGAAGACGCTCGTCTTGAGCTTCTTAAGCTGCCGCTCTGCGTCTGCGACAAGGGTAACAAGTGCTTCGATGAAGATGTTCGCCGCCGGATGCGGCAAGAGGTGAAAAATGTTGATGATCGCAGCCATGATCTCCAGAACCCCGTCTTCGGACGATTGCTTCGTCGAGAGGCGTTGGAGATCGGCAGGCGTTGCAAGTGCCTTGAAATGATCGATGAGCTTGTGACCGATCTCGACCTTGAAGTAGTTCGTCAACAACTGAAGAAGACGAGCAAGACCCTGCATTTAGGATCGGGCGCGGGGAAGAATCGGAACCTTATCGTCAGTCCGGAAAGTCCACAGAGACTCGTAAACCCTGGCAAGACCTACCTGCAAACTCGCGACCGACAACTTCTTGTGATCCGCCAGGTTGACCAGTACAGGCTTCAGCCCTGATTGCAAGAGGTCTTTTGGTAATTTGCCTTGCTGCGCCATGACCTGCCTGAGGCTTTCGCATGCCGCGTCGACGACCTCGGGCGCTTTGGCGTAGAGCAGCTTGAAGTAGACCGAGAGTGCCTTCAGTCGAGTGGGCTGGTGTTGCGGCTTGTTGAACTCGGGATTCGACAACGCAGCCGAAAGCAACTCGACGCACACGACCCGCAACTGCGTCAATGGCGCCGTGGTCTTCGTCGTCATCTTGCCTCCCAGCAAGGCAGCATCCTCCGCATCGGCGATGCCGAGCGCCTCGTGCAGCAATCGAGATAGCTGCTCGTCGAAGTCGATCAACGGAGGGTCGAGAGTGATGCAGAATGTAACAGCGTCTATGTGCCCGATCTGCATCATGAAGCCGAGCGCACGCAACGGTTTGGTGAAGATAGGCGTAATCAGCCGATCCCGAACCGGCATCAATAACTCCGTCAGCGGCGTCGAAGTCAGTTCGGACAAGATCTTGAGAGCCTTCTTGACCGTCTCTCGCACACTCGAAATCTGACTACAAAGCTCGAGCAGGAGCAAGCCGACGAGATAGTTCAACTGATTGTTAGACGCCGGAGTGTTCTCGCGCGCGCCGGGGCCTGAACAGACGCGGACAATGTGCAGTAGCGTATCCGACACGAGCTCGTGGTTGATGGGGGCTTCGCCAGGCATATCCTTCAGACTGAACAAGAGAGCGCGCGTGAACTCGATCTCGTGGTCCAACATCCACCGTGTCTCCAGCCCGACTTTGTCGGTCAGGATCGAAAGACCCATCGCGGCGCCCGTCTTGCGCTGCCACGAAGGATCGTAGCACAGGGACGAAAGGCGACTGCCAAGCTGATGCAACAACGCCGTTGCCGGGTCAAGGCGGGGTGGCCCCGTCGTCGGGTTCGCCGAGGCAGTGGCAGCGGCGGCGGAGGACGCCGTGGTCGTGCCAGGGTCGCGAGTCGCAATGAGATCTTCAACGATTCGTTGCGTCTGCTCGGCAGCCTTGGGCAGGTCGGCATTCTCCACGCCGCAGATGTTTTCGATGATGCCGTCGAGGAGGGCTGAGCACAGAGGCAACACTTGCTTGGCGTAGGCAGGATTTTCTGGCAATTCCTTTCCGAGCTCGAGAGAAAAGATGTGGCGCGCAAGATTGAAGACATAATCGTTCGCCTCTACAGCGAATTCTTCGACCCGTGTTGCATCGAATAGACCTTTCAAGATCTGGCCGAAGGTTTCCTCTGGTTGTCCGGCAGGTAGACCGTTGCGAAGGAAGATAGCGACAGCGTACTTGAGAAATGAGTAGGCAGCACGACGATAGTAGGGATCGCCGCGGCCGAGCATGCGCACGGCGACATTGACGATCGGGGCAATATGCAGGCTCGCGTCCTTGCCTTCGAATTTGACGTTGAGCAGAGCTTCGGGTCCAACCGGCTTCCACTCGAGCTTGGGAGGGCCAAAACCTTTACGGTTACGACCTCCGATCTTGCCGAGGATGCGCATCGTAGTGTGAGCGTGTTGGTGGTTGAAGGGCAAAGGGCGGAGCAGTTCCCAAAGGCCGACCATCACTTCGTCGATCACCGGTGTCATCAGAGGGTTAAGAAACTCTTGCGTCAGGTTGTCGACGCACAGCTCGAGCGTGCGAAGGCCTTGGCTGACGAGTTCGGAGCTCGCGCGGAGTGCGTGCACGAGTGGCCGCATCAGGAAAGACAAGTACGGCAAAAGCACCGAAAGCCGCACGGGCACGGTCAGGATGAGCTCGGCGAAGAGATCCTTCTTCGACTTGTCCGCCGCTTTGAGCAACGCGTTCAGCTGTTCGAGCAGGCCCTGTAGCAACGGCAGCACTTCGTTGTACAAGATTTCGAATCGGCCACCTCCAATCGAGCGGAAGAGAGCGCGCAGCAACAGGTAGTAGGCGTGGGGTTCCGCGGCCTGGCTGGCGAGCTTGAGCGAATTCATGATCAAGTTCGAGAGGTGCGGAAGCAGAACGGGCTCGTTCTTCTCGGGAAAAATTGTGACCGCCATGAACGACATCTTGTACAGCCGCAGAGTGACGGACATGTAATCTTTGTACTCCTTGCCCGCTTTGCCGAGATCTGGAAGTCTCGATGCGAGGAATCGGAAGAGAATCGCGACAAAGTGCTGCGAAACCATCTCGTTCGACAAAAGCGTTTGCGGTATAACGAGAAGCTCGTGGTTCTAAAGTGTGTGTTGAAAGAACTTCCGAAGTCAGCCGCGAGCTCGCTGGGGGTTGACGTCTATTCCGGATAGTAGAACCTGAGGGACACTCACCCGAATCAACTCGGTGAAGAAGAAGCCAATGCAATGCTCGATCACTTCTTGGAGGATGACAAGCTCGATCTGAATCAGCGTCGAGCTGAAGACCTCCATGACCTCCTTCTGCTCGCGACCTTGATCGCGAGAAGAGTCGAAGAGGACCATGCACTTGACGGAGGCTCGGAAGAAGCGACACATCATCTCTGCGTCCGGACCTTTGCCTTCGAGCTTGATGAGCGCGCTGGTGATCGTCTTGAAGCCGAAGAGGAGGTTCCTGAACAGAAACCGTGCGTCTGTGGACAGCAGCGATGGGACGAAAGGCGCGGCGACGCAGGAAAGCCTGTTAGCGACTGCCGAATAAAAGTAATTGTTTGCTCTCTCAAACTCGACTCACCCTTGATAGGATCCGGCCCAGGATCTGTCATGATCATAGCCTTCTTCATCGGCTTCGACCGCTCGATATCCACGTCGTCCAGCTCTGGTATCGGCACGTCCTCGCCTGCGCCGTCCTCATCCTTCTCCTTATCGTCACCTCCTTCGAGCTTCGCCCGAGCAGCAGCGGCATCGTCATCGTAATTCATGGCATCCGTAGCGTCAGCGATCTGCGCGGCTTCCTTCTCCTTCCCTTTGCTCTTGCCCTTCGACTTGCCCTTGCCCTTGAGTGCCGTGGGAGGCGCGGTTTTGGACACGGCGCTCGCTTCGATCGACTCCTTGCGCTCGCCGCGCAACTTCTCGATCCTGGCCAACAGGTGCGGCAGCGGTTCGCGCGGTTTGGACCACTTGCTCCATTCGTCCCGGACTTCGGCGAGCGCCTCGATCTTGGACACGAAAGCGATGAGCATGCGCTGTAGGATCTTGATGGCCTCGCTCGGTTCTTTGGTTGCGATTGGCTCGATGAGGTTCAGCAGCAGCTTGGAGCACATGGTCTGTATCGCGGCGGCCAAGGTCGGATCGTGGATGTTGGCCGAATAAGTGTGGACGATACGCGACAGTTGCGACAGCGACAGCTCGCTGCGAACATGGTGGATCAAGTCAGCCAGCATCGAATAGGCGAGAGGGCGCAACGATTCGTAGCCTGTGACCGAGTTGCCGACGAGGACGTGGTCGTCGAGCAACGTGTCGATCTGACCGAGGAACGCGGACCGCAGCTCGCTCTGGAGGATGTGACGGGTTGCAACAACGAGATCACGCTTCATCGCCACCGCCTCGGATGGGCAATCCTTCATCAAGCGGACGGCGATGTCAGGGAGGATGTTGAGATAGGACGAAAGGGCGCTTTGCGACACTCGCAGCATGTAGGCAAGGAACGACATAGTCTGGGTAATGGAGAGGTGAGACTAAGTTATCAGCAAGAAGCATCCAGTGGCATTTGATGAGAGAGGGTTGTGTACTACCTACCTTGGTCTGCGCCAAGACCATATCCTGGAACGCCCCGCGCTTCGCCTTGGGAATCTCGGGGCATGTGCCGACCCAACTCTTGCCCGGCTCCATACTGGCGTGCTTCCGCGCTTGCGGCGCCGCCTGGAGCTGCAGAAAGTCGAAGACGAGGGGCACAAAAATGGTGATTGCTTTATCGACGTAGGAGCGGTACGTTTGAAAGATGAAGACGATCGCAGCTGGGCAGTCTTGCAGCAGCTTGAATGACTTCATCGCCGGGGCATGGATGACGGCCCCGGCTCCGCCCCCTTCAGGTCCCTCGATCGTGGGGGGTGCAGCCGCGGCGGGCGAGCTTGCCTCTTTGGACCCAGCGGTCTCGGATGAGAATGTCTCGTCGACGACGGCGCCCATGCCTTTGAACAAGTCGGCAACGATCCCGAGGAACTCGTCGACCGAGGCCTCGATTTTGACGGCGGTCGGATCGGGCATTGAGTCCTGACCCGAGATGGCGCCACTCGCGAGAGGGTGGGGCCCGCGAGAGTAGGTACGATGCAGGTCGATGATGACTTTCATGCACAACACGGCGTTGTCCTCGTTCTCGATGCGCAGTAATTTGAGGAGAAGGATCATGAGCGGGGGCGCATGGGACCGGAGTGGCTCGACGTGAGGCAGACGATGCAGTATTTGTATAAGTAGGTTCCGAAGCCGCTTTTTGATGGATTGATGTGACGAGTAGTTGAGACGGAATCGGAACCAGTGGTCAACCAGTGAAACGACCGAAGAAGCTTAGCCAGGGCCACGGGCGCCCTACGACTCACATTCTCGGTTGAAGCTCCGGCGAACGAGGGCTTGCCGTGGGAAAGGATGTCGATGAAACAGGGTAGAAGTGTGTCAAAAAAGCGAGCGACGTCCATGTCACGTTGATACATATCGACGCTGTCCCTCAGCTCGGTTGCGATATTGATCTTGTGCTTTGAATCTGTCTCGATGAGAACGTGTTTCAAGGCGTCAGTCGCAGTCGAGAGGAGACGGCGATGACATGTCCTATAGGGCACATCAAACCACGGGACCAGTGGTGGATGTACTGACCGAGTCCGGGGTCCGACAGCTTGGCGGCGACCTGTTCAAACTCCTGCCCGGCCAGCGCTGCACCGGCGGCCGGGCCAAAGGTCGATCCACCGAGCGCAGGTGCATGGGTCGAAGCACTCGCGGTGCCGGTTATGGTCATCGAGGAGGAAGGAATCGCCCCATTGTTCAGGGTCGATGCAGTTGAGGCCCCAGCAGCGCCAGCAGCGCCAGCAGCGCCAGCAGCGCCAGCAGCGCCAGCAGCGCCAGCAGCGCCAGCAGCGCCAGCAGCGCCAGCAGCGCCAGCAGCGCCAGCAGCGCCAGCAGCGCCAGCAGCGCCAGCAGCGCCAGCAGCGCCAGCAGCGCCAGCAGCGCCAGCAGCGCCAGCAGCGCCAGCGACCGCAGCCGTGGGGGCGGTCGACTGCCTTCGAGCCGTGGCCGACGTCGAGCTCGCCATGGTCCTCGAGACGCGACAGAGAAGCGCGACGTCAGACGTGACAGAGAGCGGGATGGAGGGACGAAGAGGAAGACGTCAGACTCGGAGGAGGACGAGTTGTGCTCCCTCGCACGAGCGACGAGTCGGGCAAGCCGGTGGCAGCGGTGAGGCCGCACACGGTGGTGTGGTGATGGACTGGTGGGCGAAAGCTGGCGAAAGCTGGCGAAAGCTGGCGAAAGCTGGCGAAAGACGCGGGCTGGCGCGGCCGGCTGACTGCCTGGCAGTGCCTGGCTGCTGCACGCCGCACGGGTAGCTACGGGTAGTGCACGGGTCTGCAAGGGTCTGCAAGGGTCTGCATGTCTTCACGGGTTGGCTTTCGCTCAGCACTCGCTAAGCTGCACGAGGCTGTACTATCGTCTGACCAGTGACGGCCAGTGGCTACGCCAGGCTCGGCTTCGAGTTGGCACTGGGCAGGCCCGGATTTTTTACTGCAATGGCTCCCAATTTGCGGAGTCCCAAACGTCCAGCGCTTGGAGTGTGTATCACCTGTAGCATCACTATCCAGTCTATCCTCGCCGCCGCCGCCATGGCAAGGCCTGCGGGAGTCACAGAACTATCTGGCACTCGACTTACTCGGCCGGAAACTTGGAAGAGTAAACTTCTCGGATGTATTCAGTATTGGCGATGATTCCGGTACAGCACTGCAGATAGGTTGAGCGGGTCATCACCGAGGATTTCGGGGCAAGCGCCCGTGTCACATCAAGTATCACCACTTGCAACACAAATACCGAGTTGAAATGTCGTGCCGAGTCCCGACTGGAACGACTCCGGAGTCGACTCAACCAGAGGAGCTGCTGATCAGTAGCTGATCTCTGCTGAGCTCGGGGCTGTAATAAGGCGACTTAGGCGAGGTCTGGCGAATTTTGATGCATTTATGACCGGCGCCTCTTCACGTCTCTTCTCGCTCGGCTGCTTCCGATGAAGCTACGGTAGAATCTCAACGCGATCGGTGTATAGACTGCTCAACGTGGCCCGCCAATGGGGCCTGCACCGTTCGTGCTACCCGGTTATGCCTGGGACGGCACTCGGTTCTACAAGTCCCTGCCCGGGGCGACTGCGACGTTCCAACCCCCACCGCATGCCGAAACGGAATCGCGCGGTTCCACCTCGTCATCGAACCATAGCGGCGGGCGCCTCAAGCGTGCCAAGAAGCACCACGCCTCGCAGCCACGCATCCCGACCTTAGACATTCAGGATGCAGGATCGACCAGTAGACTGAGGCACATGGCCCTTCTCGCTCCTGGGCAGCAGGTGCTGATGAAACAGTCAGTCTTTCGCACGATGCACCTTTGCCGGCCGAGTCGGGAGCCGTGTCATGAGCTCGCACATGGGCCTTGAGATCCGTTCGGCAGGACTGGTTGACCAGAAAGGACTAAGGTCGCATTCTCCCTCAACGGCTCGTGCAGTGATCTCGAATGCCTTTCGTGGCGACATTACCGCTCAAGCTCGGTCGTCGTTCCCGACTGCCTCATGATGGACGACACCATCACCGCTATCAGTATCGACGACGAGAACCCCACCACCTTTCGTATCGGAACACAAGGCGGAAGCATATCGTGCGTTGGGATCGATCGCTCGTGGGGCCAAGAAGGCACTGCCATGGTCATGGCCACCATCCTCAGCTGACCCGACGCCTTGCGCAATTTTTTCTCCTCCTTCCTCTGCACAGCACCGGGAATCTCGCTCGTCTCGATGATCCCGACGGCTATTACCCACATGACGAGATGGGGTGGCGGCCGAGTTGGGTTTTCGCCTCTCGGATCACCTCCCTTGCTACGTGCGGATCCCGTTTCCTGTAAGTCAAGTTTAAAGACATACACTTGGGCCTTCTCAGTTGACCCGGGGGTCGTCTTCAATTCGCCGACTTGACTGACCTCGGGTCGCTGGTCGCACATGATGCAGAGCAACTTGCCTCGGCCCCCCCCTGCAGCGGTGGTCTCTCAAACCAACGAAACCATTTCTCTAGCGTGAGTGGAGTAGCTACATCCGCTACGACCGCTCAAACGTTTATCGCCGGTTCCAAGGACTTACATGCCGCTCGGCCTCGCGCTGCTGTTCTCGCCAGCTCTGTCACTTTGTCCCCTCGCAAAACTTCGCTTTGGACATCCGCCTTATCTCCCTCCCTGATAGCCCTGGGTCAGTCCGTTCGAGAATACGACAGCTCTCCCATGCTGTCGCCGAAGCTCATCTCCCCACCTGCACCCAGGCTGCGATCGGAAAGTTTTAATCTCCCGAGACCCGTCTCACGCAGCGATGAATGGCTACTCGACTGGTGGGCGGCACGGCGATGGTGCGGTGTTCGCCCTCGATCTCGGCGAGGTGAGCTGCACCAATACCCGTGAACCCTGTGTTTTTCTATCACGAGACAAGGTTTGCTGAACTTGTTGGAGAGCTTTGTAGAACATGGTCCTCGCGGGCACGAGATCAGGTCGCGTCAAGATCTTCGATGTCAGGTCTCCCTGCTCGGCGGAGATCAATCGAGAAGATCCTACAAGACCCGAGGTCAGTTGATTTCTGACAGCGCTCCAACTCGAATAGAAAATTACACGTGGCTGATGCATGTGTACTTCTACCCAGCTTCAACTTTCATTCACAAGCTCCGTCACACACATTCGGAAACTTTCTTGCCACTCTGGCACGACTTGGGAGGATCCCCGCCAAGTGCTCGTCGCCACACTGGACGGTCACCTCCAAGCACACGATCTGCGCTTCGCCACATCGAGTCTCTCGGATGAATCCCGCTCGTCACCTTACAAATCTTTATCTCGCTCCGTTGCTATGGATCTCAAGGGGCACGTCAATACAGTCTCTCGCGAGTTGGGACTGGCGCTCTCCCCGAAAGTAACCTACCGTGGACGTTCAAGCGACCTCAGGGGTCAAGAGGCGTCAAATTCCTTCGTAGCCATGGCAGGAGAAGACGGTATCGTTCGAATATGGTCACTCAAGACGGGAAGACGAATACTCGCGTCCGATGTATCCGAGCCCAACGCACCTGCCGAGCTTTCGACCTCGACTTCGTTGCTGACGCGCCGGTTTTCGGAGCCGATTCGCGCGATGGCTTTTGGCCCTCCACCACCAGTCTTTGGCTCTGGCACCATAGGAAATGATGCGAACTATGAAACAAGGCCAGTTTCGAACTCCAGGGAGGATCTGGATACCCTATGGGTCGCGGATGGAGTCGCGCTGGAGGCCTTCCAACTGCAATGAGTTGGCAGCCGGTATGCACATTGAAATCGCTGAGGGACCGGTCCGATTTCACGGTACCGCCAGTATACAAAGCAACAGAGCAATACGACAGTCGACAGCGACGAGGCGTAGCGGTAGTACGAACGAACAGATTCCACTGGCGAGACACTCGCGCATAATCAGAGCGAGTCTTTGGTTCCAGCGCGCATAAGGACATCTCGGCTGTGCCGATGATCAGTTTCTCGATAGACGGGAACGGCTGAGCCGGTCGAGCCGGCTCCATGAGAGGGCAAAAACACGTGTCTTCCACCCTCGCCTCGGCTGATCTTCATAGCGGCACCCCACAAGCGACGGCATGGTATGATCGAAGGAGAGATGTGCGCCAAAGCGCGATTGGAGGGCGGATGTACGAAGCGAGATAAGTCGTGGGCGATGGCGTTCTGCTCGCCAGCCACGTGCGCGACTTTGAGGTCGAAGTTGCGAAGAAAACTGATCTCGTAGGCTGCTAGAGTGAGTGTGTGCAATGATTTGAAGTCTGTGTCGTGCACGTGAGAAGAGGCGTAGACCGCCTGCGCGGAGTCGGTCTGAACCAAGACGCGCCGGAAGAGATCATCCGTGGCGATGTCAGGGGCTCGGACGACCGTCAACGACTCTGCGAATTGAAGCCTCTGGAAGGTGCGCCGGGGGCAGCAATAAAAGTGGTGATGGGCACAGGTCGCGACGAGTCAATAGCCGAGCCCTGCCCCTGTGTTGTCGGCATTCCGCAGACACGCATCCGTATAGATCACAAGGCGACAACCCCCATATCTGCACCATCGAGTAAGGATGGGCGACGCGAGATCGAGAGTGGGACCCCGAGCGATCAACCCTGCCACTTGCATTCAAGCCTCCGTCACGTCCTTATTGACAGGATCTCCGCCATCGGGGTTGACTTTGCCCCTGGTCTTGTTGTAGAGTGGGCATGACGGCCGAGCCTTCCAGCGCCACATTGAGGGCCCAGCTCGAGGAATCCGTCATTCGTCGCCACCGTCGGAGGGTCGCATGCCTGCTCGGCGTCTGCACTGGGAACGATCGATCGCGGCTGCTAGCTTCGTGACTGCTGCGGGCGTGAGAAATACGCTGAACTCGTCCGAGTCGCAGTTGATGCCGCTGCGGCGTCCGAAGGGGTCTTTGTTCGTGGCGAGCTAGGAAAGAGGTCCATGAATCGCCCCCAGTCTCGCCATCGCCGCTTGCTGCGCAGGGGTCTTGTAGGTGACGCCGTCATGATGGACGAACGGGAAGAGATCGCATACTAGATCGATCCCGAATGCGTCGTCCCACACTCCTCTTGTTCTAACACACTCGACTATCCCTCTCTCTTAACAAGGGCGATGAAGCACGGTGTAAGCCGAGAAGAAAAGCGAAAGTTTGTATTGGTCAGCAGAACGAAGACCTTTGCAGCACCGGAGGGGCAACAAAGCTACTGGACCCGAAAAAAGGTGGTTTTGCCTTTACGAGGCGTTCCGAAACTAACAATGGTCGAATCCGTAGGCGTTCGAAACGAGTCAATGTTGCAAGTTTCACCGCAAAGGGCAATGAAAAGTGAGGATCAGATCACGTCGCACGTAGGCACAACAAGGTCGTTCAAACTCGGAAGGTGGGAAGGCGAAAAGAAAAGCACAACAACGGACTCTTTCGAAGGGAAGGGAGAAAGCGGGTTGATGATGGTCGGCGGGAAGACATTACACGAAAGTCGTCACAGAGTGGGAGATAGTGATCTTGAGCTGGCGACCAGAGGCGAAGTGATTCGACAAAGGCGGACGCTGGGGGGGGGGGGGGATAAATTCCTACAACGAATAAAACAAGCGACCGGGAACAGAGAGGCGAGGACGACGAAGAAACAAGGGCATAAAGCCCTCACTTCTTGCCCATCTTCATCTGAGACATCTGCATGCCCTGCGGGGGAAGTTGTCCGGGTACCTTGATCAAGTTCTGCACGGGGCGCCCACGCGCATCCAGGTCAGTCGTCGTTGGTTCACAGCAGTAGGGCAAGACGAAACGCACCTTGTGGATATGGGGCAAGACACCACCACCAGCGATGGTTGCGCGGATGAGCGAGTCGAGCTCTTCGTCACCTCGGATGGCGAGTTGCAAGTGACGGGGAGTGATACGCTTGACACGGAGATCCTTCGAGGCGTTACCTGGTTGTGATCACGAAAAGAAGTCGAGATTGTCAGTTGCTGCGAGTCAGGCTGGCTTTTGCATTGTCGCAGTGGACTGACCAGCGAGTTCGAGGACTTCGGCGGTGAGGTACTCCAGAATGGCCGAGGCGTACACGGCAGCCTTGGCACCGACGCGCATGTTGTTCTGGGTGCGGGCCTTGAGGTAACGATGGATACGACCGACAGGGAACTGTAGAACGATTGGAAAGACCAGAGCAAATATGCGCATCAGCCAATCTGGGTCTGCCTGAGCGGGCGTTGCTGAGGTCTGGTGTGGCTCGGGTTGATGCACACAGTGTCGGGTTATGGCGATGGCGGCGATCCATGACGAATTGCACAAAGCGAAAACAAGTCGGAGCATCGACATTGCTTTGTTTTCTGTGATCGCGGATTCTGCTCGCTCGAATGGGCGCCTGGGCTGGTAGGCAGATCGGCCAAACAAAAGAGACACGCGGCGCGCGTCGAGGCGCCTCGACTCGGGTCAAAACAAGGCCGCTGCCAGACTGGACCGTGCGCGCGCCCTCGGACCCACCCAGCGTTAGGGCGAGCCACGGGCAACTGCAACGATGTGGATGAGCGGTCGAACGTGTTGTTGAGAGAAGATGTAGAATGTTGGGATTGGTTGTTGCAGGCCACTGCGCAGTCGCCTGCCGCTCGAGCCGGGCGAGCTTGATTGTCGAGCACCACCACCCGGCATGACGGGCGCGACGAAACGAGACGAGTTGTGGAGTAGGTATTCGACGATGCACTCACTTGAAGGCCAGCCTTCTGGGACCTGGTCGACTGAGCCTTGGGATCTCCACCGGCCTTGCCACCTTTGCCACCCTTGCCGCCCTTTCCTCCGGTCTTGCCTCCAGCGCCTGCGCGAAGGGGAGCAGGGGGGTTTGGTGACCCGTCAGCCGTCGGCGGTCAGTTCAGACGTCCTCCCCATGTCACATCTGTTCCCGTTCGCGCCACGTGACCCAGGGGAACGCACCTCCAGACGACATGTTTGATATAGTGGGGTTGAAAAGGGTGGGGGTCGGGGTGACGAGATGAGCTTGACTGGGCGCGAGTTGGAAGGCTACTAACACGCGAGGTTCAAGGTTGCGAGATGGCAGTCGGAGGGCAAAGGCGACACAACCCGACCCGCTCCCATGCGCGCCAGACCATCTCGGCCGTCGACGTCGCGGACCCGACTCGACCTAGGTGAGGGTACCCACGATGACAACAAATAAAACCTCGGTTTCCACCACCACGTTCTTGAGTAGACTGAGTAGTCCTCGAGTGCTTGACCTCACTACTCGTAAGAGCGGGATCTTGGTAGTCACATATTCTTGACAGGTCGTTTGCAGGTACCAGGTATGGACCTACAGCATATTGTGCAATCCTCACCTTCATCTCCGGATTGCGACTCGAGTCGCAGCTCACTCCGACTGCCAGCGTCTGCGTGTTCGGTCACGTGATAATGTGACCTTAAGCTGAGATTCGTGGATCCAGCTATGCAATGATTTCAGGGCGAGTTGTGGTCCGGAGCTAGTGCAATACTACCTCATAGTAAGTAAATACTCCGCGATTAGCTGCTCTGAATGCATGCGTCAGGATTCGAATTGCCCAGGCGACGGCGCCCCGTGGATTCTCGCCGACTCGAACCCTTGTTGGCACCCTCATCAATTCAACTCCGCGTCATACTCATCGACCTTTTCTTCGAAAGGATAGAAGACCCACGACTCTGATGACCTCTTGAGTCACGAAGGCAATGCCCTGAATATGGAAGGTGAAGGCGACCCCAATGCGCAAGTGCGATACCAGCTCACTCAATCGTCGGCGCTCCCATCGGAATCTCCCGACCTCGACTTCGACGTCGGATGTGATATCATTCGTGACCGAGCGCTTATCGTCACGCCTCTTCAAGTCTGTTGCGTACGTTGCGATACTCATCGATTCAAGGAGCAGGTAGCCCATGTTTATTTGTCGGCGCCAACGAGTCTGCGATTGTCACAGTACATCGATGTGAGGTTCGATCTCTCTGGCCATCGCCAAGGAAATTCGAGCCCGCCACTGTGGTGTGACCGCTTAAGATTATAATGGCGAGCTGTTTTTTTCGCTTCAAGAATCATTCATCGGATTCCCCGATGTGTGTCTTTGAAAGGACACAGGCCCACGTCAGTCAACTGTCGCGCCATTTGCGACTCGACAGAAAACTGACTAATTCGACCCTCAACTGGGTACCCATAGCTGATGATGCCTGCGGGCGCTATTCCCTTGGCGCATTCTCTTGATCTGGATCACAAAAGACAATCCTCGACACGGCTGTATTCGATCGGCTAGAGTCTAGTCCTGCTGCCAGTACACTCCTGAGTTCTGCCCAATTCATTCAACTGGCCAAGACGCAGCAGCTTCGAATCCTCCACACCTCTGAATAGAGGTACATTATCTCCCCCTTGTTGGTTCTCTTCTGTTTTTTGGTTGAGAGTTTTATGTTTTTTGTTTTTGTTTTTGTTTTTGTTTCGCCGCGTTGGAGAGCTCTCCAGTAACCCAGCTCCGCGTCGGAACTCGTAGTAAATCGCGGAGGAAGCAAGGTCGCCCGCTCGGACAAAACTGGTGAGCAACAACCACTGTATCGAACGCGGCGATCTCAACTTTGGGGTGGTTCTTCTCAGAGCTCGCCCAATCTGCCCACACTTGACCGAGCTTGATCGACAAGGTATTTGGTCTTTCCCAAAGGTAGACCGTTGGCCTCAATGTGGGGTGCACTGTCCCCTATCCGCGAATTCGCTTCAGGTCAGCCGCGCGCGGCGCTCAGCTCGGCATCGGCAGGGCTGGTGAGGTTGTGACTACAGCCTGGCAACATGCGATGACTCATTCAGCCAAGTGCGCCACCCCGCATCCAAGTCAGCAACCACCTCGAGCTCGTCGTCTCTCTCTCTCTGTGTGTCTCCTTCCTGTTCCTCGTCGACGCGCTCTGCACTTCTCGCACTACGTAGGATTGCCGACATCGCCCTCCTTTTAAGGATGAGACGAAATGGTGGCCTATGGGGTGTGGTAGATAGTAGCGTTCGATCACCCCCCTTCCACCTTCTCTCTCTCTCTGTGAGTTAATGCCTGGTGCGACTCAAGCGAGCTCGTTCGTGCCTCGAGCGGTGATGCTGACTTGATCGTGGCCACGCCACCCACTCACCTCGCCTTCACCTCCACCTCCACCTCCATCTCCACCTCCTCATCTCCTCCTCGTCTCGTCTTCATCCCATATCATTACACCCCTCATTCGACACTCCTCTCACCTCCTTCGAGTCTCACCCCACCTCAACCTCATCTGGGCTGACCATCGTTTCACCCCACCTCGATTCCCCCTTTACCGTGACCTCACCTCACGCCTCTCACCCGCTCTCAACCCACCTCACATCTCGTTCACCTCGTCTTATCGTCGTCATCTCATCTCACTCGTGTTTGACCCCGACCATTTTGCCATCCCCAGCCTTCCTCCCCGACTCGCCGGAGTCCTTCCTTTCCCTCGTTGACGTGCTCTACGGTTCTCGCACCACTTCATCTTGCGGATGGTAGACCCCTTTTCGATACGAATTGGGGCTTTATGTGGTGTGGTAGAGGTCGTATTTGAACCCCTCCCATCGTCCAGAGTGCGGGTTGCCACCCAGCGAGCGGAGCGTGTTCGGGCCGCAAACGTCGTGCTGACTCCGAGTCGTCGATCCCGTGCACCTTTCGAGACCCGTCTTGTCTCTTGTTCGCCCATTCCACCTTCTATCCTCCAGCACACCACCTCCATCATTTTTTCGCCCCGGCTAATCTCTTACCTCTCACCTCTCACTGCGACACCAGACTCGGCCCAGCCGGAGTCCACTGCACGGTTCGGTTACCGGCTGGTCGGCTCGACACTCAAGGTCGATCTTACATTCGGATTGAAGGAGGTCAACGGTACCCTCATCATCAGTAAGTATGCCTGTACCCTAGTCCTGTCGCACAAGGTAGCTTATTTTTAGTGTACCTCCAGCTGCACACGGTCTTCAAGTGATTTTCCACTTCGGTCGACAAGGTTTTTTTGGGGTTTTTTTTCTCTGCAACGGCGCTACGTGGTAATCCTGCGACTGGGCCATTATCAGTCTGGCCAGATCTGACATACATTGAACCTCCCTCGCGAACCTTTTTCTCGTTTCCCTAGTGTTTTGCTTTGTCTTTTGTAGTGTCAAGTGCTCGCATCGAGAAGCGCATACAGCACGGATTGAAACTCGACTCTGCTCAGCGCAGCGCTTCTGGACTCTCGACTCGAATGTGGTAAGAGAGAGAGAGAGAGAGAGATGCTCCTGGCCGGACAGAATCCTTCCCCCTCGGTTTACCTTTTGAACCGTACTCATGACGTTTGGGGCGAAGGAGAGAATATCTTCTGGAACGATACCGTGGGGGATTAGCGCTTAGCGACGAACCCCCACCGTGCGGCCAGGTAGCAGTTTCTTTCGCACTTTCCAAGGGTAAGCGATTCGATGGTCGCAAGCCCGCACCCACACCCGATCAAATGGGATGGTGGATGACAGAATTTTGATTCGATTTGCGAGGGTCGTCGTACTGCTGCCGCTCGAGCAAATTGCTTTGAGGCGGATCCAAAACCACTTTGTCGACTGGCGCGCTCTACGCGCCTGTGCGCCTCACCTAATGGGCGACGCACTAAGGGCTAGTAAGGGTCTCTAAAGGTTCGAAAGGCGGAGCTCGGCGCGAGAGATCGTGAAGTCGAATCTAGACAGATCTAGGCTTAGCCGCCGCCGACGCCTTGATCGCCGCCGTCCCCAGCTGCATTCCTCGTCCCGGACACCTAAGCGCGTTCACTATGGCAACTCTACTCTCCTCGTAAGTAACTCTCCGGACCGAAGGAGCCCCCCTTTCTCTCCATGACCCTTTGTGATTCGAGCGTGACCGAGACCTAGCTGACCCACGCCATGTTCCTTGCTCGCGTCGCTCGACATACAGCCTTCCCGCCCCTCGCCACCTCGTCAACGCCGACGGTGACGATGCGGATGATGTCGCCAAAGTGTCCGGCGCCCAGGGCTCGTCGAGCAGCTCGGCTCTGACTACGACGGCTCGCGTGATTCCGGCGTACGGCCAGCGCAAGGGCTGGCGGCCGACGCAGATGACCGACTTTGGCGATGGTGGCTCTTACCCTGAATGTCATGTCGCCCAGTACCCGCTCGAAATGGGCCGCAAATCCAAGGTTTGTACCACCACATGCTCCGTCCTCTTTCTTGCTCCAAGGACCCTCGAGGGCGTCCGTGTGGATCGCTGCTTCGTGGGCTGGCCTCACGCTGATCAATCACGTCTCTACGCCCCCATGATACACGACAGAGCAACTCGGGTAACACGTTGGCGTTACAAGTGGACGCTGATGGGAACGTCAGATACGATGCCATCGGTACGCACCTCCACCATCGCCCGGACTGGCTTTCCTCGCTGTCACTCGTGCTAATTCAGCCTTTGATCGCCGATACCTTTCCTCAGCGCAACAAGGTCATCGCGACGGCCGTCTTGTCCAATCGTCATTCAAGGATCTCATCCCCATGGCTAACCGCACCGACATCAAGGTTCGGGACATGGAACGCCCTTCGGAGGAGGAGGTCCAGACGACGGCGGACAGGACCAAAGCCGCTCTTGAGAAGCTCGTGCAGGGCAAGATCAAAGCCGCTCAACCTAAGAATGTGCCCAACTCCCAGGGTAAGTTGGCTCGTCTTGTAAAGCTTCGGAGGTGGTGGTGTATTCGTGCTGATCCGTACTCGCTTGGTCTCTGCAGGTGAGACTTCGTTCATGCGCTACACACCTCAGCAGGGTGATGGAACTCAACAGCGCATCATCAAAATGGTTTGTTCTGCCGCGGTAACATAAGGTTCGATCGCGCACGCGCTGATCTTGTCTGATCCCTTCCTCTCGCGCAGACCGAAGTCGTAGAGGATCCCCTCGAGCCGCCTCGCTTCAAGGGCAAGAAGATCCCCCGAGGCCCTCCTTCGCCTCCTCCGCCCGTCCTCCGCTCCCCGCCTCGCAAGGTCACAGCCCAAGACCAGAAGGATTGGATGATCCCTCCCTGCGTTTCCAACTGGAAGAACAACAAGGGTTTTACGATCCCGCTCGACAAGCGTCTGGCCGCTGATGGTCGAGGCCTCCAGGACGTGCTCATCAACGATCGATTCGCCCAGTTCTCGGAAGCGCTCTACGTCGCTGATCGCCATGCGCGTGAGGAAGTGCGACAGAGGAGTTTGATGCAACAAAAGATCGCGCAGAAGGAGAAGGAAGCGAAGGAGGAGCACTTGAGGATGCTGGCCCAGCGCGCCAGGGAAGAACGATCGGGGATCGTCTCGAGCCACGCGCCGGCGAGGGTTGTTGCGGGTGCCGAAGGCGGCTCGATGCCTTCGGCGTTGGCGGGATATGGAAGTGACTCGGACTCGGACGCCAACTCGACTACACAATCGCCGCCGCCGCGCCGAATGGCAGCGGACGAGCGAAGTGGCCAAGACAGCGCCAGCGAGGGTGAGGGCGAGGGTGACGAGAACGAGACGGAGGAGGATCGACGTGCCGCCATGGAGCGCCAGCAGATCCGACGCGAGCGCAAGAAAGAACGCGAGAGGGAGATGAGGATGAGCAATATGGGGACAGAGCAGCGCGCCAAGGTGCTGGCAAGGTCGGTTCATCCATACTTACTCACATACAGTCGGAAGATGCTTACGGGTGGTCGATCCTTAATTCCCCCCAGAGCAACTGGTCGCGATATTTCCGAGAAGATCGCACTTGGTCTCGCAAAGCCTACTTTGTCGAAAGAAGCGATGCTCGACTCGCGCCTTTTCAACCAGGAGCAACTCAACACCTCGTTCGGCGACGACGATTCGTACAACATCTACGACAAACCCCTCTTCTCCGGGTCGTCAGCCGCGGCTGCGATTTACCGACCTCGGGGAGCCAACATTGACGACGAAGGAAACGATGTCTCGCTCGAAGACGGCATTTCGAAATCAATGCAGAACGACCGCTTCGGTTTGGGAGTGGCGGGGCGTGGGTTTCAAGGATCGGACTTGGCCGAAGTCCGAGAAGGGTTAGTCCAATACGAGGCAAAAGATAGTACGAGACTAGGACATGGTGATACTGACTTTTTGCACGGTGTAATTCTGTCTCACTAGCCCCGTCGCTTTCGAGAAGGACACCGCCGATCCTTTCGGTGTCGACGCGTTCCTCGAGACGGCCAAAGCGGGCAACCCGAAACGCGGGTTGGACGTCAAGGACGATGCTGCTCGCAAGCGAGCAAGGGACTAAGACCCCAATGCTGCTACACCATACCTGCTCATCCTTTGATTCTGGACATCTCGGAATCTCTTTTTCTCCTGTAATTGTGAAAGTCGCCGACTTGACAGCTAGCATGATGATTTTACCTTTGTTGACCGTGCGAAGAGTTGGCGTCACACCAGACTCCCTCGGGTTCCCTCATTCTTGTTCAACAGCGACTATTTATGTTGATGTTATTGGTCCAATAAAGACTGTTCGTATTACAACCACCCGCCTGGCAACTGTGGACATACAGGATCCCCGCCCTTCTTATCCTGCCATTCAAGTTGCACGATCTTGACGTACAATCTGGATAACAGCTCCGCACCTTCAACGGCGCCAATCGCAAGCTCCTTCCGATCAATCAGATTCCTGATCCGAGTCAAATCCAGTTTCTCCCGTTGAACGGCACAAAAATCGATGCACAGATCGGCAACGGGTCCGAAATCACGAGAAAACGGCGAAAAGAGATTGTTCAAAGCGCTCGTTGGGATCAACGAGGAAGAGAAGGCTTCGAAAGCTGCGAGACGAAGTGCTTTGATGCCCAAACTTTCTGCAAGACGGTAGATGGCTTCTGGGTTTGGCGCTGAGGACGGAGACAGTTTCTCAAGGTGGACCGGTGGCAGGGCAGGACTAAGATGTCCGACAGGGGCCAGGATATCAACGGGCGAATCATCCTCTTCCATCGCTGTTCCCTGATCCCGAGTGAGCACCAGATCCGGCGCATGATAGTCCCCAAACTTAATCCGGCCAAACCGAAGCCACTCCAACAGCACTTCGTACGTTTCGTACGTGTTGCCACTGGTCTCCGCGACCGCCCACGTCCGAGCGCCGGCGACACACCCAAAATTCAAATCTGAAAAGCTTCCTGAGGGTGCCAAGACCTGTGCCAATCGAGGTACACGGGATCGAAGGAAAGCAGCGTTTTCGTACAGGATCCTTCGGGATGGAAGGAATAACAGGCGGAGATCGTGTGGGTTTCGTGCAAGATGGGTTTCTGCAGGCAGGGGACGAGGATTTCAGAGTCAGCATGGAAAAGCCACGAAGAAAGACAGATCCCGCTCAGACTATGCTTGAAAAGTGAGAACGCACTGAAGTATCCTGACCTGACCTGTTCAAGTGTGGTAGACATCATCCGATGTTCCTTCATCAACCTGACGCGAGCAAGTTGTGCTTCTGGATTCGCAGGTTCGCCGATACGGACCGAAATGCGGAAACTAAGCGCTGGCACTTGAGAACCCATGACGAGCCTTGTCAAGACATTCCCGTCAAGCGTGCACCTTTCCACTTCAGTTGACCATCCCAGCAAAGACGCGTGCGGCTCCCAACTAGCTCCATCACCTGTAATGGGTGATGCGGTCTGGTGATCCGCGGCGCCATCATAAATCAGCATGGTCGCTACGGTGGTGGACGAGCCAAGACGGGTCGAGCACCCCTGAGGCCGAATACTGCCCGCCATGTCCTCGACCAATTCCAAAGCAGGACGGTCGGGAAGCCAACTGATGCGCCAGGTCGTCTTGTAGTCGGGCTCAGAGCCTTGACCCGACCCAGTGACGACGAGGAACGACGAGGACCAGTGGGCGGTCGACAAGTCGGCTTTGCGCAGGTTCAGAACGAAATGATGGGTCACACTGGTGGGCTCGAACATGGTCACGCGTGAAAATCAAGAAGTGTCGGAGGAAATGTTAGGACGAAGAAGGAGGTGACTTGGGCGCTCGCACGGCGTTCAGAGCCTGAGTTCGGCAAGCGTGATCTAGCGTGATAGAGCGTGATGGGTCCCGGGGCCCGGGGACTGCCCGGGGGTCCACTGAGAGCTCGAAGTGATCACTTGCAAGCCCAGCCTAGCCCAGCCGTCGGCAGCCGAGTCTTTATGGAGGGCGCAAATGTGCCGAGAGCACCTTCATTTATCACGCAGGATGCAAAACAGGATCCCTATCTACTTTTTTCTGAGAGGCTTGCTCTCCGAGTCCCACGCCAAAATTCATCCACCTCTAATGACCCGACTCGGAGACGCATGCTATTTCCCCGATCCTTCGTGTGTTTATTTCGGCCGTACGTGGGCCTGAAACCAGTATCTTCCCGTGGCATGACAAAAGAAAACATCTTGCAGAGGTGTCTGCTAGGTGAGGCCCAGAGAGGCGACGAAAGGAGAAGAACAGGAGGGATCGACGAGATCCCTGATACTCGATAGAAACGTGCATTGCGGGAAGGATTCCTCAACTTGCGTCAGACGATGCAACCGAGGACCGTGCCCCATGCATGCTCTCTCGTCCTTCTCGCGTTCTCTCCGAAAAGAATTGATCGCGCCCCTCCGCCAGAGTTGTAAATGAGTTGATCTTGAAAAAGACATTGTTTTTAGCAGCTCACATTTGCCCCGCCGCGTTCCCTCCTGGAAGCTGACGAGGACAAAGAGAAAATCTGCTACGTCATCCGTCATCATCATCATCATCATCATCATCATCATCATCATCACCATATTGCGCTCCTTCCTTCACTCCCCACACCAATGCACTTCCCCTCAAAATAGCCCTGGCCGATTCCAATGAGGCGATTCAAGAGAACACGTTTAGGCGGCGTGTCGGCGTTGCTCGGCTGTAAATAATGAGATGCGAGTTAGTTGGCAAGCCAGTGGAGGTCAGAAAGGTGTGCGGTTGAGAGCTTACCGATGACACCGGTGAGCTCATCGACCTTGCGCTTGGCGCGGCGGAGTGTACCAAGCTGTTGGAGGAGAGAGTCAAGATGATCAGCCATAGCCATCGTATTTTCCGGTGTAGTTGTTGACCATGGTGTGTTGCGGTCGGGGCAGCCGTCTTATCGGTTCGTCTGTTCCCCTCGCCGCTCCTGGAGACCACACGAGTCCGTCTGCTCCTGCATTCCTCTGCTTTCCCGGTTGTTCCACTCTCTCTCTCTCACTCTTTTCCTTTCGCCAGTGCCCCCTTCGACTGGTGACGACCCTCCGCGCCATCAGCCTCGGATCGACCCCGCGGCGCGTCGCAGCCATGCAATCGGTCCCGTCCTTGCGCGTGTGATGGAATGGCTACTTACACGCTTCTTGGTCAGCTTGCGGGCCTTCTTGTCCTGTAAGAGGTAGCGTCGACGAGTAAGAAAAGTCAGTATGTTGCACATGGGGAAGAGCACGAGCACGAGCGTGAAGCCCGGGTCGGCGGGCGCCAACCGTTGATGCCGGGCCAGCCAGCGGGCCAGCTGCGGAGCCAGCGGACAATTGAGCGAGCAGCGACGACGCACCTTGGAGTTGCGAATCAATTCCATCACTCGTCGCTCGTAGGGGGCGAAACCGGCAACCTGTCATGCAATTTATCAAGGTCGAAATAAGTCACTCATCCAGACATCGTCCTCGTGTAGCAACGCTCGATGAATGTACCTCTCGGACGATCGACTTTACGAACGCCTGGCGGTTGGATTGCTTGCCCTTCCTGTTGGACGGCTTGGGCGCCTTGGCGATGATCGTCGTCGGGTGGCCCTTGTTGATACCCCAAGGCAAGTCTGTCATGATGGGAAAAATCGTTTGGAGAGCGTCGTCGAGGAGGATACACGCATGCGAGGGGGGGGGACGGGGACGGGGACGGGGTCGGATGGGTGGGCGTCAGTTCTGGGCGCGTTTTTGCGAAGCGGCGGTCTCCCCTGCAGTGCTATCAAGCGCATGGCTCGGCCCAGCAGCCAGCGCAGGCCAAAACGCCAGCCTGCGACAGTGGCCTGGGGAGCGGGAGGTGAGCCGGCACCGTCGATCCGCTCGTGCATGTCGCTCTGACAGCACTGAGGTACCAATAGAGGCGAGTAGAACAGACGAGGGAACTGACTTGATCGAGTCGTGGCAACCATGGTCGTCGGATACGTACTTGTCGGATGGAGAAGAGTGAGAGGCGACGTCGACGACCGCCGCGAGTGCTTGCGGGCGGGTTCAGCCCTGCTCGCAAGGCTCTTGCTCTGTCTTGCTCGGCCCTGCTCAGCCGAGCCCAGACGATGGAACGCAGGCTTGGCTTCGAGACCAGTGAGGGTTTTTTGGGCACCGCACTGGCAGTCCAGGCGGCCGCCGAGCGAATAAAGGCCCCCCGCCCGCAAAGGCGCGTAGGCGGTGGACTTTATTCCTGCCCCCTCTTTTTTTTTTTTCGGTTTTTCGGACGCGCGCCAGACGACGACGGCACGCAAAGCCAAGTGCGCCAGTCGACTCGAAAGCCACGGAGGAAATCCCCCGAGCGGCAGCCTGCCTTTGAGGCAGGCGCTTGCCCCCGGGTCGTCGGTCGTCTTCGCCTTACACTTTGCATCTTGTTCGTGTCGACCACTGCTCTCCGCCAACCGACTTTTTCACGTAAGTGCACGCGGGCCTGGATTCCCAGAACAGGTCATATCGGAGGTGTCGAGCAGGACAGGCCCACGAAGGTGGACTGGCTCAGGCGCTGGGTCAGGCAGGCAGCGGCGGGCAACCGGCAGGCGACGAGCGAAGAGCGACGAGCGACGACGGGGGCGAAACGACGACCCGCGCATTCGATTTTGTTCGGCGCAGCACGACAATCAACCACTTCGACCTCGCCATGCTAATGAATCCGGACGGACGACTCGTGCTCGTTCACCTCGAATGCGCACTACCCAACCGGTCGACATAGTCGGATGCGATGGCGTACAAGGCTCGAGAGCCGGCCGTAACTGCTGGCTCCGCGCCCAACGACGCAACCGCTTCGCATCGACGTATACCCACCCCGCGACTCGCACGATCGCCCTCGCATTCGATATGACCACGCCAATTGACTGCCTCCAAAATTCGAGCAACTGTGTGCGATACGACACTATTGGGCCCGGCTCATGTTCCGCGTTCAACTCTGCGCCCATCACTGTTGCACCCGCCTGCCCAGCCCAGCTCCCAGCTCCACTTTGCCCTGTCCTGCCTGTTGATGGGGGGCGGGGGCTTCGGCTTCGGAAGCCAACTACGATGGGATCAATACACGGGGAACAACATGAACCACAAAAAGAACGAGAATGATCGCTGACCTGTGCACGTCCCACCTCGGCCCCTGCTTGATCCTCACAGTTCCCCCCCCCCCTTCCCCCTTCCCCCCACCAAACTTTATAATGGCTCGCAACTCGGACATCTCGCCCTACGTTGGCAAGTTCTCCCGCTCGCAGGTCTACTCCAAGAAGGGCCTCTACAAGCGCGAGCACAAGGCCGCCCCCGCCGCCGCTGCGCCCGCCCCCGAGACCAAGACCAAGGTCGTCGGCGGCAAGGCCAACGGCTCCTCGCGAACGATCCCGACCTCGCGAGCGGCCAAGTTCTACCCGTCCGAGGACGTTAAGCAGCTCAAGCGATCGCGCAAGTCGGTCCACGCCCCCAAGCTCCGCTCGAGTTTGACCCCCGGCACCGTCCTCATCTTGCTCGCCGGCCGATTCCGCGGCAAGCGAGTTGTCCTGCTCAAGCAGCTCGACAGCGGTCTCTTGCTCGTCACCGGTCCCTTCAAGGTCAACGGTGTCCCCCTGCGAAGGGTGAATCAGGCCTACGTCATCGCCACCTCGCTCAAGCTTGATATCTCTTCCCTCACCGTGAGTCCGCTTCGTGCGCTTCCTTTCGCCTCAACCGTCCTTGAACTCATGGTGCTGACGCCCATCGTCGAATTTTGCTCTAGGTTGACGCCAAGTTGAACGACGCCTACTTCGCCAAGCCCAAGTCGGCTTCGCGCAACGGTACCGAGGGCGAGTTCTTCGCCGACAAGGCCGAGAAGAAGGCCTACCCCGAGGACAAGGTCGCGGACCAGAAGGCGATCGACAAGGCTGTCCTCGCGGCCGTCAACGCCAAGCCCAACGCCGCCAAATACCTCGCCGCCACTTTCGGTCTGTCCAAGGGGCAATTCCCCCACTTGCTCAAGGTCAGTTATCGAGTCTCGGGTAACGCCCGCCATCCAGTTCTTCGGGTCCCAGGGCTGACCCTTCCCTCTTGATTCTCACGCAGTTCTAAATGGAGCAATAACACCCTAAAATCCCCACCGTGTCTTTGATCCTGAATGGAGACGAGCGGGCTGGAAAAGATGATGTGAAGAACGGTGTAGGACAGCGCAGCGAGTGGAAGAGGGGAGGGTGTTTTTTACCTCCCCCAGCAGGCAGTTGGGTGCGTGGCTTGAGTAGATCCAAAAGATTAGGCATTTGTTCTTTCTCGTTTGTCGATCGACTGGGTCGCTGTGGTTTCTCTATCCTTGTTGCGTTATCATGCGAGAGCAGTCCCCGGACGGGAAAACACCCCAAGTTGAAAGCGCCTCTTCCGCGCATCAGCCTCCGAGCAAAGAGCGTGCACACATTCTTGGGGCAAGCTTGTTGGCGATAACATTACACACACACACACACACACAAAACGAAAGGAAAGAAAAGCAGTGTTTCTGTAACTGCCCGCAAACAATCCCGGCAGACTACCCCATCACCTCGCATGCAACACGCTCAACCCCCTCCTGGAGCGCTATTGAACGCCTTTACCTCACCGATTCGCCGAACGCACCGGCAGGTTGCACATATCTGTTTTGACGCCAGATCAACAAGCCCCTCCGTCAGTGAGACCACAGGGTCGAATGTCACAACATGAGCGCTAGAATGACGTACGTGAATCCCGTGAAGTTGGCTTGTACACTCTCACTAAGGTGCGAGTCCTCGACGACCGAATCCAGGGGTGCTTCGGACGTGAACTCGGCGTCAAACTGTTCGAGCCCCAAAAGCAAAGAGTGCGATCAGTCGATGAGTCCAATCCGGTCCGACTGCGATGTCATGTCGCAGAAAAGAAACTTACGTTGGACGTATCCGCCGCACTAGCGACACTAGGCTTGAAAGGCGGCTGGATCTTCTTCGCCATCAACAGATCGAAGTCGATATGCTTGCTGAAGAAGGGATGACGTTTGATCTCCTCTGCACCGTTAGAGCCGAGACGCTGGGCAGGGTCGCGGGTTAAAAGGCCTTGAATGAGGGATTTGGCATCGGGGGAGACGTCGTCGGTGAGCTTGAGGGGGTCGGTTAGGATCTGTGATGGAACAAATATGAAATGGCTGTCAATGACCAGATTCCCTGATACGTCTTATTAGGACCACGGCCTCACCTTTTGATACATCTCGTTCGTGTTCTCCGAGTAGTATGGCGGCAAGCCCTGCAACATCTCGGCAAGCAATGTACCTGATCCGGCGCGACCATTCGTATCAGGACGGGCTTTCAACAGGGGCCCAGTCTGGTGTAACTCACCGAGCGTCCACCAATCGACGGTCTTCTGATATCCATGACCCAGCAAAAGCTCGGGTGCAAGGTACTCGGGCGTACCACAGAAAGCTGCCAAAGTCAAATCGTATAGTATCAGTCACGGTAGGCGCGCAAGGAACCGCTACCCTCCCCCCCCTCCTCCCCCTTAATGCAAGAATCAGTACTCACTGTTGGTCGTTTCAGAATTACCCATGTTGAGCTTGCAGAGACCGAAGTCGCACAAGGCGATGTGGCCGACGTAGTCGATCAGGATGTTCTCCGGTTTCAAATCTCTGCGGTATGGCGAACCAATCAGAACGGTGCAAAAACGCGTCAAGGAAAGCTTTCCTAGTGGGTTCATGAACTCACCGATAGATGACGTTGAAGGAATGCAAGTGCTCGAGCGCACACAAGAGTTCGGCGGCATAAAAACGTGATCGTTCCTCGCTAAAGCGACCTTCCCGCTGCAAGTGATGGAACAGCTCGCCACCATTGACAAAAGCAAGGACGAGGTAGAGCTTCTCGGCGTTTTGAAAACTGAACTTGAGGGGTACGATAAACGGGTTGTTGACCTGGGCCAGGACGGTGCGCTCGGCAAGGGTATGTGTCACCTCGGATCGCGAGACGATGTGGGCTTTGCGCAGGGTCTTGAGGGCGTAGATACGGCCCGTGTCCTTCTTGCGCACTTGCATGACTTTGCCAAAGGAGCCCTTGCCGATAACTTTGAGTAAGTCAAAGGCATCGATCGACATGGCCTCGTTCGTTCCCGGCTTGAAAGCGACCTGGATGTGAAACTCGCCGGCGCCCGACGAAGCGGCGTACCATTGGTCCGAAGCTTGGTTGGGATCAAAGACGGGCGTAAAGCTAGGGGACAAAGCGGCGCGATCAGATCTTGCGGCTTGATTCCGATCTCGACCCCTCGTAAAAGACTCACTTGATGCCACCGAGGAAGAGATCGTTTCCCATGTCATTCCTGTTGCCGCCTGCAGCGACCGGTGCTGTTCGTAGGTAGGCGGAAATGGTGACGTCGGAGACGCGGGACACATCGCTGTTGAGAGACGGAGCGTGTGTACGCATGGGTAAGCGATACTTTGAGCGACACCTCGCTTCGCTTGTCCACGTACAATTGGCCCCGGAACATCCATACGGGAGCGGTGAGTTCACCTCCCATCGCGTCGACCAAGACTTCGTTCTTGTCGAATTCGAGTACAACGTATCTGTTGTCCGAAACCCGGTCAGCGGCACGAAGCCCAACGCCTGAGCCGTTTTGGGTTCCACTCACGGCAGCCACCATGTCTGTTTCCTCTGGGCGCTATCTCGGTTCCTCGACAAGGACGACTTGTACTCGTCGACGGCGTTCTGGATGCCGCTCGGCAACTGTCCGTCCTGGGGCAAGACCAGATGCCTCGCCTCGACGACGCGGATGGTCAAGACACCCGAACGGGAGATGGGTGGACCCGAGGTCGAGGTCGAGGTCGAGGGCGAAGGGTTCGCGATGGATGAGGCAGCACCTGACGATGCGGGGACACGGCTCGATGACGATGGCGGTGCTGCTGAGGCCGGTTGTGGCGGTGCTGCGGCGACGGCGACGGCGGGCGCTGAGCTCGCTGAGGCCGACGAAGACGACGTTGCGCCTCGAGCAGCTTCCTTGAGTTCTACGAGGAGCGACAGATCAATGGACGGTCAGTTCTTATCGCCAAAGAGTGCGCACACGCGCCGGTAGGGGGTAGGTGGGCCGGGCGGGATGGAACACGACAGATGACGGATGAGATGCGGAGTAGATCCAGCTGACGCCGGACATGGACGGACCGTTCCCAGCCGACGCCATCCACTTGCACCACCTGACACACGAAGCTTCACAGTCAACGACAGCTTGGAACCAAGCACGCACTCTTTCCGATCTTCCACGACGACATGCTGTCCGTCGTTCGAGCTGCTCGTAAGCCGAGCTGAGTCAGAGGTGGTGGTCGATCTGCTTGCGGGCCGCGCGATGACGACGAAGAGAGGGAGAGGAGCTGGGTGCGATGAGCTACCGTCGACGTAAGAACCAACCGTCGATCAAGGCTAGATGGAGTGAGGACGTGGGGCGAGAAAGGTCTCGGCGTGCATTCGGAACAGAGCAGAGCACGACCGCACAAAGCCTTGGATCGTCGCACCGGCCAAGGCACTGCACCGCGCTGACCTGCGCTGACCGAGCCCCCGCCGCGCCCGCCGCGCCGCGCCCGCCGCGCCGCGCCCTGCCCCGCCCCCAAAAAGGACAATTGTGCAGTTCACGCTCTCAGCCACCGCCAGCAGCGCGCAGCGGTGACCAAATCGGAGCCGGCACCGGAAATGTTGAAAGTCTAGCAACATCGTCCTTTCATCTGCGATCCCTCTTTTATCACCCATACTTGACCGAAACCTGAGATCCCGCAGGTGTATTCGTCTCATGACTGCGTGGGGATCCGTCTCACAGACTCAAATTTCCTCTGGAAGAGCGCTACTACATAGTGAGGGGCCGTCTCACTCCTCCAACCTTGTCTCCAGGCCGAAATGACAGTACCTAAACTTACGATTCCACGTCTGCATACAAGCCCCACGCGTATCTCAACAACACGGCTCCTCCTTGATCAATTTCCCCGGATTAAAGATCCCCTTCGGATCCAAAATATGCTTGATTTTCTTCAAGATATCAATCGTACCCGGCCCCAACTCGGCCTCGAGGTACTTGATCTTGCCCATCCCGACCCCATGTTCGCCCGTACAAGTCCCATCCAACGCCTGTGCACGTTCGACCATACGAGCAACGACGCCGTCGCCTCTTTCCTTCTCCTCTTGCGTCGTCCATGACAGGAGCGCATGGAAGTTACCGTCCCCGGCGTGCGAGAGGAAGGGGCCGATCAGGCCTTGAGTCGAGATGTCGGCTTTGGTCGCTGCGACGAGTGCAGGGAATTGCGAAGGTGGTACGCACACATCTGTTACGATCACTTTGCTGCCGGGAACGTAGTCGATTACCGCATACAGACCCATCTGTTCGCGTGGGCACGGAGGGTCAGTCATCCGGGCAGAGCGGGGAGGCACCGTGGCCAAGTGACACCCACCTTGCGACTATACCAAATATTTTCCGCCTCCTTGTCGTTGCGCGAGAACGTGAATTTTGACCCATTGTTATTCTTGACAATCTTTTTGGTCCGTTCAACATCCTCCGCCATTTGCGCCTGCGTACCCTCAAACTTGAGGAAAAGTCTGCCGGTATTCGATCCGCAAGACATCACTTGCCCGTTCGCAAAGCTCACGACAAGAAATAAGGCTTACGAGGGTTTCTCATCCCAGGTGATGCCACCACCTTTGGCGTTAATCATCTTGATCATGACGTCGTCCAACAGCTCGATGCACGCTAAACCGACTCCTACATGCGCGAAAGAAAGTCATCATCGTCAGCACCAGGCCATCTGCCGCGTCGTTCGCCACTAGCCTTGTTGCACCAGATCCCTCGCCGCATTCGCCGCATCCTCGATCGTCGGGAACCCAGACACTCCGACACGTTGCGGCAGCTTAGGCACCAACCTCAACGTTGCCTCAGTGACGATGCCCAGCGTTCCCTCGGACCCGATAAAGAGCTGGGTCAAGTTGGGTCCCGCACTCGACTTTTTGGCCCGCGAACGCGTCTTGATGACTGAACCATCGGCGAGCACCACAGTGAGGTTGTACACGTTCTCGCGCATTGTTCCATGTCGCACGGCGTTCGTACCAGACGCGCCCGTACCTGTGCAGCCGAATAAGAGTTAGAGCACGTCGCAGCCAGCCAGTGCCAGTCGAAAAAAGAAAACTTACCAATCATACCGCCAATCATAGCTCCCCTGTATAGAGGTAGAAATGCCGGTCAGAGAGTAATTTTGAGCAATCACGATTGATGAAAAGAAACTTACGGAGCCGGATCGACGGGGAAGAAGAGCGGAATATTCTTCTCGGCCAAAGTCTCGTTGATCGCGTCGTAGCTGATTCCCGGCTGTACCACAATCTGCAGATCATGTTCATGAATTTTGATGATCTCATTCATATTCTCGGAAACGTCGACGACCCAAGCCAATCCCGGTTCGAGATCTTGCAAAGTGATCCGCTCACCACGCCGTCGTTTAGCGATCGAGGCGGCGTCAGAAGGATTGGACTTGTACGTCAAGGCGCCTGTGTGACCTTCCAACGAGGTGTTGGCCGCCATTGGGATGATGGGAATCGAGTATTTGTTGGCGAGCTTGACGATGTTGACTACATCTTGGGTGTCGCGCGGGTACAGGACTGCTCCGGGGAGACCACTTGGGTCGTGGGCTGTGAGCGTGTGGGGAAATCATAAAGTCAGCTTCACTCCCGCTCACAACACGAGGTTGCGACGGCCCAATGGCTCACACGCCCAGTCCGAATGTGATCTAGCAACCAACGAGTCCCTATCCAAGGCGAGCGAATCCTCGGGTAGCAACGCCCGCAGTTCCTTGACGGCGGCGTCAAAGTCTCGCCGTGTCGGTTCCTTGCACGAGGATGACAGCCCCGAACCGGTGGATCGATTAGCCGGCCCCTGAGCCTTGAGACCAATGAGATAGCTGATGGTCCCCGTCAGCGTCGCAAGGAGTACGGTCGTCAAAGCCGTGACGCGTTGCTTGGAAGTCCTCGCCGCGAAGGTCGAGCTCGACCAAGTTGTCGAAGTGGGGCCGCGACGAGTTGGGATCGACGGGCGAGATAGAGGATGCGCACGGCCGCCATTATGGAGGTTGTTGGACGCCCACCGCGCCTGAACAGCAAGGCGAGGGGAGATTATCAAAGCCCTTGAAGGAGGACGACGGATGGCTTGCATTATGTTGTCGGCGCGAGGGAGGAACGGGAGACAAGCGACGAGCATTCGAGCGGGTCTCCGCACGCGGCTCAGCCATGCGCGATCTTGCGCGATCGGATTCTGCCGTGCCAGTTGGGCTGCCGAAATCGAATTGCGCGGGGAACCGCGGCTGCCGAAAGTTCGGCAAGACCGGCACCACCAAAAATCTAAAACACGTCGCCTTGCACCACAATCCGGGATCAAGGCCTAAAGCGAAGAGTATCAACGACTGCACCAACTGTCGTATCACGCACTCCTGGCGCGACTGTCGCAGCGGTCCGCGCTCGACCCAAAAGTCAAAGAGGATCCGGCCGGGCTGGAAGTTCAGGTTCACCTCATCACCTGCCCAAGGGAGATTGGCAATCCAAGCTCCTGAACTCTAATCGGTCATCCACAGCAGAGTTGTATGAATTATTGTCCCGGATAGATTATGTCACTCATAGGCGGGCCGCCAAATCTCGGGCGCCGCAGAGCAGGTACGCCCTCGGAAAAGGCCGCCTTCCTCAATGCCGTCTGCCACGGGGTGAAGGAGAGCCGGTACAGTTTGCCCGGGATCTTTTATAACGTGGTCAATCATATAGAGACGATACAAGGACAGCTGAGTACCTGGCATGTGTGATCTGCTTGGGTTGTCATAAGTCATTCCGCCGGGGCCGCATCATGGATCCCATCTCGGACAGGGGCCATGTGACGGCGGTGTCCTCCTCCTGTCTGAGCCCTGTCTGAGTCGGTGGTCTTGACGGCAGTTCACACATCCACCCAGTACTGAGCCCCACACCTATTGAGTTTTTCACCGCCATTGTGAGGTTTACAAGCTGCCAATCATCGGAGTAGCTCAATAGCGAGCGACGTCCGGGGCAGCGGTGGCGGGGAGTTTCCGACTTTCCTTTATAATGGGACTATAGTCAGGAGACGACCCGGGTGAGTGCGGCCCTTGACAACTTTCTGGTGACGCCTTGTTCTTTTGAGTTGATATACTCGGGTGCGACAGAATGCAAAACCCACGCCGGGGTCTTGGGCACACGCAAGGTGGCGCCGCCGGAGCGCGGTATACCCGGGCGACGTGCGATGATCTGGACTTCAGCAAAGTTACGTCATCGCGAAACGCATCGGTCGTCAGAGCCTCTCGGGAGCGAGCGCGCCGATCACCTCATGATTCCCTTCACGCCTCTCTTTCTCTCCGAACATCTCAATTCTCGGAAATCTTGACCATTCGTTGACTACCTCTATACCTACCAACCTCCCCACCCGCCCTCTCCATCATGTCTGCTGTCGCTCGCTCCTCCTTGACCCGTACGGTCCGTCTGGCTTCGGTGCCTCGAGCCCAGCCCGCTGTCCGAATTGGAGGACGTCGATTCGCTTCGACCGTCCCCGTAAGCCCTGCAGCTGCTCTTTTCTTGGGTTGATCTATCAGTATTTACTCGCCAATTAATTCCCCCTCATTGATGACAGGGAGCTCAACCCGCCCAGCCTTCTCCTTCGTCCCACCTGGCCTCGGGAGCTGCCGGTGGTTTGCTCGTTTTGGGAGCCATGTGAGTTTTCGCAACTCTTGCGGAATTTACCGCGTGAAAGGGGCCTATAGCTCATCAATATTTTAATATATTTTTTTCTCGAAAGCTACGGCTACTACCATTACTCTGGCACTGCCAAGGTTATCAACACCGCGCGCGACACCATCAACGCCGCCGCTTCGGCCAAGGACAAGGTCGTCAGCGCCGCCCCCTCGCCTAGTCAAGCCCTTGGTCTCTTGCGCTCGCTCGCCAAATCCTACGGCGCTACTGTCCCCGGAGCTGGTGGTGCGATCGACGCTTCGTTCGATCAATTGGAAAAGCTTGCCGATGAGCACGGCGAAAAGGTGACCGAAGTCATCAAGCAAACCTATGACGACGTCGTCAAGACGACCAACAGCGGCAAGAATGCTGGTGAAGCGATCGCCAACGCCCTCAGCGAGAGTCTGACCAAAATTCAAGACCTCGTCGGAGCTGAAGGGGGCAAGGTGTGGGCGGGTTTGGCCGCCAAGTTCCCTGACCTCGGCAAGGCGCTCGGTGGTCAAGCCGAGGAGTTCCAGAAACTCGCGGCTGAGCACGGCCCGGACGCGCAGAAGCTCGCAACCGACACTTATAACGAGGCGTCCAAGATTGTTGCCACCGGTGGTCTCAACGCCAAGACCCTCGACGCCGTCAAAAAGCTCCTCGCTGACAAGACGCAGGAAATCACCGCCCTCGGCCAGCGAGCTGGAAGTGATGCCTACGCAGCCAGTGCTAAGGCTGCATCTCCTGTGAGTCGGCTCTCTACCTTCGATTTTGGGCCGCGAGTGCGCAGTACTGACGCCGCATTGCTACTTTGTCCCGACTATCAGCTGCTTGACAAGCTTCCCGACGTCAAGAGTCTCCTTGAAGACAATCTCAAAAAGGTAGAGCAGTACATCGGCAAGGAGAACGTCGGCGTTGTGAAGGACCTGTACGCCGATCTCGAGAAAATCTCCAAGAACGGCAAGTCGCTCGAGGAGCAAGCCAAGGAGGCGAAGAAACTTGTTGAATCCCGCGTCGGCTCTTTCGATGAACTCAAGACGAAGGGTCTCAGCCAAGCCCAGCAAGGTCTCGAGAACATCCCCGGATTGGGGGAAGCTGCCAAGGTGAGCTGGCTGCAAGGCCCTCGACGACAGGGGGTTTGAGACCATGGTAGCTGACCTGGGCATGTGACGCGTCTGAACTCGCAGCTCTACAACAGCGCCGATCTTGCCGAGTTAAAGAAGCTCGCGGAGAAGCATGGAGAAAAGAGCAAGGACATTCTTGACTCGACTTACGAGGAGATCAAGAAGATCCTGGCCAAGAAGGTCGAAGAGGCGAGGAAAGTGGGTGAACAAGCGACGAACGACGCCAAGAAGGCAGCTAAGTGAAAATGCACGCACGGACAATCGGAATCAAAACGCAGTGTAGAAATAAAGTAGCAGCAAAAGAAGATCGAATCATTACTTGGGAATAATGTACAAGTAGCAAAAGTAGTAGTGATGCAATTTTCCTACGACTGCCCGCAGTCTCTAAGAGAGGCATCGAATCGAGAGCGCGGGATTATAAGTGTCTTCTGAGACTACTGGACCGTCTAGTAGTTCTTTTCGTCCACCATAACCTCCTCCTCGTCCTCGAAGTAGGTCTTCTCGTGATCGTCGTCCATCGCACCGATCGCCGTGGCTCCGCCGAGGGTCGTAGAACTCTTGATCCTTCGAATCCCCCTCGGCTCGGTCAGATTAGCGCTTCCTCGTGCCCCCTTTGCCCCCGCTGCTTTGCGCCCGAATCGAGACTGGTACCTCCCACCGACTATACGAACGAATCGGTCGATGGTGTATGCCGTAGAGCCGACGAGACGGATGAGCGCCATCGCGGCGACGAGGATGAGGACGACAACCATGTAGATCTGTGTTCGACCGTTGCCATGCCCGCCGGTAAAAGTGGAAGCATAATCTCCTTGGAGGACGGTCGACATAATGAGACCCTAACAAAGTCATGATCAGGAGACGATGTCAGTCCTCGAGCATCACCAAGCTCGATTGAAATACGACCCTCACATTACTCAGAACCCAGACCAAGAGGATGTTGGTTCGGACCGATTGGTAGTACTCGACAATCTGCTCTTCGCGCTGCTTCTGACTGAGCGTCGGAGGAACGATCATCGGTCTTGTCTTGAGGTTATGCAATGAGCGGTCGTAAGCAACGTCGATATCGGCTTGATCGGAGGGCAGAGTCATGTTGACGGTGTCCTTGCCGATCTTCTTGGTCACGCCGAGGTCTTGTTCTTGCGTCGTCAGCTCTTTGGTGCCCCAAGAGAAATCATGCACTGCAATGCGATGGTGGGGTATGAGCTCATCTGTTATCTCAGGAATAGAAGGAGGAGCGGCACGTGGTAGGGCTTACAATTCGAGAACGCGTAGATGTTGAGCAGGTTGATCGACACGGGCGAAAATATGATGTATTGAAACATCGAGGTGACGAGGTGCCATGGGTCCATAGCGATAAGACTGTCGGAAGGGATGTGGCCAAGAGGTTGGCATCAGCTGCCAGAAGCTTGAAGCCGAAAAGTTCTCGCACGATCAACTCACCTGGAGAGGACAAAACAACCGTAGGTTGCGACTATCGAGACGACGATTTGGAACATGATGAGGTTGCTGTGCATGAGCTGAATCGCTTTGATGGTGCAGAATACGGTCGCGCCAACCATGTACACCGTTGTCAGGCCGAGGATGATTCTGCGTTGAGGCCGGTTAAGTCACGATGTTAGCTCTTTTCTTGGACAGGAGTATGAAGAGTGACGGAAGCGGGACAGAACTTACATGACCGTTAGGTACTTCCAATAGGCTGACTTGGGCTTGTTGCCCATCGCCAAGAAGAAGCAAGCAATGATCGAGCCCTGGTAGGCGTATTGCACGATGAGATTGACGTATTTGATCCCTCGCAGCTTGAAGGTGGGGTCTTCGAGACTCGAAGTCAAGATCTGCCAGAGAACTCGCCCCGGGCCGTCGTTAGCGATGACTCACTGACGCATTCGCCACGCTCAGTACTCACCATCAAGAAGCACCAGTAGTTGGCAAGGCCGAACCAAGCGACGAGCAAGTTGAGGCAATTGTAAATGGCCTGAAGGTACAGGGCAAACACCTTGCGGCGAGAATGCGTCGTGTGCGTGAGAGAGAAGGTGTGGCGCAGTGCGTAGCATCCAGCGAAGAACGATCCATTGAGCCATCTGTGATTCATGCGTATTCATCAGTGCTTGTCCTTTGCACTCGCAAGGCATGAAATCAACCTGCCGACGACGTTGGGAGATGAACTCGGCAATCTGATCGGGTACATCCGTCTCTCCGCGAGCGCTCTGTGGAGATTCAACAGGATGAGCACCTGTCTACGCGATGATACAGGCTGCGGACTGCGGACTGACCTTGACGAATTTGAGCACCCAGTTGTGTCCTCGCTTCGCGATCAGTTCCCAGCATAGTATTCGGTCCTCCTACAATAGGATGAACAAATGAGACAAGACGTCTTCACGGGTCAGATTGACGTGACAGAACTGACCGCAAGGTACATGTTTGAAGTGAACACATCGGCATCGTGTCCCGCAAGATGCTCGCCCTTGAAGTACGAGTTGAGCGGACCGTGTCCGAGTTCGTCGTTCTTAAGCGCAATGTAGCGGTATGCTGAGAAGGCACCTGGCAGAACGGTGATGTATCCGAACATGGACTCTAGCGGCTTGTCGAGGATATCTGAAGGTGTGAAGAAATGGAATCAGGTACCCGGATTGATCGCTCCTCGCCGCGGCCCGCTTCTTACTTGAAATTTTGTATTCCTGTCAACTTCCCGCAGTTTAGCGGTGATACTTGCAAAACAAGAACAAATCTCTTAGTCAACTCACAAAATTCTGCGCTGCCACCAGCGGGTTCAGCAGATGTGTCCAAAATTTGCCTTTCATTGCGCAGATCTCACCGCATGCCCCACCGACGTTCGAGTCGAGATCAAAGCACTTCCAGAGATGGTAGATGGACAGCTCAGCCGGGCGCGTACCGACATCAATCAGCATGACGACGTTTGGGTCGAGTTGAGGAGCGAAAGCTTGCAGCGCCCAGCGATGCGAGTTTAGCTTCTTTGCGCTGTGACGTGCGGTAGGCCAAAAGTGAGATGGGTCAACAACAGAAATGTGACAAGACACGTTCAGCGGGTCGACTTACTTCTTCTCCTTGAGACAAAACATGATCTGAGTCGGCACGATACCTTTCTCGAGCCCTTTGAACCTCAAGTCTGGGTCGATACTGAGCTGCGTGGTGTATTCATAGATGTGGCTCTGCACACTCGCTTCGTCGATTTGATTCGTCGCCAAACCTTCTTGGTAAACACCGAGAGCCGACAAGCTGCAAAAGACGAGAACAAGTTTTAACTTCTTGTGCAAACCACAGAAGGTCACTAGCCATTGTCCCGGACAGACCAATCAAGGACGCGGGGATGTATAGCCTTGCGACCATCGGCAACGATGCAAACGACAACCTCTGCTCGAAGCAACGAATTTGAGGATCAGTGAGCTTTCCCGGAGAAGTCCGCCTGAATAAACCCACTCTTCCAGCCGTCCGGCCCCCAAGTGTTCGACTTCTTGCGCTTGCACAATTGCGCGATGTTTTCTGCATGCCGGCGCACCATGGCGTGTGAGCTATGCGACTCAAACGACAAAGATATTATAGTGTCGCGGAGGCCAACTTACTCATGATGCCGTGCATAGTTCGACAGAACAAAACCTCGTTCTCATTGTACAGAGTGACGACAATCAAGAGCTCGGTCTGCCGACTGTACAGTGTCGGGCGCAGAGTATAGCTGTTCTTGTTAAAATCTTCAGGCTGTGCAAAGCACGCGAAGGATACACGATCAGCAACACACGGATAAATCACGCAGAAGATTCTCTTCTTGACCTACTGCACAGGTGACGGCAGTGTAGCGCGTCAACATGAACTCATCCTCGCCCTTGCGAGGCAGGAAGTCGCTGAGTCGGGTGGGAATCGCGCAGTCGAGGACGAGATTCCCTTGTGTCAACTTGACCCTTCGATTGGTCAAGTTGCGACGGAGATGAGCAGTCTGAACGGTATGAATTGCACGAAAAGTCTGTGTGGTCAGCAGGAGCCTGAAGCATTCGAAGATCCTGGGCCCGGCTGGAACTGACGGGTGGGGGTGCTCCGAAACCACCAGCGAACGAAATTGCAGGTGAGCCGACCGCACCTTCCTCGCCCTGTTCCTTGACCTGCTCCCACTCGTCCTTTCCTTCAAACGAGTCTTCAAATTGATCATCTTCCATGTCCCGCTCTTGTACAACGGTCTCATCGTCCGCGGGTTCGAACTGCCCTGCATCGCCAGTCATTCTCGCTCCGGGATCCGCTACCGCGCCTCGGGCTGCGCTCCTCTTGGTTCGAAGAGGTCGGGTGTTGGCATTCAGATCAACGGTCGAGCTTTCGACGTATTGATCGTTCTGATATAATGTGTTCGTGGCATGTCGACCGGCTGCGTGGTCGTGTTGTCGATCGAGCGAAGGATCGTATTGTTGACTGATCCCATCGGCGGCGCCTGCTGGCCCTCGGGTCACTCGGGTCGGCCGATGAGCGGCATCGTTGTAAGCATCATATCGATCGTATCCATGAGAGTGGAAAGACGGAGGTGGCTGCGAATAGTGTCCCTCCGATCCGCCTTGTTGAGGCGAATAGGTGCTGATCGATTCGGAGTAGTATCCGGCGCCGGTGCCGTCATACGGCGCCGGATTGCCGCTGCTCGTCATACCCGTGTATGGGCGGGGTGGGGGTGTCATGTAGCGTGATGGCCCGTTACTATCGTCCGATGAAGAGAAATAGGCCATCTCAGAGGTGACCTTGGAGCACAATTAAATGCGGCGGCAGCGTCGATGTTGAAACAGAGGGCAACTCCGATGTTGAACCAAAGCCAACCTGCGGAGTCCGGCGCGCGCCGTCTTGCCACTCTCTTGCCCAGCCTTGCCCGAAGCCTTCGCGTCCGAACGACTCCAAAAGAGCGCTAGTCTTCGTTCGGTGATACGTCAACAGACCTCCGAGGGCCCCTCCCCAAAAGTTGGCTAGATAGGACTGGGTGATTGACTTCCACCTTTCCAGCCGAGCTCAGGAAGTTGGTGCTACACCGATCACATTTCGCACGGTGATCCCGGTACTGATCCCCTCGCGACCTCGAAGCGAATCATCGATTCGTCGTCGAGCAAATCGTCGGCATGCGCGGCACGGACGTAAAGGTGGAAAGAAGCTACCAGAAGCATTTCAAGCTCGAGCTACGAAAGAAAGGGGCAAGGAAAGGGGAGAAGGGGAAGCAACAGGAGCACAAGATGCGGTCATGCTTGGACAAAGGAGAGAACAAGAAAGTCAATCCATCCCCTAGTACTCCTCACCGACCTCCTCCTCATCACCACCGTCCATGCCAACCTCTTGGTAATCCTTCTCAAGAGCGGCAAGATCCTCACGCGCCTCGGAGAACTCGCCTTCCTCCATGCCTTCACCGACGTACCAGTGCACGAACGCACGCTTCGAGTAGAGCAAGTCGAACTTGTGGTCCAAGTTGGACCAGGCGCTGGCGATCGCGGTCGTATTGGAGAGCATGCACAACGAGCGCGAGACTTTGGCGAGGTCACCGCCGGGGACGCATTGCGCGGGCTCGTTGCAGATACCGAGTTTGAAACCGGTCGGGCACCAGTCAACGAACTGGATCGTGCGCTTGGTCTTGATCGACGCAACAGCGGCATTGACGTCCTTGGGGACGACGTCACCACGGTAGAGCAAGGCGCAGGCCATGTACTTGCCCGTGCGGGGGTCGCACTTGACCATCTGGTTGTTGGGCTCGAAGCAGCTCATCGTCAGCTCGGCGACCGAGTTGGCCTCGTGCGAGGCCTTGGACGCAGAGATGATGGGCGAGAAGCACGCGATCGGGAAGTGAATGCGGGGGAAGGGGACCAAATTGGTCTGGAACTCGTTCAAGTCGACGTTGAGCGAACCAGCGAAACGCAACGAGGCCGTGATCGACGAGACGACCTGGGCGATGATGCGGTTGAGGTTGACCAAACCGGGCGATTGCACACCGAGCTTGTTGCGGCAGATGTCGTAGATGGCCTCGTTATCGATGAGGAACGAACAGTCGACGTGCTCGAGCGTAGTGTGGGTCGTGAGGATGGCGTTGTAAGGCTCGACGACCGAGTTGCTCATGCGGGGCGAGGGGTAGACGGCGAATTCGAGCTTAGACTTTTTGCCGTAGTCCTGCGAGAGGCGCTCCAAGAGCAAGGCACCGAAGCCGGAGCCCGTTCCTCCACCGAACGAGTGGAAGACGAAGAAGCCCTGGAGACCGTTGCAGTTGTCGGCGAGCTTGCGGATGGTCTCGCACGTGGTGTCAATCAACTCCTTGCCTACGGTGTAGTGACCGCGAGCGTAGCAGTTGGCGGCGTCCTCCTTGCCGGTGATGAGGGTCTCGGGGTGGAACAAGCCACGGTACTCGCCCGTCTTGATCTCGTCGATGACTCCTGGCTCAAGATCAACAAAGACCGATCGGGGGACGTACTTGCCCTGCGGGTGTTATAGGGAGCGTGGGAGGTCGAGCGCCCAGATCGTCGCCAAAGTGCGTCAAGGCGAGGCGGAGCGGATCGGGTAGGGTGTGGTGCATCGAAGGAGCGAGTCAGCGTATGTGGCAAGGCGTGGTACGAGTCAACGATCGGACACAGGAATCCGCTTACCGAGCCAGTCTCGGAGAAAAAGGTCGAGAAGCCATCGGCACCTCCACGAGGACCGGTCGACGCGTCGAGGGGAAGACCCTCGGGCGTGAGGCCGTGCTCGAGCGTGTACAGCTATGCGCGACGCGATACACCAAAGTGCCATGTCAGTGCCATAGAGAGGGGCACGCTCTTCGTTTAGGAGCCACTCACCTCCCAGCACGAGTTACCGATCTATGAGCGCCAGCGACCGCAGCGGGCAAGCGGAGCGGAGGGTCAGGTCAGCGCGCGCGCCCTTTGAGCCTGTGCCATCTGCGCCGTCGTCACCCCCGATGTCAAGGAGCGACCACACGACTATGTCTACGCACCTGGGCGCCGGCCTGACCAATGTCTGTTCATCGTTGGCAGAAAGGCACACAACAACATGTGACAATGAGAGACGTTGCAACAGTCATGCATCAGCAACCCGGGTTGAGTGAGGGCCTCGACGCGCAAAACAACAGGTCGTGGGCCCAACTCCACGTCGCACCACCCGCGACGGATGGCCCGCTGACTTACGAACGGACAAGACTTCTCGCATCTTTGTGAGTTAACTGAGGGTGTGTGTTGTGTTCTTCGGGGAGAGATAGGAGTGGTGGGGTCTCTTGCGATGAGCTCCTGCGGTAGTTACGACGAGGAGTTCTGAAGAGGGGCGGACGGTTGAGCGAAGGGAAGAGCGTGAGCACGCTGAGCCTCACAGAGCCTCACTGAGCGCGCGTGTGTCGGGAAGACGTAATTTCGCATTAGCTCGCTAAAGCTCGCGACACTAAACCAGCCCCCATTTCTAACGTGAACCATTCTTCAAAAGCGAGGAGGTGCGCTACAGTACAAACATATCCCGAGCATTGACAGATCAACCGAAAGACCGGAATTACATCTGTTGCGCGTTGCAGTGTTGCCCTAGGCTTAGTGGCGGCCAACAGGAGTGAGGAGGCTTTGACCCCTGTGTTGTAACATTCCCCCGATTCGAATTTTGATGCAGGGGCCACGAAAGTGTGCGCGCGCAGAAGAGTCGAAAATGAAATCAGTAGACCTGGCAGCCAAGAGTCGTCATGGCCCCAGGCAGCAGCAAAAAGATGCAACTGCAGTGCGCAGCGCAGAGCGTGAGCCCGTCGTGTAAGGCGCGGGGTAAGCCGAAACAAGCCGCGCCTCGAAAGCGTGCGATCGCGGCGTCGCGCGCCGCCCACCAGCCTCTACCAGCCTCCTTGGCAGCGCGTTTAGCCAAAAGGGGCTCAATGGCGCGCGCCGGACTCGTCTTAACGCCATTGCGGAAAACCGAAATTCGTCAAATGGCTGATTTCATAACCTTCTTACACTTTTATTGGTGTCTTACACATTCGGTCACTAGATCATCCATTATGTGATATCGCGCATTCGACCTTTGACGTGTACAGGGTACCGATTGCGAACCTAGCTAGGCATTTCGCCCCTTGGGCAAGATCCCATTTCCCAGCCGGATCGCCTCTTGGCTTCCCTCCCCTCACCCCTTCTCACTCCTACCCTCAAGCTCCAGATTCAGGTGCTGTGCATCGTCCGATCAAGAAAACACCATCACCTTCCTTCGTCGAGAGCCGGTCTCTTCAATCCATCACCTTTTCGATCTGCCAACCCAGCTTTCGACTACCCGTGCCTTTGACAGGTCAACAACAGCTGCAAGAAACGAAGAGAGACAGATAAGGTCAACTTACATTATTGCAAGGCACCTTCTGCCAGATCCGAGTCTACCCGTCATTCATAAAGTTTCAAATTTGGATCCCACTCGGGCCACTCAGCGCACGGACCACTTTCTCGAGGTCTCCGAACGATGCTTGTCTTCAACTTAATCGCACCTCTCTTGATCCTGATGTCCCCTTCGGCATCCGGAATGCCCCATTCCCTCACAACATTGGAACCGCAACTCGATGAAGCTGCTGGCAACTGGAAGGCAGAGTATATGGGGGCCCAGGCGGCCCCGACGGGAAACTTTAATGGCTCTCGCAATTCGACCATAGCCGACTCGGAGTACGACCTGCTCGAGGAACGCGCCGTGCCTAACCCCAAGAACCCGAACTTTGAGGTGAGCACTTATTTTTTACTTGTTTTCGGAAATGAATCTGATACCCTCCCTTTGAACGATCGCAGAAGGGGGGATCAACCACTGCGAAGACGACTACGACGACAAAGACCGCCAAGACTGTAGCACTGGAAGCCTCGACTACGCCCGCCGTATCACCGACCACTACCCCGGTATCCAATACGACAACGGCGGTTGTGACGACGACGACTGCGGTCGCGCCGTCGGTGCACACAGGGCAGGCGACGTTCTTCTATCAGGACTCGGCCGGTGCATGTGGCAATTGGAATGCGGACTCAGTTCCTCTCGTAGCCCTCAAGGCATCTTTGTACGGTGACACGGGGAAAGTCAGCAAATACTGCGGTCGCTACGTTTCTATCACCAACACAGACAACGGCAAGAGCGTCGTGGCCATCGTCGCGGATGCATGCCCCGGCTGCGCGACATACTATTCCCTCGATCTCAGTACGGGAGCTTTTGACCAGATCGGCGATGAAGTGACAGGAGTCTTGCCCATCTCCTGGTACTTTTTGCCGATTGACTATTCGCCCTCGTCTCAGTCCACTACGACCAAGTCCATCGCACCGACCACGGCCAAGGCCAAAACGACGACGAAGACTTCCACGAGCGTCTCGGTGACACCTAGTCCTCCGCCGGCTCCTACAACGTACACCGGGCAAGGCACCTTTTTCTTCCAGGGTGGACAAGCGGGCGCATGCGGGGTCTACAACAAGGATTCGACGCCGCTCGTTGCACTCGACTATAGATTGGTGAGCCCGTTTGCCGTCTCCTTCGCTTCTTGCAGTGACATCGGACTGTCTACTGATCAACAACATCTTGTCGCAAACGCTAGTACGGCGACACGGATGCACAGAGCAAGTACTGTGGTAAATATGTGCACATCACCAACACGGCGAACGGTAAATATGTGGTTGCGATTGTCGCGGACGCGTGCCCGACCTGCGCTTCCAAATACTCGCTCGACCTGTCGACAGGTGCTTACGACAAGATTGGGGACAGGGACACTGGCATCCTGCCGATTTCTTGGTACTGGCTTTGAATGTGCTACTCAAAATGTGGATCTGGCTGTATCTCGCATTGCACTCGTCCCGCGGTTTTGCCGTAGCCGATAGTAGAGCAAAGAGGACAGCTTCTCGATGAGAGCCCTCAAAAAAGAGAAACGATACCGTGAGAAACGGTGTCCCGCCACTCACTCCCTGTTTTTCTCCCATCCCATTCCACCATTGTTGCACACGAATCTCTTTTGAAGAGATCGGTTGGGATTCTGGCGGGAAAGACTCATCATGCGTCAGCGCTAAACCGCTTCACCAACTTGGCGCGCAGGCTGGGCGAGCCAGAAGACTCGCGGAGTGGAGGGTCACACTACTCGCATGGATGGTCGTAGAATTCTCGAGGGTGAATTGTGGTACTCGGGATCCCGTCGGAAACAGCGGCTGTAGCGGGCCGGGTTCAGGAGTCATTTCTGTTGTAGCGAGGCCGAGTTCCGGAGTCGTTTCAAATCGGTTGTAGCGGGGCCGAGTTCCGGAGTCGTTTCAACTTGTCAAGGACAACACCGGTTCGGGCAGGATCAAACACCGGTTTCGGCAGATTTCTCAGCGATAAAGCGCTCCCGGGTAAACTCAGCAACTTCGATGACTCAAGGATTGACTGTCAGCAACGAATCATGTGGCAGGATTTGAGTGGAGGACCGGGCTGGATGCGCGGATGAAGGGGTGAAGGGGAATGAAAGGAGCGCAGCGGTCTGAATGGTCGGAACGTTTGAGGAGAGTTTGCTTCTTGTTCTTAGGCAGACCACTTGCAGGATCCAAAACAGATTCTTGCCCGGCTCTCACTTTCTGCGTGTTTCAAGTCTCGTTCGGCGTCGTCTCCAGTCTCCAGTCTCCAGTCTCAGCGTTTCGTTCTCATACTCGGTCTCGTTTCTCGGTTCTGCCCCTCCCCTTTTCCGTCCCTGTCTCTCGGCCGTTCCGGTTCGCTCTCTCGTCTCTCGTCTTCGGTCTTGGTCCCATCTTTTCCCTTATCTTTTCATATCATCTTTGATCGACCGCTTTCCTATACCATAGAATGGATTGAGGCTGTGTTCGACCTGTTGAGTTGATTGGCATATCAGAGTCCGCTGCTTGAAGGCCTGCCAGGGGGAGGAGGGCAGCTTTGGATTCGGATCCGGGAAGAAAAGGTTCCGAAAGCCTTGCCAGACCGCGGATTGTCTCCAGTAGAATGCGATAATCTAGCCGCTGGAATGATATTGTTGCACATCGATGCACCGTCGTACTCGAGCAGCTGATGGTGAGTCGTATATTCTTCGAAGGTGCGCGGGTCAAGCCGCGGGCCCCGGGTGGATGATGGGCAGGCACACTCGGCAGCCGGTGACATCACACTCGCTCCGCTGGGCACTCGACCAGGCATGCGCTTTGGCCCTTACGAATGCTAGTTCCTCTCCTCAAAAAAATCCAAGGCCTCTGTCAGTCTGTGTCGTACCGCACATCAACTCGACAGAGCTCACAGCACCTCCCGATCCATCTTCCGAACTCATGTCTCCTGCATCCGCCAAGAAATGGGACCAGTCATGGATGCCATCCGTCCACGCCTCTAAGACGGAGCCAGCAACCGAGAGAATATTTGACGCCGAAGAGCTCTACAACAAGAAGGTTTACATCAGAACCCCCTCTATCGATTTCAACGAGGCCCGACTCGTCGCTGAAGGTGACCAGAGTGGGGGATGGAAACTTCACTGCAGCTCGAGCTGGCGCTCCGTTCCCTCCGCGCCGATAGCCGTGCTCATGATAGCAGAAGAACTGGAAAAGCACCTCAACCGTGACGACTTCAAGCCTGCGGAAACTCACGACGTTGATCAACGTCGTGAGTGCAACCTCTTCGTCTACTCGGACGGCAACAGAAACATCCGGCCCGCGGTCAAGTACGTCAAGGAATTGCCGCCGAGTCCGACCCACCTCGAGCTCAAAGATCTGGAGGGACTCTTTCCGGCCAAGACTGGGACGATCGAGTCGTGGGTGACGGTGAGGTCCACCGAGTCACCCTCGAATCATCACTCCATCGTTGCGACTAGGAGTGCAAAGGGCTCCGCGGACAAGGCGCCTTCGAGGCTTCGATCGGTAGACTGGACCTGGAGGTGAGCGATGGCCAGGTGGCGAGGCAGGCCCAAGAGGTGAACGAGGGCTCAAGGGGCAACTTACGAATGGCCAACAAGAAGCCCTTCGCGGTTCGTCTCACCTCGGCGCTCACGTCGAACATTGTTCAAGGTGAAGTTGTGTCTACAGAGTTTAAGATGTTCTATCGATCCATCGCCTGGCCCGACCTTACCTTTGGCGGAACATTCACCACTCGTCGCCTCTCCCACCGTCCGCCTCCGCCTCTTTGACACGGCTCCGACGCTGGCCGCGTCCTCGGAACGAAGGGCCGACAAGAGCGCAGCCTCCACCTCGAGGGTCGCTTCCCAGCCCTCGCCACAAACACCGTTGAATAGTAGCTCGCAGTGGGCACCGTCTCGACTCGGCCCCGTGTCTTCGATCAATCGCAGCACAACTAACCCCTTGCGACCGGGTCTAGGGAGCGACGAGGCACGTGGGAAAGTGGCAAAAGCAACGGTAGTAGGAGCAAGAAGAAGAGCCAGCAGGGTTGAGAGGGCTCTGATTCGATAGGTTTTATTACTTTACTACACTACCTGCAATAGTAGATATTGTCGTGCCTTACATGATTTGCCATAGATAATGGAATGCATGTCCGCTCCGCGTTGGGTCCATCATGAAAGTACTTCTCGGATCGCATCAATAAGTAAGTAACGCACTGGAACAAAGGCTTGCACATGATCGAGTATTTCTAGGACATTTTTCAGCCACTAAAATGTCACTGCGCTGCCAACACCATGGTGCAGGCCTATGCACCCGCACACATTACTCCCATTTCGACTTCGAGGCCTACGTCCCAGCGCCGAGCTCAGCAGTGTCGTCAATGTCGTGCCATTTTCCCCATTGGCTAGTATGTACGGACCTACACAGCTTGTAGATCTCTGCATACCCATGTAAATTGGTATGTCCCGTGTTTTGGCCCAAAAGAAGGTCGGTACACGCTCATGGACACTGATGCACACCCGGCGCGCACTCGTCGACGCCGACTGAACCACTGCGCGCCTGCCTTGCGGTGCTAGGAGGCCTTCGTTCGATTGCGTCGCGAGTGGCTTTCCGAGAGACCTAGGCTGTTTACATGGGCACAAATAAGTGCATGGATCTAAATCTCACACATACTGATGCGCCAACCTCGTAGAAAACATATGAAACTGGCGACGTTTCGACCCTCGTTCCGCGGCGCTTGCTCTCGGACGGACCCGGTGCAGTGGCTTTGATCAGCATGAAAGCTCCTCAAGGTGCCTAAGTTGCTCAATGTACCTAAGCTGTACACTCGTAACACACATCTGCTCCTGAGTACGCGCTGTTGGTCCATCTGCATTTGTCGCCTCGCTCAATTGAGCAGCAATTGAATAGGTACGGTCAGGTAGGACCGTAGGGTTACGTCTTGTGAAGAACTTCGATGCGACCAACGGGCGCGCCGAGTGGGTCGAAAGGCGAGTGCGGGGTGAATCACTCCCTCTTGCTAGAACCAACTATTCTCGCTCGCAACATCGCCTATTGCTCGCTCGAAACTTCAGAATTTTTTGCTTTCCACGCCTTCCCACGCCAACAAACCTCTTTCTCCCCACCGTCTCGTTCCAACACGAACAAGTGTCCCACTTGCGGCGATCACCATTCCCATGTCGGACATCAATCTCGGAGGCGGCGAGACCGTCGCCCCCCCCACCCCCCCCGCGGTGCTGGTGGTGCTGGCGGTCCTGTTAGTGCCGGTACTGGCGGTGCTGGTGCTGGTTCTAGCTGTCTTGGTGCCGCTGATGCGGGTGCGAACGCGTCTGGCGGTGGGGTGAACCCGCAGGACCTAGTACTAGCCTCTTTCGGCCGCGAACTCTATAGGAGTTTCCAGGCGGGGGCATCGGATTCCCAAAACAAGTCGTTCAGTTCATACAAGGTCACAACGTCTCACTCTCGTTCCAGTTTGGTTGCGGCCTACGCGGACTCGCCGGTCACAGTCTCTTCGGAGCTGTTTGACATCGCGTCCAACGCGGCCAGACCAGAAGCGGTCCCATTGAGTCTGTTCACGCCTGGAGCCAGCATCAAGGCGAAGCTGGGTCAGACTATCTCGCTCGCCACGACCAAGGACCGCTCGGCTACTCTCCAACTTGGTCATCAGCTCGATCACTTGCTCACTTTCGATGAGTGGCAGCCGGCTTCGTTCCTGTACGCCGCCCTGATGGCTGACATTTTCAAAACAACCAACGCGGGCGAAGCGTTTCTACAACACTTTTCCCGAGTCGCGGTGCGCGCTACCTCGAAGAGCTGGCCCCTGTGGCTTGAGTACGACATCATCGTAAGAGCGAACTTCTGGGCTCACTTGGCGAGGTCTTGCAGCGATACAGCGTCAAACAGCATTACCATTATCGATGTCTCCGACTTCAATCCGGAGGCCATGGTCACGGCAGAACACCGTTGCCATCGCCCCACTGGTGACCACCTCAATTATACAGCGAGTACCGGCTCCTTGTCTACCAAGTTGTGGAGTTTGTCGAAGGTCGAAATTGAGGCGATGGTGGCCTCGATGGAAGGAAAGAGGAAAGAAATTTTCTCCACAGAGTCCTCCGTTACCCTCACCGATGTCGTTCGTGACGCTTACTCCCAGGTCTCATCCAAGTCCAAGAAGCGCCCATTTGCCGAACCGAGTGGAAATCACGCGCCCAACATCGCGAATTATCTTCCGTTCGGCCGTCCTTCGGTTCTTCAGGGAGCGTCGTTTCAGCGTGACCAGCCTCCGAACGTGTTTCGTGGGTCCTCAGACACCAACTTTCGCCCTTCGTACGACAACAATTTTCGCTCGACACCACCCTACGACTCTCGATCGCTCGCGGCCAACCGTTCCGGCACCGGTTCCATTCTCTGCATCGTTTGCGGATCGACGTCCTTGGATCACCCACCCGCCCGTCTCTGCCGCAAATTCGACTCGGATGCCTTCACTCGTTCTATTGAATTTCATTCTACTTCAAGCGTTCGAACACTTCAACATTGGGCCGCCATTTGTCAGGTCCGCCCATTTTCGCCTCGGCGCCTTTGCCTTCGCAGCCGAGCCGCCTCCCTTTGCCTCGCGCCGGCCTGTTCAACTCACGCCCGCGCGCCGCCGCCTCCACGCCGGGACTCTGGCCGTCTGCCCTCCAGTCTTGCTGAGCCAATGCCTCCACTTAGTCACCAGCAGCTTGCCGCCGCCGTCCTCATGTTCCATCGGCCATCAAGAGTATCGCCCATGCATGACGCCCGCCGTTCGCAACCTGAGTCTCGTCGCTATGGACTCCCTCGCTCGCCAACACTCGACATCGCAGATAGGTTTCCCCTCGTGGCCGTTGTCCAACACGACCCCTCTCAGCACCCGAATGACCCACTTGGAGTTTGCCCTTGTCGCTTAGCAGCGCGTCCGCCCGATTTGCAGTAGATCCTTTGCGCGCCCGCTTGCTAGAACCTTGTCAGACTCGCGCTCCTTGTGCTTCCCTTCCTCTTCTCTACCGCTTTCCGACATTAGCCAGACTGCTAATCTTCGGTAGAGAACAGATCGTCCAGCCGCACCGCCGTCTCGTCAGACCGCGTCTGTGCCGCCTTGCGACTTCTCCCAACCGGACCGTCCGTCGCAACCGTAGCCACGTCGACACTCCCAACAGTAGCCCCAGCGGTCGCTACACCCAGTTCCGAAAAGTTCCACGACCTACATTCTACACGTTCATCGTCCGGAGCCTTGTACCACAGACCCTCTAATCGCCAGGTGTGTTTTGCCTTCAACAACGGTTTGCACTCCTCGAACCATTGCGACGCCGGCCGCCTCCATGTGTGCTCAATTTGTGGAGACTCGGAACATTCCGCCCGTCAGTGCGGGGCCCGAGGTAATCGCTCCGATTGTGCTTAACTCCGATCACTCGGTATCACCTGTCATGCCCTCGCTTTTGTCGCATATACATGGACTACATAATTCTGACCTTGTGGTGTCATCACAATGTAGTAAGTTTACTCGCAATCCGCGTACCTTCATACACCAGGGTTCGGCTTCACTCTCATCACACGCCACTATCTTCGGCTCTACTTCTATCGTATGGCCATGTTTGGCTTTACTCCTTATGGCCACTTTCGGCTGTACTTCTTATGGCTATGTTCGGCTTCATTTCGTATGGCCACGTTCGGCCGTACTTCTTATGGCCATGTTCGGATTTACTTCTATCATTCAGCCATATCCGGCTGTACGCCTTTCATACTGCCGCATCCGTTCTCACCGGGTGTGGTCGTTGTCTCCTGTGAAGCGGTCGTTTTCTCCTATAGAGTGGCCGCTCTCTCGAAACCCTCTCTCCGACCCCGTGCTCTTCGTTTCCCACGTTTCCCACGCTTCCAGTGCCCCCTGCCAAGGCATTCCACTTCCACACAGTTTTGCTGACCAATCTGTTTCGCTTGCTCCGCCTCCAGAACAAACGAACTGTTGCAGAAATGTTCTCGAGTGGTAACTGATGATGACCACGACTCAGTCCAATGAACAGGGACGAGAACAGAGTAAGTTGGGATTCCAAAGAGCTGACCTGATGATGACCACGACTCAGTCCAATGAACAGGGACGAGAACAGAGTGGCCAGAGACTAAGGGACAGACTCGCGGAAGGCTAGAAAGTGAAGCGTAATGCTAATAGGGAAGAGGGATTAGAGACTAGTAAAGCAGGGAGAATGAGTGACTAGGGAGTTCATGAAGTGTCGCTAGGCTCAATCCCAAGTACCATAATAGGAGCAAGAATCAGATGAAGGACGATACAACCATATATTCCTAACACGAACCCCTCACTCTCTCGGCCTTTGCTCGCGCCTTCAGCGGATGTCATCTCTACAGACACTTCCTCGTCGTACATACCTCCTACGGACCCTTCTCAACGGGACACTGCTTTTCATGTTCATATGGTTTCAGATGTCTCATCATTGGCGAGAGCCCCTAGGTCGGCAGTGGATAAGCTTTCCGCTCTTCCTTCCATCACGGATTTACGTGCGGCGTTGACCGACGTCGTTACTCCACTCAACCCTGACCGTTGGCAATCAGCCGTGGACTACCTTCGCGTACACCGTGGCAAAACTCCCTTTGAGCAAGTCGATTCGATCCCGACCCAAATCCGCAAGGGTTTCGACTTTGGCCTCCGCCACCTTCCCAGGGAGCCGTTTACTCCGTTTACTCCGAGCAACCACATTTCGAATGATGATGACGCATCTCGTGAGGCAGCGGCCGAGGAACTTCTCCGTCTCCTACGCGATGGTCGCATCGCGGGGCCCTTTGACTACGACTGGCTCCGCCTCCAAGTCGGCTCGTTCCGCTCGAATCCACTGTCGGTGATCGAAAAACGACGCGAACCCGGTCAAGCCCCGAAACACCGCGTGATCGAGAATATGTCGTACCCGCGGGCGTACGATGAGCTCACCGAGATCGAAAGCTGCAACGACTTGCTGGCTGCAAATGATTTCCCGTGTACATGGACAACGCTTGCCCAGCTTATCCGGCAGTTTAATACTTTACCGCCGTCAATGCAGTGTTTCGGTTTCGACTTTGCGGATGCTTTCTACCAAGTTCCTCTCCTGCCATCGCAACGGCTGCACATGACGATCTGTTGGGAGGGTTGAATCTACATTCGTCGAGTTCCCTGTTTTGGCGGTCGAACCACTCCGGGGGTGTTCGGTAATCTAGCGGACGTAACCCAAGACTTCCTCAAGCTACGTTTCCCCTCGATCACGATCTTCAAACAGGTGGACGACGTCATCGTATTTTGCCCAGATGCCTCTGTCCCTCGACAAGAGATTGAAGAAGCGATTTCGGACTTGGGTTGGAAGCTCGTGCCCGACAAGGGTTTCGACTGGACTCGCCGTTTCACTTTTGTTGGTATCGAGTGGGACTTGGATCGGTCCACCGCTCGTATCCCCGAGGGTAAGAGAGTCAAGTACATTGCCAAGGTTGTCGAGATCTTGTCTCAACCCTTCGACACAAGATTCTCAAAAACTCAGATCGAATCGCTCGTTGGTTCCCTCTGCTACGTGGCGCAGATCCTCCCTCACCGCCGCACTCGTCTGAATCATACGCTCTTGTCAAGAAGTTCCCAAACGCATACACCAAAGTGAAAGGCACGAGATCGCTCTCGAGCCTCACTGATTCCGAGTCCAAACAGAAAGGATCAAACGGTGTAATTCGCAGGCGAAGAAAGACTACTAAAAGGACTAAGGTCAAGAGACGCGGCGGCGCCGCGCGCGAGGGCAAGCGTGAGGCCGCAGAGGTTGGCTCGAGGTCGTCGTGAGGCGTAAGCGGAGCGGCGCCTTACACAAAGTTCGGGCGCTCCACAATGTCCGGCGGGAGCTTTCCGAATGGAAGGAGCTTCTTGGGGACGCCAACAACCTAGTGTACTGCTTCGCAATGAAACCACCCTCGATCCATGTCGACGCTTCCTCCGATGCCAGTGAAATAGCCCTCGGTATCGTCATCGATTCGCGCGCGAGCGTTTTCCCGTTGCCGTCGAACTGGAAAGAACTTCGGGACGCGCACATCACCGTCGCGGAAGCCTGGGCTGTCGAAGTGCTTGCCGATGTGCTCATCGCACTCAATTTTCGTCATGTTAGGCTTTCGATTCGTTGCGACAGCACGGGCGTCCTCTATAGTTGGAGGAAGGGGAGGTCGGTGAATCGTTGGATCAATAAATCGATCGAGTACTTACGCCAACTCGAGGCAACTCATGATGTGTCTTTTGTCGTCGACTATGTCCATACCGCATCTAACCCTGCGGATGTTGTCTCTCGAAATATTCTCCTTCCCTCTCATCTTCGTCCGTTCGACTTTGTTTTGGAGCATCCGATGCAGCGTGCGATTGCAGACTATCGGCCCATGCCGCACTTCACGTTTTAGCCTCCCCAGACTTCGCTGGCCATGCTCGTATGGACTCGGAGCTCTTGCTGTTTTTCGTTGTTTGGTTTCATTTTCCCTTCTTCTGGGTTTCTCTGCTTTTTTTTTTTTTTTTTTTTTTTTTTTTTTTTTCCTGCTTGTTGCTTGGTGCTGTGTCCTTTCTCAGCTTTCTCTGGTGACTCCCCCCCCCCTTTTTTTTTTTTTTTGTCAAGTACACTGTTTTCTCTCTCGGATGTATGTCAGTCCAGTACATTCATTTTCATTTTGGTCATGACGTCATCGATGACGCTACACATGGGCAGTGCCAGACACCCCTGTCAACTGCGCCTCCAACTGTGCCTGTTGCCCACTACCCTGTTCCTTGCTACATGCAAACTCGATCTCTGCATGCGATGCCTGATCGTGTGCGACAGAATGATCCCGCAGATCACCCTCTCTTACCCATGTTGACCCGGGTGGTCCATAATACACTCGCTAATCGGGTCTCGGCGTCTCCGATCACTACCGCCCGGTCGGAGTCCACCGGTAGCACCACACCTGCCAACGCGTCAGACCCTCCTCGAAGAGACAATTATGGAATTTCGAGTACACAGTATGGTGCCCGACCGAGTTCTACCGCCACAGTGGTCCCCGGTTTCTACGAGGAGCCTGTGGTCCAACGCGCCCCGGTTGCAGTGGGAGAACAACACCTCTCCGAGTCGAGGAGCTCGAGGGCGGTCCTGGGCCCCAGTCTCATTCACAACCCCTCGGACGATATTATTGTCGCTTCAGCTTTCGACGACACGAGTACTTTCGCAGGGTGGGCTACTGTCACAACCAACCTTGCCCCCGAGCATAGATTGACGGGCTCTTTCGCAAGGACCATCCCGCATGATCATCTCCCCTTCCTCGCTACACCAATCTTGCCAAGCAGCTGTCGCCAATCGATCCCAACTTCCGAGATTGTGAATCGTCGTAAGGTTGCTTCATCCTCAATCCAGCCCAAGACCCTGAACACTTATGGAGGCTGCATCGCTCGATACTTGGACTGGTGTGACTCTGAGGGTGTGGACTCCACCCTCCGCTTCCCAATGGACTGGAACAACATCTGACGTTATTTCGATCACCTTGCGGCCGTGTCACGATTTTGGGAATCCACCATCCGACATTATGCTTCCGCCTTCCGGTTCTGGAGCCTGACTCACGGTCTCGAGTGGAACGCAGACAGGATCGGCCTAGACATGGTCTATAAGGCCGCCAAGAACATCTCGCCTCTCGGGAAGGCACCTCGCCGCCCTTTCGAGTTGCCTGACCTGGATTGCCTGATCCCTCTTCTGGAAGCTTCGGAGCCTGAAGACCTCGCTGTCATCGCGTGTGCCGCCATCTTGTTCTATGGTATGGCAAGGATCGGCGAACTTACCGTCTCCTCGCCTGTGGATCCGTCTCATCCACCAATCACGCCGTCAACCGTCAGGATGTTTCCCTCGATCCCTGCTCTCCGTGCGGGACCTCGAATCGAGCTTCACCTACCGTTCGACAAAGTACAACGTCATCAAGGTGACTTCATCACCATCGTACCGCAATCGGGGAAAGGTCCCTGTCCCTATAACCTGCTTTCGTTGCACTTGCAGACGAACCCTCCGCAAGATCAACCGCTTTTCTCCTACCAATCTAAGGGACGATGGGTTCCTTTAACTCGATCCCGGTTCCTCTCGCGAGTGAATCAGACCTTGAAGGCAGCGGATCGTCCGCCGGTATCCGGTCACTCCTTCCGTATTGGTGGCGCTACCCATTACCTTCTCGAGGGAATCCCACCGGAAACAGTGAAAGTTATTGGTCGCTGGAAGAGTACCTCATTTGAACGGTACTGGCGCCAGGTCAATCTCATCGCGGCCCGCGCAATGTCAGGCGATGTTGCTTGGCCTAGCTCACCGGGAGGTGCACCTTCTGTTCAGGGCTACGGTCAATCAGAAGAGTTTGAGATGGCGTTTGACGAGCTCGCAAGTGCGGAGGGTGATTTGTGACTTGCCCCCTGCTCATCCTGTGTTCCTTTACGCCCAGGGCAAAATCCCTTCGCGTCGACAGTGTCTCCGCCCGTCTCCTGATATGTTCCGCCGTTTCATGGTCGCAGTGATCTTCATTGTGAAATATGGGATATCAGAATCACCTAGGATCTCGCTTGGCTTGGGCTGGGGGGCGAGCTCCCCCTTCAACCCCCTGTATTCCCCCCCGTTTCGGCCTCGCTCGCGGCGGCGCAATCTGCGCCGGTTGGGTCGCCGGTTTCTTCGCGGGGCCGTGTCATGGGGAAATTCGCCCCCAAGCCCAAACCAAGCCATTTATTATATAGTCATTATTTGTATTCATCAAGAGAAGTCGGCACAAACATCGTTCAGTCAGAGACTGCTCGTCTTTGACCGACACGAGACGCTCGACGAGCGACCAAGCGCCCGCACATAATCAAATCTGCCTAATCGCTGTTTGTATTGCGCATTACTGTAGCCCGAATGTCCCGGATGGCCTGCCGGACTAAGTGTCGTTCGTTGCTCTTAAGTCTCACGTTTCACCGTAGTCAACCATTTGATTGGGCCACCATGACACGCAACCAGTCTTCTCGCCTATGCCATTGTTCGTTGTGCAACGATGCAATGGTATCAAGAGCGATGTTCTACCGCCACAAACGCCTACAATTAATCTGTTGACTCTTCTGTAAGGCAAGGCCTTACGACGGGCCACAGGCATTAGAAATAGAGCTTGCGCGCGCCTAGCTTCTTCAGCTCTCTCTTCATCGAGCTGACACCAGAAGCTAGGTGAGTACTGGTGTTCCCTATCTCAGCACTATCGTATCTTATCGAGCTGACACCAGAAGCTAGTTGTAATCCATATAACTTGCACCTGTCATCTTCGGTCACCAGTGAGGCTCCGCTGTCCGAGACAGCGTGCCTTTCACTTTTTTTTTGACAACGTCGAGTTCATTGGTACCCCAACGATACGGCCTACGCTCATCAGGTCCGGCCGTACTCGAACAATCGAACCAATCGACTAGCCAGGATCGTTCAAATCAAGACGACCCTGCAGCACTAGCAGCCCAGCGCCCCCCCCAGCCCAGCCCAGCACGCCCGCCATGTCCACTCCTGTCCCGCCCACGCACGTATACAAAGCCAGTGACCCACCTCAGCTACATCAAACTTCGATGGAGGCTCTTCGGGAATACTTCATGCGCCTGGAATACTACAACCGGCGTGTGGCCCAGTCTAGCAACTGCCCTCGCTATGCCCCTGCTCCCGGAGCGCCCGCCACCTCGTCGACTCCCCTGTCGACCGCTCCCGCCGCTCGCACTCGTCCTGGTATGGTGGCGGCCATCCAGATGTTCCAAGAAACGGGTGATTCAACCGCGTTTGCTGGCCTCAACAGCGACTCGGAAGACGATGATTACTCGTGCGCCCCTCGCTCGTTCCCGCCTTTACCCGTCTCTCTGCGTGGTGCTCATGGTACCCTCACTGCCTCGGCCCTCGTAGATTCGGGGTCGCCTCAAACGTTCCTCAGTGAGGACTTCGTTTAGCGATTGGGATTGGAAAAACGGGCCCTGGAACAGCACACGAAGTACACTCTTGCAATGCAGAACCAAGTTCCCACCGTCTTCACCTGCACGCATTTTGTTCGAGTTCCGGTCGAACTGGCTAATGGACGTTGGGCGGCGGGCCCGACGTACGCCGAAGTGGCGCCCCTTGGGAGGGACCTCGAGCTTATTCTGGGAGGCAACTTCATCTACACGCACAAGATTGACCTAGGTCATTTCCCACACCCCCACCTCACGTGTAAGAACAACCCGGAGGAGCCAATTGACCTGCTTGAACTATCGTCCCAGCCGCTATCGCGCCCGTCAACGAAGACGAACAGCTCCGCCTTGCCGCGCTCGACCAGCGCCTGCGCGCGGTTTACGCTGATCGCTTCCCTGACGACATTCCACCGGTTGCCACCTATCAATCCCCGGTGCGACACCATATCGAGCTTGACAACCCGCGCACTGTGATCAACCTGCGCGGCTATCCGGTCGCCAAACGCCATCGCCAGGCATGGTACCTGCTGCTTCAAAAGCACCTCGCAAGTGGCCGTCTTCGCCCCTCACGTTCGCCGTACGCGTCGCCGGCGTTCATCATCCCCAAGAAGGGCTCGGATGTGGACCCCACCATTGCACCGCGATGGGTGAACGACTACCGCCACCTCAATCAGCACACCATCAAGGACCGCACACCCTTGCCCCTGGCCGATGACATCCTGTCGACGTGCTCCAAAGCGCGGTTCTGGGCCAAGATTGACATGACCAACTCCTTCTTTCAGACCAAGATGGCGGAAGAGGATATAGCAAAGACTGCGGTTTCGACACCCTGGGGTTTGTATGAATGGACGGTCATGCCCATGGGACTCTGCAACGCGCCCGCCGCGTCAACGACGCCCTGCACGGATTACTCGGCACCATCTGCTTCGTCTACCTTGACGACATCACCATCTTCGCCGATACGCTGGAGGAGCACGAGGCCCGTGTTTGCCAAGTTCTGGACGCCCTGCGCCGAGCCGAACTCTACTGCTCACCATCAAAGACCAACCTCGCCACCTCGGAGTGTGAGTTTCTTGGCCACATCATCAACCGCTCCGGCGTACACGCCGACCCCAAGAAGATCAAGCGCATCCATGACTGGCATCTCCCAGCGACCGTCACGGAACTGAAGGGGTTTCTCGGTTTGGTGCAGTACCTCCGCAGGTTCATTCCGGGCCTTGCCGAGCATACCGCTGCGCTGACCCCGTTGACAATCAAAGGGCTGACATCCATCGACAACCTCTGGACAACTCCAACGGTCCGTCACTTCGAAGCCATCAAGTCCATTGTCGTCTCCCTTGACTGCCTATGCCCGCCCGACCACTCTGCCGATGCCATGCCATTCTGGGTGATGACCGACGCCAGTCTTCAAGGTATCGGAGGTGTGCTCCTGCAGGGCTCGCATTGGAAGACCGCACACCCCATTGCCTACTGGTCGCGTCAATACATCCCAGCTGAACGCAACTACCCTACGCACGAGCAGGAACTCCTAGCTATTGTCGAGGCTCTCAAGGATGTAATACACCCCGTAGGAGTGTACACCGGAGCGACGACGATAGGATCACAGGACCAAAGTATGTAGGATTGACACTGGACACTCTACGTTAGTCGCTGAGGAGAGACTAAGAGTGCCCAGGCGCGCGCCCCCTCCTTCTAAGGCCCAGGCGCACGGGCCTTACACTCTCCACCACCTATTCTAAACCCCCGCCCGCCCTTACACCCTCCCCTTCCTGATCTTGACCCTCTCCTCTCCTCTCTTCCCACCTCTCCAACGCCACCGTGTCCTCCAAGTGTGCCCGCGGTTCCCAAGTGTTGTCGCTGTCTGCCCAACCCTTCCACTTTACCAAGTACTTCCTCCTCTTCCCTTTCCCCTTCGCGTCTACGATACGTTCTACCTCCCATTCCTCGTTCCCTTGGACAATGACAGCTGGTGGCTCCGCGGCGTGTCGTCCTGGGAATGCGTCCCCGTTGTTTGGTACCCAACGTCGGAGTTTGGACACGTGAAAGATGTTGTGCGTCTTGTCACCCGGGTTCAGCTTGAGTTTGTAGTTCGAGGTCTCGGGCCGCGCTGCGAGCACTTCGTAAGGACCATCAAATCGTGGGAAAAACTTCGCCGAGCGAGCTTCATCATCCGCCTTGTACCGGAGCCGCCGGTCGCGCGAGTCAACCAATACCTTGTCCCCCACCGCGAACTCCGGGTCTGCTTTGCGCCGCTTGTTGCTCTGTTCGGCCTGTCGGATCTTCGCAATTGCCATATTGTCCCTTGCTTCTGCTGCTGCCGCTTCCCGCTGGGTGACCATGTTCTCGACCGCTTGTGACACCGTCGAGCCTTCCACGGGGATGATTGGAGTCAGCTCAGGAGTGAAACCCAAAACCACTTCGAAGGGAGTCTTCCCCGTTGATCTGTTCAGGCTCGAGTTGATCACGAATTCAACGGTCGCAATGTGCTTGGCCCAGTCGGTTTGTTGACGGTTGACCAATGTACGCAGGACCTGGATCACCGTTCGATTCGTTCGTTCGCTCCGCCCGTCGGTTTGTGGGTGAAATGCCGTTGACATCGCAAGTTTGGTCCCCATCCGCCCCATGTATGCCGTCCAAAAGTCGCTTGTGAAGAGTTTGTCGCGATCGGAGACTAGCACACGCGGCATGCCAAAGTGTCGATGCCACCCGTCAAAGAACCGCTCGGCCGTCGTTGCCGCATCGGCCGTCGTTTTGGCTGGGATGAGTCGCACATAGCCTGAGAGGCGATCTGTGACCGTAAGCAGTGCATCATTACCGTTGCTAGGTATAAGTGGCCCGACAAAGTCTAGGCCAACTTCCCGCATTGGCCGGTCAGGCACATTCAAGTTGTGGATCCGACCGGCAGAACCGGTGCCATGCATCTTCATCGTCTGACAGACAGAACAGGACTCAACGTATTCCTTGCACGCCTCCTTCATTCCCGACCAGATAAAGTTGCGGCGGAGGTGATCGTACGTCTTGTGCAATCCGAAATGGCCCGCCGCGTCGTGTGCGTCGTGAATGGCCTTCTCCCGGAAGTCGCCCGTCTTTGGCAGTAGAATTCGACCTTCAAATCGCACGATCCCGTCCCTGAGTGAATATCCTGGCGTGGAGTCGATGTTCCTGATCGCTTGTCTGCATTGTGAGTCCTTTCGATATCCTTTCCTGAGCGCCCGAAGGAATGCTGGGTCAAGTCGGGCTTCCGCCAGGACGTTGGCTGAGTCGTTGATTTCCGGGAAAGAGTAGCGACTCAGGGCATCAGCAACTGTGTTTTCTGGACCCCGCACATACACAATCTCGAAGTCGTAGTCTGCCAGTCGTTCTGTCCACCGGGCTTGTCGGCGCGACAGGTTCCCTTGCTTCATGAAACCCGCCAGGGAGTGATGGTCCGTGAGGATGTTGAAGCGCACGCCCAGCAGGTCCGCTCGCCAGTGGTGGAGCGCCTCCACGATTGCCAGTAGTTCCATCTCATGCGCCACGTAGTTGCGTTCCGCCGGGTTGTACTGTCGTGACCAATAGCCCACCGGCATGGCCGTCTGCCACTCTTTACCTTGACTCAGCGCCGCGCCGATGCCTTGGTTGCTTGCATCCGTCATCAGCCACAGTGGGTCGCCTTCTTCTGAGCGGTCAATTGGGTGCAGTGACGGTAGCTCGGCAACAATTGCCTTGATTGCTTTGAAGGCCTTTTCGTGCTCCATTGTCCAGCCCTTATCGACCTGCGCCCCTTTCCGCGTCAGCGGGACCAAGATCGCCGTCCAGTTCGCGAGTTTGTCGATGAACTTCCGCAGATACTGCACCAAGCCCAGGAAACCCCAAAGTTGCCTGACGGTCGTTGGTCGCGGCCAGTTCTGGATATGTTGTACCTTATCGGGGTCGACACTGATGCCTGCGCGCGTGATCTGGTGGCCCAGGAAGAAACACTCGTCCGCGAAGAGTTCCGTTTTCTTGGGTGAGACATACAGGTCTGCCTTCCTCAATGCGTCCAAGACCAGTCGTACTCGCCGTTCGTGTTCCTCCAACGTGTCGGCGAAGATGGTGATGTCGTCGAGGTACACGAAGCACACTTCCCCGATGAGATCCCCTAACGCCTCGTTGACGCGCCTCTGGTGTGTTGCTGGCGCGTTGCAGAGTCCCATGGGCATCACGGTCCACTCAAACAGGCCCCATGGCGTTGTGACCGCCGTCTTTGTGATGTCGTCCTCCGCCATTTTGGTTTGGAAGAACGAATTAGTCATGTCAATTTTCCCCCAGAATCGGGCCTTCGAGCAGACCGACAGAATCTCGTCTGGAAGTGGTAGGGGGGTCCGGTCCCGAACAGTTCCCTCATTGAGCTCACGGTAGTCACAGACCCATCTCGGTAAGATCAACTCGTCCTTCTCCATGCCTTTCTTTGGGATGATGAACGATGGCGACGCGTATTCGGATGACGACTTCCGTATACGCCCGGCGGCGATGTGCTGGTCCAGAAGTCATTTCCATGCTGTTCGATAACGGTGCGGTGTGCGATAACCCTTCAAGTTCGGCTTCTTCGCTCCCGGCTTGAGCTCGATGCGGTGTCGGACTGGTGACTCGTACTTTGACACTGGTGAGATATCGCTCGGGAATCGATCCGCAAACTCTGCTCGTAGCTTCGCTTCCCGCCGTCGCAGTTCCGCGTGCTCCGCCTCCTTTTGTTGCACCCCGTCGATGTATGTGATGACAGCATTCCAGTTGATCCGCGCCTTGTTGCTCCGCTTGGCGCCCCTTTCCGTGCGTTGCTGGGGATGCGGTCCAAACATCGGCGCGAGCAGGTCGATCGTCATGTTGGGAGTGTCAGGGTGTGGGACCCGGATCTGGTGGTTCTCGCAATCGATGTTCACCTTGTGCTTCGTGAGAAAATTGAACCCCAACACCACTTCCAACGGCTCCTGCAGCTTGGCCACCTTCAGAATTGTCTCTCCGGCGCACGTGGCGGTGTGCGTCTTTGACCGATGTGAAAAAAAAAGTGTAATACACCCCGTAGGAGTGTACACCGGAGCGACGACGATAGGATCACAGGACCAAAGTATGTAGGATTGACACTGGACACTCTACGTTAGTCGCTACTACAACAATGCCTCCTGATCCACTTGGGCTCACCTGGACACTCTACGTTAGTCGCTGAGGAGAGACTAAGAGTGCCCAGGCGCACGGGCCTTACAAAGGAATGGCGCATTGATCTCCTGGGTGGCCATTTTCACATCCTTACCGACCATTCCACACTTGAGCACTTTCAGACGCAGCGCACGGTCATCTCGCGACGCCAGGCGCGCTGGCTTGACACCTTGGCCGAATTCGATTACGACCTCCAGTATCTCCCGGGCAGGGAGAACATTGTAGCCGACGCGATGAGCAGGTACTCCTTTCCCGAGCCACTTCCCGTCATTGTGGCCAACATTTCGCAAGTCTCGCTCTCGGATGTCGTCAAGCAGCAAATTGTCGACGCGTACAAAACCGATGCATTCTGCCAGCAAGCCCTGAACAACATCACGTCGGTCGCATCGGAGTTCAAGATTATTGACGCATTGCTGTATTTACGGGGCCGGCTTGTCATTCCACTACTAGCCCCGCTCCGTGAGTCCATCCTGCACGATGCTCATGACGCGCTGGGGCACCTAGGTGATGTAAAAATGTACCAGACTGTTATACAGACGTACTTTTGGCCGAACATGTCCCGCCACGTCAAGCAATACGTGCAACAATGTGACTCATGTCAACGAACCAAGGCCCGTACCACTCGCGTCGCGGGCAAGCTTCACTCCCTTCCCGTTCCAGTGCGCCCCATGACGGACATCGCCGTTGACTTTGTCGGACCGTTGCCAACAAACAAGGGGTTCGACCGTGTCTTGACGATCACCGATCGACTGTCGGGATATGTCCGCCTCATCCCTGCGCGCGAAGCCGACACAGCGGCGGATGTTGCCAACCGCTTTCATGAGGGGTGGCATCGTTTTTTTGGCCTGCCTCAACGCATTGTCTCGGATCGTGACAAGTTGTTCACGAGCAAGTTCTGGTCCGCCCTGCACAAGCGTCTGAACATCAAGCTGCAACTTTCCTCGGCGTTCCACCCCGAGACTGACGGGCGCAGCGAGAAGACGAACAAGACCGCATTCCAGATCCTACGCTCGCTTGTCAACAGGGAACAATCCAATTGGGTTGAATGTCTCACCGCTTGTGAGTATGCCATCAACTCATCGGTCAACGTTTCGACGGGGAAGACCCCGTTTGAGCTTGTCCTGGGGTACACACCCACCCTCGCCCCGCTTGCCCCTATTGAGGGCGACGAGGAGCTCCCATCGGTTGAGGAGCTGCTCGCACTTCGCTTCCAGTCATGCGAGGAGGCACGAGACCAACTCGCTGTGTCCAAAGTTCGTCAAGCCGCCCAAGCCAACAAGGACCGCGCGGATGAACCTTCATGGGCCGTCGGGGACCTTGTGCTGCTCGACTCAAGTGACCGCAGGAAGCGACTTCACACCCGCAAGCGCCGCGCAGCCAAGCTCATGGACCGTTTCGACGGCCCTTATCGCATTGTTGCGGCGCAGCCAGGGATCTCCACGTACACCTTGCAACTCAACAAGGACGATTCCGCGGTACCGTTCTTCCACACGGGCAAGCTCAAGGCCTACCTCTCTGGACGTAGGTGGAGAACCCGAGTGGGTCATCGAGGACATCGTCGATGAAAGGGTCCGAGCGGGGAAGACTCAATATTTGGTCTCTTGGGTTTCATGGCCGTCGGATAGCGATTCATGGGAGCCTGCCGAGGCACTGGAGGACACGGAGGCATTGGAGTGTTGGGAACATCGGAACGAGGAATGAGAGTGTTTTTTCAGAGGGGAGCTTTGTGTCAAGGAGGGGAGAGTGTAAGGCAAGGCCTTACGACGGGCCACAGGCATTAGAAATAGAGCTTGCGCGCACCTAGCTTCTTCAGCTCTCTCTTCATCGAGCTGACACCAGAAGCTAGTTGTAATCCATATAACTTGCACCTGTCATCTTCGGTCACCAGTGAGGCTCCGCTGTCCGAGACAGCGTGCCTTTCATCTTCCAGAGCCGATGCAACTGTTATCCTCGAGTTCTCGCGGCAGCCATCGGAACCTCCAACATTGCTTGCTCCTCAGGCCCAATCGTTCCAGCCCCCTTTACCAACTCCTGGTTGGTTTGCAAGTCGCTCGCCACCAAAATCAGCCACAAATGAAGCGCAATATGGAGTGCCCACCAGTCCCCAATGGTCCCTAATCTCCTCAAGGAGATCACGAGTCCGAGCGAGCTTCTTCGGTCGGGGGATCAATGGGGTCAAGTGAGGACCAAGCGCTAGGATTGGACAAAGAAGATTTTCGCGAGACACAACAGTTTGACGCGGCATTTGATTGGGGAATCGGGGACAGATGCGCATACCCATTCAGGCGCCACACAGTCGTGACACCCGCTCGTACAAAGGCTAATTTGTGCCTCTCACTCCACAGACTTTCCTGGTAGGGAAGGTCAGGTCTCTTAATTAAGTCGATTGGAAGCCGTCGATGCTATCGAGCGGACTCCGGTGGCCAAGCCAACGCAAAGGCGGCAAAAAAAGAAAGGCTGCATCTGTTGTCAGTGCGCAGAGGCACCAAAACTTGTTTCTCACTCAAGGTCAAGGAACTCTGGGAGCGATCGAGATTATAGATCTGCGCTGCATCTTAGGCTCAGCTGGTTGCATCTATCGGAGGGTGGGTCGAGAGGAGCCTCGCGAGTATATCTTTGACCGATTGGAGGACGAAGCTCTGCCCAATTTCTTGAACTTGTAATCCATTCCCAGCTGTTATCCATCTGCTAGGCTAGAAGTCATTTGGCTCATGCTGAGACAGCTGAGAGTAGCGGTATGACTAGGATCTAGACCCAATATATAAGTAGACAATACCATACCTGGCTGGGAAAACCACCGGGCGAGGGTAACAACGGTGCCGGCTGGTATTACCACGCGCCTAGGCAGAATCTCCTTCGGCCTGGGCGATATCACCTCGCGACCTGGAAATACCCAGGCGTCTGGGTAATACCCGACGGCCTGGTATTTCCAAGTGACGGCTGGAATAACCACGCGCTTGGGTAAAATCAGGGTGCGCGTGGAAATAACACCGTGCGTTTGGATAATATCACCCTGCGCCCTGGAAATACCAGGCTGTCGGGTATTACCCAGGCGCGCTTTTGTAAATACCAGACGAGACCTCGGGTATTCCCCTCTGAGGGTGGATTTCCCCGCTCTCAACGCCCCTCAGTGTATTGTGAGACGAGGGCTGTCACGAACGACGGATGCGAACACCCCTATCCGGAAATGGTTGTAAACGACGGATGCGGACACCCCTGTCCATTTGTTCGTTCTCTGGATATCGCTCGGTCATAGTCTCTAGTCTCTCTTCGTAGCTCTTCTCTCTTTCTCTTCTGCAACTCGAATCTCGTCAAAGGTCACATCCTTGCACTCGTCCCTCGTCCTCGCCTCTTGTGAGAAGTCCCTAGAACACCTCTCAACTCGTCTCGAGCCCCTTCGTCCGGCTCACCTCTCCTATCTTCGTCCTTCGTGATAAGGGCCCGCACCGGTGCGAAGGCCAAGTCCCAGGGCGGAGGCTTCGGTTTTGGAAAAGCCGAGGCTGACTATTCCCCATAAGTCGTGGTTGACCAGAACGAGTTTCAAACCACGTTCCCAGGCATGGTAGTTGCCTGTCTTGAGTATCGGTACTCGGTTGACATCTGATCTCGAGTGGTAGGAGATCAGATCGGCAGGGGGTGCGTCCCCATCGCCTGTTTCGACGTAGAGTGTCGAGCTCATAACCTGAAGTAAAAGTGCACCACCTATAGAGGTGGCAGCGGTAGGATGATACGCAGCAGTGTCAGAACCGATAGTTGAGGAACAAGTGATTAAAGAGAAAGCTAAACAAGGGAGTCCGCATTGCGAAGGCATAGGCCCACGCGCAAGAATATAATCCACTCAGACACTAAGTTTAATCCATTGCCTTAAAACCAATCGAGCCCCTGGGCGCGCGCCGCGCCTCGTTACCGATGGCCTACCACCTAGACAACACTTACCGTTTCCACTATGCTAAGACGCGAACTACAATCAGTTTTTGCGCGGGGAACGGTGGTCTGCCCATCGACAATATGTTCTTCTAGGTGCTGGGGTCAAAAATTGGGACATGTCCAGGTGTGCGCTGTACATGATTGGCCTGGTCCCACAAGCCCAAACTTAGGTCGTTTCCTCATGTTTGGCTCTGCATCAGATCAGGTGTGTAACCGTATTTTCATGACTCATTGGGTCTCATAAGCAATCCTGCCGTTTGGCTCTGCATCAGATCAGTCCATTGTTCAACTGACAGTGCAATCAAACATGCTCATTACTTGATGATCGATCACGGGAAAGTAAGTCATTGAACTAGGCCAGTGATCATTTCCTCACAGCGAAGAGCAATAGCTTCAGCAAGCTGTAAGGTACCACGGATTTGAAGATCCCACCGCTTTGTTGCCATGTCATCAAGCAGGAATTCGGTTTCCTCGGGCGCAGGACTTGCAGTGGCGGCGGCTGCAACATTCGACATGACACCATCACCTGCTTTGCCATCTCCAATGAAGTTCACCAGTCCAAGCACTTGATTGATTGAGGCGCAAAGCCTGCCTTGTTGGATCATCGTGCGGACCATTGATTCCCCGGATGAGGGACGGATGCCCAGCAAATGTCCAAGTCCAGTGAAAGTTATGTTGTTGTAGACTTTTGATGCAGCAAGAATGTTGTGCTCCATCACAGCACGGTCCAGAAGTGTTTCGGGACCTCTCTTGCCCATTTCCACAGTGGTGTCATCTTCCATGACGGTGACAGCAGCTGGCGGCAAGCGAGCAAGCTGGTGAGGCGAAAGGCTTGCAGCAAATTCGGCGATCTCGGTCGGCTGAAAGGTCTGATCAAGGAACATCTTGGCCAGGACGGTCTGATGGGGGGTTTCGCTTGACCGTTCGTCGCGGAACAGTGCAGAGAGAATGCGCGATCGTCTCGGTCCCGCCGGCGCCAAGATGGCACAGGTAATGGCTGCAGTACTGTAGCGAAATAAGCGCAAGACTATGTCAGCTTAGGCCGTTTGCTGCACTTAGTGGAAGGTGGGACAAAGACGAACAGACACCGCAAACGATCTGCTTCCTCAAGTGCGACAATGTAGCTGATCTCGTGATACCTCGAAGCGGCCTCGACGAATTTGCGGTTGAAGTCTAGCATGCGAGCCTGGCAGAGTTTGAACTGGAGTTGCGTCTCCAGGTCGTCCGTGCTGTGGCTGATCAAGGATGCGCGATTGAAATAGGTCTCGGCCGACGTCGAATCCTGTTCTTCCAAATAGAGACGCACGATGCGAATATAGATCTTGAGCTTGTACTCGACAGGTCTGGAGGTGACTCGAAAATAAGCTGTTCTTAGCTTCTAGCCAGATGTCGCTCATGCAAGTGCCACAGGTGTCCCAGGCTTACCGGTCAGAAGCGTCGGAGACTACGCCATTCAGTACTTGCGCCGCTGAGATCCACTCCTCGTCTTCCTCCAGCAGCGTTGCATAGTGCTCACGCAAAGTGGTGATCTATCAATATCCTCGCGGTCAGTGATCGTGATATTTGGCGATCTTGTTCCGCCACAGCATCAGCTCAGAGGTGGCAGCTCTCCTTGCCATGGGCTCGCAAGAGGGGCGGGTGGGGGTGAAGGGTTCTTACCTGCTCCTCATAAGTCGTGGTACGCGACTGAAGCTTTTGAAGACTTTCACCCATCGCGTGCTTTTTGACATCACGATTGGCAATATTACACAGCGTTTCGATGTACGCGGACAGCGTTGGGCGAGCGACGATAGGGGGGAAATCTGAAGCCAAAGTCGCATCGAGGAAGCGAATGAGGTCGAGTGGCAGCGATGAGGATGCAGAGACCACCTCATTGAGGAGCTGTATACATGCTGGGGTCTGCGGTGGACCCAATATGCAGTGCATAGTCACGTCAGTGGGGGCTCATTTGTTTTTGAGGCAGATCGTGCACTCGCCCTGTCTCTCTGAGGCATCGACGCGATCGTCTCGACACGTTGATCAACCTCCATCTCCGTCTGTCGAGTGTTCCCGCGCTACCGTTACCACGGTCGTTCTCGCTGCTAATACTGCTTAAGCTGTTGTCGATGAAGCTGTTGTGCGCTATCGCCGACGAGCACTGGTCGCGGTCGGCGGGGCGTGTGGGGTGAACAGGAACCGACAGCGCTCAGGCTCACGCGCCGGGGACTGAAGGCTTGCAAGCTCTTGCAAGCGAGCGAAGTGGGAGCGAAGTGGGAGCGAAGTGGGAGCGAAGTGGGAGCGAAGCGAGGCCAAGCGAAGCTGGACGCAGCCAGAGGGGCCAGAGAGGGCCAGAGGCAGCCAAGGGCAGCCAGAGACTAGCCGGAGCCTGCCGGAGCTAGCCAGCTGCTATATCTCGCGAGATGCACGCCTTCTCACGCCTTTACTCGTCTTCATTCACTGGCAGCTGCTTGCTTTCCGCCACTAGCCTCCACCACTGCCTCGCCCTCACTCGCAAGGCAACTTGCCCTGCCCACATCCAGTCTACACGGTCATCTTCCGTCATCAAATCCCTTTTTCGACCACAAAGCTTCCTAATCTTGGGAGATCGTACGGTTGGTCATAGCTGCCGAGTCACGATTGAGCCTCCTTGCGACATCGTGGGGCAACAAGGGCACGAGTAGGTTGACGGCGTCGATTATCCCGCACCTTCTTTGTTGTAGAACTCTTGACGGCGCCACGCCTGCGCGACGCCTCACATGCTGACCCAGCCGCAACCTCGCCGCTTTCCCCACATCAGACGGCTTGCCAGCTGCGACACGGCGCGGCGGTACAGGCGATGAACGCCTTGCAGACTTACCCTGGCCAGCAGTGGTCTTCCATCCTTTTCAAACTCTCCGAGTTCAGAGTTGAATTATGGCTAGGCCTTACCCTCGTGGTGTACGTCATCGTCTCATACCTGGGTCGCCGAGCCAATACGTGTGAGTAATGGTGACTTTCGCGGCTCACCAACCAGAAGGGCTCCGAATGGATTGAAGAGGCATTGATGATGCACCCCCTTCCTCTTTCCTCTTCACATCAATCTAGATGTGGCGCGAAACGTCATGCTGGCTGTTGCACCAGCGCTGCGAGAGGAATTTGCTGGCGTGGGCTTCAATGACCATCTCTTCGTCCTCGATGGCGGGGATTCGGTCAAATCCTATGCGACGGGGCGTCGCGCCTTCGATCGGGCATGGATACAGGTCAAACTGCCTTCGAGGCAAGACCCACTGGTTTACCTCAACCACCTGCGGGCAATTTTCGATCAGTCGTCAGTTTCTGAAGTCGCGGAGCCATGGTTTGCCGTGCTAAAAGCTTGAACACTGCTCGCTCAGTTACCAACCAAAGACGGACCGCTTCACACTTGAATGCGAACTATCGGAACCATCCGGATCTTTTTGTTTTGCGATTTTGGACCGAAGGGTTCTCCGGACCACTCGCGAGCGCTGGGACATGGTGAGGACTGCTAGATCAGAACGGCGGCTGTAGCGGGTCAGGGGGACTGATTTACACTCTGTTTTTTTCAGCTTACTTTCACCTGTGTCTCCGAACACACTAATGTGGACCCTTCTTTGATCGTCTTGACGGAATCAGGCGACATTAACTCTGCGCTGCTACGTAATCCCGCAAATAATATCTTGGGCGACTTCTTCGCGCCAGGTTCTCAGTCCCTGCAGTGTTTCGAGTCCCTTGTTATAACGGACAGTGGAGGGAGTGCACCTGGCGATATGTAAGTTCCAATAATCTCGGCGCCATTCCAAAACATCCGCCACGGGAGTTGAATCACCATGTTGGTGCCTTGCTCATAGCGCATTCCGACTCCCTGACAAGAATCTCCGAATCGAGCTAGCTCTGCGGCTTCCTCCAACCTCTCACCTTCAAGAACTTGCTCCGTGGGTCAATCTTGTATGCGACTTAGGGGACTTATTACATTCTAAGCAGAATCTGGTCCCAAAGATGGCGGTTACCAAGGGGGCAAGTCACCATCTTCCTAAAGGCCTATGGGCGGTGGCTGTTTAACCCTGGAGCTGACAGCAACGGTGTCTCCCTGTTACCTAGAAAGCACGCCGTGCTGGAGTGATCAAGCAGATACACGACTTGGCTCGACAGGAGACCATGAATGAGTCACGTAAGCAAAAAGAAGAGCTTGCTGCGCAAAAGCGCCGCCTCGAGCAGACTAAAACAGAAGCAAAACTGTAAGTTATCAGTTGCCAAGTCCGTGTTTTCAAGGCTCCGAGCTCATAGGACACGGCTGCTGTCCATTCAGAGCCTCGATGAGCAAGTCTGAGAGGATCAAGCAGCTTGTGAAAGAGCAAGAGATCGCTCGCAAGAAATCGGCACTCAAGTTGGCAAAGTCAAAACATGGCACCAAATGATATTCTCATGGTGCGGGAAGCGTGGAGGGGACAAAATTATTTAAAACATGGATTACATATGCACTTGTCTGCGCCTGAAATGCACCTTGTCTACGCCTGGAAAATACAGCAGAGACTCAGAAGACTACTTGTAGGTGCGGGTCTCATATTGTTGTGACGAGTGCCAAGATCTGCGTCAAGGCTGGATGTAGGCTGGCCTTAATTTCGTGCGCTGTTGCGTCTTGCTTATCTCGCAGCAATTTGATTGCTTCGTTCTGCAGCTCGAGGCGCTCCTGCATCTCCTCAAGGCGAAGGGTGAAGCTCTTGCGGTGCTCGGTCAGGGTGGACTCCAGCCTTTCCAAGCGCGGTTTGTTTACGTGGGTCTCAACCTCCTCCAGCCGAGTGACGAGAGTTTGATAACCCGATGCAGTCCTCGCCAATTCGACCAGTTGACGCCCGTGATTGTGGATGATCGCCCGCATACTCTCGATCCCATCGACTCCGTCGTTTGCTGGGTTGTTCAGCTGCATATGGAGGTCTTTGATTGCGATCGCTGTGTCATCTGTTGCCTTTGACATCTCACCCAATAATCGTTCGTGCTGAGCTATTTTGATCGTCTGGCCTTGTATGATGACATCGTTAGCACTTGTGTCCTCCGATTGCCTGTCGCTCAGCCTCGTGTGATCTTGCTGTAATCGTTCGAGGCTATCCTTCAACCCTTGGAAGCTGTTTTGAAGTTCTTCGACGCAATCAACAACCCCAGAAGACTCGAGCGCGCTTTCGATCATCTGCTCGAGCTTTTCGTCAAGCTTTCGGTCGTAGAGAACCTGGCGTGAGGATGTACAGCATATGAGCTAGCACTCGCTCACAGTGGACCACACACCCTGCGCGCTCACCGCATCTTGACGCTGCACAAAACCGGACACCGCACATCGGGATCAACCCAGAGTAAGCAGCAAGAATGCAGTGCGGATCTACTCACTGAGTTGCATTCGGCACGTAAAGACGAATGCTCTCTGTTCAGCCAGCTTCGCAGTTTGTGTTCGATTTGATGAAGCTGGTTCCCCCTCCGAACAAGCCAGAAACCCAGGAAAGGAAAGGAAGGAGGGGGGGTCAGAGTCAGACCTAGCCTCAGCAGCAGAGGATAGGCTGGCCATACCTCTCCTTGGTGGCGATCATCACTGGAGCCAAGATGCTGCCTCGCATCTGCTCCATCGTTTTTGATGCTGTCCTCTAGAGCATCGATGCGTTTTACAACCTCACCTTGAACGTCCATCACATCGATTATCGAAGGTCGAGTATCGAGACCTGGCGCGAACTGGTGGGACACCTCGGTGACGAATTGCCCTTGAACACGGTCAGCAGAAGAGTCTGCCGATAGGTCAACGTAATCACCCCGCGGACCAGAGCTTGCTCCCTTAGCGATATGGTGATCTTGGACGCGTTTGGTAGTCGTCCCTTCGGGCGGTGTCGGCAAGAACGCAGCCTCCAGAGCCTGAACCCGCGCCTCAAGCTTGATGTACTGCTTCTTGTACCATTTCGAGTGTGCGCTGAAATAACCGGCCGAAATTGGATCGGTAGGCACCGATGAGATGGTATATCTGAGTTCTTCATCTTTGCCGGCCCACCGTGCCGAGTTGTGAAAGATCCGATTGGTGTCTGCTTCGCCTGCTGAGGAAGACATAAGATGAGAGCATAACTCAGTTGCCGAGGGCGGATGAAACCAGACAGGTAATCGTGAGTTGACGCCATGCTCACTGTTCCTCCCAGCTTCAAACGCCAAACGCAGCTGCTCAGTGCATATTTGTGGGAGCCAGCTTGCAAGTTCTTCCCTCATTGCTGAGCCCGCTCGACCCGTCCATGCTAGAGGGATAGGAGTATGTTTTTCTTGTGTCGATCTCTGCAGTGAAGTTGGCTCGAGAACACGACGGCCTTTTTCGATCCCCTGGATGGCTGCGTGCTGTCGTAGTCGATCTTCATAATTCGGGATCGTCGGCGACGTCGTGCTGGCGACGAGCTGCAAAAGGGCCTGACCCGTTCTATCACGCTGCCTGGCAAGAGTCGCGATAGCTTCCTGAGGGAGAGAGGTGAAGAATCATTCTCTGACCCTTACTTTGCCTTGATCTTAGCCCGATTGACGTGCACGACTCTCGACGAACCTCCTCGGGAGTGTCTTCCGATGGTCGCAACGCCTTACCCAGATCAGCAAGATGACTGTGGGCGTGAGAGAAACAGAGACCCTTTTCTTTGTCAGTAACCGAGACTGACATGACTTTCCGTGTCCGAGGTCAGTGTTTTCATTGTTGCTCTGTTCCCGGCTTCAGCGATGGTGACGTACATCGCTAACTGAGTTGTCAGTCGCCGAACCTCGCTATCGGCGAAGGGCGCCGAATCGGGCGGGATTATGAGGGAGAATCCAGGTCCGCTCCCCTGACAATCCTGAGGGTCATTTGGGGTGTCCTTGGGGGTCTGAAGACGACTGTGGCTTTGCTCCTCAGCTCTGACGGTTGCTGGCGGCGCTAGTCGAGGAGGCGCACTTTCAGACGCTTGTGGGTGCGGGCGGGCGTCACGGTGAAGCCCAGCTCGAGCTGGGAACGAAACGAAACAAACAGCCGTAGAACCAAGTGTCAGCTTGAAAAGTGTACCTCTTCTGCTGTTGAGTCCACTACCCTTCCCCATGTTGCCGCCAGACGTACGACGCACGGCACCGCACACGACCCGTAAAGCGACTTACCGACGTTCGTAGGCCCGAGTTGACTCAAGGGCACCGAATTGGATCGAGCGAGGTGCGTATCACTCATTCTGAGCCAAGCTCTTAGCTGAGGTGGAACGTTCTAAAGTAGTAGAGGAATTTCCTGCATCCGAGACTAGAAACAGCCAGAGTCAGGCCCTGCGTTGTCTGGGAGTGAGTGCTGGATTAAGAGGTCAACTTGCGAGCGAGAGAGTGAGGGAGTCTGAGGGAGTGGGGCACGAGGAATTTGGATGCAAGACGGGTGCCCGTGGCGCATCCGAGTCATACTACTACACATGCGCGCGCGAAACTCATGGAGCCCATATGGAAAAACGCCGTATGTCTGCAAAGACCAAAGTTACCTTGCACCGTGAACGGCTCCCTTCTGATTTCAATCAGCATCGATTGAAATTGTTATTTATTTTGCCAGCCCCTTCACAACTGGACTACACAGCCAAAAAAGCCAGCAATTTCAAGCGATGCGGAATCAGAAGGGAGCCATTTAAGGCGCAAGGTAACTTTGCGTGTAGTTAGTTGTGAAGGGGCTGGCAAAAATAATAACAATTTCAATCGATGCTGATTGAAACCAGAAGGGAGCCGTTCACGGTGCAAGGTAACTTTGGTCTTTGCAGACATACGGCGTTTTTCCATATGGGCTCCATGAGTTTCGCGCGCGCATGTGTAGTAGGCCGCCGCGAGTCTTTGGCTGCCATCCGAGATCCGACTTCGGCGGCTAGCCGCCACTGCCAGGAGTGTTTAGCAAACTGTGTCTCAGGATCTTCCAGGCCTGACTTTCAGTTCAAGCCCACATCCATATGGCGATGTGATAGCTAAAGGTATAGCCTCTCAAACCTTGGCAGGGAATCAAGGGTCCGCCGCATTAGATCAGATCAGATCTGATCTGATCTAATCAGTTTCAGATCAATCAAGCCTCGAGGAAAAAAATCCAAAAGTAGGCGGTACCTAGATGGTCCCATTGTGATTTGAAAGCCAGCTGCGGCGCACCTGATCATGAGAGAGAATGGATCGCGCCATCTGCCATCTGGGCAGCGCCGCCGCCTTGGGTGTCGGCCCTGCGCCACAGAAATACTACAGGGTGTGATCCTCCTCTGATGGGCCTTCGCTGCAGTGTCAAGTGCTGACTAATCGAAACAATTTCTTATAGGGATCATGCGACCCAATCCAGCATAAAAGCGGAGAGCTCCTCCAAAAAGCGGCGGCCGGGCTTAGCAAGGTGATCACTTTGGAGGATGATGAAGATGAGGATGAGTGGAAGAAGAAAATGGACAGTACTATCTGAGTTAGTCATGAAGCTATGCAAGGAGTTCCACGGTCACCGCTCCAGATGTAACTACCCAAGACGAATACGAGAATAGCTTGTCCCAGCGTCCAGCTCAGAAAGAAATAACGGTACGCGTCGGCACGTCGAAGACTGTGCAGCTCGACCATCAAGGTGGAAACAGTGCTAAGACTGCCACAAAATCCATCTTCGAGCCCCTGCAGGGCGCTACAAGTGATAGAGGAGCTTGTTCCACCCCTTCGCTGAAATATGGAAACGAGTGCGAACACGAGATCACTTAGGGCGTTCGCCGACAGAGTGCCGAGAGGAAGGTCCGGGGATTGCTTATTTAGATGTCTTCCCAATTCGAAGCGCAGCAAGGTGCCCGGGGGCCCGAGCACAATTGCAAACGTGGCGCGGTGACGCCATTGGCGAGGGCCGAGTACAAGAAGCAGAATGGCGCCGATGTAAGACCCTACGCCTAGGACGACGGCGAAGTAATGCCGCCGCATGAGCTTTTGTTGAGCACGTTCGGATCGCCGTGTGAGCTGGAGTTGCGGCAAAGCTTGGGCAATGTGGTGACCGACGACCAGTGACATGAAAGACGCAGAGAGGGTGATAACGGTGTTGGCGAAACCCGATAGAAACTAGAATAAAAGCCATATACGAGAAGCGGCGGGGCGTGGGGGCAGGCGTGTCGGTCAGATGAACGCCCGGGTCCCATCAAGATTTGGCAGAATGGAGAACTCACGCCATGAAATCGTCCTGACGACGGGTTGTTTAGATTAGAAAATTCGGCAAAGACGTAGAACATCCATGAAGAGAACGTCGTCAACGAACCGCAAAATCCAGCCCCCACAGCACTGAACCAGGGCATGTAACTGAAGGGAGCCGAAGAAGCTGTGGTCAGGTCATGCGTCCGCGGTTTTGGGTGTGTGTGCCAACGAGAAAAGAGTCAATCTACTCACACATGCTCTACTTCCGACTTCCGACTGACGGCTACTCCCATGACCAGACAGCCCGCCATCTGCGCCCATATCAGAGGGAAGACTTGGCTCTGGGACGCTCGGCCGATCCAGAGGAGGCCTAGCCGCGCCAGCACGCCCCAGATCGTCGCGAAGACAAGCAGCGCGTAGGTGGCGAGCCTGAACATGACGACATGGTACACCTTCGATTCCACCTCAACGACCGTTTCGAACTCGAGAGGAGTTGCTATTCGCCGCTCGGCCGACGCTACCGATCTCGACTCGGGAGAAGTGCCCGGGCCGTCGCTGCTTTGATCCAAGAAACGATGCTGCTGAACCATCAGAGCGGATGGATGGGAGGGATTGCGAGTAAGCTTGCTCCGTCAGTCTCTCGATCAGACCGTGAAACGGTCTGTCCCGAACTATGCGCGTGGGCAGTTGCTACGGCCCAAGTGCCGGACGTGTGTAACCATATGTTGAAGGAGCGAAGAACTGCAGCGGGCGAGCTCAGCCGAGTCTTCGGCCCGATCGGGAATCCGAATAGTATGCGAATCTATCAGAATCTATCTATCCGAATGGCTACTTATTAGCAGGCAGCGCGCTGCCAGTCGTCGCACGTGACCGGGATTTTCCAAAAACCTAACACACCGGAAAATTAGTCCAGGCTGTACTGCCATCTGATACCTACCACCTTTCACAGCTACACCATTACGTCCTTCTCTCACCTTGGTCAACCAGGAAAAGCCTGATGTATAACCCTAAACTTGTTGAACTGCCAAGTCCGGCCTGGGGCAAACGATCATCGAATGAGTCGGAACTTGAGTCAATCCGGCGGCGTCACGGGTGCCAGGTTTAGACACAATATTCGCATGTCCAGCTCCCAGGCAGCACCCGAGACTTTCAAGTCGGCCCAGGTTCCGGCATCCTCTCCTTGTACAACCATTGCCAAGCGGTCACAAGCGTTCATTGCCTTCAGATTGCGGCGAGTTTTCCCCGAAGACTGAGCTCAATGTGGCGGCCGTAAGCCTCGAGAAGCCACCGTTTGTCCGTTCGTTCAGACAAGTCTCATCAATTTCCCTTTGTGATCGAATCTTATCATCTGGATGAAGATGTCATTATAGCTAGTCGCTGGAAGTGAGCTACCTATCCAGGTGCTCGCAAGTAGCCTCGGGGCAAAGTCTCGTTCCGTTCCAAACCTCAATCTGTACCCAGTAGCGCACGAGGGTGAAAGGGGCAGCCAAACGTACTGTGAGTCTCGTGAAGTTCATTATAGCGCGAAGGATCGGGTATCTCAGCCGAGATCATCTTGTCGATCGCGTCCTTCGACAAAGGATGATCGTCAGGCGCGAGGGTGATGAGGATCTGGGCATGCGGCAGGCCCCGTTTCTGATGCTCGATGACGTGTATATGCGTCAGAACGACGCCGAAACAGCCTGCACGTTGCTTGTTGCCAAAAACGTCGTCGTAGAGTCGGTTCAACTTGGCCTCAAACACTCGTGCAATGAGATCTGGGCGGTTCCATGCTTTGTCGCTCGGCCCCAGTGCAACCTTGATGTCCGGCCATTCGGAGTTGCAAGTCACCGTGATGAACAGCGCAGGCTTTCCATATTTGACGAAAGCCATCGCATCTTGGTATGCTGCGTGACCTCGCGCGGTCTATTCTTGAACGTCGAGCCCAAAATCACCGAACGTCCAATTTGATACGGGGTCAAGCCATTGGCAACAGCGTCGGTGATGCCTAGGGCCGTGTTGAGGCGCAGGTTTTCTGCAACCGGATGTAATTGAACCGATCAGTATCGACTTGGGAGTATCAGTAGATCTTCAAATCGAGGAAGCGAGCTGGGGCCTAGGCGGGAAACGTGAGACTCGGGTTGATCCACCTCGACGCTTTTCCTCGACATTCGTCCTTAGTTGTTCAAACATCATATGACAGTCTGTGCTTGCGTCTCAACGGAATGGGACATTCCAGAAAGAGCCGAAGACGCTTACGTTCACCGTCGCCATTCTCTTCGTCGGCTTCCTCGTCGTCTTCATTCTCGTTGTCGCGGTCTTCGGCCTCCTATTCGTTTTCATCATCCAGACCGAGACCGGCAGGAACCTCGCGTAATTGTACACCATTGTCGATCTGCTGTGGTTTTCTGGCGATCGGCGGCCCAACTTGATTGACTCCGTAAAGAGTAAGGTTGTTGTGGAAGCAATCTTCTGCGGTGAATAGTAGTGTATAACGGAGAGCCATCGGGGACGGACGGAGCGAGCTGAGGACTTGGTCCTGGGGCCGACCGTCTGGACATCGATGACCGTGAACCTGAAAGGGACAAACCTTGCGGTCCACGGTCTCCCGTGTTGGTGTCGGAATCGCAGATAAGCATCGCCATTTCCGTGCTTGACGTAGGAAGGTTGTGGGAGGTTGTGGGTGCGTCAGTCTAGGCAGGGCTAGGCGTGGTGGTAGGCAGAGGCGCAGGACCCCTCAGGACCCACTCTATGGCCGCATCCCAATCTGCGCGAGCTTTGGCCGATGCGAACTCCCTCATAAGCGATTGCCGATATGCCACAGGGACTGAGCTTGGTCAAAGTAGATCTTTGTTTGCGAATGTCTGCGCCGTCGGGTCCAAGTCGAGTGCCGGTGGCCTCGGCCGGGTGACGGGTCCATGAGGTGGGCAAGGGCTGGGCTCTGATTGATGGCAGGGATCAGGGCACCAAGTCGATGGTAAAAGCGACCGAACACGCGAACACGAGGGTCTGGTCAAAGTGAGCAGCGAGCGAAGTGAACAATAGCGCGCTGTTGTATGATCGAGCGTGCTCGCGGATTCCCGGAATGCTTCAGTTTCTGTGCGCGTGGGGAAATTGTCGCACAGCTCAGCATGTGGGTCTGCTGTAGAAAAATATGGTTGGACGGAGCAACTGACCGCTATCTGAGCCTTCAAGTAGCTGTCGATACTCGGGATTGGGCAGAGGAGGGAGAGGTAGCTGCACCACTGCTGCACCTTGCCCTGCGAGCAGCACGTGCTTGAAAGTGTCCGGTCGCGTTCGTCCTTGAGCACTTCCAGTATAGGGCCTTGGGATGCACACGGCCGTCCGGGGCCCGAGGTAGTCGCGGATGAACCTAAACGTGGGCCTTGAGTGGTCTGAGGGCGATTCTAGCCCCGCGGGGTCTCCGCTGGCAGCGGCTGGCCTTGACCCGCAGCGCGGCAGGAGGAGCTAGGAGAAGGTGCACGCTGGTGCACGTGATGGTGGGGCCTAGTACTGGCCTAGTGGGGCGTGGGAGGCCGTGGGAGGCCGTGGGAGGCCGTGGGAGGCCGTGGGACTGGCGTGGGACTGCGTTGGGTCGGCCATCGCGCTCGCTAACCACGCTGTCCGCTCTGCTCAGCACCTGCACAGCACCTGCACAGCTGCACGGCGGACGCGTATACGTGCCGTAATACCAGGATCGATTGGGTTATTGTCATTACCCGCCGGGGGCTGGGCTGATTTGTTGATCGGAGCGGGACGAAGAGGAGGGTGAGTCGAGCAGCAGAGCGCCCAGCAGCAGGCGCTCGAGCAGGCCAGAGCAGGCCCATGGCTGCCCAAGGTCTCCAATGGTAGCATATGGTAACCCGTGGTACATTGGTACGGCGCTACCGTTGCGCCCAAGACTTAGCGACGGTGCGATGGCCCACCCTTGCGACCTCGTGACCGGAGCCCGAGAGCATAGTGCCGAGGGTTTCGCCTTGAATGAGTATCACCAAAATTTGATGTGAGTGGGGAGGAGGCAGAAAGGGTTTAAGGGAGACGCATCTACAGCCCCTCGAGCCTCATGTTGTTGAAGATCCCCTGAAAACCGGCGTCGCGATGTCAGCGGTAGGTCACGTGATTGGCGGCGCCGGCGCGCCAACGACGGGGGGACCATGCCTGAGCTCGGTAGAAGTGTCACACAAACCCACGCGAATGCTTTCACGTCAAGTTGCAGCGGGATGAGGGACAACTAGCGGTGTGTCCAACTGTTCAACAAGAACGAACTATCCAAGGGCGTCTGACAACGAAAGACGAGATTGAAACCCAGCGAGTGTAGCGAGATGGAAGCCAAGAAGAAACGGAAATGAACGTAGTGGGAAGGCAGACTGAACCGAAGAAGAGAAAGGAAGAATTTTTGAAAGAATGAAGTAGTTTTCACGCGAGTGACAAGGGATGGAGGGTGGGATCAATCAGACGGAGCTTTGCAAGAACAAGCTCAGGATGATGTCAGTTGGCTGCAACTGGTGAGAGTGGGGATAGCTACCGTCGTCTCAGTATACCTTTGCAAGAACAAGCGAATCTCTGTGATGCGGCGGAGGCAGGCAGAGGCTGCGCTTCAAGCGAAAGAGGTTTGGCAAAGTGACTGCTGAGAGATGCAGGGGGTGCGAGTCAGATAAGTGGTCCAACAAGGACTACCGACTAACTGTCCGTACAGGGCTGGCAAGATCACTGTAGGGATCAAAGTGGTAAGTTCACCGTGCAACAAGCTTGGGTGGCCAATAAAACTTACCCCGAGTTACTCTTGGACAGAGCCACGTCGAGGATTTGGACGAGCTAGTGGCGGCTCGGGCTAGCTGAGAATTGACCTGCAAGATGAAACGCTTGGTCAGCGACTTGGTCAACTGTGATGTGATCTTGGGAGTGAGAAACGCACCCGTATCAACAGGTGGTAAACGGAGCGGCAGAGGCTGGTGGAGACGTCGACGGTACGACCGTACAGTGAAGGCCCTGAAGGGAACGTGCAGCGCGAGTGACCGCCCGTGAGCCCGCGTGTGTGTGAGGCATAGCATAGCGCGCGAGCTCGATCGGCGCGTCAAATCCTTGCAGCAAAGGCCGAAAAGAACATTAGGTATATGGTCGCGGATCGACACTTTTTGTTCACTACCCCAGAGTAAAGAATAATAGTACAACCTTATAATAACTGGGTAGGGCCTAGATATCACTGGAAAGCCTTCAACCATCCCGGACATACATTTGCTATTAGCAACTTGCGGCTGGCCAGGGTCCCCGACAATGAGGTTTCGTGCAGCTTCAGCTCTAATGGAGCTCACTCAGGCAAGTTTGGGCATTGACCAGAATTAACCGGGATTTGAGGCGCACCAGACAGAGGGGACCGCAGCCTCCGTTACGTTGAGCACAACGATCGATCATCGCATGCTCGGCAACGTCGTCAGCGCAACACCATAACAGCCACCAGGTAGATCCGGGCAGCTATCCTGTCGGCGGGATTGCTCGCTCTACCCCATGCAGCACGCTTGGGCCCGTTTGGGGCAATGGCGTCCCTCCAACGTGTCTGGCCCCTCGACACGCCCGTGGATTAAGCTAATCCCAAGCCTTGTTCAACCTTCAGTCATCGGTTGTTCTCCACCGCTGCTTCATTCATCCGGATAGTGATGTCATCGGCGCATACTTGGATCCCCAGCTCAATCGCCATCCCTTACATCACCGCCACGTTTGCCCTGCTCGTCTCGATCGTGGCGCTCATGAACTTCCTCTGGCGTCGTCGGATTGACTTCTCCGGCAAGGTGCGTCGCCTTTGAGGCTGTGCGAGCGAGCACAAGGGGGGCCAGAATGACATGTACGGATACTGATGCATTTCCACTGATGTCCCCTACGCATCTAGCACTGCTACATTGGCGGAGGCTCTGAAGGGCTCGGACTTGCGCTCGCCTGCTTGCTTGTGGAGCGCGGCGCCCACGTCTCGATCGTCTCGAGAAGCAAAGCAAAGTTAGATGCGGCCCTTCCACGCATAGAGGTGGGTTCTGAGACATTGGGCTGGGTGCTGAGCGTATGGCCCGGCTTGTAGCTTTTGCCGCAGCGAGTGCTGAGTTCATTGGTGTGCACCACCAATCAACCCAGACCCACCGCCAATCACCGAGCCAGCACATCGCCTCTTACTCGTGCGACCTCACTTTGGCCGACGATGCCGCAGCAGCCCTCAATTTGGCGTGTGAAACGTTTGGAACGGCGCCAGATTTTGTCTTTGCTTGCGCTGGCGGGGCGGTCCCCGGGCTCTTTGCCGACCTCGATGCCGAGCGACACTGGCAATGTTTGCAGTGGAACTTCAAGACCGCACTTTGCACAATTCATGAGGCCACGCGACGTATGCGACAAGAAGGGAGACCGGGACAGATCGTATTGACAGCCAGTATCTTGGCTATGATGGGGTTTGCGGGCTACTCGTCTTACACGCCAAGCAAGTACGCAATTAGGGGTACGCCCCCCGCGCTACTTTTTGCCAGATTCCACCGCCGTCGCTCATGTGTTGTTGATCCGTCTTGCGTTCAGGACTGGCGGAGAGCCTTCGGAACGAACTTCAGATTTATGGCATTTCAGTCCATCTGTTCCTGCCTGCAACGATCCTGTCACCCGGCTTTGTCGAGGAGCAGAAACTCAAACCCGCCATCACCCGCAGAATCGAGGGACCTGACGAGGGCCAGACTCCCGAGGTGGTAGCAGCGCACATGGTTCGAGGTGAGCAACGCGCCGGGACTATAACTGCCCGGCTCTCCATCTGTTGGTGATCTCTTACCGCCTGCTCTCTCTCATATGATCAGGCTTGGAACGAAACGATTTTTACATCACGTATGAGCCTGTGGGGCACATGCTGCGAAATAGTCGCGGCATCACCCCGCGGAACAATGCACTAATTGATACGCTGTGGGGTATTGCCGGCACGGTAGGCTTGTATTAATTGGCCGCAGCACATAATCGAGAAGCTGATCGGGCATTCCTTTGTCTTCGACTAATCTGCTGCAGATCGCCCTTCCAATCTGGCGCATGTTATCCCCCGACAGCGAGGTTCGAGCGGAGGCCAAGAGAGTCTTGAGTGCGCGCAAGATGCAACTGGGCTCTAACTAGTGTATGGAGCTTGGGGATCGCCAATGCTCTGCCATTGACTGGAGCCCATGCATACCCCAACCATGAGTGCGGGCACCGTCTTTCCCAGATCAGCGCATTCGCAGCCAAGCTCTCATCACTCGCTGCACAGTTTTGAGAAGAGAGAGGAGAGAAACTGAAACGCGATGAATTTTTACAAGTCTTGCACTGCTGTAGTGGAGTGGACCGACGCCGAGCCCCGCCGAGCCGTAACATCAGTGCTTCTGATGAGGCGAAGCTGGACCGACAGGCAGGGCCGTTGGGGTCCTAGATTTCAACGGGGGGTCCGGCGCGGCGCGACGCTGGCTGGTGGGTGTGGTAGGGGACATGCAGGCATCGAGGATCACCGCATTCGATCGTTCCGATGGCGGAGGCGGTGCTTTCCTCCTCCGGTGCAACGTCAAACTCTCAAGCGAGTCGGACCGAACGGAGGGCACCGAACGAAGATGATCATGAGATGTTGGCTGGGTCACAATCTCTGGTAAAGCGGGCGGCATGGACGGTGGCGCTTCCGGTGGATTTGGGGCATCGGCGACGAGCTCTGCAGGATGTAATGGCGCCGTACTTGTTACGTTGAATATGCGATGACTGGAGAAATGATTCTTGTAAGTACCGCCTGCTTGCTCTGCTCGAGCGATCGCGTCAACGCTAATCGAGCTGCTATTGGCGGTCGACAGACCACTGCGAGCATCGTCCAGTTGTTGAAAACGTGCAATCCGCGCCGCACGCCCATGCGGGCTATGCGAGGCCTCCAAGCCAAGGCGATCCCGATCTTGTTCGAGCCCGTCACACCAGCTACCCCGGAGATTGCGCTCGACTAGCCGTCGGGTGGTCGGGTCAATTTCACGATACGACGAGTTTGAAATTAAAGACAGGAGGACTCTCAGCAGCTGAGGTCTTTTGTACGGGTGATGGCGAAGCTGGGTGTTGCTGAGTAATGGATGCAATACCCTCAAGTAAGTGTGTTTAAGCTACGGTCATCCATGAAGCGGAATATATTAGTTCGGTAACATGAGGCGAGGCTTTAGGGGTCACTTACCCCTTCGCTCTCCTCGTCAAGATCGCACAATTCGCGAATGAAGACGTCAACTAATACGCATAAATCGTTCGTGTAGAAGTATTCTTGCATGCCGGTTGTGGTGAAGAGGAGGTAGAGCAGCTTGAGGATGAGCAGAGACACGCACAGTGAGTCGGGAGTGCCATCTGCACGAGGATCAGCGAGCAGCAAAATGTCTCGAGTTATTTTTCTTTGTGTGCGCGTACGGAACCGGGCCACTAGCAAAGCGTGCAATACTGACTCGAACGGTTGAGAATGAATATGACGTTTTCCCCAAATGTTTTGCTCTCGCTTGTCCTAGCCTTGAGCGCCTCAAGCACCAAGTTCGGACCGCGCTCGGGCTGGCGGTCGCCCACAATTTGCGGCAGTATCGGAGGCGGGAGTGCCCCATTGCCTCCCTTTGACTGCACTTGGGAAGAAAGTGAAGCGACCATGAATTGCTCGTTGAGTGCGATGATGAGTTTGATCAAGGTGTAGTTGAACGTTTCGTCCTCGACGTCCCTGGTCCGCTCAACGAGGGCGAAAAGATGATCAATGAAGTCGTAAGAGAATACCGCTGCATGTCCAAGCGTCTTCAGTTGGCACGCATATGCACACATGTTTCTGAGAAAGTTGTGGTACGCACTCAGTTCGGAGGCTTCGAGTTTTTGTACTCGGCAGATCTCGTAGAGGACGGCTGTAGCGGCGGTTCCGACGCGCACCTCCCACCGTTGGTGGCTTCCGAGGGAGCTTTGGACTTCTGCACCGTAGGGCTTGCTCACAGCATGATCATGCTCTACGACTCCCGCGTCCCAGACGGCCTTGAGAAGGATCGGAACGACTCCCTGCCATCGCGCTCGCATCGCCCGAAACACCCTCGACGTACCCGAGCGCGTCGGGTCGGCTCGCAGGATCATCGTGGAAGCGGCCAGAGGATCGGCGAGTCCGAGATGCAGAATGATCATGAGGGATATGAACAAAGACGAGTACGACGCGTCGGGCGAGATAGTCGAAATCACGTTGGCCGTCATGCGATCGAGGTGCGAGCTGAAGAAGGGGGCCTCGAGCAAGCAAAAAATGGCGTTGTCGAAGAGGCCGGGGCTGGCGAGGTATTCATCTAAACGAGTTGGTTCAGCACATGCATTCGATGATCAGCCACAGCCACATGCTACGCTCTGCTGATCCCTCTCTTCCCCCCCCCCCAGCCAGCGCTGCCCAATCGTGCACTCACCGATGTACTTGGTCACCAACGCGATATAGTTGCGCAGGGACGAATCCAGCTCGGACAAGGACGACATCGGCGAGCATGCCAACAAATCTTGTAACTCTGCGCAATCGCGAGACGTGGTTGAGTGTCGAGTGGAACAGTCACAAGGGGTGCGTCCGAAGACATCAGCAAGACCTCATGATCCGCCGCTGATGGGCCGGTGGTGGGACGGGAGGCCTGTGAGATACTGACCAGTCCAGAACTGGCTCGAGGTTGCGAAGTGGTACTCTGCTCCAAATTCCATTTCTCCGGTCTACGGATTTGAAGCCCACCGACCGCCCACAGCACAGACCACGCACACAGGCACGTACGCACGCGAGCACGCACAGCAGATAGTTGGAGTCGTCGCGACTTGGGTCCGAATTCGGGGGGGGGATCGGCCGACAAACGCGGGGGTTGGTAATGGCCGGTGATTTTCTAGAATGCTGTCCGGGCTACGATCGACCGACCCTGAAGATCGATGCTGCAGGATGTGCACCAGATGACCCCTTCCCCTGCGCCAGTGATGTGTGATGGCGATGCAGCTGGTGACCGAGGAGCAATCGACAAAGACGATCCGTTCGCCTCCCGGCGCGTCGATAGTTGTTGAGCTCGATCGACCAGCGTAGAAGGGGCACAGGGGCAGATGCTCTTGCTGTGCCTAGGTCTGCTCGGTTACGGATGGACTCCTGAGTGCGCCAGGGGATGAAAGGCGACACAGGCTCAGGCCTAAGGCCAGAAGTAGCCATCAGGCAGGTCTTGGGCTGTCTAGGCTGTCTTGGGAGTGTCTTGCGCTGTCTTGGGAGACCCTGGGCCTGCAGGGGCCTGCCGCTGGCCTAGCTGCATCTGGAACCAGGCGCTGCCACTCAGCCGGCGGTTTGCGGTCGTCACCTATTATGTAAATAGATCTAGCTATCTACAGCTATCTACAGCGACTCAATAGATTGCAGCACAAAACACATCCATCTAATAAGGTTCTCACGCGCGCGCGCGCCGATCTTTTTCCTTTGGAACTGCGGCGGGACGAAATCGTGACCGATGCGACCACTAAGATCGGAACACAAGGAGGACGCAGATTGGCTCCAGGACCTGCCATCCAGCGTGCCTTCACTTCACGCTACCAACGAACTTTGTATCGAAGCTCGCAAGAAGAAGGATTGGCATGAGTTCATGCTCGGCGGACCATATGACAACATCTTATGACCTCGGCTTGATCGGTATCGGCATCGGTATCGATCGGCATCCTTCCCTGCACTTCTTCCATGGGCATCCTCGGTATCTTGATATTTCATCGATCTTCAACTTACGACTTATTCCACCATTCAGGATGTGCTCTGACGGATACGAGCGCAATACAACGGTCCTCAAGAAGGGTGGCTCGAAACTCGTTGGCAGCTCCGATTGGCCTCGCCAAATCCGCGATCTCAGTTGACCGGTCGGTCCCTGACTCTAGCCATTGGAACTCCAAACACGGTGAGATGTTCACACAGTTTCTGCGGAAGGCGTTTCTGGTAAAGCAAAGGATATTTCTTGTAATTCACGTGTTCAAAGCCTGCTTTTTTCATTGCTCGTTACACTGCTGTCCGAGCCTTGAAAAGGCTTTGAAGTGAGGCGGCTGCGAGCGGGACTGTAAGCGTGTTTCTCAAGCTTAGGCATACCATCTTTACGTGTACCTGGTGTTGGTGTAAAGATACCAAATTTGGGCAAGTTATGCTACAAGAGAGTACTATGACCATGTACATCATGTGTTCGTCTTTCCTTCTTCCCCCTTCTTCCCTTATCTTTTCCTTATTTCTTCCTTTTTCTTTCTCTTTTCTTCTCTTTTTTCCTTCCTTTCTTTCTTTTTTTTCTTTTTTCTTTTTTTCTTTTTCCGCTTCGCCGGCAACTCCCTGGACATGGGTGGCGGCCCAGCTTTCCCCGGGCCAAAAAACAGAAAAGCTGCCTTATCGCGCGTGCGCGCACGAGTTCATTTGGCTGGCTTACTGGACGGCTTACTGGACCTTGCCCGGGACCCGCACCCAAAGTCAGCGACCACCTCGAGCTCGTCGCCTCTCTCTCTTTCTCCTTCCTTCTCCTCGTCGACGCGCTCTGCACTTCTCGCACCACTTAATCTCGCCGACATCGCCCCCCTTTTCAGGAGGATACAAAACGGTGGCCTTTGTGATGTGGTAGAGTCTGTCGTTCGATCCCTCCCACCGTCAAAAGTGTGAGTAACCACCTAGCTAGCGATCGTGTTCGTGTGGCGTATGGTCGGACTGACTCGTCTCGTGTTTACCCCTCTCGCGTCCATCTTTCACCACACCACCTCCATCATCTTACGCCACACCACCTCACCACTCTCCCCTCTCCCCTCTCCCCTCTCCCCTCTCACTGTGATCTTTCGCTTCCCACCTCGCCACTCCGACCTTACCGTCTCTCACTGCGTCACGGCTTGCCATCAGCCTATCCACTCGTCGACGAGTGTTGAATGGCGCCTACGGCATGTCACTGAGGTTTTTCCTGGTTCACAAGACCGCTTGCATTTGATCGTACCCCGTGAGTCTTTGCTTTGACCCTTGATCGATCGATGGATCGATCGTGCTCGCCGGCCCTTGACGACGGGCGAGGCGGGGCTGACGATTCGATCCTCGCCTACACTCCACACAGTAGTAGCCTCCATCGTGACTGCGTTACCGAGTCGACCGATCTCACCTGCTCGGATCGAAGGAGGTTCACGGTACCCCTAACATCAGTGAGTAGCATGTACCCTAATCCTATGGTACCAGGTAGCTTACTTCTAGTGTACGCGTCAACCTCCAGCTGCACACGGTCTCCAAGCCATCACCTCGGTCGACAAGGTCCCCTTTTCTTTTTCTGTTGCTTTCGAATTGGTTTCACCTCGGAACTTACGCTGGCGGTGCTAAGGGCAAGCGACTTGCCCTTGTTTAGCCTAGCCAGATCCAACTCCTACATTGAGCCTCCCTCGTGAACCCTTTTCGTGTTTTGTAGTTTTTGAGTGCACGTATCGAGATGCGCATGCACCACGGATTTGAAATTTGACCTTGAATTACGCCGCCGGGCCGGGCCCTGCCCCTAGGCCCTAGTCGTGAATATAATTCAGGACACGCAATAATTGCACAACCTCTAAAAGACCAGAGGGCATCAATAGGATTCTACGGTCTGCCTCGAGGGGCAGTAGGCTATAGTCTGGTGAGGTCTGGTGACAGCTGGGACAGGCGTACCGCCGACGGTACCATCGCAACTTAAGCTCGCGGCTTCTTGTTTCACTTCGTCCACGTGAATGCTCTGTCGCCCCACCTCAACCGTTCGATCCTACTTCTATCGCGCGATACCTCGTACTCGCTCTTGCACGCGCTCGCCTCCCTGCATCCCCATGTCGACCGCACCTGTAACGAAGAAGCCTCGAACGGCCCCATTGATCGGCACTCACTCGGGTACCTTCCACGCCGACGAGGCGCTGGCTGTGTTTCTTCTGCGCCTGCTTCCCGAATATGGTCAAGCGGAGATCGTGCGATCGCGTGATCCCGCTGTGCTTGATGAATGTACCGTCGTCGTCGACGTAGGCGGAACCTACGAGCCCGAGCGACTGCGCTTCGACCATCACCAGCGCGGCTTCAACGAGACTTTTGGACATGGCTTCGTGACCAAACTTAGCTCCGCCGGGCTCGTGTACAAGCACTTTGGTCGAGCTATCCTTTCGCACGTACTAGACCTACCGCAGCAGTCGCCGTCGATCGATACGCTTTACCTCAAGCTCTACGCCGACTTCGTCGAAGCGTTCGATGGAATCGACAACGGCATCGCTGCACAGTCAGGGCCTTCTCTCTATAAGTCACGCACTGATATTTCGTCACGAATCGGTCATCTCAATCCGCGCTGGAACGAGCCGCACTCGGATGCGATCCTTGATGAGCGCTTCCTCAAGGCGAGTCACTTGGCCGGCACTGAATTGCTCGAGCGTGTCGACTACACCGCCAAGGCATGGCTGCCAGCACGCGAGATTGTGCTCGAGGCATTACAATCTCGCAAGGGGGTACACGGCTCTGGACGAATATTGCTCTTCTCGATGTTTGCGCCTTGGAAGGTTCGTCGTTTCAACTTACTGTCGCCCCGGCTCGAGCTTGTTAACCAACGCCGATTCTTCACCCGCTGTCATTCACCATTGTAGGAACATCTACACCTGCTTGAGCAGGAGCTTTGTATCCCAGAAAGCGAGCGTCCGTGGTACGTGCTTTACCCCGAAGGCAGCGACATGTCTGGAAAATGGCGAGTTCAGGCCGTACCGATGACACAAGAGTCATTCGAGTCACGCTATCCTCTGCCTGAGGTGTGAGTTTTGCAGCTAGGGCTGGAAGAAATGTCCCACAACTGCTCGATCGCATGATGAGCGTCTTTAATCGAAATACACGTTGGCTCGCTTTCAGATGGCGCGGCGTTCGGGATGATGCTCTCTCCAAGTTGACTGGCATCGACGGCTGCATTTTCGTTCATGCGGCGGGCTTCATCGGAGGTGAGTGTAGCAGTGTTCTATGCACCGTATGATGGGCTAAACCTCTTGTGGAGGAATGATTAATTCTCCACAGGTAATCAATCAAAGGAAGGCGCCATGAAAATGGCCATCGAGGCTCTGCACTTTTGAGACTCGAGTAGCCTCGGGGTTGCAATTGCAAAAACCAATATTCTGAAGAACATCTCAAGCTGAAGCCAGCACGCGCTTGGAACTCTTTACTCTGCGCCAGGCCAGCGATGCGGCACTCGACCTCGGAGAGGTGATACTTGCTTCGTCGACGAGGACACTATCCGGTCATCGAGCTACCAAGGGGCCCATGATGCACGAGGACCGCCTTCTTCTTCTTCTTGGGCGGTTCGTTTGTAGGTGTATGACCTGCTTCGTTTGTTGCAGCTCGCTTGTCGCCAGGGACCTCCAAAAGCGCTGTGCCCCCGGTCATTGAAGCGAATAACGCAGGCAGCGCCGCAGGTGCTGGAGTTGTAACTGTCGCAAATCCAGAAGGTGGCTGGACAGCGATCGGACCGTCGAAAGCAGCCATCGTCGCCGGCAGGGCTGGAAGCTCGTGCGCACCGTCCACGTCGTGTGGTATTCCGAGCTCGTGTTCGTCAAAGGCCACGACCGTACAGTACCCATCCTCTGCGGACAGGACGAGGGTTTGACCATCGGGGGACCACGCAAGATCAGTGAAAGGAGCGTAATGCAAGTTGGCAAACATCGCGATGGGGCTGGCTTGTTGAGTATCGTAAAGGTAGACGCAATCCATCGTGGCGACGGCGTAGATCATGCGGTAGGGTAAATCGAAGAGAACAACGGGCGACGGCAAGGCGTCGGAGATAGAGGCTTGCTTTGGGCCTCTTAGACCTTCTGAACCGCCTGAAAGTTGTGGCTCGATCACTTCACAGTCGTCATTGTCCTCGTCTCCGTCCCCGTCTCCGTCCCAGTCCTCGGCTTTTGAAGTAGAGGCGGCAGAGGGCCTGCCAAGATCCGCACATACGGTCTCGCCGCGCCTGAGATCGATCACCACGCAGGGCTCGTTGACCTCGTGTTGGCTCTGCAGACCTTCACCGTGGCGAACACCGGATTCGTCAAAGTCGCGTAGCCTCCACAGCACTGGGCAAAATCGAACAGCGATGCTCGTGGTGCGATGACCGGGCAAATGGGCGATGGGTGGCCTCGTGATGTTCGCACGGCTGTAGAGATACACAGTCGGTCGTGGACCCGACGCGTTCGCGGACGGGATCTCGTTCTCGTTCGCTTTTCGTTTAGTCGAGGAAGTGGAAGGGATGGAATTGCGGATCGGCTGGTCCTGTGTTGATGTCGACTCATTTGGTGGCTCGAATATGCCCGCAGGGGTTAGCAACAAGCTTCCGTCAGGACTCCAGGCAAGCCGTCTAAAGTAGAACGTGGCATTGGAGTCTGTATATAGCCTCAAAGTTTCCACGCGTCCTCCGCTTCCGCCGACGCTCTGGATCGTTGACGGAACGGGGGAAGAAGTAGGTGATTGAAGAATCGCTGTAGACATGGTGGGGGATGACGGAACGCGGGTCGCTGGTAAAGGCGCCGGGCTTGGCGATCTAATCGGATGGCTGGAAGTCGACGAGCGGCGCGACAGGGGACGTCCGGTAGGTACGTGCGGAGGATCCATTGCCGAGAAGGACCGTTCCCCGGGTTGGTCCTGCTCGTGTGAAGACGTGGCCGAGCTAGGTGGCCCCTGGTGGGATCTTGATGCCGCTGGTGAATGTGCTGGCATGCCTGGCATCACATCGGAGACGTCCGAGGATGCATGTGAATGTCTTCGGGCGTGGAGGGACCTTGACTCGTGGGCGCCATCACTGGCTTCATCGCTTGGCTCGCCGGCAGTCTCGTGCGTCACTGTCATTCGGTACCTCTCCATTCCAGAGCTCGAAGGACAGGGTTCAGGCGTCCACGACGTGCTGTGAGGATACTGCATCCCCATCCTTGTGTTCTTGCTGACGGGGTGAACACTCAGGCGATCACCGGCCTTCGCTACCGAGTAGACGTGCATCGAGCGGTCGCTGCTTTGCGTTGCGATGAACTGGTTTCGCGGGTCCCATGCGACGCCTTGCACAAATCCGGAGTGTTCGGCAATCTTGTGCAGCAGATTTCCCTGGGCCACGTCGAAGAAATAGACTGTGTGATCGATGCTTCCCACCGCAACGTGGGCGCCATTAGGGGAGAAGCATAGATCGTAGATTTCCTGCCCGGTGGGTGTACTGGCAGGGTGCGAGGAGATGGAGGAAGTCGAGCAATATGCCGAAAGGTGGTATTTTGGTAAACCATGGATGGCACGATGCGTAGGAAGCCTCCGAGCGAGGAATGGGGACAGACGAACTCACCGACCGTAGGACGCCGCACGCCACTGCTCGCGTTCGAACACCGTGTCCTCTTCAGTATCCCCGATCATTTTGGTCGGCGCCCCAGGTACCCAGAATATGATGTTTCCGTCTGCATTCAAGCCAGTTATAAAGGGAGGGGGCTCAGCTCGGTACCAATAGTTTACGTTTTGTCGGGGGACGTACCATCCGACGCAGATGCTAACATTTCTCCTGTGCGGCCCGCATCGACTATTCAGTGCCCAAACTTCCTTCAAAACAACACGCCTCCATAGCGGCCCAAAATTCGTATTCACCGACCTTTTGGATTGAAACGGACCACATTCACCGCGGCAGTATGCCTTCGTAGCGTCGCCAAGTATTCAACGCTGGGTTCCGGTGCTGCCGTCGATGCAACTACACTAGGCCTGGGACTTGACGCAACAAACGAGACTGGTGGCGGGGGAGAGGCTGGGTGTGGCTTGACGAGCCAGAGCTGGTTACCCAATATTAACGCACATCGTAGTCAGCTTCAGCTACGTTTAGTCAGGGCCGAGGAGGGGTGGGACCCGCAAATTGCCTAGCCGTCGAGCAGCTACGCGTGCCGCTGTGTCCAGACCGGACCGAGCGATCTTGGCATACCACCGCCCCAAGACAAAGCGGAAAAGGACCCCTTAGCAAGTGGACTGACCCTGACATGCTTGTCGCCGCCGCAGGTGGCCAGTCTCCACATCTTCTGGCCGACCGAGGCTCGGGTCTGCTCTGGACTCCCCGCTGAGTCGACGTCCCCTTGCGCAACCTTAAAAGCCTCATTTGAGGATGAGATCGTGTGTGCATACCCGTGCGTCGGCTTGCGGTGTTGATCTGGCGGCAACTGATGAAAGTCTGCCGAGAAGATGGGGCTGTGGGCGGGGAAGATAAGTGGTCAAGGCAGATGTCAGGGCATGAGCGAAGAGAGGGGAAGAGTCGAGTCGACCTACGTCATGTCATGCCATCGTATCTCGACCACCTTACACCTAACCATGGCCGAATCTGAAACGACGTGGTGTCAGAAGAGTAAGAGCGCGAGCATGAGCAGGCGAATGTGCAGGGCTCGATTTATGAGACGAGGCACCACGACGCGTCGACCACTCGTCGACCGGCTTTATGGCAGGGACGTGGTGCCTCGTGGTGCCTCCTCGCGCCAGCCTGCGCCAGCTCGCGCCTCGGGTAGCGTCGCTCTTCCTGCTTCTTCCTACCCGCGCGCAGTAAGACGGGCTGGGCTGTTCGTTCCAAAGCGCTCAAAGTCGGCCGATCGACTAGCTTTTGACTTCGCTAACGACCAGATGGTGTTTTCAAAGAAAAGTTTAGATAAAGGTGTAAAATGCAGGATGCGGGGTGGAAGACGAGAAATGGTAAAGTTGACTGAAAAATGATGAGGCACAGCGAAGTTGGTTCTACACAAGGAACGCCTATTCTATTCAAAGAGGGACTGGGTCAAACCGCCATTCAAAGGTAGAACCTCGGGCTTGAAAGTGGGGTAGTCCTTGAGGGTCTCCAGCTTCGACCCGCGGTGCGCAGGATCACCTTTGATGGCCACCGTAGCACGAGCGGAGGAGCCCATATCAGCAGTCTTGCCAGCCACACCATCGCCGCCGTATCTCTTTATGTCTTCGATGATCTGAGAATACTTCTTGAGCGCCTCAACTTCATAGCCACCTTCGATGCAGCCGACACGCAATCGGGCAAGTACGTTACCAGCGCCATTGCTGTGGTCGTAGTACCCGCCGTAGAACGCGGTAGTGGCGTCGCGACCAAGACGGCTTTTGACCAGGCCTCGTCCACCAGGATGCTCATCCATGAACTGCGAAACGTCATGGATGAAGCCGCCAATGACGAGCAAATCGCGCGATTTGGCCTCTTCCTGGAATGATTCCCACGTAAGAACAGGAAGATCGTTGGAGCCCTTGGGCCAAGGGAGATTCGACGCGGAGGCAGCAAGTTTCTTCAGCTTCATGTTGAATTGACCCCGCGCGAGTTCGGAATCGGGGAACGTTTGAAGATTCGACGCCAGACCAAGCTTGTACATCGTGAAGATAAACCATTTAGTCGGATCGTACTGGTACCATTTGATGGCATTGCGGAAGTCCGAGGGGAACTCGTGGTGGAAGTTGTGGTATCCCTCGCCGACGGTGACGAGCGCGGTGAGGAAGTGGTCCTTGGGCGTGTGCTTGTCATCAAAAGGGGTTTCGCCAAGCCAATGCGCCAAGGAGTTGACGCAGAAGGTCGAGTGATGGACGAAGGTAAGTCGAGCCGCACCCGCAAAGAAGTAGCCTCCGCGCCAGTCTCCCCAACCCAGCCCGGCCACCACAGTGGGGAAGACAAAGCCCATGCCAACAATGAGGGGGAGGTAAAACCGGTGCTGCCACTTGACGACTTCGTTCGACGACAAATCAGAAACGTCGGCAGTTCCCGGTGCACGGCGAGGCTTGAGGACCATCCAAAGCAAGTGGGCGTGAAGGAAGCCCTTCTGCGCGGAGTACGGGTCCAGGTCGGTGTCGGTGTAGCGATGATGCGCGCGGTGGCCACGTGCCCACCATTTGATTGAACCTTCGACAGCACCCGAGCCACCGAGCGCCAAAAAGTACTGCAGCGGCCTCGAGGCAGTGTAAGATCGGTGCGCCCAGAGTCGATGATAGCCCGCGGTAATGCCTTAGGTAAACGCCAACATCCAAGCGTAAGCGGGAAAGCTGATTTTAGGCCCGAAGCTTTCGGGAAGACATCTCAATCGCGAGGAAGATAGAACTTACCAAGGCCGGTGAAGAAGTAGTAAACAACCGACCATACCATCGTTTGCCACTTAATCTCCGTCGTAAAGGCACCGTAGACGGCCAAGAGCGGCACTAGTGTTAACGCTAGAGTCGAAACGACTTGGATATTCTGTGGCAAAGTCTTAAGCGTGATGGGCGGCAGAGGTCGTTCCTTGGCGAGAACCTTGCGGACATAGTTGTCCTCAGCGTACCCGTCGTCGACGGCAGTCGTTTCGCCGTCGCTGTCGGAGGTACCATGGTCCGAGTCTGAGTCGGAAGCTTCACCCTTATCTGCGTGGATGGAAGCAGCGGTGCGGGGACAGGCGGGTAGGCGTCAGAAACGCAATTTTCGCGGGAACACGTTCGAAGAGAGCGAGCACTACTATTAACAGCAGCTGCATGCGGTGAATGAAAAAGCACGGCAAGCTTACCTGGGTGGCGCATGCGAAGCGGGGCTGTCGAGCGCGCCGTGGTCGAAGCACTAACCTGACCGTCGCCATGGGGCAGCGAGGCGGCAAGCTTGTGACTAGCAGAGGCCGTGACGGACATGGTCGCAAGCGTCGGACTGACTGGGCAGATGGCAGATGGAACGAGGAATCCAAGGAATTCGTAATTCGTGTAGTTGCGAGAAGGCCTGCGTTGCGCAGTGGCGCGAACCGAGTTGGGGACAGGGAAAAGTGAAAGGGTCACTCAGGTAATAAGAGGCGAGTAATGAGGTGATGAGACGAGCGCGAAGGGTGAATGCAATACTTAGTACTCGAGAGTCTGCAAACACCACAAACAGTGATGAATGGCAGTGGAGGAAGGGAGAAAGATTGCAGGGGAATGTTCGCTGGAGACGTGGTCGATTGATTGTCCAACCGTCGGGCTACGCAGTCACCGACGGCCGTGGTTCCAGCGGGGAAAGGCCGGGGCTGCGATTGTAGTTGGGGACAACCGCTCTGGCGACGCCACTTGCCGCAGCTTGCCGCCACCCGTCGCCGCTCCGCTCCGGCGCCGCGGGCACAAGTCGGCCGCGGGCAAAACTCGGCGAGGCGCGCCCGTGATGCCTGCCGCAAAACCGCTTACTAATTAGTGGGCAAATGGCGATCTACAAAGTAGGGGGCTGCTTTTCCGACTCCGAACTCGGATCTCCGCAAATTGTTACGGCGATTGGCAATGAAAGTAATGACGCAAATGCCCACATCTACGATGTCGTCCTTGGCCCTTTACTCTGGCTTGAATTCCTACTTTAAAATCTCGGAGCGCGGTGAAATCAAGTCCGAGAAAGCCTGAGAATGGGCGCGGGCAGTCGGCAAAGTAGGCAGCCCGAGTGCCGAGCCGAAGCACGATATATACGTGCCTCAAGTCTCCAATCCATCTCACGTTTACAACAGCTTTATTGATCCAGCAGTGGTTCGATCACCGTGTGTAAGCTCTCCGAGGTTGCTGTCTACATTTCACTACCATTGCAGGAGCCAGCAAGGAAAACAGGAGCCCCCGAGGGGCCAGGGCATGAGACTAAATGAGTGATTATGACCCTGGAAGCTGTTGGCAACGTTGGCAGCTCACCCCAACGAGTGGCTCTGTAACTCAGACGCGGCAGCTTTTGTCATTGGCTCATTGATGTGTGCACAAGTCATAAATTCTGCAAAATCAGACAGGACATGGCCAACTCCAGCAATAGCAAGGTAGCCTGATAATATCATGCATGGTCGAAGACACCGGTGCGACCCAGCCGCTTCATCATACGTATAAAAAGGTCTTCGAACGGTAAGCGTTTAGGGACGTGAGGCTGCCAGGCTTATCGAAACCCGGCGACAGCGCAGAGAACCCGACCCATCGCATTATCGCCTCACTTATGTTCATGGTGAGTAGTGATGACATTCGCAATGACAGCTGAATATGACAAAGCTGACTGATGCCTGCCGACTTAAGTTGAAGCTTATTTACCACTCCATAGTGCAGAGGCGCAATCGAGCACCGGCCTTCGGCGTTGTCAAACCGCCGGACGCCGGACGCCAAAGGACGAAACACGTGACTGTTTTTCGGAGACAAGCGGCACTTTTCCGAATCAAATCGCGGGAAGTTCCGAACGCCAACGGTGCGTACCACCTAACTGCCTATGGGCACACCGGATAGAGGTCACATTCAGGATCAGGTCAAGGTAGCAGCTGCTTTGATGATGCCGGTATGTCCGGACTTTGTGTGCCCCCGTTCCGCTCTGCAGTAGTGCAAGCCACGTTCACTAACACTTGAAGGCCCCGTTTCAAGAAAACCGCGGGCCGAGAGTCCAGCGAGCGAGAGCCTAATCTAGACCTCGCTCAGCGCTTCTGCTTCATGATACTGCAGCATGCCGATGCTGCAGTCTCACTACTATCCCTGTACATTGTAATAGATTGGGAAATGGTACTCTGTTGAGTTGGTTTCTACACTTCTTTCTATCTTTCAAGCATTGGGCAGACTGGGTGGGGCAAAATTTGATCACCACTCAGCAATTGCCAACTTGCAATTGTACACGAGAGTGGCCCGGACCGGCGGCAGAGATCAAAACCAAGCTCAATCAGGAAGAAACAAGATTCAACACTACGCAGCACAAAGTTCTAGTGATAAGTCCAGTACGGAAGTCGCGACTTGCACACGGGGCACTGCAGGAGGCGCCGCAGGACGGAGAATCAGGCTCAAGATCGGCCTCGCGCCCAGGGTTCCCCATTAGATAAGATAATCTCGCAGATATTAGATATCTATCTAAAAAAATTGGGCTCTGGCCCTTATCTATCTATCTCCCATCTTAATCAGATATCTTAGATAGATGCCTAGATATCTAATAGATATCTAATCAAAGCGTCGGCGCAGCGAGCTTGCCAGCGATCATTTGCGGAGCCACCTCTCAGCTGAGAGTAATTTTGCGCTTCTTTGTCCGTGGCGAATTCCGTACACACAAGGTCCTCCTCAGCAGTGGGGAGCTCATGATCCATCTTGCTTCAGCACAGACTCAGATTGATTATAGTCGTTTGGCGAGGTGTGAGAGTGCAAGTGAGCGAAGAAAGAAGAGAGAACGGCGCCGGGGTACATTGCGAAGTTCACAAAATGTCGCAATTGCACCTTCTTTCTTTGTGTGATTTGTGTGATTAGTAGTTGATACGTTTAGTAGATAGTATAGATAAGCACCCTCTGGCAGCAAAAACGTCTGAAAGCCTCAGCTCCCAAATTGGCCCGTCGGCAAGCCGTGCCGCCTCACCCGCGGTCAGCGCTTGGGCCAAACCATGCGGCACAAACATGGGGATTGAGCCGAATACGACTTGAAATTCGATGTCCTCGCTAAGGAGCAAGAACCTCCTTAGTGGAAAGTACAACTTCCAGCGCAACAGGAGTCTGTATCAGACACAAAAAAAGTTAAGCACCTCGGGCAGACATAAAAAGTACGCCTCAACAGGCGCGCGCGCAGCGCCCTCCCACGCGCCTTCCAAGCCACAAGCCCGGCGGGTTGCAACCTTGCTACCCCAGGTAGCAGATTAGGCCCAGGTCAGGTATGCCCTCCTCGATGTCGAGTTGCCGAGATGTTCACTCCCACTACAACTCCATCGAAGACCTGGGAACAAAGGCGCAGTCAGCGAACAATAGCGTATTCGAATTTTTGGAGATTTTTCGAGAGTTATTGTTGTCCTCTGCAAGCTGAACAGGCGCTCTACCTCGAACACGTGATTCGGCACGGGTCGCGCGGAACAATTGGGATGGCCGGGACGTCGACGCGTCACGACTCCGGAGACGCTGGAGATGGCGGCGACGCGTCGCGCTCGCGCATACCGCCCATTCTTCTGCTTTGCCCAATCGCCCCCTACTACGTATACGAAGTAACGAACTATACAATGAGCATCCGTCTTGCGACAGTCTGAAACGAACGCCCACTTCGAAACACCGGATTAGTCATACTTCTGCTGCTCCTATCATGACGAGTCAATCCAATCAACTTAACCACCTCCCGAATCGCAGGCGCTCCGGCGACGAACAGCAGTATGTTTGCCGCCGATCGACACGTGTGCTCTGACTGGACTACCGGCTCACGATCACATCTGACACATAGGTTCATATGCTGCCTCTGGGTACGAGTCATGCACCTCGCCTTGGACTCCCTACCAGTCCGCATATAACGACTATTCGGGTCCGTGGGTGGCCGTCGCGTCGATCGCGTACAGTATCGGTCTGTTCTGACGTTACACCGTCGTGCACCCGATCCAGCGTCCACTTCCGCTGGCGTAACGGCCATCTCGAATCCTGCGTCGTACAACTATCAATCTTCTCCGGGATCTGCTTCGTCCAACCAACCAGTTTACCGTCCCACGTTCCCATCCTGGACGCATCGATGGCCCGTATCTAGCTCCGCCAGCAAGCAACAATCTCGCAAACATGGTCGAACAAGGAGGGAACAATCCTGACGGCACGGGTATTGTCTTTGACGCGGCAGGTTTGCCAAATACTGCACCTTCCGCTCGCGATCGCCAAAAGTCGCGGGCCGCACAAGTTTCCCAAAACGAGGAGGGAGGCCGCGCATCAGGAGGGAGGGGTGTATCAGCGAATACCTGCGCACAGCTTGGAACGCACCCGTGGCTGACAAGAACGTTGAGACCAAATTCCAATGGTACAGCATCATCCTCAAAGAACTGTTCCGTGAGTACAAGATGTGCAGCCTGCCTACTCTTCCATACACGGTGACTAATTTTGACCCGGCTCGCTGTCTTCAGAGTCCGCGCTGCGCCGACGCTCCGTGCTGGACGGCGAGAAGATCCAATCGCCCAAGTTCGTCTATGACGTAAAGGCCCTCAGGGACAACGCCAGAATCATTGTTCAGCGCGGCGCGCTCCTTCGCAAAGCGGATTTCCGAAGCCCGAGTGGCAAGCTTAAGTTGTTGGGACCAGACCTGGATCGGATCATCCCATTGCTGCGTGCAGGCGAGCTGAGCTTCAGGCTGGAGGAAGAGGTAATCGGGTCAAGTGCAGAACAGAAAATGGCCGACGGCGATGAAGGCGGCGACAGCGATGCTGACCGGCGGACTCGGAACACGAGCTCCGACGAGGACAGCGAGTGAGGTGACGATGGCCGAGCTCTCAGCGCCAGCCAGACTCGTCGACGCGCATGCGGTGCGGAGATCTTGGCTGTTGAAGGGCCAACATTCGTTGGACAACACAGGCCACCACAATATTTATTTCAAAGTTTTGCTTCATATGCATCCGGCTCTTGGTGACTAAAGGCGGAGAGGGTGATTGTTCGTTGCCCTTCGTGCCTAATCTTCCCCTGGGCCGCTCGAGATTGACCTCTCCTTGTTGACGTGGGATGTGCCAGTGACGTAATCCTGCTCACAAACATTATTACTCTTGTTCTGGGTTGTTTTCGAAGTATTATGTAGAGTTGAATTGCCTAGTGAGAATGGAGTGCTCCCTGACCCGTGGTCCAGACGGAGCGTCTGCTTTCCGGAAGTGACTCTTTGAGCAAAGAATGAATGAACAGAATTCGCAACGCGCTTCCACTAATTGCAGTGTATGTTAGCATCTTTTTATGATCTATTAGCACTAAAGTGAACGGGCAAGGGTTACATCTGGCCGGGCTCGGTCTTCGCCAAAGTGCCAATCAGAGCTGCTGGGCCACGGTGACGACCCCCGGCCGGCTGACTTCAAGCGGCGCGCGCTCCCAGAAGAATGCGAACTGATCTGAGCCCCTGAACGCGCAAGCGGAGCGGAACACGTAGGTAATCAGTCGTAAGTAGCGAAGTAGCGACAAAGTACGTGCTTGATGAGAGGTGGGTCGAACTCGATCATAGGTTCGGTGAAAACATGGAAGGCTTAGGCTTGTAACAGGCTCTTGGAGCGAAACCCTCACTTGACTCCGAGACATGATCGATGGCCGCTCATACCTACCTTTTACTTGATAAACATTCCCTCTCATCAATGAGGTAAGCCGCCAATCCTCAGGCCACATGGTGAGTGCTCAAAGCAGAGAGAATTCTTGCATTCGCCGCACTAAAATGAATTGTCAGCACTTCTGCCCCCGTCAAACATAGACTAGACTTGATCTTGAGATCTTGACACCAAGCTTTTCTTATAACAGGCGCAAGGCTCAGTAGCAGGGATCGGGATCGGTCCAAAGGGTCTTTGGCCGCGCCATGGCAGGAAGTCGAATCCTTCGAGCGGGAATCCTCAGAGAGAGAGCCGCCGAGCCATCTTGTTCGGAAGAAGGGCTTGCAGCACGCACATGCCAACTTTGCTATTCAACCCTGTCCGAGGGTAGGAGATACATTCTCTATACTGCCCAAACCCACTCACCCATTTTCACGTGGTTGACATTCTAGGTACTCGAGCAGGTGCATGCGCTTTGATTGAAAAGTCACCCGGCAAGTCACCCGGCAGTAGTAAGGCAGGCGCAGCCCAGAGATTAGGTCTGACAATATTTCTCTCTGAGACGGTGATATTACTCTCACCCACCGCAATTGAGACGACTTTAGTTTTCAAAGACCATGTCCATTGTTCCAACATTAACTTGCTCCACCAATTCAATCTAAATCAGAAGCTGGTCTAAACGCCCGAGAAGTATTCGTCTTCCTGACCAGCAAAGTCATCGCCGTAGCTTTCATCCGAAGAGCTGCCCATCTCACCGTCCTGCTCGAGGAGTTATGCGGAGAAAGGCCCCACCTCCTTTGCGAGTTGAGCCTCGTCGCTCATATCCATCTGCGCCTGAATGCCCCGCACTTGCTGAACGTCACGGGCCAGCGATGGAGGCCAGTCGTCGAGCCAGATGTCTCCATAGGACCGCGTGTTCCCGATCGATTATGTGCAGGTAGCTGGTGATGTTTCGCCTTCTTGACACTTCTTCCCGTCGCGTTCAATCGTTGATGTAAACCACGAAATTCTGACAGTGCAGGAGGCATGGGCTCGGAATCGCCCTCTGACTGCCCGCGAGTGTCGAGCCAAACATCGAAGAAATGGTCGTTCTGGGACCAAGAACATTCGCGCAACTGAAGAAGCTCCATCCGGCGATCCAGTAAAATGAGCGCGCGGTCTCGGATCTCTTCAACATCTTCAGTGCCGAATATGGACTTGGCATCAGCTGGGTCGATCGATTCAGAAAGGGTATCTGTTGGGATGGTTTGAAAGATGTCAGGGCGACATAAGAGGTGATATGGAGCACGCTGTATCGAAAACTTACCCGACACTTTAGTCCAAAGTGTTTGGCAACTAGTGATACGAGTCTTTTCATCTTCGATCCAAGCCAAAGCTTGCCGCACCTCGGCGCCGATCCGCGCTTCCTCCTCACCGACTCGAGCCTTGGCGCGCACAGCTGCTACTCCTCGGAATGAGCGACCGTAGCCCGCTCCACAATCGCTCACAGCCCTCTCCATCAGTCAACCCGAAGTTCGGAATGAGGCGGGGGTTGAACTCGACTTGGCAGGACCAGATATGGGCGTATGCATGGAAGACGCTCGTGGCGAACACCAGTCGCTTGAAAAGCTTTGGCAGGAGCTGCCTCGGGTGACAAATGATAGGAAAGTAGGCGTATTTGGTCTGTGCCAACGAGACTGAGGAGGAAGGGACGCGTCGTGATCGAAGCATACCTTTTCAATGTGGTGCTTGAAGTTACAAGCAATGTCGTATAAGACTCCAATCTTGGCGTTTTCAGGAAGGCGCTCTGAGATGCACTTGAGGATGGCAAGCGCATAGTATAATCTGAGCGGTCGGAGGGGAATATGCGCATTAGTACTGGGAGAGGAAAGCGGAAGCGACTACGTCCCAACCAGACAGCTCTGCGCTCACTTTTCACCAGACCTCTCAAGATTGACCATTTTCAGGTTTACATCATGACGGCATACGCAGGCAACGAGTCCTGTGTCGACTACTCGTGACGAGGTTGAGCCAGCTCCGTCGTCGGCAGCCTTCCACGACTCTGTGCACGCCTACGAGGGTTGGGTGGGTGTAGAGGTAAGCGATCCCATTAAGGCAAATGCAAAGAGCGGCATTACTCACCTTTTTGGTCGGCCGCACCGAAGCTTCAACCTCGGCCTTCATCGCCTGAACCTCTTCCTCACCCAAGAAAATGTCCGGAACGATCTGGTCGTGCTTCGAAGTTTTGTCACGCGTTTGCCGAAAGTTGCCGTCGTATGCAAGCACGCAATCCAATGGGACGTCGTGACAAGGTTGATTAAGTCACGTTGGCCCGAAGCACGCGGGACCCTTGTTGGAACGAATCGACGGTGCCTACGAGAAGGTTCCCGCTGTCCTGCTCGCATGTTTCGAGAGCGCGGTACTCGTCGATCGCGTTGCTTCCGAAGGTCTTTGTCCTGCATGCGCGGAAGGCAGGCTTTAAGCATCTGCCCCTGAAACGATGGCGGCGTCCAAACTGACCCAAGGATGTCCTGTATAGTGACCCCGAACCCACCCACAACGGGAGTAATACTCTTTGAGGCCGTCCGCATAGCCGGTGAGAGCGCGGGGGGTGACCCTCCAGCTCGCGTGGGTCTGCTCGACCAGTCGAAATGAGAAGGCGGTCATCGGCATTGAAGCGGTCGAAGAGATGAACCCTAGTTGGGCCAAGCGTTCGACGTCCTTAGCACACCGCGACTCGGAGGCACAGAGGGTGACCTGCAGTTTGTAGACCAACGGTTTGGACTTGTACCTTCTCTTCGGCGGCATGGCGACGCCAACTCAAGTGCATGAGCAAGAGGACGAACGCGAGCCATGGGGCCTGTACGGTCAATGGCGACGCTACAATGAGCTGTAGCGGAAGCAACGAGGTGAGGCGGCAAGTCAAGTGGAAGGTCCCTCGCGCGTGGCCAGCTGCAGCCAACGCGTGTGCTCGGACCCTTCGATCTCGGGACCGAAATCCCGGCGCGCGACCGCTTCGGACACGTGACATTGACGACATCCGAAAGATGCGAGAAAAAGATGAAGGAAGGAATGCATCTACTACGCACTTTCTTTATCAATCTAGCAGCTGTGAGAGTGTTGTGTGTACACAGAATCGACTCGAAGCAGGGAGTTGGGCGCAACCTGGGCCTAATCTGCTACCTGGGGTAGCAAGGTTGCAACCCGCCGGGATTGTGGCTTGGAAGGCGCGTGGGAGGGCGCTGCGCGCGCGCCTGTTGAGGCGTACTTTTTATGTCTGCCCGAGGTGAAGTTAAGATATCCAAAAGATATCTAAGGAAACCCCCGGGGCCTTATCTATCTATCTAAGATATTCGGCCCCTAGATAAGATGACATCTATATCTTAGCGAGATATGCTAAGATAGATATCTGGACATCTAATGGGGAACCCTGCTCGCGCCGCCGTGCCCAACTGCCCGGATGAAGGCTGTTTCCCCTTATATTTCCACTCTATCTACGTGAAGTTCTTATCGTTCGAGCCGGGCAAATCGAAGGAACGATCCTGCCCGGACAACATCCATTCTACGGGTAATTGGACGCGGTGCGGAACTAAGAACTTGTTGCTCGATGACTCGAAGGTGAATTGAGCTCACATCCCCATACCAGCCAAAAGAAAAGACCAAGGCGAATGGTTACGAGAACGAGATCCATCAGCCAGCTTCTTCATTCGGAGGCTTATAAAGTGAGTAGAAGTAATCCGGCTCCCACGCCAGGGTCCAGGCTGCCAGTACTTTCGTTGTTCAGAGGGGAAAAAAAAATAGGCGCGTGCGCTGGTGGACTTGGGCGGCCAGTGCCCCAGCTTGCGCAGGCCTGCGCAGGCTCGCGCCAGATAGTAGTCGCCAAAGCAATGCCAGAGCCTGCAGGCCATAGCTACCAGCAGCTGCCCAAAACAGCCCAAGACTTACCCAGAGCGCGCCGAGTAGCCAACGCCCCATCGATTCAACCTCCCCTCTCTTCTTTTCTGCCCCACCGCCCCGCCCACACTTATCCCTCCACTCCCCTTCCTCCTTGCCCCTTTACGTATTTCACTCGTTGCTTGTCCCGCTCAGACATTCATCATGTCGGCCAAGGTGCGTGATCTTCGCTTATCAAGTTTTGGCGACACGTCACGCCGACGATGTCCTTCGTGGCTGGCCGGTTGGGTTGCGCGGAGTGACTGACAGCCCCAAATCGCTTCGCCCCCCCTCCATCAGCCTATCCGCGAATACGATGGTCAGTGAGAGTGCTTAACTCAATTATGTGCCATAGCAGCATGGTGATTGACGACTTCAAGCTCTGTCCTCTTGGTTCATATTCAGCCAAGTTGCTCTTGGCATATCATCTCAATCACGCTGCTCAGTTCGGCACGGAGTGCACGGTCAGACCCGGCTGGAAAGCCCCCAACACCCGTGTAGCCCAGGTATGTCATCGCTCGGGTTATTCTTTTGCGTGTCGAGGAATCCATCGAATGTATCGATCACTCTCTCGGGCTTCGAAACCGACAATGCTTTTCCACCCAACGCCGGTCACAGGAGTCTCCTGTCCATGCGAAGCGGGTCGGTCGGGGCCTCGTTGCTCGCATGGTCTCACTAGCGTTGAGTTGCTTCTTCGTGTGTGCACATGCTCTCAACGCAGTATTGTGTGGGAGCACCTCACCTGATCTTGTTCGGATCGGGTTAGCTGCCTCGAGTCGAGAAGCGGGACCGGAGGAGATGTTCCCTCTCCCCAACCCGCGTCGACTCTATGATTTGCCATGGAACCGATCACGCTCTACGGCCCACGATGCCGAGCGAGCTCGTGAACAACCTAGTTTTATTCAATATGCGCACCCATTACCTTACTGACCTTTTTCACTTCGTCCTCTGCACCCTCCGGATCTAGGTCCAATGGGACCCGGCCACGGGCGACGTGACTCGCGACGAGGCGCTCCCCGCGTGGGTTTTCACGGACAAGCTCGTTGTCAAGCCCGATCAACTCATTAAGCGTCGTGGCAAGGCTGGCTTGCTGTAAGTCCAATATTTTGCGCTGCCCGGTCGCAGGAAGCCCACTGCCACTGCCACTGCCGGCCAGCTGATTGGTAAGCTGGTCCTTCCTGGGATATTCGAATCAGCGCTCTGAACAAGACCTGGGCCGAAGGCAAGCAGTGGATCGCCGAGCGCGCCGGCAAGCAAGTTCAAGTGAGTTCGATCAATAATTTTCCCGCTGGGTGCTTCGCCCAGGGCTGACTGTTCGTTTTTCACGCCGCTGGCCGTGCAGGTTGAGAAGACGACGGGCACGCTCAACACGTTCATAATCGAACCCTTCTTGCCTCACCCTGCCGGCTCGGAGTTCTACATCTGCGTCAACTCTGTTCGTGAAGGCGACATGATACTCTTCACCCACGAAGGCGGTGTCGAGGTCGGTGACGTCGACGCAAAAGCCCTCACCCTCCTCGTCCCCGTCGGCGGCGAATTGCCCGCCCGCGATACCATCAAGGCAGGCCTCCTCAAGGACGTCAAGACGGGCGAGGTCAAAGAAGCGCTTGTGGACTTCATCGCCAGACTTTACTCGGTTTACGTCGATCTCCACTTCGCTTATCTGGAGATCAACCCGCTCGTTGCGGTCGAGGTTGAAGGCAAGACCGAGATTTACTATCTTGACATGGCCGCCAAGCTCGATCAAACTGCGGAGTTCATCGTCGGTCCGAAGTGGGCAATCGCTCGCGATCCTTCGATCTTCAACCCCCAAGCCGTCGCGCAGAAAGTCAACGGCAAGATTTTAGCCGATCGTGGACCGGCGATGGTCTGGCCGCCTCCCTTCGGCCGAGATCTGACCAAAGAAGAGGCCTACATCGCCAAGCTCGATTCATCGACGGGCGCCTCGCTCAAGTTGACGGTTCTCAATGCCGAGGGCCGTGTGTGGACCATGGTCGCTGGTGGTGGAGCCTCAGTCGTCTACTCGGATGCGATTGCCGCTCACGGCTTCGCTCACGAACTCGCCAACTACGGCGAGTACTCCGGCGCACCCACCACGAATCAAACGTACGAGTACGCCAAGACAATTCTTGACCTCATGACTCGCGGCACGCCTCGCAGTGATGGCAAGCTCCTGTTCATTGGTGGTGGTATCGCCAACTTTACCAATGTTGCTGCCACCTTTAAGGGAATCATCGCTGCTCTCAAGGACTATCAGCACAAGCTCCAGGAACACAAAGTCCGCATCTTTGTTCGTCGCGGTGGCCCCAACTACCAGGAGGGTCTCAAGGCGATGCGCCTGCTCGGTGAGACGCTAGGCGTAGAGATCCAAGTTTTTGGCCCCGAGTCCCACATCACCACTATCGTCCCTCTCGGCCTCGGCATTACCAAGACCGCCGCTTCGCTTGAGTCGCTTGCACCTGAAATCCCTGCCGCTGGCACGCTCACTCCGATCGCCCCCAGCTCGCCTTCGGGCAAATCAGCCGCGCTCCCCGCGCAGCCTCCCCGCCAGCAAGCTGGCGCGCGTGATGGCATCGTTTCGTTCGACTCGATACCCGTCGACGGCGAGCGACCTTGGTTCCGCCCTTTCGACGAGAGGACTCGCTCGCTCGTCTATGGCCTTCAACCGCGAGCGATTCAGGGCATGCTCGACTTCGATTTTGCCTGCGGCCGCGAGACGCCTTCCGTTGCCGCCATGATCTACCCCTTCGGTGGACATCACGTTCAAAAATTCTACTGGGGTACGCAGGAGACACTTCTACCCGTGTTCACCTCCGTCGCCGAAGCCGTCAGAAAGAGCCCCGACGCCGACGTTGTGGTCAACTTTGCCTCGTCGCGTTCCGTTTACTCGTCGACCCTCGAATGTCTCGAGTTCCCTACTATCAAGGCCATCGCTCTGATCGCCGAGGGTGTCCCTGAACGCCACGCACGTGAGATTCTGCACCTCGCACAAAAGAAGAAGGTAACCATCATTGGTCCCGCTACGGTCGGTGGCATCAAGCCGGGTTGCTTCCGTATTGGAAACACCGGAGGGTGAGTCAAACGATCTCTCTGATTTGATACAGCAACCACATCTACTGATGCCGAATCCTCTTGGTTTGGTGCTTTACTCTTACAGTATGATGGATAATATTCTCTCTTCCAAGCTCTTCCGAGCGGGATCGGTCGCATATGTCTCCAAGTCCGGAGGTATGTCGAATGAGCTTAACAACATTCTTTCGCTCACGACCAACGGCACCTACGAGGGCGTCGCAATCGGTGGTGATCGTTACCCCGGTACCTCCTTCATCGATCACCTTCTCCGATACGAAGCGGACCCCAACTGCAAAATGCTGGTGCTTCTCGGAGAGGTCGGTGGTATCGAGGAATACCGTGTCATTGACGCGGTCAAGAGCGGTCAGATTAAGAAGCCTATCGTCGCGTGGGCCATCGGAACTTGTGCCAAAATGTTTACAACCGACGTGCAGTTCGGCCATGCCGGCTCCATGGCCAACTCGGATCTCGAAACGGCCGAAGCCAAGAATAACGCCATGCGTGCCGCCGGATTCATCGTTCCTCCGACCTTTGAAGATCTTCCTCGCGCACTCAAGACGACTTACGAAAAGCTAGTCGCCGACGGCACGATCGTGCCCAAACCCGAGGTTGCGCCCCCTACGATTCCCATCGACTACAAGTGGGCACAAGAGCTCGGGATGGTTCGCAAACCGGCGGCATTCATCTCTACCATCTCTGACGAGCGCGGGCAAGAACTGCTCTACGCCGGTATGCCCATCTCGGACGTGTTCAAAGAAGACATCGGCATCGGTGGTGTCATTTCCCTGCTCTGGTTCAAGCGCCGCCTGCCCCCGTACGCGTGCAAGTTCCTCGAGATGGTGCTGATGCTCACCGCCGACCACGGACCCGCCGTTTCCGGCGCAATGAACACCGTTATTACCACTCGTGCCGGCAAGGATCTCGTCTCTTCCCTTGTGTCGGGTCTCCTGACCATCGGTGACAGATTCGGAGGTGCGCTCGATGGTGCTGCCGCCGAGTTCAGTCGAGCCATGGATCTGGGCCTCTCGCCTCGCGAGTTTGTCGACTCGATGCGCAAGGCCAACAAACTTAGTAAGCATCGGTTCGTAACCCGCTCTTTTCGTATCGTCTTCGACTGACTTGTTCGTCTGTTTTTAACATGTTCAGTTCCTGGTATTGGCCACAAAATCAAGTCAGTAGCTAAATATTCTCTGTACACCCTCGCGCAGAAGCTGACAGAAGAAAAATCTTCGCCGTCTTAGGTCGAAGACGAACCCCGATCTTCGTGTCGAGCTGGTCAAGCGATACGTGCACGACAACTTCCCGTCCACCAAGTTCTTGGACTACGCGCTCGCGGTTGAGGAGGTCACCTCTGCCAAGAAGGATGTGAGTCAGCAGCTGTGGCAATCAATCGCCTGTCAGTGCCGTCCTGACCTCGTGTTCACCGGCGTCCCGTTTTTGCGCAGAGTCTGATCCTTAACGTCGACGGAGGTACGGACTGTTTTTCCGGATTTTTGAGCAAGCATCATCTGACACATCCGGTTTGCTTCCACAGCTATTGCCGTCTCATTTTGCGATTTGCTACGCTACTCCGGCGCTTTCAACGCGGAAGAGGCTGCCGAGTACATGCAGATTGGTACTTTGAACGCTCTGTTCGTGGCAGGCCGCACTCTTGGTTTCATTGGTAAGCCCCTCTGCTCCCGGTACCTCGACCTGTCGAGTCCCGGCTTAATGCTGTGCGCGCTTTGCAGGTCATCACCTCGATCAAAAGCGCCTCAAGCAGCCGCTCTACAGGCATCCTGCGGACGACATTTTCATCACGCCGTTCGACCAAACGCGCGTGCTCGTCACTCAGCGTCATGCCTGATCCGTTCTCGGTTTCTTTGTCTTGTTTCTACAAGTTGTGCTTGGCATCCGGTTTTCTCGTTTCCCTTTTTGAAAGCAATTACTCACTCTGCTCATTCATTTACGGTCGTGTTACTTGGGAGTGACACAGAGGCCGCGAGCTACACAGAGAGAATGCAAAGCGAATTTGGGGGTGGAGCGGAGGACGAGACTCGCTGCTGCGCCCTCGCCGAACGCGTTCTCGGTTGGCGACCTGCACGGATCCGTAGCGTTTGCGAGGCATTTGGTAAAGTTCAAGCTTCAGGCTTTAAGCTTCAAAAACGGTCATCGCAATTTCAGTGGGCAGTGCAGAGTGCATCAGAAAGACTATGCGCATCTCCTCGAATAGTCTGTAGCCGTCTGCTAGGCGCCCAAGCGGAGGCTGGGTGTCGCCCACCCATGGCGTGTTTTCCGGTTCTCCATTCATAGTTCGTCCTTTCCAGGTTTGCGATTCTTGATGGCCAGGAGCTCAACCTGCGAAGCAGACACCGCTAAAGCGCGGTCACATCAGTTATCAGCAATCTCTGGAGGCAAATCGTCGCGTTGAACGCACCTCGAAGACCAACGTCGCCTTGGGAGGAATAACCCCACCGGCTCCTCGGTCGCCTGATGAATCCGTGCAGATCGTTCATATGGGTGGGCACCGGGTCAGATTGCGCTTGAGGATCAGAGGAGAGGGCTAGCTCACCATAGGCCAAAGAGGAAGGAATCGTGAGGCGTCGCTTCTCTTGAGGACACATTTCGGTCAGACCCTGGTCCCATCCTGCAATGACTTGACCTTTGCCGAGCGTGAACTCGAACGGTTGTCCACGTTTTCGTGAGGAGTCGAACGGAGTCCCCTCGAGAAGCGTTCCATCGTCTGTGTGAGAGGCCAACGGGACAGCGCAGCGTCAGTGGTGCCAGGTTGTCTATTTTGATCGCGCCGGGTGTGCGTACAATGCATTGACAGCTTATCTCCTTTCTGTGACTTGATGAGGCACGTGCTGGGGCGGTGCATCACTTCAATTTTGAGCGGTTCTGTTGCGGCAGCGCCTGATGACGATGACGTGGCTACCGCCGGAGTAGCTGAATAGGTGAGCAGGCCAACACCCATCGTAAGCATTGCGAGATAGGCACTGTTGCTGATTCGAACCATAATGCTTCGTCGGTTGAAAGCACCAGCAGGAAGACCTGTGCGACTGTCTGCGGAGATTAGGAGAGGAGACCTCAAGCTCTATCGAGCTCGCCCAAGCTGGCGGCGTGTTGATCGTTACTTCGTACCTCTTCGTACTACGTCGTGATACATAATTTTTACGAGAGAAATGGACAAAAATGCCCTCCTTTCCATGAGGACAGAAATGCCCTTCTCAAAAGGACAATAATGCCCTCGGATTCCAGACTTCTGTAATACTTGATATATCAGCTCACAACCAAGAGGTTAGCTTCTTGTAGTCTTTGTGATCAGCGCCGTAAACTCAGAATCTCCAGAGATGCCGTGAGAAGTCAGTTATCACGGTCGCAAAGTCAGGGGCCTCATCGACCTCATCGATCGTCGACGCGTCGAGGCGCGCGAGTTCGCGAATCAACGTTGACGTTGCCGTCCTTCCGCATTCTCGCCCCCGGCCCCCACGCCGAAATCACCACCGACTTTCGACAATGGAACACTGTTTCAAGAAGGGGGAAAATTTTTACGAAACGAAGCAGCTCACGGATGCAGGCTGTCGATATGCGCTTAATAACTAGAACCAGCTCGACGTTCGTAAGTCTGACACGCGTCGTTGGCACGTCGTGTGCAAGACATGAGGTCACGGATGATGAGGACGATAGTGACTCGACTGGCGAAGTAGAGGGTGCCATTATCATTCCGCCACATTTTTCCAGACGTACAGGACGTCCAATCAAGTGCAGGGTCCGGGGTGCGAACGAGAGGGCCAAGCGCGACGCGATCTGTGGCCTCTGCAAAAGGCCCGGACACAACCGAGTTGCATGCGATAGATAGATCGACCATTTAGATCAGAGCATAGGGTGCCAAACGTGTCAATATTACCTACAAGTTGAAGGCGTGCCGGTTTGTTTCATATGGTAATTCACTGCGGTCTATACTCATCGCTCGCTTTCGACTGGGCCTCGCTTCAGTCGCGATAGGGCCCTGACTTTGCGACCTTGCTAACTGACTTCTCACGGCATCTCTGGAGATTCTGAGTATACGGCGCTGATCACAAAGACTACAAGAAGCTACCCTCTTGGTTGTGAGCTGGTATATCAAGTATTACAGAAGTCTGGAATCCGAGGGCATTTTCGTCCTTTTCTCTTTTTACAATGGCTTGATTTAATCTACTACAACTCATAATTAAAATCAGCATCTCAGGGCTAATCCTATCCTATCCTATCCTATCCTATCCTATATCCTATCCTATCCTATATCCTATCCTATCCTATCCTATCCTATCCTATCCTATTCCTACTAGGTTCGGCGGCGCGCTCCGCGCGCCACCTCACACCGTAACTGTTGACCCGCTGAAATGTGATGTACTTTGCTGCAACAGTTGCGGTCCTGTTCAGTAACGGATCCCTAGACGTTGAAGTCGGGAGAAGACCGTGCGACGACAATCAAATGTACACAGCTTTCATTTCAGGACGTTTCTGACACCGTCCACATTCGTTGCTCGGCACAACGCGACATACAACTGGCCGTGAGAAAAGACGGGCGTCTCCAGACACACTTCTATCCGCGCAAGTGACTGCTCTTGCAACTTGCTGAACGTCATAGCCATTGCCAGCTGAATCGGAAACTGCGTCGGATGCAGAGTGAACGGAAGCTCAGCTGATGACCCTGTCTTCAGCGTGATCCGTGGCAACGAAACTGGCTGTCCAGCATGATCTCCTGTAAGAATGATGGCCTCGAGCACGCGGGTGTGTAACCGAGTTGACAACAGTCTTGTGCCGTTGCACAGTCCAAGTTTCCACTTTGAATCTTGCAGCGTGCAACGGGATCCCAGCAATGTTGAGACTCTGAAGGTACTTGATCGAGAACAGTGATCCGTCTTCATTTTCGACCGAATCCGGGCTGTAGAACGTTTGAGCGTCACCCGGCAGCAGGTCGAGCACCATGTCGTTGATCTGATCCACCTGCGAGCGCCAGAATTGCTCGATCTCGGAAGTATCCGACTTTTTCGCCTATCGACATATTGTCCAGTTCGAGCGCGGGGCCGGGATAAACGTGTCTGATCAACCCGGATCTGTTCCTCGTGGTCGCCGGCAGGAGAAGCCCACGTCGGAGCGGGATAGTCTTCTGTTTTGTTCGCCGAGCCGTCTCCAACTCCTCAGAGCCAATCTGCAAAGCCCTGTGCCGTTGGCCGATCCGTTTTGGTCGTGCGGTCTGCAGCGGCCAGAAGACGCATGTTTGTCTGCCCTTTCACCGTGCCGATGTTAGTATAGGGTCCAAAAGTCAGGCAAGGACTACTACTTACAGAGAAATGCAGCACCTCAACTTCCCCCCCGAAGTCAGCATTCCATGATGCAAGACGATTTGTGCAGGCGATGACTTGAGAATAACGGGAAGGCATTGCTTCGGAACCCCCGTGATGTTACAGTCCAACCGGTCAGTTATGCATGTAACCCTGCGCTTTGCTTTTGAAAGTTTCCGGTTGAACTGTAACATCACAGGAAATGCGGTGTGAGGTGGCGCGCGGAGCGCGCCGCCGAACCTAGTCCTTAATCCTTATCCTTAAACTACTAAATCCTTAAACTACTAAAAACAACTGTCGCGTCAGACAAAGAACGTCAAAGAACAAAAGACAAACCACGTGGCGTGACGTCATCGGCAGCTCTCGGTCCAGCGCGTCCCGGTTAGCTAGCTTTCTCCTACGTTCGCCGAGGTTCCAACGTTCGCCGAGGTTCCATTTCCCATCAAAGCAGCCTGACACATGACCCTCCGCTTCCCGAAGCAGACTGCGACGACCTGTTTTGCGTGTCTACCACATCGTAGCGTAGTTCCTTCAATCATCCAGCTCCTGCGACTGCCATGTCATCTGCAAACTTTCACGTCCCGTCTCCTGTACGACAATCTTCACGCCGCACGGAGAGCAGAGGGGCAGCAGAGACGTCGGCATCGTAAGCGAGCTGAGCCTCCTCCGTACAACCCGACTCCTGCTCTAATCGCACAGTCGCCACCGCCAATCGATCAACACAACGTCGCGCAAACTGGTTCTTCAAGTCAATCTGCACCGGCAGCACGTCCGGTAATGTCGACCAGTGCGTTAATTCCGCCGTTAGGGGCCCCGCCAGCGTGTCACGGCTTGCCGACACTGGGCTTCGCTCCACGTCGTTCCGCGGCCTTCCGCGACATTCTATGATCACGGTTTGAACTGAGGCGCAGCCTTCTCCATCTTTCTCCCTCCTGCTCTTCACACCTTACCCATCGCACCTCATTCCATCGCCACCTCGAGCTCGCGGCATCCGAAGCGGTCGTCGTGGAAGCTCTGCAACGAATACGGGATCAAGAAATGTCTGCCGCATGCAACATAGCTACGAATTCGAGTAAGTAACTTCATAAACTGTGCTCTTCGGTGTGGGATTGTTCAGGAGCTAATGGAGAACTACCAAGCAGCAATTCCCTTCAACACGTCCTCTCTGAATGTCAACCCTCGAGTTGTTTCTTCACCGTCAGCTGGTGATACGGCATGCGTGAGTTATCCCTTGACATGGCTGTCAGTCTTAGATATGACGGAAAAACTGATACGAAAAACAGACATTGAACGTCAGTGACACAGCGGAAGGATTGACTTCGTACGGTTGAGAATCCGGGTCATTGGGACACTAAATGTGAGTCTTCACTGCCATTGCTACAGATGGACAACAGCAATAATACTGATAATTGTAACGAATCACGCCAGAAAACAGCCTCTGGTCGGGTGAATTGCGGCTCACCATCCCGTGGCAGATCCTCAACGGCTCGGTTCGGTGGAGTGACCGTCATGTTGGCAGGTGTGTGCCAATCTTTCAAAAGCAAATCGCAGGGCAGCATGACTAACTGACCGGTTGAACTGTAACATCACAGGGAATCCGAAGCAATGCCTTCCCGTTATTCCACGTCTCGGTTCGGTGGAGTGACCGTCGTGAAGACTGTTGTCAACTCGGTTACACACCCGCCTGCTCGAGGCCATCATTCTCACAGGAGATCATGCTGGACAGCCAGTTTTGTTGCCACGGATCACGCTGAAGACAGGGTCATCAACTGGGCTTCCGTTCACTCTGCATCGGACGCAGTTTCCAATTCGGCTAGCAATGGCTATGACGTTCAGCAAGTTGCAAGAGCAGTCACTTGCGCAGGTAGGAGTGTGTCTGGAGACGCCCGTCTTTTGTCACGGCCAGTTGTATGTCGCGTTGTCCTGAGCAACTATGTGGACGGTGTCAGAAACGTCCTGAAATGAAGGCTCTTTACATTTGATCGTCGTCCCGCGGTCCTCTCCCGACTTGGACCATCACTGAACAGTACCGCAGCTGTTGCAGCAAAGTACATCACATTTCAGCGGGTCAACAGTTACGGTGTGAGATGGCGCGCGGAGCGCGCCGCCGAACCTAGTAATATTAAATACAAATGGCTCACCTTATTAAGCCTAGGCCTCGGCTGCCCCACTCGCTAAGACCTGTATTATAAGAGCCTGCTAGGCGAGCACCGGCTACGTTCTAAAACACCTTTGGGGCGCCTTGGGAAGCCTTGGTCAGAGGCACCTTAGCATCGGACCCACCTCGGCGACGGACCACGATCACTCAGCCACACCATCTCAAACTGTGTATGTCCACGCATCGGTTTCTGTACGGCGACCCTTTTCCCCGCCCCCCCTGCCCCCTCCTTTAGCTCCATCCCAGCTACGGTTGTCGCACACCGCTCCGCAGTGTCATGACCGCGGCCGTGGCCCCTGGCGTGCGCACATGCGTACCTCGCTGCGCCGATGCTCAAGGTGTACTTGTTGCTCACGCAACTTCCTGCTGTGCTACAACAGGGTCGCGAAGCTTGGTTCCCGGACTGCGGAGCCAGATCTGGAAAATCGCATCCGTTCATTGTCCGCTTGAAGGCGACGGGAAGCTTACCTCAGTCCGCATCAGTGGCGGACTGGCTCAGGTCAGCTTTGGCCCGCATACCCAATCGCACGCATACCCAACAAGGTGGAGCGCTTTGATCGGTGTGAAGCGCTTTGGTCGGTGTCTGATCTTATTATATTCAGGTGAGCCATTATTTTGCTGCTTCACCTCCATTGTTGCCGCACACTCGTATTCCCCAGCGCGCTAGTGTTTCATCTATGACGTCGCGCGCGTGACCACGCCGCGTACAAGCTGCCAGTGGTGTGGTCGTCGCTGCCAGTACATGTGCTTGGTGCTCCCCTCTCTCTTTCTCTTCTACATGTTCCTGGTCGGAGGGTCCTAACTGATTTCGCCGCGTAAGCTATACTTGCCGGTTGCCCCTCGTGTGCAGATTTGCTGTCCTGGTCGTCGACGACATCCCGAATTGCGGAATCATGAGCGCCGCACGCTCGATGATAACGGGAGCCGAGCGCATGTCTGGGACCTCGGCCAATCCGGGCAGGTCAACTTTAAATCCTCGATCGACCGTAGGCTCGGATAATTTGGTGCTCACCGTATCGTCGATCGCTTCATCTGGATCGGCTTCGGCTGCATCTTCAATCTCAAGAAGCGCTAATCCGGATTCGCGATTGTTTGACCTCGCTGCTGATGTGATGACGAGCTTAGCCGACCCTACTGGCGTACCAGTGGATTCGCCCCTTATCAATCTCTCAAACATCGAGCCACGCGATGTTCATCGGCAAACACCACGACAAAGGCAACCGAGTCCGGCGGCCTCCTCTCGACTCGAGCACGACCCATCGTCGATGACGACGCCCAACGATGCTTCCACCTTGGCGCCGCTCAGAGATCCATTTTACAGTGGAGATAATTTGAGTCAGCAACTGCGCAGTCCATTGACGCTCCCTCGAGAACACATGCCTGTCGTGTCGACATCTACGCTTGCCTCACCTCGTTCCTCCTCATCCCGAAGGTCCGCCCGAGCTTTGATCGAGCCGCCAGAGTATTGTGATGCCTCCCGTGCACAAGTTGCTCCCATTCCACGCACATCTCCGAACGCGAAGATTTCGGAACGCGCTGGATGCAACGATCCCGCATCGATTGGAAGCTCGCGGTCGTGGGTACGGGACGCGGACTCTTCCAGTCTTTGCTCACGCCGATCGAGCTGTTGGAGCAGTACCGACTACGAAACCGAGGATCTTGAAGACGGTGAAGTTTACAAGCCTGGCATCGACTCTGATGTTCCTGAGTGTGAGTTAGCAAATTGTCAGGCAGTGGCAAAGTGCCCACGTCCTACTGAAATGCCGTCAAACTCACTTCGCCCGAACTTTGTGCAGTCCTTGATCGCAGACCCGAGCCGCCAGGGGCTCAAATCTGGATCGATCGGGATGACCCTCGTCAACTGGTAGTGTACGTCACCCTGCCTGGTTTCAGCCTTGAGAACATCACGGTTGCGTTCCGGCGCCACCACCGACTGCACGTGCTTGCGGACCAATACGGAGAGAACGGAGGGCATTACGAGCGTACAATTTCGTTGGGGCCAGACGTGTCTTCGCGCTCCAATCGGGCAGCCTTTGACGGAACCACGCTCCGGATATTCATCGACCGCCGCGCTCCGCGCCCGCGAGTGCCGCCTACGACCCCGATGCTAACCGAGGAAGCAGCAGCGACTCCCGTGGCTGGCTCACCTACTTCGTCGAGCACCGCGTCCTTGCTTCCTTCGCCCTTACTCGCCGCTTCTCTGAGGAGTACGGTATCATTCTTGGGCGGTGAGCCGACTGAGGCCCCCATTGCGATGTGCTCGACGGGACCCCTCGAGACCAAGCAACGAAGCAGATATCTCACCGGGCCCGAAGGCGCCAAGGCTGCGGCCCGGGCGGCCCGAGATGAAGCTATGCAGAGGGCAAAGGAAGCTTATCAGAGCATGTCGATATCCAAAGTTGGTCGCAGACTGCCATTTCGCGGCGAAAGGAAGGATTTTGTCGAGGACCAGGATGTTTCACCATCGGACCGATCCGGTACGATCAAACGCCGCAGCCATTCCCCGGCATCGACATCCTCGTCGGCGGACAGCATCAGTAGCCAGTCCACTTCTGTAACCTCAGGTGCCTCCGATGCCTCCTCGCCGTCTCGACCAGCATCGATGGGCCGTAATTCCACGCTACGCGCTCGCGAAGCACAGACTTTCGTGCAGGCTTCTGTGCTTGCAAATGGCGCGGTTGAACAACCGGAGGCATCGACACCCAAATTTGAGAAGACGCCAGAAGAGTGCGAACTACTTCGTGCTTTGTCGGTTTGACTGGTATCAGAGTTGTTGTATCATAGTCTGACGAGCCAGCGACGGGTGCCTTTGTGCACGCCCGCATCACAGTCACGATATATATTTTCGCCATGGCGAAGTTTCTGGACTCGTTTCGCAATGTGTGTAACATGTTTTCCTATTTATCTTCAAGTGTTGCAACATCACTACCCCAAAAGCATATATCCTACGAACCAGCCCAGCAGAAAGCTTTACCAAGTAACTATCCAACTCCAACAGGGTGTACTCCCCGTCATGAGCCTGTTGCAGCAGATGGGGCACCGGGACGGTCCTGGCGACCGTCGCCCGATTCGATCGCTCGTGTTTTGGCTTCCACGGAGTTTTGGCCCTTGAGCGGCAATGACGTGACGTAGTTGGACGGAAAGAAGCCAATCGTTCCGTCCCTCAATCGGCCCTGCCACCAACCAGCCGTGGCTCGCTCAGCTTCAGGCGTTAGCACAGCGATGATGTCGTTCTCGCCAAAGCTCAGTTCCTCGCCGTTCAAGGCGTTGTAGGGGAATGTTGCACGGACGAAAGTCAGTGAAGATGGATCAAGCGGGCCCCCTGTGGCCAGGGGCTGGTCGGGAAGCGGGCGGCCGTATTGATCAAGCAAAGGCGGTAAAGCGCCTGGGTTGAGCGCACGTAGTCGCAGTTCCTCCTCCTGCCGGGCGGTGATCATGCGCACGACCCTAGCCATGAGCCACGGCAGGCCCACAACGGTGAGCAAGAATACCATGAGGGGCTTCTTGGAGAGCTTGTGTGTCGAAGGCCCCGCAGTGGCGGTCCCGTTGACTCCACCGGTGGTGGCTTCGAACGCTCGGAAGCCCTCGGCGTTGAGGCCCTCGGGTCTAGCCGCCCGGCCTAACAATCGATCGACGAGAGACCGAACCCATCGGATGAGAGCGAATATCGAGAGGACTTGCCCAAGATAGTTGCTACAATGGTCACAAAGGAAAATTGGCATGCGGTGAGACGTGGCTCGGAATTGTCGGTGAGAAAGAAGCTTCGGAAGTGCCCGGAAACTGACCGAATGTGCCCAAATTGTTCGGCCACACCAATCATCGCGAAGAAGCTCGAATGCGTTGCCATGAACGTGCTCTCCAGCATTTGTGCGAACCCTCCGAACGCGCCTACGATTGACTGGATGACCTGAAAAGTTGCGGCCGTGCCGCTCTCCATCCTTTGAGTCAAACTCGCGCCGTCGGAGCCCATCATCCCCGGGGCGCCCATCCCATAACCGCCCATCCCGTACCCGCCCATCCCGTACCCACCCATACCCAGGCCATAGCCGCCCATGCCCATGCCGCCCATACTGCCCATACCGCCCATACCATACGAGCCGTACGAGCCCATGCCGCCGTACGAGCCCAAGCCGTAGCTCGAACCGTAAGAGCCGAGACGCGAGTAGGACGAGCCGTAGGGTGCCGCATTAGTGCCGTAACCAGCCGCCGTACCGTACCGCGACGCGTTACCGTACTGTGATAGAGGGTACGAAAGCAGTAATTGTGGTTTCGCATCAGTTCTTGAGAGAGATCGGTACATTTGCCAATCGCACTCGGCCCGGAACGCTGCTTGTGCAGCTGACAATGCCGCCCGACTACTACACGAATCGAGCGCTGAGAGCAAAGACGGGACTGGTGCGATTGTAGCATTTCGGCGATACCGCAGCACAACGCAGCACACAAGACTTACGGTGTTCGGGCCATAAGTAGAGCCTAAGACCGCCGCCGAGGCCGCGAGCAGAAGCGGGAATGGAATGAGACCATGCAGTCAGCGGGCTAGCCAGAGCGTATGATGGGCAGATCGAGTGTGGCGGGGGCAGTAAATCCAACTATATATATTATGCACTCACCGGTAGCCATCGTAACAGGTCGATCGGGAAGGGAGGGGGCTTCGGCCGAACCCGAGCTGGTGCCCGTGTTGGCGGCGCCGGATGAGAACGCACCGGCGGCGGACGAGGGCGTGACCGTGCTAGTGCTCGACGCATGCAGGGCCGATGCGGCCGCCTGGGGAGCTACGCCAGCTCGTTCCCATGGCTTGGCCGGTGCTGGTCTTGAAGCCATGTTGTACCGTTCCGTTGAGGAGAGAAGGGAGGGGAGGTGGGGACACGCGGGGACTCGGGCGACTGGGTTAGTTTGGAAAGAGTGAAGGAGGTGGAGGGGACGCCTCGGATCGGGACGTTTCAGGTCACCGAGCGCGACAGCAGGCGACAGCAGGCGACAGGCTTTTTTTTTTGTTTTTTTGATAGACTTCATTAACAGCATAATTATATTAATACCTAGAAATCTTCGGAAAAGTCGGAGGGAATGCTGTTACGCACACTGGCAGAAGCCAGTAGTGTAGGACTCATTGACCCTGAACCAGGATCAACCATACCCACTAAAACCCCCTTTGGTGGCTCACAGAGACATTAGGCGACCCTTGGACTCCTGAATAGAGGCTCGAAGCCCCTCGAAGTCCGTTTCGGTGATCGGTTCCAAAAGATCCGACGAGAATCGGCGACGGCGACAGAGCCTCCAGATCGAGTGAAAGAAGAGGACTCGTAGTTCGACAAGGCGACGTTCCGAGCGAGACACGACCGGACATACAAAGTCCACAAAGACTGGGTGGGGGGTCGGGGACAGAGCAGACCAGAGACGCCGGGCAAATGGGCAGCCGACCGCGAGGTGGGCCAGGCACTCGGGTGCTTCCGAGAGGCACATCACACAGGAGGCCGATCGATTGTTGGGGTGAGGGCTGGTTGGGGAGGCGACTTGGCTGCCCCGATGGAGGGACCCCAGGGAGAGAAGGTGGCCGGTATCCTCGGCGTCCGAGTGAACCCGGCGAACCTTGCGCAAAGCCTTGCACCAAGCGTTCCAACGTTGCTCAGGCAGATCGAATACCTTCTGGTGTCCCTTGGGGAAGATAGGAGGGAAGATGAAGACTTGGTGGCGTTTGGACGCGTTCACAAACGAAGACGGGGTCATCACCTCGCCATCGGGCCCTCGAAAAAGCGTCGGGTTTACCGAAAGTTGTATTCCGTGGCCCGCTGGGAAGTAGAGTACGTGCGTCGCCCATTGCTCGAGGTTCTGGCTCTTGGAGAGTTCCGGGGGATTGAGCGTGGTCACCGACGCCCAGGCTTCGAAGTATCGGACCCAACGTGCAGGAAGAAGTTTTCTCGTCTTTCTCACCGCATGGTCCCACTTTGGGGGAGGATGGCAAAAGTATGCCCACCAGATCCAGATCCAAGGGCGACGATGCTGGTTGGGGGCCGGTCTGGACAAGGTGAAAGGGGTTGGATCGTTCGGTGCCTGGAGGCGAATGCGGATGTCGAAGAGGTGGCGTGTGAAGCAGCCGTCCGGGGCCCGGAGCTGGAAGACCCACTTCGCGTGATCGATCGCTAGACGCCGAGGCAGATCAATCAAGCCGAAGCCGCCGTGATCGAGAGGGGTGCAGAGGCGCGACCGGGAGACCTTCGGACGTCGCTGAGTACCATCCGAAGCTCGACCGTGAATGGCGAGCATGGCCGCATCCTCGATCTCCTTGACAACGCTCTTGGGGGCGGGGAGGAATCGGCTGTAGTACAGGATCTTTGTGTAGCAGTAGATGTTGATGATCGAACACTTGGCTGCATATGGGAGATCGTACATCGGAATTGAGCGTATCCGAGCGATGGTCGAGGCCTTGACATCTTCCCAGCCCGCATCCTCGGCGATCTCCACCCCGACCTGAATACCAAGGTAGCGAAACTGCGAATCGCTGAGAGCCAGGTCCCGAGATCTGGGGCGACCGGGCGATCCCGAAAAGCTCCAAGGGGGTAGAGGAAAGATTTGGCGTTGCTGAGCTTGCTGGCACTTGCCCGTTCGTAAAGCTCGATCGCCCGAGTGAGGTGGTCGAGGTCCGAGAGGTTGTGGAGTGCGCAGCAAGCGTCGTCGGCAAAGAGGAGTTCTCGAATATTTTGGAGGCCCGCAATCTCGATGCCCTTGACTCTCAATCGAATCTGACAGGCAAAACCTTCGATCGCCAGAACGAAGAGAGACGGAGCCAGAGGATCGATCACCTTGCCGAACGCCCGCCAGGATGTCGAAAGCGGCAGAGAGCCAACCGTTGAGGAAGATCGAGGCGAATTGGTTGGTGTAGGTCGCTCGGTACCATTGGCGGGCTTTGGGGCCGAAGCCAACGGCGGAGAGGACTGCATCAAGGTACGTGTGGGAAAGACGATCGTAAGCCTTTTCAAAGTCCATCACCGCTAGCATGCCGGACACGGGTGGTGAGCCCGGAAGTCCAGGGTCCATGAGACACTGGACCTCGGCGATGTTCGTGCCGATCCAACGGTTCGGAACAAAGCCACGTTGGGTTGGGCCGATCAGGGACTCGAGCAAGGGAGCGAGGCGCTGGTTGTGGGCTTGGGAGATGATGCGCTCGTCCGCATTGATGAGCGATATGGGGCGTTTGTTCGAGAGCTGATCCCTCTCGCCGCGTTTGTGGATGAGATGGATGTGGGCGGTGTTGCGGGGAAGAGGTCCAGGCTGACGGGCCTCGGTGGGGATCGAGTTGATGACGTCTCGAAGAATCGGGCCAGTGGCCGGCCACGTAGCGCGATAGAACTCAACCGGGAGGCCGTCAGGCCCTGGCGAAGAGTTCGACTTACACGCCTCTTGAGCCTTTGTCATCTCCTCCAACGGGTACGCTTCCTCGAGCTTGAGTGAGTCCGCGGGGGAGAGGCGAGTTGAAGCGAGGCCGTCGATGATCGCCTTCAGGGCCGCGTCATCGATGGGGCGGTCCTCATAGACCCGCTCGAAGTAGTCGCTGGCCGCTCCAAGCATCGAATCAGGGTCGGAATGAACAACATCGTTGACCGTGAGCGAAGGGATCAGGTCGGATGCTCGCACTTTGCGCAGGCGGATGAAGACGGAAGAGGGACCCGCCAGAGATGGGTCCTAGCTACAGTGCTGCGACGCGCGCGCTAGCTCTCGCCTGCTCTCGCCTGCTCTCGCTAGCTTGCCGCGCGCGTCGCAGCACTCGTGGTCTTTCTGGCTCAGTCCACGCGTGACCGTGCCGTGCCGTAAACTTTCCGTCAGATCAGGTGAGCCCCCTTGAGGCAGGAACGATAGGATCTTTACTTGTGGCACCACCGACCAGAGGATTGTAATGATGGCCTTGTCATCGGGGTGTCTGCCATCCTTCTCGGCGCGGCCAGGTCGCAAGCTCCAGCGTGTGACTTGGCTCGACGGACCGCATTGCCTCCTGCTCACCCTAGGTACCTTCCCTGGTATGGTCTTCCCAGCGTCTTCCCAGCCGCAGAGCACGCTTGACATCTCTGTAAAACCTCAATCAACCCCAGCGCCAGCCCCAAGCTCGACCCCCACCGTCAAGGACGCGGTTCAGCGGTCAGCGTGTACGATGCCGCCTCGCTTGGGACCCGGGAGCGGAGCCTCTGCACTGCCGGCCAGCACGCTCACGCCGCAACAGCTGCAGAACCTCCAAGACTTTCTCCGTGTCACGCGCGAATCGACGGGCCAGGAGCCGACCTCGCAGGCCGTGCAGGATTACCTCGTACAGAATGGCATCACCGTTCCCCTGCGCGCACCCCCGCCTCAGCAGCAGCAGCAGCAGCAGCAACAGCAGCAACAGCAGCAGATGGATCTACAGCAGCAGCAACAAGCTATGCTCAACGCACAGCGGCTGCTTCAGCAGCAGCAACAGCAACAGCAACAGCAACAGCAACAGCAACAGCAGGGGCAGCAGTTCCAGCAGCAGCAGCATCAACAGCAAGCTCAGAATGTTGAAGCCACTCTCAGTTCGTCTCACTCTCTGCGCCATCGGGTTGCGCTACATGTTGGCCTCGACGATGAGACTGATGCTGGCTCGGTGGCTCGTTCAATTTGTCTCCCCCAGTCGCGCACTTGTATCCACTTCACTTGCAAGGCAACATGCAGGCCGCAATCCAACATCTGCAAAGCGTGCTCTATCCACCCAGCGGTCAGCAGTCCCCTCTCCTCGCCCAACTCGTCAACATGGCCCGCGGCGACCGACTCTCCCCCGAGCATATGGGGCTGCTCAAAGCCGTGATCGCCGCAAATAGGCCATCAAACTGTGGGTCCCCTGCTCCTGCAACCCGATCCCGGGGCTAGCACTAGTGAGATACCGAAAAGCTGACTGTACCTTTGGTTGAAAATTTGCTCACAGCACAACAACAACAGCAGCAACACCAACAGCAGCCACAACAAAGCATCTACCAGCAAATGCCACAGCCTCAGCAACAGCATCTCGCGCAGCAGTTCGCACAGCAGCAACAACAACAGCAACAAAAGCAGCAGCAGCAGCAGCAGCAACTCCAACAACAACAGAAGCAGCAACAGCAACAGCAGCAAATGCAAGGTGGAGCACAACAGTCACATCAGGTCTGTGCACGACTACACATGGACCGGGTCCAGTGTCAACGTGGGCAATCTCAGAGCTCCAGCTCACATCCCGTGTATGTACACACGTCACAGTCTCAAAGCGCCGGTCAAAGTCCGCAACAAGCTGTACAGGCTCTACAGCGGCGTGTTCAAAACATCGAAGAGTTGCTCAAGAGGTAGATACAGACCTGCCGGTCGGTTACGCAATTCGGGTTCTCTCTCTCGGACCAGCACTGAGCCTGCGACTCGAACTGCCGCTCGTAGGAATGACTTAACCGACGAGCAACGACGCCAAATGCAGACCGAGCTCGACCAGGCTCGAGCCAATCTTTCGAGAGTGATCAAACTGCTGATTGCTGCCAGTCAAACGGGCAATGCCGGGGGGTCGATAGCTGGTCCAAGCAATCCTGGCATGATTGGCGTCGGCGGTGTTGCCCAGATGCAAGAAGCTCAGAGGATTGCGATGCGCCAACGTGAGCTGCAAATGCAACAGCAGCAGCAGCAGCAGCAGCAGCAGCAGCTCCAACAGCAGCTCCAACATCAGCAGCAACACCATCAGCAGCAGCAGATTCAACAGAATGGCCTAAATTCTCAATTCCGAACCGCTTCTCCGCTACAATATGGCCAGCAGCAGCAACCAGGGCAAACACCGGGAGGTCTCCGTCAGTCACCGACTGTGGGTGCTGCTCAGCTTCTACCTCTTCCGCAAGACGCCGCAAACCCGTCTGGTGGAAGCTCAAATGCTGGCCCCCCGACAGCTTCCACTGGCTCGAGCTCAGCACCTGCTGGCTCAACACCTCCGTCCACCAAGACGGCCAAAAAGCTTACGAAAAAGCAACAGCAAGCTCAAGACGCTGCTGCGGCGAAATCCCATCAGCCACGACCCTCGGTGCCAGGCCCTGCAGGCCCTAGCGCTGCTGGGCAAGCCGCTGCCCCCCCTCCTGCTGCGATCGGCCAATTGTCTCAGATCCAGCACCAGCAAGCTCTTGCACAGGCGCAGCAATTCCAGCAGATGTCACAGCAGCAGCAGCAGCAAGCCGCGATTGCCGCTGCTTCAACAGGGAATTCTGTTGCACCCCTCCCCATCAACACCAGTACTTCGAACGCTGGCGCCACGGGTATCTCAGCTGCCACGTCTGCCGCGCCTCCTGCCCAAGTCAGCGTCTCGTACTTGATGTCGAACGCGAGCGCAAACCTGATTCCTTCTCAATTGTCGATCCCGGCTCCCACGCCTGAATCGTTCACCGCACCTCGACCCACCTTGTCGTCCGGACTGGCCAACAGCCCGAGCGTGTCGGCACCAGCGATCATCAAGCATCCTGGCCTCACACCTCAGGCTGTTGCGGACGCCGTGGGTGGGCCTTCTTCGACGAAAGATGGGCCAACCGGGCCGGCTGGGGTTGGAGGAGCTACGCCCACCGCAGGGAATCCCTCAAAGGGATCGGGCAAGGTTGGGGGTGTGATGCAAGATTTGAGAGAGGATTCGAAAGGTAGGACAGTGTCTAAACGCAAGATCCGGGAGCTGGTGGAAAGCGTTGATCCCAAGGAGAGGCTTAGCGATGAAGTCGAAGATGTGAGCTACGTTGTACTTGGCGCAACGCAGAGCCTTCGATTAACCAATCTTCCTGCCGTGCATTCTGCCTTGTCATACAGTTACTGCTGGAGATCGCGGACGAATTCATCGATTCTATCACCCGCTTCTCGTGTCAATTGGCGAAGCATCGCAAATCAGATCGACTCGAAGTCAAAGATCTTGCTCTGCACCTTGAGAGGAGCTACAATATCAAGATCCCGGGCTTCCAACTTGACCTTGATAGTGCGCGTACAATCGCAAATCGCAAGCTGAATCTGCCCCCAGGGCATGCGGGCCGACTGGCAGCGGTTAGGGACACCACGAAGCGGAGATAATGTTGTATGTAATCGAGTTGAATTTCTCATACACCCCTCGCTGTAAACTCGTGCTCGAAACCCGAACTTCAGTTGGGCGGCATCGCCTTGGTTCGAAATGCAGACGCTGCCCCGGCGGCCGATAAGTGTGCGCGCGTCGGTCAGACGTGAGTAACTAAAGGTGTGCTTCAACGAACAACGTTTGGGCTCGTACACACTGAAGGGACGGGCCTATCCCGATAAATCACGGGCTGAATAATGTTGTGGACCTTTTGGAAAATGATTGCGTGTGGGATCAGGCGCTCCGAAGATACACAATTGGACCGCGGTTTTAGAAGAAACGCTCACATGGCAATGCACCGTCTCGAGGACCTGTTCGCCGTTCTGTATAACGATGCGCTCGTGGCAAGTTTGGGTTTCGGTATGGCGCTGCTTGTTCAACAGTGCCCACAATTCGAGATCATTTGGCGAGTTGGTTCTTTGCTCTGTTGCGATTCATATTGTTCCTTTAGTTTCACGAGTACGATTTGGTTCACCAAATCAGAGAGACGTACCAATTTTTTCTTGGACAGGCATGCTTTGGTAGAAGTGTTGCTCCTTCGAACTCGAGTCGTCAACGAGTGGTTGCACATGGTGTTGAATGTGGTGGTGATGAATGTGCAGATCCCGCAGCCTTGTCACGTACTCGGTCTCGTGATGATGCTTGTGGTCGTCTAATAGGATTGGCTTCCGATGTTGGGTAAGCCACGTTGTGTATATTTATCGCTGTGTGATCGCTTACGAATGACCGTCTGCAGAGTCCTGACGTCGTGTGTTGCCTTCTCGGTGAGCGCATTCAGACGAACGTCCGCGCCTGCGCTCCCAAAGTGGGATGCACCGTCGTTCGAATCTGTTTCGACGGTCCGTGGCCCACGTTTGAGGACCTGAGCTGGTTCGTCAAGTAGTGGCGCGGTGAATGTCACCGAGGAAGTTCTTTTGGGAGTGGTGTTGACCCTACTGGAGGGAATGTCGCTGCTTTGACTGGTGCGGGCGACGGGCAGACTCGTAGCGACGCCACTCGTCTGCAACCCGTGAAGGGTCGTGTCGTGCGACGCTGCCCGGGTCGTCGGATCGAACGGAGCCGTGTTCGGGCCTATCGAAGTAGAGCATGACTAATCTCAGTTGGAGATCAGGATCGAGTAGCCTGGGAGTAGCGGCAGAGGGAGGACTCTGACTCGTCATTGGGGATAGCATTGAGAGTCACGCCGCGATCTGCCGGTGCCCGATCGTGTGGCGCGCTGCTCGCGGGTGCGGAAAGGGCTCAAAGCGCCAGGAAGCTGGAGTCGGAGATGACGCCGCTGGCCGCCAGGTGATTAGCAAATTAATGGCACTGCAGTGTCAGGCCGGTATTTCCTATGTTGTCGGATTAACGTGGGCTGTAAGGACGGTGAAATGCACGGGCTTCGCACAGCAGGTACGAATGCAAAAGTGAACCACACGCTCGGCAGGGAGGTATCGACCTTTGGCCGATCTCCGCGATCGAGCACCGGCTGGTCTAGCGATGATGTCAAGACGGCGGGCGGAGTCCCGGAGCAACTTTCGCAAGGCTCGCTTCACTCCAAGTAACGTCATGCAATAGCGACGACGCCTTGTTCCGACCTGGAAAGTGTGAATATGCGTGGTACGCGGAAAATGTTCGCAAGGTCTCACCTGCGTGAAGGAAGCTCACCAAGCGTGGCAAGTGCACTGACAAAGAGTCAGGCCGTGCTTCCAATATCGGCAGAACCGCCGTGTCCGAGATAGGCCATCGTGCCGTCCCACCAGATCACCGCCTGTTGGCCCTGCTTTTCCGTGTTTGTGAAGGCCAACGATAAAACGTTCACAGATTCATTCGGTATCACATTTCCGCAACTGGCGTGTATTTTACACAACGAAGTCGAGCACTACTAGCACGTTCAGAGACTCTCACAAGCGGGTACAGGGGGACAAGCGGTGAATGCATGTACACCGACCCACGCTCACGAAAAAAAACAGGAGACTGATATGAAGATACCCGGACCATCTCTTCCTATTTAAACGTCGAATGCTTGCGACTTCCAGCCGGAATCACGACGGTCCTTGCGGGCTTGGTCACGGGCTTCCTTCTGGATGCGCTCGGCTTCCTCGCCGATCGCCTCGCCGACCTCTTCGACTGCATCGCGCACTTGCTCATATTGACTGATACCCTCTTCCATGAGGCTTTCGGCGCCACGCTTCTTCGCGACGACGTCACGGCCCTTGCGACCGAGACCAGTGCGCTTTCCCGGCAAGAGTTCCTCTTCTACACCGATGGCGAGGATGTACTCCCCTTTGGGCCCAACCTTGGTGATGCCGGTGGAGGTCACGCTGGAGATCGAACTCGGTCCCGTGGGCGTAAAGACTGCTCGAAGGAACGTCAACGGATCAGGCGAAGCGACGCGAGCACCGGCCGCCTTGCGATTGATGTCATATATCACTCGGTCCGCTTGCTGGAACATCGCCCCTATCTGTTCCTCGAGAGTGCTGACAAACTGCTTCTCGATATAGCCTCGAAGTGCCGGGCGTGCGAAGAAGTTTCGGATCGGATGTTGTGAATCGTGGATCGAGATAGAGAAACCAGTGACGGCAACCTCCACTCGGGTTAGTTTGAAGAATGACTCGCGATCGCTCTCTTCTGCGTTTTTCACGGTGAGTGTCACATCGAGTCCGTCATCTTCTCCTTCGGTACCGATTTTGATATCCAGCATGCCGTAGTCTTCGATAGTGAGCCAACCCGTCTTCTTGTGGAGGTAATACGAGATGTCCTTAGCTTGAAGACGCAACCCCGAGATGGAAAGTGTCGTCGATGTCGAGAATTCGGAGGCGTATGCCGCATCTGTTGGTAACACCCAGTCACGAGAAACATTAGAGACCGCGTGGATTAGGTGTCACCACAGACTAAGGTGATACAGACTTACACCCTTTCTTGACTGAGATTTCATTCTGGTTCCTGAAATGAGTAGCGTCGGGCACGAACGAAGCCGACGTGAAGCGAACATTGTCGATGACCAGATCAACTTCCTCCGACGTGAACTCAACGCGAGGCGAAGGGATCTCCTCGAGGGCGCCTAGGATGCGCGGCAAGAAGACCTGAGTGAGGTCGGACCACATCGACCCAGCGTCGGTGAGCGTGAAACCGGTCTGGGTAAACTTGGTGAAGGCCTTGCCAAGACGCTCGAAACGATCACCGAGCTGGACCAGTGCCTTGTCATTGGCTGCGCGTTGCAGACACTTGTTCGCCTCAGCGACGAAGTTATCCGCATCCTTCTTCCATGCAGCGTTCAAGTTGACGAGCTCTTGTGCTTGATCATAAAGCGACTCCGCTCGGCGCTGTGCACGCGAGGAGGTGATGTAACCTGGATCGTTGATGGCGCGGTCAAGCAACGATTCGGCATCCTCAAGCAGAGACTCGATGCGGGAGTCATTTTCGAGATCACGGGCGACCTTATTGGCGGCCTGAAAGACTGGGGACAAGTCGCCAGCAAAGGACTCGACGATCTCGCGGAAGAGGGAAGCTGCCGAATCGACTTTGTCGTTCGTCTCAACGTTGGCTTCGACGGATGAAGCGGCTTCCTTGAGTGCATCTTTGCTGCGCGCGGCGTACTTGCGAACGATACCAACAATCGTGTTGAGGGATTCTTCGTAGTCAGGGTTGGACTGAATTTCGTTTACGACCTGGTGAGGTAAGAAACAGGATGAAAGTAAGTGCGGCGATTCTTGCACGCGCCGGCCGGCGGCGATCCGAGAGCGCGGGCGCTTACTGCCTTGAAGCGCTCGATGAAAGCATCCTTGACATCCGTAGGAAGCTTTTCGTCCACGTAAGATTTGAGCTGACGTCCACTCTTCGAGATCGAGGCGAGCGCATCATCCTTGGCGTCTTCAGCTCCGCGCAAGACCTTCTTTTTCAATTGCTTGCTTGAAACGTCCCCGTTGAGGTTGAGGTTGACCTTGCCATCCGCCTTCTCTTCCTCGCCGGGGCGCACAGTCTTGGCAACTTGCTTAGAGGTCTTGGTAGCACGGATGGAGGCTTCTGCAGCCTGTTCCGCGGCATCGGCAAACATATCCCTGAAGAGATTGATGACATCACCAACGATGCGGCGTAGTTGGGACGAGGTGAGGAGAAGGGTGAATAGTTGCTTTAACGCGCGAGTGGCTTCACCAATCTCTCGGTCGGAAGGAACGGGGAGGTTAGGGAGGTCTGTGAGAGGTGGGCATGAGCAAATAACATCTACCGGCACGGCAACGGAGCCCGACAGAGTTTTTGCGAAAATTCTGACTTGTCGCTGCGGGTACTCACCGGCATCAGCATCGACTTCCAAGTCAGCCTGCGAGGCCAACCACAGAAAACGTTGAATCTTTTGGCACATCACATCGTGTTGACGTTCGAGGGACGGAAGGATAGAAGGCCAGTAGGATCGGATCGGATCAGCCGAGTACCGCCAGATATTTACAGTGACATTAGTATCGTTGAGAAAACGGCGACCCAACCAAGAGATAGAGAGTGACTGACCTTGTCGTCAGAGTTTTTCTCGAGTACGATTCGGACGAGCCCTTCGAGTACAGCGCGTTCGCTCTCGACGAGCTCACGGCCCCGAACGGAGAGCTTGCCGCCTCCAACTTTGCCAGTCAAGCGGGCGCCGAGTTCGGGTTGCAGCAGATTCGACTTGAGCACTTTTTGAACGAGGGTAGCAAACTGCTGCGAGGTCGGGAGTTTGCCCTCCTTGAGAGCCGCCGCCGCACGCGTCAGCGAAGTCAACGTCATTTCGGCCTGCTCGATGTTGGATTCGTTCAAAAGCGGCAGATTCGACAACGAGGTGTTGGAGAGCGACATGATGATCGCACGGGGGTAGGTGAGTGAACAGATAACAGTTAGTGGAATGTGACTGGTTTTTGGTAGTGTGGGAGGCAAAGAGGTGATCAAAGGGAGAGGTAGCAGGAGGGCGAGAAAGGCGAGGACTGCAATCGCGCAAGATCCGGCATCGCGACCCATGACGTCAAAGGTCTGACGCGCTGACGCGTGCATTCCAAGCCTCACGATCATAAGCGGTCACCGATGGGTGCCAAGGGAGCCACGGGAGCCGGCATTAAGTTGATTCTGAGGTACCTACCTATCTAAGCTACTAGGCGGGTACCTACCTCCTGCTACCAGGTCATATGAGTGGACATCCCCGCCCAGAGTAGTAGATACCGCGTTTGGAACGGAATTGTAGGCCATGCTCGGCCAAGGGGCAATGCTAGCTGTCATCTTGGCGAAAGTTTTCGTAAAACGGGACCAATCTGCCAGCGGTTCAACTCCGAAAGCAATCAATTCGGTGACAAGTATGCCAGTAGCTTCTGGCTTTCCCACTTGAGGAGACAAGGTTTGACCAATATGAGCAGTACAAAAGTGTGTGCGGGGCAAAACCCACCCTTCTCATCTCCAAGGCAGATTTCAGCAGGCTTTGCGGTGGGTTGGATCGGCTCAAGCACGTCCCTGGAATTATGGTGTATGACATCCAGCATTTTTTTTGCCTTGCATTTCCACGCGTAGTAGCCAACCGAGCCCTGTCCGTCCATTTTATTTATTTATTTGATAGACTTCATTAACAGCATAATTATATTAATACCTAGAAATCTTCGGAAAAGTCGGAGGGAATGCTGTTACGCACACTGGCAGAAGCCAGTAGTGTAGGACTCATTGACCCTGAACCAGGATCAACCATACCCACTAAAACCCCCTTTGGTGGCTCACAGAGACATTAGGCGACCCTTGGACTCCTGAATAGAGGCTCGAAGCCCCTCGAAGTCCGTTTCGGTGATCGGTTCCAAAAGATCCGACGAGAATCGGCGACGGCGACAGAGCCTCCAGATCGAGTGAAAGAAGAGGACTCGTAGTTCGACAAGGCGACGTTCCGAGCGAGACACGACCGGACATACAAAGTCCACAAAGACTGGGTGGGGGGTCGGGGACAGAGCAGACCAGAGACGCCGGGCAAATGGGCAGCCGACCGCGAGGTGGGCCAGGCACTCGGGTGCTTCCGAGAGGCACATCACACAGGAGGCCGATCGATTGTTGGGGTGAGGGCTGGTTGGGGAGGCGACTTGGCTGCCCCGATGGAGGGACCCCAGGGAGAGAAGGTGGCCGGTATCCTCGGCGTCCGAGTGAACCCGGCGAACCTTGCGCAAAGCCTTGCACCAAGCGTTCCAACGTTGCTCAGGCAGATCGAATACCTTCTGGTGTCCCTTGGGGAAGATAGGAGGGAAGATGAAGACTTGGTGGCGTTTGGACGCGTTCACAAACGAAGACGGGGTCATCACCTCGCCATCGGGCCCTCGAAAAAGCGTCGGGTTTACCGAAAGTTGTATTCCGTGGCCCGCTGGGAAGTAGAGTACGTGCGTCGCCCATTGCTCGAGGTTCTGGCTCTTGGAGAGTTCCGGGGGATTGAGCGTGGTCACCGACGCCCAGGCTTCGAAGTATCGGACCCAACGTGCAGGAAGAAGTTTTCTCGTCTTTCTCACCGCATGGTCCCACTTTGGGGGAGGATGGCAAAAGTATGCCCACCAGATCCAGATCCAAGGGCGACGATGCTGGTTGGGGGCCGGTCTGGACAAGGTGAAAGGGGTTGGATCGTTCGGTGCCTGGAGGCGAATGCGGATGTCGAAGAGGTGGCGTGTGAAGCAGCCGTCCGGGGCCCGGAGCTGGAAGACCCACTTCGCGTGATCGATCGCTAGACGCCGAGGCAGATCAATCAAGCCGAAGCCGCCGTGATCGAGAGGGGTGCAGAGGCGCGACCGGGAGACCTTCGGACGTCGCTGAGTACCATCCGAAGCTCGACCGTGAATGGCGAGCATGGCCGCATCCTCGATCTCCTTGACAACGCTCTTGGGGGCGGGGAGGAATCGGCTGTAGTACAGGATCTTTGTGTAGCAGTAGATGTTGATGATCGAACACTTGGCTGCATATGGGAGATCGTACATCGGAATTGAGCGTATCCGAGCGATGGTCGAGGCCTTGACATCTTCCCAGCCCGCATCCTCGGCGATCTCCACCCCGACCTGAATACCAAGGTAGCGAAACTGCGAATCGCTGAGAGCCAGGTCCCGAGATCTGGGGCGACCGGGCGATCCCGAAAAGCTCCAAGGGGGTAGAGGAAAGATTTGGCGTTGCTGAGCTTGCTGGCACTTGCCCGTTCGTAAAGCTCGATCGCCCGAGTGAGGTGGTCGAGGTCCGAGAGGTTGTGGAGTGCGCAGCAAGCGTCGTCGGCAAAGAGGAGTTCTCGAATATTTTGGAGGCCCGCAATCTCGATGCCCTTGACTCTCAATCGAATCTGACAGGCAAAACCTTCGATCGCCAGAACGAAGAGAGACGGAGCCAGAGGATCGATCACCTTGCCGAACGCCCGCCAGGATGTCGAAAGCGGCAGAGAGCCAACCGTTGAGGAAGATCGAGGCGAATTGGTTGGTGTAGGTCGCTCGGTACCATTGGCGGGCTTTGGGGCCGAAGCCAACGGCGGAGAGGACTGCATCAAGGTACGTGTGGGAAAGACGATCGTAAGCCTTTTCAAAGTCCATCACCGCTAGCATGCCGGACACGGGTGGTGAGCCCGGAAGTCCAGGGTCCATGAGACACTGGACCTCGGCGATGTTCGTGCCGATCCAACGGTTCGGAACAAAGCCACGTTGGGTTGGGCCGATCAGGGACTCGAGCAAGGGAGCGAGGCGCTGGTTGTGGGCTTGGGAGATGATGCGCTCGTCCGCATTGATGAGCGATATGGGGCGTTTGTTCGAGAGCTGATCCCTCTCGCCGCGTTTGTGGATGAGATGGATGTGGGCGGTGTTGCGGGGAAGAGGTCCAGGCTGACGGGCCTCGGTGGGGATCGAGTTGATGACGTCTCGAAGAATCGGGCCAGTGGCCGGCCACGTAGCGCGATAGAACTCAACCGGGAGGCCGTCAGGCCCTGGCGAAGAGTTCGACTTACACGCCTCTTGAGCCTTTGTCATCTCCTCCAACGGGTACGCTTCCTCGAGCTTGAGTGAGTCCGCGGGGGAGAGGCGAGTTGAAGCGAGGCCGTCGATGATCGCCTTCAGGGCCGCGTCATCGATGGGGCGGTCCTCATAGACCCGCTCGAAGTAGTCGCTGGCCGCTCCAAGCATCGAATCAGGGTCGGAATGAACAACATCGTTGACCGTGAGCGAAGGGATCAGGTCGGATGCTCGCACTTTGCGCAGGCGGATGAAGACGGAAGAGGGACCCGCCAGAGATGGGTAGAGATGGGTCGAGGCGGGACCGCAGGGCCGCGCCGTAGCGCGAGTGATCCGCCCTCTCTTGCTCCGACCCTCCACGTCGGAACCGAGCGAACGTCCGGGCCAGAGCCTGCAGCTCGGGCAGCAGGCGGTGTTTGGTGGACGTCCAAGCTGCTGGTGGATCGTTGGGCGTCTGGAGGAGGGCTTCGTTGTAAAGGGTGCGGACAATGGAAGTGAGGTACTCGCAGGTCGCGTCGCCCTCGATCACGTGCAAACCCAGCTTGAATTTGCCCGGACCGATGTCGATTGCGCCCGGCACTTGGAACCGTGCCACAACCATTGAGTGCGTCGATTTGAGGACAGGAGCCCAAATTTTGTGATCATGGAAGAGGTCAACCCAATCAGGCGAGACATAGATGCGGTCGAGGCGACGGCACGTGCCGGGCGCTGAGCGATTCGTCGTGGCTCGTCCTTTGGGATGGTGGAGCCGATAGGCGTCGAAAAGATTGTTGGCCGTGGCAAGGTCGCGCATCTCCTGACCCCCATAATTCGTTCCGTTTTGGTTCTCCGAATCGAGGGGTTGCGACTCAACACAATTCCAGTCCCCCCCGACTAGGAGCGCAGGCGGCGAGGGTTCGTCACGTACGACTTGTCGGAGGGCGGTGCTGAGATGTGAGAGGAAGCCAGCCCGAGGCTGACGCGCTGACGGACCACGGACCTTTTGGAAATTGGAAACTGGTCCCAGCTGGTCCCTCAGCTTGCGTGGGGTTGAAGGCCGCTTATCAGTCTTATACAGGCTTATCCTCCACCATGGAACTCGCACAACTGAGCTCGCAACGTGATGAGCTCAGCCTGCGAATGTCGACATTTTCATCCGTACTGGTCGCCAATGAATGCGACATGACCACCCCTCTCGTCGACAGCCAAGGCTTTCCACGCGCCGATATCGACGTCGCTGGCGTGCGGACCGCCCGAGCCAACATCATCATGCTCCGCAACGATCTGAGCCATCTGCAAATCCAAATCGAACAGCTCGTGCTCCGAGAGCTGCCTCGGCTTCACGATTCGGAATCCACGAGCGCCGGCGCCATCGATATCGTTCCTGCCACGCCCAGTCGCTCGCACGCTTTCGCCCGAATCGACCGAGTCTTTCCCGGGGGGCCAGCGCATGCGGCCGTAAGTGAGACGAGACGGCCTAGAGGTTGATGTACCCAAGTAGCGGTCGGTCCCTGACTCGAAGTTCGCTTGACCCGTCACCATACAGGGAATCAAGACAGATGACCTTCTGCTCCGCATTGGCGACATCGATGCGTCCAATCACAACAGCCTTCAGGACGTTGCCATGCTGGTCTCGGCCTCAGAAGACGTCGTCTTGGACGTTCGGATCAGGAGAGCCAATCGCGACATTTCGCTTAGCCTGGTACCACAGAAGGGTTGGGGTGGTAGAGGACTGCTCGGGTACGTTGTGCGCAGCACGCAACCTGAGGCTATGCTAGTCCGATGCGATCTGACTCATACGAGGTAGACAGGTGCCATATCGTGCCTACCATAGGGTGAGCACGGAACGGTCACTCTTGAGGTCTGGAGCTAGTACTACAGGGTATGTAAAGCTTCCCGCGTATGTTCTCCCTTTCCGGCCCACGATTAAACCTTCCAGAATGTGCCCCCGAGTCCGGACCCCCTACTACCTTCCTCGGGTCCGATGTTGCCTCTGGCCAAGCTTCAATCACTTTCCGTGGTCCGTTGAGCCTTAAAGTCCTGGAGCCCTTCATTGGGAACCGGTCAAAGGGCATGACGCTACGACTAGCAGCGAGGAGGCCACGTCGCATCTTGACGGTGACGGCGGATTCTTGTAAGCGCCGCTCGGAAGGGTTCGCGGTTTCAAGCATCCTACTTGATCTAATATGAGGCTTCGCCCGGAGATTCACTTCTCTACTCTCCGCATGAACTTCTCTTATCTGCACCTTCTCGGACTGTGCAAGGCTCGGGCGATGACTGACGAACCTGATCCTGGTGCGACCCCCCCGACTGAGTTCTCTAGATCGCATGCGTTTCTCCGACGAAAGAGCTGTTGTAATGATCATAATGGGATTTGCGACTTGACCCGACCTCGCCCAGTAGACTTATCTTGCGTGTCTCGGCTCGATAGCGTTTGATGTTGGCAGCTAGCTCCAGTGTTGAGGCGAAGCGTGAGGTCGGTATTTGCTGGCGCTGGTTGCTCGGGTATAACCGCATGAAAGAATCCCACGCTTTGGCGACCACCAAAGTATGCTTCTTGCGCCCAATCGGCGATCAAGGGATAGGAAATCAAGCGTGGTTCATGGGACAATTCAGCAGCCGTCTCGCCGCGCTGAAAAAGAAAAAAAAAAAAAAAAAAAAAAAAAAAAATCTTGTGCTCGGGCAAGCACCTATACCCGAGCTAACCGAGCTTAGGTCATTTGCTAGTTGCAAACTTTACATCCACAACCTAATTCGACTTCGCGTCGAATTGAATCTTTCCCATTTCACCGAAAGGAGTCTCACCTTCTTTTTATAGATGGGCGTCGGTGACCACGCTCAATCCCCCGGAACTCTCCAAGAGCCAGAACCTCGAGCAATGGGCGACGCACGTACTCTACTTCCCAGCGGGCCACGGAATACAACTCTCGGTAAACCCGACGCTTTTTCGAGGGCCCGATGGCGAGGTGATGACCCCGTCTTCGTTTGTGAACGCGTCCAAACGCCACCAAGTCTTCATCTTCCCTCCTATCTTCCCCAAGGGACACCAGAAGGTATTCGATCTGCCTGAGCAACGTTGGAACGCTTGGTGCAAGGCTTTGCGCAAGGTTCGCCGGGTTCACTCGGACGCCGAGGATACCGGCCACCTTCTCTCCCTGGGGTCCCTCCATCGGGGCAGCCAAGTCGCCTCCCCAACCAGCCCTCACCCCAACAATCGATCGGCCTCCTGTGTGATGTGCCTCTCGGAAGCACCCGAGTGCCTGGCCCACCTCGCGGTCGGCTGCCCATTTGCCCGGCGTCTCTGGTCTGCTCTGTCCCCGACCCCCCACCCAGTCTTTGTGGACTTTGTATGTCCGGTCGTGTCTCGCTCGGAACGTCGCCTTGTCGAACTACGAGTCCTCTTCTTTCACTCGATCTGGAGGCTCTGTCGCCGTCGCCGATTCTCGTCGGATCTTTTGGAACCGATCACCGAAACGGACTTCGAGGGGCTTCGAGCCTCTATTCAGGAGTCCAAGGGTCGCCTAATGTCTCTGTGAGCCACCAAAGGGGGTTTTAGTGGGTATGGTTGATCCTGGTTCAGGGTCAATGAGTCCTACACTACTGGCTTCTGCCAGTGTGCGTAACAGCATTCCCTCCGACTTTTCCGAAGATTTCTAGGTATTCATATAATTATGCTGTTAATGAAGTCTATAAAAATAAATAAAAAATAAAAAAACGACAGACACCCTACCCGCCGCAGATCATACAGAGAACAGCTTACAGCTTATATGGAAAGACGGAATGAACAACAATGTATTCGCAACAAAATAAATCCTAAACTGACAGTTGATAGAGCACGGATGTCTCCGGGTAAATACACTCACGGGACCGGGGAGTAAGAGCAAGAAGATTCGTCGCCGAGCACGAAAGATCCATGCCCTGACTGGCCAAGTCCGCCCACCCGGATAGCGCCCACCAATGCGCCCACACCGCAAAGACAATAGCGACTGTGCAGCGATCCCGAAAAATATCGCTTTAGTGTCAAGGTCAAGTAAACTGAGTGCCATCCCTACTCACCATGCCAGACCTGGTGACTCGCGAAAAATATGTCCCAGCGCCCCGGTGCCGTGCATTCCGGAAACTGATAACCATAGAATGACAGTCCAACCAGATAGGCGCTGACAGACAGCCCGACCGGCATGAGGTACTTGACCGTGTCGAACAAACCGTACAGAACCGCCATGTGCAAGACGGGCATGATTGCGCTGCCGCCCAATGACAAGAAGAACGCGATGCGTGCACTCTTGTACTCCCGTTCGTTGAACCATGCCTGCCAGGGAAAGACCATGCCCATGATACCGAGTGCCCCAGAAAAGACGATGTAGACCGTGGCGAGTTGAGGGCGGCAGTAGAAGCCGTAGTATTCGATTCCCATCACGGAAGCGGCGATGAGGCCCGAAATGCCAACGTAATCGACGCACGCAGCGCCTCGGTGCCAATGATCCGTCGCACATCCGGCCATGAGATGCCAGGCCGTAGAGCACAGAAGGCACTTCATGGCGGCACCAACGAAAACGAGCGCAATTGCTGTGTCGGCCCAGTGCGAGTTCGGCAACCAATGAGGCGAGCCCGGCATGACGTAGACGAGCAGATAGATGAGTGAAAGGAAGCCAACGAAATGGGACTGAGAGACCGTCCACCACTACGTCAGCAAACTGTTCCAAGCTGGGTACGAGCTCATGTGGCTTTCTCACATCAGTGACTCACTTGAATGTTGATGGTCTCATTGTGAATCTCAAAAGCGGATCGTAGCAAGACACCCCAGCGTTCGATCGGATAGAACCGATAGCCCGTGATGATGTGCTCGTTATTGCGCCACGGGAATGGCAGCTCTTCGTACCTCAACAGACGCTCCTTGCCTCGTGACAATGCGGCATGGTAGAACTTGGCCGCCTCGTCAAGTGCAGCACTGCTCGATGACGAGAGCAGGGCTGTCAGCTCGTTTGCGCCATCCTGCAAATGCGCGACACCGGCCTGTAGGCTGTCCGACGCCTCGTTGCGAAGGGTGCGTAGATTATTCGACACTTTGTCGAACGTTGCCGTGCCAGGTCGGTACCTTTGCAGCGCTCCACCGAGACGGGTCGACTCCGCAGCAAAGTAGTCGCGCATCTCGGTCAGCACAACTGCAGGGGTCGATGGCAAGGTGGGCAGAGTGGGCATGAAGGACGACACCCGCTCGGTTGTTGAAATCGAGTTGAGCACGTGCTGCAGTGCGGCCAACTCGCTGGATACGCGTGAGAGCAAAGCTGAGGCAGAGTCTGACGCCCGTTGTCGGCCATTGTCGAATCGGGCGCGGAAGTTGAGTCGGGGTAGCGAGGGGATCGGATGGTCTTCGAGGAAGTGGTCGAGTGCCTGTCGGGCCTCGGGTGAAAGTTGGAACTGCACAAGCGCGGGCGAAGTCGTGCCATCGACGTAGGTTGGAGAATTGAGCGTCGACAAGGAGGGCCACCCGCTGCGAACTGCGTTGAGAAATCGAGAGGCCTTGGTGATGAAAAGCTCGAGCGCGCTGATCTCTTGCTTGACCTGCTCCCATGTCGGCTGGCCCTTTGCTGCGAGTGCGGGGTCGACGGCAGCTCTCCGCCGCCGTGACCTGACAGCGTTCACGACGACGTCGCGCTCGGATTCGCTCAGCTCGGCCAGACACTCGATCTCGTCGTCGTAGGTCTCGAGCGCTTCGTTGTCGCACTCGTTCTCCGTCTCGGTCTCGGGTTCAGCTTCTACGCAGCTGGAATCACCGCTGCGGCAGTCCTCTGATTCGCTTTCCGCGACATAGGCTTTGAGCAGCTGTATGTTGTGCTCGACCTGGTCGACTCGACCGAGCACGTACTCGCGTAGAGTCCAGATGGAGCCGGACAAATCGAGCGAGGTGAGAAGGGCCGAGCCATAGTCGAGTGACGAGGCCGACGATGATGATGGTGGGTACATGGTGTGGTGCATCGACTTGGCCCTAGGCCGCAGGGTCGGGCGCTTGGATTGGTCTACGTCGCACAGTTCATCAACGGGAGGGTCGGCCGAATTCGGTGATGAGGGGGGTGAGAGTGAGATCGCCGGCTGTGCGCGTGCACATAACGGCGACGACAATGCCGGGCCCGAGGACGAAGCCGAAGCCGAAGGGGCCGAGGTTGACACGCGGCTCGATCGACGCCGCCTCATTGTGCTGGACATGGTGGACTAGCTGTGGGCACTGAGCAGAGCCTATGGGATGAACAAGGGAGGAGCGTCGGATCAGCGCCGTCGATGAGCCGGAACGGTTAATGCGCATCGTCGGTCGTCATCTAATTCGAATAATTCGAATGCCACACACGCGCTATTATTACCAGGCGGAAGGCGCCGCCACCAGGCCGGGAAGCGATGCCGCATGCGTCGCAGCCGACAACGGGGGCAGCAGTGGCAACAGGCGGGACACGTGAGCACGGCACAGCAGACGGATGGATCAAACCGGTTGATATCCTGCCGCAAACGGCACGGGGGCCTCAGCCACCCACCGCAGCCGCATCATGCGCATCCGTGGCCCGCGATTCGCAGCCGCTCCGACGGCCTCGGCCTCGGCCTCCACCGTACACGGCAAGGCACATCCGAAGTTGGAATGAAGGCCCCTAGACCCAGATCGATAGCAGCCGAGGCAGTGGCGACGTTGGCGTCGACAATCCTGAAGTCCGCGTCAAGTGAGAACTAACCCTGCTCGATGGCCGGCTACCTCGCGGGGTCGTTGCGGCACACTGGGTTGCAAGGGATGGGTTGTGGTAGATTCGGGGTATCGAGCCGCTACCGTTAGAGTGTACACAGGGGCGGAGTTGCCGAGCCAGTGCGGTGTGACACCGTAGTGCTTCGCAGAGACAGAAGGTTGGGCTCGGAACGAGCGGTGCCGAAGCAGCTTCGCGGGCGGCGCGCTAGAGGACGCCCGAAAGCCCAGCCAGAGGCGCATGTGGAAAAACGCCCTTTTCTGGCCTTTTTGTCAAAGTTTTCTGCCCTATTTTGGCCCCAAAATGTCAAAATTTCACATGCGCCTCGGAAATATTATCAAAATGTGTCCTACATGCTCCAAAAATCGCTCAAAAGTCCTCGAAAACACGTTCCGAGCGTTTGCGGGCGCGCGGCGGCCGATCGAAAGTGGCTTGCGGCGCGCTGCGGTGCGCGTCGCTTCGGCTGGTGTCGCGCGTGGCTCCAGGCATCAAGAGGGCCTTCCTTGCTTTACTGGCGGGCTCGCTACTTCGTTGTCAGACTTCCGTTTTCCTGAACTTGAGCTCTTTGTATCCGCGGTGGCAGTTATGCGGCTTGTAGAGGTTCTACCGGCGGTGTCTCGCGGCCCGGGCACGCTGCGAAGGGCGGCAATCTTTGCTCCGCATGTGCGCACGTGCTGATTATGCGCTCGTCGGGGTAACATGAGGTAAGGTCCTTGTGGGACAATATGTAGTCGTTGGAGGGCCTAATGACTCGATGACCTGTCGACCATCAATCATGCGAAACGGCATGGTGCCATCAATGAGGTGAGTGGAATAGCATGCTTGCTCGATGAGGCGAAGCTCCTATGGACAGCGGTTCTTCTCCGTAAGCAGTTTGATCGCAGCTGCATGCCACGCCCGAGGTCAAAGCAGATCAGGGATCTGATCTCCAAAGGCGTGGCAGTGGTTACAACTCCGTCAAGCGATCCGAAATGACGATAGCGTTGTGCTAGCGCTCCGTACTGCTTGTCGACGCGACGGGCCGACGGCCAAAGGTCGATATCCATTTTTGCGTGCGTTGATCAGAGCATCGGTGGCGAGAAACGCGTCTCTGGTCTGAAGAGTCGGGTAGGGTAAGGTCGAATACTAGGTGGGCTCGTCTTTGGACAACTCGATGTGAAGAGACGCGTCAGGGGGAGCGACATCGAAGGCGGGACTAGGAGCTCGGCGATCGTCATGTTGGTGAGCGGCGATAACCGATCGAAGTCATCGTCCGTTCAAATAGTAGCCCTGGTCTTCGTCGAGAAACAAGCATGAAATCTTGTGTTCATGCTATGCTTCAATGTCAGAACGAAGTGAAGCGGAACGGAACCGGCGCCGCTTCAACCGTGGAAACTATTGGTACCTATCCCTAACAGCCATTGCACTAAGGTGATTACAAAAAAATGACTAGTGACCTGTACAAGCGCGAGCATCGCGACGCGCGTCTCGAAGCGAAGGCGAAGGGGCCCAAAGTCATGCTGAAGGCTGCTGAAGGTAGGCCAAAACTGCGTCGACCCACGGGAAAAATGTCAAAATCTGCAAAGGCGCCTCGGGGGCAAAACCTGTGTTTCGTCCCAAAATGTCAATTTTTTGCAATGCGCCTCGACGATTTTCAGGATTTTGGGTCCTCAAAATGTCAGAAAAAAAAATGCGCCTCCGGCGGGGCTTTCGGGGGTCCTCGCGCTAGGGCGCGCTCAGCTCGCTAACGTTGTCGACGTCTCTGCTGCCCCTGAGTGCTCTCCGTGAAGATTGTCGTACTGGAGAGTCTCCTGTACGTGAATGTTTGCCGATGACACATTTCGGCAGTGGCAGGAACTGGATGATTGAAGGAATTACGCTACGATGTGGTAGACACGCAAAACAGGTCGTCTCAGTGTAAGGTATGCGCCTCTGATGTGCATAAAATACAATCTGTCGTTCTTGACCGCTAGGCTAAAAGCAAGTCGTAACTAGGACTCGACAGTTCTAGCTACTCAGAGGCTACTTATGGGGCTGTTTCTGTAAGACACTCAGTCTGCTTCGGGAAGCAGAGGGTCATGTGCCAGGCTGCTTTGATGGGAAATGGAACCTCGGGGCTCCCTGCATTGCGCACCGCTCGAATTTCAAATCCGTGGTGCATGCGCGTCTCGATACGTGCACTCAAAAACTACAAAACACGAAAAGGGTTCACGAGGGAGGCTCAATACAGGAGTTGGATCTGGCTAGGCTAAACAAGGCCAAGTCGCCTGCCACTTAGCACCGCCAGCGTAAGTTCCGAGGTGAAACCAATTCGAAAGCAACAGAAAAAGAAAAGGGGACCTTGTCGACCGAGGTGATGGCTTGGAGACCGTGTGCAGCTGGAGGTTGACGCGTACACTAGAAGTAAGCTACCTGGTACCATAGGATTAGGGTACATGCTACTCACTGATGTTAGGGGTACCGTGAACCTCCTTCGATCCGAGCAGGTGAGATCGGTCGACTCGGTAACGCAGTCACGATGGAGGCTACTACTGTGTGGAGTGTAGGCGAGGATCGAATCGTCAGCCCCGCCTCGCCCGTCGTCAAGGGCCGGCGAGCACGATCGATCCATCGATCGATCAAGGGTCAAAGCAAAGACTCACGGGGTACGATCAAATGCAAGCGGTCTTGTGAACCAGGAAAAACCTCAGTGACATGCCGTAGGCGCCATTCAACACTCGTCGACGAGTGGATAGGCTGATGGCAAGCCGTGACGCAGTGAGAGACGGTAAGGTCGGAGTGGCGAGGTGGGAAGCGAAAGATCACAGTGAGAGGGGAGAGGGGAGAGGGGAGAGGGGAGAGTGGTGAGGTGGTGTGGCGTAAGATGATGGAGGTGGTGTGGTGAAAGATGGACGCGAGAGGGGTAAACACGAGACGAGTCAGTCCGACCATACGCCACACGAACACGATCGCTAGCTAGGTGGTTACTCACACTTTTGACGGTGGGAGGGATCGAACGACAGACTCTACCACATCACAAAGGCCACCGTTTTGTATCCTCCTGAAAAGGGGGGCGATGTCGGCGAGATTAAGTGGTGCGAGAAGTGCAGAGCGCGTCGACGAGGAGAAGGAAGGAGAAAGAGAGAGAGGCGACGAGCTCGAGGTGGTCGCTGACTTTGGGTGCGGGTCCCGGGAGCGCGCGCCTGGCAGAATGAGTCATCTCATCGATATGACGTCACGCTGTGACTCCAAGCTTTCGATCTTCTCCATCTCTGCTGAACGCGGCCGCTCTCGCGGCCGATCGCGCCGACGATCTGAACGGACAGGGGACCGTGCACCCCACATCGAGGCCAACGATCCACCCCTCGGAAAGACCGAATACTTTGTCGATCAAGCTCGGTCAAGTCTCAGCAAGTAGGTTGAGCTCTAAGAATTACCCCAGGGTTGAGATCGCCGCGATCGATACAGTGGTTGTCGCTCCAGCAGCTTGGTCCGAGTTGGGACGACCCCGAACTCCGAGTCCGTTGCGGGGCCGGCTTCACGCGACAGCTCCGACGCAGCGAGTCGAGGCTGTCATGCAAGTAGGGTGGCACCCCAATACAAAATCATATTGAAAGAAGAAAAGTTGTTTTTTTACATGTACGTCGAACCATTGTTCATCACAAAATTGGCGGATTCTCGCCGCCTAGATCGTTGACGCTCAAGCTCCCCACTGCGGTCTTCCGAAAGGAGGCCGCCGCCTTGACCAGACTAAGATTGGGAGCAAAAATAATGAATATGGGGTACAGGCTATTTTACGGTACAATTTGAAATATTATGATGCATCTTCTCACACTACTCTGAGCTCGAACGACCTTTTGTTGGACCTGCCCTCGTTTGCTTTTCGGCTCGGAGCGATGGGCAGCGCGGCCTTCTCAACCACCCTTGATTCTTCCTGCACCCTGCACCTTGTGCCTCGCGCCTTGCGCCTACACACCTCATACCTCCTTCGATGACGGCCAAACACGGCCACGACTGCCCCGGTTACGCTTTAGAGGTCGTTCCAGACGCCCTTCTCTCTCGGGAGACGAACCTGAGCAGCGCGCTGATTTCCCTCGTCGGCAAGATCGATGGCAAGTCCTTCCTCAGAGCCCCTTCGCAGCCCATAACTGCTCCGGGACGATTTGCCGAGCATACCCTAGCTGACCCTCTACACTGTCACTGTGCTCCACTCAGTCGCCATCATCGACGGCTCTACCACATTCCAACATCAATGCAAAGCCGCGACGGACCGCGCGAAACACAACGAGCCGAAGCGAGGCCGGCTGTTCCTCAATGCGATCATTCGACACCTCGAGGAGATCATTGCAGCGACGGCAAGGCGGATCCAAGTGGTCGTGGTATTTGATCATCCCATCCTTCGTTCCGAGCTCAAGCGGAACACCGTGCTCGATCGCCAAGATCGCCAGCAGCCGCAACAGCCTTCCGATAAGTCGACCCCTGTCACCCATCCCGTCCCCTTCATCACGAACGACACCCTCGCCGCGTGCCTTCACGGACAATTGAGCAAAGAATGGGAGGTCGCTTTTTGCAACGGTGACGAGCCAACCCGAGTCGCCACCTTTGTTCGCTGGTCCGAGCAAGGCTTGCTCGTCGTCGCGGCCCACGAGGCCGATCCCCTCGTTTCTGTCAGAACCCAATCATACTGATTATCTTCTAATTCTATTTACTTCTCATGCCACTATTCCACTCCTACTTTGCACTCCTTCTTTAGCCTATTACCCTCTACGCCGGATCCCAGCGCCTGATCGAGACTCGGTTGACACGTTGGCTTGGGTTGAAGTCGCGCGCCTCGCGGGCACTCGTCTCTCTTCCTTCTTCATCCATCTTCCATCCTCGATCTTGCGCTCGTACTCAACCCCTTGAGTCGGGATCCAGTCCTCCATACTTCTCACAGTTTCGGCGTCGACCAAGTTTGGCCAGATCTGCGACGTTGCGCTCGAACCCAACCGCGTCGTCCTTGTGAGCGCCGACAGCGACTTTTTCATGCTTCTCGGCGCCGACCAAGCCCGTTATCGCGCCGTGCGATCGGGTAAGGACCGAAATATTAGCTTGGTGGACCTTGCCGTGCTCGACGCTCACCCCGCGGTGTGGAATTCTTGTCAGCGATTCGTCGCGAGCCTCATCCTCGGGTGCGACTATTTCAGGGGCATCACAGGGATCGGGCCTACAGGAGTTAGAGATTTGCCTGGGCAGTGGTTGGAAGCGGCGATGTGGCAGAGTGGCTGAGATGGCGCCGCGGGGGGCGTTGATCAGGAACGTCGACTCGGAGCCGGCGCCGACGGAGAAACGAATTGAGGACTTCAAGTCCCTTTGCGCCAAGATCGATCCTATCCAAAATCTGCTGCGCCACTACAAGGACGAGACGTTTGCAAAAGCGACAAAGGCATCGATCACCGCTATCTCGCAAGGGTGCAGGGTGCGATTCGAGGGGACGCCACACGGAGACCCTTCGAAAGTCTCGCGATATGCTTATGCGCCGATTCGCCGCAACCCCTTCTCGTCCACCAACCCGGTCCCCTCCACCGGACCTCTGCCCCCTCTTTCGGGTCTACTGACCATTCAAGATCCCAAGCTCCAACGTGACCACGCCACGGCGCGACGACGTCAAGCCGAGCAGCCGGCCCGCATGGGATCGACGCACAGGCTCGCCGTTCAAGGAACCGTCAGGGCGTCGGACTACCGCTTGGTCGAGCCCGAATTCGGGGACAGCGCAGAACAGCGCAATTGCAAGTCCAATAATTCAAAGTCGATCGAAAGGAACAAGGCGACCACGGCCGCCGAAGTACGTGCCCTGTTCTCGAAGCACTCGGACTCGTGCAGCAGTGGCGGCGGCGGCGGCGGCGGAAAATCTCCTGGCGGAGTTATCTACAGAATGTCAGCAATGACGGGTACGCTCGACGATCTGGTCCGAGAACCCATGGCGCCCGGAGGATTGAGGCAAGGCGCACACCGGGTTCGAAGACCCCCGGCAAGGACGGCATGTCAGGCTGAGGCAAGCGCACCACCGGCGGCAACTCGGAACCGAGCAAGCTCGCTCGAGCTGATCATGGACGTGGACTCGGATTCGGCTTTGGTTGTCGACGAATCCGATTCGCGCAGCTACAGCATTACAGCAATGGAGATTGATAGGTAAAGCAGCCGTATAAAAACAAAGAAGGTCGATGCGTCGTCGCAGCTTTCGGGGTTTTGTTGCACCGTCGACTCGGAGTCGAGCACCTTCTTTTCAGGAACTGAAGCCGAGGCACGAAGTGCGTAAGTACGAGAGCCGATGATGATAGTAAAGATAGTTGGAGAAAGAAGATAAGCGCTAAGGGAGCGCGCGCGAGGCAGGCTCGAGACGCGCGAGACTAATATCAACAACTAGTAACTAATCATAATCGGGAATACCAGTGGGATGAAACAGCAATATATTGACACTTCTTTCGTAGGTAGGAGTCGCCACTCGCACTTCAAGGTAGCATCATGATGTTTCCCAGGTGTCGTTCCGGATCAGAATCGTAGAACTTGTTAGCTTCACATGAATAAACTCCATGAATACAGGTCGTACGGTGGGCAAACTACACTCAGAGATAGGTATTCTACGAGATCACTCCTGAGCCGCCTGGCAGCCCGTCCCCGGGATGCCGCGCCAAGCCTAAAACGGACCCGTTTCGGCCGGCGGTTCCGGGGGTTTCGTCCTTCACGAGTTTGATCGGCTTGACCCTCAAAATGGCTCAAGAGTCAAGAGTTGATCTGGTCAGATCTGGTCAGATGACGTGAGCTCGAGTGAATCGCCGGGCGCTGGCTCGTTCACGCCTTCTGCCACTCTCTAATACCGGTCCATCGCTCGTCCCCGTTTTCCTCTGTACCACCCAAGCCATGGCCTCCCTTCTCCCCTCGTGGACGCGCATGGCGCTTCGCACGTCGTCGCAAGCCCGCTCTCGTGCCGCTGCGGCCGCCGCCATCGCCAGACCGGCCCCAGCCGTCGGAGCCTCACGCGCCTACTCAGGTTATGGACGAGAGCTTGCCGGCTTGACCGAGGATCAGAGCGAGCTGCGGGAGTCGATTGCGAGCTTCGTTGATACTCATGTCGCTCCCTTAGCCGACCAAACGGACAAGGTCAGTCGCACGTTGTCCCGCTCCGGATCGAGGCGCTGGCGAGGCTGTCCGGAACCTGAGCTCAGCGCCCATCCGCGGACGGGTCGGCCTGACCGGGTCAGGGTGGGGCTCATCTTGTGGCTCGCTTCAGCAAACCGAGTCGACCCCCCGCTCGACTCACGACGCGAACCAATTCATCATCAGTAACTGACTCATGTCGTCGATGTGCACAGGAGAATGCGTTTCCGATGCAGCTATGGGAAAAGTTTGGCGAGATGGGAATTCTCGGCATCACCGCACCCGAAGAGTGAGTGTCAGATTCCCTTCAGAGCAGGCCTGAACCTGAGCGTGCGGGGACCCCGGAGAGATTGACTGCACTGCGTTCGGCTTCTCCTCTCGCGAGTCCAAACCAGGGCTAACGCATGATCTAGTCCACGTGGTGCAGGTATGGTGGACTGAACAAGAGCTACCTCGAACACGTTATTGTCATGGAAGAGGTGAGTGACGAGCGATGCTCACCAGCGCTGCGCCCGCGCGTTGGCCCATGCCACAACCCTTCTGAAGCCTTCTGATCCCGACGGCACGATCGGGATCGCCGCCGTGCTGTCAATCGAACGCTCTCGCTGATCACACTCGCCTGGTGATGCCCACCCACCTCGCTTCTTTCGGAGTGACGCAGCTCTCACGCGCATCCGGCTCGATTGCACTGTCGTATGGAGCCCACTCGAATCTCTGCATCAATCAAGTCAGTCCCGTGCCTAGCCCTCTGGGTCGCACTTCCCCTGCTGCGCTGGCTCTCGAATCTCGACGCCGTGGTACTGACCGTGCTTGGCACCCACTTGTGCCCACCTTCCCGATCATTGATAGCTCGTCCGCAATGGTAACGATGCCCAAAAGGCAAAGTACCTTCCCGACCTCATCTCGGGCAAAAAGGTCGGTTCCTTGGCCATGAGCGAACCGGGGAGTGGGTCCGACGTCGTCAGCATGAAGCTCAAGGCCGAAAAGAAGGGGGATCGATACGTCCTCAACGGCAACAAGTTTTGGATCACCAACGGACCCGATGCGTCCACTTTGCTCGTCTACGCTAAGACCGAGCCAGACAAGGGATCCAAGGGCATCACAACATTTATTATCGAAAAGGGGATGAAAGGCTTCTCGACCCATCAGAAACTCGACAAGTTCGGTATGCGCGGAAGCAATACGTGCGAACTCGTATTCGAAGACTGTGAAGTGCCTGAGGAGAACGTTCTCGGCCCAGTCAACGGGGGTGCCCGCGTCTTGATGTCGGGCCTCGACCTCGAACGACTGGTGCTGTCCGGTGGTCCGCTAGGCTTGATGCAAGCCGCTTTCGACGTCGCGATCCCCTACGTTCATGAACGGGAGCAGTTCGGACAGGCCGTCGGGACTTTCCAACTGATGCAGGGCAAGATCGCCGACATGTATACTAAGCTGTCGGCGACGCGAGCTTACGTCTATGCCGTTGGGCGGGCCTGCGATGCTGGTCATGTCAGTCGACGCGACTGCGCAGGCGTCATCTTGTATTCAAGTGACCGCGCGATGGAGGTGACCCTTGAGGCGATGCAGATGTTGGGTGGCAACGGATACATCAAGTGAGTGTCTCGATCGAGATGAGCTCCGAAATTCCTCGAGCTGCATCGACTGACCTCAACGACTTGGGCCTGTGACTTTTAGCGACTACCCCACGGGACGATTGGTGCGGGATGCGCAGTTGTACCGTGTGGTGAGTTTCTGGGGGAAAGCACACAAGCTCCTTTCTCTCGATGCTATAACGGAGGCAAAGAATCTGACGGAGAGCCTGATTTTCTCGACAGGGTGCCGGTACATGCGAGGTTCGACGTTTGTTGATTGGCCGAGAGTTCAATCAGGAGTTTGGGATACGTAGCTAGAGGGCCGAACCCCTGGTCTTGGATCGTCAAGAGCCGGTCGTGGTCTGGAATGTGATAAATATGCTGGCGAATGAGTTACGCGAGAGTATGGTCCGTAGGCTCTTGCGCCCCAGGTCCGAGTCAAACCCGTCCGCTAGTTGAGAAGGGGGTTTGCAGAGGCCACCGAGAGTGTTCTTCCTTGAAATGCTGTTCTCTGGAGTGGCAGGGGAGGATTTGTCCATGGAAAAGAGATCGTATTTCATACGACTAAATACAGATCATCGAATTCTTTCCTACGAAAGCTAGGTAGTCGACCATTCAACGACAGCGCCAAAGAACAGGCCACCATTGAAGCACCTCGCGGAAAGAATCGAGCCCGCCTCGTTCCCTTCCAAGGAACATCGCCGACTTGTCTTTTGCTCTTTCAAAATCGACATTCGGATCCAGGATCAGATCGCTTAAGCCGACGTCAGGTTGGCCTTCCACTCCTTGGATGCCTTGACCAGAGGTTGCTTGTGGCCCGACTTCTTGGCCTTGCCTTCCTTGGCCGACTTCTCCGCCGCGAGGGCTTGACGGATCGACGTCTTGGCGTAAGGGTTGAGGCGGAACAAGACGGCTCGGTTCTTGAGCGCGTTCTTGCGTTGGACGTTGGCGCGCTTGGTTGTGGGGGCACCGGCGGCCTTGACGACGGATTGGATTTCGCTGACGAAGAAAAGAGGGCATAGAGCTCAGAGGGTCAGCAAGGATGCCATTTTTGGGCCTGATGGCCGAGTGAGATGATTATGACCAAGAAGACTGACTCGGAGTTGATGATGCGGGTGACATCGGGGTTAGTAATCTTGGAGATGGGGAGGGTGTAGCCCTTCTTAAGGGTCGAGGCCTTCTCGTAGGTGCCGAACACCTCGTCGAGCTGGGCGAAAGCGCCCTCGGTCCAGATGACGAATCGACCCAGGTGACCTCCGGGTGCGAGTTGGAGAAGGTTGAGGCTTCGGACGTTGGCGGTCTCGACGCCGGGAATGTTGCGGAACGCCTTGACAATGCCCTTGTCCTCGTTGTAGACGATCAGGGGGCCGCGGCGTTGGCGGTGCTTGCGGTTGCGGGCCTTACCCTTACCGGCGCGGACCTTCTTGGACGCGATGACCTTCGTGACGTCAGCGTGGGCGTGGAGGCCCTGGAGCGCGGCGACGGCGGCCTTGGTCTTTTGGATCGACTCGACCGACGACGAGACGACGAGGGGGATCTCAGAAACGGCCTCGATGCGGTGGCCGCGGGCGAGGACGAGCGAGGGGAGAGCGGTGGCCGCGACGGCCGAGACGACGGCGAATCGCTTCTGGTTCAAGTTGACCTTGACTTGCCACTTGCGCCAGGTCTTGGTCGGCGCGAACATGCGACCGCCTCGGCACATGTTACCGAACGCAGCTTGGCCCGAACGGTGCGTTCCTCCACCACCGACACGGGGGATACGCGCGACGGCACGACCGGTTCCCCACGACTCGGCCGAGGTCTGGTGACCGGCATTCTCGGCGACGGAGTAGGCCTGGCGACGGTTCTTGGCGACCGACTTGTGGATCTGCGCCACGACGTCGTTACGGATCGGCGCGGTGAAGACGGCGGGCAAAGGGAGCGTGCTCGTCGACTCGCCTTCGAGCGAACGCACTTGAACAACGGGACGCGAAGCCATGATAGAGCTGGAGAAAGGAGGAAGCCCCCATAATAAAGCAGAGGACATGCATCAGCTTACGGTCCTTGTTTGCAGTGCAGGTACGATGAACATGGCGCGGACAAGAGCGCTTGCACAATCTGGCTCAGCGAAGGCCAATCGCGGCTCCGCGCCAGCACGCGGGCGGTTGGCGTCGCAGCGTCAAGCTACCTTGTGTTGCCGGGCCACGCAAGTCGCACCACGGCATCGGCAGATCGAACACAGGTGTGTGTGCACAAGTACCGTCGAGCAAAGAGGTGGAGACAAGTAGCGCCACAGTGACAGTGAACGAAGTCCACTTTCTGCACGTCGGGCGTATTGTACACGTCGAGCTTGATCGCACCGGCGCACCGCCCGCCCCTCACGCAGCTTTTTTCCTCCGCGCGAGTTCCCGCTCGCTCGCACTCGCACCTACGCCGGCCGGCCATACCCGTTCCAACGCCAGTGACAAAACATGACCCTAGTCGTCGCAGCGTCCAAGAAACGTGACTCGGCCAGCCAAGAGACTCACAAGTTCCTGTGGTGGGAGAGGGTGGGGAAAGGCGTGAGTATGGGAGCGGAGGAAATCCAATAGCCTCGCGCAGCCCTGCGCAGCCTCGCGCTCGGACTCGCTCGGACCACCTCGGACCCCTCCTTACTACGGCGGCAGACGGCGGCGACCGAATTCGACATTTAGCCCGGGGTCGCTCGGGTTCGCACTTAGTTTCGCTCCGCAGCACTGCTCCGAACTCGAACCATGGTTTACTTCTACAGTTGCACGGCGCTTGGGGAGGGTAAAACGGTGACAATATACTCAGGCAAAGACAAAGTAAGGCTTCCCTCATACATCTGAATGTGCTTGGCCGCGAGCTGATCGTTTGGGTCGGTCCGACCGGTCGTCCGTCTTGCACATTGAAAGTAAGCCGTGCATCTGGACGATGTCCTCCACCACACTGCTCACGATCGCATCAGCTCTAATTGATTGTTCGCAGACGAATATCTTATACGTTATGCGCTACCGCAGGGTACGTGAGCACGTGGACCTTGCCTCACCCGCCGGTATTCGATCACGTGTTCAAGCTGTCGACGAGCATCACTGCAATCCGCCCGACGTAGCGTTGACCAGCCACTGACGGGTCTGCTCTTATCAGCAGACGTTTGGGTCCACGTCGACAAACTCTCCTCACCACACATCTATATCCGTCTCCCCACGTGGATTTCGTCGTGGGAAGCGATCCCAAAATCGGTACTTGACGATGCCGCCCAGCTGGTGAAAGCCGGGTCGATCCAGGTGGGCTGATTTGGCGCAACGAGTCGGAAACGTTGGATTTGATCACAGATCTGATAAATAACATATCCTTTACGTGTCTTTGTGAGTCAGGGTAACAAAAAAGACAACATCACCGTGATCTATACGCCAGCGAGCAATCTTCTCAAAACCGGGGAGATGGATGTGGGGACAGGTCAGTGGTTTCCCCAAAGTCGACACATCACATAACAGCTCCTCCGGTGGCTCAAACGTGACAACCGAAGTCGTTGTCGTCGTCTTCTTCGTGGAGAAGGCTAAGACACTATATCACCGCACTCTTACCTCAGTCTCGTTCAAAAACGATCGACTCGTTCGACGGGTCTACGTCGCCGAGCGCATCAACGCCATCGTCAACCGGCTGAACAAAACACGGGTTGGAAGAGCCGTCGATCATGAGGCTGAGAAGATCGAAAGGGAACAGAAGGAGGCAAAGGAGAGGAGACTGGCGTCGAATGAAAGGGTACGTTGCGTGTACTGCCTTTTGCAGGTCTAGGCATGATGAACATCAAGCTTTGTCGCAAATTCGTTTTGACGACGCCAACTATTCGACTGACTCTTCGTTGCTGCGATTGACAGATGAACAGGGAGCTGGAATTAAGCCGACTGAGAAAGGCCGAGTCCGAGTCTAGGGACTATTCAAGGCTACACGAGACGAAAGCCGCGCTGAGCTACGAGGAGGAGGAAGCCGAATGGAACAGTCGCCAGAAAGAAGGCGAATTTGATCCCGATGAGGATTTCATGTAGTCCTACTAAGCTGAGACCGCAACGCAAGTATGTTTTTGTTCAGGCGCAGATACCACCAACCTCCGACTATGATTGCAGAGCCCAGGCCAGCATGTCCAAAATGACGTGCAAGGGTTGGAGTTCCCCCGTGTCCCCCTCCCCCCCCCGAGAGGGCTTTTTATCGGCTCCCGTACGCGAGATCGACGTGCCCCACGTGCTAGCTGCTCGTCCCGAACACGATGAAGCGACTTATCACACTCTATGTCGTGTCCTTTGGAGTCGCAGTCGCAAGCTTCTCGCTTGCGCTCGCAGGCCTACTGCAGCCAAAATGGTCAGTCGCAATGTGCAGTATGCCTCGCGTGATGGATCGCATCGACCGTCCTCGAGTGGTAGCCAGCGTGGACGGGCTTTCGCATCGAGTCGCCCGGTGTACTGGGCAGCCTAGGCGACCACTGGAAGCTGTTCCACGTCAAGTTAGATGGAATGTGCGAGGCATCACGACAGCTCACAAACCCGTCTCCTCCATCGGAAGGCTGGTGCGCTCCTGGCTGCCCGCGATGACATCATCATCAGATCGGAACCGAAGAATCTCGCCCGTAGCTTATCGGGGGACTTCGTCTGCCTCGTCATACTCCTTGTGTACAGGATCCACTTTGCTACGCCGCACAATAGTCCTCTCAAGCTGTCGACCAATTATGGACTCTTCCAGCGGTGCGACTCCTCACAGTGGACCGGCGATCGAATCACGTGTCGCCGCTTTCCTACGCGCCGTCAAGACTGTCAGGCTCCGGGCCTGAGTGCAGTAGACAAGGCGACCTTGCACTCCCTATTTCATGATCCTGCCTCGACCCCCGAGAGCACAAGTGGGTTAACCATCCGCCCGAGCGCGCTTGAGCTCCAGGCCCTTCTCGGAGCAGTCCCCGCCGACACCAACGATGCATGGGGCTTTTGCGACAGCTGGATAAGTGCCGGGTAAGTTGACTACACACCCGCCTGAAGAAATTGGCGTCGACGTGTGATGATGCACTTGAGAAGTGCTGATCCACCTCTGTGCAACCTTTGCCGATACGCCTTTGCCGTTCGGATCCATCCGACTCGGACACTTTCTCGGACGAAACAGGTACTTTCAGCAGCTAAGTCTCGTGCTTGGATTCGCCGCTGTCATCGCGTGCTTTGCTGCGATCTTGACACCTCTGCATTCACGGCGCAAGCCGTACCGGTTGATCTCCTCACTCCTGTTTGGACACGCGGTCGCGCTCATCGCCTCGACGTCCCTCGTCGCACGCGAGTTCAATACATCCGACCGCTTCGTCTATGGCTCGAGGCTAGCACAATCCTTCATCATGAGCACTACGGCTTGGTCATTGGATGTGGTCGTGGTCGCCGCGCTCGTCTTGGTGCTTGGGGTTCTCAAGGTCGGGGATGAGGGAGGCTACGAGCGGATTCAGGATTGAGAGGCCCATGTGATACCCGGTCCGACGTGTCGTGTTGCCTTCATGTGCTCGGTGGATTATGAGATGTGTGCAGTGTATGAAAACCAATTTTTCTTTTCTCAATATACTCATGCTATTTGCTGCAGATGGTGAAGCAAGAGTCTATCTCAAAAGTCTCAGTCGTTGGAGGTCGTTGGTCGTCGGGCAACTCTCCCCAGCCTGGCAGGTGACGCAGTCCTATGGTCCCTCCTCTCTATCCGCACCACCTCACGCGTTGCGAGAGTCGCGAGGGTCACGTTCCCCATGAGTCGTATGGATTCTCCTTTGTTAAACCCGGTCTCGACCTGGTCTCGAGTCTTGGTACCCTCTCAAGCGTAGTGCCACTGCGTTCTCGCGCGCTACCTTTGAGCCCACCTCGATCAACCTAAGTCCCAGCAGGGTCATCAGATTCTTTGATACGCTCTTCGTCGAGATCAGCCATTCACGAGCAGGCTAGTATTCCACCATTGGGTACATATCTTGGGGGTCACGTCTGCCACATGTGAGTTGTCCTGCTACGTACGGATCCGACCATCGACACCACTAGGGCCGAGTCCTCTTGACCACAACCTTCTGTTGCATTCCCCCTCAGTCTCATTTTGGACCACAAACTTGACGTTCTTCTATCACAAATTTGGGGGATCTTGTTGGCGGAGATTTGGGTGGCCAAGGCCTCGTGTAAACTCTTGGCTAGATTCGTACCACATGGACTCGTCCTCCGGCGGAAAGCTCAGTGGGAGTAACAAGTCGCTAATTGCAAGCTCTGACATAGTACCCGTGGCCGTGGCATTACAGGGCGAAGACTGTTGCGACTAGGAATTTTTCTTCAAGATCGTCGTCGAGCTGCCCCTTGTCCAGGTCCTCAATCTAGTACGCTCCCGTTTTTGACGTCGCATCGAGACTCGTGTTCCAGCCATGGTACCGGCTTTTACATGGTCGTTGTCTACCACTGGTCGCCGGGCTTTTGATTAGAGTCCTGGTCATCGAACACTGTTCTTCGGTCGACTTCGGGGTCAACTTCCCCGCTCGCGCCGGGCTGTATCTCGTCAGTGGCGTCATTGCTCGTGTGCCTTCTCGGCGCTTCTCGGGTCCAAAGTTGAGGACTTGAAACTAAAGGAGGTGCGACCCACACCGACAGTCTTGGGTCACCAAACTGCTGATGCGGGCCTCTTCTACTGCATCACTGCGCTGGTCTATGCTATCGCTGCAGCGTAGTGTCACTGGAGACCCCGGTGTACTTTCACGAGCTGAAGCCGAGGAACGAAGTACGTAAGTACGAGAGCCGATGATGATAGTAAAGATAGTTGGAGAAAGAAGATAAGCGCTAAGGGAGCGCGCGCGAGGCTGGCTCGAGACGCGCGAGGCGTCTAATATCAACAACTAGTAACTAATCATAATCGGGAATACCAGTGGGATGAAACAGCAATATATTGACACCCCCCCGTGCTGTCATACCACTGCACCTCGCAAACCCAAATTCTCCCGATGGAAGATGAACGGCTTGGGACCCAAGGCTTTGGTGAAAATATCGGCAAACATGTCGCCGGTGGCGATGTAGCGGACCTCGATCTCCTTCTCAGCTACCCTCTCGCGGACGTAATGTTCCGAGATGCGAACATGACGAGACCCCTGATGGTTGGTCGGGTGCTGCGCAAGAGCCAGCGAACCTTGGTTGTCCCCGTAGAGTACGACTGGACCGGAGACCGGAGCGCCAAGTTCAGCCAGGAGTTCGCTCAGGTGGATGGCATCACCGCTTGTGTACGAAAGAGAGAGGTACTCTGCGTCGGTAGTGGACTTGGCCACCCTGTGCTCGCGTTTGGAGCACCAAGCAATAGCGGCTCCGGACAAGATGAACGCGTAGCCCATGGTCGATCGTGAGGTCGTTAGACAGGCTCCCCAGTTCGCATCCGAGTAGCCATGAAGTGGTTGGCTGGTCTTGCGATAGGTGAGGCCCAAGTCCAGCGTGCCTTTGATGTAACGGAGGACCTGCTTGATGGCTGTCCAATGCTCCGGACCAGGCTGCTTGGAGAAGCGAGCGAGGTAGCTGACCACGAAGGCGAGGTCCGGACGAGTTCCAACTGCGGCGTACATCAACGAACCGATGGCCTGCAAGTAGCGCGTACGATCCTGAGGAGTGGCCGCCAAGTCCTCGAAGTCAAGGACGACACCTGGCTGCATTGGAATACTTGCCGGCTTGGCATCGGTGAATTGGAACCTGGCAAGGATGTCCCGAAGGTAGCGCTCTTGTGAGAGTGTGATAGAACCGTCTTGTCCACGTTTGACTTGGATGCCTAGAATATATTCGGCAGGTCCGAGACGTTTGATGCCGTATGCGAGTTCCAGCGCGTCCAGCACCCGCTCGATTTCGGCGGTAGAGGGACCAACCAAAAGCAAGTCGTCGACGTACAAGGCAATATAGTGTGAGTGCCCGTTGTGTTCGCGGCGGTAGATACAGATGTCAGACCTGGTGGAGACGTATCCGAGGGACCGCAGAGTCGAGTCGATCTCGGCGTTCCAGATGGTGCCAGCCTGGCGAAGGCCGTAGATGGATTTGGACAGCTTGAGAATCTTGCCGGGCAGGTTGATGCCCTGAGGGACGCGCATGTAGAGAGGCTTGTCAAGTTTGCCGTGTAAGTACGCCTTGTTGACGTCGGCCTGATGGACGTGATAGCCGTTGGCCGCGGCGAGTGCGATGAGGGCTCGAATGGACGTGAATTTGACGACAGGGGCGTAGGTCTTCTCGAAATCAAGGCCAGGGCGTTGGGCACATCCGTGAGCGACAAGTCGGGCCTTGTGATCGGTGATGTCGCCATGCTGGTTGCGTTTAGTCCGGAACACCCAGCCTGACCGCAGGAGGATCTCACCCGCGGGGAGCTCACAGGATTCGACGATTTGGAAGACCTCGTAATCGTTCAGAAGCGAATCGAATTCATCCTGTGCCGGAGCGCCCCAAACGTCCTCTTGTCCCGATCGAACGACGTCGCCCCAATTTGCCGGATCGCGAACAACCGACAAGTCATGATCCGCGAAGCCGGCCTTGGTGGATGCGAAGGCAAGGAGCAGGCTCTTGAAAGAGGCGGTGGGTCCGTCGGGGTCTTCGACCGGCTGTTCCCGCGTGATCATGGTGGGAACGGGTTGGCGGCGAGTCCGGGGGCCATCAATGATGTTTCAAGCGTCGACTTCACCGTACTTCCCTGGATCGGGACCAACCTTGGCGACGTCGCCGTACTCCCAAGTCGGCTTGACTTTGGCGAGTGGAGCTGGATCCGGAGGTGGTTGCGGCAGGGTCACGGCTGACTCCGTCGTTGTGCTCGTGGTCGATGAGGCGTCGTCGTTGTCGGCCGAGCTGGTCGATTCGGGCGACGCGGGTGCCTCGACAGGCGTTGGGGCCGGTGGCCGTGGGGGAGGCTCGACAGGTGTTGGAGCTTCGACGGGTGGAGGCTGGGGGGCGTAACCCGGGATGGACGGCTGCGTCACTCGAGTGGGCGCGATCGCGAAGGGGAACTCGGTTTCTACGAACGTCACATTGCGGCCCAGACTCACACGCATGGAGGAAGGGTCAAGAAGACGGTAGGCTTTCGCGTGTCGATCGTACCCGACGAAGACCAGAGGAATCCCTTTTGGGTCGAGCTTGTCCCGTCGGTGAGCCGGCACGGTGGTCCAAGCGCGACAACCGAATGCCCGAAGACCCCCTACGCCTGGTGTGTGGCCCGACCAACGACCGTTTGGGATGGCTCCACCAAGGGCCGCGTGAGGCGAGAGGTTCTTGGCGTGAATGTAACACATGGCAGCCTCGTCCCAGCACGATCGTGGGAGTCCCGAGTGAGACAGTAGTGCCAGGGTGCCCTCGACGATCGACCGGTTGGCTCGCTCCGCCCGACCGTTTTGCTCGGGTGTGTACGGTATGGTCAATTCGCGACGAATTCCGCGGGCCACGCAATAGCCGTTGAAAGCGGTAGAGACATACTCGCCCCCGTTGTCCGAGCGAAGTGTTTTGACCCTGCGACCCGTGGCGTTTTCGATCTCCAGAAGCCAATCCTTGAATGTCTGAAGGACCTCGCTCTTGTGCCCGATGGGGTAAACCCAAGTCTTCCTCGAGAAGTCGTCGATGAACGTGACGAGGTATCGCTTATGGCTTAAGGATTCCTCGGGGAAAGATAAGACGTCCGAGTGCACCAATGCGAGTGGTTCCGCTGCATGCGACGACGAAGAGGGGAAAGGCAAACGATGCGCTTTGGAGGCAAGGCACGCGTTGCAGGTGAAGCCATCACACTCGAAGTCACTATAGGGCCAATCTAAACCCTCCACCTGGCCAGAGGCCGCCAGTTTTTTAAGTGTCTGGACAGAGGCGTGGCCGTAGCGCCGGTGAAGGGTAAGTAAAGGTAGCCTATTGGACTTGGTGGCAACGAGGGTGTGTCGCGCATCTTTGCTGGCAGCTTGGACCGAAGCGTTGAGTTTGTAAACGCAGGACGCGATGGCTGATGCTGTGGCGATGCACCCTTGCGGCGTGCGGAGCTCGACTTGTCCGTGTTCGAAGGTGATGCGAACGCCTTTGCTATCGAAGGCCCGGACCGAGATGAGGTTGGCAGGGCTCTCGGGAGCGTAGATCACGTCGTTGAGGGTGAACTCAGTACCAGTATCGGAGACGAGCTTGACCGAGCCGATTCCCGAAGCCCTCACCGTTCCCCCTAGACCTTGCAGGACTTGCTGGGTAGGTGAAAGGGGACCGTCAAAGAAAGACGCGTTGTTGACGACATGGCACGCCGACGCCGAGTCCAGCAGAACGACGTCAGGTTGTCCGATGTTGACGAACGTGGCAGAAGAAAAGTAAGACAAGTCTTGATCCTTGGACGCTTCCGCGGCGGCCACTAACGTGGTCGTAGTCGATGGTGATGCGCCTTTGAGTGCCTTCATGGCGTTCCTGAGCTCGATGTATTTGGCCCGCTTGCGCGAGTCCGGACACTTGTCGAGCCAGTGTTTGCCTTGACCGCAAGCCGGGCAGTTGCTCGGGGCAGGACCAGACCGATCCCATTTCCCCTTTTTGCCGGGAGCAGCGCTTGTGGTCGGCGCGACAGCTTTCGCTACGAGGGCCGGGTTCGACTCGTTGCGCAACGTCCGAGCGACAGTCTCCATCGACGCGAAGATTTGTTCGACGCGCGGCAGCTTGTTGTCGTGAACGTTCATCGCGTAGAACGTCGTGCGCCAGCCATCGAAGACGTGCGGCAAGTCGTCAAGGGCCCGGGCCGCGATGGCCTGTTCAAGGTCTAGCTGGGCCATTCGAAGGTGGTTGACGAGAACCATGGCTCGATTCGTCCATGCGTTGAAACCAGCCCAAGTGGGCGGGCATGGTGGCATGCTAAAATAGTCCTTGATCAGCGCCGAGTACGCTTGGGCATCGCTGGGAGCATAGCGTGCGGCGAGGGCGAGCCAGCATTCGTGCGCCGAGCCGCCCGTCTGAACGATTGGGCCGATGGTGGCCTTCGTGGTGACGGTGAGCGATCCCGCTAGCGCGCGGGCCGCGTAATCCTCCCAGCGCGAGCGTAAGGCGAGAGGCCACGAGGGGTCGTGCGTGCCCTTGCGCAGGTATGCGCAGACTTCGCGGGCGAAGGTGACCGACATGGTCAGGTCCCAGTCAACGTAGTTGTCCTCCGTGAGTTTCGAGTCGTCGGGGAAGACCGGAGGGTTGGCTGGGGGTAGGAGCTGACGCATGGAGAATGCGTCGTCGTCCCGTGCGGGGCGCTGGTTCCTGATCAGCTCGTCGAATTGCTCTTTAGTGAGCGTGACGGAGGTAACGGAGGCGACGTCGTTGGTATGGTACGACGTTGATGACGGTGGTGGAGGCGTTGGTGCCATGTCACCGTGGATGTCGAGGTCGCCCGCCGCTGATAGGCTAGGTGGGCTCATAACCTTTCACGAGCTGAAGCCGAGGAACGAAGTACGTAAGTACGAGAGCCGATGATGATAGTAAAGATAGTTGGAGAAAGAAGATAAGCGCTAAGGGAGCGCGCGCGAGGCTGGCTCGAGACACGCGAGGCGTCTAATATCAACAACTAGTAACTAATCATAATCGGGAATACCAGTGGGATGAAACAGCAATATATTGACATGTACATCCTGCCCATGTACGCCGAATCGGCGAGTGTTTGCCTCACACGAGCGCAGCACCGCTAGACATGAGGTTTGTGGCATCTTTCACCTGCAGCAAGAGGCAGAACTTCGACGGCGGAAAAAATCAATCTGTTCAGCAACCCCGAGTTCATCGCGTTTGATGCATGCTGGGAGGGCGTAGGTCGTAAACTGGCTTGACCAATTCGACTTTATCAAAGGTCACGATTTGCGCATCCTCAAGATTCGCTATGCTGCGCACAGTGGACATCTAAATGAGTCAAGTAATCAGATTAATCTGGGCGATTAGATGTGAAGTCGGGTTCCAGCAGCGCCGGCGTGCCGTCTTGTGCAAAATAAGGAGAAGATAGGAGTCTCTGAAGAAGACCAAGCCCTCCCAGCGACCGCAGCCTCGCCACTAGATTGGTCATACCTGGCATTTCACTCCCTCCCTCGACACAATGTAGACCGATGCCGTCCATATCATAGCCAATACGTAAACCTCACTTTCGGAAAAAATCACGCAGAGCCTTTGTGCCGACGGGTCTCGATTAGCTTTGATGAGTTTTTCAGCATGTATAGTATGCTTTCAGCACGATGCGGGGTGGAATTACGCCAAGGGTACCATAAGTGTGATCAACAAATAAGCGAAACCCAAGATCCGGCTTTACGTAGAGCTCTGCTGCACTGTGGTGGTGTTGTCTCCAGCAGCCGCACTGTGGGGAAGGAAGGACGAGGAATGCTCAGTCGCGCAGGACTGTGACGCTCCGCGTTTGCATGCGACTGCGAACGCGTACAAGTGACGTACGTGGGCACGATTTGACCGCTGGTCGTTGTCAGAGCAGGCCCGGTGGTAGTGATTGCCGCCGCCGGAGTCGTAGTTGCGGCCGGAGTCGTGGTTACGACTGCCGCTGGCGTCGTTGTTATAGGAATCGTTGTCGATGTTGTTGCGCTTGTCACCAAGGGTGTGGTAGTCGGAGCGGCGGCCGAGCTGGGAGTAGTGGTGGAAGGGGCTGCGGAAGTGGTGGTCGCTGTGGCCGAAGGGGGGGATGATGAGATGATGATTGCAGAAGAGGTAGCAGAAGGAGGGAGACGAGACGAACTGCTGGTGGTTGTGGGGACGATTGACCGCGTGGTTGTTGAAGAAGCAGCTGCAGGGGTGGCTGCAGGGGTCATCGAGGACGTCGCGGGCGTAGTCACCGCCGATGCCGTGACGGTGCCGACGCTCAAACTGGTCTGTGTGACTACGATGACAGTCGTCTGTGCCGCACTCCTTGAAGCAGCCTCATCGGCACTACTCTTGCTCGATGCACTTGCGATCGAGCTTAATCTAGCTTCGTCGCTCTGCGTCGCCGACGAGTTTTTTTTGAGTCCAACCCCAAGTCCAACGCCCAATGCGACCCCCAACCCGACGAGAGCAAGCAGGACGAGGCCAATAATGGTCCGTTTCCGTTGCAGGAAAGGCTTGTTCTCGTCGTATCCTCCCTCCCATGCCGCCTCGTCGAGATGCGAGCCAGGTGATCGCTCGCCGCCGTGAGGCGACCAGTAGGTGCCCGAGGTAGCAGCCGCACCGACTGCAACACCGGACGCCGCACTCAACGGCCGTTGGTAGTGGTTCGCTTCAGACATGTCGGTAGGGTGAGTCTCGTAAGTGTTGTGGGCATGTTCCGGGTAGTTGTCGGTATGGGAGAGCGGGACCGATTTGTATGCTTGCTGCGGCTCGTAAGGGTCGTAGAATGGCTGTTGAGGTTGCGAATGGACAGGGCTCACGTTGCCATAAGCGTCCGGATATTGGTAATGGTCGGATTGGGACATCGCGAAAGGAGAGCAGCAGAGTGTCGTAGGGGGTGTCCTATGTCCGTGCTCGTCTCAAAGTGGAGGCGGCTGTGCTGTGCACTGAGCGCTCCGCAATCTGAACGCCTGAGCCGCCGAGTGCACGGGGATCGCCAGCGAAGCTCGAAGGGTCGCCGGAGCGGTTGGTCGGACTCCGAAGTAGTACGCGATTGGGCGAGGGCTCGATGAACGGCCTCGAGTTGCCGTCTGTGGATCAAGGAAGACAACAAGGGATGTGTGCTAGAGGTTTGAGCGCCAAACGTCGAGTTTTACGGTCAGAAGGGCAGGGCAGCAATTGGGCAGCAGCAGTTGGCGCTGCGATGCCTCTGCGCCCGCCAGAGCTTGCCAGAGTCTGCCAGAGTGCGCACTTCTGCACTCCGCCAGCCTGCACCTCCGCGAGGCGCTAGACTCTGAAGTCTGCCGGATCTGCCAGGTAACAACCAATTTGACCGTTGCGGCAGAAGACTGCCTGGCTCGGTAATTGGAGTCTGTGGATCATATCGGAAGCTTCATACTACTCTGTCCCAGCGCAGAAGTCATCGAGACTCTTACACAAAGATGAAAAATGGGAAAACATACGTAGGCGCCGCGGCTGATACTGCATATACTCACCCTCTACTCGCAGCTCCGGTTCCAGCAACTCGATCTCGGCGACTTCAGTGGTCTCGGCGACTTCAGTGGCTTCAACGATTCAGCTCTCAGTTCGCGCTCCGGATCCGTCCTCGCTCGCGACTTGCTCGCCCTAACCTCGGCGGATTCAATGTCACCCGGAATGGCGACTGTAGCACCGAATGCTTCTCTGTTGCGCTTCTCACTCGTGCCGCCGCTATCGACGTCGACCTCTCCGACGGCGTGTCTCGTCGCTCGTCTAGATCTACGTCAGCGGTCTACGATCGCAGAACCCGGGCTTGACCGTCTTCGGAGCACGGCGAGCTCAGCGTCTACTTCAGCAATCTTGGTGGAAGACCTGCGGTTCGCGAGCGAGCTGGCATCGGTGGAAGTCTATAGAATTCTGGACCCTGGAAACAAGTCAGTCCTCGAGCTCCATCGACCATCTGCACCAGCAAAGTGTCGCCGTCGATGATTTGTGGGCTATGCCAAGCACTGCAGCGCTGACGAGTGGGGTTTGTGCGTCATCCGATCTTGCTCCCCATTCCAGAGAACCCTTTGTTTCCCTTTCGCGTATCTTTCTGGCGTGCCAGATATCTCCCATTGAGGGACTCATGCGATTCAAGCTCGTCCGGCCGACTGATTACGATTCCAGCTTGGGTGGGATAGCGCCGTGTAAGTACCCGAACTGTACTCGAAAGGGACTGATAATTGACGCGACGCCATTCCGGGCCGCTAGTTCGAGACATTTGGGTCCCTTTGAAACTCGCTGCGTCAATCGCGAACGAGTTGCATGTGGCCGACGAACTTTCGGCGTTGCTTGAATGGAGCACTAGAAAGGCCTTCACTGTCGAGGACAAGGAGGAGGGCGGAATCGTGCACAAGTGAGTGTTGAAAATTTTAATGCTTGATTTTCACTTACCCCGGTGATTTTTGAATTTGGTGCCGGCCTCAGTTGGAAGATTCCGAGTGATCGCATTGATCCTGCTCACTACAGTACATCCACGATGCTCAGGTGAGTGAACCACTCATGGTGACGCGGGGTACTTGACCTAACCTGCTCCATTCGTCTTCCCCTGACATGTGTCGGTGTTTTGATGCAGCACTCGTTTCCCACGTGTTCACCTCCTTCCCTCGGGTAATCAAGTTCGAACATTGATGCCTTCTTCGCTTCCCTACAAAGCCCCGCCGAGATCCTTCCCCTCGTCCTTCGACGAGCTCTGGTCCCATAACGTCACTTGGTCAATCCAGCTGTACGAAGAATACCTCGAAGTCTTCGAAATTGAGCACGACGACACTGTACTTGGATCCGTCTCATCCGGCAGTTCCACAGCGAAGAACGCCGTCGACCGCGGTCCTCCTGATCTGACTCCGTCGTTTGTCTTCAGTTCACTCTTCACGCTGTTATCTCTGATGGACGAGCTGCCGACGGCAACGCGGAATGTGCGGCAACGGATAGGGAATTCATATGAACTTCCAAACGGGTTCAAGTTGAGCAAGGGCGACCTACTCGGAGCCACAGGATCGAGTGCCGCATCAACAAACTTGAGATCAAAGCTTGCGTTGGTTGATGCGATTTCAAGGTTGGTCGCGAGGGAATGGAGACTGAGTTTCTGCACACGAGCTGCAGCCAAGAGGAATCACCGAAGTCAGAGACCAGGTGATGGCTCTGATAGTGACGATGGTGTTTCAGAGGAGCGGGATTGGGTGGCTATGCGACACAAGGTGGACAAGATCGAAAGAGAACTGGCTGCGCTGTCAGACCGGGCGATAGGTGTCGCATCACCGCTGCGGCGGGGTGATGTCGACATAATAGCCCTTCAGGACGGATTTCACGCTCTATCGTCACAGGTTTCGCAGCTCGAGCATCGCCTACGCATTCTGACTAGTCTGACGTCGTCTCCGAGTTCTGCATCAGCCCCTTCAGTTCCAGCGCCGCTACCGGCGCTTGAGGGGGAGGGACATGAGGCGAGTCGGACGAAGAACTCGTCCCAAAATCTCAAATCTGGTGTTGCTCCTTTGTGGCACCAAAGCAGCGAAGATTCGGTGGGGCACGTGGTGCCGTGGCTCGTTCTCGGCGCCGTCGGAGCGTGGACTGCGTACTCCTATCTAGCAGCGGCGCTCTGAGCCTTCGCTCCCACGCGGAGGCCCGTCCGCCAGTTTGAGATGCCCACCTACAGGGGAAACAGAACCGTTCTAGCGATCTACACACATAGCTGCTTTGTTCCATGATAGTTGAAACGACGATCTTCGCGGCCACCGTTCGGGGGTACTGCTCACTTGTTCAGCCCAATCGCGTCTACGCTTATGACGTAATTGACCGACCAACGGGGCGCGCGCTGGCGCGCGGCTAAATTCGCGAGACGGAACGCCGCGATAGCCTGCCGTCTGCGTTTGCTTCGCTTGTCATCTTTGCAGCTCCCATCCCAACACTCACGACCCCACTAGCCACCATGTTTGCTCGCCAAGCCTTACGCACCGCTGTTCGAGCCCGAGCCCCGTATCGATTTGCCCCTTTGGTTGTTCCCTCGGCGTCGTTCTCGAGCGCGGCTTCGCTGTCCAAGTCGTCCGTCACTCGCCGCGGAGCCAAACGTGGCATCTCGTCCACACCTGCGCTCGAAGGCGCACAAGAGCCAACTCAGTCAGTACTGACTCCAACCACAGCTAGAACGTTTGAAACATACCCTCCGAGGTTCTCCTCCGCTGATCTAGTACTGAAATTGTCATCCTCCGGAAAATTCCATGCAGCGCTGCCGTCGACCCCGAGAGTCAGTCCTTCACCACTACTCGAGCTCGAGCTTGACGTCAGGCTCATCGTCGATGCGGGGTTTTCGGCCTGCTGTACTAATGAACCATCTCCCCTCCATCCGATCCTACTCGATTTGATCATCGCTTCCTGGCCACTCCTTGTGTAGTTGTGCACGAGTACCCGGAGGAGCACGAGTTCGTCGAGGGCGATCTCGGTCATTCCACCGACGGGCCCGAAGTCGATGTCGGCAAGCACAACCAACGCACTCTCGCGTCCTTCTCCATGACGAACAAGGTCAGTTATCCCCCAAGTCTCTCATTGCTTTTACCGGTTGCAGAAGTCCTAGCTTGGTTCAACGACGTCGCTCTCTCGGGCGCCTCTCACGGCCTGCCCGAGCGCGGGCAGCCGGCCCGGCTGATGACCACCACGAGAAGGAACGTAGAGCTGACCCATGCCGTGCCCTCGTTTAAGCTCACAGGTCTGCGTCATCACAGGAGCTGCTCGCGGTGTACGTACATCATGAACCGTGCAGTGGTAGAAGTAGAGCTCCTAGACGTACGTAGACCTCGACTAACACTCGGCGACTCCCACCTCCGGTCTCTCCAGCTTGGCAACTTGTTTGCCCGAACATTCGCCGAATCAGGCTCCAACGCCATCGTCATCCTTGATCTGGACCAGGGTCTCGCCGAAACGGCCGCAAAGGACCTCGTCGAATGGTTCGAGGAACACGGTCAAGCCGAAAAAGGCGAGATCTCTGCCATTGGTCTTGGATGCGACGTTGCCGACGAGAAGAACGTGCAGGATTGCTTCGCCAAGGTCGTCGAAAAGTATGGCAGGATTGATGTCTTGGTCACAGCTGCCGGTATCGTCGGTTAGTTTGAAGCAACCTCTTGTCGCCCGTATTGACGATCTGATCTGATCTGATCGTCCGAACGATTGCGCCCCGCGTCACAGAAAATTTCCCCGCTCAAGATTACCCTACCGAGAAGTTCCGCAAGTTGATGGCCATCAACGTCGATGGGTAAGCAACTCTTTTGCTCTTGGTATCAGGCAGTCTTGCGACTAACGCGTGTCTCTGGTGACTTGTGCAGATCCTTCTTCTGTGCTCGTGAGGCAGCCAAGGACATGATGAGGCGAGACGGTGAGTGCCCATTCGCTGCCGGCAGCGCGCTTTTCCCGCTGATCGGCAAGTCCATCGTTATCCCATCAGCCCCCGGATCAATCGTTATGATAGGTTCCATGTCCGGCGCTTGTGTGAACGTTCCCCAACCTCAGGCGCCTTACAACGCGTCCAAGGCGGCGGTGCGACACATGGCGTCTTCCCTCGCTGTCGAATGGGCAACACGAAACATTCGCGTTAACGTCATCTCCCCCGGGTACATGGCGACAGCTTTAACGAGGGTCATCCTCGATCGAGACCCCGTTTTGAAGGAAACGTGGGAGAACCTGACCCCGATGGGCAGAATCGGTGAACCAGAGGACCTTAAGGGTGAGCATTGCTCACGAGCGCTACTTGGGTCTCGAAGAGGAGAGGACGCGAGCATGGCCGTCGTCACATCGATTGACTAGTCCGTTCCGTTCTTGTACAGGTGCCGTCATCTATCTCGCATCGGATGCTTCGGGCTTTACAACGGGCACGGATCTCCGCGTCGATGGTGGTTACACTCTTGTGCGTCATAGGCCACCCGAAGAACCCTTCGTTATCACTCTACCTCATCATTGACACTTCTCCCGATCTTTACCCTCATGTAACAGACCTAAACGTCACCCCAATTGCTTCGTCCGCCTCGAATCCTACCCTCAAGAGTACCTCGAGGTCACCAACATTCGCTTATCCCTTACCCAATTGAGAGTTCGCGATTATCCGATCAGATTTGAATCGAAACCAAGCATACAAACCTTTGCAGAATATGAAGTTTCAAGATACAGATTTACTGCCGTGCGCGGTTCCGGCCGCCGAGAGCCCCGGCCGGTATTTGGGGAAACTGCAGTGACGGTCATGATGTCGCTCCGACTTGGGCATTGCAGGTACATCAGTCTACCCGTCTACCACTATAATCGACGATCTCAACCCGAACCTTGCACGAAAACCTCCTTCCAGACCTGTCGCAGATCTGAAAACAAAGAACGGGGGGCAAAGGGTTTCAGCATCGGTTACTCTTTACCAGGCCAAAAAAATGTTCATCGGAACTGCAGGGCTTTTGCTAACCTGTAAACCTGCCAACCACCCTAACCTCCTCGCTCGTTTGGAAGTCAGACCCCGTATCTGTCGGCGTCGTTGATGTTGCTTGCTCATCGATCCCGCCTAATTTCGGCCTCTGATCACCATGTTCATCGAACAACACACACTTGCCCCACCCCAGCGCATGAGCACCTTTGATATTCAGCGCCGAGTCATCGACGAAGTAGCATTGGTCCGGCGTCGCGTTCGCGGCGGCCAGAGCTTCTCTGTAGTAAGCTGTTTAAGCCAGAGGTCACCAAATGAAAGCGTCAGTCATGGGACGGTCCCGACTTGAGGTACGACGTGGGAGAAGACTCAACCGGGTTCGGGTTTACAGGAGAAGGTGCCGGCAGTGGCGGTGTAGTCGCACGAGATGACGCCTTCGAAATATTCGGCGAGGCCGAGCAGGCGCAAAACCCTTGTGGCGTGCTGAGGAGGGCGGCGTGGAGAGGAGTTCAGTATGGCCGGGTGATATCAGTAGTGAAAGAAGAACTGTTTGCTTACGTTGACATAGGCTAATCAGAGAAAGGTTATGCGATGCAAACGACACGTGCGATCAGCTCTCCAGGCCACGAACTGCTCAGCAAGTGCAGCAGAAGCGGACTACCGTTTGTGAGCGCCCACACCCTGAATCTGGACCGATCAATATCGTGCAACAGATGCTGCCGTTCTGGATCCGGTTTAAGAACGTTTTCCAGTGGCAGCGCGGCGTCGCATTGCGCATCGTAATCGAGCGCTGAGCAGGTGAAGAGCAGAACAGATCAGAATCTTCGCAAGACGAGCTACAAAGGTGTGTACGCACGATCAACTTTGTGGTGCCGGACCAACCCTCTTATGGCGAGTCCATACTCGGTGTAGTATCGCTGTGAGTGTGGAATCGGGAAGCTGGTGACTAGTAAGCGTACGACCGAGGGGCTCGAGTGGGAAGTGGGGGTCGGTCGAGTGACGCACGTGTCGGAGTATCCTCGACTCGTCCGAGGGAATGCCGATCTTCTCAAAGTAGTCTGTGGCAGCCGGTCAAGCTCGAGCGGATCAGCGCAGGAGTTGGGGCTAGTTGAGCTCGACATCAGGCCTGAGACTGACTCTCGATCTTCTCCTTCATCAGATCGTCGACGCCGGCATCCTTGGAGTCTGCACCGTCGACGGTGAGGGCAAGTCAGTCAGTCCCGAGTCCCGACTGGCACATCTGCGGCGTGTGAGTAGACTTACAGAGACAGTTATCGATGTCGAACCATATGATGGGTCTTGGATCGCGGTTGCTGGGGTCGCTGGGGTTGCTGAGGTTGTTTGGTGAGTCACCGACTGGACTCGGGGGTAGACGTGGCCGCGGTGATCCGTCGGGGTGGGTGACTAGTACTGTGCAAGCGCGTAGCGTGGGTGAGGATGAGCTCGAGGTCAGAATACGAATACGTAGAGCGAAGAGGTGGTGTACTCGCTCGACATTTGTGTGCGATTATATTTTATGTGGCGCGCGTACTGTCAGTTGAAGCCGAGTGTGGACTGAAGTGAAGCCGGCGGTGTGGTCGTGGACGTCGAAGCCGACGCCGACGCCGAGCAGCCCCGAGCCGTGAGGAGCCGTGACGTCGATTCGCGCGCGCACGGACCCCCACGCGGACCGAGCTCCGCCTTCGCAACGAAACGGCTCGCCACCGCGGCGGCGGCGACCACGGGCTTTCGTTACCCTGAAACCATCGAACAACTCGCATCTGACCCCCCCTCATGGCTGGTTCTAGCGCATCCAAACCTCGGGCACCTCCCTCCTCCTCCGGCTCGAGCTCGACAGGGATCGACTCGTCCGAGGAACAGAGCTGGGACGACTGGCAGGACGAGCAGCCGGCACTGGCCAAGTCGCTCTTCAGCCCCGAGCAGTTCGACTCGGCCACCGCTGCGCTCCAGCATGACCGACAGCATTTTGGCGTCGACGTACCCCTCCTGGCTTCCACCCTGGGTGAGCAACACCGTCTACGACGACGACGGAAAGGAGTCCGCTCGGAACGCCTGGCTCATTTTGATCGGCGGCGGAACGATCCCTTCTATCTCTCTGGGTGCAGACTTCTTCGAACGGATCCGACTCATTAATTGGATTAGGGCGACAGTGGGTCATACCCACAATTTGGAGCTCAACCAGGTCGTTCCACCACTCAACAGTCTACTTCTCGCCCGCAGAAACCCGAGCCCTCGTCTCTTGAGCGACTCGACCGAAACGCCGACTTTCTCCAGGACGATCAATACCTCAAGCCCGTCCTTCAAGACGATGCGTTGTTGCGTCAGTCGAATCCCAGTCAATTCTATACCAGGCACAATTCTTAAAACTCTTCTGATCCTGATACAGAATACGACTTTGATCAACTTTCTCTCGCCGACGAGGCACCGTCGACCTCGGAGCAGCCATCCTACACCGTCCAATCCATCGGAGGCTCGAACGACTCCAAGTTGCCGACGACATCAACCGGTCCCACAAAGAGAGATACGGCGGACCTGATTGATCACTTGCGCGCCCAGCTGTACGACTCGAGTCAGGCCATCGACACACTCAAGGGCATCATCAGGGAACGACTCGCACCTTCGATGGGTCTTCATTCGATCGCCCTTGAGGAGGAGGCAGGCAAGGGAAGCAAGATCGTGCCCGATACCGGTGCCGATCCTCAGAGAGATGATGATACCCATTACTTTGATGTGGGTCCGAATTCCCCCTAACGCAACTGCAAATGATCAAGCACTGATTTCTCATTGCCGAAATCCTCCACGCAGAGCTATGCCTACAATGGTCCGTTCTTTGGCCCTTGTCTAATGCTTCTTGTGAACTCACTCTCACTTGCTCATATTTAACTTGTTCATAGACATCCACGAAGTCATGTTGAAGGGTACGCGAAGGACCCGCGACGAACGATAGGCCTCGGAGCTGACGCCGCTATCTATGCCCACTCGGCTCACAGACAAGGTCCGAACAGACTCGTACCGAGACTTTATCATGTCCAATCCGCAGCTATTCAAGGATGCTGTCGTACTCGACGTCGGTTGCGGAACGGGTACGCACTGTTCGCAGGGCCCGGCTTCATGAACTGAGCCAACTACTGAGTGTCCTGCGCTCTTCTATCCCCGGTAGGCATCCTGTCTATGTTCGCGGCCAAGTCGGGCGCCAAAAAAGTCTACGCCGTTGATGCTAGCAACGTCGTTTACAAAGCCCAGCGGAACATCAAGGCCAACGGGTTAAGCGAGGTCATCACGTAAGTTCCGGGGTTTTGTCTTGCTACTCCCGTGAAGACTGGGTACTGACGCCCCAGGTGAATAAATTAGCGTCATCCGAGGCAAGATTGAAGACCTCGAGATCCCGGAAAAAGTCGACATCATCGTCTCCGAGTGGATGGTGGGTTTCCTTCCTCCTCTTTCTTGGGTGTAGGTATGTCAGTAGCTGACCCGATTTGCTTGGTCCAGGGGTACTGCCTTCTATACGAATGCATGCTCGACTCGGTCCTCTCGGCCCGTGACCGCTGCATGAAGCCGACGGGGTTGATGGTGCCCTCACAAACGTCCATCATGTTGGCCTTGTTCTCTGGCTCGGCTATGGTCGACGACCGCGTCAAGTTCTGGGACAACGTGTACGGATTCGACATGAGTGCAATGAAGGAGGAGATCAAGGATGATGCGTTGATCGATGTCGTCGATGCGAAGGAGGTCGTCAGTGATACGATCTCAATTTCGGTATGTTCCATCGAACTGTAGGGCTACTTCAACAGAGGCTTTTGCTCAATTTCGACTTTGTCGGAGCGTTTCTAGGACATCGTGACCCAAACCACGACCGTTGCGGATCTGTCCTTCACAAGCCCGTTCAAACTCACCGCGAATCGATCTACGACTGTGAATGCCTTCCTTGCGCACTTTGACACCTTCTTCACCTCGGACGCGCGCTTGATGCATTCGCAATCCGAGCTCAAGCGAGGCGAGGTATATTTCACGACGGGGGCTCACGATACGCCGACGCATTGGAAGCAGACGATGTTTTTGCTCAAGGAACCGATCCAGGTCGAAGCAGGTACGGTCATTGAGGGCTCGTTCAAATGCAGCAAGAACCCGGAGAACTCGCGCGAGTTGGTCGTCGAAGTGACTTGGACCGTTCACGCGAAGGCCGAGGAGCCAAAACGGTCCGTCAAGGCGCAAGTCTGGAAAGTGAGGTGATGAGAATGCAATGTGCCATACACCAATTCTCCATTCATGTTGATCGGCGGAAGAGTGTTCGGATGAGCGCTCGGAAGTACCTAGCTTGAACCAGGGAGTATGCAGTTAATTAGGAATAGCCACCCGATTAATTTCAGCGGATGGTCCGTGCGAGTCGGAGCAATTAGGAGCAAAAAATTCGGCACGGCTCGGTATGGTGCCGCCAGCTTGCGACTCGAGCTCATTTCGGGCTTGAACCTATTCCATCGCTTTCCTTGACCCACTACCCACGGCAACTCAACTGGTCGTGCACGAACAGCATTACTCGGATCCACTCTTTCCCGCTTTACCTCCAGTCACAGTGAGTTGACCTGGGACACAGCGCCTGATGTCGTATGTACGTTGCCTCGGGCTCTGACGTATGCTCATTGCCCTTGGCGCTGCTTGCCGGTCGGTCCCGCCTGTTATCAAACCGTCCTTATCTCTGGCAGCCGCAAAGAGAGAAACGTTCAAACTCGTTGCTCGCTTGAAACATGGTTCTGGGTCGTCTAGCCCATTACACGCTCGACGTGGTTCTGCTTGCGACGGTCGCGGCCGGCGTCAAAAGGAGCACCGGGTTCCAGTCAGTCCACACCATTCCTCCGTACCTACAATGCAGCTTCGACACACGAGTCCTGACGATCGTTTTCCTTCTTTATTCTTACCGCACCCATTCATCCCCCACTCCTACTTGGGCTCCATCTACGCACGACACGCTGTCCCCCCCCCACTTCCCCTCTGCGTCCCCCTCCTCATACCCCACCTGCAGAGTCTCGACCCGAGGTCTCCCCGAAGGCCCTGTACAACAAACGGCGGAAACGGTGCTCGGCGTGGGGGAGAAGGTGTTCGACTACACCGCCGCGCTGAGTTATTCGAGTGGGTGGTTCGAGCGCGAGTTGCCGACGGCGGCGTCGAACTTGCCCAGGAAGTGAAGTGGGGAAGATGGGACGATCTAGGGAGGACGCGATGTAATCAGATGGGGTAAGACGGAGAAAGATGATTATACTGTTTGGGTGTACGTGTAGCTGTAACACTGGGCTTGCTTAATCTTGGTCGAGTCAAGGGGGCGAGGCGGGACCACTGTTGAGGACCAAGTTGGAGGAATCTTCACCACCAGAGTCCGGATGGATAATCATGGGTAGGATGGAGCGCTGGAACTGTACGATTAGATAATTATAAGGTTTATGGAGTCTACCCAGTTCCCGATGGACTGAATGGTCATCGTATCTTGTCATCGACGACGACTCCGATTCGTACGACTCGACGACTCCGATTCGTACGACTCGACTCCGATTCGTACGACTCGGAGGGCGGCGTAACTGAAAGGCTTTGAACCGGTCACCCAGTACTCTGGGAAACACAGGGCCGGTTTTATTGACATGTGATAATGTGGAGCAGAGTCTAGGTATGCGGTTGCAACAGCCGAATCCGTTTTCCGAGCGTTTTCGTCAGACTCGGCCTGGATTGTGCTCCTGACGGTCACCTGACGCTGCCAGACGCTGCCGCGAGACGCCGCGCGTGAGACGACGAGGCCACTCTGGGCGACATCTTCCTATCACCACACCACCCACCACACCACCCTCGGGTGGACGCATCCGATTGGGCGCACCGTTCAAGTGAGTAAGCACCCATGTCATCCCACAAGCTAGCTCGTGGCGCGTGCTGTCGTCGCTGCTCGAATTTCGACCTCGACTTGACCGCCGCCGACGTCGTACGAATCACGACCGATCGGCCCACCGGCCCACATCCAATTCGAACGGCCCGAATTCGATGAGGCCAGTAGCAGCAGCAGCCCGCACCACTTGTCATGAGATCCTCGTTGGCTGCCACGCCAAGGGCCCTTTGCCTTTGCCTCGAATGAGCTCGCAGTTGCTCGGACGGGTAACCCCCACTCGATGGACCCGCCCGCCTCGCCACGCCCGCCTCGCCACGCCCGCCACGCCACGCCCGCACATCGCACATGACCTCGCTTGCAGATCGACTCGTGCTGGGATCACGGGACTCGCGTTTGAAACCGTTACTGACCAACCTGGATGTGGTCGCTCTCTTCGCAGCCTTGTCCTGCTTAGGGTTCGGGCACCATGTCGATGAGCGTCTCGACCGCCTCGGCGTCACCCCCCACCCGCACCAAATCGTCCGCCTCCGTCTCGACGACGCACAAGCCCAAACGCAACAAGTCGTCGTCCTCGCTTCACAGCGCAGGAGGGCACCACTCGATTCACCACCATGTCCAGATGCCTCAGCACGTGCGCAAGAGCTCCCATGAGTCGACCGGCGTCACGCGACCTCGTCTCACCTCGAGTGGCTCGTCCTCCACTTCGGCCAAGAAGGCCCATTTCGGCGCAGGTCTGGGCATGATGACCTCTATATCGAATGCACCTTCCCAACCGGCGACCAACGCGGTCGCCCAAGCCGGACCCTCCGCTCGGGCCACCGGCGCAGCTTCATCTCAAGCGGCGCACACCGAGACCGCGACAGAGGTGCAGCCTCACACGGAGGAGTTGGACGCTTCACCCCAGGACGAGCTCGGTGACCTCGATGATTCAAGGGCTTCACGAGACCAAAGGCCATCCGACCCGGTCGCGTCGACGCAAGAACCTGAACGAGGTCGATCCCGATCGCGCTCGATGGATCGCCGCGCTGCGCAATCGACCGAACGCCACCATGCAAACGCTCAAGGTAGGGATCGAACGTTACCACCGGGACCTGGAGGGCGAGGAGACAGGTCCGACGGCTCTCCCAAGAGACAAAGGGCCCCTGCGGTCTCGCAGACGAGGCAAGCGCAGCCACCGGCGAAGAAGATGGAAAAGTCAGAAAACCCGTCCGATGCGGTGGGCGCCAACCAAACTCCGGCCGCACCCGTACCCACACCCGCACCCGCACTTGCCCCATCAACCACACCGACACCGACAGTACAGGTCAAGGAGAAGCACTCAAGGGCCAAGTTTGACTTTGCTGATGACGAGGATGACGGCGATGACGACGAAGAGGAAGAGAGGCAGGGAAGGAAATTCGATTACGAGCGAGCTACCGAGACCTCAGGTCAGTCTGTAACGGCCTGCTTTCAACGATCAGAGCTGTTCTCATGCTACCTTGGGTTGGCCGATTGTAGCCGTAGCGGCGCCTCGTGCGACCACCTCCACTGTCGAAAAGGCCGCAGCTGCGCCTCCACCCCTTGAGTCACCTCCTTCGCCGGAGCTCCAAGCGACGAAAGAGGTGCCCACGCGACCACCGATGCACACCAAGTCATCGTCCAACCTCTCGACCCACACCGTCCGGCCCAAGCGCAACAAGTCATCGTCATCGCTGCACTATGCCCACCACGGTCCTGGCCACCACAACGTGCAATTCGCTGGCGCAGCCAAGAAACGATCCGGCAGTTCGAGCGGGAGGGCCAAACCTGCCTTTGGTTTCGGGATGACGACACTACCTGCAGAGAACCACGATGATCGACGTGGAAGCGATGCGAGCTCGACGAAAGGAGCGGGGAGCAGCAACAGACCTACCATTGATCGCAGGGGTAGTTCAACGAGCACTCTCGTCAATGACCGCATCGATGACCGGTCAGCAGGGGGGCGAACAGATTCGCGAGAACGGACCGAGGTGGCGAGGATTGAGCCTGATCCAAAGGCAAGTACCCCAGTACTCTCCCCGTCAACGTCGCGTTCACGGCCGAGCAAAAAACATACCGCCACCAAAGACACTCAAGAGGTGGCTGGCAGTCAATCGTCGGCCAGCGGATGGGAATCCGCTACAAATTCACCGTTTGCGATCGCAAAGACCCTTCCGTCGACAAGTTACCGACCCGAAGCGGTGTCGGGCCTGGCCCAGGTCATGGGACGTGGCGACGAGGTGGCCGGCATCGTTGCGGACGGTGATGACGACGAGAGTGCCGACGAGGGGGCCAAAGAGAGCCGAAAGGTCGATGTCGCTCCGATGTCCCCTCCGGCTACCGGCCGGCCCACTGCTACTGAGCCTACGACTCAGTCGCCCCCCCGGAGTACCTCTCAACCAGGGCCATCCTCATCCCGGCAACCATCTGGCTCGTTCAAGGCACCTCCAGCACCCGCGACGAACACTATCGCCTTCCCGAGCTCTTCGGGCGAACCGCCTTCGCCGCCTCGAGTGCATGCGCGACCGGCAGCTGCAAACGTCCGAAAAGGTTCCAACGCCTCACTCATGTCGAACGCTTCCGCTCGCTCCGTTGCGTTGTCCTTTGCGGGCCGAATGGGCCCTCCCGGGCCCATGTTTCGCCGATCGGGGACCGCGACCGCTCCTGCCTTGGTTGACCGTGGTCACGTCGGCGCTGAATTGATAGGAACCGACACCCCAGTAGGTTCGTTCGACAGTCGACGTCGCACGAGCGGTGGCCGGAACCCTTCCATGCCTGCAGGTCGCCAGGTCGTGTCCCATGGTCGCACGGACAGCATCAACAGCGTGCGTTCTCTTCGTGCAGCGGCCGAGACGAGTCCTCAGACGAGACGCCCAGCTCCAGCCGATAGTCGGCAGAGCGCGGACGGAGGACGACGAAGCATTGGGCCTAGAACTTCGAGCGAGTACGCCTCATCGGGAAGCACCGCACTCGCTGCACTCGGCAGTATTGCCAGCCAGGCTGGCTCGACGCGGCCCCCTCCGACCCCGGAGGGCTCGGGAGGGACGTTCCGGAGGAGCGCCAGCGGCTACTTCTCCTCCGCTCTCCGAGGTCTGACGGGACTGCAAGCGCTCACCCCGCCTTTGTCACCCTCGGCCAGTTCTAGAGGCGGTCCCATGGCAGGATACGGTGCAACGACGGCCGGTTCCACGCAGCACCCCGCTTCGACCATCGCCAAGAACAAGTCGCGTTCGACTCCATCCCCCGCGCACTTCATCCAACCCGTCGTGTCCAAGTTCGTTGAAACGCCGCCTCCGGTGCCATCGGTGCTCTTGTCACGATCGCCCGCTCCGATGAACGCGATGGACTCTGCCGCCGCGGCCAAGCGATCCCAATCCTCGGCCAGTCTGAACGGAATGGGTGCGATGTCGCGTACGCAGCAAAAGGCCTTCCTCGCTCGTGACGCCCCTTATTTTGCGTCTGGCGCGGGTGGGCACACCCCTTCATCCGCCCATGGGAAAGACACCCAGGTCGCAGACGCTACTTTTTGGGCCTTGGCACCGCAAATCCCGTCGGGGGCTTCTCACCCTCCATCAGTGGCATCGACGCGATCCATGACCCCGGCGGCGGCACACTCGTCCTCGACGGCCTTGGCCAGCGACGAGATGCAGAACTGGGCGCGGAGGTTCATCGTCGAAGCCGAGCGGGTCGAGCGACAATATCGCGCCGTGGAGAAGTGGAGGGATCCTTTGGGTGAAAGCTTGGAGAGGGTCTGGACCAAGAGGACGAACGGGACAAGTGCGGGTACGGTCAGCTCGGCGATGGCCAATCCTTCGAATGGGGTCACGCGAGCGATAAGGGCATAGAGATACACTTTAAGAGGTATGGAGGTGCTCGTTGTAGAACTATGGGAGTAGGCGTGCTCGCCTTTGTCGTCAGCGCAACTTGGCGGGGTACCCAGATCGAGAAGAAGTGACTGAAGATCGATTACAATCCGAAACGCCCATTATAAGATTAAGAGCCTGTTGTGAGGCCGATGAGGGATCCCAACAGAGGTAAAGAAGGAGATGGCACGTCGAGCGGTAACCACTCGCGGCAAAGATGAGGGGGGATACAACACGTGAATCGAAAAAACTAACGTGGTCGAAAAGGGTGGCGGGTAGCGAGGGAGGAGATAAATAATAAGGGTAGCGGATGGTTGGGGGAAACTACTGCGTAAAAGACCGGCGCAAAGTATTGCGTCGCGGTAAAACCCTATTTACACAGGAGACAGGGGAAGTTGGGAAGACGAGATATCCGTGAAGGCGACGAGCTGGTCGAGTATACCGGCGCGCCTAGGAGGCAGAGTGATAGGGAATCGAAGGTTCGACCGAGGTTCGATTCGGAATAGGTACAGTTCGGTTTCGAGAAGATGCGAATGGGTTGCAGGGTAGGGAAAGAGGTCGAAGTCCGCACGGCGAGGTTGTCCATCGAAAGAGAAAGAGAAGAGATTGCTCCATCGTTTTTCAGACTCGGGACTGCCTTCGCCGATGCCTCTGCTCGTACCCGTAGTATTCCTCATTTGTCTCCTCGGCATCGTCGACGACGGTGTCAAAGTCGGTGCCTTCATGTTCCTCATCGCGCGAATAACGACCTCCTGCCATCGGGCCCCCTCGACCGCTTGAGTTCTCCGTCATCGTAGGCGCAAGGCGCGAGGTCGCTACACCACCCGCCATGGGTCCGGGACCATTCAGCGATCGTTGAGACGACATGGGCCCAGCGCGACCAAGACCTTGAATGTCGGCGGCAGCCAAGGCGCGGCGGGAGGCGAGAGCTTGTTGACGAGCTCGGTGAGCACGGCCACCCATGTCATTGGTGCGTTCCGTGAGAACCTGATTAGACGAACCCGTGAATGCGACAGTCAACAACGGAGATAGCGTAAGCACTGTTAACAGACACGAGAGGCACGTCGACTGACCTCTTGATCCAAGTAGAGCAGGATGTACCCGGCAATGCCCGAGATAACGACGAGTTGAACGCAGGTCAATCCAAAGGTTGTGTAGGCGAGCGCGACGTCGACGTTGATGAGCGTGCAAACGGAGTCGAAATCGGCCGGCTTGGGGAAGTGGTAGTACCCGTCCCACAAGCAGTTCTCGCGGCCTCGAAGATCGCATGCAAGCGCTAATGCACCCGAGATCCAAACGGCCGAGACGGCGAAGAGGGTGAGCAATTCAATTCGAGTTTGCAAGAGAATACCGGTGAAGGTGCGCTCCTTGAACATGTATGGGAAGAAGAGCATCGGGATGTAGAGCACGCCGGGCGTGCCGATGCCAAAGACGATAATGGCGATGAGCGACCCCCAGGAAGGTGCAATCACGTTTGGCCGCAGGGAATTGTAGTAGTGAACGACGCCGATCGCCACTCCGGCCGTGGTCAGCGATGCGAGTGAAGTCAGTCCAAATCTGCATCCGAGGAAAGGAGAAGTCATGTCAGCGCTGTCACATTTTGCGTGATATTCGGGTTAGTTTCAGGTATGACTGTTGCGATGCCTGAAGATGGCCTGACTGGTGAAGCGGCTGGCGCGGCTGGGGCTGCTGTGGCGCCCGAGCGCGTGCGCGCGCTAAACGTAAGCGAGCGCTGTCGCCTGCTGTCGCCTGCTGTCGCTACGGCTGCGCTAGAGCCTAGCGCGCGCCCGCCGGGCTGGCCGATTTCGATTCGCCGTTCGCCGCCGACCTAGCCTAGCCGCCGCTCGCCTGCAGAAGCCCCTGCACAGTGCACAGCCCTAGCACAAACGGACAGCCCTGACCACGAGCGTACCGAGAGGAAAACCACAACTTACAGGAGGAATCGGAGTACGCGGATGAAGGTCGGGTTGGGTGCATAGGAGCCGATATAGCGGTCCCGGGAGGACGGGTCAGCTGTTCGCCGCCGGCGGACCGGCGATGAGCTGACGCGCGCGGCGTCGTTCTCGTAGGCATACGCCTTCTCATCGTCATCGAGCAGCGTCGCGTTCTTGTTCTTCTTGCCGGTGAACTTGGAGAACATGATGCTGGCTGGAGATCGGTCACCAGTACGGGTTGACTCGGTGCGGCAAGGGGGCGAAGACGAATGACGGCGGTCGACGGCCTTCACTCAGAAGGTAGCGTTCAACGTCAACGGCAGACGAGGTGAGCGAGCGACAAGCGGCGGTAGTGCAAGGGAGGGGCTACGGTGCACTCCGAACGGGGTACGCCAAATTGCAAGGTGGCTTGTGTAGAGGTGAAAACACCAAGGCGTGTGTCGAATCGACAAAGTAACGAGTGAAAGGCGGCGAATGCTGGGGAAGGAGAAAACCCGCACCTACCGCTTTGGACCGAGTGCCCGCTAGGCCCGGATCCGCTTGGCTCGGCGAACCGACTCCAACGCGGAGCACCAGGCGAGATTTCCAATCCCCGCTCGCCCGGCGTCCGGCCTTTCGATCTCCTGCGGGCTGCGCTTTTAATTTTCGATCGGGTTTACGTGCCTATTCCTCTTCTCGTGAGCTCTCGGCCGAGGTCCCACTTCTCACACCAATGGCCGTATACAACTGCAATCACATGTTCTGCGAGCTATCCTTAGCTGAAAGGAGTTGACCCGGCACAGGCTCCAACAGGGGTTCTGATCCGTCGAAAAGGGCACCACATGATGACCCGCGCGCGCCGTCGCCAGGGCCGCCGGGGCCGCCGGGGCGCCCTGAGTCCTGACGTCGTCGACCCTGAGCTGGCCCCAGCTAAAACCTTCACGAATGACGCTAATTTGTTGACCGAGACAATTGGCCCCTCTCCCCTTTTGTCCATGGGCCATCTCAACCGTGCGAAGACAGCCGGTTCCAAATGGACTTGGGTCTTTCGAACTCCTGGGCCGTGGGATCACTATCACATGATTTATCACGATTTATACTGCCTCCTCTTCGCTAATCTGCACGCTCCATGTACAAAACCCATGCAGAACCCAATGCGGGGTCCCCGGTCACGGCTCGCCCGAGGGCGCGCTAGAAGTGGACACTAGAAGTGGAGTTCCACGGTGATCTGGCGGGGATCCCGATTACGGTCGCACAGCACGTGACTCGCTGTATCGGAAGCATCAATTACGAAAACAAAGGGATTTCGCCTCCAAGCTGTTCCAAACTTCAGATGTTCAGGCCACGACAATCCCAAGGGTCGAGGCGCGGACGCTCAATTTGTGAATTTCGGAGAGAGAACTTGGGGGCCTTCTGCTGCCGTACGGCAAAGAAAAGTCGCCCACTCAAGGCTGAAGAGGTGACCAGTAGCATAACTCATCAAACTCAATGTCACGCATTGCGGTTCGAGATGAATTTGCGCGCTAGCCTCGACGACATCAAGTCTGGTGCAGCTTGTCAGTGGCAAACGGCAAGCGGCGGCCACACACATATCTCAATCCTGATGCACGAGGATGCTGGATGCAAGGTGGTCCAATGGTCCAGACCCGCAGCCCGACATCAAACCTGACCCCTTGCAACATCATGTCGTGCAATCCTACAGCCGGTGAAAGGATTCCAGGGGCAGGGTACCTCTCTTGAACGGCGATTACCTCTTAATGAAAAACATGATGGGACGGCGCGTCTACATTTAATTATCTACATTGAATTGAAGCAGCTCGAGCCGAATCGCGACCCGCGATCGATGCATTTTCTGGAATGTCTCTTTGTAGACTAGCTGGAATTCAAATTCTCATTATCCTGTTCATCTGGGGTAATGAAGTGTCGCGAGGATATGTCGCGATAAAGCGAGATCAGGGCACCTACTCGTAAGTTCTATTGATACAAAGTGACCTCCGGTGAGGCTCAACCATGCCAATGAAGCATCCCACACTTCGCCCGGCCGTTGTAAGTTGTTAGCCGAAGCCCGTGGGTCAGGCTGGTGAGGTTCGCCGCGCTCAGCTCGCGCTCGCGATTATGTGTTCGCGGAGAGCCCCGACAGCGTCGATGAGGGGAAGTACGCTATTCAAGAAAAGGACGTCGAGTAGTGAAGTATCAACGCGCTTGCTTACCAGGGTGACCCTGGGATTGGCGCTCATCATACTGAACACTGACAGGTGTTTGGGCAAACATTCTTTTTACGCGACTGAATGCACGAGTGGCTCGGCAGAAGCATGCTCTCGCGTCTTCAAAAAAATGGAAGAAAGGCATTGCAATGACAACCCCATCAAATGATCTAGCGGATGCATAGACGTTTTACTACAAAGAAGGAGAGGCGAACCCTCCTTCGCTCCACCGCGCCCATCATCTGAACGCATTGTCGCTTCCCCCGGCACCGATCAATAGTCTTCCGGCAGCTCGTACTCCGTGCCTCGCCTGACCCCGCCCCATCCGATCAACCGCCAGTGCTTGTCGATTCGACGCGACAAGGCCACCTTCTCGCCAATCTCGGTCGCGGCGGGGGTGTTGAGCAAGATCTTGGCCAAATCGGCCTTGACCGAGACGACGCGACCACCTTCCGAGGTCGATCCAATGTTGACCATCAAGATCTCGTTCTTGGCCAATTTTTGCACCTTGGTTTGCTTCTTGTCGTCGGTCTTTACACCGAGCAGTCGTCGCAGCAAGAAGTAGTTGATTTCGATCTCGGTGTAAATGGAGGGCAGTGAGCCCTTGGACCCAAGGACTTGGCCGACAAGTCGATCACCTCGCGTCAGCTGGGGATCAATCACTGTGATACGAGGAGGAGGTTGATGATACATCAGCTTCTCGCGCTGAGTCGTATCGCAACCGAAATGAAAGACAACTGACAAGTTCCGACACCGATCAAGCCACCGGGGACGGCGAACTTGAGTTCGTTCTTTTCGGCCAGCAGCGTCACGATCTTGCTCCGGATCGGCTTGCAGTTGATCTTGCCCTCGGCATCCTTGGAAACGACACCCGGTCGTACCTCGATCTCTTGCCCCAGCTTGAGGACACCCTTGAGCAACGAACCACCGGCAACACCACCTTTGAGGTCCTGCACCTCGGCACCGGGCTTGTTGACATCGAACGATCGAATAACAATAAGCTTGGGCGAGGTTGTGAAGTCACGGACGGGGACGGGGATCTTGGTGACGATGTATTCGACCAACGCCTCGATGTTGTACCGAAGTTGAGCCGAGATGGGGACAATCGGGGCCGAGTCGGCAACCGTGCCCTTGACGAAGGTGAGGATCGATTGGTGGTGCTCGTCCGCCTGTTGTTCGCGGATGAGATCAACCTTGTTTTGCAGGACAAGGATGTGCTTGAGTTTCATGATCTCGATGGCGGCAAGATGCTCGGACGTCTGGGGTTGGGGGCAGGGTTCGTTGGCGGCAATCAGGAGTAATGCGGCGTCCATGACGGCGGCACCGTTCAACATGGTAGCCATGAGAATGTCGTGACCGGGGCAATCGACGAACGAGACATGTCTGCAGGGCGAAGAAGCGGACCAGGACCGGTCACGAGCGGCGCACAGTCAGCGGACTGGATCGTCGCTTCTCTTGGCCTAGCTTATCCGATCCACTCACCTCAGCAACTCCATCGTTCCACCACACCCTCTAACCTCGCACGGCGGGTTGTCCTCCTTTTCTGACGAGTAAGACTTGTACGATCCTGGCCGCTCGCATTTGGGGCTTTTGCACTTGTAGATCTGCTCAGTCACAATGAGCGACCGTCAGCCTTCAAGCCCTCAGGAGGCAACCAGATCTAGTTTGGATTGTATGGAAGGACTAACTTTGGCATTGGCGTAACCGAGCTTGATAGTGATGTTTCGCTCGAGCTCGTTCTTGAACCGGACGGTGTGAACCCCCGAAATTGCCTTGACCGTTTGCGATTTGCCGTGGGCGACATGACCGATGGTACCTGGAAAACAGATGAAGAGTTATGAGCCAGTGTCAGTCATCGATGTGGGACATGCTTGCTTGAGTAGTCATTGGTCGCAAGCCTTTCTTGAGAGCTCGGCGCAAAGTCGCATCACATCGACAAGACCGTGCCACGCTGGGCCGACCAGCCTGACCCCTCCGCACACTCGTCACCGCATAAGGCAAGCCTCTACAGTGGCAATGCGTGTCGATATACCAGCTCGTCATGTGGAACGGCCACTCGAGCGCAGCGCCGTGCCCGCCCTGCCTTTGCCTTGCCTTGGTCGCGCCTTCAAGGATGAAATGCAGACCTACCAATGTTGATGGTCGCCTGCTTGGAGATGACCTCGGGACTCAAAGGATGCAGCTTGGACACGTCGACCTGCACTTCGGGCATGAGCGACAGTCGAGCCAAGGCTTCGGTGACACCGTAGGTCGGCTTGTCTTGCGTCGCACCACCGGTCGTCGTCGCACCGGCATCGTCACCCGATTCCGATCCCGAGTCGTGGTCCGAGTGGTCCGGGTTGAGATGTGATTGCTGCAATGGCGAGGGGGAGGCGGCCATGGTGCAAAAGAAGTGTCGAGCTGAGCGTAGCAGTCGACTGGAGGCTGAGGCTGAGGCTGACTGAGCTCTGGGCCTTGCGAGGCGAAGGTGCGCTCGGTGCGACGCGGCACAGCGAGGCACAGCGTGGCAAGGGCGCGATCAAGAAATCGAGTCAAGCCTTTCGAAATTAGGATTACCACGAAAGCCAATCCGCTCCTCCGAGGAAGCGCCGCCGCAACAGCTAACGATGTATTGCCAGGAAAGCAAAAAGAAGAGCAAATGCCCGATGGAAGAAAAGTAGACCAAGACCATACGTTGCAATAAAGGGGGGTCATAGTACTAAGGCCCCGGAAGTCTTCGAGCAGTGACAGGAGGTGAAGTAAATGGTGGCGCGCGCGACTCAGATTCTGTCTTTGAGCAAGACAAGCTGGAATATTTAGTCTTGAAATAATATGGCTTAGTACTCGACGTCGCCCTCCTCTTCGCCATCGGCGTCTTGGCCGAGCTCCTCCTGTTTGACATCAGATTATGTCAGCGAATCCTCTCTCAGAAGAGAGATGGCGTTAGTGAGAGAAGACCACTGGCAACGTACATAATCCTTCTCGAGAGCAGCCAAATCTTCACGAGCCTCGGAGAATTCGCCTTCCTCCATGCCTTCTCCGACGTACCAGTGCACGAAGGCGCGCTATTGAGATGGGAAGGGGAACAAGACCACACAACGAATCAAATCAGCTGGCGCGGTCGAAGAGGGAGCTTACCAGGACACGCCCTACCTTGGAGTAGAGAAGATCGAACTTGCGGTCACTGTTGCGGGTCAAAGATGAAATGGGATTAGTAGCAATCCTACGGTACGAACTACTTGAAAGGATTTCACAGCAATGCTTACAGTCGAGCCCAGGCACTCGCCTGCAAGCGTTTACGACATCAAGGGGTCAGGAGTCAGCTGGGAGAGGGGACACGCGCAGGGCCAAGAGGTCCACTCACGATGGCCGTCGTGTTGGACAGCATACAGAGCGAGCGCGAGACCTTGGCAAGATCGCTGTCGGGCACGCACTGGGCGGGCTCGTTGCAGATACCGAGCTTGAAGCCGGTAGGGCACCAATCGACGAATTGGATCGTGCGCTACGGAAGACACAGTTGGCGGACATCAGTAAGCTAGCGTCCACATTCGGCTTGCTCTAGAGGTGTGACGACTCACTTTGGTCTTGATTGACGCCACAGCGGCGTTGACGTCCTTGGGCACGACATCTCCACGGTACAACAGCGCGCAGGCCATGTACTTGCCCGTCCTAGGGTCGCACTTGACCATCTGATTACTAGGCTCGAAGCAAGCGTTGGTCAACTCGGCGACCGTGTTTGCTTCATGCGATGCCTTCGAAGCCGCAGTGAGCGGAGTATAGGCCGCCACAGGGTAGTGAACACGCTTAAAGGGGACCAGGTTGGTCTGGAACTCGTTGAGATCCACATTTAAGGATCCGCTGAAACGCAACGAGGCGGTGATCGAAGAGACGACCTGAGCGACGATGCGGTTAAGGTTGACGAACCCGGGGGACTGCACCCCGAGTCGCTGGCGACAAATGTCATAAATCGCCTCATTGTCGACTAAGAAGGAACAATCGACATGTTCAAGTGTCGTATGAGTCGTCAGAATGGCGTTGTAGGGCTCAACGACCGAGCTACTCAGATTAGGAGCAGGGTAGCAGGCGAACTCGAGCTTGGCCTTCTTGCCGTAATCGGTCGCCAACCGCTCCAGGAGGAGAGCACCAAAACCCGATCCCGTTCCACCTCCGAAGCTACCAAGCGGGTTCAGACGAGAGTAAATCACATATTCGCCGCTTATTAAGGAGTGTGGTCCTGCTCACGAGTGGAAGACGAAAAAGCCTTGCAAGCCTGAGCAGGCATCGGCGAGGCGGCGGATACGATCGCAGGTGACGTCGATCACTTCTTTGCCGGCCTGATTTCATTCAATGAAAAAATGGATTACATAAATGCCAAGTCAAGACGCTTTAATGTAAGGACAACTCACGGTGTAATGTCCACGGGCATAGTTGTTGGCCGCATCCTCCTTGCCGGTGATCAGGGTTTCGGCTAGAGACAACCGAGGTGGAGGACAGAGACGAGTGAGCTCAGATCCGGCAAGTGACCCTCTTCTTCCACTGTTGAGCGACTCACGATGAAACAACGACTTGTACTTCCCCGTCTTGACCTCATCAACCACGCTGGGTTCGAGGTCGACGTAAATCGACCTGGGCACATACTTACCCGAGCCCGTCTCGGAGAAGAAAGTCGAAAACCCGCCTTGCTCGTTGGGGTTCACCTTTTCTTCGTCGGCAATACGGCCGTCGGGACTGAGACCGTGCTCGAGGGCGTAAAGCTCCCAGCTACCAAAGATCATACCAAATGCGGCTACCTCAGCATCTGTGCATATCTGGTCGAGCGCGGTGACGCCTTCGTACTCACCATGAGTTGCCGATCTGAACACCCGCTTGGCCGACCGAAATAGAAATGATTTCTGCCGATTCAGAAGCGGTAAGTCATTCAGTGGGTAGTTACTCGCTCCCAATAACTATCGTGTTTGTAGCAGAGTGTGCCATCCAGTCGAGGGGCGTGCACAGAGCCTGTGGGATCAGGCGATCCATGCGCAATTGGCCTTCCCCCGCAAATCTGCTGTGCGCCTCCCGATGCACGGCCGGGCAATAGCATTCCGGGGTGTGACAGGCATGGCAAGCACGGACTCACCTCGCATGATGATCAGTTGAAGCGAGGCTTGGAGGGGAATGTTCTATTGGGCATGAAGAGAGAGGAAGGCGCACGTTGAGCCCGAGCCCGAATGTGTGAGTGAGGTGCCACGACGCCGCCGGATGTCGGGGCATGCGCTTGGATCGACCTACAGTGTGAGGCAGTACTGCTAAGAGGCGACTCGATTCTCGTCGGATACTTGTGTGAGTTACGAGCCAAGTAAACTCGAGAGCTCGCGTCGACGGAGAGTGCGTGGTCGGAAGGAAAAAAGCACCCGGCGTCGGCAGAAGTCGCGTAAGCGCTCCTGACTTTAGCTTGCGACAAGCCGACAGGAGGCCATATCCCGCTGCCCCAGCCGCCTTTCCTGGCGGAAACGTTTCACATATGTGACTCTGGGACAAGCGACGAAAGTCTTGAATGGTACAATGGCAGAATGACATTCCACGGGGTATGTCAACCTCCAGACAAGTGACAGACAACATAAACTAGTACAGAGGGACGATTTCATCCTGTTAGAGGCGACCACCAGTAGAGAGGACCGAGATAGGCTCTGTGGAGTCAGTTGGGTCCCGATCCACAAGATGTGAAACGAGTTGCACACTCACCAGCTGCTTTACCTCGGTCTCGACCTCGCCATAGGACTCCTGAAACTCGGCCTCTGCCTCCTTCGCGCCGTCCTTCTCCGACTCGCCGGCCTTGAGCTTCTTCTTCATCCCGAGTTTGGCGACCATGACGCACGATGTTGGTCGCTTTGTTGACGATGCAGCACCGAGAGCCTCCTTCGACGAAACCCACTGTTCGAGGGATACCAGGAAGGCTGGACTTGTCAGCTCAATGAAGGCAGGAATACGTAGGGGATTGAGGGCATGGCTAGGGGCACGCCATGCCGGTCCGGAGAAGACAGACGCGGCGTCGACAATGATCTGTATGCCGATGACGTACCACGTAAGGGCAGCTTGCCTCTTCGGCGAGCAGAGGAAGATGGGTGAGGATGTCGAGCGGCGAAATGTCGGCGGCCAGCACGACAATACTGTAAGATATGGCGTTAAAGCACAAGCGTAAGCTCTCAAGCGTCGGTAATTGAATCCAAACAGCACGATATGCTGGGTTTACCCCTTCTCTCCCTTTCGGATCGACTTAACGACCTCCTTGACGCCTCGCTTGAGGTGCCGTGACTTTGAGGCTGCGAATACGACGAAGGCGCAAGCAAGAGATGTACGCCACCTATTGTCAGTTGTCGCTTGTTAAAAAATACTTGAGCCAACAAGCATAAGCGTGGCAACGCGAACACCTGAGGAGGTTGCTCAGACGCGGCCACGACTAGCAGTCGGTGTGGCCAGCGAGCTTCGCAATGGCGCAGGCGTTCCCCCCAAAGTGCACCCAGGAATGAACGGACGACGTACCCTTCTTGACGAGCTTGAGCACGTGCTTGCCCGCCTTCTTCTGCGCGAGGGGTCGCGCGATCGGTGACAGCAACTCGACCGCAACTTCCTTGTCGTCGTCCTTGTCCTTGTCCTTGGACGACTCCTTGTCCTTCTTGCTCTTCTTGGACTTGCGCGGCGAGGCAGCAGCGTCGACGTCCATCGAAACATCCCCCGCAGCAGGCGCAGCGACCGCTCCTTCCTCGAGCACTTTGGCAGATCGCTTTCCCATCCTGTGTGTTGTAAGGAACCGGTGCAGGTGTGGGTGATATGGCGCTGTGGTGGACCTTGTGCTGGTCTGTCGGGGCGTGTCGTCGAGCCAGAAGCGGGCAGTCTCGCTGCTTCCCGAAACTGCTCAATACTAAGCCTATCCTCCACTACCAATTCTAATCGTGCCGCTTTACTGTTAGTCGCTCTCCGGCTCGTGCTTCTGCCAGTGTGCGTAACAGCATTCCCTCCGGCTTTTCCGAAGATTTCTAGGTATTATTATAATTATGCTGTTAATGAAGTCTATCAAATAAAATAAATAAAAATGTCCAAATTAATAACCCGTCTCCCGCTGGCAAAATCACAATCGCTACGGGAGAATTCCAGGCAAAAGATGCAGCACTTTTTGGACACGGTGTGCATGCATCACTAACTTGGCAAGTTTCGCGATGGTTTCACAGGCTCAACGATCGCATCGGCGGCGGCGCTCGATATGCGTAGTAGCGACTCGGCACGAGCGCAACGGCACAGACTCGTTTTGTGGACTGCAAAGGTGCTGTGAAGTGTTCTTCGATTCTTTTACGAACGAAATATCTCCTATGATTTTCGGCAAAGCCCGGTAGAGTGGTTATTCGTGTGGAGGCGGCGTGCGGCAGCGCCTCATTAGTAATTACGTCAATTACGTCAACCCTAATGCGGGAAGGGCGCTTGGGCCCGAGCCCGACGGGCACAGGCAGTGCAAGTCTCACTTTGGCACTCGGCCATTGTGACCTTTCGCGGCACCGCCCATGAGATAGGGAGTCCCTCGCAGCCTCCGAGTCGGCTGGAAGTGGGGCAGATGCGTGGGGACGAGGGCTACAAAGAGAACAGTCTAACGTGCAGGTAGTACCGCCCATGTGGATTCTCCGATCCTTCCCTCCACCTGTCGACGACTCGCACTATAATCCACTCCTCAAGCTTTGCCGACCGTTGCCCCTTTAAGTTAGGCTTCCGCACGCTCCTAAGACTCACCTCGATCAGAGTTCCTAGGGTGCACCGCCTGCTCCACAGGAAACCCCCAAAGAACCCCATCCTGCACCACCCTTGTTTCCCTCCTTCACGTTACTTCCAACTCCTCGAACCTCCTACCGTATCTCTCGCCTGTCACTTGCCCTCGCCAAGCCCTGCACCTCAAATAAATTGACGATCTCGGCTCGCGAGTTGCTTCCGCTCAACCACCCGGCTTCTCCCCCACGAGCTCGCACGAACACGATGCGCTTCGTCTCATCTTTCGTCTCGACCGTGGCCGCGGCTGCACTGGTCTCGGCGGCCCCCGTCCGTCGTGACAACGAGCAAGACTTTTTGTCTTGTCTCGCATCCAACCCGTCGCTCAACTTTGTCAGCTCGTCGTCGAACCCATCGCAGTTTACCAGCTTGACAGGTGAGTTCGGGCTTGTGGCCACTTCGGAATTGCACCGCCGACGGAATACCGAGCTGCCAAATCTCAATTCGGGTGTCCTCTTCCGATTCTTCTCACAGCTGCATTCAACCAACGTCTCTCATCGTCGGCATCGGCAATCGTGAGCCCCAACGATGCACAAGGTGTCGCAGCAGCGGTCAATTGCGCTCGAAACTCCAACAAACCCGTGACCGCTCGAGGCGGCGGTCACTCCTACGCGGCATATGGCGTAGGCAACGGCAACGCCCAAGGCCTTGTCGTCTATCTTAGCAACTTCCAGAACATCGCGCTGGATCAGGACAATTTCACGGTCATCGTCGGCGGGGGCGCTCATCTCGGCGACATTGCGGTCCAGCTCGACAAATGGGGTCTCGGTCTGGCCCACGGCGTCTGTCCCTTCGTCGGAGTTGGTGGGCACGCCGCGTTTGGTGGCTTCGGATATGCATCTCGTGCCTGGGGCCTCACTCTTGATGCGATCACCGCCTTCGACGTCGTCTTGGCGAACGGTACCTACATCGCGGGCCTGACAAGGGACCAAGATCCCGATCTCTTCTGGTCCTTGTCGGGTGCGGCGCCGAACTATGGCATTGTGACCGCGTACCATTTCCTCGCACACCGGAAACCCGACAACGCAGTCCGCTTCAAGTACGACTACTCGGGAGCGTCGGCTGAGACGATGATACAGGCTTTCCTCGCGTACCAACAGTGGGGCAAGTCGTCTTCGCCACCCAACCTCGGCATCACTTACGCTGTACACCCTGGAGGCTCGCTTGAGATCTCTGGTGTCTACTACGGCAGTGGGGACGCGTTCACTCAGCTTATGACACCGTTCGAAGCGACTTTGCCCAGCGGGGCGTCGAAAAGCATAAACTACACGATGTCGTGGATCGACTCGTTACAGGCGCTCGCGGGATCGCAAGCTTTATCTACGCAAGGTCAGAACGATTACGTAAGTTTGATTCCCGGCGCAACGGTCTCAGAAGTGGAGCTCTTGGCTGATCTTTGGTGCCCGTCTCCTATCACAGCGAGATTCTTTCTATGCCAAGTCGCTCATGACGCCCGATTCGAATCAGCTCATCACTGAAGACGCCGCAAGGGCCTACTTCACCTACCTTCGAAACACGCAGACGAGTACAATGTGGTTCGTCGAGGTCAACCTCTATGGTGGCGTCGGCTCAGCGATCAATGCCGTATCACTCGATCAAAGCTCGTTCGCACATCGCTCGATGCTCTTGACCTTTCAGATGTATGCCTCATCATCGACATACGGCAATCCCTACCCAGAGGAAGGGTTTTCGTTTGTTTCTGGGTGAGTGGGCTCCACTATCCAGATCGGATCGTCCTCGTCGTCCGTCTTCTTACACACACGACATTTTATGTACCTCTAGCATGTACGACGCCCTGCTCAATCCAATGAAGGATGCTTGGGGTAGCACATACGGATCATATGTCAACTATGGTAAGTTTCGACGACTGGTATCCCCATTTATGTCCATGCACGTCCTCCTGACGACTGGTTGGCTCTTTCTTTCTTCTATCAGCCGATCCGGCATTATCCTTTGACGAGGTCAAGACGCTGTACTGGGCCTCGCAATACGACCGACTGTCGGTCATGCGAGCGAAATACGACCCGACACAGGTTTTTATGAACCCCCAAGCCATTCAGCCGTACGACCAAGCCAAGGTCAACAAGCTGGCGGAATGATACCTGGGAACACTTTCTCCACAGGCTCCACACATAGACACTTAGTACTATGACGATATCGCATCTTCGCATTTCAATTATCCCTTATTCGCTTTTCTAGCACTCTTGCACTCTCTTACTTGTAGCTTCTTGATGACTATATATATATATATATATATATATATAACTTGCAACTTATGAAACCGGGATCATCCCGAACATTAACTTATGTGAGATGTTCGATGATGTCAAAGTTCAACAAATTTGCGAGCGGAGCGATTAGCGAATCTTGTCGGCTCGAGGAAGCCTTGAACGACATGTTCGTTGTTAGGCGCTGGGACAAAGATGAGTTCGAAGAGACGGGTCGAGCTACATTCAAAGATCATGATTATGATCAGAGGAGCACCCCCGGACTCCCGATCCCCTTAAAGAGAGGGGCAAAAAAATCCAGGGGGCTTGCCTCGATTAAATGCTTCCCGGGCCGGGCTGTCGCATGTGGCACGACTTTTTGTTGGCATTCGGAGCTTCGAGCCATTATCATGGAGCGGACTCCTGATTTATTTCCATTATGTCAGCTTTACACTGCAATTTTATCCAAGCGGCGGTGGAAGGACTATAGATTGGGACATTCAAATAGGCAGCGGTGCCAGTGCCGTCGGCCTTCTCAATTGGGTCATCCTCCCTTGGGCGTTCGCTTCGGGCAGTGCACGCACGAATAACAATTGCGAGGCTGGGCGCCCCTGAGCCCGAACACTCGTCTTAGACGGTTCTTCCTCTTCTTCCCGACGCCACTAATTTTGTTTTCTCACAGCTTCCATCGTTCGTGTCTTTCCCTCTCGCTTGACTCCGATCGAGCGTCCTTGATCGGCTCGTTGAGCAACCGACACGGCATCCGACGGCACGTTCAGGGCAACTCGCAGCCTCAATGATGCTTCGCCTCTTGGCCTGCCTCGCCGTCGTCGGCCTGGCGTCCATCGTCTCTGCAGTGCCCGTCAACAGTAGCAGCCAAGCAGGAACTTTTTTATCGTGTCTGTCGTCTCAACCTTCGCTCAACCTTGCCACCTGGCACAAGGACTGTCGAGAGTTCACGAACCTCACAGGTGAGCTTCCCGCCACTGCACTGCCAGCACAGCTCGAGCGATCGACGCGCCCCCTACGCTGTACTGACGCACGATCACGACCCTCTTCCACAGCTGCATTTAATCAGCGACTCTACTCATCGGCATCAGCAGTCGTCTCGCCCCAGGATGCCAACGCGGTCGCTGCTGCGGTCACGTGTGCCCAAAAGTTCAACCGACCGGTCACCGCTCGGGGAGGCGGTCACTCGTACGCCGGCTATGGCATCGGCAGCGGACTCGATGCGGGGCTCGTCGTTTACCTCAGCAATCTCCAGAATATTGAACTGAAGGAGGACAATGTCACGGTCGTTGTTGGCGGCGGCGCTCTTCTCGGCGATATTGCACTCCAGCTCAATGAATGGGGTCTCGCAATGGCCCACGGCACGTGCCCCTATGGTCGGCGTGGGGGGACATGCCGGGTTCGGTGGCTTTGGTTTCATTTCCAGAAAGTGGGGCTTGACACTCGATGCCATTTCCGCTTTTGATATCGTCCTTGCGAACGGCACCTACGTCCAAGGCCTCACTCGCGAACAGGATCCAGATCTCTTCTGGGCCCTATCGGGCGCGGCGCCGAATTACGGCATAGTAACGGCATACCACTTCGTCGCCCATCAGAAACCAACCAACGTCGTCCAGTTCGACTATGGGTTCAGCGGGCTATCGCCAGCAGCGATGACGCAGGCTTTCCTGGCCTTTCAGGCCTGGGGCAAGAATTCTTCGCCGCCCGAGCTCGGTATCCAAGCTGTCATCGGGGCCAATGGCTCGCTCGACCTCTCGGGTCTCTACTATGGGTCTGGGGAGAACTTCACCAACCTGATGGATCCGTTTGTTGCGAGTCTCCCGAGCGGCGTCTCGCCCGCAATAAACTATACAATGTCGTGGATCGATTCTCTGGTCGTCGCGGCCCAGGGACAAGCGCTGTCGTCCAAAGGCCAGCAGGACACCGTGAGTGCATGTCCCCAATTGAGGCACATGCGCAGGATTCGAGTACTCACCCGTAGGCCTCCTCATCGACGCCCACTCAGAGGGATTGTTTCTACGCCAAGTCGTTGATGACGCCGGACTCGGACCAGCTCATCACTGAGGAAGCAGCGAACGCCTTCTTCTCGTACCTGCAAAACACCGAGACGACTACGCAGTGGTTCGTCGAGATCGATCTCTATGGCGGTGCCGGGTCTTACATCAACTCAGTCCCATTGAACCAGAGTTCATTCGCGCACCGGTCGTCGTTGTTGACGTTCCAAATGTACGCTTCATCGCCGACGCTCAACAACCCCTTCCCGGACTATGGGTTCTCTTATGTCGACGGTATGTACAATGCTCTCGTCGAACCCATGAAGGCTGCCTGGAGTACCACATACGGATCATACGTGAACTACAGTGAGTTGTGTTCCGGAGGCCGTACCACCGTCAGCTTTCCGCTCATCACCCCCCGATACATTCCCAGTCGATCCCATGTTGTCTCCCAGCGAGGTCAAGGCTCTGTATTGGAGCTCGCAGTACGATCGTCTCTCACAATTGAGGGCAAAGTACGATCCCGACCAAACGCTGTGGAACCCGCAGGCAATCCAACCCACAGTCTCGTCGGTCGCGTCTCGCCCCGCTCAGTAGGCGAGCTTTGATGGGAAGCGACGCCCTGGTACCTCGATGCGTCATGATCCCTTTTTTATGATCCCTCTGCTTAGCCAGTCTTGTACACCGATATATTGTGTCCTTCGCGCGCACTTGTAGCCCCTCTGCATTTCAGTCTTAATTCGAATTCTTCAGCTCGAACAAGTCGACGCGCGATCGCGCGGGCCGAATTACACGCCGAGCTCAATTCGCGAACTTCAAGGGCTTGGGGCCTCGGGCAAGTTTGAAAGTGGGGCGTAGTGACTGACGCGACTCGACAAAGTTGAGGTTCATATAGTCATCCAAAAGTTGCTGGTGCCGGCCTATGTGTATCATTTGTACGGTAATTTGCACTCGGCGCCGACTTGATGAGGGGCCATTGAGGGCATCGGTTCGGACACTCATCGGGGAAACTCAACGATGACAAACCTGACTAACCCTGACTAACGGGACGGAGCTTGGCGGAACTCCCCGGCCGAGTCCCAGTCCGAGTTCGAGGCGCTCATCTACAGATGTTGCCATGAGACAGCGCTCACTGTTTTTGGATCGCTTCCATCATCCATTATCAACACTTGACTTATCTACTTACAAGCCGGCGACCACATTCGCACTCGAGGAAGCTCACGTCTACGAAGGATCAGATTATCAGCAGATCAGTCAGGTTGTTACGCCGGAACCTGAACGGCCTGAACCCCCGGACTCAAGCCTCGGCTCGTTGCTCGGCTCAGCGGCTGCTAGCAGCTGGGTGCGGCTGGCCTGGTGCGAAGCGCGTCACCAGATTGAATGAACTCGCACCCGTCTCTGTCTCGTCCATCCCGACCATTCGAAACGATGCCACCCCCTTCACGACCCAGTTCGGCTGGACCCATGCCCCAGTCGACTCCTTCGACCTGGATCGATCACCACGAGGCCCGGCCGTCGTCCTACTCGGTTCGGCCTCAGCTGGCCGTTCAAACAAGGCTTCGCGCGCGCAGCATCACCTCCACCACCGCCGCCACCAACAGTAGCTCCACCTCGTGCTCGGGTTCGGCCTCGCCGACACCGGCACCGGCATCGACAAACGCAGGCTCATACGATGAATCATCGCAGGCGTCCACATCCACATCGACGCTGGCTTCAACCTTGACCTCGTCGTCATCCTTTACCTTGACGGTCACGCCGGCTCTGACAAGGCGCCAAACCGATCCCACGGGCCTTGTTCCGCTTCGACCCATCGCCAGTCGCTCGAGGCTGAGTGAGCTTCCTCTCAACAGGGAAGACACCGACAGCGATGAAGACGACGACGAGGGCACCTCGGTCTATGACGACGCTATGTCCGAGGGAGTGCCCGATCTGCACGAGCACGAGGGTTCGTCGTCAACGTCCGATTCCGAAGAGACGCCGAGCACTCCAGCGAACGATGCCATGTCCCCGTTCCCGACCTGGAATGTCGTCTCGCCCAAGGAACAGCAGCGCGCATTCGCAGCGTCTCAGGTCGACGATGATGTCGATCGATACACACCTGCGAGGTCCAAGTTCGAAGGCTCGACTCGTCACGACCTCCGGAGAGGCAAGAGCTTCACGAGCCTGATCGTGCAACCCGTCACGCCCTCGCCCGCGACTGTCGAGCAACCCGATCCGATCGCGGAGCACGTGCAGCATGATCACAACGTTAGCCACGAGGAGCACTACCCACCGACTCCGAATGATCTGGAAGCCGGGCGGGCCAGTTTTGATGGCACAACTGAAGCGACCGAAACCTTCCCGCCCTCGACCAAAAGCCTGCGTGACTTTGTGCCGCAGATCGCAACGCTCGCGGCTCTGTTCTTTTCCTCGTTCGTCTGTATTGCCCTCTTGGTCTCGAGCCTGCCGGGCCTTTTCATTCCTCACTCCGTCGCCGACCTGCCTCAATTGACGATCGCCCTGTCGGCATATCGGTCCATGTCGTGGTTCGCTGAGCTGCACCTTTTCGTCGTCTTGGCAACGCTCTTCTTGTGGAAGCAGTGCTTCAGCATCCCCGGCTCCATCTTAACCAACATACTCTGCGGCGCATTGTACGGCACAACGATTGGCACCTTTTGGGCCTGCATTTGGACCGCACTGGGCTCGACTGGCGCCTACGGAATTGCTCTGGTGGTCGCACCATTGGTGAGTGCAGCCAGATTCCATTGATCACCTCATTTCAACGAGATCTGATGCGGTCTACCCCTTGCAAATCAGATCGAGTACTACTTTGCCAAGCCGCTCAAACTTACCCGCCGGACGCTGAAAATTGTGCCGGACTCGCTCGGCAAGGAAGAGCCCGCCATCACCCCGTTGTCTCCCGGTGACCTCTTTATTCACCTGTTGCTCGCTCGGTTCTTCCCCCTGCTGCCGTACTCGGTCCTCAACATCATTTCTGGTGTACTCCGACTGCCCTTACCGACTTTTTTCGTCACGCTCGTTCTCGGCTCATTCCCCTTCAACTTTGCGACCGTCTCGATCGGATCGGTCGTCGCGCTCGCCGCATCGGACCCCTCGACGCCGCTCTCGAACAAGATCTGGTCGCCGGAGGTGTTGACCAAGCTCATAGCCGTGACCATCGTTTCGGTCCTGCCCGTCGTCTTCAAGAAGCAACTCAAAGAAATCTTGTCGTCGGCTCGGATCAGCCACCTCGCAACGCAAGCCTCGGCGATCCCTTCGATGCTGACTTACATCGGTTCGATCTACAAGGATGCGATCGTACGGCGCGTTTTCGGCTTCGGTGCACTGATGCCTTCGTCCGCAATGGCTTCGACGTCCGGGACCGCGAACGGTAACGCAAGTCGGGATTGGAGACGACAGCAGAAAGCTCAAGAGTGGCGGAGGAAGTTGTCCAAACCCGGGTACGAGGAAGTGTCGACCATGGATCCCGACGGATCGATCGATGATGCGTTGGAGGGAGGGAATTGGGTTCCTTTGGGTGCATGAGCCGTTTTCTTTTGCACGGCTTGCACGGATTGCATCTTGATTATATGTTTTTCCTCTCTGCAGTAAGGTTATTCAACCCCCCCTCTCTCGTTTCTATCATATATACAGGGGGCCCATTGTTGTATCCCTAATCCAAGGCTCGCTTCTTGCACTTTTAACGATGTATCTAGTACCTCCGTCATTATCGTAATTCTTCCTGATCTCTAATCGATCGTCGTGCTTTGTGATGAGGTATCTACAGAAGAGGGACTCCAACCATGTCTGGCATATAGCTCGAGGCAATTCGTAGCGCGCAGTCTTCCTGAGCGCCGGTGCATACTTTGTTGTACGAATTCAACGTCGACCATGCCGAGAACTTGCGGTTCCTTCTTGACGCAGAGCTTGGGGCGGACCAAGCGTGGTTGTGTCTATTACGAGCGGGTGTGAGCGCGTGCAGGATCGTTGCCGCACCGGCTTGGTCCCCAGGGCCCGGAAGCTTACGAAGCATCTGATCTGACGAGCAATCGAACGCAGTTTTCCTCTGTCCCGCACAGCCCATCTTCAACTTCCCCCGTTCGCGCCTACGACGACCTCACCCCCCAAAGCGGCCGCCACAGCCGCCGCGACGCCGGCTTCGATATCCAGATCGATGCTCGTCAATGCCGCGAGGGGGTCGATGTCGACGTTCATCGCGTCGGTAGTGTCTTCTTTGATGATCGACTCGGGTGCTTCTGTGTTGATGAGTGGGACAACGTCTTGAGGTATGGTGGATGTTGTTGTAGTCGTTGCTGTTGGTGTGGAGGTCGCTTCGGTCGTAGGGATGGAAGGGAGGGTGGCCAAAGGCGTAGAAGAGACGCCGAGTCCTGTTTCTGCTGCTGGTGGTGCCGTCGTAGGCTCGGGTCCGACGGACACCTTTCTCTTCTTGGCTCGACGGTCTTGTTCACTTTGCACCTTCATGGGCTCGGAGTTGAGTATTGTTGGGAGTGAAGGCACCGCATCAGATACGACCGTCGGCTGAGTTTCCGAAGCTGCAGGGGTCGATGTCGGTGGTGGTGGCGTGGTGGAAGGGACCGCTGCTGGTGCTGTTTGCACGACGGCGTTTGAGTTTGCTTGCACCGCTGCGAGCCGTCCCGGATCGGTCAATTTCCAATCCATTTCACCGGCCTTGAGCGCCTCGAGTTCCTTGTACGCATCTCTGAATTCAAGAGAGAAAAGAAAGGTGCATGAGCACGAATGCTCCGGGTTTCGTGATGGGAACAGTCGCTGAAACACACTTGAAGCGATCGACATGTTGCTGCATCACGCCTCTGAGTTCGTATACCCTTTCGAGGTACCACTTGCGAGCGACTTGGAGCAGTTGCGCCGAGTGTTGCGGTTGCGGTTGCTCGCTGCAGTAAGTGAATGTTGAGCGTCAGCTTGAAAGTGGGGGTGGGCCAATTTGGGACGGAGGGAGGATGCTGACGGTGATAGACCTAGTTGTTTGCTCAGAGCCGCATGGACGGTAGCCATTTTCTGTAAGCGTAGTCGCAAAACGGGATAAGCAGCTCGTCGAAACAAGAACTCACGCAGTCAGGTCTGGCACTGACCTCGGGGGAGAAGAAGTGCTTTGGGCGATGGACCAACAACGGATGGCCTTGCAACAGCTTGGACGCGGCCTTGAATTCTGCTGTGCCCGTCTCGTACACTAGAAATAGGACCAATCGGCTCAGAAAATGGAGCTCATCTGCGCCGATGCACGAGTGACTGACCTGCTTGGACGACGAGGGTCTTTTCGGTGATGGACAGGCCTCGCAGCGCTTGCTCTTGCTTGGGCGTGAGGGGCAGAGGAGGCAGAGGTGGTGCCTTGGCTTTGGGTGGCATCGTGGCAAGGGATACCGGACTGGGTGGACGCTGACACTGATATTGAGGACGGGAGACGAGGAGGTGAAGAGCAGAAGGTAGCAGAAGCGCGAAGGAGCGCCGAGACGGCAACGCGCCTCCAGTTTTTAGCCAGATTTAGCCTCCAGGATCCAGCTGCCTCCAGAGGCACTAGGAGGCACTCCAGCAGGCTGCAGAGGCCTCCAGTCGTCGAACCGGCTTAGCCGGCTTGGCTCTGCTGACTGCTTGCTGTCACCTTTTCTCACCAGCTCGCACAAGCCGCCAAAGTGGAACAAAGCAAAATGATCAGGACCGCCGCCTCACGCACCCGCTTTGCGCCCTTGCAGCTCAGTCGCACCCCGCTCAGAGTCAGTGCACGCAACCACTCGACCTCGTCTTCGCACTCGGCGTCATCCTCGAAGACGTCAGCGGGCAAGTCCGAGGCGACCGAGAACGAGACGGCGTCATCGCGAGGAAACCCAGCACCGACTACAACTTCTGCGACCAACTCCTCCGGCATCCAAACCGCCTCTACCTCGACATCACTAGGCAACGCAGCGACGGTCCTCTCCTCGCAGACGACCCCGAACTCCGCCACCTCAAACTCTCCCTCGGCTCCTACTGCCACTCCCCGCCGACCTCCGACGATCGCGGAGAAGGAAGCCGAAGCGCTACGTCGACTGGAGGAACGGTTAGGTGGCGCGCAGGAGGCCCAACTGGGTGAACTGGATGAACATGGTCGACCGAGGGCGATGGCCAAGCATGTCAGTGGTAACCTTTTCAGGTTGATCTGAAAGGCAAAAAGTGGGGGCTATTGAGCTTGAGCTTGCAAAGGGCCTCGGCCGGGGTTCTGCATGCATCCTTTGTACAGTCGTGGATTCATGTTTTAATCAAGGTTCGGTATGCGTCGGGTACTAGGTCTAGCGCGACCGAGTCACCAAATGTGAACTGAACTGCCCGTCTCAGCCCGTCTCGGTGTTCAGACGTTCAGGCCTTCAGGCGCTCGGGCTCTCTGCCTGAACGGCGCCACCACGGCTCTCCAACCCACTACTAAACCTCAGCCACTCCCGCGATTACCATGGCGAGACCCACCACGGCTTGGGCTTCCGAGCTCGATCTTCAACCTGGGATCGGTCTAGGACCTTTCCACATCGGTGAGCACGTTTAAGCCCTTCCAGTGATGACCGAGCGGTGACGTTCACGGACGCGTCACCGCGTCACCTGCCGACGTCACGTGTTGTGGGGGCGGGCCGCCCCACACGCGGACGGACTCGACCGCGATGACGGCGACAAAAACAGCTCTGGGCGGTCTAGTACCCACTACAGAGTTGTAGGGACTGATTCGATCTTATCGGTCTCGATCATCGCCCCACTCGAACCCAGGCACGACCTTGTTTGACGTCATCAACCTACTGCGGAGCCATCGCTCGACCTACCCGACCGTGCACCTCGCCTGGGACGACAAGGTTAGCCATCACTAGGACTAGAGAGGCATGAACTCGGACGGAGAACTGACACCACATGTCACTCGGACCAGGCTCCCTCAACCAGCTCAATCCACATTCAGCTACTCAAGCCCAGCCCACTTGCGCTCCTCTTCGACGCGACGACCCAACGACTCTTACGCATCCAACTCGAAGGGCAAGCCACGCCAAGCCTGATCTATCGAGGTAAACCGTTCACCCATCCTTCAGAAGATTCCGATCACCAAGATGCCAAGACCTTGATTCGGAGGTTGTTGGGCCCGACGTATTCTTCCTCTTCGACCGAGACTTCGAGCTCGGGGCTCAACGGGCAGCCGAGTGCCGCCTCCACTTCGACGGCCAAGAAGACGATGATGACTTATCCGGGAGTGTCCTTTGAGTTGGAAGAACGAAACAAGCGAGGCAAGTCCATCGCAGTTTGACCCTGCTGCCTGCTTGGGTTTCTGACGTTCACAAATGCCTCCGTTCGACAGGCTCAACCGTGTCGAGAGCCATGGTCACACCACTCCTCGCACCAGAATCCAACATCCCCATCGACACAGCGTGGCTGCACCCTAGCTTGCCCAACGATCATTCCAAGAAACAAGGACAACTGGGCCAAGTTGAGATCATGGTGCGTCGTTCCGTGCATCACCTTCCCTTCCCTGCACACTCTCACTCTGGACCCCGTTCTGCAAACTCAGCTCGATGCGCAGAATTGTCCAACATCCGTCAAACTCGTGTTCTATCCGCACGACTCACCATCAACATCACATCATGCCGTCGAGTTCAAGATCGGCGAGTCGACGAGTGAGGACATCATGTGCGATCTCGGCAGTGCGGTCAGGTCGTTCTGGAAGGAGGATGTGAGTGAACCCGTCGATCCTCAACCACTGTCCGCCCGGGACTGAATCAAACATTCCGCATCGACGCCTGCTTCGCTTGACAGGATCGCATGTCAATTCATTCATCGCCCGATGCGACAGCCTTAGCAGCACTAGATCGTAGGTCTCAGGTACCCTAGCTTGTCTTGACTGGAAGAACTTTCTGACCGAGCTATGGATATGTCATGCACGCTCAGCGAACCCTTACTTCCTCTCCTACCCATCCCTCGGTATCACGTTCCTCGTCCATGGCTCGAAGCACCACCTTCTCAAAGTCATACTGCATTCGAACCTACCCGGCGAAGTCAATTTTGGCCGAACGCATCGATGTCGCTGGGCCTTGGTCGACAGCTCGGGTGCTCGCATCGGGTGTGAACAACCCTTCACCAAAGTCAAGACAAGGCTTGTAGGAGGGAGTCCTAGACCTGGGTCTCCGAAGGGCGAGTTGAAGGGTGAGAAAGATGATTTGACAGCCAAGAAGGGCGTGAAGGGGTTCTCGGTGGAGAAACCGATGATTTTGGATCGGACCGCCGGTGGTGGGGAAGGGTCCGAGGTCAAGGGCAAAACGACCGGTGAGTTGGATTATTATCACGGATCGCTCTACCTAAAACCGAAACCGATCTTCAAATGGATGGTGTTGGCGAGACTATCGCTGACGTGAACGGTGTCCTCCGTCCGCTGACTCTGACCATCTCGCTCGTGCGATGGGTCGCTGTTTCACCGTTTCACCAGAGATCCATGGATTTCCGGGCGTCGCGTTCGAGGTGACGATTTCCGGCGACGTCGAGACCGTTTGGCTATTTTAATTCTTCGGTCTCAAGTGCTCGAGCAAGCCAGTGCGAGGAACGCCAAGACATGGGTGTCTGGCAACTTCAAGGCCGAGAAACAAGCCGTTGAAACTGAGATAGTGGTGGTTCCAGACTTACCGATCATCAGCCGGGGCCCCTCGCCACGTTTTAGCGCGTCGGTCCCTGAATTCCTGATCGCTCGTCCGCGGATTTAGGCGAACGTCACGACAACTCGGCGATTTACGGTGTTCACCTGGACGATCAAACGAAGTGATACCATATGCATTAGCTTTTGTTTTTTATGTAACACGAAAACGTCCGTAACCATACCGCGATCACCGCAGCGAGCCGGAGTATGGGGATCCGAAACCGAATTGACCGGCGGCAAAATGCGCCGGTGGGGCTCCTCAGCTCCTCCCCCTTGGCGGAAGTTCGACGGGTTCGACGATCGCTTCTCGGTTGAACAAACCACGAGAAGTCGTGCTTCAATTTGTAAAACAGAAAAGGTCCGACCCAACAAAAAATGTGGGGCCCGCGAATGATCGGCTGGGATTCTTGAAGGAAGCGTGAGCTGGAGGAATCGCGGGGTTGTTCCCGATCCTTCTCTTTCGAAATCAACCGAAGTTGCCCAGATCCTGGCGAGTGTTGGCACGACTCCTTCTTGCTCTGCCCTACACACCTACACCGCCGATTTGGGTGCACCACTGCCCGAGTTTGATCTCGTTGACCGCAAGGACTTAATCTCAATACGCCCCCTGTACGTGCGACTGCCTCAAAATCCCACTATTCGAATTGCTCCGAGCCCCTAGTTTCCAATCACTTGCACGCGGTCGACTCCTCGCCGCTCGTCAGCCGGCAAGCAGCGCCAACCAAGTTACCAAGCCGACCACTTATTTTCCTCCGACTCGATCTTTTTCTCTTCAAGTCCCAAGATGTCGCACACCAGTCCCAATGACGCTTTCCTACAGCTCTTTGGTACGCCCTACGACCGCGTGCAAGTGACAGCCACCGCCGCGTCGACCCTTCCTCGCGAACGCGGCAGCGTCTCCGGTCTCGCGTCGGCGGGATCGGCTCTGCTGGCGCGCCGCTCTCCCGGCCCGAGGCTCGGAGTGACCAAATTGTCCTCCTCGTCGTCGTCTCTACAGACCTCGATCGCTCGATGGGAAGAATCCGTCCATGCGTTCCATTTCGACGATCTTGACTTTCATCATGATCACGATCACCATCAACCAAACGCTACGAACATGATGGAGGAGGTCGCTTCCTCGTCGTGTTGCTCCGCGACGGCAGTGTCCGAACACAGACCAGCCGACGAGGCCTGTGCGTTTCGAGCGAGGAGCGCTTCGCTTGATTTCTGGGGGATGGATCTCAGTGCTCCGATGTCGCTTCATGACGAAGGTCAAGTGTACAAAGCCTCGAGTGTCGAACCGGTTGAACGACACGAACTGGTTTCATCAGTCATCAAAACCACCGCCCCCAAAAGGAAACGACCGTCCGTGACGACTTCGGGAGAGCCTTCGAATTCGACCTCGGATTCGTCAGCGCCGAAGCGAGCGTGGCGTCAACCCGCTCGAAGCTGTCTACCCTGTCGACAAAAAAAGAGTCGGTGCGATCGTAGGGAGCAGTGCAACAGCTGTACTACTCGTGGGATGCAGTGCGTTTGGACGGGAGTTGCGTGAGTTTGCCGTGGACCTCTGTCGTAGTGGAGGAACGAACAGCGGATAATTAATGCTTCTCGGACTGTGGCGCATAGCCGACCGTTGACGGACGAAGAGCTGTTGGCCGAGGCGGAAGGTGCGGTCGTGCCAGCACCGACAGCGGCTTCGGCGCTGACATGCTCGTCAGCCGTGGCCAAGTCTGTAGGAGCCGCGAAGAAAGCGGCGCGCGTTGCGGCCGTCACTCCACCTCGACTTCCCTCTGCGCCTCCTGTCGTTCCTACCGCCGCCGTCGCCGCGCATGTTCCCGCATCTATGGCGTCGACGACAGTGCCGACGATGGTCGCCTCTTCCCCTGAGCAAGTCGAAATTACGCGACTTCGATCGATCATCAAGTCCCTTGCTCAACAGCTCCAGCTTGATCTGACGACCTTACTCGAGCCTGCCTTCCTGCCTGAGCCCCTGATAGCTACCGCTGTCCCACCACCATCGACGAAGGAGGCAACGACCTCCACCACCTTTAAAAAGCGACGACGCTCCAATCTTGGTCCGCTCACCCTCCCTTCACCACCTGCACTCTCATACGGCTCATCATCCGATTCAAGTTCTTCCTCTTCCTCCATTCTTGGCCAGATTTCTCCCGAGCTCCCCTTCGTCTCCCCCACCTTCCTCCCCTCTCATCGAACTGAACCCTCGTCGACAAAACATGCCCGGAGATCAAGTTACGGTTTTGATCATCCGATGGAGGTGTTCGCCGGTCGGAACGAAGAACCTTCAAACGCTTGGCTGAATCCGAGTAGTTGGTTGACGGCGATCCCCAAGACGTTGATGCACTGAACAGGCTTAGGTCATGATCCGCAGCATTTCTACACTGCCTAGCCAGCGCCCTACCTACTCGCATCTCCGCTCGCAATTTCTTGGTACCGTTCCTTTTGTGCTTGTACTGTCTGCTTTGGTGTTGAAACCATGATTAACGACATTCCATTGTTCTACGGTTTGGTATCGGCCTCTCTAATACAAGGCGCTTCTAATGCGAATAATCATACCTGCAGCACGATGAAAGATCCTATCCATCAGTTTCCGGGCGTGACTCGAATCTGAACCGACTCGCGAGACTCACTTTCTGTAAAACGCCTCACTCTCCGTCACTTCTTTAGCTCCGCGTTTCCTCATCCCATCCCTCGCGATCTCGCCACTTTCACGCTTCTGACGATCCTGTTGTAACCACGCCAAAGCCAATTCCAACATCTTGGACCCATTCCTCCCCGGATCTTCCATCCGTTCCCTCACTCCCTTCGGAACTCCAGCTACGGTCGCTCCTTCCTCGGAAGGGAATTGAATCGGCCATGCGAGAGGTGAAGGAGGGACGGTCGATCCGAGTTGGATGTGGCAGAGATGCGTGGGGAAGGCGTCGAGTCCATCGAAGATGTGCGTCGCGTAGAGGATCGAGGCGTTGCGTTGTTGCGTTTCTTCGATCAGGAATGACAAGAGGCGAGAACGCACGAGCACGTCGAGATCGACGGTAACCTGGAGAAGAGAATGGGGGTAATCAGGGGTTCAGTAAAGGATCTGATGAGGAGGAGAATCGAGTGAAGACGCACTTCGTCGAGCAAGAGCAGATCCCACGGAGCCATCAATCCAGCAACGATTTGAACTCGCCTCCGTTCGCCGTCCGAGACTTCATGCATTCGCCATGCCAAGTCAACATCCCTGAAAGAGGCATAAAATCTGTATAAGCGATCCCATCCAGAGATATACAGCCAACTCGAGCTGGACTCACATGATGTCCAAGAGGTGATCTCTTCGCTCGGCATTTCGGTACCCTCCAACCGAGTCGCTAATGAGTTTTCAAGTCAAGCCCAGGATGTGGGGGCTCAGCCTCAGATGCTGAGCAACACAGCAAAATGCCATTGATGCATAGATTCGACGCACAGAAAGTGAGAAACCTTGAGGTCAGACCGAACTACAGGGTTCGCGGCCCATTCGGTTCCTGTTGAAGCAGTGCAGTGGGAAGAGCAGGATGAGATTCGGTCAGCTGAGCCGCAGGGTAGCATCGGCCCTCATTTCAAACTGACCGAGGTATGTGACACCTCTAGGGGTCGAGAAGAAGACGTCTTGGCCGAGGACTTTGGCACCGGATCGGGTCAAACGCTTTCCGGCCAAGATTTGCAGGAGCGTCGATTTACCTGCCAGCCCAGATGTAGTCGAATGACTATGGTCAGCAAGTGTATGGCAAGGACTCTTGTTTATGGCATTGGGGGGATGGCGCAGGGGAGGATGCAAGGCTCTTCATGGGGTTGTCACGTGCGCGCATTGGAGTCGGAGATCAACCCCTCTCGCGACGTCATCAAGGATCCGTCGGCGCCCTTGACGATCGTCGAAGGCAGCGCCGACGAGGTGCAGCACCCATTCCAGCCGCTGCCTGGGAAGCTTACCAGCGCCGTTGGCACCCACGAGAATGCACCTCGCTCCTTTGGGGAGGTTCAAGTTGACATGCTCGAGCACGGGTTCAAGTTCGGGTGCGTCGACGGGGCGATACGCGAAGCGCAGGTCCTCGACGTGGATCGCGAGCTCGAGTTCGGAAGACGAAGCGGCGTTAGAGTCGCCGTTGGTGGTGGTCATGATCGTTGACGAGCACTCGACTGGCGTAGAATCAGGTCCGGATTGAAGTAGGATCGACTTTTCCGGACGGTGAGGTCTGCGCTGACAGCGAGTCGAGAAAGGTGAGCAAACACTGGGAGAGCTGCGATCTCTTTTTGAGAATCGGTTGACGGCTTACGGGGCCAGTCGTCGGTGATCAGTTAGGATCGGATGCGCCCGCCCGCCCGCCCGGCCCGGCGCATGTGGAGGGAAAGAGGTCCGAGCGCACCGGACCGCGCGTGCAAGACCAAAACCCGAAACCCGACACGTCTCCTCGCGAGGGCGTCGGTCAATTCACGGTCCACACCCCACACCTGCGCACGGCGGAGGAGCGCATCCGAGAAATTGCTATTGCCTGGAATATGGCCACCTCATCTGCTGCTTCGAACATGGCTTCCACGTCGACACTGAGCCCACCTCTCGCGTCGACTTCGACTTCGACCTCGAACCCGACCCCGACCCCGACCCCGACCCAGACCCAGACCCAGACCCAGGCGCTCAAACCACCGCTCAGCACTCCGGCTCGACCGGATCCAGTCCAGGGTCAGTCCCAGTCGTCGCGTGCAGAACACAGAAGAGGACTCATTTAGCTTCGATTTTATGTCTCAGAATACGCCACATTCCTACACCCCAACTTTGACCCGAACCAGTTCGCGCATTCGATCGTCAACGACCAACCTTACGTTCCTCCGCCGCTCGACGGCGCGTCCGAGGCCGACACCCTCGAGGATGGTGCCCATGCCGCGTCATCCTTGTTCATGAAGGCGCTTGAAAGGGATGGGTCGGCGTTGAAGCGCGCAGGTGCGGTCGCTGGGGGTGGAGTAGGTGGGGCGTTGGCCCATCTGAGCTTTGGCGTCGAGGAGCTCAATCGCCAGCTCAAGGCCGAGGTGAGCTACCACAGCGCAGCAATCTTGGGGAAAAATGAGGTCCATGATTAATCCTGTGCTATCTCATGTCCACAGATCACAAAACACCATTCGAGCCTTCTGCTCCAAGCCGCGTCGCTCGGCGGTCTCGAAGGCGATCTCAACGAGGTCCGACACGGCCTCAAAGAGGTCGAAGCAGGCGTTACAAGGTCAGCTACCCCACATCCTACTCTGAAACAAGCGAAATAGCGACGAGACTGACGTTGGAACGGTGCTCTTGGTGACCATAGACTGCGGCGAAAAATCGCCACCCCCCACTCGTCCCTCTCGGCCTCGCTACAGCTTCTCACTCGACTCCGACGAACCTCGTCGCTCGCCCGAAGGAGTCATCGTTTCATTGTTCTCGCCAAACGGTTGGAAGCTCAAATGAACGAGATCGATGGGGTCGTCGTTGAGGATGCCGACAAGGTCCTGTCCAAGTCATCGACAAATGGTGGTACCAACTCGGGCACCGGTGGGGAAAGGACAGAGCGTGTGATGGCCGAAGCGGCATTAACACTCGCAGAGATTGGTGAGTGAATGCGCATCGAGCTTGTCTCAACTAGCTTCGCAGCAACTCAAGGTTTGCGTCTCGTCTCGACCTTGTTTCCGGACAGAGCTGCTTCTCAACGAAGGATCTGAAAACGACTCGGAGCTCATCTCGATCCGCTCTGTGCCGCTCATCGCGGCCCAAGTACCTGCCGTTTCATCGTCCCGAGAGCGAGTGGTTTTGTCGATGGAGTCGACAGTCCAGCGCGGTCTATCGACTCTCGACCATCCCTTGCTCGCCTCGAGCCTTCAAACGGCTCACAATCTCAGCGTACTGCCACAACTCGTCGATGCTTTGCTCGCCAGCTTGAACGATGTCGTGTCGAGGGAGGTCAGAAGGGCGTTCGACATGGCCAGTTTGGCAAAAGAAGTCAATGCCAAAGGTGCGGGCGATACAGCGCGCTGTCGGTGCCGGATCTTATGCTAAATCAGAGGTTTTAAACCTGGCATGTCACCAGATCCCTCCCAATCCTCAGGTCCGACTTCGTTCGTATACAAATCGAGGGCCCGAACGGAACCGACCTCGGTGACGCTGCCATTGTGGCAGTCCACACTATGGGCACGGATGGAGACGCTTGTTTCCGAGATGGGCGCGATCTGCATCAAGGTGTACACGCTCGAAAAAGTCCTCAAGCTCAAGCGAGACCAGATGACGCAGACTTCGTTCTTGGACGAGGCAATGACGGTGAGCAATGCCTCGACTCAGCTGCCTATGACCTTTCACCGCCCAAAGGCAAATGACTCAACAGCGATTGCTCAATGTAGGCCCTCGATGAGCGGCCTTCGGCCATGTTTTGGACAACGTTCGCATCAACTCTGGAGCAGCACACCAAAGAGACGGCACGGTCGTCGGCTTTCGTGCAGACCACAGTGGCATCGAGCTACCCAAGACTGCTCCGACTGCTGCACGAATTCTTCACCAAGATCGCCGTGCACACCGACACCGTCTATTCGTCAACTCAGCAGAGTTCTGAAGCCGTTCAAACCCTCCGAGCCATTCAGCCGTTCGAGACGCTATACTTGACTCGTTCGTCCAATCGGCTTTTGGAGAGTGTGGGATCCGCTTTTTCACTGTCGTCGGCGTCCTCAAACGCGTCGAGGACGATTCCGACCGCCAACGAAGGGCTGGGCACCGCACGAGCAATCGTCAACGAACTCGATGCCGCACGCTTCGATCCTTTGCTGGTGAAGAACATTGCCAAGGGTGCAGCCAGAGCCGTCGACACATTCGTGGGGACAGCCGAAAGTCTAGTGGGTCGTTTTGATTTCCCTACGAGCTTAGCCCTTTACTCAGGGTCACAACTATATCATAACCACAGATTGCTCGAGATCATTCCTCCACGAGTCTTCTCGGACCTCTGGCCACGCCTTCTCAGCACTCGAACGCCGAGTTGGCCTCATCGCTGTATCATCTTTGGTCGCCTCTTCACCGCGCGCTGCTGGGCGAGCAATACGGGATCGAGCCCGTCCAGGTTGCACTGAGACCGTCGATTGACCGGATACGACATGTATACCTTAATATCTCCAAGCCACTGATCATGGCCATTCGCCGCGAGTTCTCCACCATCCTCGCTCGTATGCATCGCACCGACTATTCCAAGTCCAACGAAGAAGGCACTGCGCCCAACTCACAGAGCGCTTACATGACCGACCTCACCGACAAGCTATCGCTTGTCAGGGATGAAATCTTGGGCACATATAGGGTCGGAGACTTGGCCAAGGAATGGTTAGTTTCGACGGACCCTGACGACTCAATTATCCATGCTAACGACGGTTCATGACTGGCACGCTTGTTCGATTATAGGGCCCTGGATCTGTCGCGTTTCATCGTACAAACCTTCCTCTTACACGCATCGCTCATCACTCCGCTGGGCGAGTCGGGCAAGCTCAAGCTCGTTGCCGACACGGCATCTCTCGAGTTCAGCGTCTCGGCCTACTTGTCGTCCCATGCCCTTGCCCTTGCCGCAATGGGTGATCAGTTCAAAGCGTTGCGCGCTTGGCGGCCGTTATTGTTCCTGCCTGACAAGGATCTTGTCGCAAGGGCGACAACGGGGGACGTCCCGACGTTGATCCTCCTACACCATGCCTTGGGTCGGGCCGCTTCGGCCTGCCGCGAAGGTCGGATCCAAGTCAAGTTACCACATCAAGTCCAAGGCTGGACCGAAGGCGACTACGTAAGGTGGCTGAACGAGCACGGCGAGACCGATCGGCTCGCCATGGTGAGCATGAGTGTCGACGCGTGGAATAAGGAAAAGGAGGTCTTGGCGAGGGATGAGGAGGATGAGACGATTGGTCAGGAAGGGCAGGCCGTCATCGCTATCGTTTCGGAGATCTTGGCGCGAACGGGCTCGACTGCTTGATCGCGTGAACGTATTGCAATACCCTCCCGATTGTTAGGAACGTGCAGCTCATACCTATCGGTCGATGTCTGAACACATGAGTCTATGTCCTTTTGCGTTCTCACCCCCCATGATCTGTGCCAACTGTGCCCTGTGTAGTCCTAAGTGTTGACTCCGTGGACTCTCGTCTCCTGGCTGAGTTCGGACTCCGATGCCGGACTCGGATAGGAGTGCCGGCCTGTGTGCAAAGGCATTTTGGTATCTGGTGATGAAATGTATGGACCTACCATGGGTACGATATCGTAATTGACGGGTAGGCTATCACTTGGGCTAAAGGTCTGCAGTTTCAGATCGACATAGGGCCCGCCTAAACACGACCTTGTAGACCCAAGCTTTTTCTGGGGCCTCGTCATTTCGTCAGGCGTGAAGTTGATGAATCTATCTGGTACCTGACACCAGCTAGAGCTTTCCTTGTTTCGTTTTGAATGACAGGCCGAATTTGAGCCTCTTCCAGTTTGGATATAGCCTGACGGGTTGATCTGGTGCCCCCTATTCATGGCTACCAGTTAATCACGAGCCGCCAGTTTCACTATGCAGTTGTCCCACTCTCCCAGCTTACAGAAGGCGGGGTGCTGTAAAAACGCATATCCAACACTCGTCACTCGAGAGTCGAGACGCGGCAGTCCGTGAAAGTTGGGGCTCGGAACCGAAAGTGCGGATCTGTGCCAATTGTAAGGCTCGGTTGCCTTACGCTATTTAACTACCCTTCTGATTTCAATATGCATCTATTGAAATTGTCAGTCTTTTGGACCGTGTAACCTAGTCGTGAAGGGCCTGGGGTATTACACTATATCAAGAATGAATGAACGAACGATGGGGCCCATTAGAGATTCGTCTAATCATGCTTAGAGTATCTCTAAGTCTGGTGGTGGCGGGTGTAAGGATCGGTTGCCTTACGCTATTTAACTACCCTTATGATTTCAATATGCATCTATTGAAATCGTCAGTCTTTTGGACCGTGTAACCTAGTCGTGAAAGGCCTGGGGTATTACACCAATTCGGTGGCGATTTCATCTGCTTCGGTGCCGCCAACAGACTTCGCCCACTCCCTTTCAGCGAGTTGGTCAGGTCGAAGACTGATTTCCACCAGATTTCGATACTAGGTGACGGTCACCGCAGTGTCACTAATTCCTAGTCCATGCCTGGCCTTGCATGGCCGCCCATGATCTTCCGTTTGTAATCCCTCAATCTGCTGACTCTGAGCCCTGGCCTTCCTTCCTCCAGAATTAAGAGTCCGCCAAAAGAAAAGCTGGAGTAGACCTCGACAAGAGCGACTCTAGTAGGTAAGGGATACAGAATCGGTCAGTCATCGGATGTTCTGATGTTGGTGCTCAGCATGGTTGGTGCCAACGGAAGCTGTGCAGAAGTACACGGTACAAGCCGGATCCGACCCGACCCCTGATCGACATCCGAGAATAGTGATCGAGCAACAACTCCGACGAGCCGGCGACGAGGCTCGTGATCTTGAAACGATCGCTGCCGGTCGGCGGAGTCCTCTTATAGTAGTATTTAATTGACCGCTGACAGGTTCGAGTCCGAGCCCTGCCAGTCGCCACCCGCTATAAGAGTGTCGCACATGGCAAACACAAACCGGTGAAATACCGCCGATTGTCGTATGGGGCAGGAAAACAGCTACCTATCTAGGTACCTATAGGTAGATAGGCGAACAACATCCTGAGAATCAAGCAACCCAGTCGCCATTACTTCTCTGAATGATAAGTAACTCCGCGGGAAGTCATCCGGCGACTGCGCATGCGCCGCCCGTCACAAGTCACTGGATGAGAAAGGATCGATAGGCTGCAGCGGAAGACGACGAGCGACTACGACTTTAAAGTACCACAAGTGTCGAGATTAGTATAAGAGGTCTGTTAACCCAAATTCAATCATGGTATCCGAGCCAATCATGAAGACTCTAGTGCTAGGTATCCATGGTACCTAGGTGAGCTCTTACGTAAGCTATCGTATTGACTTGTGAAGACCGCACCAGGGTGTACAGAGCTGAGGATATAGGAGCCCCGAGGGTATTCCATAGAAGTGTCTGTCGGAGAAGTACCTTTTACGCGGTTCGGAGACGGCGTTTTCCGTGCAATGTCCGCCCAGCCGATCGCTGAGCAAGTGCTCGAAAACTATGCCTTTCAGCACTGAGAGAAAGGTCAATTCGGGAGCTGATATGTAGTATCGTCAAGTGACAACAAAAGAAGGTGCAGATGTCAGTTTCCACCTGAATTAAGTAGATACCTTTAGCGCTAAAGCGGGCTGGCAGTCCAAGTCATTCATCCTGTGCGTAACAGCATTCCCTCCGACTTTTCCGAAGATTTCTAGGCATTAATATAATTATGCTGTTAATGAAGTCTATCAAATAATAATAAAATCAAATAAAAAAAATCATCTGTTTGCAATCGAGAGACGCGGTCGGCGAGGTCTCAGATGGTGACCCTCCCTCGTGGCGACAAAGGCGTCGGGCCTTTTTTGAGCGCCTCTATAGCAACAGGGCCAAACGGAGCGTGGTCACTGTCTGTCACTGTCTTCACTACTCCGAGCCCGGCTCATTGTACCGCCCTTCGAGGCTTGCTACTACAGATTATCCACCAACCTATCCACCCCTCGACATTCACATACACCCGTAGCAGCTCAAAGCGACCCCTCCGCACTCGACTCGAGGCTCCTCTCCTCATGGGAGACCGCAGACCATACTTGGTCAACGATCCGGGATCGGCGGTGCCGGTCTGGCGGGAGACGATCACGGCTCGATCAGATCACTCCGAGTTGCGCGACTCGTCCGACCCCGGTTTCATGACGGACGCAAACTGTGCACCATCATCTACGGTAGCTCCTCCAGCGATGTTCGAGCGATCTCAGGGTATGTTCATGCCCAGCGGAGAGGGTGGTGTGTCGACTCGACTCCCCGATCCCACTGTGGGCCTCGTCGACGCTGGCGCGTCGACATCCACCGGCGCCAACCGGCGGCAGTCCGTCGCTTCGACGGGGACACACTCGACTCGACCTTCTTACGCTGAGTCATTGAATCGGTTCAACAGTGCTCGTGATCAGGTGAGCGCTAGTTACTCATGGCAGTCCACGGTTGACCGCAAGCGTGGTGAGGGCCGCCGGCCCACCCCCGCCCGCCCGCGTCGCGACCTCGGGGTCCGGTGTATATCAGACCGTGCCTACCGCAATGGACATCTTCTGCTACGCTTGGTCACATGCGGGCTCCACGGCTTGAAGACTTTGTCAACATCCTGGATGACGGGAGTCGGCGCGTCGATCGTTGACATTCCAAGAAACTGATCTGTCTCCGTTACGGCCAACCTTCAGGTTCAACACGCCTACCCATCGCAACGCGGCGGCCAGGCGTTTCAACATTTTCCACCCCATTATCCCGGTCCGGAAGTGTACTCCACAGATGCCCGATCGAACCAGAATGAACATGGACTCGCCCGGCACCCTCATGCTCAGCATATCAACGGCGAAGGAGGGGCTGCGCGCAGCAGCAATCAGGCTCACGAAACGCCGAACTCGGCGGCTTTGGCACCCGCGCCGTGGTCGTCCCTTCCGCCTGGAAATCTTTTTGCACCCTCTACGACGCTATCGAATGGCCTTTCCAACAACGCGTGGGGTTCCGTCACACCGGCCTCGTACCATTCCGGCCCGAGCCATCAAACTCACCTCCCGCCTCCACGCCCAGGGGCCTACTATCCGTCGGGGGCCCAACACAACATGCGACCCATCTTCAGCAATGATTTTAGCTACGTTCAACCGCTTGAGAATATTCCAGTGCAATACCGACCGGCTACTCGTATTGAACAGTACCCAAGCAGTCAACTGCATCGGCAGAGCTTCCCAGGGGATACCGATTCCGGAGTCTTGTACCCTTCCAACCTAGGGGATACCACCTTCGGCCACGTGACCAACACAGCGGCACCACGACAAGAGCGCCTGCACTATGAGCAACACCCTCCGCTCATGAGCTACCCGCACGGGATGGGGGTCCGAACATCTTCGACCACGGTTGTGCCTGCCGACGATCACGTTCGCGGCTCAAATGACCGAGTGAACTACCTGGACCAGCGTACTATGCAACTCGACCGGTTCGGCGCAAGCTCCGGGGGATCTCAGTACGACGCGGTCAACCACCTCTCGGCGTCCAATATTTTGAACCTTGCAGAACACGAGCGGCGTTTTCTCAAGCGCAAGGAGATGCATGCCCTGGAGCAGACTTCAATGGTGAGCTGGGTTCTCATTTCACCGACCCAATCCTTGGGTTGCTGACCCAGGACTATCTACGGCGTGTCAGTCGAACATGGACCCCCCTACGACTGGTCTGTCCGGTCTGACTGGGACCTTGATGGCTCCCTCGTTCTCTCAAGAGAAGCACGTGTCCCGATACCCAGTCCATGCCGCAGCACCAGATGGTTCAGATTTGGCGGACGTGCTCGCCAAAGCGATGCGGATGCGTGCGGAATTACGTGCTGCTCCACCGGTCCTCCCGTATAACCCCGCCCGGGAGCCTTCAGCTTCCGCAAAGCCGATTGTGCAGCGTGATGGAGTCAAGTACGCACTCATGATGAGTCCGGCTACCAATGGCGACGGCACGAGCAGGCTCTCAAAGGCGCGGCAGGCCGAAGTACCGGCAACGTGTCAAACTTGCGACAAATCGATCGCGAACTTGATGCTGCGCGGGAAGGATGTCGAATTTGCCCCTCAGGTCGAGTTCAAATGTCTCGCCTGCCTTTTGAGCAAAGTGGACGAGCCTCTTGCGGAAACATTCATTTCGGTCAATAGCCAGAGTACGACACCCAGCGGAACACCACCGGCACAAACGACAGTTGGGAAATCCACGCCGGTGGAAGCAAAGATCACATATGCCGATACGATGAGCGCCGAGATCGATCGCATGGAAGGACGCGAGGTCGCTGCCGTAGTGATCGAGCCGTCGGTCGAGGTGGGCCGAAACCTTCCGCCCCACATCAAGAAGCAAGCGTTCACGTGCGACATCTGTGATCGAATCATCGGGGCGGGACAGATCACGTCAGCGACGTTGCAGACTCTGCCAAGCTTCACGGTGGAGGTTCTTTGTCTGAACTGCATCGCCAAATACAAGCCTTGCTCCGATTGCGGTGGTGGCGGTGGGCGCTTAACACCCGGACGATGGAGGTGCAAGGAGTTGTTCCCCGCGGGCCGTCGCACGTGCCAGCTGTCGCATGCGCGCAATCCACCCCTGTCGGATATGGAGTTTGAGACTCTTTCGATCGTGGACATTCATCCGGACAAGCTGGATCAGCTCGAGGCGCGATGTCGTCTGGTGTACTTTGATACGAGGCTACGTTCGACCGCTCGACCGGAAGTATTGGAAACAGGAGATAGCTTAGCGTGAGTTGACAGTCACATACAGACTGCGTGACCCACGGCAATGCTGATTTGGCTATTTGCATCTGTGTTGCTCACCAGGCTTACGTTTCGGGAGGCCGAGAACCAATGCATCGACCAATGGAATCTGCTGTCTTCGCTGCTACGCGAGGACATTGAGGAGTCAAGACTTATCCGCCGCTATGTCGCCTTGCATTCGGCCACACCCCATCGACGCCGGGCCAAGTCCAAGGTCAAGACGCGGGATGATGGCACGGACGTCAGTCCTTCGTCCGCATCGCAGCCCGACGAGGAGGATTCACCAGCCCGGGACAAGGAGGTGACGGGGTTCACGCTCATCGAGCACGACCTTGTAAAGGGCGTTCTCTTCTACGCGGTCATCATGCCCTGGGCCGTGTCTGGTGAGGCCTTCGAGGCGACGTCAATCCTGGTCGGTAACTCGACGCGCAAAATTCAAGGGGATCTCGAGTACCTCAACGCTCTGCGACGACGACATGGTCTCGCCGAATACCCCAAATTGTCGGCCATGTGGAGTTTGACGCCTTTCCAGAAGGTATCGCGGATGAGTCAATCCGTCACGCGACGCCACTTTATGTTCTTTCACGACTACATGGAGGCCCATCCCGAGACGGACAAGACTGCTTTCCCACCGTACCGAAAGACTCATATTCCGAATCAATGTGAGAAACGGCCTCTCTTCTTGCCCACTGCCTTGCCTGCTCAGGGCTCGTTCCGGATCTCATATTGACCTTCCCTCCGGCTTCTATCACCAGTCCTCAAAGCGTTCAACATCTTCGTCCGTCCCATCACATACGGTGACGCGCCCGCCGACATGAGCGCCAAAGAGGTCGACCACCAGAACCGACCTCGCATGCCAAAGCGAATCCGTTCCAACACTTAGATTTCGAGACTGCTGCCCAGAGGCTTCATGCACTCCGCCATGACATTTCGCCTTCCACCAGATTGCTCGTCCTGTTGTTGTATACTTCGATTTGATCAATGCCATAATGTTCAAAAAGGGGTTTATTCACGACTGACGAGCTATGACTTGGCTCGAGGACTTTTGAGTTTGGGCTTGGGCTCAGCGCAAGCGGGCTGTACCGTCGCCGGCCCGCCTCAAGGAGTGATACTGAATCCGGGGAGGCGAAAGTCCGAACGCTTGAAGGGTGTTAAGGTAAAAGGAATGAGCCGATGCCGCAAAATCGGCGCTGAGATCGTCAAGATTTGACCCTGGCCGAGCGAGCTGGCTTCCATGATCGTTGGACGTGGTATCGTCTGAGTTTTCCTCGTCACCCACCCGCTGCTTCTTTTCGACAGGAGGGAGGGAGGTGACTCGAGTGGCGTCTGGCTCAGACGAAAACTCTAGTATTTCCGTCGACACCAAGGTGTCTTGCGACCTGTGTGTAGCAGCTGCACTCTCTTGCATCGAAACATCCGAACTGCCAACACTTCGCATTCGCGACTGGCGACTCCGGCTTGAGTTGGAAGGAGTCACGACCTTATCAACCGACGATGTGCGACGCGATGAGGGGTCGGAGGTGTCGAGATCCGAATTCTCCCTCACCGTGGTCGTCGTTGGGGATGAGGACGGGCCAGACTTCTCTTCACTTGGCTCAGAGTCGGCCATCGATTCTAACTGAGCCCAATCGTGCTGCGCCAGCATGGCCTGTCGTAAAGCGCCGAGGTCGGCTGTGGCGGAAGCTTGCAGGTGAAGCGACGTCCTTCTTGGGGGAGAAGCGGAGGCGGGAGGTGATTTATGGAGCTTCTTATTGGTGGAGCTGGAGGTGCGCATGTGCCCCTGTTTGCTCGGTCCCACCTCAGCCTGCCGCGCGAACGCGAAGTCAAATTGAGGCATGGCGGTCGTCCGGGAACCGTTCACCTGTTCACCTATCCACCGCGATTTGATTCCTGACGAACTCGACATGCGATGAGTACCGTATGGTTTGGTCGAGGTTTTACGTCTCTTCAGTTGACGGGCTTGCAAAGAAGGTGTTCCCGTGGCATCGATTTGCCTGAGTGGTGCCGTGAGGAATGAGACCGTCGATCGCCGTCAGCGATGCCACTGCTGTTAGCCGCTCGTTCGAGCCAGCAGTGAGTTCGGCTAACAAACCTTTTGCTGGTATGCAGCACATTACGATTCCTCCCTCCTCCAGTGTAATTGACCGGCATTGACGAAGATGGGGGCGAGTCGATGCAGCTGCTGGCGTGTGGGGGGTTATCAGACGTCAGTCGGCGCAGCCCGCTCCCCGGAGTCGAGCTCCTCGTCTCCTTTCCGACTCATCGGCTTCCTTCTCCGCCGCCCATGCGGGGCATCGAGCGACGATGCCCAGACGCTGAGGCTGTATGGTCATCTAGCTTTCACTCGCCCTCAATAACTTGCATCGAAAATTATTGTTCTGACTCAACTTGCGCAGCCAGCAGGCTAGTTGAATAAAGAAGTAGTCGAGCGTCGTACCTGTAAAACACGTCGGGGGTCTTGACCAAAATTCCTTCCAATTTCGAGTAAACATACCGCCACGTGCTCTTGTCTTGCACTCAAATACTTGTAATTGAATGCAGCGGTATCAACCAGTGCGGCAGGCTAGCGCATTCGCTGTGGCCTGACAAATCAGCGCAGATTGGTGCGACCGACCGACGTCTAATGCTCAGTCGTTCTCCTTGCCTCAATCCATCTCGATCGACTTACTCACCCACTTCGTCGAGACTCCGGTCCTTCATTCCGACAGCTCATTCTTCCTGTCCCTCTCACACCTCACCTCAACCCACCTCACCTCAACCCACCTCACCCCAAGCAACAGCATGTCCAAGGAGACCACGGGCGACATCCCCTCGGCGGGCCGCTCGGGCGAGCACAGTCTCGAGACCAACACGGTCATCGTCGTACTCGGTGCCAGTGGTGATCTTGCGAAGAAGAAGGTGCGTTCCAAGCCATGCATAGATGAACTGGACTTGGAAGGCAAATTTGTGGAGTGATCTAGCGTATCCGCGGTGTGGCCGTCCCTGCTCATTCCCGCGCCCCGGATGATGACGATGACGGTCACGGCTCGGGCGGGGTGTGCAGCCCACACCGAGGGACGCCGATCGGTCAGAGAGGCAGTCGAGCTACTCCGCCCACCTTGCGCCCTGATGCATGCATACACGGTATTCCTCGAAGAGTATAGCTAATCTCGCATGGTACTATCTCTTTCGCACAGACCTTCCCCGCCCTTTTCGGGCTGTACAACAACGGCTTCTTGCCCAAGGGCATCCGCATCGTCGGCTATGCCCGCACAAAGATGGACGAGGAGGTCAGTGTGCAAATCCCGCCAGTCCTTCACATTGCTCCTATGGCTCGAGACAGCCTCTTGTATCTCCCGTTGCGACGCATGCTGCCCTTCAGCTTGGATGCGGCCAACGCCGAATTGCCGCGGAGTCTACGGCGCCTGTTCCCGCCATTCGTTGATCAGCCGCCGCGGTCACTTGCTCGGGTCGCAAGTGCCAAAGGATGGTCGGACATCGCTTGCTGTCGGCCTCCCTTCAACTGGGATCGCACGGAGGACCTGTCATCAGCCACTCGGTGATATGCCGCCGCACGCGGCGAACGGCGCTTCGGACCGCGCCAGTCCGGGCATACCGGCAACCCACCCGAGCCGGGACTTGTCTTCGCCAACAGCTGCCAGGCATCGCAGTACGATAGGACTGAGCTGACACGTGGAACTGCCCCGCCATTCACAGGAGTACCACAAGCGAGTTGTTCAGTACATCAAGACCCCAATTCCGGCCATGAAGAAGAAGCTCGAGGAATTCGTCGGCCTCTGCACCTACGTCTCGGGCCAGTACGACGACGATGAGAGTTTCCAAGGCCTCGAGAAGGAGCTTAAACGCATCGAAAGCGAATATGAGGACAAGGGTTCCAAGAACCGCGTCTTCTACATGGCCCTGCCCCCGAGCGTGTTCACGACCGTCGCACAGCACCTCAAGACCAACAATTACTCGGAGGGTGGCATCAACCGAATCATCGTCGAGAAGCCGTTCGGCAAGGACTTGGAGAGCTCGCGTGAAATGCAGGAGGCGCTTAAGAAACAGTGGAAGGAAGACGAGGTGAGTCGAATGGATGCTAGAAGTATACGTGGACCGCACCGTTGTCTGACGATGATGACAACCTGGCACCCCTTGGCATTTCGTGACAGATCTACCGAATCGACCACTACCTCGGAAAGGAGATGGTCAAAAATTTACTTGTTCTTCGATTCGCCAACGTCATGCTTGATGCTTCTTTCAACAAGTCGCTCATCTCGAACGTGCAAATCACGTTCAAGGAACCTTTCGGTACCGAGGGTCGCGGCGGTTACTTTGACGAGTTCGGAATCATCCGTGATGTTATGCAAAACCGTGAGCATTCAGTGATCTCTGCATTAATTTTTCTAGAAAGGCCTTGCAGCTCATACAGTCGTCGTACTCTCCCTCACAGACTTGTTCCAAGTTCTCAGTATCCTTACCATGGAGCGACCTGTGTCATTCTCGTCCGAGGACATCCGAGATGAGAAGGTGCGTTCTTGTGGTCGATGTGGCTATTTTCTTGAGCGGGGTTTTAAGTGAGCGTCTTTGGCTTCGTGTTGCAGGTCAAGGTGCTTCGCTATATCCCGCCTGTTTCCGTCGACGAGTGCTTGCTCGGGCAATACACTGGCGCCGAGACCAAGGACGGAAAGAAGCCCGGCTACCTCGAGGATGAGACTGTACCCAAGGGATCCATCTGCCCTACTTTTGCTGCTATTGTCGTCCACGTCAACAACCCGCGCTGGGAAGGTGTCCCCTTCATCCTCAAGGCCGGTAAAGGTGAGTGACGACGAGTACGACAGATTCTCCGTTACATTGCTCATACTCCTCGATTTGTCTGCTCGCACTCCAGCCCTCAACGAACAAAAGACGGAGATTCGAATTCAGTACAGGGACGTGACCGACGGTATCTTCGCCGAGATTACGCGCAATGAGCTCGTGATCCGAGTGCAGCCCAACGAGGCGCTGTACCTCAAGCTCAACGCCAAAGCCCCAGGGTTGGCGATGCGCACGGTGCCGACCGAGATGGACTTGACGTACAAGCGCCGCTTCTCGGACCTCAAGATCCCCGAGGCGTACGAGGCGCTGATCCTCGATGCGTTCAAGGGCGACTCGGCCAACTTTGTGCGCGACGACGAGCTCGATATTGCGTGGAAGGTTTTCACGCCGCTGCTGCACTACATTGACGAGAAGAAGCCCAAGCCCGAGCCGTACGAGTACGGATCGCGTGGGCCAGCATCGTTGGAGGACTTTGTCAACAAGCACGGTGGCTACACCCGCAGCGAGAAGCCTTACACGTGAGTTTTGCAACGCTTGTTGGCCCCAGTCATGGTGTGTTCAGCTCACTCATGGAGACTCCTTGACGAGTGCAGGTGGCCTTCAACGTCGGTCCTGTAAGGGTTCGAAGAACGCTACTATATCGAGTCCCTGTGTTTTTGCTCGGCAAATTGTGCCAATATATAGTCAGAAGACGTTTGTTCTGGGCTCCACTTGTTTGGTTTGCTCGTCGCCCTCTCGAACTTGATGCTTCAACTGATCGTATAAATTGCAGTGCGAAAAAAAATATGTCCCAATTGTACCCCATTCGGTGCACCAGTGACCGACGGGGATGCCACCAGCTCAGACCTGGGCGAGGCAATTTTGTCCACTTTTGTCCAAGCGCGCGGCGCGCGTGGGAGGTGGCTTCGCAAACGCCCCGCGCCGCAAGCTCACCCCCCGATCCGCATCCACGACACTTCCAAGCCGACTACGCTAGTTCGCTGAATCGACTTTTTTGGTCACCTTCTGACTTCATCTTTGCCCACCTCCTTCTCCCCCCAATCCCACCCGCCAAAACAAGATGAGTTACGTCGCCAAAAAGGAAGAGTTCGACTCGTCCGCGCCCGCGGTCAAGAGCCACAAGATCCGCATCACCCTCACCAGCAGGAACGTCAAGAACCTCGAGAAGGGTGAGTGCTCTCTGCTGGACACGAGAGGCTGGGGTCTTGGGGTGACGAGTGTAGAGCTGGTTTTGGGTTTTGGATTGGCTGCGGCGGTGTTGGGTGTGTGTGTGTGTGTGGTACGCGGCGGGCCGGTGGTGCGATCAAAAATCGATGGCTGGTCCTGGCGCCTACATGAGCGTACATCGCGGATGCCCGGACATATGCACTGCACGTGTGAACCCTCTCGTATGCTTTTGAGTGCAGTACGCATCCTTGCGGCGTGTCTGTGCCCCGTGGATCTCGATCGAGTCGAATGGGCCCACCCCCCAGCGCCCACCCGCGTCCCAACAGCACGCACCTGCAGCTTTGCGCCAGGGGCCCCCGACCAGCGACTCACTCGTCCGCTCACTCGCTGATCTCCCCTTGTTCTCTCTCTTTCTAGTCTGCTCGGACTTGGTCAACCGCTCCAAGGACAAGCAATTGCGCGTCAAGGGCCCCGTCCGTCTCCCCACCAAGATCCTTCACATCACCACCCGCAAGTCCGTACGTGATTTTTGGCCCGTTGGGGACCGGCTTGGCATGTTGCCAGTCGCTGATGTACAATCCCTCTTTTTGTTGCATCACAGCCTTGCGGTGAAGGATCCAAGACCTGGGACCACCTCGAGATGAAGATCCACAAGCGCCTCATCGACCTCGAGTCCCCCGCCGAGGTCGTCAAGCAGATCGTACGTTCTTCTCAGCTCCCACAACTGCCCTTGCATCTCAGCCGCTGACCGCTTCTTCCATCACTGCGATTTAGACTTCGATGTCGATCGAGTCTGGCGTCGAGGTCGAGGTCACCATTGCCGCTTAATCGCTTCGATGGTTGATGCATACGAGGACAGGGCTCGTCCCGTCCGGTTGGAACTTCTACCCGTGTTCTGCGAGAACGAGGTCTCCAAAAAAATAGAGAGAAGTTGTTTGTAGACGCTTTGGTTCCTTTCATGTTACACATTGCAAGGCATCATGCTCTTCTTCACTTCTGCTACCACGGGATGCCTAGATACCTTGCTCAAGCGAGAAGAAGCAACCTACAGTCAATCAAAGTCCCTCGGGGTACAATTTGCTACTTGTCCCATCACTAGGGACTGGAGAACCAGTTCGGATCCCAGTCCCTCGTGACAGGAATATCATGCGCACGACAAAACTTCCTTGCCCACGCTATCCGTTTCCCCTCATCGACGATATCCGTCCTTTTCAATCCACCGTTACGGATGAAACCCGCAATGTTGCTCTGCTCTCGCAGTTGTTCAAGGAGGTAGATGGTCGACAAGAGCGCTTCGTCTTGGCCGCAGGGGTGAGTCGAAGCGATCTCGGTCGCTGAGGCTCGAGGGAGATCGACGGAAGGGGCTCGAAATCCTCGGGGTAAGGAGGCCCAGCGAGGAGGACTCGAAGGTGGGAGACTCGAGGGATCGAGCAGGAAGGGTTCGATGGGGAGGTGGTTGTAGGGTTGAGTCGCCTGTTGAAATCGGAATTGAAAAGTAAGGGTTCAGTCGCCGCAATACCTCCACCCCGTTGTCCCTCGGAAGGACTTACAGCTTTGCCCTCTTCGTCATCCAATAATACCGTTCTTCTCGGTCCCAGTTCACCCCCCAGCACGCGCCAAAGCGGATCCAAATCCTTGGACGTCTCGACATCGAGATCGAACTCTCTCGGCGTCAACCCCATCTTTTCCCTCGACCAAACCAACGCCAACGCATCCCCCTCTTCCGCTTCCCACGATTGACCACCTTGAACCGAGTTTGCCCGCTCGTGGTCGACGAGTCCGACGGCCGCGAGTAGGGCCAGGACGTTCTTGGCCCTTGCCGACGAGTAGACCGCCAGGATCCATCTCGGTGACCCATCGGTGGTTTGACTGACGAGGTAGTTGAGGAACGTGGCGAGGTAAGGTCGTGCGATCGGAGATCGTGAACCGGACGCATCTCGCTTCTTGCGAAACAGCAACGTGTTGTTGAGGTCGAGGACGAGGCAAGGCGGTGAGATCGGTTCGGGAAGGACGGACGAAGGCTCTTGAGCAACGGCGAGGTACGCTTCGTTCGGTTCGGGAGGTGGCGCATCGCGCGCCCGCTTGACTCGACGTTGCGGTCGGACGTATGGGCCACTACCACTAGTAGATGCAGGCGGGGATCCGGCCCTCGGGCGAACATTCGGTCGTGCACCACCCTGCCCGCGGCCATGCGCCGGAGCCGGGTGGGTCGGAGCATTCTGGTAGTTTGGGGGCTGGGACTGAGGGTATGGCTGATTGGCTTGCTGGTAATGTTGTTGATAGTCTTGTTGATTCTGGGTATAAGGGAAAGGCGGGCACGGTGCTCCCCAGCGCTGGTGCTGATCCCACACGGGGGGTGTCGGCTCGAAGAAACCTCTTTGGAATTGGGGCAGGAAGGCTGGGTTGTAGTGACCCCCATTGAATGACACAGGACCATTGATCAAGGGTTCATGCGGAGAGTAACCTCTGAGTGGGTTGAAGTCAAAGCTGGGGTGGGTCAGTTCGGTTGTAGTCCGTGCACTCTCCAATCCCCACGCGCGGTCTCGGCAGAACTGACTCGGTCTGGCCACTGATCGAGGCTGAATTGAACGCCGGCGGTGCGTAAGGTGACTGATTGAACTGAGGCGGTGGGGATGTCATCGGGGCGTAGGGCGGTATCGGCATTCCATTCGGGTAGAATCGCGCGTGGGGCATGACCGGCATGTACTGCTGTTGTATTGGCTGGTGCTGGTACTGCTGCTGCTGGTGCTGCTGCTGGTGTGGCACCTGCCATCTGCCGCCATTCCGTTCTGGGACCAACCTCCCACTCGGAGCAGCTCCTACAGCCCCCGGACGTCGGTCCATGCGCTTCGCCTCTTGTCTCTGCTTCCGTATTAGCCTGGGTGATCCTTTCTTCTTCTTGCCGGCCATCGTATCGATGAGGCTGGCACACCACACGCGTCGCATTCAACTGCTCAGTGCTCGCCGAGGTTGTCAGGCGCTCGGACCACCCTGCGACGAAATAATGCGATGGACCGCTGGCGGGAGCTGCAGTCGCCGACCGAAGAAGACGTCAGTCAAGAGCGTTACCATCCCTGGGCGATCCAGCTGAAGCCGTACCGAGACGAGTTCGTACTTCCAGTGTAGGGCGAGTCGGTCTCCTGGTCGCTGAACTGGAGGTAGCCACCCAAGTGGAAAAGACGTCTGGCCAACCTCCGCACGCGCCTCCCAGAGCGACGGCCCACCAAAGCAGACCAAAGCCCAACAGGGCCGACCGCGGACGCCCATCCGGCGCGCCGCTCCCCTGACGGGAGCTGACGGGGGCTCAATGTCCAACGGCCAGCAGAGCTAGCAGAGCAGTGACCGAATTTTCAGCATCGCTCTTCTTCAAGGGTTGAAGTCACCGCATGGTACAGATTACATCCCAGGTAGTACTGATGGTAAAGCTATGGGGTACTGATGGGAAACTGCTACTACTGAGGGGGGACAGGGTGAGTTCACGGGGAAACGGTCTCTAGACCAGCTACAAAAGATGGGACACAAGCAGGGGGCGATAGGGCGCCTCGATCTCATACTATTTGGGGATAGCACGCAAATCTTCGTCGCAGGCTGGGCTGGGATCTGGATTTGGGCTGGGCGATGCTTCCGAGCGCGAGCGGCGCCGACGACCGAAGCCGTTTCGTCTTGGAACGTCATGGATGGAATGGGTGGTGTTCGACCGATGATGCTCGCATTTGGTAGTACCGGTGACTCGGGTGGTGAGAGCGGGACGTACTCGGTATGCAACGTCATGGGCTTCTCGATCCTCTCCGGTGGCGGCACCGGAAGCAGGACCGAGGGGAATGGCACAGCGGCACAGGAGCTCTGGAGTGCGGGGGCGGTGGAGGTGGGTTTGACCTTGCGTCTCCTCGGGGCTCGGGTCTTGGGACCTCGCGAGGAACCTTCGAACGTATCCGTCCATTGTAGTCTTCGATCGTCGAGAACTTCACCGGCCATATGTGTTCCCGGCCGACTCAAGGTAATAGGGCCGTTCGCGGCCCGTTGGCGGCTCGCGACGAACGGCTTCAGGACCAATCGAGAAGTAGATATCGCCAGTGGCAGATGTGGAAGGGAGGGTGATGAGGGCAGCGAAGGTGCCGAGCGTGTGAAGGCCATGTTGTCATCCGTTTCGAAGACACAAGGCTTGGCTGGTGATTGGTTCGACGGGTTGCTGAGGCGTCGATAGGGGAAGAAGGGTGACGTTCGCGACCGCTTTTGCGATATCGTGGCATGTGTGGGCGCAGGGGCCGCAAAGGTGGGTTCGATCTGTTTCGCAGTGGTGGACAAAATGATCAGCTCAGTACTCACTCTTATGGGCAGGAGAAGATACCGAAGATCAAGCAGCAATGTGATGTGAGGACTTACCCACTCCTCCATTGCCATCGGCGGCTTGGCGACGCAGTCTAGACCCCTCGACAGGCCACTGGCAGTGGCTTGGGCGACGACGTTCGAGTAGGAATGGAGCGAGTCCATGTTGTAGCATATGCTGTAGTTGTAATCAAACATTCCTTGCTCGATCATGGGTGACGGAGGAATACTGCCGCACGTGGGCGGTGTTATGATGCCCGAGTTGGAGTCGAAGGCGGCTGTCGGAGACTCCAGCACTTTGAAGTCGGCTGCCGGAGCCGTCACAAAGTGGTCGTAACCGCTGGACATGTACTGGCTGTGATTATCATGACCGGGCGTGTCGAACGTTTTGAAGCTTGGCGTTTGTGGGGTCAGCGGCCAATCGGTGGAGGGTGTGATGGGAGCCGCAGAATATTCGCACTGAGTCGGCGACGAGGGGAATGCGTAAGTGCCGAGCGACTCAGCAAGGTGGATAGAGTCGTAATAGTCGATGTCGGGTAAGCCAGATCCTTCAGGCGATGGGATGCTGATGTTCATATTGTACGCTTGAATGGGAAAGAGAAAAGAGCGAAAGATGAAGTCTCGCATGTGATGGCGCCGAAGTTGCACCGGCGGCGACCCCGATCGCAAATGAGAGCCGCAGCTCGGAGCCAATCTTGATCAGGGCGGCCGAGGCGTCGTAGGTCTCACCAGCGCCTTCGCCGCGAGACTCATTTCTATAGCTCGCCGCGCGCTGCGGCTCGCGCTTGACGTTCGAGGTGTGGAGGCAAGGTTTCAGGCAGTCGGTACCTGGCCTTATGTACCGGTTCACGACCAGCACTGCTTTATATTTGTTCCCTACCAGAGGCTGGGATACTCCTGTTCGAAACTGCTGCTTGTCGCGAAAGCGAACAAATCCTGACTAACGCGCTGGCTAGTACTTTTCGCAAATAGTGGCCTGCAGCTTCAGAAATGCTTGCAAGTCATTATGCAACAGCTACCAGACTTCCAGCCAATGAGCCCGATAGTGTACGTCAGATTTCCCCATGATCCGGTTCAGCACGCTGCTGCAAGATCTGAGCCACAGCGAGGTTCCGCCAATCCATGCTGGCGGTCTCTGCCAGTACCGTGCCGCCGGGACCGCGGACGCAGATATATTGCATGCCTATAATGTACGTAGAAGGCATGAGCCGACTGCCATTGTTTGACGTGATCACCAACTGCAGTATAGACAGGTAGGTAGATATCTAGATGTGGATATTGTCTCGTATCGCCTCAGAGTCGACGCTGCACCTGAAACCAGACTACTTGGGCACTTCAATTAGTAGGCGGTCGCGCTAGCTTTGCATAGTGGTCGCATGCACGTCCATTGCCCAGTGTTGAGCGTCATCCCGGCATGAGGAGGCCCCAGTCGCGGCCGTCCGTGCACCCTTGGCAAGTAGCTACTTCCGCGGACGTTACCCAGCCTATTCAAGCATCTTGGCGTGCGAATTTTCATGTTTTCACTCGACGCCCTCGTGCTATTTCATTTCACAGCCTACTTTGGCTTGTACCCCACGTTACCGATATCCAGGCTTCTCGCGATCTCATGCAGTGGTTCTCGTTTCATTCGTCCCCGTAGCCTGTCGCTGGACTCGGGGAATATTTATCTACCTGGCTGATCCCAAGAGCCGGCCGCCGGTCATTCCGGCGCTAAATACAGACCGGGCCATGCTGCCTGCATAATGAAACGGATAACTGCCGCAGTGCAATTAGCATCCAATGTTGCTGGCCCATCCGCTTCGCCCTGGAAGATGTCGAGAGGTGACCTGCAGGCCAGGCTCCAAGCTCCGCCGCACGATTTTTCAAAGTTGCTCAGCGGTCCACTCAGCGCATGTTGCATCGGCAGTGATTGCCCGTGCGAACGAAAATGTGATAGCTAAGTATCACCTCATCATCGCAGATGGCTTCAAGGAGCACGGTCTCTAGAGTGAGATCAACTACCCGGTGGCTCAAGCGTAGGTCATCTATGTATGCGACTCGTACCGTCTGAAGGGGGCGTCAGGCCCACTGGCTGGCACCACGCGAACTCCTCATTACAAGCTCGGCCATTCGACTCTTCTGACATATCACGTGGTATCAGGGCCGCCAATTCATTATCCCACGAAAGTAGGTGGTGTTACCATGCGCTGATGTTGATGCACCCGTCACGATTAGGAAGTTTGCGGTCAAACCCTCGGACTGCGAGTGCGAAAAGAGAAGTGAGACATGGGAGCCTTCCGTCATTTATCCCCACGATTCGCCACGCGCGTCGACGTCGATATACTGTCCCCCCAGCAAGGGTCGGTCCCGTAGCATGCAAGGCCGTGCTCCCTGCGCTTTATATTAAGGTTCTGTGTGATCAACCCTCACCTACCTGGGTAATCGAAGAGAACAGTGCTCTAAGGACTATTCAACTGGGCTTACTTTTATCAAGCAGGATTTGACGACCTGGGCCCGCGGTGACGCCGGCGTGGCCGCCGGATCCCGGCCTTCGGAGGCTGTCTCATCTCGGCCATAGCAGCCGTGGGACAATTGAGAGAGTACAAAGAACGGCTCGCTCGCTCAGGCGGCCTCACTGCCGTTGCAGTCGACAACTACCTACCTGGGCAAGTCCGATGCGAGCAGCCGCGCAGGCAGTTCATGTACCTCCACTCGGCGTACGAATAGTCTGACCGTGCATCAACTTCGGCCACATTAATAGTCGCGAGCCTAAACTGTTTTCATTGTACGGTATCGGGGTTTGCGTTAGAATGCTCTACGACATAAGCTATAGGTTTTACTTGGCACTCGGTTCTGAAATGTGCGTGGCTGAATCGAACCGAGTTCTTAATCAGCTTAGGGTTGCGAAGCTTCGGTCAGAGCTCAGACGTGGAATGACCGGACTCTGGGTATATTTGCTTTAATTCTTTCGGCGTCGAGAACCTACTCACTAAATACCAACCGCGAAAGAGGGTTGATACACTCGAGTAGTTTCGCGGCTAACGATGAGTGCGCAGTCGACAGCTGCCGTGAAGCGAGCGCATGACGTCGCCTCGATCTGAGAGCCGAGAACTTTCCGCACCGAGGATGAGATCAAACTGAACCTTGGGTAGGGAAATAATTCTGTGAGCGTGAGCTCTATTAGCCTGGTCCATTGCTGCCTTAGTACCTAGATAGTAGCCGTCCAACGGCGCTTCACTGAGATGACACTGCCCAGTTACCGAGCACTAGGTGCTGGTGACGCACGGACGATCGATCGAAGATCTGCTTTGTTCGATTCGGCTCCTTCGATCAGAAGGGACCCCGCTTCGCTACGTCTGGGTGTATGACGTTCGTGAGGCAGAATGGTCCAATTTCAACAGTAATTTCAGCCCATGGCGAAAGAGAAAGCGGGGTTGACGAAGCGTTGAGGGAGCGAGATGTGGCCACCGGGAATGGGGAGCGCGGTGATCATTTCAGCGAGCGAGACCATGACACCGAAGGGGATGGATCCCCTGGCGACAAAATCCATCAGCAGACCGAAAAGCTACGGTTTTGGAGAGCGTTGGCCGTTCCCAAGAAGAGAACAGTTCCGATGACACCGCTTGGTACGGCAGAGCGAGACACAACGCACGGTCAGTGGCGGAATTTTTGGCTTTCTACATGTCACAGAACGGTGTCCGTTAAGACAATATAAAGAGCACAACCTGAGTGTTGAACACATAGGACGATTCACAAGACATGGCTCAGAGAACGATCTGACCATACTGAAAACAGCGTTGTGACGAGGTCGACAGCCTGAAGGGCGAAAGTCGACTTTTTCTTTCCATCGCGGTCAGCCATTCTATCAACGATCTCCAAGAGTCGCGGGAATTGCCGACACCGCACATATTCACGTCCATCAGCAGAGATATTGGCACCATCATCCAACCGGGGCGCAAGGGCATGAGCAGCGGCGTGGGCAGGGGCAGCGGGCAAAATCGCTTACTCGATCTTTCGTGCCCTTGTACGATAGAGAGGTAAGGGTATCCGCCGCGGAGGTCCGCTGAGGCGGCGGCTTCATGAAGCAACGTACTTAGTTCACCACAGCTTCCTCTCGCGCGGAAGCAGATATCCGCAGAGGTGTGAGGATGACAGATTGAGTGACATTCCCACTCCCATTACTACCGAATATAATAAAGCATGATGCTCTCGGGTGTCAAATATCCGAAAGTTTTCCCCACGATCCCCAACAGGGCCGGCGTTGGCTCCTACATCTTTACATGATGAAGGCCCAAACCTTCATGATGAAGTTCTTGGGCTTCTTCTCCACTTCCTCCTCCTCGTCGGGTCGCGAACCCGAGATCAAGTCGGATTCGCCGTAAGGGACGAGGGGACCGCCCTTGGTGAAGCGGTAGCTGAAGTAGAGGATGGGGAAGAAGAAGATGGGAAAGTACGAGGTGATGAAGGTCGCTTTGTCGAAGTGGCCGTCGATGTGCACGAAGACCTCCCATCCATTGAAGAAGAGGATGATCGACGAGAAGATGAGAGCGTAGTAGGCCAAAAAGGGTTGCAGGGGTGCCTTGTAAACCATGGTGTCGCGAGACATGCCCTGCGCCTTCATCGCCTTGTTGAAACGGATGCTGTTCGGGCGAAAAGCGAGCGAATCAATAACTCATTTCCCTTCGGTGTCACTCAAGACGCATCAACCGAGATCAACGTACTAAGTGAAGCAGATTCCGGTCCAGGTCAACAATCCGCACACCGAAGTCATGTTTGCGAACCATCCGAAAACCTCTCCCGCGGACGAGGAACCGACCGACATGAACGAAAGGAAAGAGAACAAGATGCCGATGATGACGCAGATGTAAGGAAGACCCCATCGGTTGGTTTTGCGAAGGAACTTGGGCGCGTTGCCGTTCAAGGCAAGTCCGTAGAGTGCGCGCGAACTGACGTACAAGTCCGACGACGCGGCCGACCAGGCGGAGGTCAACAAGCAGGCATTGATGATCGAAGGAAGGGCGGGGATACCAGCGTTGTTGATGGCGATAACGAACGGCGACCGGGCGGCGGTGCTCACTTTAAGGTTCAGGCGAGGGTCCTAACACGGCATAACATAGTCAGATTCAGTAAGGTTTCAGCGGTGGCAGGACGTTCCGCCTGTCGCAGAGACTCACGTTGGAAGCGACCAAAAGACCGATGACGAAGACACCGAGAATGTAGAAGAGCAAGATTCGGACGTAGACTCGGCGGATGGCCTTGGGAAGCGTCTTCTTGGGGTTCTTGGCCTCACCAGCGGTGATGGCGACGATCTCCGTACCGATGTAGGAGAAGGCGGCTTGGATGAGGACAGCCCAGAAACCGAGGAAACGACCTTTGGCGCCTTCGAAACCGAGATACTGGACGAACACTCCAGGGTTGCGCCAGTACCTGAAACCGATGGGGTCACCAGTTACTCCGCCGGCGTCCAAGATGATGCCCAAGATGATCAGGCCGACGATGGTCAAAACCTTGATAATGGCGAACCAAAACTCGCACTCTCCGTACATTTTGGTACCACCAACGTTGATAGCAGCAGCCTGATGGGTGCGGAAACAAAATCAATCAACCGGAGGTCAGGACAGCCGAGCAAAATGGACAGGGGTTATTTCGTACGGTGGCACTGCGAACTTACAACAACGAGGCAGACGGCGATCCAGACACCGGGGTTGACCTTGTTGTTCCAGTAACCAATAAGAACAGCAGCAGCGTTGAGCTCGGCAGGCAGAACGATAGTCCAGTTGTACCAGTAATTCCAGCCCATGGCGAAAGAGAACGCGGGGTTGACGAAGCGTTGAGCGAGCGAGATGTGGCCACCGGGGATGGGGAGCGCGGCAATCATTTCACCGAGCGAGACCATGACACCGAAGGTGATGGATCCCATGGCGGCGAAACCCATCAGCAGACCCAAAGGTCCACCGTGTCGGAGAGCATTGGCCGTTCCCAAGAAGAGACCGGTTCCGATGACACCACCTGGTATGACGGGGCGAGACACAGCGTGCGGTCAGTGACAAGCTCTTCTCGCAAATTGTGCGGTTGCTCTTCGCGTGCACACAGACACGTAGCGAGTATGTTCCATCACTCACCAATCGAAATCATCTGGATGTGCCTCGACTTGAGTCTGATTGGGTGGCGAGCGCGAGGAATAGACAGGAGGTGCGAGTAGGGGGTGAGGAGTAGAATCAAGTCAGCTTGCGCCTTCGAAGATCGACGTTGGAGGCTGACTACGTCGCTGTACCACGGCTGCTCGCGTTACTCGGGCTAAGACGAATGCAAATGGTGGCACGGAAAATCCGGGTCACATAGGCGTAGGTAACCTCCGGCACGCGCAAAGCCACCGCGGGCAAGAGTCCACACGATCTGCCCGTCGAGGCCGTATCGTTCGCCTCCCCGACTCTTCGAAGGCGCGGTATGGCAGAGCATGCCATGGGCATGATGCCGCGAAAATGGCGCCAAAAGCCGCGTCGAACTCTAGTGCTAAGAAGGGTGGGGGTGGTGACTCACTGTCGTTGCAGGGGCGCATCGTCTCCTGTCATTTGATCCAGGGGCTGGCCGCCTTGGGGGTAGGCGGTGGCGGTGGGTCCATCGATCGACTCGCCCTTCTCGTAGTCGGTGTTATCCTTGAATTGGTTCGACATGCTATGTACGATCAAGTTTAATCGAGACGGAACGAGATCAGATCCGTCGAGTGGGCGAGGTTGCGGAGCAAGCCAAAGAAACAAGGGAGAGTGAAGGGGATCAGGTCAGGGCTCGTGTTGTCTCACAAACACAGAAGCTGAAGGGAAGGATCGCCTGGCCGGGGAAAGCCACCCGAGATCACTTTTGCTCAGGCGCGTGCCAGATGTACCACTTACCTGACAGATGCCGGGTGTCGATGCGGAGAATGATATGCAAAGGAAGGAGACGAAAGGCAAGAAAGGATCCACCAGGAAGCGGGGTGAGATACGACCGCGAAAAGGGGAGAGACCGGGCCCAACTCTCGCGTTTTTCCTGGATCGCGAGAGTTGTCTGGAAACGCGGGGACTATCGCGACAAGTCCCCCACTGCGAGAGCCAATGGGATCGGAGTTTTGGAATTCGGCCATTTTAGGCCCTGTGTCGTTCACTAGCTTAAACTCCCCGCAATCGCAGCGCCCGAGCGGGTTCTAGATTCTCCTATGAGCGATTACGCCGCTCCAATTGGCTGACCCCGGAGCGGCGCTGTTCGGCTGCTAGCCGCTCCGTCCCACTAAAATAGGGTCCGACCAATCATGTGGCGCAATCGCTCGGAGAACCTCGCGGTAAACCAGGGCCCGAGCCTCCGATCACGGGCTGGCCTCTCAACTCAACGACGCCTTTTTCTCCCTCGGTTTCTGCTGGGTCAAGGCCCGTGGACTCAAAATCGTTGGGCAACAAGTCGCAATCGGATGGGCAGTAGTAGTAGTAAGTAGGGAGCAGCTAGCCAACCAACCCCCTCCCGGACTCCGGGGCCTGCGCGTGCTGATAAAAAAAAAACCCACTCGAAGCAACTGAAGGCTTGCCCGCGGCGCAGGATTGACGTCGAGTGCATGCGAAGCTGGTGGCAGGGGCTGCTGAGCAGAACTGCTAGGTATGCACCAACAATGAGTTTGGACTTAGGAGACAGGCGCCTATAGATAGGCACAATGGGTAGGTTACCTTAAAACACAACTTATCTACCTGCGATCGCACAATAGCACATCCATGTCGCGCAACTTTCGAGCGCCGGACGTGGTCATGCACTCTTTGAAATCATAAGGCCATATGCATCACTACCGATCATAGTACTGATTGGCCTTACTCGGCAAAGTGCGGCATCGAGGCCTTTCCTCGACCGAGGGAGTCAACACAAATTCGCACCAATCGGGCTGCGACCGCCGACCAACGGACGTCGACTGCACAGAACAGCGATTTATCTCTGCGGTAGATGCTGACGCAAGGAAGAATTGGAAGAATCTGCCTTTTGCCTATCGTCCCCGGATTCGCCCCCGGACTGCCGAATCGCACCTTGACCGTGTCGACCCGCCGGTCCGTCGGACGGCGGAGATTATAAAAGCTGGGTCCACCTTGGCACCAAGGTCTGTGGAGAAGCGCGATAAGGGAACGCGTCGGAGGTAGGCACTACTACATATCTATTTTAATGGCACTTGGAACCTCACCTACCATCGACCGAGCTAGAGTAGTAGTCCCCAGTGGTCTGCGTGCAATCAGATTGCAGTATCGGGAGCGTGGACGTCTGCAGCCTATCATTTCCGAAGATTCGTTCTGCATACGGATCTCATCGATGTTCTCACCTACGTGTACATGACGCTCCGTTCGGCGGCTTTGCCAGAAAATCGTTCTCGTACCTGTGGGATCTGGAGACATTGTTTCGCATCCGACGCAGCTTCCGGCAAGCAAGACTTAGAGCTCAGCGAGTCAGCCTAAAGCGCGAAGATTTCGTCACACCAAGCTGCCCGATGATCTTCTCCCCAGCGGTGCGAGCATAGATTTAGCCCCTTCACTTTCTTGTAATTCTTCCTTTGCAATCGCGTGTGCTACTTATCCTCGCTACTCTTTCTGCAGCTGAGAGCTCATAATCCGCCGGCTCAACCTGCCGGGAGCTTATAAGCCCGATGCAGTGGAGTGACATATTGAGCTACACTGCGGTGCAAATGCAACCAGTACTCTCTTCACTGAACGTGCTTTTCTGACTATCCTTTCCATATCCACTTCAGCTCGCTCGCGATACATGCCAATACATAGCAAAAAAAATATCCTAAAATGGGACGATCGCGGGATCATCCCGGGATCGGGCCCCCGATTTGAAATCGGTGCAGCGATTTGAAATGCATTTGAAATCGCATCCATACATAATGCCGCGAGTAAATGGTGCAATTACCAATTACGCGCGCGCGTTTACCCCCGAAGCTTGACCCATCTACCCCGGTAGTAAGGTGCAAAGTTCACTTACAAATGGTGCATTCCTCGCGCAAGTTGGTGCGTTTGCTCCCTAAAAAAGGTGCGTTTACCAATTAAGGATGGTGCATCTACCAATTAGCTGGGCAATCCGCTGTATCTCGTGTAGTATGCCATGTATCACCCTGAAACTTGACGAGCCCTTTTACATGATCACCAAGTACGTCCACATTCAGTAAGAAGCACTCTCACCAGGATCTCATGTAGTTGGAAATCGTGCCCGTACCCCCGGCTCTCGTCCCAGCCGCGGCCATCGTCCGGACCCCGGCCCGAGTAACCACCCCCCCACACCCTAGGCTGCAATACAATGACTAAGACGATCAATCATCTCGGAGCTGCTGGATGTGTCCATATGGGGCGGGACACCTTGTATAGCATTCCTCGCCGTATTCCTGCCGCAGCAACTTGGACAAGGAAGATCATTGACTGCCTTTCCAAACAAACCATCCGTGAACCTGTTCTCACAAAGCTAGCACATCACCCAGTGTTCTCGCAATGTAACTAGCCGCGATCATTATCTCATTATATGTATATACTTCCTTCCGTTCTACTCATAATGGCACGGCTTAGGATCGACGACGTAAGTGCAGAGCTGAAGACATGTAGTATTGAGCAAGTTGACCGAGAGCAACTAACCCTGCTGAAACCACCCAAGCGTAGCTCTTCTTCGTCTGTTGAAAAACACCCATCTCCCAAATGTCCAGAGCTTTCGCCAGAATTCGCCTGAGATCCGCATTCGGAGTTGCAATCGTTACATCTTTGAGAATGTCGTAAATCAGTGCGCTGTCAAGTAGTATATTGACTAGATTATCGATGCTACCGACAGCGGGATGGTGCGGGCCTCAGCAAGTCTGTTTTACTCATTTTCTACGTGACTCGAGCCAGCTTACCGTTTATTTGCTCGACCTTGGAGATGCTCTTGCTGAATTCGTTTGAAAGCTCGTTCAGTGATGTTGTTTGTATTGATATCATCTCGAGCTACTCCCAATGGTAGACCATCATCTACAAATGTTTCTGTGGTGAATGCGCAGTCTGGTCACTTGGCTGCCCTTGCATCCCAAATGCAAACTGGCTCTTGCTCTGGGACTGACCAATCCAAGCATCCACGAACCAATTCTGCGTGAAGTAGTCACGAACTTGTAGCTGCAACCTCTTGATCTTTGCCTTCCCAACATCCGTTGTTGACGTTTCATCGGATGAGTGCGACTTAAGGATCCATTCATCGGTTCGGGTTAGAAACGTCTGCGCTCTTGCGTCAAATTCCTGACGTCGTCGCACGTTTGCTTGCTCCTCCGTTTCCTGTGGACCCCTGACGAACCGGAAGCGTTGGATGATTGAACGAAAATCACGCAAAATATGGACCAATATGGGCTTTGATACTGGGGACCTGTCGGTCTTGCTCGCATGGGTTGCATCCGTTGACCACCGAGTAATTGCTTGAATCGCATGAAACTGACAAAGTCGAATTTGAAACTCGAGCCCATGCCGCGATGCCCCTGTTGCAGACACAGACCCGTGAGGGGAGATCGCAAAAAATGATAGGTCAGATAAAATAACCCCTGAGACCAATGATCACCGCCTAAGAGGAAAGCGCCTCACATTTTTTGAGGGCGGTCAGTTCGGTCCTGCACTTGTCGATCATCAAGTTGGGCGGTTGCCACTGGTGCTGTACAATATACTGAGCGTTCTCCAGCAGATTGGGCAGGTTACCGGGCAGTTCGCTGACGGAGCCCCGTTGAGCATCTACGTTTCGCGAAAGACATGTCAATGCGCTGTGTCAAGGCCGAAGTATCGACAAATTGACTGCCGAACCTACCTCTGACAATAATGGCGGCCCGTTTTTCGACTAGGTCCTTCACAACGTCCAAATAATGCAGCAACGTCCCTTGCTTGACGTCGCTCGAGAGTAGCATAGGCCCTACAGAAAAGAGAATGTGCGAAAACTGATCAGCGCTGAAGGCTGAAGACGCTGAGACTCGCAAGCAGGCACGGGATTGGGCAGGGCCTCCTTCGCGACTAACCCAACGCCATCTGTTCGTTCGTACCCATCGTCGCAAGAATGGTAAGCGGGGCGCGGTTCTCATTCAGATACCGCCAAGACGAATCAATCCCAAGGAATCGCGAACCGTCTTCGGCAACGTTTCCCATGGTGGCAAAGGCGATCAGGATATCGATCGAATGCAAGGATGCGAGTACGCAAATGAGTGACTCGTTGTTCGTGGCGTTAAAAGGTTGAAAACTGCGGGACACACGTACGACGTGTAAGCCATGCATTAGCAGATGCAAGCGCGACAATGCGTCGGATGGAGAAGAATACTCACTAGGCAACTCCGCGAGTCATCGGTTCGGACGCATCGTCCAAGCAGAATTTTCGCAGTTGAGCTGTGCGTGATAGGGCGTATAATGGAGAGGAATGTATGTACGCCTTCGCAGCCTTGGTCCGGAACATGCTCTTGAGTTGTTTGGCCCAAATGACCCGGTTAGGATGGAGAGTGACTCGGTGGATCTTCTCCCACTTCTTGCAATAGTCGGACATAACTTTCTCGCGTGAATGGACCAAGAACGCGAGTCAGCGGTGCGATCAACAGACAGATACAGGGTTCTGTTGGACATATCATGATTGTGATTCACCTTGGAAAGCAGTGCTTCGGGTGCTGCCACACTGTTGCACTATCTGATGAGCGACAGTTCGCATAACCGCGGCCGGTTTCCTGACCGATTCTAGGGTCCGCCGTCCCTCATGGTCGCCAAGCGTGTAAATCAAGGCGATCGAGAGATTGCTGGCTGGAACCACAATCTTACAAAAGCAGGGTGCAGGTAACGAAACGGGTCTCAGCGCATGCGCAAAAGCCACGAACCCAAACACAGCAAAGAAAGGATCTCTGACGCTGAAATTTCGGCTAACTCACCTTCAATTGTGAAGAGCATTCGCGCACGATATCTTTGTCCTTCGGTCGCACGTTGTAGTATATCTTCCCATCATCTCCTGTGTAGCGCATGCAGGCGCCCGAGCACTGGTGCGATATGCGAAGCACTTCTTTGCGTGATTCCTTCCAAGTGGATTGCAAATTTTGGCCGATCAGCGGGTGCCATTCGATCATTGTCAGGTGATCCGCCGGATGCTGATGGAAAGAGATCGATGGAGCACCGTGAGATGTTTCTTCTACGGCGAGACAACGTTCGTATTTGCAGGCTGTCCATTCGTGCTCCTGTTCCGGTTGGTTTCGCCAATGAAGGGTAGGAGGAGGATCGGTGAGGAAGAATTGTGTCAGTTTTGCTTCCTAATCAGCAACTTCAACTAGCCATCAATGACTGCTTATGCTTGAACCAGTATCGACATACTTCGGTGGCCATGTACAAAGGAAGCTTGAGAATTGGTATGGTGTCCTTGAGCGTCCATTCATCTGCTTTCCTTCGGTCGCCAAGAATCAGCGGCCATTGCCCGTAGTCGGCTTTCTCTTCCGCCGACCAGAGACGGTTCGACGACATGATCGCTTGACGTTTAGCTTGCATTGTGTCATACAGCTGTAGATGGTTGGGTGCACAATTTTCGAGGAGGTTGACGACTTGGCGCAGTCGATCCATGGCTTCTTCGCCGCCATCGGAGGAGCTGGCTTCGGAGTCGTCGACGGCGGGGTCTGAGTCGGCATTCCAGTCGACATCGTCGGAGCAGCCCTCAGGAGTCATTGAGGTTTGATTGGAGTGCGTCACTGAAGGAGATTGGTCAATGATATCGGGTTCCCGCTGGCCCAAGTCTTTCTTCTGGGTAGACGTAGTCGAGGACATGTGGGAGGTGCCAAGTGCCACGTGCAGGTGGGCTGGTCATGTCGATTGGTCGGGTCCCAATGCGGGGTCGGCCACCCTTGTTCTGGAGCGTTGCATTCATCTGCTGACTGGACATGACGTATGCGAAACGAGTTTTAGAACCAAGGCGAGTATCGGTCGATGGCAACGGATGGCAGGAACTGGCGTGGCGCGGTGAACATGAGTCGAAAGTAGAAGTAGGCGTTTGGCGCGACGCGACGCGTCAAGCAGGCTACGTGCACCCAGACAAAATTGAGCAAGGTCGCTGGCGGCGATGCGCGGCTGGTGCAGTGGAGGCAGGGCCTACTTTGCTTGGGCAGTGACACGCATGATCGGATCACTTGACCCGTTGTAGTACCCAGCAAAAGACAGAGTGAATATTTCGATGCCTGGGAGTCTTCGTCGAGCCCCCGGGGGGGGGGGGGGGGGGGGAGTACGGGCACGATTTCCAACTACATGAGATCCTGGTGAGAGTGCTTCTTACTGAAGGTGGACGTACTTGGTGATCATGTAAAAGGGCTCGTCAAGTTTCAGGGTGATACATGGCATACTACACGAGATACAGCGGATTGCCCAGCTAATTGGTAGATGCACCATCCTTAATTGGTAAACGCACCTTTTTTAGGGAGCAAACGCACCAACTTGCGCGAGGAATGCACCATTTGTAAGTGAACTTTGCACCTTACTACCGGGGTAGATGGGTCAAGCTTCGGGGGTAAACGCGCGCGCGTAATTGGTAATTGCACCATTTACTCGCGGCATTAACCCATTTTCCTTTGAAATCGGCGCGGTGATTTGAAATGCATTCGAAATCGGCGGCGCGATTTGAAACGCATTTGAAATCCGTGCGCCGAATTGAAATGCGCGTCAAATCGGCGCGGGATCGATCCCAAATGCGCTTCGAATCGTTGCGGGATCGATCCCAAATGCGGTTCAAATCCTCGTGGGATCGAACCATGCCCAACGGTCAATAAGGATAAGGGCATAGAACTTGTGTGAGAGGGCCAATTGCGCAAGGTAGAGTAGACGAACATGTTACTATTGCTCAAAGTATGTGCAAGTATACTACTGAAACGGTACAAGGCCCCATGCGGATGCGGCAGTGGAGCATCGCATCACCCTCTCCCGCCGTGTGCCGCAGAGTGCCGCCGCCTGCCGCCGCTAGAGGCCGCTAGCGTTCGGCCTCGGCAGGCCTCGGCTAGCGGTCTCGTGCTGTCTCTTGCAGTCTCTTGCGCTTGTCCGCCCCTCCGTCGCTTTCGCTATCGCCCGGTCACCCATGATGACACCTATTCACACGCTTCCGGCACCCGATATTGTTCTTCCTCGTCGCGCCATCCTCGATCACTCACCGTTTGTTGTCTCCATAGGGTAGGCCGCGCGACATGCCAACACGCTTTCGCGCCAGACGTCGCCCTCCCATAGGTTCGTCCGCACTTCTGCGAAGTCGCCGAGGCCGGTGCGCAGGCTCCCGAGTAGGGCGGGTTTTCCCAGAATTCGAAGCTCAATCTGTTCCTTCAAGCTTAGGGTGTACGCCGATGTTGTGGTGCGATTCGCCTTTGAACCGGTCTTGGCAATCGTCATCTTGGACGCTTTCCGCGGGACGACGTGGCGCCGTATGACGCACATGCGCAAATGCGCCTTGACCCGCGTTTCCAGCGTTGAAAACGACTTCGGTAGTTTGGTGGCGTCAAAGCATTCGCTCTATAACGCCTCAATCAAGGCGCAGCAGGCTTCCACGAAACCCTGTATTCCAGGCTCCACGCGTAGATAGCCAATTCAGCGAAGGTTGGTGCACACAGCCTCGACTCGTCACTCGCAGCCCCGCGCTGATCGTGATCGTTCTCTTCGCTCCCTCTGTCGTTCTGTCTGGTGCTGTCATGGCCGTCGTCGTCCTCGCCGCCGCTGCCGCTGCCGCCGCCGTCCTCCTCATCACCAGCATCATCGTTGTCCTCGTCGCCCTTTTGATGCTCCTCGTCATCGCCGTCGTCATCGAAGTCCATCTTGCCGTCATCGTCGCTGGACGCCGACTATCGAAGGGCCAAAAGTCACGTGCTCGTCAGCGGGGGCACGGGGGACCGTGATGATTTCGCCTCGATAACCTTGCCTCGTCAACCTCCATGACTTGCATGCGGTTCTGCCAGTCTCTTCGTGCCGCCTCGATCGCCTCCTCCACCGTCATGCATTTAACGACGCGGGACTTTGAGGTTGATCGCCCCACATTGGGGTGGGGCAAGGTCGACTGATTGGCTGGACTGGGTGCGAGGGTGGTCGAGGTTTGATCACTCCCACCTGAGGTCGGTTCTTTGGCACTCGATTGGACTTGGGACGTGGGAGGAGGAGGTGACATGGCTTCTGTGGGGAAGCGGGGTGACGACACCATGGCAACGTCCTATTTCCGAGCCGTCGACTGCAGGCGCTGGAGACGACAGGAGGTGGGGTAACACCATCGTGTAAGTGCTGGAGCATGTCGCAGCGCCAGGAGATATGTACGGCTCGAACTGACTGCTCCTAATGTTCAATGCTCGCTAGTGAGTAACTGTCGTTGACGTCGCACAAGGGAGCATCGGGACGTCGGATAAAGCGCGGTCGGCCGTCCGCGGCCGATCCGGCCGATCGCGCGCTGGACGCCGGTGCGACAAAGTTCAAAGTTAAAATCTCGGTCGCGCTTTCGCCTTTCGCTCCTTGGCTTGCTTCACCCCCGGTCGGCCCTTCGTTGTGTCACCTGTTGTCCAGGCTCGGGGTGGGGTAGCACGCATCCACCAAGCTCGTTTCATCGTCGCCGATCGTTTCCCACATAATGGTGAGTGCTCAAGCTCCTCGATCGCCGCTCATCCGAGCGAGCCACCTGTCAGTTCGTCGTCGCGCGCCGAGGGCAAGACACTGACATGTCAAATACTCGTCCCAGGCGTGTTCCCAGGCGTGTTCCCAGGCGCGTCCCACGCCCACCTCATCATTGAAACCCGCCACCACCTCCACACCTCGGGTGGAGTCCAATGTCGCCGCTACCCTCCCTTCGGCGTCGTCCGTGTCGTACGTGTCGTATCGCCATGCAGGCGAGAAACTCAATCTTTACTGGACTCGCATGCGCAACGAATGGGAGCCCGCATTGGCCACGCCATACAACGAGACGGCCGAGTGGATTGGCGAGCTCTGGTTGTCGGCTGTCAATTACTGGATGGTAGAGCTCGAACTCGGCAAATCTCGTGATTACATAGAGCGACTCGATGACCCGCTCCTCGAATGCGTATTCGAAACCCTCGACAACGACGTGAGTATGCTGTCGCGAACTTCTACCTTGCCCAGGAGCTGACATCTGACCCACCGTGCGCCACCAGGACGATGGCAAACCCTTTCGAATTCCACGACCTCGAAGCAGGCTTATCAAGCTTTGCAAGTCAAGGAGCGCGGTTTCAGTCGACCTCAAAGGACCCCCTCCTTCGCAATCGACGCGCAAAGCCACCAAGGTGTACGGACGCAGGACGAAGGAACAGGCCTCGCTTCACCCGTCTGCCCAGGAGCTTGGTTCGCATTCAGAACAATCGAGCTCGTCGATCAACGAGCCGGTCAGACCACTAGCGTGCGCGAGACCGGACACTACCAAGAAGAACGGGACTGGTCAAATACGGGCGAAGGCCAAGAGGGACGGGAGAGAGAACCGCCTGATCCACCAAACACAAACCAAAAAGAGTAGGAAAAGAGCAAGGAGCGACGGTTATGACGACGAAGAGGACGAAGAGGACGAGGAGGAGCATCGAGAGGGCGACGAGGACAACGATGATGCTGGTGATGAGGTGGACGGCGGCGGCAGCGGTGGCGAGGACAATGAGGAGGGCGGCGGCGGCGGCGGGGAGGATGACGTTGGCCACGTTGTTGATGACGAGATGACAAGTTGCGACTCCGACGATTCATCCCTTTTGAAACGTCCTGCGTCTCGCAACAACAATCCTACGTCAACCCAGCGCAAAGTCTTAGGGAAAGGGCCTGGCAAGAAGAAGAAGAAGAAATCGATGTTGGCTGCGCCTCGTGCCAAGAAGCGTCGTATCGAGACACAGCGTTCAGGTCCCGGAGCAACACTACCGCCCGTGAGTGTCATGCTTGAGTTGCTGACGCCATTGCGAATGTGTCTGGCTCTGGCTGACATGCCGGCACCTCCGGACTGTCTTTAGCCCTTCGACCATGACGACATCCTCATAACTTGCAAGCGATACTTTCTCTTCAAGACCAATTGGGAAGACAAGGATTATAAGTATCTGGGCGCAACCCTTGCGTCTGGGAGGGGTCTTGAGATCCTTGGGGAGATGAGTCCGGCCGACCGAAAACAAGCAAAGGTAAGCCTGTCGACATTTCGCCCTCGTCGGATTGGCAAGAATGGAGTTTGCTGAGCTCATCCCTTTACTCGGCTCGCAAGGCCCAGCTTCATCGCGTCATTCGATCTACAAGATCTTCGATCCTCCATGCGACCCTCACCGCCGTGGCCCCGTACGCCAAGGCATGGCTGCGCTCCGAAGCAGGGAAGACGTTTCTCGATCAGACGTAGGTCACTCTGACGATGCAAGCTCTACAACATGAAGATGTGGCGCTAATACACCTCAATTTATAGGCCCACACGACCTCCCGCCGCACGCCGCAAGCGTGACTCTGGTCGAAGAAAGGAGAAGGGGCGCACGGACGAGGCGGAGGCAAGAGTTCCCCCGACCCATCAAGATCATGCCTTGGGTCACGCTCAAAAAGGCCAAGGCTATATTCTCGACTAATCTCAAGGCCGTAGATCGCGCCGTTCTCTCCGACCCGAAACTTCCATACGCACACCGTTTGAAATGCGCCGCCGCCGCCTGGATCGCGGCTGAAGTGCCTCATCAGAGGCGCTTGGCAGCCAATGACGAGTCCGGTTCCAACGAGGTATGTTTCATGATTCGAACTCGGTGCAGTTCGATTGGCTGAGTGGAATGATGGGAGCGACACCGTGCAGGAACCGGATCAGCAGGTGAATTCGCCGGCTCGATTGCCCGAAGAAAGTGAGCAGTTTCGCAGTTTTTGGGTTGACCGCTGCACGGCCGTTCCGCGGGACTCCACCACCGAGGATGGCAATGTCGATAGGTCTTTGCCAAAGGTCAACTGCTGGATAGTCAATGAAGACCGCCGGTGCGAATTGACATTGGGCGTCCCCGACGTTCTTCCGCCTCCATTCATGCATACCGACCACAACGAGGAGGACGATTCGGACGATGACGAGCCCGTTGACGAGGAGCTGGAGCAGGAACTTGTCGATTTCATAGAGTGGGAGCGTTCAGATCCAATAACGATGGCTGACTGAAGAGCAGATTGCAGGCCTGGTGGTGCGATGCACCACCGCATGGGGCCTCGTACCGTTTCAGTAGTATACTTGCACATACTTTGAGCAATAGTAACATGTTCGTCTACTCTACCTTGCGCAATTGGCCCTCTCACACAAGTTCTATGCCCTTGTCCTTATTGACCGTTGGGCATGGTTCGATCCCACGAGGATTTGAACCGCATTTGGGATCGATCCCGCGAGGATTTGAAGCGCATTTGGGATCGATCCCGCGCCGATTTGACGCGCATTTCAATTCGGCGCACGGATTTCAAATGCGTTTCAAATCGCGCCGCCGATTTCAAATGCATTTCAAATCGCTGCACCGATTTCAAATCGGGGGCCCGATCCCGGGATCATCCCGGGATCGTCCCATTTTAGGGTTTTTTTTTTGCTATGTAGTGAGAGGTGACCACTGAGTACCGAGCGCTGAAGAAGCTTTAAGTTAGACCCGAAGCTGGCTAAACGACTCTTGTATGCAGAGGTTAATAAAGTTGGTTTTGATACTTTTCTTTGAGATGAGTTAGGTCTTATATATATTAGAACACTTGCCTAGTCATCTTTATAACTTGCGTTAAACTATATCCTTTATTCCGATTGAATTCCGATTGAATTAATTTCTTATTTGGCTAGAGCATTTTAGGAGTACGGCTATTCAGTAATATGGTTGCTGGTCATACTTTATTAAATATTTTAAGTTCAATGTTATAGTAAAAATCCTAGCAGTAATACTCAATCAGCAGGGAACCGTCGCTTTATTAATGCGGGTCCCTCAGAGATGTGTGTTCAGATACCGGGGATATTGGTTTTACCTACAGCACCACTTGTGCGCTTAATGTTATTGAGTACTAATGTATGATCAATTAAATCTGTAATTAACAGTTTAGGAGAATGAAGAAGAGCTTTTAAGCGTGAAAATTGTTCCGCTGATCACGCTCGCGCACCGCTGGATGCAGGGGCGAGCGCACGCTAGCGCACGCCTGCCGGCTGAGAATGGCAGGGAAGCTGCTGGATTAGGGCATTGGGGCATTTGGCCGGCTCGACTGCGCCTAGCGGCCCAGCGACCTACCCCTGCAGCAGTCGGCACCTACCCTGCGACCTGTGCACACACGACTGCGAACCCCTACACGGAATTCACATGAACAAGCGTAAAGGTAAAGGACGAGAGGCCGATCCGCCGTTGGCGTCCCCGGCATCGCCAAGCCGGACCGGCGGTGGCATCGACGCTGCGTCATCAGCCACTCTGGCACCCAAGTCCCACCACAACACCGTACGACACGGACGCGGACCTCTGATCCGCGACTCGGACGATGACATGGCCATCGATGATGAGCAGGATAGTACACGTCGACGCGGCGCTGACTACGACCACGACATCGAGCACGACCTCAACGAGGGGACTCGCTTGTTGGTGGACCCTGCACGTGACGAGGCGGAACGGGGCGCCCCGCGTCAAGACTCGGGCCTCGATTCCGATCGACGACGGCTCATACCCTCGCCAGGGCCAGTCGTTCGATCTTCCAGCAACAAGCTCAAAAGGCGTAGAGGAGATTCAACAGCCCAATTACGGCCGCAGCCAGAGTCACTGCACCGTCACCGCAGTCGCCCGGCCTTCGGAGCGCGGGAAATTGGGTGCTATTTGCTCGGGATCCTCGCCTTCACCAGCTTGCTTACGCTCGCTGTCGCCCATCTGTGGATTGGTCACCTCGTCTCGGAGCAGTCTAAGAAAGGCGATTTGCAGCAGATGGTGCAGCGTGGGCTTATCATCCAAGGGCCTACCGCTGTGCGTGTGACCGATGGCGATCCCAATGGCGGTTCAGCGTTTGTACTCGAGTTGGATCTGCTCGCCGGCGTCGACGTACGGAGAATGATCGGCTGGGACGATAAGCAGCACAATAAGAGCTGGTTCCGGCGGATCGAGGACCGTATGGCCTCCTGGGTGACGAGACGACTCGATACGGTCAACGTCGATGTGGGTCAAATCGTAATCCGAGAATCCTACAAGATTGAGCACCATCGAGGTGTCGTGCAGACAAGCCAGGACTCGGCTTTGGTTGTCCTTAATCACCTTGCGCCCCTTCTCGTTCCGTTGACCTATTCCCGAGATTCGAATGAGCCTAGGCTGGGTGCACTCGCTCTGCAGCTCCCTGTCACCTTGCCGAACCCCGACGACCTGAAGGAGGCGGCGCACAAGATTTGGGATCACCACAAGTATGACTTTGAGGTACAAGTCGACAACATAGCCGTAGTATTTGACAGTACCCGTGGAAGCGGCCTCTTCGGAAAAATTATGCGTCGCCTCAGTGGCAAGATGAGCATCGAAACCGTTTCGCATCAAGTAGCAGGCACTGGTAAGTGCGCACTCTCCGTACCTGCTAACAGCTAGGCGACGGCCGAGCTGAGGCTGATGCTTCTGGTGTGACTCCTTAGTGCCCGTTCTCCCTGCCGCTTCAGACCCTGCATCATTCATTGAGGTGCTCTATTACGATATCGCCGAGCAACCTGGTCCGGACCCCAACACGACCGTGATGGGCCTCACCGCCAGAGCGCGGCTGACGAACCCAGTGGCGAACGCGACAGGGCGAGGGGAAATTCCAGCTTTCGCATGGGGCATGCCCTTCCGTCTCCCCATGAATGTCCTGCTGCCGACTCCTCCGGCAACGGTTCCTCCGCTTGCCCTCGGCGCCAAGCACGCGGAACGGGACGAAGGGATCTTGCTCGCCAAGGTTGAGGTCGAACCTTTCCATTTCGCGGCAGGGCAAGAAACATCCATTGTTTCTTTATCTGGTCATCTCATCCGAGCCGACAGTCGTATCGAACGATCAGATAAGGACAAGGAACTCTCTGGTGCTCTCAGTCGGTTCTTGGCGCGTTACCTAGATGGCAAGAAGAATCAAGTTCTGGTTCGTTACGATGTGAAGGCAAGCGACTGCAACTCGCGCGACGGCAAGCCGGCGCCTTATCCATCCAGGATTGTTGCCGGTTTGGTTGAGGACGTGACGGTGCCATTGATGTTCCCGGGCTCGCAAGGGAAAATGCAGCTGTTCAAGAATCTCAAGATCGAAGACATGAAGATCAAGCTTTCTGGCATGTATCGTCCCTTCGCCCACGCCCTGAGCCTGTGGGGAAGTGGCGAAGGCGACGAACCCGAGGGCGATTTGCTTTGCTCCGGAAGGGTGGTGGGCGAGATCGACTTACCGCCGCAGTTCAAGAAGGTCGAGATGTCCCTCGACGTCAATGGTATCTGGCCGGACGTGTACGTGTATGACGGAGACCTACCCCAATCGGCTAGGCTCAGGCGGCGCGACCAAGTCATCTTTGGCGCGGACGACCTTGTGGGGCAAGAGGTCGCAGTTGAAGCCTCTCGATACCCTCCTAACCCGACGCCTACAGATGCCTTTGCACGTCTCCATCCCTCCTCGCTGATCGTCGCCTCGACGATCCACGTACCCGCGAACCGAACGCACAATGCGACGACGCTAATCTCGGCCACTTTCACCGATGCGCCGTTGTTCCTTCTTCCTGGCCGAGGCGACGTTTTCCGACGGTTCGTCGGCAAGATCATCTTTGGTGGTCCTGGCGCTAAGGCGAGAGCGGGAGTCAGAGGCGTCAGCGCTGCAACGCTTGGTGTGGGTGGACTAGGATCGATTGCCGTGGAAGGATTGCCGGTCGAGGGGGAGTTCTGGGTCGGCAGCGGAGGAGCCGGATTGGCCGAGTGAGCCCGGGGTCGGCTTTGTACTACTAGAGAACATGCACTATGCTGCGTGTTGTAGGTTTTCGATAGTTTTCGTAGACAATTGTGTGTAGACGGACCGTGATATTTTGTTCGATTAGGCTTCTTATTATGGCGCAGCGGAGCCGACGGGGACCCGCAGTGCGCAGCGACGCCTCTAGGCGCTCGGCCAGCCCTACGGATGGGGGAAGCCGACGGATTCCGGCGGTCCAGCTTACAGGGTCTCCGAGTCCTCACCGAGCGAGCCTGAGATTCGAAGCTCAGCTCACGAATAAGGCCATTCACTGTCGGTATTTTGAGCACCTGATCGTCGTTATCAGCTAGGTTCACCCCCTGATGCCCTGCCTGCAGACTGCAGTGCCGCGCGCGCTAGACTCGGAATAGAAACGACCCAACGCCGCGGAGAAACGATCCAGACTCCAGACCGCGCTAAGGAGAGCGAGGCCTGGCCGACACCGCAATCAAGCTCGTGGCAAAGGCTGTTTCGAACGCGATGGCCCAGAGTCTAGGACCTGGACATGTCTCGCCTTCGCACAGAAAGGGCATCCAAGAAAGGCTTGGGTCTGGTGCCTTTGGTCGGTAGTAGGGTAGGTATTTAGAGCTACCTGTCTTGGGGCACTTCACTGCAGGGATTGCCATCGCCTCTGGGCGGGTCCATCGCAGTTCGAAATACTTTTGCCGGCGCCCGCAAACGAAAGCTCGGCGCCCGCGCCGTTGCAATTTCGGAGTTTGCGCGCAGCGCCGCGGTCTCGGCGTTCACATTTGAGTCTTTCGCTCCTTCACACGAGGCTCTCGCACTTCAACACCTCGGTTACCAGCCCGCTAGCCCAGAATCCCAATCTACCACTCCGTTTGCTGGTGCTGCTTGCTCCTACGTACTCCTTCCTTCTCCTCCCTCTTCATTCCCGTCATTTTTCTAGGTGCCATCATCGTGAGTGTTTAGCTTCGACCCGGCGACGGTGCTGGTCAGGTTCACAGTGGGCGTCTGCAACTCCTCGCGCTGATTCCGACGGCTCTCATTCGATTAGCATCCAGTCGACGGGACGCGATACGGAACCCAGACTCCCACAACAGGCCTCACCCCGATTCTACACACAACGACACGTTTGCCCTTGGCACAACATGGTCATCAGTTCCACTGCCATCGCGGCATCGATCTCACGCCCGCCCTTGGACCCCTTACTTCGACGAGAAAGCTTCGCGGGCGCGCCCACAGTGACGGGCCCCTCAACGGCAGCTCGGCCCGAAGTTGTGCCGGGGTCGGCCTCGTATCCAGGCGCCTATATCAACTCCACCTCGGAACCTCATCAAATTTACCGACGCCAATCCACTTTGAACTCGTTCCCTACATTGCCTTCGAGATTTGAATCGGACTTACCTTCGCGTCGAACGCAGTCCATGTCCGGCCCGTCCGGTGGACTCCGCCCAGGTTCTTCGATGACAACCTCCGCGACCTCCGCGCAGGTCTATGCTCGGTTGTACGAGACGTTGGTGGAAAAGTGGGCCGAACGTGCGAGGTCGATCGCTGCTAGCTCCCCTCGTGACCAGGCCGACCAACGGCTACCAAGCGTCGAAAGTGAGAACTCGCCAACGAGGAAACGCCGCCAAGAGGAGGAGGATATCGTCGACAGCGACTCGACAGTGGAGGCGAGTTCTTCAGCAAAGAAGGCACGACTTGAGGAAGAGGAAGAAAATTTGGATGCGATCAAGGAGGGCGAAGAGGAGATGATTATGGGCGGGGCCTCGGGCCAACCGAAGGCAGAAGTTCAAGAGCGACCCTGCTCCGCACCACCACTGTTGCCCTCCCCCATGACGCGGTCAAAGACGAAGCTCGCCAACTCTGCTGCACCGGACGACGCTTTAAGAAGGTCCATCTCACCTCTGGGTAAATCCCACAAGCTTGCACCCCGCCGAGCTGCGTCACCACTCGTTCTCTGCCGTCGCATCATCGCTTCTCGTCGTGACTCCGCAACAGGGGTTAAGTCCACGCGGCACCAGCCCGTGGTCGAAGGTCCTCGCCACTGCACTAGCACAATACCTTGTCGCTCTGAGGCACTCCTGGGTGTTCTCAAGAGCTTCGAGCTTGTCTTGCAGACTCGTGCCCAAGGATGGAGGTTGCTAGCTGTTGAAGGGGACAAGATTGAGCTGCGCCGAGGGGGACCGTGAAAGTAGTCGCCGAAGCAAGATGCATCTGCTGTAATACATCTGCAGATGCCTTTTTCACACTCTAGCTTAGCGCAAAACGTATGAGAAACATTCTTCAAGGGTGGTGGAGCCCTCGAGTTGAAATTGATGTCGTTATTATGACAATATGGCACATTAACGGAACGACCAAGCTACGAATAGCTCCCAAGACAAAAGAATCACAGGACTATAAAGGAGTACACAACATATAAAGCCACCACAACCGACATAAGCCTATTCATCATTGAGCCTCCTTGATCTCCTCGTTGTTCGCAGATCGCACGTGAGAGGGCTTCTTCCCAGCCTCCATCGATTCCTCCTCGTCGCCTTCCTCGTCCGCTTGGTCGACGGGCGCATCGGGATCAGCAGGGAGGAGCGCGTTGAGGATGGATGCAATGATACCAGCGATCAAGAAAGGAGTCGACAAGATCTGCGAGAGGAAGGAAGCACCAAGTCAGTAAAGTCGAAGTGGAGAGCGTCTGAGTGAAAGGACAACCCACAATGATCAAGGAGTTCTCGAAACCCTTCAAGCTCGCCTTGGTAGTGGTGGACGTGAAGATGTAGGAGCTCCAGTCCGGGACCAACAGGTTACCGAGACCGAGCGACAAGGCTGAGGCGAGGATCATGCGATCTCGGCGGGTGAAAGACATGTAGGACAAGACCCTGAAGCCCGAGACGGCGACCGAAGCGAAGAGGAAGGTCGTCACTCCTCCGAGTACGGGCGCAGGAATGGCCAAGAAGATACCACTGATCTTGGCGAGGATGCCGATGACAATCAGAGTTGCGGCGCAGAAGTATCCCGCTGTTCGGTTCGCGCAGCGTGTGATAGAAATGACACCGTTGTTTTGGGCAAAGATGGAAACGGGCGCGTTCATCATCAAGCCAGAGAGGAGACCGTTGAAGCCATCGGCGAGGATACCGCCTTGGACACGACTATCGAACAGAGGTCCCGTCACCGGTTGACGAGATGCCTCCGAGGAAGCAGTGATGTCGCCTGTCGCTTCCATCGCCAAAGAGATGTAGACGGCCATGAGAGGCAGGATGGAAGGTCCATGCACCTTTAGGGGGAAGGTTCTGGAGGCGCAGAAGTGGGAAGCATTAGTCAGGTTGCGCTAATACGCTTGACATCCCGAGATCCCGTCCCAAAAAGGACTCGGACTCACTCTCTCCACAAGAACGTAGCAACGGGGGCTTGAGTGATAGAACTGCCGTCGATGTAGCCAAGGGGTCCGGCAACGATGCAGCCGACAACCAAGCCGAGGATGATACTTCCGCTTCGCATCGCAGGCGAACCGAAGAACTCGAGAAAAATGATCGTCAGGAAAGAGAGAAGGCCGAGACCCAAGAAGCGAGGATCTCCCCATTGGTAGGCGCGCGGGGCACTGATGTCGGGGCAAAGAGCGAAGAAGCCGGTCTCGGGTCGAGTGTGGCAGTTACCACTTCCACCTCCCCAGTTCAAAAAGCCAGAATCACTGTGAAACAGGGTCGTGTGAAAAGATCAGTTACGTCCCCAAACTTTCTCCACGATAGGAGTAGGACGTGGACTGACCCGATAAGGCTTGCACCGATGAGCAAGATGACGGTGCCGGTGACCACAGGGGGGAAGATCCGTTTCAAAACCTTGGGCGGCACAAACGCCATGCCCATCTCCAAAAGAGAGGTCAGACACGATGTACCGAGGCTAGCGAAACAAAGGTCGGATCAGCAGTTCGATGATTCTCGGTACCGACGCGGTGAGACGGCACTTACAGGTAGCCGTACGCCTGAGGGCAGTAACCTCGGACGGTGACACCACTTGCGACCGTCGATGGGGAGGTGCCATCAGCGTAGAGGGTGTTGAAGATGGCCGACGCAGTCGAGAGCGTGGCGAACGAGGTACCGACGACGGTGATCAACCCTGTGCCGAGCCAATACTTGCGCTTGGTGAAGGGAATGGCAAAACGAGACATTTGGATCGCCGACAAGAAACCCGAGGCGATAAGCGAGACGGCGACAGCTTGGTTCTGCTGCGCGGGATTGAACCCGAGCTGGTTGGCGAAGATGATGGGTGGTGTGACAAGACCAGCAAGCATGGCGAGCGCATGTTGGAATCCGCAGATGAGTGCCAAAAGGATTGGCATTTCCTAATGGAGTGAGAAGAAGTCAGCAAAATCAGGGGTCAGCCAATAGTCCATTCTGGTGCAACAAAGGCTGCTCGTGGCACGTACCTGGTCAAGAGCGTAAAAGGGCACGGCACTACACGACCAACGGAAGTGGGAAACGATGTTCAGTGCCTTGTACTACTATGCCGCGCCGCAATCTGTCGAGAGCCGAGAGCAGCAAACCTACCGGGCTCGACGCTTCCTACCTCGACCGACGGCGAAAGGCAGCGTTGGCATGCACAGGAAACCGCTGTGATGAAAGCAGGTTCAATATTTGTGTCATCGGACGAACGTGGTTTGCTTTGGGTAATCTACTTTTCTGTTCCACGGGAAACGGAAAGAAGTAACTCACAAATCTGCGAGTCACGACCGACATCGGAGAAAGGTCGTGTGGATTGGGGGATGGTCAGCGCTGGCTCGAAAGCGAATCGCTAATCGCGTGCCGAAGCCGGTGTGGCCAAGAACGACGAGCGATGCCGAGCTCGCCACACCCATGAACGTAGACAGAGAGTGGTGGGTAGACTGACCATAATCGCCCATCCATCCTTCCTTGGTCGTGAGCTTCTTCTTGATCTGTTGTAGCGAAGGCAGGTGTGCCGCTCCATCACCTTCGTGGACGTCAAAGTGGTGTTCGTCCTCGGCCGCGGAGGGTAGTGTGAGATTCTCAAAGTACTTTAATTCTCTCTTATTTCCTTCTAGCATCATGGCCCCTGTGTCTCTTCCCTTATTCTCCTTCTTGACCCGGCTTTGCCGTCTATCTTCCGCATTCTGGCCAGACTCGCGCACTTGCTCTCAGCTAGCTGGCCCCGCGCGACTCTCTCTCTCCTGCTCAAGCAACTTCTTGGTCTGGTCTCCCTTGGTCCGTCGATCAGAGACTTACCACTGCTTGAGCAGGTGTGTGAAGCAACTTCTTGGTCTGGTCTCCCTTGGTCCGTCGATCAGAGACTTACCACTGCTTGAGCAAGTCTGTGCGTTGCTTCTACCTCTCATAGGTTATAAGCCCAAACAATCTACCAGCACGGTCGCTTTCGCGTCCGTTTCGTTTTTCTTTCTCGAACTTCGCACGCTTGCGCCGCCCCCGCTATGCCTTCCAAGTCCGCGCCCGGCGCTATTTCCAAGCCCGACGCCGCCGTTGAGGCCGCCATCGCCCCTATCGTCGCTCGTCCACCGCAGCAGCCGGCCTCGTTTGCCGCGACGGAACTCCTCCGCGACTCGGCGGGCTACCAGGATTGGCTCCTCGTCGTCCGCTCGCGTTTGCAGGCCGGTGTCCTCCGGTACCTGGAGAGCGGTGAGCCATGCGCTTCGTGGCCCCCCTCGCTCGTTCCGTTATGGGATCACTACGCCCTTTCCTCGCTCTGCTCGTCTGTCGACCCTCGCTTGGTCCTCCCCGGCTTGTCGACCTTCCTCGACGACAGCGACGGCGCGCCGAAGATCTGGCAGGCTCTCCGTTCTCGGTATGGCGCCACCTCGGCTGTTGACCTGCTTCCGGCCGTCGTCACGCTCTTCAGCACCGAGGAGCTCCCCGCCACCACGGACTCGTTCCTACAGTTCCGTGACAGTTTCGAGAACCAGCTTCGTCTGCTCACCTCGTCGAAGGTCACTGTCGACTCTCTGGTCGCCTCGCACCTCCTCTCCCGACTGCCGCCGTCCCTCGAGTCGTGGCGCTCGACCTTTGTCAACGACCAAGGTGATTCGACGACCCTGCCGTCTGTCTCGGTGATTTTCGATCGCCTCCTACGCGACATTCGCGCTCGTCCAGTCGACGCTCCCACCGCGGCGCTTGCTCGATCGTCCGCTCGCGACGCCCGCGCTCCTCGCTCCCCGTGCCCCAACCCAAAGTGTCGCAAGATGCATTGGCTCAGGGACTGTCCCGACACCGCTTGGGCAGCCTCCTTCCGCGCGCGTCGTGCCACCGAGAACGGCAACAAGCCCGACGGCGAACGCAAGTCTTCGCAGCCCGCTGCCTCTCCCGCTGCCGCGCCGGCTGTCGCCGACGAGCACCTCTCGCCCGCGACCTACGCCGCCTGCTTCCTCTCCGCCTCCTCCCCGTTCGACAAGGGGGCCTGGCTCCTGGACTCCGGCGCCAATCGGCACATGGCCAACGACGTTCATCTATTTACGCACCTGCAGCCCGTCAAGGGACCGCACGTTGCTGGTGTTGCGGGCTCCCTGCCCTCCACCGGTTCCGGCTCCGTGGAGCTCAACACGACCTCCGGTCGCGTCGCCGTCGCTGACGTTCTTCATGTGCCCTCGTTGCCTTGCAACTTGTTGTCCGTTCGACGCCTCGACCGCCTCGGCTTCACGGTCTCGTTCGGCTCCAACGTCGCCACCATCCGCAACGCCGCCGGCACCGCTGTCGCCACCGCTCGGGCCATCGCAAACGACCTGTACACTCTGGACCTCGCCGCTGCACCTTGTACGCCCCACGCTCTGCTTGCTTCGCCCTCCCAGGTGTCCTTGCTTACCCTCCACAACCGCCTCGCGCACCTCCCTGTCCTCCTTCTCAAGAGAATCGTTCAGAAAGGGATGGTTACCGGTGTGGCGTGGGATTACTCGGACGAGGAGTGTAGAACCTTCAATTGCAATGCATGTCTCGCTTCCAAAGCGCATGCCCTCCCATTCGCTCGCTCCAAGTCGATTGCCTCGCAGCGCCTCGGCCTGATCCATGTCGACCTTGCCCAAATGCCACACGTTAGCTTCGGTGGTCATCGCTACATGCTTGTGATCGTCGACGACCACACCCGAAAGCACTGGTGCATCCTCCTTGCCCGCAAGAGCGACACCTTCCCGCGCCGATTCTTGAGGTTGAGCGAGCGACCGGCGACAGCGTCAAGACCATTTGCTCCGACAACGGCGGCGAATTCACGCTGCGCAGTTTCGTCGATTTCTGCTGCAGCAAGGGCATTCGTCGAGAACTCACGATACCCTACACGCCACAGCAAAACGGACGGGTTGAGCGCCCCAACCGCACCATCAAGGAGGGCATCCTTGCCCTTGCCTACTCGGCCGGTGTCGACTCGCGACTCTGGGGTGAAGCGGCCATGTACTTTGTCCGATGCAAGAACATGACACCCCATGCCGGCGTCAGTGGCGAAATCCCCGACGCTCGTTGGCATGGTTACGCACCGGATGTTTCCTCTCTTCGCACCTTTGGCTGCCGTGCCTGGCATTGCCTTCCTTCGGCGTCCCGCTCTGCTCTCGACCCTAAGGCCATGCCTCTCATCTTCGTTGGCCTCGACGACCATTCGAAGGCTTACCGCCTGTTCAATCCGGCGACTCGCAAGGTGCTCCTCAGCCGGAACGTCCTTTTCCATGAATCCGAGTTCCCCGCCTCGACACAAATTCACGCCTCGTTCTCTCCGGCCAATCCTCTCCCGGATGTTGTTGCGTTACGCCCTGACCAGGCTGACCTCCCCCAGCCACTACTCGCTGTCCCCCCCCCCGCTCCCCTGCGCCTCGCGCTGAGCAGCTTACCCCCGCGCCTGATGCCTCTGACCAAGGCTCGCCGGCCCTTGCTCGTAATGTCCCTGACCAGGAATTGCCCGCACCCTTCGCCTCTGACCAAGGCAGCGCCCCTGACCAGGGCAGCCCCGACTCGGCACTTTCTACGCCTTGTCCCTCTCCTCGACTCCGGCCCAGCTCCTACGATTTCTCCGCCCTGTGCCTTGCCCCGGAGTTCTCTGATGATGTCGATGACGCCCTTCACTCGCCTGCGCCTGTGTGCTACCTTGCGGACGCTGCTGCCGCCCTCCTCGATACTTCTTCCGTCGACCCCGCGGAGCTCGTTGCGCCTGCGCGCGACCCTCCCCACTGGCGTGCTGCCATGGCCTCGCCCCAGGCGGACGAGTGGCGTCTTGCGGCTCGTGATGAATTTGACTCACTCTCTCGCGATTTCTCCGCTTTCACGCCCATCGACCAATCACTTGTCCCCGACGACGCCAAAATCATTGGCTCTCGCTTCGTCTTTCGCACCAAACGCGACCAGTTCGGGAAGATCAAGTCTTACAAAGGCCGCCTTGTCGCCCGCGGCGATTCCCAGCGATCTGGTATCGATTTCGACGAGACTTTTGCGCCCGTTGCCAAGTTCACTTCGATCCGTGCTCTGCTGGCCCTGTCTGCTGCCCGAGGCTATCACGTTCACCAGGCCGACATCGACAAAGCGTACCTTCATGGAAAGCTCGACAAGCCTTTGTACATGCGTGTCCCCGAGGGCATTGCCCTGCCCGGTAAAGTTCTCCAATTGCACCGTTCCCTCTACGGCTTACGCCAGGCTGGTCGCATCTGGAACGACGAAATTGACTCTACCCTCCTTGGCTTGGGTTACGTCGCCACTGAGTCCGACCATTGCGTCTACATCAAAACCGTTGGGGACGTGCACCACTACATCGCGCTTTACGTCGACAACCTCCTCATGATTGGCCCCTCCCTACCCGAAATTGAGCGTACCCTCCAGGGCCTTGAACGATGTTATGGTGTCAAGCGCCTTGGTGAAGCGGAATACGTCCTTGGCATCCATATCCGGCGTTCCTCCGACGGCTCGATCACGCTAAGCCAGGAGCAGTACCTCAAGGACATCCTCGCTCGTTTTGGCATGTCGAACGCCCACCCGGTTGCCACCCCGATGAAATCCGACCTCCACCTTGAGATTGAGATCAACCCTGCCCCGTTTGCGGACCGCACCCGCTATCTTCAGGCCATTGGCTCGCTCATGTACGCATCCACTGGCACTCGCCCCGATCTGGCCTATGCTGTCGGTTACTTGGCTCGATTCTCCCAGTCTCCATCCGAAGCTGCCTGGGGTGCTGTCAAGCACGCTTTCCGTTACCTCGCTGGAACGCTCTCGCACGGCCTGCGCTATTCCCGCGGCGACCCTGCTCCCGTGATTGGCTACTCTGATTGCAACTGGGGTGCCTGTGTGCTCTCCTCCAAGTCGACCATGGGCTACGCGTTCCTCTATGCCGGTGGCGCCATCTCGTGGTCCTCGCGCCTCCAGTCTCGCGTGGCAGACTCCACTTGCGACGCCGAATACCTGGCTCTCTCGCATGCCGGCAAGGAAGCCATTTTCCTGCGTCAACTGTTTGGTGAGCTGGGTCTCCCCTCTTCTGCTCCGACTCTAGTACTTGGCGACAATCAAGGCGCCAACGCCCTCACTAAGAACCCGGTTTTCCACGCCCGCACCCGCCACATCCGACTTCGTGAGCACTTTGTCCGCGACATGGTCGCCCTTGGTGATATCGCGGTCCAGTACATCAACACGGCCGACATGACCGCCGACATCTTCACCAAGGCTCTAGCCCGCGACCTCTTTGCGCGTCACCGCGGCCGCCTTGGCATCTGTCCTCCCTGATGCTCGAAGTCGGGGGGGGGTGTGAGATTCTCAAAGTACTTTAATTCTCTCTTATTTCCTTCTAGCATCATGGCCCCTGTGTCTCTTCCCTTATTCTCCTTCTTGACCCGGCTTTGCCGTCTATCTTCCGCATTCTGGCCAGACTCGCGCACTTGCTCTCAGCTAGCTGGCCCCGCGCGACTCTCTCTCTCCTGCTCAAGCAACTTCTTGGTCTGGTCTCCCTTGGTCCGTCGATCAGAGACTTACCACTGCTTGAGCAGGTGAGTACTACACATCACTACCAACTCCAATACTACTAGTCGTGATAGCTTACCTGTAGTTGTTGAATAGGTGTGTCAAGCAACTTCTTGGTCTGGTCTCCCTTGGTCCGTCGATCAGAGACTTACCACTGCTTGCGTTGCTTCTACCTCTCATAGGTAGCACCCTCGCCGTCGACGGCATCTCCTTGGCTGAAGGCTGCGAATTCAGAGACATGCTGGTTTGGGTCGCTTGCGTTCGAGAGGCGGTCAGTGCTGGGCTGAGGGAGAGAGGGGAAGACACCGAGTGGGGGTAAGGATCAAAAAAGATCGGAGGGCCAAGACAGTGAGGAGGAAGCAAGACTAGCCCAGAGAATCGATAGGTGCCCATCGGACTGCGGGCTCCACAATCGGAGCGCGAGACTCGGCGAGATAAGCCTCCCGGAGACGGGACCCATTCGGGTGCAAAGCCTGCTCAATCGTCCCTAAATCACCTATACGGTCCCAGCCTCTGAGAGGATAAGCTAATTCTTGCGTGCCCCGACTTGGAGTGGCCGCCTCGAATTTCCAACTTGAAGCAACTTCCCGTAAATTCACCCGTCCTAGTTTCAAGTGTCTTCAATGCGTTGCTGAGGTACCCATAACATTCTGTGACAGTAGGAATTTCCCATGCGCATCCTTTGCAATCGGCCACGTAGGTACTCGGTGATACATTCTTATCCGGCGAGCCGCGGCCGGGATGCCGATTTTAGACCTTGGCCGATGGATGGACACTGGACAGCGTCTCCGCGATGACCGCACCCCCGTCATTCCCGGAGGAGCGACGGGCCAAAGCCGCTGATAGACCGTAGGGGCCGGGGACCTACACCTCCGCATATTCCAGATCAGCTCCGTATCAGATCTCGGTGCGTATCTCTAATAAAGATCCCAGGGCTGGAAGGCCATGTTCTCGATCTCTTGGCGATCTAACCCCCTGTCAAGAGGCTTTTGGGAGGGTTTGGGTCTCGGATCCGATCTGTTTCGCTCCGACTGACGAGTCTCATAGGTTGAGGCCCCGGTCCACGACAAAGCGTGTGGAATTATAAATCTCACGGTGGGTTGAGAGATATCTTCCATAGTCACTAATGACCGTGGCCGACACCTTCTATCGGACGCCCGGCTAGAAAGTAAGCCCATCTCCGAGGCTCATGAAAAGGCACGTGATCAGACAATCTCAATTACACTGTGAGTTCAGCGCTAAGCTTCGAAGACCATTACTTCTTCGCCTCCTCGACCTTCTTGGTGAGTTCGGGGACGGCTTCGAAGAGATCGGCAACGAGACCGTGGTCGGCCACTTGGAAAATGGGAGCATCCGGGTCCTGACAAAGGCGCGCAGGTTGAAAGGACATGTCAGTCCCTAAGCACTTCAATCTAATAGAAAGTTTCGCCATACCTTGTTGATGGCGACAATTGTCTTCGAGTCCTTCATTCCTGCCAAATGCTGCAGAGCACCACTGATCCCGACGGCGACGTAAAGGCTAGGAGCGACGACTTTCCCCGTCTGCCCGACCTGCTGCGAGTTGTCGGCGTAGCCCGAGTCGACGGCGGCTCGAGAAGCTCCGACGGCGGCTCCGAGCGCATCGGCGAGAGGGAAGATGATTGAGTCGAAGTTTTCCTTCGACTTGACCCCTCGACCACCCGAGACCACAGCTTGTGCCGAGCCGAGATCGGGACGCTCCGACTTTGTTAACTCTTCCGAGACCCATGCGGCTTGTTCTGTTAACCATCGTGAGGAAACAGAGTAAGCTCTTGCGAGCCTCGATGCACTCTTTCAGGAAATCGCGACTTGCCTTTCCCAACCTCCTCGGCAGCCTTGGCATCGACTTCGGTCGCACCCTCGCCACTAAGTGCGGCATCCCAAGAGGCCGATCGGACGGTGAAGATCTTGATGTCGTCCGAAGATTTGACGGTTGCGATGGCGTTACCGGCATAGATTGGTCGTACAAAGGTGTCGGGCGACTCGATCGCCATGACATCCGAGATCTGCGCGCATTCAGGGTTGTCTCGCGCTCCGGTCAGATCTTTCGACTGTCTTCGAAAGAGAGAGGCGAGGCGCAGACCCCGCAGACCCCTCCGACTCACCTGCTGGACGCCCAAAATACCCGCTACTCGAGGGAAGATGTTCTTGCCCTGTGCCGAGTGAGCGGCGGCGAGATGGGTATAGTTGCCCGACTTGACGAGCGCGGCGAGGACGGGTGCCAACGGTTCGGCGAGAGCGTGGGCCAAAGCAGGCGATGTTCGGTGCAAGAGGGCATCGAGCCCAAGCCTGGTGTTATAGATAGGATATCGGTGAGTCTGTCGTTCGGCGTGCTAAAGTGGCCACTGCACACTGTGAAGGACCACATCCAATCCGATCTCCGAGGGCCGCGAGGCCAGGATGCGCCGGGGATTGGCTACTTCATTCCCGTGATGGCGATTGGTAATGTTCCAGCCTCTTCCAAGCCCACGCATTTCCTATGCCATGTGGCCCTGCTGTGACAGGGAGTGCTGTACACCCGAGCTGCTTCCGGTCCGGACCGACGGCTGCTGGAAGCAGGCACTCCCACGACAGCTCATGACAGACCATGCGGTCCTCGTGGGATTGCACCGGCCCAAGAGCGCAAAATCCCCATGCGATGATAGAACGACAATCACTTGGTGACGTGCACTCGCAGCGGCACTACGACCGTTGATTCGGTTGCCGACCGCCCGGCGTCGTTGTCGCCGTCCGCGCTGCGTCGAGTAAGAGAGCGCATGTCGAATGTTGAAACTTACTTTCGAGCACCCTCCACGACGGCCTTGGTCGAAGCCTCCTCACCCACGACGAGACCCGTGACGGTGCCGCCAAGCTTCCTCGCGGCGGTGATGGCATTCAGAGAAGCTGGAACGATCTTGTCGTCCTTGTGCTCGATAAGCACCAACGCCGAGGGGGACGACGACGTGGCGTACGAGCGACGCGCCAAGGTGAAAGCTCTAGAAACGGAGGCGAAGCGCTGCATGTTGTGAGTGGAGGTAGGGGTGGCGGTGGGTGGGAGCGTAAGCAAAAAAGCCGAGTCGCAGCGGACGGGTGTGTCGGCTGCCAAGTTTCCTGAGCGAGGGCAGGCGAGGGCTTTGGCTGCCGCTGATTCGATCGTGATGCATGAGCAGCATTGGCAGTACTCTGGCAACCACTTCGATTTTTTGTCTCAATGGGCGAAGCCACCAGAACTGGTCACCAGTAACATCAATCCCCCCTCGTGTGGTGCCGACCGTGTGGTGCCTACAGCTACTACATAGTGCTCAGACTCGGAGTCTGCCGTTGTGAAAAGCTGATCTGTGCGGGTCGGCGACCGACACCTACACACCAAAAAAAACACTGCGAAACCATTCGGTGGAACCCGCAACTGCTTTCCTGGCACGAACTTCATCTTCGAGTGAACGGCTCAGCAGATCCTAGCTCTCTGCGTTCAGCTCGCCGAGCACCCCCTTTCGGGGACACCAGGCTGCTCCGAATCGCGGCAGCTGCTCAGTGCTGGCGCTACCCCACAGCCCGGATGCCGGGTGCTCATGAAGGCCGGCCCCACCTCGCTGATCACAGAGTCAGGCAGAGTCGCGCTAGTAGGTCGCGCTGCTCACTGGGGCCAGCTGGGGCCGGTTGAGCGCGCCAGTTGAGTGCCAGTTGGTTGCTCAGGCGCTCAGGCCTCAGGCTTGCTCAGGTGGCTCCAGTTTCCAAACAGTTGCGCCAATACTGCTCACCCTTCCTTCCTCTCCGCCCTTCTGTTGCTCAACTAACCAACCGTCACACCCAAATCTTACTCGCTCAGGTCATGTCGTCCAACTCGTCCACCGCCTCGATCGAGGGCCCGCAGGGTCTCTCGTTCTTCACCAAGACCTGGACTCCTCCGCAGGGAACGGCCACCGTCGCCACTGTTTGCTTCGTTCACGGGTTGAGTTTCTGGGCTCTGCAACACAGTCCTTCGAGCATCGTGACTGACTTCGACGTGTCCATCTCCCACGCTAGCTTCGTCGAACATCTACGCCGCTACGATCACGTGTTTGATCGGTTCGCTCAGCAAGGCCTTGCCGTCTTTGCCTATGATCAGCGTGGTCAGTCTTTGTTCACGGGGAAAGGGAGGAATGAGTCACCATAGTTACTGACACTGCACTATATATCCCCAACCTGCGATCCCCGCCTCGTCTGGTCCCATCTCGTCTCTCCCCCGTGCTCCAATTGCGCGCTCTCGGTGCTCGGCTTTCTTGACCACGGACGTTTCTGGTGTCCGGCCTCGGCTCGCCCCATCTCCTCAATCTCTGTGGACGGATTGCGGACCATCTCCACCACGTATTGCTTTCATCACATCAACTCGTCGTGTTCAACTTTGTTTGCATATCACGTACTTCGTCTGCACCTCGCCACGTCACCGTTATGACTGGACCTCAACGCCTTGCCCCTGACGTCGACCGACCGTTGGCCCCGCGATGATAGGCTTCGGACAAACGGCCGTGGATCTCGGAGGCAACAACCAAGGTGTGACCTCGTGGCCGCAGCAACTCGCCGACCTCGCCTTCTTCGTCGACCATGCTTCCAAGCTCAACCCCGATAAACCGCTTTTCTTGTATGGTCACTCCATGGGTATGTTCACCCACATAGAATGCACCGCAATTCGAAGCGGGACCGGAGATCGTTCCGCCGGGCTAACCATTACCGAGTGAGTTCCTCCGACCAGGCGGCGGATTGGCACTGGCTTTCCCAACGCGTGTTCCTCCCTCGGTTGGCGTCGAAAAGATCAAAGGTGTGATTGCTGGTTCACCCTTGATCGAGCAATCCCCTGGCGTCAAGGCCTCGGGGATCGTCGTCACGCTCGGTGGTCTGGTCGGCAAATTGAGCGGATCGCTCACGATGCCCGTTCAAGTCAAGCCGGAGGTGGGTCGATTCTTCAGGCCGCGTGAATCGAGGCAACTTTTCCTGCTGTGCTGACGAAGCTTGACCCTACAAAAGGATGTGTCAAGGGATCCCGAGGTGGCCAAGATCTATGCTGCTGATCCTCTCTGCAAGCAACAAGGATCGTTCAGGGGACTGTCAGATATGCTCAAAGGGGTCCGTCGCAGCTTCGCCTTGACGAGGGCGTGCTTGCTTATCTGACGATGAGAACTTTAATACCGGAAACGGTAATACCATCTTTGATCTGGACAGGGTGAAGCGTTGTTGAACAAGGATTACAAGAACTGGCCCAAGGACTTGCCTCTCTTGGTCATCCACGGTGAAGATGACAAGGTGAGTCCCCCCAATAATAGTAATTCTCGACTAATCAGCCGAGCTGACCCTGCGCGGGTGAATGACTCTCTACAGGTCACTTGGTGCGAATCGAGCAAGAAGTTCGTCGAAAAGGTCCAGAAAGCAGGCGGCAACGCCGAGTACAAGGGGTACCCAGGATTCTACGTAAGCCTCAGCCTCGATCGAGACGCGGGGAAGTCGAACGAGTCTGACCTGCCGCCTCTCCCAATTTACGTATGGGGCCACGTCACACTGACGTAGCACGAGTTGCACAACGAGGTGAGTCTCTCATTTCAGTATCAGACATCCCAGGATGCTCGAACACTAACTCGGTCACATGTCCCTTGATGTTTCGCAGCCTGGAGAAGACAAGTGGATCGTCGTGAAGGACGTGACCGATTGGATCAAGGCCAAGCTCTAGAGTCGAGGCACCACACTCAGAGCTTGGTTTCCTCGAGAGAGGTGTTCGTCTCAGTCTTTGAACGTATAACCCGACACACGCCTTTGTCCTGTGCTGCCTGGTCTACGACGCGAGTTGAAAGAGAGAGGGGAGGGGGCTGTATTTTGCATTCTGTGTCTTTTTGATGCCACGAGTCGTTTGTGCTTTACCAGAGTCCACGCTCGTATGAGAGGAAGAGACGTATTTGCGAGACCGCGACATTGCGGAGAATTGATAAACCGGATGGACTGCAGCGACACCGTGTGGCCTGTTCCCTTGGCCCCGGACACCCCTGTCTCAAACTCAGACATGGCCGATGGCCGATGATCGATGACCGTCCCATCCAAGTTCTTGTAGTTCTGACGCCGACTAAGTTCAGGTCTCAAATTTGTGTTCGAGTGGAAAAGAGTTGATCTGTCGTGGTCGTTTGGTCACACCCTTTACAGCCATCGACACCGACCCAAGAATTTGAGCGTCCGCTCTCATCTCGCACGACACCGTCCTCGGGGACATCATCGCTGCGACCTGGCCCAGGGTGCGCTTCCAAGAAACACTCGTGGCGTCGGGCCCTCGGCTAACCACAGCTTCTTTCCTCCCGACTAAAGCGGCTGTTTAGGACTGGTCTAAATTGACTTGAACAAGAGGTGATCACAGTTCGATATTCGTTTAATTTTCCTAGGGCTACGGGTGTCCAGGTGGCCTATTCCCTCTCTGTCATTCTCTTCCCCTTCATTCCCGGATAGTAATTTGGCTTTTCTGCTAAACTTTCCACACGGTAACAATCGTCTCTGCAATCCTCACCTCATACCAAAAGCATTCATTGCGGTACTTCCTTTTCGCGTCAGATTGCAAGATCGCCCACCTTCCTAGCTCAAGAAGACGTCATCAACACCTTACGACTCCTCGTACCCTCGCCTGTCGCACTACACGTCGTTGCTTGCGCCGAAGGTGAGGTCTGATAAGGGCTATGCGAGGCGGTCCTCTTTCCCGCGGTCGTCGTCGTTGTTGTTGTTTCCAAAGCGGTCGAAGGGACTGCTTCGATCCGACTTGTTGGATAGGTCATATCGGGGGAAGAGGACGTCGAAGTTGGAGATGTATTGTTGAAAGAGGTCATGTAAGAATCGATAGGTGTACCCGGAGGGAAACTGTTGACCTCTCCTTCGATCACTCCCTCCCCGCCGAGCTCATCATCCAGCTCCTCATCACTCTCCCCCCGATTCTCATCATCCACCGACATCCACCGACATCCTCTCATCCCCCCTCCCCTCACCCCCTCACCATCCGGCGAACTCGGCGCCATAACCCTCGCCTTCGCCGTACTCGCTTCCAACCTCTTCAACAACTCCCTCGTACCCGTATCCCCCACCGTTCCCAAAATCTCCTGATCGGGAGGTGGGTCCCCCATCGACATCGTCGCTGACCTTACTGGACTAGGTAAGTTCGATGCGGTGGCTTTGCTTCTCTTATCCTTTGGTGCGGGAATCAAGGCGGGTGAAGGACCCACGACGGGTGCGTCGTATGAGGTAGATGAGGGAATGGAGTGAGAAGGATCGACTAAAGCGCTCGCTGCGGAGGCCGAGGCCGCGGCGGAGCGCTCGTTGAGAAGATGTCGTGCGAGACCTTGCGGTAGGAGGACCCTAGATGGTGCTGCGACAGAGGTTGAATCGACGGGGGATGGAGTGAGAGATGAGAGGGAGGCGGGGACGGTAGAAGAAGCTGCTGCGGTGGTTGTGGCGACGGAGGAAGGGGTGGTGGAGTGGTCGATGGGTCGGAGGGGTGAGGAGGATCCGTCTTGGTCCATTGGGGTAGGTGAGGTGGAGGAGTGGATGCCACGGATTGAAGGGGCAGGAGAGTTGATAGTGGGCGGTGATGTAATTCCGTGCGAGGCAAGAGAAGTGGATGGCGGGGTCGAGCCTGATGGAACCGAGCCTGCAGATGCCGGTGTCGGTGTTGAGGCCATAGGTGTTGGTAAAGGTGACGCCAAGCGGTACTGTGGGTGCGAAGTGACGAGGGATGTATAATAGTGCGCCAAGACGGTCCCCGTGGTCTGCTCATCATTTGAACAAGAGCCGGACCCCATCAGTCACGTGAGCGGGACCTCCCCTTGCGACGATCACCTCGAGCCACTACGCACACACGCACCGTTAACCGCCAATCGATGGCTTCACATAGTTCCTTCTCCAACAGGTTCATCTCGGCGACACCGACGCCACCAACGCGGGCATAGCGACCATTGGTGCAGAAACTGTCGCTGAGCGCTTTGGAACCGACGCTGACGCCGGCGATGATGAACCGATGCACGGTCAGGGATGAGATGGTGAAGGTCGTCATTCTCGCGCAAACTGTGTATCAGGAGACAGAAAAAAGAGAGGACCTTCGGTATGAGCCTTGCGTGCCAAAGTGACGAACATGGGAAGAAGGTTGCGGCTGCCCCCGCCCCGCGCATTCATTGGCTGATGCGCACCTTTGTCGACGTAGGGTAATAGGATCAACAGACAGCACGGTTCGACATTGGTGTACCTGGCTATCCGCACGAGGTAGTCCTTGACGTTGATCGAAGGTGGGGCCCTCGAATGGAACCGTGTGAGCGATGAGGGCGTCAACGGGATCCGGTCGTTGTGCTGGATCAGGCGGTCCAGCATGGAAGCTGCGGGGGATACTGCAGCATCAGAGTCGAGGAAAAAGACTTGGGAGCATGAAGAAAACTCACCTATTAGACTGATGAGATCGTTGACCTGACAAAGCTCAAAGAGATTAGGCACGACCCTCAGTCCGTCCGAATCGATGACGGTCGGCACGATCTTGGGCCCCCTGCTGCTGCTGCTGGCATTACTCTCCGGCGCAGTTTTGGTCGCTGTGGTGACCGTTGGATCGGACGTCGTGGGTGCGGGGACAGGGACCGATGCTGGTGCTGGTGCTGGTGCTGGTGCTGGTGCTGGTGCTGGTGCGGGTACATCGTCCTGCTGGGCGGGTAGGCGAGACGGCCCTGCGACGGCATTCGCATTCGTCGGATCCATGCCGGCTTACAAACGGGGGCTGTCACAGCGCAGAGCGTATGACGATCCAGAGTGGTTGCGCCAAAATGCTCGTTGTCAGGCGAGAACACGGTCGTGTCGAAGCCAACCTTTCAACGCCGATAGCGAAAGAACGGACGACGACGACGACGACGACGACGACGACGACGACGATGCACGACGAACGACGAATGACGACTCGTGATCGACTGATGTCCAACTCGGCCCAAGGCAAGCCAAGGCAACGGACCGGGCGGGGCGACGACGGCGACGGGGATGGCGGTCGAGCGATGCAAGCCCGTCTGGTCCAGTCGAGATGCACAAAGGACGGGACGTTACAGAGGCAGGCGAGCGCGACGTTCAGCAGACCTGTCCGGTTCTGAGTTGAGTGTGGGGTGTCAAGGCGTGATCGGTCGAGCGATTCGGAAGGCGCCGACAGAAAGGGAGAGAGCGATGAAGCGCGGGGGGAAAGAGGGAAAGAGGTGCACGTTCCTAAAATTCTCATCCAGCCCCGAGGACTCAGCTGCGGCTGCTGCGAGCGGCCACGAACTGCGGAAAGAGAAACGACGAGAACTACAGTATAATCTCAGGGAATGAATAACAGAAGAACTGTGAGATTCCAATGGCTCTGATCTTTGATGCGATTCAAGATTCAATCAATCAGTCCGGACCCGAGACCGGCCCACGCAGTCACCGAGGCAGGCAGGTACGACCATATTCATTGCAAGCTCATCCTTACCCTTCTCGATGCAATAGAACCGCTCCTCCGAGGACTGTCAAGTGTAGAGTAGTTCGAGCGATCAGCTCAATTGATTCAAGATCGTTCAATGAAAACAGCTCTTCGACGATGACCTACTCGCAAGCAAGGCGTACTTGAGCTTGGGAAAGTCGTTCTGCAGAATCGGAAACCACCACGACGTTCCAGTCAGTTCAGTGCGTTCTGAACGAGACAATTCGAATCCCATCCGTACCATCATAATCGTCACGTATCCAACATAAGGCACGTAGCTGTGTCGCACGAAAGAAACCCGCATCAGCACCCACACGACTACCTCAAGACGACAGCGATCCAGACCGAAAACTAACCCTTGTACCTTCCCGACGATATGACTTCGTTGGAGGTACTTGATCCCATTGTACAGATCGACATCATCGGCCATGTTGTTGTCCCCTTTGGTCAGGAGCCATTGCTCGGTCGTATTCCTCCTACTCGGACATCAAAAACTCCAGCATCGGTCATCCTCCCCCCTTCGAAAACCACATCGATGGTGGAAAGACTGACTGATCATGCACCTCAATCACACGATGAACGATCGGGATCGGCGAGCCGGGGATTTTGTAGACGGTGATGTCGCCGAGCTTGAGCGGGGCTTTGCGTGGCATCGTCAGGAATAGGAGATCGCCTCGCTTTTTTGGGGGGGATCGAGGTGTGTGCGCGGGGGGAGTGGGTGGTCAGGTCAGCATCCGGTGAAAAGACCGTAGCTTGATTCGTTCCGTGGAAACACACCTGAATAGCCGGCTCCATAGATTCACTGCACACGCACACCAAAATCGAACGAAAGGCGGACACGTCAATCACCGACAAGCGCGGTCGCGGACGGGCCTTCTGTCCAACACTGACCTCAACACGACGACGATCGGACTTTCGGTATTGCAGATCACGCCCAAGCCTTTCCACATCATCAACGCCGTCGAGAGGACGGTGGCGAAGTTGAGGGCTTGGAGCAGGACCTGGCGTGATGAACGAGACGAGGTTAGTCCGTAGATCGGGCGAGGAGGGGAGTCAGTTCGATGAGCGCCCAGCGCAGAGAGGTAGTTCGAGGGGCTAGACTCACATGTCGAAATCCCAGCCTCCGTAATGTGGCAATCTCATCCGTGAACATGGTGTTGGTTCAGGGCGCGAGACGAGAGCTTGAGCGACTGCGAGCGTGGACGTGTCGTGTCGTGTCGTGTCGTGTCGTGGCGTGGCGTGAGAGAGCGGTGGCAGTGGTAACACAGTCGAGACGACTAGGCAGTTGATCTGAAGTGATGTCAAAGACGCCTTGAGGGTCAATCCAAACCTTGAAAGTGCGCCGAGGTGGTGCAATGCGTCGACTGAGCTTGCAGAGGTCCGAGGGCTGCCAGGGGGTGGGGGGAGCCGGGCCGGAAGAAGGACTATTAGCTGGCCCGCCGCCCGAGTCGGCCACTGCAGCAGATTCTCCAGGCTTGTTCAACTTTTATTGAGGCCCGTCAATGCGGGCTGACCGAATGCAGTCGACCATAAGTGGATCATATTACAAACGACTTATTTCTATCACACGCCCCCGTCTGGTGTACTATATCTTACCTTCCTCCTCGGGAGCTACTCAGAATCGAGTTATACTCCGGCCGAAAATCCAGTTGGCGAACCAGTAGAACGCGAGCGTGCATCGATTACGCCACGACATGGCCTTGACCCAGTATGCACTTCGCCACAGCAACCCTGAAAATGAATGTCGTATATCAGTCAGCTTTGAAGATGCGCGATAGCCTCAGCACCATCGAGGTCTTACAAGCAAAGCGACCGCCTTCCTTGAATCCGTCCTGGGTCGCACCGCTGCGATCGAATAACGCTTTCCAGTTGCCAATGTACGTCATGATACCTTGGTTGTGGAACTCGAACGGTCCGGGTAACGGTAGATCTCGTACTCGCGCATTGAGAATCTTGGCGAGATGAACCGCTTCCTGCGAACAGCTCGAAAAGGGAAACTTTGTCAGATCTTTGCAACGCCTTATGTAGTGTCGAGAACTTTACAGACCTGGTTGGCTACTTGAGCTGTAGCGGGTAGCTTTTGTTCAAGCATGGCCGCATCACCGATCACGTAGACATCCTTGAGCTCCTTGCCGTCGACGGTTTTGGGGTTGAAGTGCCCGTTGACTCGCAGACTGCGGAGGAAGGAGGCGACGAGGGTCAACACAGGTAATCGGAACGAGATGAAGCCCAGAGCGCGTACCTGTGAGTCTTCTCATCATGTTCCAACTCCTTGAGCGATGCAATGAGTGGGTTGGGTGCGAGCCCGGTTGACCAGACGAGCATTCCGAATGGTACTGCAGGCCGAGCGAGATTCCAGTCAGGTCCTACGGGTTGCAGGATATCAGGATCTAAAACGTACCGGTGCCCTCCTCTTTAATCTCGATACTGGCTTCGTTGACCTTGACGACATGTCGCTCCGTCTTGATCTGTACCCCCTGCCTCTGGAACTGCGCCATCGCATACTCGACCAGACTCTTGTCAAACGCACCCAAAATGGTCGGCGAGACATCATAGATGGTGATGCGACAGAACTTGGAGACGTGGGGATAATGCCGCTTCATGTCTTCTTCGATCAAATCGTGCAACTCTGCGGCGAACTCGATTCCTGTTGGACCACCACCGACAACGACGAAATGAAGGAGGTTGGCTCGCTCGACGTCGGTGACAGTCGGGGAGGCTGCGAGCTCGAAGCACTCGAGGATTCGGGAACGGATCCTCCGGGCATCCTTGACGTCCTTGAGGAAATGACCGAACTCCTTGACTCCGGGGGTGTTGAACGTCTGCGAGTAGCATCCGACACTGATCGCGAGGATGTCATAGTCCAGTGCAAAAGGCTTCACACCGGGGTACAGCGCCGAATGCTCAAAGTCCCGACTCGAGCCGACCTCGGTGCCCGGAGATTCTGATCCGTTCTTAAGCTTGCTAGCGCTCCCTCCAACGGTGGGGAGACATTTAATCTAAAAGTTTTAGGAGTAGACATTAACTTTCAGTAAATGTTAACGACCTCAACGAATGGGTTTTCGACGTACGCTTTTGTTCTTGAGATCGATCGAAGTCGCTTGAGCCTGAAAGCTGACGACCTGCGGGTATCGTCGGACGGGCTCAAGTGCACAGCGGAACTCGATCGTACCCACTGCTGTCGAGGCTAAGAGTGGTGTCATAGCAAAGTAGGTCTGTCATGTCAAAGAAGTAGTAAGTGGGCCTGCCGCCAAATGGAGAGGTTGATCTGGCTCGAGCTCCGGTACGACTCGGTGACCAAGGCCAGGGCTCGGACCAGCTCGGACTGACGGTCGGCGAGACCATCACGACGTCATAGCTGCGCTTGTCGACTTTCCCTGTTACGAAATGCAGGTGGGAGGGGAGTCAGCGTGAGATGGCTCTTCCATACTATCTACCTTTAGCTTGTCAATTCACTCATTAGCTCGTAGCCTCCCCAACCCGAACCGAGGATCACGACGCGCTGCTTGGCCCATCGAGAGCTATGCGAGAACGATCGACGCGATCCGGCGACTCGAACGGGAGCAGCGACCTTGAACTTGGGGGCCACGACGGTGGCACTGCTTTTTGTGCTAGTTTTAAATCCATATCGAAACATGGCTGTGGAGTATCCCCTTGTCCGGACCCTGTATTCCAGGTTTGGTTTGGCGGTTCGCGGTGGGAGATCGAGCCATGACCGCGCCGCACCCTCCGATCAAAAGCACTTCGCACAGCAAGGGCCCATCTCCGCACACCGCACACCCTTGGGTTGCGGGAGTTGGGGGATGACTGGTACCTCAGGCATCGTGAGCTCAACAACTTCCGTTCCCATATTCACCCAATATGAAACCGCCTGGCTAAGTCCGTTCGCCCCGGAGATGTACCTTCGGCGCTAGGACGCGACAACTTCAGTCAGCTCTCTCAGCCTCTTACTACGTAGCCTAGTAAATATTCAGACTTGTCAAGCTGTACCATATCCAACCCACGAACACCCAGGTGTTCACATAAGATTGAGTTGAATTAATATTACGTTGAATCTTTTCACTAGGTACTCCGACCTCCGCGCCGTCGGCGCGAGGCTCCCACAGACGCGCTTCACGACGGCGGAGCTCCGGCAGTCCGCGCCGGAAGATCCTGCAACTTCCCCGCCGTTCATAATTGATAGCCGCTCGGGCCCGAGAGGACATCGCAGATGAGGCAATTCTAGTTGAGATGGTATGTTGGCACCTACTACACATGCGCGCGCGAAACTCATGGAGCCCATATGGAAAAACGCCGTATGTCTGCAAAGACCAAAGTTACCTTGCACCGTGAACGGCTCCCTTCTGATTTCAATCAGCATCGATTGAAATTGTTATTTATTTTGCCAGCCCCTTCACAACTGGACTACACAGCCAAAAAGCCAGCAATTTCAAGCGATGCGGAATCAGAAGGGAGCCATTTAAGGCGCAAGGTAACTTTGTGTGTAGTTAGTTGTGAAGGGGCTGGCAAAAATAATAACAATTTCAATCGATGCTGATTGAAATCAGAAGGGAGCCGTTCACGGTGCAAGGTAACTTTGGTCTTTGCAGACATACGGCGTTTTTCCATATGGGCTCCATGAGTTTCGCGCGCGCATGTGTAGTTACTACTACTAAGTACTACACCTTTCCTTTTGGTTTTCCTAAAACCGCTTTGGGCCCGAAGATAGCTGCCTAGATAACATTTGCCCGGCGCTGGGTGACCGGGTCTCCCACCCACCACTAAAATTGAGTCGATGTATGCGTCGGAAGAAAGAAGAAATAAAAGTTCCGGTCTGCACGATGGAGGGTGGCTGTCGTGGTCCCGTCGACTTCGGTCGATCCGAAGTCCACACAAAGTGCCGGCGTGACGCGCTCAATCAACATTCCGATCGCCCGCCGCCCGGAGTCCGCGCCATGGGATCGGCGAGGTGGACCGGCCGATCAGGCACCTGTACACGTCGTTTCGCTTCTTGCCACTCTTAAAAATTTGCATAATATACCGATCGACTCTTACTGTTGCATCCAAGACTGATGCTTGGGAGGCTTTCACGCTTGCTAACCGCAAAAAACTCGCCGAATGGGGATTTTGGCAGCAGAGGCAGAAGAGTTAGGTGGCCTAGGCGTGTGCCCGCGTCTCTGCGGCAAGTCTCAAGGCGTGCATTCCTAGCGACGTGCGAGCCACTACTGTACGCCAACCAATAGCGCGTGCCATGAGCTGGCGCAGTGGCGAGCGCAGACCGTGGCGCGCGCGGCGCCCTCCTGAAAATAGAGCGGTCGCCGGTCGGGCATGCGACCTGCGCGGACCGTGTTGTTGTGGTGGTGCGTTCGCGTGCCAATTTGCCGGCTGAGGCCGGCTGATGGATCGGGGCGGGGCCCGTGCCCTTCACCTGAGGCGTTAGCTCTTTGTCTTCCTCCCTTGCCATCCCGATACCAACGTTCTACTGCCTCAAGCCCTAGGTTCGCCTTCCGGTCTTCCCTTCCGGTCCTTACCTTCTTGACGCCCTCAACGCCTCAACGCGACCGACGCGCCCTCGTCGACGACCCGAATCTCACTCAACTCCTTCCCGCCGCCCTCCGCCCGACCAACCACCGCCGATCGCCCCAAGGGTTTTTTCTTCCCCGCCCTCCGCTTCGACCAATACCCGAGGCCGATATCCGACCCAAATCCAACCTAGTCCATCAACATGCGTTCCATCAGCTTGATCAGTCTTCTCCTCGCCGTCACTTCGGTGCTCGCGCTTTCCGCCGACTCCGCTGTCGAGTCTAGCCTCTTTGAGCGATCGACGATCGAGGGCGCGCAATTCGACCGTCGCACCGGTATGCTTACGTGGGAGGATGCAGAGGCACCGCTTGCCAAGCGTGATGGAGAGATCTCCTTCATGGCCTCGTTCGAGGTGACAAAGCGTGACACGTCCGAAGCTGGTTCCAGCCTCGAGAAGCGTGGCCGCCGGTGAGTTGCCGACCAATAGGGGTCTCCTCGCCTGGGAAACAAAGACACGGCTGACTGACCCTCATGGTCTTGCAATTCCTGCGTGCATGTTTTTCCTCGCCCACAGAAACCGCCACAAGAAGTCAAAGAGCAAGAAGTCGAAGAAGTCGAGCAAGAAGAGCAAGAGCAAGAAGAAGAAGACTTCGACGAGCTCGTCCGGCGGAGACGTGTAAGTACTTACGTCGATATTCTCTCCACTTGTTTGTTTGCGGTGATCACAATCGTTTGCGGGCTGGTCCTGCTGATGGTTGGCACCATACCACTTTTGTGGCATGTGTAAGACCGCCCGAGTTGGGATTGCTCTGGGTGGCTGTTGTTTTTCGACTCCGAAAACGATGCTTTTCCCTACAGTCAAGCTGACTCTAACCGCTTCCGTTGGCTCTCGTTCACAGTGCTACCTGGTACACCAAGAAGGACTTGCTGAACCCCTCGTGCGGTCGCAAGTCACACTGGACCCCTACCGACCGCTCGCTCGTCGTCGCCCCTACCGAGCGTTGGGCCCACCGTCCCGCGTGCGGCTCGTTCTTGCGCATCACCGCCCCCGGTAGCAAGAAGTCCGTCGTTGTTCGAGTTTGGGATACCTGCGGTGGCTGCGCGCCCAACGTGCCCCACGTCGACCTCACCATCGCTGCCTTCACCAAGCTCTGGCCCCAGGCCGTCGGCCTGGTCAAGGGCGTTCACGTCCAGGTTCTTTCCGGCCCTCCTTTCAACCCTACCAAGTGGGACTCGCACATGGTCGCCCTTTACGGTCCCAAGACCCAGTAGATCAGTATTTGGAGCTCGATAAGGGTGTTGCTACCCGTGGCGACCTTTCCTGAATCGACCGTCTGGAAAACCCCCTGTGTGGCGCAAGCGCTGTCAAACTGAACGCTCGATGCGTTTCTTCTCTTTTCTCTCGTCTCCCTCTTTTCCAATTCGGCGTTTTCATTTTCCTCAAGTTTCGGGATGTTCTTTTCATGATACCCCTTGAGTGTCTTTGGGCCCCGTGTTGTTCGTGTCTCCTAGTTGGCGCTCGATGTTGATCCTCCCCGCTGCAGGAGGGAGAGTGTGCAAGTATACCCGAGTTTTTTTTTTTCTGGCTCTTTATTGTTACTAGCCCCTTTCTCGCAAAAGTTTGGTGGGCGAGTCTTGATCTGTCTTTGTAGCATTTGCCTCCTTTGCGGAACGACGCGCGTCCTCACTCTTGTCTACATGCCCGCGAGCCATGATTTGCCGAGAGAAGAGTTCTGCTACCTTGCGTGAGATCGTCGTCTCTCAAAGCTTGCCTGATATGCCTACTCCCATGGGACGAGCCACTGGTATTCCGTCGCGCGCTCGGGCATCCCAAGCCGTGTTTGGTCGGACGTGGGCCCCCGCGGACTGGTGGTCAAGCCATCGCCGCCGACCCTTCCCGAGATCGGAGCCTTGATCAGCCCAGGTCGCTGTACTTGATTGAGCCATCTGACATGGGGGTGATCGTCTATGTCCATATGGACAGTCGCCATCGCCGATCGGCGCGAGTCGATAATCGAGCTCGGCCGACTCGCGTGTTTGTGGTTGCAAGCGCGGCCGGCCCACTGAGTGCACGGGGGGCTGAAAGGAAGGCGGAGACGTGTTAGCTGGCGAGCCAAGCACCTTGCCACTCATCAGATCAATCTTATGACTAACCTTGTGGACGGGTTCTGTTGATGCGGATGTGTCGGAAGCAGAAGATCGTGGGCGAAGCGAGGCTAGTCGTCGTGCGCGCCAGTACGACGTCAGTCGCCCGGCAGCTCCCGAATCCGGCAAGCGCCAGTGCATACATTCACATACACAAGCTCACGAGTCGCCCGAGGCAGGTTGCAAGGCTTCGACAAGGACCAACCCGGGAATAACAATGAGAGCAATCATGTTCACGGTACTGGAGACCATTATATCGCATCATTGTGTGTCAGAGTGCACGGCCTTACACACGCCCCAGTCCCCAGCCCAGCCAATGTGACTGCAGCCATCCGGTACCCGGTGCCTCGAGGAACTGCGGCTCAATGTGGGCGCGCTCAGGTGCCTCACGTGCCGTCGAAGCAATATCACGTGATCTTGAGATCGGGTTCCCCACGTCGCGCTGCGCGAGGCCGAGAGCGTGAGTTCACAATCCGTGGCAAGACAGCACCTGGTCGATTCCAGAATATTCCACCGCTTTCCCCTGATTTTGATTTGTCATGACCTGCTCGTTACCCAGAACAGAGCGAGTCACTGTAAGCCCCAGCGGTCGTCGGCGAGTCGTCCGGACCCGTCGAAATGCGGTTGCCAAATGCTGCTCAAGGCGCCCGAGCAAGCTGAGCAACGCGCTGGCCGAGTAAGAGGCTCACGAGAGCAGAGAGCAGCTGAGCTCGATATGGCATCCACCCCACGTCGGGACCCGCTCAGGAAACATCTCATCTCTCCTTCCCTCTCAACGCTTTCTCCGCTTCCCACTACTTCATCGTGGCTTCTACTCAGAAGCTCATCCGAGTTGCACCTCGCCATCGGTTCTGTACCCGACCCACCCTCATCGCGGTCACAGTACTCGCGCTCGCACTCTACTTTGCCCCACTCGCCACTGAGCCTCGTCTCAACCCTCCCGTAGCCTCACCGACGTCACCGTCTAGCCTGACGACCCCCACCACCACTACCACCAACATCACTCAAACCCGTTCAAGCACCATGTCGTCCACCGCTGTTCAAGTCTCTCGCAAGATCGTCAAGTCGATCCTCTCGCGCGAAACCCCCGAAGGCGCCGGAGCGATCGTCCGTCGTTCGATCGGCACCCCTCAACTGCGCAACTTCACCCCTTTCCTCATGTTGGACCACTTCAACGTCGGCGAAGGTGGCTTCCCCGACCACCCGCATCGCGGCATGAGCACCATCACCTACATGTTGGAAGGCTCGTTCAAGCACGAGGACTTTATGGGTCACGCCGGTACGATCAATGCTGGTGATCTTCAATTCATGACCGCTGGCAAGGGTATTCTTCACGCCGAGATGCCCGTACGGGGACCTGGACTCCCCAACCCAAAAGGTCTTCAGCTCTGGGTCGACTTGCCCCAGGCGAAGCGCATGACCGAGGCGTCGTACCAGGAGCTCAAGTCGTCAGAAATCCCTTCTGCCCACCCCACATCGAACACGACGATCAAGGTCATCTCCGGTACCGCTCTTGGCAACGAATCCGAGGGTTCCGTCACCTCGCCTATCAAACCACCTGGAGGATGCTGGATCTTTGACGTCACTTTCAAAGCCAAGGGCGAGCAAGTTTTCCAAGCGATTCCGGCGGGATGGAACGCGTTTGCCTACACGCTCGAGGGGCAGACCTTGATCGGTGGCGACAGCAGCCTGACCAAGCCAACCGATCCTTTCTACACCGTCGTCCTTTCTTCGGCCGAGGGCGAGCGAGGCGTTCGACTCGAATCGGTGTCGGAAGGGTCGAGGTTGGTGAAAGGCGCGCGGCACCCTAACGCGTGATCCAAAAGTAAAGCAATTTGAATTGATGTAATTCAAATACCGGGTGCCACATTAGGTGCGTAAGGCACAGCTGCCTTACAGTTGGTCCTCATCGCCGGAGAGCCTTTGGATCAGGAGATTATACAATACGGTCCTTTTGTCATGGTGAGTCTCGCTTTTCCATCTTAATCAAATCGACCACATGCGGTCGACTGGTCATGTCCTGCTTGCTCAAGCGAATGCAATGACTGATAATTTTTCGTCCTTTCTCGTTTCCGCGCCATGCAAGGATACTGAGCAAGGCATCCGACAAGCCTTCCAGGACTTCCAGATGGGTGTCAATGGATTTGAGAAGGCTCGTGGATGGCAGAGTGAGATTGGGAAGCCTTCACGAGGAGCCTAATCATCTGGTAACCCTCGAAGAAGCTGAGCGGACTTACGACGAGTCTCGCATGCCGGTGTCGCGTCGAAATTGTTCAAACCCTGTAGATTAGACGATAATGTGTACTAATAAGCTTGCGATAACTCCATGATTGATCTGACTAGGTGTCACAAAAGTCAATAACGCTGGTTGTCGGCCGAGACCTACAACCACGACCTCCTCAACGGCCAAGTCCAAATTCCAATAAAATAATAGATGCATTGCGAATGAAACAAACAAACCTCATAGCCTCCAACCCCCCTCCCTTACTTCTTCCCCGACGTCTTCCTCACCTTCCTCGCCTTTTCCGATTTTTTCATCTTCTGACTCCTCTTGTCCCGATTCGCAGCTTTGACTTCGGCTCTTCGCTTCTTCTTCTCATCCTTGTCCTCGAATTTCTTCCCCTTGGGTCGAGGAGTGCCTTCTTCTTCTTCCTCGTCCTCATCATCATCACTGTCCCCATCCGAATCCGAATCCTCCGAGGCATTCCCACTCCCATCCCCTTCCTCACCTTTTCGACCCTCAACGCCTTGACCCCCCTCCGCGTCCGCGTCCGCAGCCGCCTTCTTCTCCTTCTCCCTAATCCTCGCCACCCCTGTGAGATCCGCATAAATCAGATCATCCCCTTCGCCTCTCAACACCCTCGCCACATCCCGTTCGATATCGTACACTTGATCCAGTGCTCGAGGGATGAAGGATTGCGCGAAGACGGCTTCGTCGACTTGACTTGGTTTCTGGCTCGATCTCGTGGTGGAGGTGGAGGTGGAGGTCAATGGTGATGAGGTGGTTGGGTGATTCGATTTTTTCGACATGAGCGCATCGAACGAGGTCGGATCATTCGCCCTCGTCGTACTCTCCTCCTCTTCCTCCCTCTCCAACTGACCCTCCCGAACGCTCAATAACCTCCTCGCCTCTTCCCTCATCCTTTCCTCCGTCTCCTCACCAACCCCTTCGAAACCCCTCGTCACGAAGCCGAAACTTCCCCTCAGCCCTAAAGTCGTTCCTACCCCCTTTCGTCCATAAAACTCTTCCACGTTCTTCAAATCCGATCGAAGGAAATCAAAAGCCGAAGGATGGTCTTGTTCAACGGATTGGGAAACATCGATGATGACCAATTGGGAACGATGGTAGAGGACGTTGTATTCGGAGAAATCGGCGTGGACGAGTTTGCATTTCTGGAAGAGAATGCGAAGGATTACGAGCGTGTCGAGGTAGAGATCGGGGAGGGCCGAGAATGGGATATCGGCATCTTTGAGACGGGGGGATGCCCTGGGTTTGGTGAAAAGAGCCATCAGATCGGACGCGGTCACCCTGTGAACCAAAGCAAAGCTTTGCGCGAACTCACTGCCACTCATCCTCTCCCTCTTGAACGCCCATGAACTCCATCACCAACACGTTCTCCCTCACCTCGATAGGTTCCGGGACGTTCAAGCCCGCATTCTTCATCCGCCTCAAATTCCTCATCTCCTTCTCCGCCCAGAGCCGAACCATCTTGCGGGGGTTGCTTCGTGCGTAGCCGGATTTAAAACGGAATTCGCCGGATACGTAACGGTCGCGATCTTTGAAGATAAGGATCGAGGTTTTGTAGATCTTGAGCGCCAAGTGACGGGGGGTGTTGGGAGGCAGCGTCGTCGTCGTCGTCATCGCCATCGTCCTCGTGACGGCGACGGAAGTCTGTTCGGCAAATCGGATCGATCCTTCGCCCTTTTCCTCCTCCAGATCCTTTTGCACCTCTCCATCCTTTCCCTCCTCCATCATCCCCGCAGCCGGAGAAACCGCATGATAAACATTCGCCTCCTTACCAGTCGAGACACACCCATCGACCCGCTCAATCAACCCCCTCCCCAACATCTTGAACAAGATCAACCTCGTCCTCGGATCCAACACCTGTTCATTCGTAGCTCGGTCGCTCTTATCCTTGACCAAAACTTTCTCACTCCCTCCCTTTCGGGTCACGCCTACGTTCGCGGAACGGTTGAGGATTGGGTCTAGATCGAGTTTGGAAGCGAAACGATGATTGAGGGTCGCGAGCTGGTCAGAGACTTTATCGGTATGCACGCCGGGGGTTCCACTTGAGGTGGCGGAGAAAGGGGTTGTTCGATCGGTGTACGAGGTTACTCGCTTCGGCCTGTTGATGGCGGGGAGGATGTTGGAGGTCGTACTACTCCCACCAGAAGAGTAAGTCGCTCCGAAAGTCTTGTTCGATGCCGAGCTCGCGACCACATGTTGCCTCAACCGGTTGTACCGCTTGGTGAAATCTGCAGAGTCGAAATGTTCGTTCATCAGTGGGAGAAAAAGAAAGCCCTCACACCGTTGGCTCCTACGACAAGTTGACGTACCCCCACTCGCATCCGCCCAATCCTGATCCATCACCTGATTGATCCCACTGTCCAACTCGGTCTCCAGATCCCAATCCTCCTCATAGACATCGTACTCTTCCTCGTCGTAGTCGTCTGATTCTTCGACAGGTCCGTCTCGGTCTAGTACGATGTCCAGGGGCTCTAGAGGAGTTTCTTCGTCGGTTAAGGCGATCGAAGTCACATGCTCGGAAGAGTCGGCTGCGACGGCATCGATGCGCGCTTCGGTGGCGGGGATGGGGGAGGGTCTATGGGGTTGTTGGCCGGGTGGTAGGAGAGGCATTGTGGGTAGAGGTGAAGGTGGCTCTTGGGGAGGCCGACTACGGAAGTAAGCGATAAGCGACGGCCGGCGATGAGGAATCGAGTGGTTCGAAGTTGGCTTCGCAGCCGTGGCGAAACGCGCACGGACCCTCGCCTCCACAAGTGCGCCGGGAAACACGTCATGGACGTCGAGCGCCTGCCAGAGTCGCAGCTCTAGAGGTAGGGAGTCGCAACAATTGAAAGCGTTCAAATTCGGATAGCGAAGTGTACAATTCCTTCTCCCATCCCCCCTCCGCCATTCGTTACACTGGCACTGAGGCTAGCACGAATTAGGCCCCATCGAACCGATACTTGAGCCTCTGCAACCCCATCAACTCATCCTGCTGAGTCTTGATAGTTCTCGACACTTCGACCCCCAAGCCCATTGTCAAAAGTGGTGTAGACCATCTCCAATCGGTCCCAAAGGTGAACAGGGAGATGAACAATGGAGGAAACAGGAGGAGTACGTGCAGGAGGGGGAGTTGGAATGTGGGTGTTGGGGGGGAGGGCGAGGCAGAGGTGGTGCATGTTGGGGATGGCGGTGATAAGTCTGAGGATGCGGAAGGTTGGTGTTCTGCGACTAGGAGGAGGAAGGAGAGGAATGCGAGCGGGGCGATGGTGCACAGCCGGATGAGGAGCGCGAGCAGGAAGGACCGCGTAGGACTGGGGAGAATCAATGGGACGCTGTGACAGGGATAGAAAAAGACTTGAGTTTCGGAGTGCTGCTATGAGTGCCGGGGCCGAGGCGAACTCGCATTGCAGATATGGCCAGCAAGGCCGCGACGAGACGGGACCAGATCAGCGCCGAGTGATCCAGCGAGTTCGACAGGTCCTGTACGAGACCTTCTTGTTCTGTGACAAGGACGAAAGAGCATCAAAATAAGCTCGGAGTGCTCTCCTCCGCATCGAGAGGCAGTAGTAGACTCAATGTGGAGCACCATCCCCCGAACCCGTTTGTGCCCGAACCAGTGCACCGCACCCGCTGCATCACTCACCGTGATCATCCAGAACGATCTCCCTCGTCTCCTCATCCGACTGAGCCAAGAACGGCGTCCGTTGTCTCATCAATGACGTCGTCGCCATTTGGAAAAGACTGGTGGCAGGGGCGCGTGGCAGGGGTGCGAACAGTCAAGAAACGACGCGCGACGAGTCGCGGTTTGACATTCGGGCACCTTCGAATTCGCAGGGTTGTGGCTTCCGAGCAACCGCCGCATCTTGCATACCTAACCTCCCAGCATGTCTCCGTATGTATTCTATTACGCATGCCACAGTATTCTAAATGTTCTTCAAGACCCTCCAGTCGAGAACCCCATCGTCGTCCTTTCGAAGCGAGGTGACGAATGAGCACTCGTATGCACCTCGACATGTTCCGTGACCCTAACCCGCTTCGATGCCCTCGATCTTTTCAACTTCATCAGAATACAAGTGCTTGCGTTGACGACGTTTTCCTAATCCCAGGGTGATGAAATACCAACTGGCAAAAACGACGATGCATAAAGCGACGACCCCGGCACCTAAGTAACCCGCTGTGGTGGGGGGACGACCGGGGCGCGAAACGAATGAGTTAAGAGGCTATTGCGCTGAAGAATTCTGGGCCCCTACTTACAATTGTCATTCGCAGTCGCCCAGAATCTCCACCAACGACCATCGAGGTTCGGACTTGTCTCGGCTGCTTGGGCGCAGGCTGTACATTTCTCCAAGGCGAGGCTGGGAAGGGAGAAAGTAGAGGTTGAAAGGGCGTCTCTTTGTGAGTGCTTGCGTTAATGTGCGAATACTTACCCCATGAATTCGGTGATGGAAATGAGGAGGGCGAGGACGATCTGCGGAAGACACAAGGAAACGAAAATCAGTGTACAGTATTGAACCGCTTTCAACCTGCAACTACACGACGTACCGAAAGGATCGTCAAAACCGTCGAGATCCTTAACAAACCTTCCTCATCCGCAGTCGGCAAAACGCCCAACTCGACACTCTCCTCCTCCCCTTCCCTCACCCACCACTTCCGCCTCTTCTTCTCCCTAAACCTCTCCCACGAATAACCCCAACACATGCCGATGTTATCGATCGAATCGACGAGCGTCACCGACGAAGCGCCTGAGTCTCCGGAGGCAGGGTTCCCCATTAGATAAGATAATCTCGCAGATATTAGATATCTATCTAAAAAAAATGGGCTCTGGGCCTTATCTATCTATCTCCCATCTTAGTCAGATATCTTAGATAGATGCCTAGATATCTAATAGATATCTAATCAAAGCGTCGGCGCAGCGAGCTTGCCAGCGATCATTTGCGGGGCCACCTCTCAGCTGAGAGTATATTTTGCGCTTCTTTGTCCGTGGCGAATTCCGTACACAAAAGGTCCTCCTCAGCAGTGGGGAGCTCATGATCCCATCTTGCTTCAGCACAGACTCAGATTGATTATAGTCATTTGGCGAGGTGTGAGAGTGCAAGTGAGCGAAGAAAGAAGAGAGAACGGCGCCGGGGTACATTGCGAAGTTCACAAAATGTGGCAATTGCACCTCCTTTCTTTGTGTGGTTTGTGTGATTAGTTGATAAGCACCCTCTGGCAGCAAAAACGTCTGAAAGCCTCAGCTCCCAAATTGGCCCGTCGGCAAGCCGTGCCGCCTCACCCGCGGTCAGCGCTCGGGCCAAACCATGCGGCACAAACATGGGGATTGAGCCGAATACGACTTGAAATTTGATGACCTCGCTAAGGAGCAAGAACCTCCTTGATGGAAACTACAACTTCCAGCGCAACAGGAGTCTGTATCAGACACAAAAAAAAGTTAAGATATCCTAAAAATATTCAAGGAAACCCCCGGGGCCTTATCTATCTATCTAAGATATTCGGCCCCTAGATAAGATGGCATCTATATCTTAGCGAGATATGCTAAGATAGATTCGACTCTCCTGACCACTCGCGCGAGTCGTAGCGGAATAGTGGTTCGAGTTGCAGCAAGACGAAGGAGAACATTGGTGTAGGAGTTGTTAAACAAATACCTCAAGCAGTGAAAACCCAGCCTTCTGGGGAAAACCGCAAGAGATTGATCTAAACCGTGGAAGAGAGTCCGAACTTCTTGGTGATACACAGGGATGGTGGGCGGGATGACAATTGGGAGCTTTGCGACCCAAGCTTCTGGATGTCAGTCGGCTGCAACTGATGATGGAGCAAGTCCACTGATCGTCTCAGCATACCTTTGCGACAAAGGCAAGACACTGTATAAAGACAGTTGGAGCGCGGTTGGTGCAAAGGACGGCAAAGGGTCTGCTGAGAGATGTGCGATTTAGCTCGTTGCCCAACAAGGGCCCGGAGCAAATGCCCCCACAAAGAATTTGTAGGGATCCAAGTGCAAAGTACACCGTGCAACAAGCTTGGGTGTATCGAAGCACTTACCCCGAGCTACTCTAAACGAGCCACGTCGAGGGTTTCATAACGAGCTGCTAGCAGCTGTGAACGTCCGGCAAGATGGAACTCTTGATCAGCGACCTCGTCAGCTGGGAGGTAGTCTTGGGAGTGAGGAACGCACCTGTCCCTACAGGTGGTGAACGCAGCTGCAGAAGCTGGTGAGGAAACGTCGACAACGCAGTGAAGGGCCCGAAAGGGGACGTGCGTTGCGAGTGCCGCCCGTGAGCCCGCGTGTGGGAAGCACAGCTATAGCATCCACGGGGGGGGAAACGTCGACAATGCAGTGAAGGCCCAAAAAGGGAACGTGCGTTGCGAGTACCGCCCGTGAGCCCGCGTGTGTGGGAAGCACAGCTATAGCATCCACGGGGGAGAAAGGGTCCGTGCGCGCGAGCCTGAATCGGCGCGTCAAATCCTTGCAGCAAAGGCCGAAAAGACCAATATAATCTGGACATCTAATGGGGAACCCTGTCCGGAGGCCACGACTGGCGCGGCTCTATCTCTTACTCTTTCACAGAACATTACAAGCGAATTACTGCTATCATATACCCCCCATTGAAGACTTTACTGCTGGTCCTGCGATGCTTGCACAGCGGCGGGAGACGACCGGAAGAAGGGGTGCCGGCCCCATAGGATCTCGTGCTCGAACGCATTCAGGCAGTTCCCCGCTCCCATGATGTCCCGGTCGGCAGGCAGGTGGACGCAGGTCCCACCGCCTAGGGCAACGCGGAAACAGGTGGATCCGTTCGATTTTTGGCCAAGACCGACCCTGCGGAGGCCAATCACAACACGGCGCGAGTGTCAGTGACCCGAGCTGAGGGCCGAACGCGGTAGAAAAGACGCGGCAAGTGATCAAGACGTCTCAATCATGGCAGACTCACCAGTTCCGCGTTCCGTCCGTGTCCCTACAGTCCGAATGCCAGCAGAGCTTGGAGGTCAAATACTCGCTGACGGAACAGAAGTAAATGCTCTCCAGTCCAAGCGCCCGCAGGCAGCGAAAGATGATCTTGGAGCAACTGTTGGCGTAGGAGACGCCCGACGGATTGGGACCAGGGCTTGTGAACCCATTGCCGACTACGAGGAAGGCGGGTCGCGAGCCCTTTGAGAGTAGCTGACTGTAGGTGGCTGTCTCGGGATGGGTCGGTGGAGACGAAACGAGGTGGTTGGGTCGACGAGCCGCGGCTGCCAGGTGTCGTATAGCGTAGGTGTCAGCAGACTCCACCCAGCTCGAGCACCCGAGCCGATTTTCTTGGATTGCAAGGAGAAACTTTACCAGCGCAAACTCACCCATGCACTCGAGACCAAACACTTTGGCCATTTGTTCGGCTTGTCGGTACATAACCGTGAGAGTCGCCTCTGGTTGCGTACTTGAAACCGAAATCGCGTCGTGCGTGTGTCGAAGGGGAAACCCAAGTTTTGCCGCAAGCGGGGACCACTCGAGCTTGTTGGCACGCAAGGCCTCGTTGATACGACGGGTCTTGTTCGCGCGTTGACGGGCACCTTTGCGATTGCCTTCCGCTGCGATAGCTCCAAGCCCCTCTTTGCCGAACCGGAACGTCTCGAAGGCCGCCGTCTCGTCGTGCGTGAAAACACGAGCGACGGCAGTGACCGGCCGAGCGTGACCGAGATCGATCGAAATGACGATCGAATCCTCGAAAGCACGCCAGAGATCACGGAAGAGGTCGCCACGTTGTTCAAACACCGCAATGAGGTCCTCCGTGGCTACGGCGTGCTGCCGAATCAAACACATCCCAATCGACGACGGACAAAGGCGAATTCGTCAGCCAAAATGCTACCCTGCCGACTTCCGTCCGACGCAAGGAACATGGGAGCAAACTCGACTCACCTGGGTGCCAAATTTCTTGTTCGAGTGCTCTTGGAGCCTTCCCAATACCGCTCGACGTGCCTCGGGGTTGTGTATCGATGGGATGCAGATGCGACTGTCGATGATGGGGACGTCTCGGAATCGCTTCCAGGACACGTACTCGACTCGCACGGCTTCGCGCTCAATGGGATCGAGAGGGATGGGAGCGGCCGCCACCGCGCGTTCTCGGAGCTTGCGTTCCAACTCGTCAATTCGGCTCGGCTTCTCGGCGGATCCCGGTCGAGCATACGATAAGCGGAACACGTGCTTGATGCCGTCGACATAGTGCTCCAAGTCGTGCTTGACCACTCGCGGGCCCTTCTTGCCTTTTGTTTGGAAGCGGAGCCACAGCCGGGCTTTGGCCACCGTTCGGTCGAGCGCGGAGCCCATCGAGACGTCGGGATTGTTGTACCACGACTTGTTACGCTCTGTCGATGCCACGCTCGACACGTTCAAGACTCGTAGACGAACTCGGTGTCCGTTCGTTGTCAACGACCCCGCCGGTATTTCGTCCTTGTCAAGAATCCTGTCTGTGTCGAAGAGGATGTCGACGAGGCGAGGACCAAAGGCAGCGAACGCGTCTGGCTCGAGAAGCCTCTCCTCGGACAGCTCAGGTGGGACGGTCGGGGTCGACGGGTCCGAGCCAGCCACGGATCGGCAGAAACAGAGGTGCTGCAGCGCCTTGACGCCGGCCACTGCGTCACGAGCCCACTCCGGTTTGACGTGCATCGTCTTCTCGTCCTTAGATGTCGTGAAGATCAGGTTGAACCCTCTTCCTAGCAACGCTCGAAGGACGGGGAAGTGAGTCGGACTTGCGACGTTACCCGCGGGCTCCGATACGTCATTGACGACAGACGCAGCAAGAAGCTTGTTCAACCAGTCGAGCTGCGTTCGGACGAGCGAGACGGGGTACGTGAGGATCGTGCCGAGATACCCCGGCGAACAGTTCACAAAAGGGCGTTTGCCCTCGGTCTGTCCGAACATCAAACAGATTCCCCAACGCAGTCAAGGTCAGCACTCGATCGCTACACTGGCTGGGGTGGCAGAGTGCCAGCTGTCGAGTGCCGGACTCACGGGTACTATGCCCCTGCCATGTCCAGACTCGATGAGGAGATGGTGGTAGACGGGCAGGAGCGCGATCGGGTTTTTCAGCCTGCCGCCGGGCCCAAAATCGGAGAGCTTGCCGCCGACGAGACGAGTGGCGGTGGCTCGATCGCGCCCAAAGGCCCACCGCATTCGCTGGTCCTGTGCGCCACATGCCTCTTGCATGCACGCTCGCATGACCGTGCGGAGGTGTTCGTGGTCGGGATCAGACTGGTCTTTGGCGATCCCGGCCACCAACGCCTCGAGGTCCGCTCGATGGGAGCGCCAGGGAAATGGGACCTCTGAGAGCGCGGTGACGAGACAGTCGAGCAGTCGCTTGCGCCCCTTGGGCTGACGGAACTCGTCGTCCGGGTCGAGCGGCGAAAGCGCCGATTCGATGTCACGAGACTCGAACATGTGCAGGGCGTAGGTGGCGAGAACGTAATCACCTCGATCTTTCCATCCAAGGATATCCTTCGCATAACGCTCGGCCACGTTTTGGTAGTAGGTCGAGTCGATCTTGTAGCGGGGGAGGAAGACTCCTTTCGCTCGAAGTTCCTTGACGGCCGAGACCAGCAACCCTGAAGCCTACATCACCGCCGCAAAATAAGTGATTCCGAGTCGACGAGTCAGCTCCTCCATCTCTCTCTGAACTCGCAGACTAGTCGACTTACCGCGTTGTACAGAAGCGAACCATCATCATTGGCGGCTCCCTCGAAATGTTCGACGTGCCGACCATACTCCGCCGGGGTCATCGTTGCGAGGTCGACCGACACGTTTGCTGTGAGCTGCGCCGGCTTCTTTGAGACACGGGATAACGCGATGGAATCGTGAGGCTGGAGCGCATGGATAACGGCACGCATCCTCGTCACCAGGGCTGAGTCGTTCGACGCGATTTCGTGCCAGTCGCGTTGAGTCCATCCATTGAGGTAGTCGACCAAGACTGCGTTCAGGACTTTGAACTCGAGCTCTCGCGCGAGCGTTTGTAGACGCATAAGCGAGGAGAACGTGTTCTTCCATCGCTGGTTGTCTGTTTCCGGTTGGTCGGGTGATAGGGGCGGAAGAATCTCGCGCACGCTCGCCCGCAACCCTCGGTGTCGAACAGGAGCATGATACTCCTTGCCTGCCGGCGTGCCTTGACCCTCTTGACCCCCTCCTTCGCCCTCGTCCTCGGCTTCGCCCGCATCCTGGAAGTCGTCGTCATGAGGAGCAGTGATGGGATCTGGCTTCGGCTCCCCCTCGTCGACCTCATTCTCCCCGATTTCATCCTCCCCGTACTCGTCCTCTCCGAACTCGTCCTCTTGCCCATCATCATCATCATCATCATCGCCATCATCCTCGTCCTCCTCCTCGTCCAAGGTGCCGCCGCCCATGCCCGAAGCCCGGTCCTCCGAGCCGAGATCGTGATCGTCGACATCGAGATCACGATCACTCGACGAATCCAACACAGGAGGTGCGGGTCGCTGCAGTCTGCGCTCGCCGCCCGGCTTGGACTTGCTTCGATTGAGCAACGGACCGGTCTCCATCCTCGTGGTGTCGATGTACCTCCATGCATGGTATCCCATGACGGATCGGTACAGAGGACTTCGTACTCGAGCGACTTGGGCGCCCAGCTTCTCCCGGCAGTGCCTCACCTTCGTGACCACCTTAAGGTACTCCTTCCGAAGGTCAGGGCGCGCGCCCAAAGCCTGCCATGCTTGCGAACGCAGCGTAGTCATCTTCTTGCGGGGCTGCTTGAGGAAGAGCTTGGCCGCTGCGAGGGAGGGTGGTTGCGCGGAGGGAAGTGGAGGTGCAGCGAGAGTGGCAGGTCCGGCGAGGACACCCGAAGCGGTGACGACGGTCGTCACGGCGGCGAGAGTGGGTGCTAGGGGTATCGGGGGGGGAGAAAGAAGCCAGCTGGCGGGTGGGCTTGCGGAGGTGGTGGAGAACAAGGGTCGAGTCTTCTGCGGGGGTGGAACCGGAGCTTGCGGTGGAAAGGGCGTCGCTCTGGGAAGGGGTGCACCCCAAGGGGTCCTGAAGCCACGGAGGGGGATGTTGCGTGTGGTGGTAGATGCCTTCCGTGCCTTGAGCCGGTCGAAACGCTCGGCGGTGTCGTTCGCCACGAGCGCATGGATCGCGGCCATCTCGTTCCGAGCACGTTGGATACCTTCGACGCGCTTCGTCCTCGACGACTTGTTCTCGAGGTAGCCTTTGAAGGCTTCGTGAATCGTCTCGAGAGGAGCTTGCCAGAATTCGAACGAGAGGCAGAACTTGTACTTTTCGAACGTCCGGTGGAGTCCGATGCCAGGGAGCCCGCCGCTGAGATAGTCGCCTCCTGCGACGATCCCCGCCACGACCAGCGCCTCGTCTGTGCCCCACTGCCTCAGCTCCAAAAGGTCCACGAGTAAAAATATCTTCCTCTTGGTCCTCGTACCGCCGGCTTGCGCTACGAAGGACTCATCCACGACGAGGGTGTCGAGCGAAACATCCTTCAGCTCCTCGGCGAGTTTCAACGGCGTTCGCTCCTCGTAGATTCGCCAGCGACAGAAGCGCGCAGGGAGGCCGTAGATCCAATCAGTGTCCCCTGACCAGAGAACAGTGGATTGAGGGTCGAGCCGCACGTCGATGATGTGGCCACGTCGCGCCGATGCGCACATGTAGGTGTCCGCTTCAGTGCGAGCCATGACGAAAGTTATGCCCGAGCCAACTCGCCACACATGGACCTGATCCGAGTTGACGTTGGGCGCCGAAGGTTGGGGTAAACGTTCTTGGAGTACCTGTACCTCTTCCGAGGACAAGCAGATCGGCTTTGTGCGAAAGTCGTCGAAGCGGACGTCGACATTGTCCGGCGCGATTCTCGATCGTTCGGCACGCTCTTTAGCCGTCGCCTCCTTGAGCTTGGGCCGCCATTTCGCATTGTCGAGGATGACGACGACTTGTAGAGACGATTGTTCTTCTTTTAGAACCTTGAGGCGTGCGATCACGATGTCGATGAAAGAACGGCCACGGTGCCTCCTGCCGGCAGTCGAGATCCAGTTGTCGCGAAACGCGGTGGACGCATCGATAAGGAGAACTAAGAGCCGTGGTGAAAGCAACCGAGAGGCGCAAAGTAGGTAAGCTCTTTGATTTGTTCGAGTGACGGTGCAGAAAGTTCACAAGCTACCTTTGGGTTTGTCACCATCGATGGCCGGCAGGAGTCGAGCCGGGTCGGTGGCCGTGCCCACGAGGCTGCGAGGCTCCTTGGCGATTGATTGGCGCAGGAACGGCGCTCCATTGTCGATGCCCATGACGAGACGCGACTGGGTGGGATGATGATAGATGGGTGCTGGGAAAGGGTGATGGAAAACAGGGGAACGAGGGATGATGATAGATGAGTGCTGGGAGAGGGTGATGGGAAATGGGAAAAGGGAAAAGGGGGAAACGACGAGGGACGGACATCAGCGCACTGCATCAATTCAAACAAGCCCCCCTCGTCAACAGCGCCGGTGGCGGCACCAGGCTGGTGCGACGTCGTGACTCGGAGACTACACTGCACATGAAACGAGACGCAACATACCCGGCAAACTGGGCTTGTTGATCCGAGGATGCGTGATTCAGGAGATGGTGGAGCCGCTGGCAGATGGTCGAAAGCTGAAACAAGGTGGGGGTCCGGCGTTGGGGCCCTCCGTCGGGCCGCGCTCCTCAACCTCGAATTTGAGTCCAGTGTAACCCACTCGGACTTGGGATTTTGTCGGGCCTCGGCCGCCTTAGCCCAGGCAGTACTTGAAAAATCCTTCCCACTTTCTTGTTTGAGCGTTTGTTGCCCACGAGCTGTACCATGGCCAAATGCTTGACGCTCCACGTCACCGTCACCGTCACCTCCCTCTTCACCCTCCGTTGCTCCGAGCTCGACCGAGCGCCAGTACGCGGACGACACTCGTTGACTTTCGTTTGACACCATATCTCATGATATGAAATGACAGAATGACTTCCCACTCTTGCGGTTCTGGTAGAAAACCAACACATTCGTGATAATTTCGGCGCAGTCAATTCGACGAGCGAGCAAGCGAGGGGTTCTGAGCGAGGGCAAGCTATACCGTAACCTGTGACACACATGAAGGTGTCTCACATTTCACACTCTCAAAAGTCTACCCCGCTTGGACTCAAGGTCAAACCGATACCCCATTGCACCTCACAAGAATGCCCGAGACACACCACCCCCCGTAATTATCCAGAGAAGCGAACATCCAAGCCTGACAGCGCGGGCTGATCGACGACTGCGTTTCGGTGCGAGACGAAGGTCAGATCAGTCGGAAGGCTGTGGTGGCGGGCCAGAGGAAAACCCTTACAAAACGCGAGCACCAGAAAGAAAAAATCACGCACTAAATTAACCGCGTGCAAGCTCGCCTTCGAGCGACAGGCTAGTTGGGAGCTTCGAGGGAATGCGAGCAAAGCTCATCCTCCCCTTTGCCTCTTGATCGGCGGTGGCGCAGCTTTCGCTTTCCCCTTTCCTTTTAAATCCATCCTTTCCTTCTCTTTTCCTTTGCCCTTGGGTTTACCGTTCCCCTTGCCACCCATCGCATCGTCATCGGAAGCGAGTTCGATTGCGTCAGAGTCGTCGTCGTTCGTGTCAGAACCCAATCATACTGATTATCTTCTAATTCTATTTACTTCTCATGCCACTATTCCACTCCTACTTTGCACTCCTTCTTTAGCCTATTACCCTCTACGCCGGATCCCAGCGCCTGATCGAGACTCGGTTGACACGTTGGCTTGGGTTGAAGTCGCGCGCCTCGCGGGCACTCGTCTCTCTTCCTTCTTCATCCATCTTCCATCCTCGATCTTGCGCTCGTACTCAACCCCTTGAGTCGGGATCCAGGTCAGTCCTTTTGCAATGCTTGATCCATCTTCCATCCTCGATCTTGCGCTCGTACTCAACCCCTTGAGTCGGGATCCAGTCCTCCATACTTCTCACAGTTCGGACGTCGAACTCGGTGATCATCCGCGGCCGACGAGCGAGATGGGGTTGGCTGAGCATGCTGTCGAAGAGGTTGGGAGGGACCGGGGTCGATAGAGGTGGATGAATGCGAGGCAGCAAGGAAGGGAAGAGCACGAGGGTCGAGGATGTGCGAGGGGCCCGGGTCGGAGGTATGGGCCACTGCCGGTTTAACCGAGTGGAACTTCGTTAGTTTCCGGACCAAATACAGAGTGCAGTCAAGAATCCCGGGAGAGCTTCAAATTACTTTCTACATCCACGTTCTGCGCGCTGTTGCCACTGCGCAGCGATCGCCTTGCCCCAGCGGCTCCCCACCCCTTCCCCCTTCCCTCTTCCTGGGCCTTGCCGAGAACGGCGACGGCTTGCTCCAGCGGCGCCCCAGGTTGCAAGTCGCCAAGCTGCAGCCACCTGGGGTACTCCTCGGCACCTCCGATCACGAATTGCGTCTGAGCCTGTAAGATATCGGGAAGAAAGACACAAGTCTTCTTCCCAATCTTGTAATAGACGGCGACTGGGTCCAACGTCTTGCGATACACAAGCGTCGTCATGGCGTGGACCGAGCCCTCGTCCGGCTGGACAAGCCTCGTGTTCAGAGCAGGAGTGGGAGGTGCGAGGGAAGACGCACTTGGGATACCCATGGCGGAAGTGGGAGGGGTGCTGTCATCGGTATGACGGCGTAGACGAGCCGGGTCGAGAGCGGCACCGGTCTCGTCCATAAAGGGGATGCGGGTCTCGAGCGTGGGCGCCGTGGCCCGCTGCCAGTCTGGGTGCCCCTTTGGGACCAGCGTGAGCTTGTACTCGACGTCCGATATGAGTAGTCGCATATCGGACTGTGCGAACTCGGCGGCATCAAAGTCGGGTGCACCAGACGACATGGTACTTGTTGGAATCAACGATGATTCCGAAAATGATCAACAAAAGAAGAAGAACGGCTGGACCAGGAGTCGAACCTGGGTCGTTTCCATTAATCGGAAAAGCTTTGACCTCTAAGCTATTCGGCCCCTTGATATCAGTGCAAGGTCTACTAACACCTTCAATAGTACTGACTGCCGTGGGTGAGGGATGCAAAAGGTCAGAGCAGGGGATCGCAAGGGATTAGTGTCCAAACTCCGACTTGGACGCCCTCAGGGGACATGAGGATGTTTAATGTTTAATCCATATATTCCAGCTAGTCTTGTTTAAAGACAGAATCGCGGCTAGGGCGTGCGCGCAGTCAGCGCCCCTGAAGCTCGCCCGCGGCTCGACCCGCGCACTTCCGAGGAGGAGGCTGCACCGTCAGCTGCCTGTGCATGGCGGTGCATCGATATGCAACAATACCATTCCAACGGCCACATCATTGAATTCTACCAGAGGAGACAATGCGCAGTTTGTCAAGACCGTGGGAACATTTTTTCCTCCCGGTTCCGAGTCCGAGCACGCCGGCCCCAATGGGAGAGGAGGTCTTTCTTTCTTCGGGCATCGCTTGATCACGCCGAGGCCGGTGCTTCACTCAGACGGACGGACTGGAAGCCGTAAGATTTGTTTGATAAGCTCGATGAGCATCATGTTCAACAGACCGAACTGTCCCGACAGCTTGTGCGGACATCTCATGGCCGAACCGGCGGAATTCGAAATGAGCCGACTCGCCAAACTGCAAGCCTAGAAAACCAGGGACATCAGCTATCCTGGACACGGAGAAGAAGAACTTAACCGACGGTAAAATAAATCACCCGTTGCTTGGTGTGATGTCCGTCTGCCATGCCTCGGAACCCGGGAGGATGGCATTGCGCTCGGAGTGGGTCCGTGCGCGGGAGCATTCGTGAATGACCTCCCGAGCGCTGGCGCGACCTCTCTCTCTCTCTCTTTCCTCACCGAACTCCGTCGAAGATCCAGGCGCCACAAGACCATCAAGTTCCTCGGATGGTTGCGTCAAGGTTCCAAGCGAGCGGTGATGCTGAGTAAGTACACTTCCCACCCATCCCCCACTACTCTGATCCACCCTGTGCAGCGCATTACGTCGCGTTCACGCGGCATCGGTTGCTGACTCGGACCGGGCGTGCGACGTTATCATCTCGACCCTCCTCCCCCCTCGCAGGCCCTCAAGCGGCGGACTATGATATGTCAATCAGCTCACCAGGTCGACCACGACCTCAATCCATCTACCCTCAAGGTTCCTACAACCATCGCTGCGAGTGTGACGCTCTACTTTGTGGGTTCTCTTGCTGGCCCAGCACGCGTCAAGTTGGCCATGGCGAAGCGGTCCAGCGCTGACCCATAATGTGTCTTGTCCGCCAGAACCCCGACCGATCTCGTCAAGAGGGACTCGTTCGCAACAATGGATGAATGGGATGGGAAGAAGGGAGGGAGTGGCGGGCTTTATGTCCCATGGTTTCGTTTCTCTTTTTTGTGGGGTCGCATCGAGAAGCTGTCCCCTTTGCTTTAGTTTCGGCTAGAGCAAGTTCGCAGGCCAAATGCAATGCGAGCTTCCTTCATTTCATGGCCCCTTTTCTCGGTGTCTCGGATGTGGGCGACTTTTCCGCTGGTCGGGTCAGCGTAGCCCCGCATGCTCACCTTGTTAACAGTGGTAATGTAACGAGTCTCAAGTTCCCTTTGCTTACATGCCTCAAAAATGCAGTGTTGCCAGAAGTGGCAGCGCTCTAGTCTCAAACAGGGCGACATCGATGGCTTGCCTCTTTTGGCAGGGGTGCTCGCCCTCGGCATACGCTTTTTGGGGCGTTTACGCACGGCAAGCGCCGGCGGTCCCGCAGCTTTCCCGCCCGGCTGAAATTGTCTCGGCCGCGGGTGCCAAACTTTGAGACGATTGAGAAGAAGAGCCTCTTCCCCTCCTCACCCTCTCAGACCTCGGACACTGCAGTCACTGTCGTTCTCGCTCTTTCACCATTCACCACTCCTGCTCGACCACTACCCTTTCGATCCACATTTTCGACTTGGCTGTCTGGTTCTTTTATTGTCTCAAGGCTACATCAACCGACTGTAAACTCGCATACGCGCCGGGACTTGTCACTCTTCGCATCCATCCCACTCAGCTCGTCTCGCCACGCGGTAACGCCGCGCATAGCACACACGCACACGCACGTAGCACCATCATGTCGTTCGGATCATCCGCTTTCAAGCGTGGACGCGATGAGGAGGTGACGGGCAACAAGCGAGCCAGGGTCAGTGTTCCTTCTCTGCGCTGCATCGGCCTCAGCGATTTCCGGTTCGGCGTGCCGTGGCCGTGCCCGCCGCCGGAAGTCGTTCGTCCCGAGTCGCGTGCCCGAGTCGCGTCCCCCGTTCAGCCTCGGCCGACCGCACAGACCCAGAGCGCGTCGGCCGTCCTTCACGGCGCACAGCTGACGCAGGGAGCTCACTTTTGAAAACAGACCGTCTTTGCCGCGTTCGGTGACTCGGAATTGAACCAACACATGATGCCGCAGCAGTGGCCGCCCGCCGCGCCGCAGCCAATGTCAATGCCCACCGGCTCCGCGTACCACACCCCTCAAGCAGCGTACGGCATGGACATGGACATGGTCGATGACAATATGCTCGAGGATGAAGAGGATGAGGATGAGGAGTCCCCCGCGTGTGGTGCTGCTTTGGCCGCACGTTTGGCCGGCGACTATCGCGAGTCCAACTCGAACCCGGTTCATCCTTGGAACCAGAACGCACCGCGCATGGCGCATCAACGTGAGTCTCTTGAATGGGAGCTATCGCACATCTTGTCAAAAACTGACTCCCGCGATCTTTCCAACATGCTTAGTTTCGGCCTCGTCGCTTTCGTCGGGAACTTCTTCGGCTGCACCCGGCACGCCTCTCGACTTCCCCGATCAATACTGCGCCACCTTTGTCGACAGCAACGGCCAGAGTCGTCAGTTTGCGAGCTCAGCTCCGTCGACATCTTCCTCGCTGTCCGTGTACCCGTCGATCCCCGCGCCCTCGGGTATGATGGACGAGAGCGCCGCTTTTGCCAACTACGCGATGCAGCACGGCTTCAAACACCCTTCGCAAAAGACCCAAGTCGGGTCCATCCACATCTCGCAACCCGGCATGACCCAATTGAGCAGCGACGGGTCAGTCTTGTCCCCCTCCTCCGCCTCGGTCGCGCATGCTGTTTGGATGAGCGAAAAGGCCGAAGCGATGAAACGGGCCGAAGCTCATTTCTTGTGGTCCTCCTCCGCTTCCTCCACTTTCTCCCATCTCGCGTGAACTCTTGGATCATTCCGACAGACCTCGTACGCTCGACATCCCCAGCTTTGGGTGGGACGTCCCTAGTCAAAGCTCCCGCAACGGTTCTCATTTCGGTTGAGATGGCCGGCCACCACGTCCCTTTTTTCAGTTTCACAAACTCCGGCAGTGTTGTATCGACTTCTCCTTCCTGAAAATGTATACTCCCTCAGTTCAATTCCGCTCCATTCCAATTACAAAAAGAGGGCTACACCGCGTGTTGGGCCTCCCTCACTGGACTCTGGATCCAGTAACCCCTCCCATGGACCCTTTTGTTGTGCTTATACATCCTCTCTTGTAGAATCCGTTCATCGCCACCACCCAGGTCCATATAACTCTTGTAACTGATTATGTTTTTTCACATGACCATCTTCTGCGCCCTTGTACGGAGATGGACGCTGAACTGTGGACACCGAGGCACGAATGTACAAATAGATCGAACCGCTTCCTTTCCTCCATCCCCTCCTCCCCACATCACCTACTCGACGACGATACATCCACCGACGACATGCGATTCACTTCCTAGGCATTCTGGGGCCAAAGAGGCCGAAGCCCAATCCTGCGGCCGTGAGTTTCTGTGGCTGTGGCGAAGGCGGAGGACTAGGGGGAGATTCATCGGATGGGTTCTGCGTATCGACACGAAATATCAGCGTGCTGCAGCACCCCCAGTGAGAGGGACTGGTCGACTCGACACGCACCTGCTTGTCCGAACTACTCGGCTCGAAAAGCTTGCCAGTCTTGCTCGTCGGCGCCATCGATCTGGGACCCCGACTCGTCGTCGAGGGATCGACGGCTCCGAGACTTTGCTTGACGTTGAAGGCCATCAGGCCGGCGATCTCATTTTGGAGGCTGCGTCTTTCGTCTCGGAGTTCCTCCACCTGGAAGGGGTTAGTGTTGGCGTGTCAATTCAACTTGGACTGCTCGGAGCAAGATGTGAGGACTTACCTCTTTGAGTATGCGCTGGACCTGTCGACGAATAGAGCAGAGTCAGTAGAGGGCAAACATTTGAGCAAGAAGCGCTTAACCTACCTCTTGTGTAAGCTCTCCCTTGACCTCCTGAATGTGATCATCGACGCCCGCTTTGACCGAACTGAACTCGAGAAAAGTCGATCAGCTGGGCCTCGTCAAGTACACCTCTTTGCAACGTACCCCAACAGCTTCTGCACTTCTTCCGTCAATGCAGGATGCAATGTCGTCGACTTGGTCGAGTGGATGTGCTTGACCATCTGTGTCAGTAGGTTTTGCGTTTTCGCCTCGTTCGCCGCGAGCGTGTCGATCGCATAACGAACGCCTACGCGAAAGGACCGAAGCCCTCAATTACTTCACTCTACGTCCCCATGATGGTAATAGATCGCACTCACTCTTGAACTCTTCAGCAGTCTTGACCCTATCCGCTTCGAACCGAGCCATTTCTGCCCGCTTGGACTCGATCTCGTGGCGCTCTTTGGCCGTTAGACCTCCGTTGACTTGACGTTCGAGCTGCCGTTTGTGAGCCTCGCGAATCTCGCGGTTCTTCGTCTCGCGAACCATTTGTAGGAGTTCGAATATCGCGGCTAATAAAGAGGGTAGGTGAGGTCAGCATGTGTTCAAACTCTTTAATAAAAACCGCTCACCCGAAACTGCGCCGTAATCAAAGTCGGGTTCTCGTGCAACAGCGCCCGAGAGCTGTTCCACCGTCTGCGTGACATCCGCCGCCGTCCTGACCACTTCACCGGGAGCTGCCCTAGTTGCGACTGAACGTGCAAGGGGATCAACGAGGCGAGTGTAGCCCTCGGTCTGCGGGGCGATCGTTCCTGGTCGCGATGTGCCCCATCGCTGGGCGTGCATCGACTCGTCGGCTTTCACCACACCCCCTGTTAACCGAAGAACGTCGTCAGCGTATCCTGGGCCATCAATACGCGGCTAATCTTGATGCCACTGACCCCAAAACTTCTTCCTCTCCACGGTCGGTCGAGGGGGTGTCGGAGCTCCAGGGTTCATCGAGCCATTCTCCTTCGCCCGCGCTTTGGCATGCTCAACGAGTTTACGATCGTTCTCGAGGAAGGCGTTGATTGGATTAGGCGCGAGCGGATCCGATCTTGCAGGCGAGTGATCGAAGGGAACCGGGTTGGCTGGGGATCCCCAGGTCACTTTAGGTGAACCTTGTTTGTGGTCCGGGGTGGTGGGATTGCGAGACGTGAGTCCATTCACTAACACCGGCTGTACGGGCGATGATTTGTCGCGAACGGCGCGATCGGTGGGGGCAAAGTCCCCCATTCGGGTCACAAGAGGGCGTGCATCGTATTGGCCTCTGTGACCGCGTCCGATGATACGACTCGGAGTGACCGGTTGAGCCGAAGGCGATGGCTGCATCGACCAATTGCTCCCGAACGCCTCTGAGGATTTGGACGCCTGCTTGACTAGGGGCGTGTCTCGTGTTGCGTTGATACCACGGAGCGGCGAGCTGGGGAGCTTGATAGGCGTAGTTGAGATCTCCTTGCCTTTCATGTCCTTAAATGTCTTGATATTGGTGTCCTTGACGGGTAATAGGGAAGCGTTGGGTAATTGATCAAGACGATCTTGATCCAGAACGGCGGATTTGGACCTGGACGTTCTCGCGAATCGGGCTTCGTGAGAGCTGCGCACGGTTCCGAGAGGGTGCATGCACGCTTCGTACGCTCTGAAGTTCCTGGCTTCTTTCTGAAGTACGAAACAAAGTGTCGTCAGCTGAGATTGTCCACGAAGCTTCTGATTCGTATGTAGTCACCGAATACGCCTCCTTCGCCTGGTTCCACGCGAGGCGATCCGCGGGCGTTTCCATGGCATGACGAGTCGTCGTCGTTTGGTTGTCGTCGTCCGCCACCTTTCGTTGTTCGAAGGGAAGGAGACGCCGGCCGAACGCGTCGATGTGGGTCAATCGCGAGTCATCAACTTTGGGGAAATCTTTGACAGCCTCAGGTTGAGCCCCTATCAGGTGAGGTTCGAAGCGAGATTTCATCAGTAGATAGTACGCTATACGTCTTTCCCATCGAATACTCACGTTCTTGTGAGTTTTCTCCCCGCAGTATACGCTCAACCTCGGAATTGGTACAAAGTAGAACGCCAGTGGTCCCCGTTGAGCCCGAGTTGGACCTCGGACGCCCCCGATTCCCCGCCACAGTGGGAGGCTTCGAGAACTGACTTGCATCACTGCAGCTACCCACACGACGGCGAATCGATCCCGTCAAGGGCTTCATGGAGCCTAGAGATTCAGGTCGATGATCTCCGGTGATCGAAGAAGCGATTACGGAATTCTCGTGTTGAGAAGCAGAGCGTACAGGGCCGTCGATAGGTTCGTCCTTCAACGACTTTTGAGAGCCGCCAAAGACGTCCCCTTTGCCTAGGAATGGGGTCGCTTGATAAACGAATGACCTTTTTTTGGTGATGCCTGACGGAGTCGATTTACCCGAGCCAGGCGAGGCGGGAGTGGGTTTCGTCGATCCTACTCGAGAACTCGGCGTGCTACGATCAGCCGACTTGATGGGCGACTCTCGAGATGATTGGGAGGGAGGGTCGATCTTGGATGGAGTTTCGGGAATCCGAAGTGGAACTTGCGCTTGAGACGGAACGGCGTTTGAAGTTTCTTTGCGACTGATTCCGGAAGAACGTTTTGCGACACCTGCGCCAGAGGAAGCCAAAGGTGTTGTCCGAGGCGGAGTCTCAACCGTTTCTTCCAAGGGTTTTAACGAGCTGGGGCCCCGAACAGGTGAAGCCGGAGGTGGAGTCGACAACGCTTCGAAACGCGACATGCGAATTGCGAGTTCGGGTGAGACAGTACGTTTGGCCGGACTTGGACTGCGCGATTGAGCCTGGGAACCTCTGGAAGGATTTGCGAAGATCTCGCCCGAAGCAGGTCGACCCGTCGCCTTGAAGAGACTCTGGCTCCAGCTTGTCGAAAGAGGTGTCAGAGCTGGGATGACGGGAAGACCAGTAGAAGCAGGCCCCGTCGCTTCTTGAGGCGCCTCTTGGAGCGAAAGCCCTTTGGATTGTCGATCTGCTCCCTTCTGACCATCAACTTCCGAGCTAGGTTCGTCGAGATCGTGGCTTTAAGGAGGGGGGGGGGGGGGGGTGATCAGTATTTAGGCTATCAAAATAAGATCATGTTGAAGATCAGGCTCACCTAGTAAGTTCTTGAGACGACTGATACTCTTGCCTGATTCTCTGCGACTCGGTCATGCTGGCAGCTCGTTCCGGTTCTTTCTTTTCGTCAACGTTCTCTTGCGTCAAGTGAGCGGGAGATGGGGTCGGACCCTCGAACAAACCCGGATCATCTCCTAGGAGTATAGCAATGTCTCGAGCAACCTTGCGGTCCCTTTCGGAAGGGATTCGGCTGGCCGCGCTCGAGGTAGTTGACGCCGCTTTTGGAGGAGGCTCCAGACCAGATGTCGTCACGATGGAGCCCGTACTACGAGCGAGCAAGCGACCAGGGGTGACTGTGGGGTCCCGGTTGACAGAATCGGACTTGACGGAAGGTGGCCCGGTGTAGATTGGAGAGAGTCCCGTTGCGGATCTTGTTCGAGTCCCCACCGAAGGGGTCTTGGGCGATTCGAAAATGTTGCGGCCGGTCGAGTCCTCTCGAGTCGGAGTCGTAGGCGTACTTCCACTGTGCCTTCCAGCCGCGGCGTTTACAGCTCGCATCTTGGCGAGTACCTCATCGTTAGAAAGTCTTGGTCCCTTGTGCTCATTGATCGAGAGCTTTTCGGGTGGGGGCGTTGAGGTGATGTCCCGCACGCCCGGTGTTTCGACGGGCGCCGATGAAGTCGATCCGCTTTTCGATGCCACTTCAACGATAGCAGCAGACCCGGTTGACTTGGTTGACACCGATATGTCCGATATGTCCGATTTGTCCGACTTGACACTTGATCCTGAAGAGGACTCAATCGCTGCCCGCTTGGCAGCAAGTTGGGCCCGTAGTCGCAGCTTGATCGATTTCTCCACTGGTAGAGCGGCTGGGACAGGCGGTGCTCCTTCGACGTCGGCCGATGCTGTTCCATCTTCGAATTTCATCGAGCCAGCTTTGCCTCTTTCTGACTCTGGAACCGATGAGAAGCGAGGTCGAGCCGTCGAACGGGGGGTAGATCGAATAATGCTCACTGCCGCATCTTGAATGGGCGCAGAGTATGCGGCGTCCCAGTCGTCGACTTGGAGCAGCCTAGATGGCGGATGTTTCGGTGAAGGCGAGGCAGGGGCCTCGTGCCAGCCATACGGGGTGTCGAAAGAAGCCGAACCAGGGATGGGAGAGAGAACGCTAGTGCTCCAGAGCTCAGGTATAGTCGCAACCGGAGGGGCCAGGTCCGGGTGATGCGTCGGGGATGCGTCAACGAACTCGTCATCGTCATCGTCTGATTCGTGCGACGTGCCACCACTGGTCCTGCGATGAGCGTCCATCTTTGGAAGGAGTGGACTGTGTCGTTTCAAATTTCGTTCCTCCTTTTCGGTAGGGGAAAGATGAGTGGCATTGTTGGTGGGTCCTTCGACCACGGTATCAGTCCCCACTGCCCTGGCCGTGAACGAGCGAAGCAAATCACAAGTCGACACCGGCGACGACGAGAAAGGTGTCGAGCGCGCCTCGACCTGATCGACGGCGGTCGTAGGAATGGTACGAAGATGTGCACCCATTCCAACCACAGGCTCGTAAGGGCACATCAAGGAAAGCGCTCACCGCCTACGGGCGAGGTGGTGAATGGGCATGGGGGAGACGAACAAAGGTGGGTTGAGTGATTTTTTTCCGGATAGGGGGTGGTGTGGCTGTTTCAGATTCGGGAGGGGCGACTCAGCCAGTGACGCCGATAGCGCTAGTCCGAGTTGGTACGACCTAATTAGGGGCAGAAACACGTTTTACTTTGAGCCGCAGAGCCGGTCGACAGCCGATCGTCGATCGAATTGCTCAGTATACTTGATACACGCCATACATCACGGTGTGCCATTGATCGATGCAAGTCCGAGAAGGAGAGCCGGCCGGGGCCTATTACTGCCAGTCTCGGATGTGTTGCTTGGTAATGGCGATTTGCGTCGATCCTTATAAGTGCACATCGAGGCCTCAAATGGGCGGCGCACCTGCTGCTGCCGGGCTCGCTCGCAAGCGCTTACTCCCTTTGATCCCCGCCCCACCCCACCACAGTCACCCCACTCGACACCCCCGCTCTACGCCAACAACAAGACCATGGCCGCCCGCCCGACTTTCGCCGAACTGGCAGCTCGCTTCGTGCAGCAACGTGCCAAGGCTGGCTTCTCAGCTGGAGGAGGAGGAGGAGGAGGAGGAGGCGCTGGAGGGCCGGGACGCGGTGGCCCGAGCATCGGTACAGCCCTGGGTGGAGCAGGTGGTATCCTCCTCCTGGCTGCGGCCGGTCTGACCGTCAACTCTGCTCTTTTCAACGGTGCGTTCAGCATCTTCAATCGGCCATGCGTCTCAGGGCTTCTCAGGGCCACAGCGCGGGGTCGATCGAGCGTTCAAAGAGCCCTGACACTGCCTTGTTCTTCCCTCCCTGGCCCCCTTACACCTCGTTCCTACAGTCGATGGTGGTCACCGTGCGATCAAGTACACCCGCCTGAATGGTGTCACTTCCGAGGTCTACGCTGAAGGGACCCATTTCCTCGTACGTTTCATCCGCAATTCACCGATAGCTCCCCCCTCGCGAACGATGCATAATCATCCCTGATCGCCGCAGATCCCTTGGTTCGAGACCCCGATCTTGTACGACGTCCGAGCCAAACCGAGAAACATCGCCTCGTTGACTGGTACAAAAGGTGAGCTCGGCACTCTTTGAAGAGGCACTGGTCAGAGCTGACTCGGCCCCGGTCCCCTCTCGATCGAACTGCTGTTACGCCTCGTGCAGATCTTCAGATGGTCAACATCACTTGCCGTGTGCTGTGCCGACCCCGTGTCGATGCCTTGGCGACCATCTACCGCGAGTTGGGCACCGACTACGATGAGCGAGTCTTGCCCTCGATCGTCAACGAGGTGCTCAAGAGTGTCGTTGCCCAATTCAACGCTAGGTTCGTCTGAACTCACCGTGCACCGTTTCTGGCGTACTTCAGCTGACCTCATACCCTTCTACTTCTCTCAGTCAATTGGTGACACAGCGAGAGATGGTCTCCAAGCTCGTGCGCGACAACTTGCAACGCCGCGCCGCGCGCTTCAACCTCGTGCTCGACGACGTCTCCATCACGCACGTCACCTTCTCCCCCGCCTTCTCCGAAGCGGTCGAAGCCAAGCAGATTGCGCAACAGACGGCCCAACGAGCGGCCTACCTTGTCGACCAGGCCTTGCAGGAGAAGCAGAGCATCATCGTCAAGGCGCAGGGAGAGGCCCGTTCGGCCGAGTTGATCGGTGAGGCGGTCAAGCAGAACAAGGGTTTCTTGCAACTCAGGAAGATGGAGGCCGCGAGGGAGATTGCGCAAATGGTCGCCAACTCCAACAACAAGCTCATGCTCGACTCGGACAGTCTCCTTCTCGATGGTTAGTTTCTGGTCTCGTCCCTTGGTTGGCGTGTTGGCTTGCTGCGATAGGGTTGCTGACGAAAAAGATCGGGTCGTTGCTGCAGTGAACGAGCACTCTGAAAACAAGCGGGCGTAGGATGAAACGGTGATCTGACTTTGTGTAACGCATGTACGAGTACAACGAAAACTGTCTCCCCGTGACCTCAGGCATGCAATATCACTTCGACCCTCCTCTCATCCTTATAGAAGCGAACCTATGGACTGCATGTATCATCCAAGAGTACGTGGGGGTACATGGCCACCATAAAGCTACAGAATAATGAAACGACGGCACCCTGAAAATCCAATTCGCCCCTACTCCGACACCATCTCTCAGCGGTTCCGCTTCCTGTTGTCCTTCCCACTCGATGATGCTGCCGACCCTCCTCCGGTCGCATCATCCCACATCTTCTTGGCCTGGTTCATCGCGAACTTCATCGCCCACCCGCCGGGAATGTCGTTCGAAGGAGGGGAGGCTTGAGTCCGAGTTTTCGCCTTGGGCTTGGTCGACCGCTTCTTCTTGTCCTTCGAAGCCGATGGCGCATCATTCGCTGAACCCATAAAAGCGAAGAGCGTATCCCTCGCCGTATTCCAAGCGTTCTCCCCCCTCTCGTCCGCTCCTCTTCGAGGAACGCCATATTCTTCACCCAGATCAACTTCGGCCGGATCGTCCCATCCACCCTCATCAGTCGTCGTAGCCCAAGTTCTCGTCCTTCCGCTCGCACTCTTCCTCTTATTCTTCCCGACCCGACTCGCGCTAGACCTCTTGCTCGATCCCGATCCCGATCCCGATCTGGAAGTAGACCCGGACTGGCCTTGACCGAACCACCATTGAGCGCCGGTCTTACCGACGCCCCAAGTCGTTTTAGCAAAGCCTTGCATCTTGTCGAGCGATTGGGTCGTACCGGACCATCCATTCGTGTACGCGTTCCAACCTACGGCGATCGCGCCGATCAAGGTGGACCATTTCGCGAGGAACCAGCTTAGACGAAAGGCGAAACGGGTCGTGTTGTACATCGATAGGAAGGCGGTGTAGATTGCGAAGAGGGAGAGCAGGAGCGAGAGCAGGGACGTAGGGGAGGAGAGCAGGGACGTCCAGGGGAGGGTCAGGAGTTGGTGGAGCGGTCGGAGGAGGGAGGAGGGGAGGTACGGTTCGAGCACGTCTAGGATTGAATCGATGACGTTCCCCGCCGTCGCATCGTCTTGGTAGTAAGGCATGATGCCGGGTAAGAGGTGTGTTGAAGATTGGGTCTATTGCGCTTGTTGGTTGCTCGAGTCGGGGTGGACGTAGAAGGGGAAGAGGCGCAGACAACGAGAGCCGGCCCCCCTTCCCCCCCACTTCGACGTCATCACGCACGCACGCGCGAGACCGCAACGGGCGCTCGTTGCCGATGTACGGAGGAAAACAATTCGAACAAGTCGAAGCAAAGAAAATCAAAAGCCATCAGGTATGATTTTACCGCTTCGATGAAAAAGACACAACACTTTTTTTACGATTTACTTCGATCTTACTAACCCATTTCTAATGAGCTATTCCGACCGCTCCTTACCGCTCCCCAACGAAACAGGATCGACTTCGCAAGCGCTTCTCGAAACGGTTCTTGTCTCTTCTCCAGAAACTTTGCTAGCCGCACCAATACCAAGTCGAGCGAACGATCCACAAAACTCACTCCCACGTTCGTATACACCAAAAAAAGGAAAGGAGGGGGTCGTAAAGCAACCACCTTTTTTCCTTTTGTATATCACCTGACTCGACATGGAGGTCGGCCTAAATCGAATGTAGAATCAATACCCTTTTAATAATCTCAGCAGTCGTCGTACCTTTTCTAAGGACTGGTGGATTCGCTATGGGTCGACATTTTCTTTCTCTTTTTTGTCCTCTTGTTCTTTGTTTTGTCGTAGCCTACCTCTCTCGCAATCTCATCCTTTCTGTTCAAACTCGTCCCACCCAGAACAGTCCAACCTCCCAAGACCGTGTTCCGTCCAGACACGATGACGACGCCCACGTACTCGCACCCCTTCACACTTTCGCAAGCGATCCAACTCGAACCAGCGTTGATCACACAAGGTCAGTACACTGAAACAGTAGGAGCTCTTTCGTTCGAACCCTCTCCAAGAAGCATCCCCATGTTGGCATCAAATCAACCCCTCCCCCCTTCTACGCTCCTCGCTTCGCAGAGATAACGAGGCTACAACACTCGATCCAACACCTCGAACGATCGAACGCCGAACTACTACAGTACCTCGAAGAAGAAGGTCCGGAAGCCGAGTTCGAATCATCGATCAGGGAGAATGAAGTGACCATGCAAGTAGTACCTCCTTCCTCCTTTGTCCTGAGAACGTTCGAATGAAACTCAAAAAGAGCTGATTAGGGTTCCCTCCCTCCCACCCACTGAACATGGTCGACTAGTGCTACTCAGAAGGAAAGGATTTCGATCCTTCGTCATGCGTTGCAAGAGCAGATAGGGGTCGATGGATCGAATGGGCATTATGAATTGGCCAGTGCGAGGTCAGATAATGGGACATTGGGGTCGGGAACAAGTTTGATTTTGGAGGAAGGGGATACGGACGCGATCGTCAGTGCAGCTGCTGCAACGGGCCCAGGGCAGGAGGACGAGGAGGTGGTGGAAGGGGTATATCTGTGATCTTGTATTCGTCAATTTTGTATCACGCAGGTTGTTGTGCATCTAGTCATTCATACGTCTCTGTCGAACCCACGCCAATAACCCAATCCAAGTCCCCAGAAGAACCGAGCCCGAACTCGAGAAAAGTGGAAACTTGACATTGTCACCCCAGCAACAAACACTTGATAGTCGTTCTACAACTGCGCAACCCATTTATCAAGTGCCCTTACCCCCTTTTCTTGCCATTCGGCCTTGGAGATCCTGTTTCCTCGCCATCACCAGTCATGATCAGCACTCGTCGGCAACCACCTCGCGATCCGAGAAAAAAGATGTGAGCCGAACTGAACTTACCAGCGTACGTTCGACACGTCCTTCTCGTGCAAATCCTTGGCCAACGAAGCACCTCCCACGAATACAGAGTGCTTACGTTCTGGTGGATCTTCGATTCGTAATTGGAAGTCCTGTCAAAAAGTCACACCAACTCAGTTGCCCCCTTCGCCGAACTCTGGTTCCCGACGGGGATTCGGACGACCTACATTCAAGCGCGCCGGGTTACCCATCAACTTTCTCGCCAAATACAACTGTTTCAATTCCTTGCCCAAACGACTCGGCAAACCAGGGTACATGGTCGAACCGCCGGAAAGAACGATATGTTTGAACAGGTCGGCACGGTTATCGAGCGGTGCGGCTTGGATGGTGTTGTAGAGCATTTCGGCGACGCCTTCTTGTTCGACGTCGACGAGGTGAGGTTGGAACATGCATTCCGGAGCTTCGTAACGCTCCGAACCGACTTTGATGACGCGACCGTCGGGGAGCTGGGGGAAAGGATTCGAGGGTAGGAGTCAGTCAGTTCGGAGTTTCGGAACGAGTTGAAGGACTCGAATCGTGGGGAGGGACCGACGGTATAGTTCTCGATTAGCGTCGTCGTGTCGTCCGACAGCCGCTTGTCAAGGTCGAGATCGTAGCTAAACACACGAGTGGCTAGAATCATCAGTCATGGAGGTGAGAAATAATCGAAAGCCCAGGCCCGCCCGCGCACCTGGTATAACAAAGCTTCTCCTTGATCTGTCGAACGGTCTCAAAGTCGGCGGTACGGTTGAACGCGTACCCGCGCATGAGCAACAGTTTGATGAGGTAGCGCGTGACGTCTCGGCCGGCGACGTCGAGACGTTTCATCCAGTTGGGACTGATCGCGCCGTGGATGACGGCGACGATGTGGGTCACTCCGTCCCCCGAGTCGACGACGACTCCCGTGTCGAGACCTGCGGCCAAAAAAGCATAGCTCGGTGTCAGCGAGAGCAATGCGTTCGTTGATCGAACAGAGCACGTCCCATACTCACCCTTGGCATACAAAGTCAGAACGGCCTGAACGGAGATGTAGACCTTGTCGAATCCGTAGTGATCGAACATGATCTCGCACATCTTTTCCCTGTTCTTGACCGGGTTCATCGGCGGATCCGTCAGCAGGATACTCTTCCCCCTCGGGTCGATCTGCAACTTGTAAAAGGCATGGTCCCAGATGAGTTTCATGTCGTCCCAGTTGCGCACGATGCCGTGTTCCATCGGTTGGGTCAGTTGGAGGTAGGAGCGGTACTCGGACGCGGCGTCGCCGACCATGATGTCGGTGATGTTGGCCGTCTCGGTGGTCGAGCCGCGTTCCTCGGTACGGAGGATCGGTCGACCGATCAAGGATGGGAACGTGTGCGAGGGGAAGTCTGCGCGCGAGGAGGGACAGGCTCGGTCGTGTGTTGGTTAGCTGGGGGGAGGGGTGGGGTCACCGACTGGCCGATCCGGGATGGGGAGACTGACTCGATCCCGCATAACCGCATTTGACAAACTGTGGGTTATAGACGGGACACGACTCGGTGCGCGTTCATAGGGATCGAGCGGGGCCATCCGAGCTCACTCCTGTTCCATTGTCGATGACGATGGGGACGTCCGAGTCGGCCATGGCGATCGTTGCGGCTCACTCGACTGCCTATTATGGGCTTGTCAGATTTGCTGCGCTGTGAAAGAGGAGATGTTGGGAGTTCAATTAGCCGTGGAGCGCAGAATGAATGGCATGATGGGCGGTGTCGTGCCGCTGTGCGCTCGCTCGACCAGGGGGAGACGGAGGTAGCGCGGCCTCGGAGTATGCTGGCAAAGCAACGGCTTCATCCAGCAGCTCGACATTCCTCCGTCGCGGCGGATGAAGCACCATGCCTTAGCCAACCGACGTGGACGTGGACGAGGACGAGGACGAGGCGATGGCGATGGCGATGCCGCTCGGACAAGCTGCGCAGGTCACCGTCCTTCCGTGCTGGAGCGCTGGCGAGATGATCGAAGAGCCTGGGTCCAAGCAGGCTGAACAGCTTGCGTTCTCGCCAAAGGGTCGGGGCTGAGGGCGACTGGTGCTGTCCGAGAGCGGAGGTGGGAGGAGGGGAGGAGGGGAGGAGGGGAGGAGGGGGTGCGGGGCGGGCCGAACCGAGGCAGGGGGAGCGCCATGCGGGCCGTTTGGTGGTGTGTCCGCATGCACGAGTCGGTCGAGCTCACTGACCTTGTGGCTTTGACCGTGTTGCGTGCTCCCAAACGACGGAGGTGAGGTGTGCGGTGCTGTTGCGGGTTCTGGGTCGGCAGCGGGAGCGGGAGCGGAAGCGGCAGCGGGAGCGGGATCCACCGACGCGGGAGGGTGACTGACAATTGCCCGTTAGCCGACGAGCTTGTAATCCCGAATGGAAGCGGTCATCATGAGGAACCCGGCGCGCGCTCCCGGCCCCAGCTCGCTCGCTCGCTGGCCTGTGCCTGTGCTTGTGCTTGTGCTTGTGCCACCCCACGCCTAACCCGTCACCAGTCTGTGCACGCGGTGCGACCTCAACCCAACACTGCCGACATCATGTGAGTGCAACTGCACCTGCTGCTCATCGGTGCTGGTCCTGACCCGTACCTGATCGCTGCTTTCCGCAGGGATGACTATGGTAAGCCACTGTCGTCTCCCCGCCCCGTCCACCACCTCGCACCACCTCGCACCACCACCACCCCACACGCCAAGCGGCCGACTCCCACCCTCCCCACCTTACCCACACCTCAAAACTGACCACCCGACCCCCTCCCCCTTCCCCCACAGATGAATTCGGAAACTACATCGGCGCCGACCTCGATTCAGGCTCGGAATCCGGCTCGGATGCCCCTTTCCCTTTCCACGACGACGAGCACTCAGCGCCCCCTGCAGCCGAGGCCACCACTTCCGCACCGCTCAAGCCTTACGATGAGGATGAGCACGAGCCTTTGGCGATGCAAGTCGACGGTGAGTGCTCGTTGGCCCTTTGGCCCTGCAGTGCGCAACGGTCAACAACACGGTCGCGATCTGGGCTAGCACGCCGTACAGGCCAAGCGACCTGGGACATGTCAACACCGCCAGCCCAGCCGGTCGTCCAACACGATCCCTCGAGCCCTGACCGACCCTACAGCGATCCGTGTGCATAGCTGACACGCACGCACCTCCCCCCTCCCCCCTCCCCCTCGCAGATATCCCCTCATCGAACGCCGTCATTCTCCACGACGACAAGACCTACTACCCCTCCGCATCGGCCATTTACGGCGAAGGCGTCGAAACGATGGTCCAGGAAGAAGATGCCCAGCCCTTGTCGAAACCGATCATCGAGCCGATCAAGATCCGAAAGTTCCGCGCCGGCACGACCGAAGGACCCGAGCGGAGATGGGACGACGAGTCAGTACACCCCCCCGTCATGTCCGTCTTTCGAGACTCTGGAAGCTGAACCGAACGCTACACTCGCGACAGCTTCATGTTGATGCTCGCTTCCAACGCCGACATGATCCGCAACGTCGCCGTCGTCGGTCACCTCCACCACGGCAAAACCTCGCTCATCGACATGCTCGTCACCGAATCGCACAAGATCGACATCGAGGCCGACCGACCGTTGCGCTTCACCGACACCCACTCGTTGGCCGAGGCGAGGAACATCTCGATCAAATCCAGCCCCGTTTCGCTCGTCCTACCCAACTCGAGGGGCAAGCACTACCTCGTCAACATGATCGACACCCCCGGCCATGTCAACTTTATCGACGAGCTCGCGAGTGGGATCAGGATAGCCGACGCCGCTGTCGTCGTCGTTGATGCGGTTGAAGGGGTCATGTTGACCACCACGACCGCGGTGCAACACCTCGTCGCGGCCGGGGTACCCATCACGTGCGTCGCGCGTCCAGATCAACGTTGACCTTTTGACCGAGCGAAGCTGACCAACCTTAAACCGGCCCGTACAGTCTCGTCGTCAACAAGGTCGACCGACTCATCCTCGAACTGCGACTACCACCGGGCGACGCCTACTTCAAGCTGAAGCAAACGATCGAAGAGGTCAACACCGTGATCAGCGAGATCAACCCGGATCCGAAACTACGCGTCTCGCCCGAGTTGGGTAACGTTTCGTTCGTTTCTGCTCAGATGGGCTGGTGCTTCACCCTCAAATCGTTCGCCAAACTCTACGCCGACACCTATGGCCCCTTTGCATCGAAATCGACCGCGCGCGAAGAACCGTTCGACCCGAGTCGACCCACCCAAATCCCCTTTGATTTGGATCAATTCGCGGCGCGCTTATGGGGCAATATTTACTTTGACCCCGAGACACGAAAGTTCCATCGCCAGGCCGGGCGGGGTGAATCGAGGCGCGCGTTCGAGTATTTCATCCTCGAGCCCTTGTACAAACTCTATTCGCAGGTCTTGGGCGAGGACGTCGAGACTTTGAAGGCGACCTTGAAGGGCTTGGGGATCGTGCTGAAGGAGGCCGTGTACAAGATGGACGTGAGACCCTTGTTGAGGATGGTCATGAGTCAATTCTTTGGCAAGTCGACGGGCTTTGTTGATATGCTGGTCGATCATGTGCCGAGTCCGATCGAGGGGGCACGGTTAAAGGTGAGTGAGACGCAGACGCTTGGCTGTAGATACGAGGCTGACATATTTTTCGTCACCGTTGCGCCAGGTCGAGACGACATACACAGGGTCGATCGAATCAACACTGGCCAAGGCCATGCTGAGATGCGACCCCAAAGGCCCTCTGGCGATTCAGATCGTCAAGCTGTACCCGACACCGGACGCGAGCGAATTTCGAGCGTTCGGTCGCATCATGTCGGGCAAGGTCACATCGGGGATGGAGGTCAAAGTGCTTGGAGAAGGCTATTCACCCGAGGACGAAGAGGACATGGTCACGCAAAAAGTCTCGGGAGTCTACGTCTGCGAGTCGCGCTACGACATCCCCGTCGACGGACTACCCGCAGGTAACTTTGTCTTGCTCTCTGGGGTCGACCATTCCATCACCAAGACGGCGACATTGGTTGATGCCGACTCGAACGATGACGAGGTTCGCATCTTTGCGCCGATCAAACACCTCACTCAATCGGTCCTCAAAATCGCCGTCGAACCCATGGTCCCTTCCGAACTCCCTAAAATGCTCGACGGTCTACGCAAGATCAACAAGACGTACCCCTTGATCGAGACGCGTGTCGAAGAGTCGGGCGAACACATCCTCTTGGGTACGGGTGAACTGTACCTCGATTGCGTGATGCACGACTTGCGCAAGATCTTTGCCGAGATCGATATCAAGGTCTCGGACCCGGTCGTCAAGTTTTGTGAAACGGTCGTCGAAACTTCGGCGCTCAAGTGCTACGCCGATACCCCCAACAAAAAGTGAGTGAGAGCTTGACCATCCAGTCAGTTTTCGCCGCTGAGCTAATGGCTCGCGCACTCGACTCTTGCAGAAACAAAATCACCATGATCGCCGAGCCTTTGGAGAAGGGAATCGCGGAGGATATTGAATCAGGGCGTGTATCGATCCGTATGCCACCGAAGCAGTTGGGCGCTCATTTCCAAAAAGAGTACGGGTGGGACTTGCTCGCTTCGCGCTCGATCTGGGCCTTCGGACCGGACGAACAAGGTCCCAACATCCTCATGGACGATACGCTGCCTTCGGACGTGGACAAGAAACTCTTGTACAGCGTCAAGGAATCGATCAAGCAAGGTTTCCAATGGGGTTGTCGCGAGGGACCGTTGTGCGACGAACCGATAAGGAACGTCAAGTTCAGGTTGTTGGGCGCCGATTTGGCGCAGGAACCGATTTATCGAGGTGGGGGTCAGATCATCCCTAGTGCGAGAAGGGTGTGCTATTCTTCTTTCTTGATGGCCACACCGAGGTTGCAGGAGGTGAGTCGTTCTCACTGGTCCCCCCTTTGAGCACAGCAACTGTGCTGACTTTTTTTCTTCGTCCCTGCAGCCGGTTTACTTTGTCGAGATCCAAGCGCCACAAGACTGCGTCCCAGCGATCTACGAAGTGCTCGCGCGTCGTCGAGGCCACGTGACCAAGGACCTCCCCAAACCCGGATCACCGCTCTACACCGTACAAGCCTACATCCCCGTCGTCGACGCGAACGGTTTCGAAACCGATTTACGAACCCATACGTTGGGTCAAGCGTTCTGTCTCCAAACCTTCGACCATTGGTCCGTTTGCCCCGGTGATCCATTGGACAAGACGATCGTTCTACGACCTCTGGAACCGGCCCCACCTCAACATTTGGCGAGGGATTTCGTGCTCAAAACGAGACGTCGGAAAGGGTTGAACGATCAGGTCTCGTTGACCAAGTATTTGGAGAATGAGATGGTCGTCGCGTTGAGCGCTTCGGGCGTATTGGATCCTTTGTTACTTTAAAAAAAAAAGAAACTCCCCCCGAGAGGGAGCATTCGCTATGAGGAGCGCTTGCTCGGTCCCTGGGAACTTCGTGGAATGGAATCTGAAGCAGATTATTGCTGTATTTGTAAGCTCACTTTGAACGGCAAACGAATCCCCGGACTTGGTGCCGAGGTTGGGAGAGAAATGCACGTATTCATCTTATCCGGAGAGAAGAACGGCATGTCGTGGTCTTTTTGATTTCAAAATTTCCAGTCCTCTTCTTCTTGATGATGAAAAGGTGGCTACTTGGAAACGACGGCGATCGCCTCGATCTCGAACAATACGTCGAGAGGCAGCCTTGCGACCTGGGGTGGACCCCCAACGAAGAGAAGGTCAGGTCAGAGATGAGCGAGAAGGAGGAGGAGGATGTGAGGCAACGAACCTCGACGCAGGATCGGGCGGGCTTGTGATCACCAAAGTGCGCGGCGTAGACGGCGTTGATCTGAGCGTGAGTAGGAGAAAGTGAAAAAAGTGGTGAGTGGTCCATGGGTTTACAGAGTGAGTAGGGTACAAGTCGGGGGCGCACCTTGCCAAAGTCGTTCTGTGTGGGGTTGGGGAGGGTGGAGTGGAGTGGGGGGGGGGGGCCAATCAAAAGGGGTCAGGGGGTCAGTCGGGGACACGATACCATTCAGGCTCAGTGTGAAGCTAAATGTATTACTGACCATGTCCTTGATGACTATTCGCCCCAAAGCAATAGCCCCACTCGGGGTGGTCAGTGATAGCGATCTCCGAGTCCCTTGAAGGACGGCGAGACGAGCGGACTCACAAACGGTCGTCTTGACGATGCTCGTCAAAGGCACACCCGAAGCCTCAGCGACGGCACTCATGTTCTTCAAAGCTTGTTTCTACCCCAGTTTGAACAAGACACATCTCAGACGGCCAGAACATCAGCCCCTTTCCGTCCGCTCGCCCCTCTCTCTTCGCATGCACGCTTCAAAGGAGGAATCAACAACTCACCGCTTGTTCCTCCACACCCCCGTAAACGACCTTTTTGGTCTCGGGATCGACGGGGATCGAACCGGAGAAGAAGACGAATTGTTCGGTCTTGATCGCTTGCGAGTAGGGGCCGACCGCGGCGGGCGCGTGCGGGGTCGAGACGGCGGTGAAGGACATGTTGCGACGGGTGAGGAGAGGGACTTGGGTTGACTGGTGAGTTGGGAGGCGGAGGGATGAGTGAGGAATGGGTGAGGCTTTTGGGTTGGATTGGGGAGAAGGTGCTTACAACGCGGCGGAACATGCACGGTGCAGCGCAACAGGCCAAGACGGTCCTCGTGTGGGGCGGCCCGGGAGCGCTCGAGTTGCCAAACGAAAGAGGCACTAAAGAGGCTCAGTGGGGCGAATACCTTCATTTCATCTACCGGAAAAAAAGGGTGTTGAGGTCTCCAACAGACTTGCGAGGAATCTTTGAATGCAGTGTGCATCTCTGGTAGCCGTGTCATTCACTGGTAATCCCATGTCGGGCATGTATCGGTCGCACGTTCAATTGATCGCCCCGGAGTGACGAGATACGTTACGGTGTAAAAAAATTCGGCGAGATTTACCGAGCTTGATTGAGTAGTTGTGATGCTCCTTCATTACGCACAGACAATTATCTATAACTTTCAGAAGTGTTAAAGTACTCCCGGCCCTAAGACCGAAAACTCGTATCCACTGCCAGTTATTGAAATCCTCCCCTTCTTCCCGCAGATCCGGCGCAGCAACCCGGGGTAGTGCGAGGTGGTTCTTTTCACCACGACTTTTAATGAGTGTGACCCCCCAGCAGCAGCCTCTTCGGCTTTGGCCTGCTCCATGGAGACCGTGCAGCCCTTAGGGGCAGAAGCGACGTCGCGAGCGTACGCGTCCAGAGCGCTGCGCAAAAAGTGAGTCCAAGCGTCGAGTCAGTTTTTTGACCCTAGACAGAGGAGTTGTGCGCAGTGTGGCATGACTTACAAGAATTGCAAGGTGTCAGAATTAAATGCAGCGAGGGAGTTGTTCGTCGAAGCTAGCTTCAGACTTTCGACGTAGCCCTCCGCTGAAGGATCGAGTTTGAAGAGGGTCATGATTAGCCGAGAGAGGACCATACACAGGAGCTTCACTTTGCCTTCTCAGACTCACCAGTGTGGACGACGTGACCAAAGGTCACGGAAGGTACATGGGTCAAGCGATGCACTGTGATCGTCAGAGTCTCAGTGAGCTCGTTGAGACTCTGCCCAATCCCCAGCGGTGGAAGACTGACTGAGGTCTGCACCGAGGTAATGGCTGGGGTTGCCACTGCCGATCAGCCTACCGTCCCAGCAGAGCTCGGAGAGGGAGACGCGATTCGACACGTTAACTTTTCAATCATACAAATACACTCGGGAAGATCAGTACAACCGAATGCTGGGCGGTGTCAACGCTTCAAGATCGGCGTGGAAGTACTCACAAGAAGGTGGGCAGATGACGGTCTCCTGCGACGCGTTCTTGCCGCGGTAGTGACCGGCTGGCATTGCAAAATAACCACACCACAACTTCAGCTCTCGCACACCTATGCTGAAGCTGCTGAGAGTCGTCCTATCTCACCCCAAGGTCCCTCAGCAGTAGTCTGAGTGGCACAGTTCTTATCGGGGTCGTCGCTGTCAATATATTGCTGTTTCATCCCACTGGTATTCCCGATTATGATTAGTTACTAGTTGTTGATATTAGTCGCCCCGCGCGTCTCGAGCCTGCCTCGCGCACGCTCCCTTAGCGCTTATCTTCTTTCTCCAACTATCTTTACTATCTTCATCGGCTCTCGTACTTACGCACTTCGTGCCTCGGCCTCAGTTCCTGAAAGTCGCAGCGCAAGATGACTCCTGCTTTGTTGCCGAGAGCGATTTGCGAATAATATCCAATCACCGAAGATGCAGGGGCGTTGCCAAAGTAGGTACTGTCCGACAAGAAAAAACATCTCTGACTTTTCTAAGCATTCACAATCACAATAGTGGGAAGGGGGATGAGACATGTATAGACCTACACGTAAAGTTCATCCGTCTCGCCCCTTTCCAACAGCCTCCCCTTGGCATGATTCGCTAGCTCGAGCATCTGCTCCAATCCCTGACGCAAATGATGAGTCTGCGCGGCCGAGCAACTTTCGAGAATCTTCACTTCCGTCGTGAAAGAAGTGCTGGTTGAGGTGTTTTGGGAAGAGTGTTTGTCGGAAGTCGAGTGATGAGCGTGGCGCTTGATGAAAGCGGGGGAAGGAGCTGGCGCGGCGGACAGGACGGGAGCTCCACTCACTCCCAGGGAGAGGAGGACGCTCGAGAGGACGAAAGAAAGACGCATTGCGGAGCAGAATGGGTTGAATACCAAATATGAGCACAAAGCTAGAAGTGCCTTGAAGTGATGTACAAAAGATCAAGAAACCTTCTTCCTCCCACCATGGCGGTATCTCTCTGCGAAACTCGCGAGCTGAGGAGGCCCGTGAACCGAGCATCCTGCTCCAAAACATTTTTCGGGGCGTTCAACGTTGACCGCCAGGGTACTCGTGACGAGTGGGTGTTTCGCCAAGACTTGCTAGGCCAGGGATCTGCGTAGACAGCTGAGGGGATTGGTCAATTGAAGGGACCGGTCTCTGAGCTTCGAACGTCAATCAGGAGGTAGGGGGACCTTCCTGGTCGCAGCTGTGCGCTGAGTACTAGCGCTGAGTCGTACATCCGTTCGCCTCGTCGCCGGTTTGCGGGTCCCCAATGGCAGATCTTAATTCACTCGCCCTCGGGCCGCATGCACAAAAACCTCATTTTGCACCAACAAAGAACAAAATCAGATTGCTAAAACTCAAATATGTATATATACCTACTTGCACCTTCCACACCAATCACACGTATAGAAAGACAAAGCTGCGAGCTACAACTTGAAGGGGGTGGAAGTAAGAAAAAAGAGACCAACACATATACACGCACAGATGAAGTAGAAACAGCACCCAATACTGGAACCTACAGAAAGGGTATCTAAATAGGTACGTAGTTCGATGAGAAGATGGAAGAAGACAAGGAAAGACTGAAAGGGTACACGACAATCGAACACCTTCAGCGACTCAATACGGCTGCCCCCTCGCGCCCCTCTCCTCGACCCTCCCCAAAGCCCGACTCTGACTCCTACTCTGACTCCTCAGCCCTTCTCTACTCCCCGTCCGATTCCGACTCGATTCCCTAACTCGACTTCTACCCCTCGCTCCAGCCCCACTCGTCCCTGTCGTATCGACGCTGGTCTCCCTCCCTCGACTCGCACTGCGCGAGGAACAGACACTTCCATTCTGCGTTTGCGTCTGACTCTGACTCTGACTCTGTCGTCGTTCTTCCCTTCCTCGTTCCCACCTCATCTTCCGATCCTCCTTCTCGAGATTCGACCTCTCGACCGATCGCGTACGAGCCGAGATCCCTAAGTGCTTGACCGCTGCCGCCGAACGACTGGACGATCTCGTCGCCTTCCTTACAGCCGAAGGTGACCTCGATGACGATGACGTCGATTCCTGATCGGTCTTACCGACGGGTAACAAACTTCTTCTCCCACTCTGTCGTCCTCTCGAAGGTGTAGGAGGAGGGTCGTAAAACGCTCGCAACCATCTCGATTCCCTGATCCTCCCGACGTCCCAACGTTGCGTAGGATCGAAACATAGACAACCTCGCAAGACTTCGATGACGTCCTCGTCCAACTTGGGGCTCGAAGGGGGTATTTCCCAAATCCCTTTCATGATCTTGCTTCTCAATCGAGGTTCATATTCATCGATGAAGGGGAGCGAGCCGAAGAGGAGGGCGTAAAGGACACAGCCTGAGGCCCAGATGTCGATCGAGGGGGAGAGGATCGGGGTTGGTGAGGCCATTTGTTCGGGTGAACAATACGGTAACGACCCAGCGGGATGAAGGTGTTCGGCTATGGCGTCAAAGAGTGGGGCGGGTGCTCCATGGTTCAAGGAGGTCGATCGATCCGATCCGTGGGGGTGATGATGATGGTGATGATGATGATCGGGCCTCGAGACCGAGTTGGCACGAGACAGACTGGCGAGCGATTGTCCCGGCGTGATCGATCCATACCCATGCGTCGAAAGTCCCCCTCCTTTGGTAGGTGATGCTGGTCTAGGCGGTTCGGGTAAAGTCGGATAAGCCGAAAGCAGCGATTCGGCCAAGCCGAAATCCGCGATCTTCCAAATTTGATCCTTTTCGTCGAACAAGATGTTCTCCAACTTGATGTCGCGGTGGAGCACGCGCGCATCGACGTGGAGGTAGTACAAGCCTTCGACGAGTTGCGCAAAGATGGGCAAGACGACGCGTGGTGATAGACCGACTCGTGTCGGGGTAGTATCCTCGTTCTGTGCATTACCAAACCCTGGGCCGATCGATGATCTTGACTTGGGCTTGTTGCGATCTCCCCTAACCGCGGCGGTGACCCCTCCAGCATTCAAGTACTCCAATAGTGTTCCACCCTCACAGATCGGCATAAAGATGTACGTGAAATCGTCGGTCCTCGTCGTCGTCAAGAGGTTGAGCAAATTCGGATGGCGTGCCAGTTGTTGCCACAGGTGAATTTCCCTCGCCAAGAGCGACTCGATGAAAGAGGTCGTCGGTTCCATCTCTGGCTCCGGGGTCGGTTTCGGTGAATCGTTCAGTTGGAGGGATGCGAAAGCCGATTGATTCGCTGCGCTTTGTTTATCGGGTGAAGGGACGGGCGACGAGGTCGATCGATGACGTTCCCTTTCGAAATTGGACAACCTACGATCCCTAGCTGGAAGTCGATACCCACTCGCGCTTCTCCTCAGAGCCTCTCCGACGATCGACACCGGTTCCTGCACGAACGCTCCCGCCGACTGCGCATGCCCCAGCAACTGGTGTCGAATGATCTTGACGGCGACTTTCTCAGGCTCGCCCGTACTCGACCCCTTGACGCGAGTCGCTTCACGAACGATGCCGAAAGCGCCTTGACCGAGTTCTCGTCCGAGCGTATAGCCACCAATGACGAACCCTTCTTCGTCCCCCGCTCTGAGCATGCCGAAGCTCGTCGAAGGTCCATTGACGGATGCGCTGGGTGAGAAGGACGAAAGCCAAGATGCAGCGGGGGAGACGGGTCCCGTACCCGTCGTGTTTGTGGTCGAGGTCGAAGAGGCGCGGGATCGAGAGATGGGGATCCCATGTGCGCTCGCTGGGATGGCGATCTCGGAAGAATGACCTGGCAACGGTGAGGCTTGGATCGAGCCGAGTTCAGCCGTAGTTGTAGGGGGAGCGGGTGCGCCCGATGATCCAACCCTAAGCCGGTTGAACGAGGCCTTGGTACGGGTCGTCGGGTGAAGCGGGAGTGATCGGGAGGACGATCCCCCTAGCTCTTCGCCCTGGGTGATGGTAACGAGTGCAGTAGGAGCTGGTGGCAAGGTAGTTGAATTAGGTGCGGAAGATGTGGAAGTCTGCGAGCCAAGCGCAGAATTGTCTCAGTGTACGGCCTCCCTCTCAAGTCACGTGCCCGAACCCAACGCCGAGTGACGCACCTGATGATCCTGCATCACGACATCCCCATCATCGTCCCGACTCGGAATGAACCCCCTGCCGACAAACATCGAAGGAGGACTGCTGGCCATCACACTACTACTGCCCTGATCGACCAGGCTGCCTTCCCTGGACCTCCCGCTCGTGCCCTGACTACTCGCTCCCGTACTCGCCTTCCTCGTCCGGACCATCAAACCTCCGGGGTCGTACAGAGGAACATCGTCGTCGTTCTGTTGTAGTGGGTCGGGCATGTTGGGAGGCTTCCTCCCTCCGCCCGTGGATCGACTGAGTTGGGAAGACGACGAAGCGGCGGAAGGGGACGAAGGCGGAGGTGGGGAGAAGGCCGTGCGAGATGCCGACGGTTCATGATGCTGGTTGTTGCTGCTGCTGTTGTTGTTGCGGAAGTAGACGGTCGGCGTATCTTGCCATGCCATGGACCCTGTGCGTGGCAAGTGGTGCAGCCGACCTCAAGCTGTGGTCGTCGTAAGCGGCGGAGGTGGGGGAGGGGGGTGACGAGGAGAAGCGACGAGGTTCGGGGTCAGCTGACAATGGCCCGAATCGAGCCTAAACGGCCTAATTAACGCGCTCTCTAACCCGAGCGAGCGCCGACCGGTGACGCGGTGACGGACGGACATGGCGCGAAGTGACCGGTCAGACGGAGTGGCCAGGTGGAGGTGAGCATCCTGCGGCAACTCACCTTCTGCAAGTAGGCCTAGAATCACAGCAGGAACAAGAAGGTAGTAGGGGTGTAAAGGAGGCCGAACTTGGTCGCGTCGAACTGCTCGCAAGTGAAGTGACACCGTCCAAGGCAGAAAGGCGTGAAAAGGGAGCCAAGGCGCACCGCTCCACAAAATCCGGGGGCGGAACAAAAGCTCCCAAGTTCCAACCCCGGATCGATTGCGAGGGGATCATCATTACTGGGCAAGGTCAGCAAAGCTTACCTAGTCAGATGGAAAGGAGACTTTCTTTTGACGTGGTTTGGTTGACATTCCCAATGGTGGTTTCTGAGATATACCGAGGCTAGTGTCATCAGTCATGACATGGAGCCTCCGAGTCTCTTATTTGTAGAAAGTACGGCGTTCCGTCCCCGGGGTTCAATCTCAACTCCTCACTGCGTGGCACGAATCACTTGATTGCACCATCCTGGCACCCTACCCTAACGTCTTCATAGCCCATCTCATCAACAACCCCAAATCACCCGTCAGATCCAACACCTCTTTCGCCTTGCTCACGTCCACTTCCAAGCCTTCGAAACGGAGGTGATAACCCTCCTCCCCCTCCTCCGACGATGTCGACGATATATGAAGCGCCGTAGGTTTCGCCAGTTCGGCTGGACCAGAAGGGTGTGGGAACGAGAGCGAGATAGACGAGTCATTTTGTATCTGAACAAAGATCGGCAAGGTCGATCGCGGTGATTCTTCGATGAGGCCGATGACAGAACGTGTCAGCACCTGTGCTCCATCCGTCAAGCTACACGCCTCCGCCCAACGAACTCACCCAAGACATCCTCCAACGATATCGGAACTTCCACTTCGAGTTTCCTCCTCTTCGTCGGAAGACCCCCATCTAACACTCCGTTTTTCATTCCAGACCTCGGAACAAGGTACCGAGGATGGAAAACGCTCCGCACAAGCGCGTTGATCCTCGCCTGGGCTTGAATGATCTGCCGAAAGCGAGCGAAGAGGGGTTCTAAGTCCGTGCGCCTTGAAGAACAAAAACCAAGACCGACCAAATGGCTTACTTTGAGGGCTTTGAACAAGTGCTCGGGCTCTTGGAACCGGAGACTCGTGAGGAGGTAACCGGGGACTCGGGTCGAGCTATCGAGAGCGTATTCTTGCACCATTGGGAGGTCGTCGAATGACTGTCATCACAAAAAGAGAGAGATAAATGGTATAAATATAGAGTAGGTAAGTGTACGCGAACGTTGATTGGGGGGATATACAACTTTGTACCGAGCAGTAGGGTAAACGGCGTCCACTCGCTCCATAGGACGCTGGGACAGCTGGGCATCTCATCCAATCCACTCATCAGTATTCTGCCTAACCCCAAACAAACACGTCCCATGCCCCCAACAAAGACACTCACCAGCACCGCATCAAGCATACACACCCCCTCTCTCCCCTTCCTCTCCATACCCTTCCCATTCCCCGACCCCACCCCCACCCCCACCTCTCCAAGGACCTCCCTAAGCCTCCTTCCCACCTCTTTCGTAATCCCCACGCCTCCATCAAACTTCGCCACGAACCAAGGGGCCGTACCTTTATCCAAGACTCTGTATCTAACCTTCTTTGCAGCAGGGGGATCAAACATCGTGGTCGTTGAATCCCCTTGCGTTTCCTCCTCGACGAGGTCGACGTAGGATGAGGGGATTAGGGTGGACTTGTTGGGTTTCTCGAGGTGGATCGAGAGTGTGCTGATACCGTCGAGGGAGAGGAGGTCGGAGAGGTCTTGTTCAAAGTTGCTCGTAGATGCTTGAGTCCATGTGTTGGTCATTTGGACCAACGGTGTGGCGTGGTAGAGGATGCGTGGGAGATGGTCTCGCGTTCGAGGGAGGAGGAGTCCTCTTCTTGTCGGATCGACGGGCTTTGGTGTTGTTTCACTGCATGGTTGCCTAATCGCATCAGCTAATCTTCTCCCCGTACAGCCCAGCCATCCCCAGCAGCGAGATCAAAGCACTCACCCCTCGGCTTGCCCCGGAGAAAGCACAAGCCTACAAGCCATCTCAATCCTCTCCACCGCCAAGAACGCATCCACCCCACTCTGTTCCGTCATCGTGTCCAAGCTCGTCAACTCCCTCAAGATCCTCCTACACCCTCTCAAACCTCCCTGTAAGGCCTCCGCACCTCCTTCTTCGTGCGCGCGCGCCTCCTCGTCTCCGAGTAGTGAGACACATTTCTGCAAGCTCCCCGCCACCTCCGTAAGATCGACTTGCCCCGCATCCATGACATAAGATACGTTGACTTTGTCGACGTTCCCTCGTTTCGTCGAGATGATAAAATCGACGACCATGACTTTGCCTCCCAAACTCAACGTCTCCGTCTCGGCCCTCGGCATCGTCATCGCCGACTTCTCCCCTTCCTCCTGACCCCCTTCTCTAAAGGAAACCAACCCGAAACCTTTCGCGATCCCTTGAAGGACTTGCACAGTCCTTTCCAACCCGATCAATCCCAGCTCGTTCGGAATCGCAACGGGTACCGACTCCTCATTCGTATGAGCGTCTACTACACGTTTAGCGATATCGAGTTCGGTCGAGAGCCAATGATGCAAAGCGCCTTGGTGCGTCGAAGCTTCTTTGAGTACGGTAAGGTATTTGTCCAATTGGGCGTGCGGTTTCATGTTGGAGGCGGCGGTCGGAGCTACGGTTGCTTGGTTCGAGGTAGAGTGGTCCGAGGTTGGGGTAGGTGGGGGTGGAAGGAGCGAATTGAACGATTGGATCGCTTGGCGTAGTTGCGTTAGGGTCGTAGAGACGTGTTGTCGAGTACGATTTAGCTGTTGGGGATCCAAGGGACCATAAGGATGGAGGAACCTAGTCGACGACGATGGCGTTGAGGAGGAGGAGGATACGCGGTCGAACGTCGCATTGATCGACGTGGACAAGCTGTGCGCCAAGCTGAGGATCGTAGGCGGTGCGGAATCAACCACATGCGACAACTGTGATGTCGAGGCGAGAGGGGCGGAAGTCATGTCGAAGCGCAGCCAGTAAAAGGCCCGAGCTGATGGGAGGGGAGAGAGACCCACGTCGACGGTCGCGCGCAGTCGACCTTTTTTGGGTCCGATATCACGTGACGCGAGACGAGTGGAGCGGACAGACCAAATTGAAACGAAGGGGGTATATATTGCGGTGGAACGTAGTAGTATCGACAAGTAGGCTCGACCTAGAAACTGATAAAACGAAGACTGTCTTCCGGCAGCGACTCAATGCAGAACGAAGAACGCCGATCCTCCGAAAGAACCGTCAGACCAAGACCAAACCCGTAACCGTCCCCAGAACCTTTCCAGAAGGCCCCATCTCTCTTCCTAAATCTGCTCCACCTCCCTCAACAAATCCTTCGTCAAAGTCTGCCTCGCACTCAACGCCCCATTCACGGCCCGTCCCCGTCCCCCGCCAGCAACAAGTTTATTCGTCTTCCTCGTCTCCAGCAGCCTCTCGGTCCTGAACGGTTCATACTTGTCCAACCTCGTCGTTTCCTTTAACGTCTTCATCTTGATAAAGATGGCTTCCTTCAAGGGAGTGAAGTCGCAATGCGACGGATCGAGGACGTTGAGGGAGCCGTATTTGAAACAACGTTCGTAGGTCTCCTCCGTGAGATCGTCGTCGCCCTCATTTCGTGAGGGATCCTTCTTACCCCCCGTAGCTTCCTCAGGGGCGACCACAGCGAAAGGTAAGAAATCATCAAAGGTTGGCGTCTCGATCGGTTCTTCGAATTCCGCAGCTTCGGCAGCGGCACTCGTCCTCCTCCTCGAGGGCGGGAGAGTCGATAACCTTCCTCGGGCAATGCGGATGACCTTGACCGGCGCTTCGTTTTCCTCGACTTTGCTCGCATCCGCCGCCCCTTCGGTCTTGGAAGATCCACGTCGAGTTCTGGTATTCGGTGGCGTAGACTCTCCCTCGTCATCCGTCTCCTCGTCGTTCTCATTCTCTTCATCATCCTCATCAACGGACAAAGCGCTAGCCGACGAAAAAGCGCCGAACGAAACACCCGATCGAGTCAAATCGCGTCGTACAGCTTCCTTGACTTCCTCAAGTCGGCGAACCGTCAGTTCGTCCGCTCGAGCGATGATCTACGAACAGGCGCAAAGTGTAAAGTTCAGTTTTCCCCTTTGACAGCGCGCAAGTAGGCAAGAGAGGAAGAACATACGGGAAGGACATGCACGCGCTGCGAAAGCTTCTTGATGCACTTGAGGTCCGTCTCCGTCATCCCCATCTCATCATCGTACTCATCATCCTCGGCGGGGAACCCGTTCTGCTCCTGCCCATTCATGGCAGCGCCTCGCTTTGCTTCTTCCGAGGTAGCTGTCGAATGACCATTCGCCCTGATTTGAGGTCGGACCGAGTCAGGGTGGATGAAATAGAGGCACAGATGAAAGTGTGAATCCGGCGATCTTGCCGAGGGTCGAACGACTTGACTTTCCCTATGAGAATCAGCGCATTTGAGCAACAATGAGTCTCTTCTGATTTTAAACTCCAGATCACTTTCTCTCGAGCCGCACTCACGCCTTGAGCGTTTCATCGAACCTCTCTTCGACGATCCTCAGAATCTTCCCCAACTGCCTCTCTACCTTCATCTCATCCAAGGCACTCCAACCTCTCGAAAGGGGTGACATCCCCTTCACCCCATCTTCCTCATCCGATCGATCCAGAGCGACCGTATCGACGCAGGTTAAAGCGATCTTTTCATTGTGAGGACCGATCACTTCGATCGAGATCGTTTGCGTTTGCCACGTCGGAACGATCTTTCCTTTCCTCTTTGCACCCCTTCGAGATGACGGATCACCGATTCCGAAATTCCTAATCGACTCGCGACTCTTTGGCGCATCGGAACCCAATTCGAGGTTGCCCAAGAATGTACGAATCCAACCCGTCTTGCCCGTTGATTTGGCACCTACGACGATCAGGTTCAAAGGTGGTGCGACGCGATGACTCCTTCGAACGAAATTCGGCGTGCTCGAACTTTTGGTCACACGTGAACGATTAGGTGCAACGAACCCACCGCCGCCGCCGCCGCCGCTCGGCCCGAGACCATTGGCGAGCGCTTGGGGTGTTTGGAGCAGACTAAAGGAGTCAAAATCGACGCCGATATTCGGAGAGGGGTACAAGGACGCGATCGATTGGCGCGTGGCCGATCCCCTTGCGACGTTTTGAGGATAGGAACTAGATCGTGTCATCGTCGTCTTTGTGGGAGATTCACCATTGGCGAGAGACTTCGCTTCGGTTCCCGAGATCGGAAGTGGGGGTGGTTCGTCTTTCCGGTTGTACGACTTGGTCCTCGAATAGGTACTGATCGGACGGGGAATAGGGACCATCGAGACCTTCCTTACGGGAACGGGGGGACTGGAAGGTTCGGAAGAAGCGTCTTCTTTCGACGTCGGTGAGACGGGTTTGCCCACCGACGACATCACCGAGGTGGGACCTGCGCCTCCTGCTACAGCTCCGAGAAGTGCTGTTCCGGAGAAGATGCCTCCATTGGGAAGTGAGGGCTCGATCACTATTTGAGGTTGACATCGAAACGTCAGCTCGATGGAGATTGGGATGATCAAGGATCGGCGAGACGGTAAAGAGCAAAGCAGGCTCTAAAGGGGTCCCGGCGCGCGATCGACTGCAAATGAACCTCGGCGAACGAGGGGGAGGATCCGTGTCACGGCGGCCCACAAAGGCTCGGCCGCACACGTCAGAAGGGAGACCACTTACCGGGTAGGGTAAGTTCGACGGGCGATCCTGAAGGTTCAGGACGGGTCTTGGACGATGATTTACGCCGAAGGAACGTCATGGCGCTGACCGGTCCCGAGAGCTGCCTGCTGCGATTAGACTGCAGTGCGTGTCCCGCTCAGCGGTCGCGCGCGGCAATGGAGGCTGGCTGGCGGATGCCACGACCGGCGATGTGTCTCAGCGCTGGCGCGAGGGCGAGCTGGTCGGGGCCAGTGCGGTCACGATCGGGGCTGGTCGAGCTCGCACTGGGAGAAGACGAGTACAAGTATAGAGGAGGAATTCAACGTTTTTAAAGGTTCGGGAAGGTAAGGGAGCGAGCAAGCGTCGAGCGACGACAATGGTGCACGGGCGCAATGTAGCTGGCGACATAGGGCGATATCCGCCAAAGCGGTCTGTGCGGGGCGGGTGAGGCGCGTCATTAATAGCCCCATGTGCCTTTTCCGCTTTCAAACGGTTTACTAATTCGCCAATTCGGGGACCAAGCACCCACGCGTCGCTCGCAAGCCGCCATCAAAGAGGTGTCTGCTCTCCTGTGTTTTGCCAAACTTGGTGACGTTTTTGTAGCTCTCTCCCACTCGTTCTCACCTCGTGGTGCCCAGGCGACCCCTCACAAGCTGCTGTACATCCATTCGTTCCGCGAGCTGTCACCCCTTCGTCACCGGTCGTCTCGGTCTGTCGTCATCCTCGTCGTCGCCGCACGACCCCGGCCCACCCCGACTTGCTTAACTCTGCCGGAACTTCTGACCAACGGATCACACCATGTCAGCCGGAGCAAGGAGCAAGCGTCTCACACGTGAAGTGTCGGACATCCACAAAGAATCCGTACGTACTCAATCTCATCCTCGTTCTCCAACATTTCAACTGACCCATGCTCCTCCCCCTCTACCCGATTTGCCGCCTGTCCAGTCCAAAAGCGGCATCACGATCCGATCCCTATCCCCCGATTCCTACGACCACCTCGTTGGTTCCTTCCCCGGGCCCACGGGCACACCCTACGAAGGAGGCGTGTTCGAGGTCGACATCCAACCCCCGCCGAATTACCCATTCGCACCGCTCAAAATGAAGTTCATTACAAAGGTACGCAGCCGGGACGAGAGCAGATAAGAAAACAGCCAACATTGAAGCAAAGCTCACGCTTTCTCTTCGGCTTCTTTATGCAGGTCTATCATCCCAGTCAGTCCTCCTCGAGGCACGTCATGGCTCACAACTTCACCGCTGACCACACCTCCCCCACATTGCCACCCGCAGACGTCTCCAGCTCGACCGGTTTCATCTGCCTCGATATTCTCAAAACGTCTTGGTCACCGTCAGTTTTTCTCGCCCGTACGACCTTGCGAGATCGATCGTACTGACCCTCTGGTCCCCCCTGATGGGTTGTAGTGTCTACACGCTCCGGACTTGCCTTGTCTCTTTACAATCACTGCTGAGCACACCCGAGCCTAACGATCCTCAAGGTAAGCAAAAGTGACGCTGCTCTCCTTGCCGAGCGAAGCACCCAAGCTCATCTTCACCTCCTACCTCTTCCTCTAGACGCCGAAGTCGCGAAACACTACCTCTCCTCACGCACGAGTTTCGACTCGACCGCGCAATACTGGACCCAAGTCTACGCCAAGCCCAACACCAACTCCTCCGCCCCAGCCGTCCCGCCAACCGATCCGCAAACCCAAGCGACTTTAGCAGGTCTAGAATGGTCCGACGTTCGACTGTTCGCGCAAATGGGTTTCGAAGAGAGGGACGTGATTGAGGTTCTTCAGAGGTTGAATTATCGTAGTGGGAATAAGGAGAAGGTCGGTCACGAGGCCGTGTTGGAAAAGTTGTTCGTTTGAGTAGGTGATAGGTGAAAGGGAATGGGGTGGTGTGGTGGTGGGACTTGGGGGTCAAGAGTGGAGTGTACTTTTTAGGCAATGCAGAAAAGATCTTCGTTAACACTGGAAATCTCCTGAGGCATGGTCAATTCGTATCGACGTGGCAGAAAGTTTCGAAAGGTGATCTCCTACTTGTATACCCAAAACGTGGAAAAAACGACGTGCAACCCTATGAGCAAAGACAAACAAAGAGTCGAAAACTGGAGAGGAGAAACGTGTGCGCAACAGGAGAGGCGAAAAACAAAAGTTGGTGAGAGCGGTCGTGGGTGGCAGGGGTCGTGAAAGGAGATGAATGATCGGATGCGCTACCGCGTCGCAGGGCATGCCAAGGTTCAGTCTACGCCGCGCCGCGAATTTAAGCGTATCGGTTGATGAAATCCGACAACTGTACAAATCACAACGCATCCGTCAGCAACTGCCCCTTCCCCTCCCCTGTCCCCTACCCTCACCACTCTGTGCAAGCTCACCTTCGAAGCCCCCTGCCTCAACGCCAAATGCACATCATCCGCGCTCTCGATACCCGTCGTCTCCATAAAGTTGCGTACCGCATCCCGCGCACTCGCTTCCAAGCCTCCGAGTCCGTTGGCCTGTAGGATCGATTCCTCACCCTCGTTGTCCTCGTCTTCGTTGCGCCCGTAGTACATACTGCGGGCGGACAGGAGACACGAAGATGCGTCAATGAACTGTATCACGCCTCAGGCCCCCGTGAGAAAAGAAAACTGACCTCGATGAAATCGCGGTCGCACCATTGAACTGCTGCAACCTCTCCTTCGCCTCCTTGGCCGAATTCGCATCATACGCCCCCGTCTGATGGTACATATCCGACGAAATACCCTTTTGCGCGCCGAACGTTTTTCGCGCGTAATTGTCGACCGGTTCTTGATAATCATCGCCGAACCCGCGGGCCCTTCGTTCGGCGAGTTTCCTTTCTTTCTCGGCCAGCGCGGCCGATTCGGATCCGGACATGCCCATCGTTTGACCGAACCCGAGGCGTTTGATCCCCATTCCCAATCGTTCCGTATCGACGCTCTCCTTCCTTTCCGCGGCCTTGGCACCGACGCCCGTACCGGACGTCGTTCCATTCCTCGACCCTCTCGTAGCGGCAGAAGAAGCGGCCGCACTCGCCGCAGCGGCTTTTTGAGCGGCTTCAGCCTCGGCCCTCGAATCGTAACCCAATTGTTTGATCCTTTGTTCCTCTTCCCGGGCTTTACGCTCCGCCTCTTCAAAGTTCACGGTCCCACCGACCTTTTTGACCCCTCCCAACTTGCCCTTGGCCGCACCGCCACCGCCACCGAGACTGGACCCACCGGACAGACCGGAGGATGAGGTCGTTCGGGTTGCGCCGAGAGTTGTTCTTGGGCGAGACGCACCGGCCGCGGTTGCGCGCGTCGTACGTAATGCTGAAGAAGTCACCGTTCGCGGAGGAGCGGCAGCGGCAGGTGTGGCGCTCGCAGCTGGCGAGGTCCCCGAGGCCGGCGACCCCGTACGTGGCAGAGGTGTGCCCGAGCGTGAGCCGTTGCCAGCAGCAGTGACGGCGGGCGAGCCGGGACGGGAGTTAAGAGGGGTATTGCCAGGTGAGAGGCCAAAGGAGATGAGGTTGGGTTGCACGGGGGCCAAAGTCGCTTTCGGCTTCGGCGCGGCGTCCCACGTGTCAAAGAAATCACCGGCGGCCGCACCTCCGGCTTGAGCGCTCGCAGCGGCGTCGATGTTCGCGCCTTCGACGTTCACGAGGTGGGGACCAAAGATACGTTCGTCCTCGGCGGCCCGCTTGGCTAGCTCGTCCTTATACAGCGTTGCAGCGCGGGAAGTGTACTTGGCGGTCGTGTCTTGAGAGTTCTGCACCGAACCGGGGTGACGCGCACAAAAGTCGTTGAAGGCGGCGTTGCCACCGACCTTCATCACCCGCAGTTGCTTCCATGACCATACATCGAGGTTGGTAGATCTACGCGGGGGGCGTTCGCCAAAAATGTCAGATATTGACCAATTCTTTTGCGGAAGAGCCCACTCCGGTCAAGGCGAAGGGCTGGTGGCCAACGTACCGAACAAAAGTGACGTGCACACCGGCATTTCGGTGACCGCTGTTACACGAGAAAGAAATGCATTGCGTAGCATACATGCGTGTATAGAGGTCGGTCAGCAAAGTGTTGCTCGCCGTCGCGAAAGGACGCGATGCCGCGCTCGGGCAAGAAGCGCACCTAGAGCAGTCGAGGCAGATGTAGACGCCAAAGGTGACGGATGACCAAGTCGGATTCTGTATTCGAGTTAGAAGACGGCGTAGCGCATCATCAGCCATCGCCGAGGCAAGGAGAAGCGGGAGGCGCGCCGGTCGTCGATTCACGCCAAGGGTCGGACGGGGACGGACAGCCCTCGCGCGCTCGGACACGTACCTTGGCGCGACAGTCGGCGCACATCTGAGTGGGCGAACCGGAGAGAGCGCCGACGAGGAATGAATGATGGCGCCGCGTGGCAGGTGAGCGCGACATCCAATCCGACCGAACGATCATCGAGGAGGGCATGGTCGACGGCGACAGGCACAGCGCGAGGAGAATGCCGGGTGTCAGCGAACGTGTCATGACAGCTGTTATCCCACCACCCTCGACGACTAGGTCACGAAATAATCCTCCTCTGCGACCTCATCACCGACAGTACGTACCTTGTTGGCCTTTTGGGCACGCAGGACGGCAAAGATGCTGTCGCGTTCTTTTGACGTGGCGCTCATCGACATCGCTGCGGCGGGCTCACGGCTGACGCGCTGACGGGGGATGCGCTGGTGGGGGAGGTGACTACGAGTCGAGTGGGGGTGGATAGGTAATGAGGGGTATTCGTGCTCAAATCTCGTCTCCAATCAATTGACTGCGTGTGGTCGCGTGGACGATGACGATGACAGCTACAAGGGCGAGGCGCGACAGTGCAGAAGTCTGAGTCGACGTCGGGATGCCCAGCGGCAAGAGCACGACCTAGCAGCGATTTGGGCTCGTGCCCAGCAACTCGTACGAGTGAGATCCTTTTAGGCCACATCCCCGAGCTTCTGTGCGACAGTTTCGTTTTTATTATTATTATCATCCCTTCGGAGCTTTTGCACACACTTCATGTAAGGACCCAGCATTTCGGGTAAGAGTGGACCGGCTGATTGGCGTGTTCGGCCGACAACTCGGTTAATTTGCGCGGGCGAACGAGTGCCCTGTGAAGGGCTGCGTACATGTTTTGTGGCCGGCCGCCGCGGCCCCCAGGGGCACACTCAGCTGACATATCTTTCTCCCACTGTGCCCTCTCGTAGCAGCTCCACATTTACGCCCAAGGCGAAAATAGCGAACCCCCCGCGTGAAAATCCTGGTCGAGGACACATCACGGTTCAAGGCTCCTGTTTGTCCCCCGTATCTCTCGACTATTCCGGCGCTCGGCCCAAGTTCACAGACCGTCATCAGTCTCATCCGGCGTTGATACCCGTTGATCGCTAGAGGTCGTTCACCTTTCTTGTTTCCTCTGCTTCGGCTGCCTTTTTGGGCTTGTGATCTATACCATTGCGAGCACAGCGGCACGGACATGAAAATTTCGCATCATCATAAATCCTGCAATACACATGCTACCATATGGTCCTTGCAGATTCAAATGAGTATAGTCATATTTTTTGTTCTACAGCATCAAGATTCTCTAATTTAGTCGTGCATTGACCCAAGATCAAGTGCAAGGACATGTCGGTTCATCTATGTAAGCTGCGCGGCCAGCCGGCTCATCGGATGCGCCATCGGCTACAGCCGGTGGCAATTGATCACTCGGCTGGGGCTCGGAGTCCGACAAGATTACGGGAGCTACAAAGAGTAGCCGGCCCCTGCAAATGATTTTCAGCTCATTAACTTACAAGAGAACTGAAAAGGTGAAGGCACCAACCGATTGGACAGAGCTCAGCTCGTTGTCCAAGACAGCTTTTTCGGTGACTCGGGCCATGATCGACTTTAGCGAGCCCAAAATGGCCCAATATGGCCAGATATGGCCGGCCAGCGGCTGCCAGCTGCGCACGTGCACACGGGGAGCGACGTCGATCCGCCTCCGCCCTCTACATCCGTCCCTCGCTAGTCAGCGCACCGTCACACGACCAGGCGGCTCAAGGGCGTGGTGTCTTTGGATCATCCCAACTCGACCCTGATTTCTGCGGAGAACGCGGATGGCTTCCCCGGAAGGCTCACAAGATAGACGAGGCCGTCGATCGCAGTCTCGTCCTCGTCGTCAAGCGATCACACTCGCCGCCCTGGCGCCTCTGCTGCTCTCGTCTTGGTTCCTTTCGACTCATGCCTCACCAACACCAGCGCCCTCAACACCATTCACTTCCAAATCAATCCCTTTAGAGGGCCCCGTAGTCAAACTGCATGGTCGCTTCCTGCATCTGACCGACATGCACCCGGACCCATTCTACTTGTTCAACTCGTCCGAAGCTACGAGCTGTCACACCCATGCACCATCCAAGGGAAGCAGAGCTGGATACTGGGGAACGAGTGTTAGGTAAGCTTACCTTCGATCTTCGTACTTGACGAGCATGTCATCGCCACTATGGCGGCTCCGATGACTATGGTGGCTCGACAAAGCTGGCCGAGTGACGGAGTGGGGGGTCCACCAGCGCCGAGCGGAGCGGCGGCGAATTGGCACGCCATGCCATCGTATCAAAGTCAAGTACCGCACGAACTAAATGGCAATTAATGACCTTACAGTGACTGCGATGCCCCCTTGACTTTGCTCAACTCGACTTTTGATTGGCTCGAACAACACTTCAAGGGCAAGGTCGATTTTGTTGTATGGACCGGCGATAATGCACGCCATGGTTCGTCAATGTAGTTCTCAAATGATGCGAGAGAGGAAATTCTGAACTAATGCTCTGTTCAAATTGTCATTTGATCAGACATCGATACTCGATTCCCTAGGTCTATGCCCGAGATATACGAATTGAATCGATATATCAGTTCGCGGATGCGTCAAACTTTTGGCAACAAAGTGCCGATCGTAACAAGCTTTGGCAACAACGGTCAGTCACTCTTCAAGCCTCTATCCTTCACCTTCATTAAGCTGACTTCTGGCGACCCGGCCGTAGACATCTTTCCACACAATATCATGTTCGGCGGCCCCAGTGCCATCACGAGCGAGTTTCTCAAACTGTGGAAGCACTACATCCCCGAAGAGCATCTGCACACCTTTGCTCGAGGTGGCTACTACTCGGTCGAGGCGATCCCGAACCAACTCGTGCTCGTCTCGCTCAACACGCTCTACTTTTACGAGAACAATAAAGGCGTTGACGGCTGTCCCTCGTTCTCGCTCGGATCTTCTTCATCTTCTTCGTTCAAGCGAAAGAAGGACGATGATCCGGGGACGGAGGAGCTGTTGTGGCTGGAACAGCAACTGCTGCTCGCTAGGATGAGGGGCATGCAGGTTTGGCTGACGGGTCATGTCCCGCCGACGAAATCGAATTACTACGAGGGATGCTATTCGAGGTATGGAGAGTTGATGCTGGCGTACCAGGATACCATCTTGGGGTGAGTGCTTTGCTTTGCTGCTTCCTCACCTTTGTCAAGAAAGGGGCTCACTTCGCGGACCCGATATTTGCACAGAGGCCTGTTCGGTCACATGAACGTCGACCACTTTTCCCTGATTCAAGCCGACGACGTCTTACCGCCCCCACGCAAGTCCAAGAAGCACAAGAAGACGAGGAAACAAGATCGAGTCTTGTACACCACGGGAAGTTCCACGACACTTGTCAACAATTTGCTGCAACAGTTTCAGGGCTTGCCGAAGAGAAAGCACCTCAAGGAGAAGGATTACAGCGTCGTTCATATCAATCCGAGCGTCATCCCGACGTATTTACCAACTTTCCGGGTTTGGGAGTACAACACGACAGTTGGGGAGGGCAGTTTCCGGTCAACAGAATGGGCTACAGATGGTGTTAATGAATTCAACAGCCGGACGGACGAGGACGAAGACGTCGAGGACAAAGACGAGGAGGAAGACGAATTGACGTGGGAAGGAGAGGAAAGGGACGCCGTCCCGACGATTCCGCGGCTACTCGAAGTCGTCACGTCACAGCTCAGGATCGGGTACGAGTTCTTCCGAGGTTCAAAATCATCCGACGCCTCCCTTCCCGTCATGGAGATCACCAGGAAGAAGAAGAAGCGCCGCAAGCAACAACCGCGCCGACGCCTGCCGCGGTACTCGTCTCCCAACGCCCCAGGTCGATCGAACCGATTCCTCACTCCTCTCGGTTTCACTCAATACTACCTCGAACTGGATCAGGCGAACGAGTTTGAAGGATTTGGGTCCGAGGCGGCTTGGCAGAAGGGTGGGGATCGACCGCGGCCGGTGTGGAATGTCGAATACGTCACCATGCCGGCCGAGACTGTAGCGAGACGATTGATGGAAGGAGGAGGAGACAGCGAAGAGACGGATTTGGACCCCTTCGTTAGCTCGGCCGTTTGGCCAGCCGAGGTCTTGAACGCCACCCAGTCTGGCGGAAGCGTCGAGGATGTTGTCCAGATGCTTCGACAGTTGGATTTGACTCCTTACGAGCTGGACGACTTGACCCTTGGCTCTTGGCTCTGTCTGGCTCGTCGGATCGCCAAAGGGGGCAAGGCGTGGAAGAACTTTCGCAAGCGTATGTTTGTCAGTTCGGGAGCGGGGCCGTAGTAGAATTGTTGTCAAGTTCGTTATTGGTGTAGCTTATTGTTGTATGGATATTCATCCTGGGCTGAAGCACGCTCGATCCTCCCCGGACCCGCCAAAAGTGTTCGTCATGCAGTGACGCCGGAACAGCCAGGAATTTCAGAAAAGGGGCAGCCGTGGGAAATCGACCCATGCGATGCTGCTTGAAATACTGCTTGAGTATCAACCAACTCTAAGCATGTTACCAGAGGTTTGATATAATAGGAGTCTTAACTCACTGGCCGACACTCGGAGCAGGTTGGCCGAGAAAGTGGAGCAAAATCACGTGATACGCTTCGCAAATGTGGATCTCGACTTAGCACAGCGACACGTCAACCGTCAGACCCAAATGCGCTTCCTCTCAACCCGGGTCCCGCAACAGCAAGGGTTCTGCTCTCGCTCGAGAAGATCGTTCTGCTCTTCCATCCAAGGTAGTGATCATGTCCTCCTACCTCTCGAACTGCTTGATCGTGTCGCTGTCGCCGGAGACGATCCACGAGGCGACCGAATGGCGCGTGATCCCTTGCCCTCCAAACTCCGCAGCGAGCTATGACACCTACCTGAACGATAGATTTACCCTCGGCTGGGGTGGGACAACAAGACGACTCCATGCCACGAATCTGCGTGGGGTCGACGGCACGTCAATCCATTTCGTTCACGGTACCAACGCCCAGATCAACTTGCCCTGCTCAATCCGCATTGATATGATGAGCATCGACCTCAGCCAGTCGTTCCTCTCCCATCAGTTTTGTTCTGGAGATAGCCCTGACTCGGACAAGACCATGTTGTGGACACCCGTACTGGATTCGCTCGTCAATGATGTGCAGTCGCGGCCAGGCTGGTCCCGTTACTTCGTCTTTGTTTCGTTTCATCCTACGCTGCGCTTCAACCCCGCTCTAGACGTGGCAACACTGGCGCGTGCACCCGTCATGGCTTCCAAGACCCACACTGCACCGACTTTGAAGGAATGGCAAGGGCTTCACCACTCCAAACATCCTTACGACGTCAAATTCAGCTTCGGCTCGAGCTCGAACGAGCTCTGGGAGACGGCCGAATTCCTGCAGTCCAAGTCGTCGTACTGGGCCGATCTCTTCTCCTCAGGCTTCTCCGAAAGCGTCAAAAAATTTGATCTGAATGGACAAGAGCAAGTGACGAGCGATGTCGGGATCGAATCTGCCAAAAATAAGACCACCATCAGCAACCTCAACGAAGGCGGGTCGAAGTCGGATCAATCCCCTTCCTCGCAGGGCCAATGCACGATTCCGATCCACACCATTTCGATCGAGGATGAAGAGCTGTATCACCCCTATCGAATCATTCTATGCTGGCTCCGAACGGGTGAGATCAAGTTCCGACCTCTCGTCATCGACTGCCATCCGTCCGACGAAGGAAGCGCCGACGCCGAACCCGAGTCGAAAGCCGCCTCGGATGTGCTCGGGTTCGACACCGTCTGCCCCAAAGCGATCTATCGCCTAGCCCATTTCCTCGAACTGGAACAACTGCAAACTTTGGCGTTAAGATCGATCGTCTCGCAGATCAAGGTCGAAAACGTCGCGTTGGAGCTGTTCGGCCAGCTCTCGACGGACTTTGACGAGATTCACAAGCGCGAGTTTGATTTCGCGATTCGGAATTGGGCGGTTGTCAAGAAGACGGCGGGGATGCAGTCGGTGCAGCAGTGGGTCAAAGAGGGAAGATTGCCCAATGCCTTACAGACTCTTTTGGATGTGTCGCTTGCGTTGTCGAGCGCCTAAAATCCCTTCTTCTGTTCGCGGTGATGATGTATAGGGGCCTATATCGTAACCGAGCCGGTACCTCCGGGCGCTCCTTCCGACCGCTGAGCGCTTGGCATAGCATCAGCCCTTGATTTGAGAAATGCATGAAGAAACGAATTCACTTTTCTTTAGTTTTATGCCAACTAAAGTAACAGCCACAAATATACTCCATGTGCTCATTGACGCTATCCATCGGCAATAATAATGGCCCGCGGAAGGCCACGCGTGAAAGGCAGGAGCCGCATGTGCCTGAACCCGTGTCTAGCTTTCGCTTTCGCCTCCGCTGAGCGCGATCATTGCTCTTCGTCCGTGGGTCTTGTCGTTCCGTTCAGCCCGCGCACGCCTCCCGGGACTGTAAACATGGTCGGCCCAAGTAGCCTGCTACAGGTTCTGGCCTCATTGTCCTTTCTCCCCGCCCTTCTCGCGCTGCCCTCGCGGAATGCAGCGCCTAAACAACTGGTGCTTGTCCCCGACGCGGCGCGCCAAGCCCCCCCGACGATGCCGATGCCGGGCAAGAACGAGTCGGGCCATGGTCATTTCAGCAAGTGGTCACGTCAGACCAAGAAGCAGTTCCTCCACGATCTGTCGTATGCACCGGCCAAGGCACAGGATTGGGTCATCGTGATGGGTCGGTCTCTCTTCTTTCGAGTCGTGGCTCGTGCTTTGTCGTATTCGGCTCCTTCGGGAGTCCGTGAGTTGACGAATGTTTGCTTTGCGGTGGGCGCTATAGGGAACGAAGCGGGCGATTTGGACTCGATGGTCTCGGCTTTGGCCGTGTCGTATACGATGATGCACCTCAAGAAACCTGTCAAGGCTGTTGCACTCCTGCAGACAGAGCAAGGTACGTCACCGATCAACGATCAACGCGGCGCTGTTTCGCACGTTTCTACGGATCGGACATGAGAAAGGTTCAGGTCAGCTGATCTCGAGGCGAAAATATCTGCTTCTTCGATCTGATGTCCACTAGACGCGCTTTACCTTCGACCCGAGGTAAGTCAAATCCAAGTCACAGTCTTTCAAGTCTTTCAAGCCTTTCAGTAGACTGAGAATCCTGTTATGTCCCTCACAGAACTCGTTGGCCCTTCACAAGGCGCGCATGGCTTCCCACCATCGGGATCTACTCACGATCGACGAGTTGCCGATCAAGCCTCAAGACATGTGGCATCGCATCAAGGGGATCGCACTAGTCGATCATAACGTCCCAACTTCGGTCTGGGGCAACACGACCGTCGTTTCCATCATTGATCATCACACCGATCGCGGAGTAGCTCCCCACGCCTCACCACGTATCGTTGAAGTGACGGCCAGTTGCACCTCGCTCGTAGCCAAGTGGATGCTCGACCTGTTCGACTCGGGCAAAGCGCAGGCCAAGAACGATCATTTGCCCCATGAGCTGATCGAAATCATGTTGAGGACGATTGCGATTGATTCATCGGGGTTGAAGAAGGCTACACCTGTTGATGAGGAAGCGACGTTGGGCCTGTGGGCCAAATCCAAATGGAGCAAGCACCACTTTGAGCCACTCGAACCTTTCGTACGATCTCAGGCCGCCGGAGATGTCAAAGAAATCGATGAAGAAATCAAGAACCGTATGAAGGCGATCGACGACGAGCTTTCGCAAGCCAAAAAGAACCTCACCGGTCTCGATGTACGAGCCTTGCTCCGAAGGGACTGGAAGGGCGGAGTTCTCACCACCAAATCGGAGAAGTACCCCCACCTCTCCCTCGGATTCGCTTCGGCCCCTGTGTCATTGGCCGAACAAATCGAACGAACGCCCGAAGGTTCCCCGCAAGAATGGTTCGCGATCGAGCGGGCTTGGACGGCCGAGATTGGTGCCGACGTCTCGGTTTGCTTGACTTCGTTCGAGAACGAGAAGGGCAAGAAGACGCGCGAGTTGGCGCTTGTCGTGGCGCACGGGTTCGGAAAGAGGTTGCACGAACATGCCGCAGATTCGTTGTTCCAGGTAAGAGGCCGGAGTCGTCAATGAAAGCTCTGCTCGAAGCGGGTTTCGGGTTTTCGTGCTGACGCGCGGCCGCTGCCCGTATTAGACCCTCAAAAAATCCATCGAGAACGCCGGGGTCGAAGATTTGCAAGTATGGGAGCGCCCAGACGGTACGTGCCCCTCGAGATCTCAGCTTTTTACGGGGTTTTCTTGCTCACGTTCAATCACCCCGTTCCACAGGCAAACCCCTATTGCCACGACGAGCCGTCTACCGACACCACGACAGCACCGCGTCGAGGAAGATGTGGCGACCAGGTACGTGTTGGAAGACCTGCAGCTACAGAGACAGGGTGGCACACTGATCTTTTGCTCTTTCTGGCTGCGTGCAGTGATTGAGAAGGCCGCGATGGAGTGGACGGGCGATGATGTCGATGACGATGACCCGTATCAACGTCGTCATAAGCACCACGATCTGCTTTGAGCGTCTCCAGGAAGAGACCCCTCGGCGTCGGCCCCCTGCTTTCCTTTTCTTCGAATTTATTTTGTTTCATCACGCCATGCTCTTTTGCTCTTTGTTCCGAACGTTACTATCATCCTTTTATATTGTTCTCGGCGCCCCCCCGGGGGGGGGGGGGCAACCGGTGCTGATGTGTTCGTAGATCGTTGCGCGGACACGGTCTTGACGGTCTTGCAGTGTACGATCCAGACGCGGAAGGTCTCGACGCCGGAAAACAGGGCGTCGGCCGGCCAGCTGGAAAGGTGTCGTGGGATGTCGATGTCGCTGATGTCTGACAAGTCTCCGACGGCGTTGCCGGTAACGATATCGACATCCCTCGCCACCTTTTCAGCTGGCCGTATGCCTGTCCAAGTGATAGCTAGAGTAGGTAGGGATGAGATCTTCAATGTGTGTCCATTGTGTTGCAGTAAATAACAAAAAAGAGAAGAGAAGAGAAGACGAGCAGAAAAACTTGATAGATCAAAGAACGAAACCCGGAATAGAAGAAAGGGTAGACCAAAAGGAAAGGAAAAGAAAAGAAGAAAGGCGATCTAAAGACGTCAGGAAATCTAGTTCGCCAGCGTGGTCGCGTTGTTCTGACCCGTTAAAGAGGTCAAGAAATAGTGGAAGTCGATCGGGGAGTTGTTCAAGCCATAAGTGTAGATGAACCTCGAGGCCAAGAAACTGGAAAAGATCGAGTGCGCGTACGTAGGGGGTAATCGAGCGGTGAGGGGTTCGAGACCGACTTGATCGACGAGAACCTTGGGTAAAGCTCGAGCCATGACGGCTTGACGGAGGTGCGCGTCATCGTACAGGGAGGATTCTTCGAGCTCGTTCTGCAACTTGATGAGCGATTGCGAGAGTTGGTCCGAGAGGAGCGTGTAAGGCGTTCCGGTGCGTTCGTGTTCAGCCCAGATTGTGTTGAATTCCGCGGTGGCGTTCGCCGAGATGGATTGTTGAATCGAGCGCGTGTAGTTGAGGTAGAAGTCGCTGAAGCCGGAGCTGTTCGGCGAGGTCATCAAGTCGATGAAGGAAGCGTCATCGAGGGACATGCCCGCCAAGACTTCGAGGGAAGACGAGGTGACACCACCCTTGTTCGCCGATGAATCACGGAACAAGATGACACCCTTCTTCTCGAGTTGCAAGCGCGCTGATTGGGTGACGAACAGGTTCGCACCTTCGACGAGGTACTTGAAGTTGGGCACGCCTTCGGAATCCCACAGCTTGGAAACGTTGTTGACGTTGACGGACTCGGGTCGACCACCGCAGGGGACGAGGATGTCGGCCTTGTAACGCAGGTGAGCACCGTTTCGGAAGTCTGTGCCATCGGCAACGACCTCGCCAGAGGGCAGGGTGACATCGCGGTCGTCGACGAGGATGCGGTAACCGTCCTTGCTGAGCTTAGAGGCGTCAAAGTTGGAGATCATTTGACGCGCACGGGCGAGGCGGATCAACTCGGCGCGGTCGAGACCCTGAGGGTCATGAATCGTACCACTGCCGTCGATGATGGTGATCGTCTTGTCCTTGCTGAGCAAGATCTCGTCTGGTAAAGGTAAGATGAACGGAACGGCATGTCAGCCTACGCTCGAAGTAGAAAACACTGCACGAATGTTCTCAACTCACTCGATCCAAGATCACCATCGGGCCCACCAGTCTGGACCTTGGTGACTTCCTCCTCCTTGAGGCCAAGTTTTCTATAGATGCCGGTTGTGTACGCCCTAACGGAGAGCGAGGTCATACCGAACGCATCGTGTGGAATACCACCAAGCGTCGCTGCCGTCTTTCCGGTCGAAAACGATTTCCACCAAGGCGCTCCACGTTGTCGAGCATGGTTCGCGGTCCAGTCCATCATATCGGCGGTGCCTTCATCAGGACCGAAGAAGAGGATCTCGGGCTTCTTGTACAAGTCGACGACGGTCTCCTTGATACCGGGGGATTGACCAGGCAAGAGCAAGTCGATGATGGCGTCGACATACTTCTCGAAGCACGCTCGAGGATTTGCCCCAATGTCGGGCAAGATCGTTCCCTTGGATCCACCTTCGGGGATATCCTTGTTCTTGAGCGCTTGCGTCGTCGCGAGACCATAGTTCTCGTCGAAGAGGTTGCGCTGGTTGATCGAGTAGGCTTCTCGGTTGCGCGACATGACGAGACGGATACCACCTCGGGCGACGTCCTTCATGCGTAAGTGGAAACCACGGAAACCGTCACCGACGACGAGGAAGAGGCCGTAGGCGGGGGTGGGGTATTCCGAAGCGGGCAAGAAGCTCGGGTCGAGTCGGAACGAGATGGCGACCTTGGTCGGCGTGAAGAAGTTGGTCTTGAGGATTGCGTTGTTGAAAGTGACGAACGACTCGAGGATCTGCGCGTCGTGCTTGTTGAGAACGTTCTTCTTGATGTGGACGAGGAGCTCGTCGCTGGACAAGACGGCGCCGGTCTTCAATCGGGCGTACGAAAGCGTGGGCATGACCTGGTTCGGGGTGTGCACGCTGTAGTAGTGCGTCATCGCGAACGAGATGTAGAGTAGACGAATAATCTCGGGGTAGGCTTGCAGGGTCTCGAGGATCGATGCTCGTGTGAAGGTCTCTTGACGGAAGCGGGCTCGGATGTCGGACAAAACTGCAGCTTGAGCCGAATCATTCTCGTCGAGCAAGTCCTTGAGCGCGGCGTACGAGGGCCCAAGGCGGTTGAGGAAGTGCTGCGCAAAGATCCAGCCAGAGTAGGCGTAGGCGGCCTCTTGGACCGCGAGCTTCGAGTGGGCCTCGAATAGGGGGTTGTTGGGGAGTACGTCTGCGAACGTACATCGCCACGATCAGCACGGGGAAAGCCCTGAGCAATCAAGGTGTGCTGGACACTCACAGATGAGCGAAGCCTCCTTCGTGATTTGCAAGATACTGGCCTCGACGGGAGGACCGGAGAGAGGGCTCAGGTAGAGCGAGATGATGGTGACACCGTTGGAGAAGCTCTCTTTGGTGCGGGATTAAGGAACCAAGAATCAGTTTCTTCAGACGAGGTCTCTGATTCGCCAATCTCGCACCTACCGACGTATTTGCGCGTCGAGTAAAAGTTGTACGAATGGTACAAGTCGGACAGGGCCGAGAAGAAGGACCGGGTTCCTCCCATCTTGTAGGCAATCACGATACGGCGTTCGCGAGACGCCTCGACTTCGTAAGCGGCCACCACGGGTCCCATTCTGTCATTGAAACGAGTCAAAGTCAGTTCCACGCATTGAACGGTAAAGGGCCGAAGAAGTAACTGACCTTCTAAGAGCCTCGTCCATCGCCTGTTGGTAGATCTCGAGCGTGTAAGGCGTGGCCTTGTCCAAGAAGCTCTTGTCGGACACGCGCTTAATGTCAAGCTTGCTCTTGGCCTCTTCCTCGGTCGGGATCGGGTCGGCGAACTCGCATTTGGAGATGAAGTAGCAACGCAGCTGTTGGGCTACGGTCGCGGTCGAAGAGACGTTCCCCGCGGCGCGGTAGGATTCGAGACGCCATGCGGACGAGGCGGTGGACTTGTCGAGGTAGTCTCGGTCGATGCGTTGTTCGTACTGCGGACCGTCGACAATGGAGATACCCGGAGGAGAGGTGTAGATGAAGGTGGCGTTGCTCTGCGGAAGGGGGGAGCTGCGTCAGCTTACGGTGCTTTACCAAAATTAGGCGCGACCCGTGACCCCTCCGCCTCGTGACCTGGCCCCCGGGGAGGCCGATCCTTTTCCAGCCCGAGGGGGGTTCGGTCTTGCGGTACCGGCATCCGGAAAACTCACCTCTGATTCCTTCTCAAGCTTGATTTCGAGGTAGTCCTGGTGAGCGGCGTGGGCTTGGACTTTGGCACCGTAGAGAGACTGTGGTGGGGAGATGAGCGAGCGTCGAGGCGGACGGCGAAGCCACGGGGAGCGAGGTGGGGCCGTCGGAACACGAGGTTGAGACGATCGATCACGTGGACAAGTGAAAAGCACGTTTGAGGCAATGTCAGTGAAGCTGCTCAAAGACTGATGATAGGTCTTTGTGATGCGTGTTCGAAACACCGCCAATGTTGACGTTACAACGCGTGGGAACGGCTCGGTCATCGTTAACAGGGGCAAAGGCCCCCCACCCCCTCTCCCCACTTGCGGAAACTATAACCCCACCAATCCCCATCGCGGCACGGAAGAGAACGAAAGCAAGCCGCGGAGGTACTGACCTCGACGTGATCCGCGCACGTCTCAGGCGACTCCTTCATAAAGTAGCCATTCTCGATGCCGAGGGAGGTGTAGAACCACGCGACCTCGCCTTCGACGAGCGGCTCGGGGATGAAGCCGTTCTCGCGGCAGATGGCGAGCACCTGCTGGCGCTGTTGGTCCTTGCCTTCAAAGATGACCTGCGGGGACGTGAAGACGTTTCCAGAGTCAGTTCGAATGAGTTTTAGGTGGTGCCCCCAGCCCTGCGCGGTGAGGCACGCGATACGGTTCAAGGTCCGTTGTGGCCCCATTCGAGGGGGGAAAGGTCACCTGATGATGAACGGACGCACCTTTGAATAGCCTGGTTCATCGCGCGAGATGGTATGGCTAGACGGCGACGGCGTGCGCGTGATGTCGAGCGAGGCAGCAAGGTGGGCCAAGGGGCTAAGTCCCGTCATGATGAGTGTAAAGTAGCGGTAGGGGGAAAAGTGGTGTTGGGGTAGGGGGTAGTACCTGGGAAGAGAGGGAAGCGAAGAAGGGAGACCCAATTTCATGGAAGCATCGATGAGCTTCGACTTGACCCGACGAGAGCGGTGCCCTGCCGCTTGAGGTGGCCTCTTTTGGGGCTTCGGAGAAGTCTCTCGCGCGCAGTGGGGTGCTAGCGGAACCGCAGCGCAACTCACCTCGAAAAGTCAAAAAAAGGCTGTTGCACCAACCAAGAGGAGAGAGGTATTCCACGACGGCCTTCGAAAAAGAATCGGTCAAACAAGAAAAGAGGAGAACAAGAGACGAAAAAGAGAGGCCTTCGTGCTCTTCGTTCGCCGAGCGGAAAAAAAAAAAGGCTGGGTCGGTGCAACTTGGTGCGGCGTCGCAAACGATGTCCTCGTGACGTGCTTGCTGAGTGGGGTCAGGGTGCCACCACTCGAGCCATACTCCGAAGCACGTCCCGGACTCCCCGCGCGCTGCTCGGCAAAGTACGGGCGGCGGGCCGATGGGCGCGATAGAAGCCTCAACGAACCGAGCCTCGCCGAAAATTGGGCTCGTCTAGTTTTTGTCTTCCAAGCAAGTCGTGTCAGATTACGATTGTTGAGCAGGTCAGCAGACCACCATGCGAGGTTGAGCATTTGCCAGCCACAAATGCTCCGTTTCGGACGGGTTGGCCGCCGAGAGTGTATGCCCCAAAATTAGCCCTGTCCTCCGCAGACAGCACCGGGCGCTACCGGGCGTTCACAGTCTTACAATTACAGAGCCCGAAAGACAGCTCTCCTCGCACGCCCACGCCATGTCCAAGACAGCTCTAGTCGTTGGTGGATCGCGGTGAGATGAGCCTTGAAGAAGTTCCTCCTCCCATCCTCCTATGACTGACCGTAGACCCTAATCTCTCGTTTTCCCGGTGGAGCTCAGCGGTCTCGGATTGTCCCTCCTCGAGCACCTCCATTCCAAAGGCTACGAAGTCGTGACGACCGTCCGTTCCCTCCCCGATTCCCCTCTCGAATCCATCCACCACATCCCCAACATCGACCTATCCCTCCCCGGGGCATCCGCGTCCACGCTCACCTCCGCCCTGCGCCCTTCAACCGAGTTCGATCTCGTCATCGTCTCCGCTGGCTACTTCAAGGATGATACCTTGCAGACGTTGGATTGGGAAGAGATGAACAAGATGTTCCAGATATGTGCGATTGCTCCGGCGTTCATCGTAGGCGAGTTGGTCAAGCAAGGGTCGATTCGTAAAGGGGGAAAGGTCGTGCTTGTGACGACTGAGGGAGGTTCGATTGGGCTTAGGACCAAGGAAGAAGGCGGAGGCAATTACGGTCATCATGCTTCCAAGGTGAGCTAAAGGAACCCTCTATCTCGCCTGAGAATCTTGCTCACGACCCACCACCCGCCCTCTCTCTCAACCCAAAAGGCCGCCGCAAACATGGTTGGCAAACTCCTCTCGATCGACCTAGCCAAGCAAGGTATCACCCTCGTCAACATCCATCCAGGATTCATGAAGACCGAAATGACCGCCAACATTGGGTACGACAAGTTCTACGACGAAGGTGGTGCCGTTGAACCGGAGGAAGCGGCGAAAAGCTTGGTCGAGTTTGTTGAGAAGCATGTCAATGAGTCCAAGAATGGCTCGTTTTGGGCGCCGAGGGGACCAAGGTGAGCTTCGCACATCTTTGCCGAGGGAGCAAGAGTGCGAACTGACTTGTGCTTCCTGTCGTGGCCCAACGAAGGGACGTGGGTGAAGCTGAACGAGTGCTCGGAAAGGATTTGCCCACTCCGCTCGAGCTTCCCTGGTAGCATGTGTACCCTCATTCATGCAGTACGCTCTGCAACCCTACGACGTGTTTCTGCTTCTGCTTTGCCCTACAAGTCTGTATCCATCGCCGGTCTCCACATCAAGTGTTGCATATCATACATCATCAACTTCCTTCGTACGCGACCAAATTTCGTTTCCCTTGAGAGCGAAGCATCATACCAATCCTGGTCATTACCAATCTACACGCTTCCAATCCAATCCTCGGACACAAAGCTACATTACTTCCTTCTTTCCCCATTCTCCATGACCGTATCTCCCGCCGCCCCACCCCCACCCGTCGCCTGAGCCATCGCCAACGCCTCCCTCTGAGCCCTCCTCGCCTTCTTGGACTCATACTCATGCCATTCCCCTTTGACCAACCTCAACGCATCCGGGAATTCAGCCCTCGGTTCTTCAGTTGTGAAATATCTCATCTCCAACGCTTCCTCGGCAGTAGGTCTCGTCGAAGGGTTGAGACTCAAGAGTCCTTCGGCCAATTCGAAAGCTCCTTCCGTGAGATGATGAGAAGCGAAGGTTTCACGGAGCGTGGAAGGTAGTGTTTGGGAGGGCTTTACGAGCTCGTACCAGGGGAGTTCTTGGACTTGAGGCCAGAGTGTGGGGGAGGGGGTACCGAGTATGGAGAATATCACTTCGAGTTGGTGGATCTCGTCTTGGCCTTGGAAGACGGGACGGCGGGCGAAGAGCTCGAGGAAGATGCATCTGAAGGTATGGAAAACGAGAGATTAGCCTCAGAAGCAAGTGGAGATTAAGGCATCACCGTGACAGGACCGATCACTCACCCTGCAGACCATACATCGACCTCTGCACCATAAATAGTCGCACCAAACAGCAATTCAGGCGGTTTGTACCACTGCGTAATGACCCGATTCGTATAATCGTTGCCCCTCCCTTGGGCATAGAACCTCGCGAGTCCGAAATCGGCGATCTTGAGCTCGCCATCTTTGCTGATGAGCAAGTTGGAGCCTTTGAGATCGCGGTGTAGAACGCCTCGACGATGAACGAAGGCGAGACCCGTGAGAAGTTGGTGCATGAGATGCTTGAGATGCGCGGGGGTGAAGGTGATAGAAGGGTGAAGCAGAACCCCCGTGAGATCGTGGTCCATGTATTCGAACACCATATACACATGACCTGCAGATCAAAATTTCGTTTGGTCAGCCTCAGTTCGCTCCACTCGCAGCCCATCGATGAGATAGCCCAACGTGCCTTTCGAAACCATCATCTCCAACAGATTGACGACATTGCTGTGCCTCAAGCTCTGCAGCAACTTGATCTCCCTCACGGCCGTGATGGGGAACCCATCCTTTTCCGCCTCCATTCTAATCCTCTTTAAAGCGACCAAAGCGCCAGTCTCGGTGTTTCTCGCCTTGTACACCTTTCCGTACGTCCCTTCGCCGACTTGGACCAGGCATTCGTAGATTTCGGTGGGTGGTGGAGCGGCTGGAACGACGGGAACATCAGGAGCGGCGGCTAACTCGAGGTCGTTGCCAGCTGATGGTTCCTCCCCTTCAGCGAGTGTCGACACCGTCGGAGGCGTCGTCGCTCGCGAGCTGCGTCGATCCGTCGAAGGCGGACGACGTCTTCTTGAATCGTCATCATTCCTCCGGTAATAGTCGTCCCGCCTCTTGTGATCATCCCCGTCGTCGCGTCGAGAAGAGTAACGATAGCCCGTATCCGATCTGTCATTGTACGACCTCGACGGCCGATCCTCGGAGCCGACATCGGTCCTACGGTCCCGCGAACGATCCATGTCCTTGTCCTCATGCGACGATGCTCCTTTCCTCTCCGCCCCACGTTTGTTATAGTCCCGATAGTCATCTTGGCCGCGTCCACCAAACGAGCCCCTCCCTCTGCCTCGTCCCCTCCCTCGCGCGTGTATGAACTCGCGATCCTCCGTCCGTCGTCGAGTTTCGAAATTCTTCTTCGAGGTCGTCGTACTCGATCGATCATCATCGTCATACCTCCCTTCTTTCCGATCGTTGAACTTGCTTCGCTCACGGTCCCGATCATGATCACGGGCGCGGTCCAGATCCCTTTCGTGGTCTTGTTCGCGTTCACGATCGTCGTATCGCGACGTCCTCGACGTCGTTGGAGACCATCTCGAATCGGTCTTGGCGCCTCGTGCAGGGCCCCACGACCTGGTCTTGGTCGATCGATCCTTGTCGTACCCATCGTCCCTTTCCCTCTCCCTCGAAGTGAACGATGCTCTCCGGCCCTTGGACTCGTTCCTGCTCCATCGCTTCCTTCCTTCCTCCTCCTCGTCACTTTCCCGATCCTTCGGTTCCCTCCTTCTATCTCTCGTACTCTTCTCATCCTCTTCATCATCGTACTTCTTCCTTTTCTCCTTCTCATGCCTCGCGCCCCATCCATCATCCCTTCCTCTTTCCCTCTCCCTTTCTCTCCCTTGATCCCTGTCATGCTCCTCCTCCTTCCTCCTCCGTTCCTTCTTCTCCCTCTGCGCACCCGCATCCTCCCTTATACGCCTCGAACTCGTAGTCGAATCCGCATCGCTCGGGCGTCGACGTCTTGTACCCGCATCTCTCTCCCGTCCCCGCTCTCGATCCCACCGGTCCCTCTCCCTCTCCTTCTCCCTCTCTCTCTCGGGCTCCCTCTCCCGGATCCTTTCGCCGTCCCTTTCATCATCCGCGCCTCTCTCTGCTTCATCATCACCTCTCTTCGTCCTCTTCCCATCCCAAATTTCGTCCTCCGATTCCGCGGGAAAGAACCTCTTGACTTGCCCGGCTTTGGTCATCGAACCCGTTCCCACCCCTGCCCCCATCCCGACCCCACTCATCGCACTTCCAACATCGTTCGAGGCCAAAATCGACCCTGTTCCGTTCGAAGCCTGGAAAGTATTGGTTGGGGAAGTGACTTTGAGTGAAAGGGGTTGGCGATGGGTCATTTGTAATCGTTCGCGAGAGGGGGTGCGTTGCATCGATGTTGAGGATGACGAGGTACTGGGGGGAAGGGGTTCGACGTCCATGGAGTCGGGGATGGCCGACCTCCTCCTCGTCGTCGCCGTCGTCGAAGGAAGAAAATCGAAATCCCTCGACCTTTCCTCCCACTTTGGCTCGACAGACCTCTCCTCCCTCACCGTACGATCTGTCTCCCTCCTCTCCCTCTCTCCTTCGTCTTTCCTTCCTTCCCTCTCCCTCTCCCTCTCCCTCCAACGCCCATTCTGCGTCCTCGCCCCCGCCCATCCCTTATCCAACCCCGCCCCCTTACCTCCAACACCACTCTTGAACCCCCTCTCAATCTTTGAACCCGACCCATACTGATCCCTTCCGTACCCATTGCTGATCGAACTTTTCGAATTCGAGTCAGGGTTTCGAGAGGTATAAGTCATTTTCGGCCTCGGTGCTGAAAAGAAAGCTTTAGGTTCGGAGGAAGCGACATTTTTTGAACCGGGTTCGTTTTCCGAGGCTTGGGGTTGGGTAGGAGTCGGATCTATACGTCGAGAAGGATGGTAATGATGGTGGGGATGATGATGAACGTCTCGTTTTGAAGAAGAAGAGGAAGAAGCGGGGGAAGGGGAACGTCTTCTAGGTGCGTTCGAAGCGGTTGTTGATTTGGAAGGTGGATGGGTTCGAGGTGGTGGAGATCGTTCAGGACTGGGGCTGGAGGGGGGTGAGCGAGATGAATCGCGTTGATCTCGACGGGAGCGAAGAGGTGGGGAAATAGGTCGCGCTGGTGGTGGTGGTCGGCCACTAAGGATTTACCAGCGACGATCAGTGCTTCCGCGTGGGGGAAAGGCCAGACATGCGAAAACACACTTACGAGTCGGATCCGCTCGGTCGGGACACGTTCTGCTCCGCATCAGTTTCCGCCCGACGTTGCACAGGATAAAAAGGCCCCGAAGTCGAATTCGACGAAGCCGGATCCCCGGGGTAAGTTTTCCTGGAGGCCGGGTTGAAATCGTTGTGGCTCGAAAACGTTGCCGGCTGTCGATTCGGACGGGTCGGAGGGGGCGCATCGATGGATCTTGGTCGATCGTCCTGGTCATCGTCGTGGTGGTGTTTGGAAGGGTGAGTGCGGGTGGGTGAGGTATCGTAGCGTCTCGAAGACGTGAGGGGTGCTCGATTCGAGAAGTTGGAGTGACGCTCGTCGTCGCGGGCGCGTTTGGACGAGTCGTACTGAGCCGCCGCCGTCGTCGAACGAGACGTCGACGAACCGCGTCGATCGTCGTTCGTCGCTACACCTCGACGTGCACCGCTAGCCGTCTCTCGATCGTGCCTTTGCTCAGAATTGCGATCCCCATGCGTCGTCGAAGTCACAACCCTCCATTTGCCCGACCCCACCGAGGCCGAGCCAGAGCCCATCGCACTCGTTTTGGAGTCACGCGCACTAGTCGAATGCTCCTCGTACCTCTTGCCACGATCGTAAGACGAAGAAAAGTGACGAGCTTGATCAACGGCCGTCGAAGACGATGAGGACGACTTGTGATTCGAATTCGTCGTAGCGGTGGCGGTGGAGCGTTCTTGCCGCGTTGCCCAACCTCGATCTTGCGAAGGTCGGTCGAACGAGGACATGTCTTGTTGAGCCTAGACGGTCGAGGCGGGGCCTGATTGGGACTGCGGTGGTGCAAGGAACGGGGGGGTGGAGGTGGAGGGACGATCTGCGATGGGAGAAGGAGAGCGCGAGTCAGCAGTGAGGGGAATGCGGTGTGGGTGAGGGAGGGGATGTACCTGACAAAGCTCGCAAAAGATCTGATGAACACCGCAGTGCGACGTGAGGTGAAGTGACTCGAGCTGAGCTGAGCTGGAGGCTGGAAGGCGGATGAAGGTGAGGAAGAGGATGGGATGGATCAACTTTTGAGGATGGTGCAAGCTCGGATTGCGGACCAGCCTGACGCGTGCACAGTAGTCGAGCCAGACTGCTTCAGTCACCGTCCTGGGTGAACAGACAGGAGATGCACGGACAGGCCTCTCGAATGAGGCAGCTGGGGGCTGAACGTTGAACCCGAGGCGAACGATCGGAAAGAGAAAATCGGACAAGGAGCGCCCGAGACAGCGCGCTCGTGCTCTCTCTCTCTCTCTCTCTCTCTTCTTCTCTCTTCTTTACCAGCAGCACCGGTACGACATGTCCGCTCTGGTCGAGTATGCGTCCTCTTCGGCAGCGAGCAGTGATCACGAGGAGGAGATGCAGCAGGTCTCCGTCGAAGTAGATGAACCCGCATCGGCCCAACCACCCGTACACCCAGCGGCACCAGCAGACGCACCACTTGAACAAGCTGCTCCTGCACCACCCTCAGCACCCCCGGTCGTAGCATCAGAACCACCACAAGCTGAACAAGATTCGAAAGATGACCAAGACGAGGATCAAGATGAGGATGAGGACGAGGATGATGACGATGACGACGACGACGACGACATGACGCCTGAACCCGATTATTCGTTCGCCTCACCACCACCCCCACCACTCGACACCAACGGTCACGGTCACGCCGAGGACGTTGACCAAGAGCACGAGCCACCACAAGACAACAACCACGACTACGAAGAACAAGGAGAAGAGCCTACAAAGTTGAAAGCCGCCACGAGAATACACGAACTCGATATCGTACAACAAGTTCGTTCCCTTCTCCACCTTCGGAAAACTCTTGGACCACCAAGCTGACCCTGTCGCGCGCGCCCCGAATAGGACATTGCCAAGCTACTTCATCTCGCCGGGTGCACCTTGGCCAGTCTCGACCCCGAACCCAATCCAAATCTCGCCCCATCGAACGAGAAGCCTACGACCATCCCCGAGGACAAGAAGGAACGCTTTGATCACTTTGCTCAAGCCTACTTCACAACTCTCAATGTCCGTCTGTCGGCAAAGGAAAAACTTGACCTCACAACTCTGACGGGTTCTTCAGATCCTTTCCTCTACAGGACATTCAACTCTCTCTTCGAACGAGTATCCGCCATCTCGCCCTATCGAAACCTTCCCTACAGGCTCTGCTCGATCCCAACTATGCGTCTCTCCTACCGACTCAGGCATTGGAACCCGGTCAATCGAGCATCGCCGCGGGGGGGATCGCCCATCGGTGCCGTATTGATCCTCTACCGTTGACCAAGTCGATTCCCAAATGGACCACACGGGACGCGCACGCGACGAGTGCGGCTCGTGTCGAGGAGGATGGGTCGATGAGATTGAGTGTCGCGGCGAGGGCGTTACAGGCCGAGGCTTGGCGTGATTTGGCCCGAATTGCCAGCGCGGGCCAGGACCGAATGAAAGAGTGAAGGAACCGATGCCTTTTTAGTAGTACGTGTTGTAAAAATAATTAGAAACAACGGAGCAGACCTGATGGCTGCGAGAAATTCCTTCCTGCCAAGCTGATGATGAAGACTGGCCGGCGGGTCGAGTCAGATTTCTGGGGCGCTGACGGCCAAAGGCGCGTTTGTCTCGCCCTCATTCCAAATCGAGCGTCGTGCGCCGTCCTGCAGGCTGCGCTCGTCGAAGGTCGTCGATGACCGTCGATGACCACACTGCAGCGCAACCCCGCCGGACACTTCTTGGCTCTCTCCCCTCTACCTCCCTCCCCTCCGTTCGACTGACCACTACTCCCATCATGTTGAAGTTGACCGTGCTCGCTACCTTATCGACCTTGCTGGCGTTGAACCAAGGGGTCGACGGTGCGGTGTTCAAGTGAGTTGCAGCGTCGAGCCGATACGGTTCTCACCGGTCGATCATCGTCCGAGCTCGGCTCGATGCGGGCCAGCCGTCGGCCTGCCTCCCCCCGCCACCGACGCCGCCGCCGCGCGCGCTGTTCGATGATGATGCCACCCGAGCCAGCCAGTTCGCTGACGACGACCCAAACCCCCTTCCTCCTACCTCTACACTACGCTGTATGACCCACTCGTCACACTCCCCATTCCCACTCATAACCCCACTCTTGCAGACTTCCCCTACACAAGCAGAAGCACACGCACCACACCCAACTCGGCTCGGCCTCGACCCTGGGCGACAAGTACATCGCGCGCTACAACGCCAACCACCGCGCCGCCCGAATCCAAGCCGCGCAGCAGCCGCATGCGAACCAGCTTTCGTTCAAGGTGCAAGAGGATGAGGAGCAGGAGTTCAATGATCAGATCGTCAAGGGCGGGCATGGCGTGCCTCTGACGAGTACGTAGGATCAATCGCTTGTTCTTTCACACACCCCTCCGGCTGGGGGAAGGCATCGATCGTATCCGGACGTGGCCGACGTCGCCCCCACCTGTCCCCCCCGCCTCCGCTCGCTCGAACCCCTTCTCCGATGATCCGTGCGCTTCCGAGCAACCCGACTGACCTCGATGTGTGACTTCGACAGACTACGCCTCGGCGCAGTACTTTGCCGACATCACCCTCGGCACCCCTCCTCAATCCTTCAAGGTCATCCTCGATGTAGGTCGAAAGTTGGACCCTCCTGAACTCGGGTTTCACGTCTGAACTAACCATGGGTCGCTATGGAACAGACCGGATCGGCCAACCTTTGGGTCCCTTCAACTCGCTGCAACAGCATTGCTTGCTTCTTGCACTCGAGTGAGTCCAAGTGGACAAGTTGCGATGATCGCGGAAACCCCAAGATTGACCTTGCGCTCTCTCCTCGTTCTGCAGAGTACGACGCCACCGCCTCGTCGACCTACAAGGCCAACGGCACCGAGTTCTCGATCCAGTATGGAACCGGTTCGCTCGAAGGTGTCATCTCCAACGACGTCCTCACCATCGGGGACCTGACCGTCAAGAAGCAAGACTTTGCCGAATCAACCTCGGAGCCCGGTTTGACCTTCGCGTTCGGCAAGTTCGACGGTATCCTCGGTCTCGCTTACGACACCATCTCGGTCGACCATGTCACACCTCCCTTTTACAACATGATCAACCAAGGCTTGTTGGACGACCCCGTAATGGCTTTCTACCTCAACGCCGAGGAACAAGGCTCTCTCGCGACCTTTGGTGGTGTCGATTCGTCCCACTACAAGGGCAAGATCGACTATGTCCCCGTTCGCCGCAAGGGTTACTGGGAAGTCGAGTTGGAATCGGTCCGATTCGGTAAGGAGACGCTCGAGTTGGAAAAAACCGGTGCGGCCATCGACACCGGAACGTCCTTGATCGCTTTACCTTCCGACGTCGCCGAAATCATCAACAAGGAAATCGGCGCGACCAAATCGTGGTCGGGTCAATACACGGTCGATTGCGCGACGATCCCCCACTTGCCGTCGATGTCGCTCAAGTTTGGAGGCAAGGACTACGAATTGTCCGCCGAGGACTACATCCTCCAGGTTTCGGGGACGTGTATTTCCAGTTTCACCGGGTTGGACATTCCTGCTCCTTTGGGCCCTATTTGGATCATTGGCGATGTCTTCTTGAGGAGGTACTACACAGTTTACGACTTGGGCAAGAACGCTGTTGGGTTCGCCGAGGCTCGTTAAGCTTCGAACGCGAAGCTCGTTTGAGCACCCACCCCACACATCATAATCTCTCGCAACATCGGCTCTTGGTAGTTTCGTATCTCTCCTTTTGATCTCTTCTCACCGTGCACCTATTCAGACCTTGAAACACCTTTTCACTGCTCATCCTGCGCGCCAAAGCAGCCCCGTCAACCGAGAGTTTAAAAAACCTTCCCTTCCCAAACTTTGAACCCTCAAAAACAGTAAAGCAATCCCACAACCCCTGACCCAGAACCCTAAAAGAACCGCTCAACTCCGAAGCGAATCCTTCAATTCGTTCCAACCCACCAACCAATCTTCCTCGAACTTGCCCACCCCAAACTTCCCCGCCCCTTCCCTAGCCCTCTCCCTCATCCCCTTCCTCTCCTCCTCCGTCATGGAAAGGATCTTGAATAATTGGGAAGCGAATTCTGGGGCTGATTCGGCGTGGAATCCGGTTGGTTGACCGGTCGGAGAGGCGGTTACGATGTCTAGTAGCGGACCGGCGGAGGCGTGTACGAGCGGGATCAGGCCGGCCGCCTGAAAGAGACACACACACACACACACACACACACACACACACACACACACACACACACACACACACACACACACACACACACACACACACACACACGCACACACACACACACACACACATAGAGGGAGAGGGAAATGATTTTAGTTCGTCGTCCTCGTGAATAGAACGTCAAGGATTCAAGTCAAGGAAGGGTCAGAGAAACGTACCATGAATTCAACGACCGTAATCCCAAAATGCTCATCGACCATCGTATGTAAACCCGTACCGGCCTTGGCCAAATAATCCCTCTTCAACACATCATAAGAAGCATTCACTACGAATTCCACATTCCTTTCCACGCCGAGATTTTTCGCGAGTTCGCGTAGGGTTTCAACGCGTTCTTGGTCGAAGCTGTGGCGTACTGAACCGGCCATGATGAGTTTTATGGTTGAGCGAAGGGAGGGGTCGAGGTGGAAGAGATGGGAGAGCGTTTCGAGTTGCACGGGGTGATCTTTCTCTGGTCTGATGAGAGAAAAGTGTTGGGAATTTAGATCGGGCTCACAAGGGGACGGAATTATCCGTGGTGTGAAATGGGGGGGGGGACTGACCGGAATTGAGCTAGGGAAAGAATCATGTGCGGTTCTCTCGGTTCCAAAGGTAGCGAACAGAGGGAAACGGTATCGCACGGTGGGTACACGATCCGACTTGTCCGGAACCGTTTCGGAACAGGGACAGAAGTCGACATCGTCGAGGGAACTGTTCGCTTTCGTATTGTCGTGGTCGCATCGGTTCCCGTCGATGTGGTCGAAGCGACAGCCGAGTCGTTTGGAGGCAGTTCGGGCTCGACGTCGTCCCGATACCCGAACGGCTTCAGGAGATGATCGATGTGATTCTTCGTCCAGGTCGAGTTGACCATCAGCACCGTCGACTGCCTAAGACAGATCGAGTAAAGTTCGGCGAAAATGACGTAGTATCTATCGAAAAAGAATGAGGGAGATTAATAAGAGGAACAGGGCCCTCGGAACTCGGGGAGTAGCAACGTACAAAAGTTTAAGGTTCGTCAAGACAGCGCTGGAAGCAACGAGGCTCGTATTCGTATGCCCTTGCTTTCGCTCCGAGACCCGTCGAAGCATATCGGTGCTGATCGTAGGGTAGTGGGTGTACGACCCAACTGGTATCCTTCCGAGATGCCTAATCAGAGGGTAGGTGAAGGCGTAGCCCATCGTGTCTGGTGGATAAATCGCGTGTGAGCTCGGGTTAAACAACTCGGCTCGGATTCCCGGCGAACTGACCTATCCAAACATCGGGTATCAACCCACCCGTCCCTAGTCCTTGCCACGCGAGGATAACGGATCCCAAGGATTGGCCCAAGAGCGTGAAGCGAGGCCAAGTCGAGTCCTCGACCAAATGTCGGGAACCGAGTCGGACAAAGATCAGAGTTTTGGGGTTCAAGGCGATCGCGAAACGATCCTGTTGGTAAACAGATGAGCGTCAGGGTCATCACGAACGTTACTTTTCGGCGTCCAAAGTCGGATATCCTAACCGCGATGAGATGTTAACTGACTTTGACTTTAGAGATCATCGAGTCCTTGGTCACCCGTTCCGGCATTGCTTTGTGCTCGGCTCCCGTAGTCGGAGCATCTTCATGTTCAGCCGTCAGATCGCCCGTATACACCACACAGATCAAGTCGGGCTCCTCCCTCTGTAAACAAGCGACTGCGGTCCATAACACCCTTTCGCCTCCCCCACCGGCATTACTGATGGGCCGCAACGAGAGAGGCCACGTCATAGGCAGAATCAAGGATCAGCCCCCGGACGCCCTGGAAGGTGCTTTCTTGGTCAATCACATGACATACCAATAAGGATGAAAGAACCCCACAATCCTCGTCTTCCTCACGACCTCAAGATCGACGATCCCTATCGTAGCTAGGGCGATCCTCCGTCTCCGTTCATTCGTCGCTCTCAATCGAAGACCGTACGCTCCCACGAGGATGTACAGCAAGGACGACAAGATTGGGACGGAGAGGAAGGCGGCGATGAGGAGGAGGATGAGCTTGAGGTGTGGTGGGAGGGAGAGCACCAGGCGTAGGAAGGGGTGCATCGCGGGCCCGGCGTCGAAGCTCGCTTTCGAGGTGACCGGCACCGAGGAGACAGAGCAGCGGTGACCGAGATCCGGATTGGCACCTTAGCCAGACCTGGCCCGTGCGCGCCGCCGGTTCATTATCAATTTTGGATGAAGGTATCGACAACTTACTGATAAGTTTGCATCGGACAGCCAGAAGTACTACAAGCACTACACAATACTATCGCACGGCCAGAATGGCTGCAAACGTGGCGATCACGATAGCCGCTGTGATTTCAGAAAGTTGGATCGCTCAGCATCTCGCACGTGATCATATGAAGTATCACTCTGGACGCAGGCCTTTGTACTGACCAACACAAAACGAGGTGACAGTGACCGTTCTCCGAGAAGGTGGAAACATAGACTTGGGTTCCTTCATCAACGCCGATTGCACAGAAAAGTACCGATTCGCCCCTGCAGAAGTATCCTTTCAAAATGTCAGTCGGGGGGGGGCGGGCCGGTGTCGCTGCACAGCGCCTCATAGCGACTCACCCAATAGGAGGAACAGCAGAGCGAGGCCAATAAACGTCCCACCCTGTATTTGAAGCGCTGTCCGTAAATAGAAGCGATGAATTGCCAAGCATGTAGCGGAACTCACAATCGGCTTGCCCAAATGGCGATACTTGAGCGGATTGCCATTGGTCTGACCTTGCAAAAGCAGAATCTGCTGGGCTTGTTCAAGCACGAGTTGGCGGATGATTCGCAGTTCCTCGGATGCTGCGATGTAGCTTTCATTGCTACTGGCACTTTGCACGACCGCTCGTTCGAGCAGCGAGCGCAGATGTTGAGTCGAATTGGACACGATCGAACTCGAACCGGTCGTGTCGGTGCTTGTCCCAGTCGGGACAGATGTCGACGCCAACCTAAACAGCTGCGTGATGGCGATCCCAATCGACGCCAAACTCAAGCTCGTCCTCAACCAAGCCAAGAAGGTTCTCTCGTTCGCCAGATGATCCCTTGCAACCGAGCCTTTGTTCTCCAACATGTGCGTCAATCGCCAGTGGGAGCTCTTTGACGCGTGCTCGCCTCCGCTTCGGCCGGCGCCATCGTCGCCTTCGCCTTGGACACGCCGCCTGCGAGTCAACTTGGACATGAATAAGCGAGCACCACCAGGCGTTGCTGTCGTTGACTGGGAGGGATGGGTAGGATCGCCATTGAGTTCTACAGCGTGGTCGGTCTTGCTGCTTGTGACTTGCATCGTGTTGGACATGTTGGCGTCACGTGCGAAGGAACCATAGGATGGGTGGTGGTCAGAACCGGTCGATCGCTTGGACGGGCCAACCAGCCGCTCGCGCAATTCATCTTTCAGCGCGCTCGACTCGGAGGTGCTCATACCCGAAGAAAAATGTGGTCGAGATCGGAGGGACTTCGTTAGACTTGAGCTGAGCAGGTGGATAGCTGATAATGAGAGGAGACAGACACAGATGCCTGGGCTCTCTTACTTCCGAGTCTATCAGTATCACCCGACCAATGCTGGCGGCGGCATGACGTGCTCAAAAGCAGCGTGTATGCACTTGTTGCGTTTTCGCGCGTCGGCACCTATTAATCCGGGGAAAGATCGAAATCGCGTGCAGCAGCTTGCTCGGTATATCTTGAACTTCCCAACATGGTCGTCACCGTTCTTACGCAAGAAAAGAGAGTGAGGGCTGAGTAGTGAGACCAGCCGGAGTACAATCTCTTTTCCGAATAAACCATTCCGAGTTTTTGGCAGAATTACCAATCACTGTTCGAGGAGGTGCAGCCGATGAGACGACAGTTGCAATAACATACGAACTTGCCTTGCGCCTTTGGGCACTGACTTTTGCTAATTGCATTGCCAAGTTGGGGGTACCCTGAAGGCCAATGAGGCACACGCGCCAAGAAAAAGCACTTGCTAAGTTGCCATGGAAGTTTCCAGCCCTTATAGGAAACGCGACCGCAGTTAACCGCGGTGAACCGCGCGCGCCGCCGCTGCCGAAGTCGGCCGCTGTCGCAACTTCGTGCCCGCGGTTGTTCGAGGTTACGGTCGTGTCATCGAGACGATGATCCGAACCGAAGCCCGCAATCGGGGGCGCTGGCGGTGTCCAGGGAGTGCCAACTTCGCCAACTTCAGCGCGCGCACGCGCCTGAGGCCCGCTTGTACTAAGGGGATGCCTTACAGAACAGCCCCATAAGTAGCCTCTGAGTATGTAGCTAGAACTGACGAGTTTCAGTTACGAACTTGCTTTTAGCCTAGCGGTCAAGAACGACAGATTGTATTTTATGCACATCAGAGGCGCATACCTTACACCGCTTATTTAGGACTTGGCCCTCCCTGGCGACCTTAGGACCGGGGCATAGTGAAGAGGGTTTCTCCTTGAATGAATGTCACAAAATTCGATGAGAGTGGGAGAGGAAAAGAAAAGGTTAGAGGGAGTGTCGCGGGTTTGTTCACGGGGTGTGATTTGTTGTTCAGCCCCTAATGCCGCTGGTCGGCCGCCGGAATGACACCGACACCGCCGGCGCGCCGCATCACGTGACAGACGGCAGCCGCCCTCGCCGCGCCCGTCAGGCGGAGCTCTGCTGCAGAAGCATTGTCATACAAAGCCACGCGCTTGCCGTCCATTAAATACAATATAAGTGTTCTCACTGTTTTACGTCAACGAAAAAGTGAAGGAAATTACTGGGAACGCTGTAGCTTCGTTCGACTGACGCGAAAAATACAAAAGGTGCCACAGAGCTTGTACATGACTTCTGATCGGAACACGGACACCACAGGCAGGTGCGGCAGACACAACAGTATGCTGGTACATCCACCACAGGCGGCCCTCCGGGCTGCCACCTAGTTAAAAACAGTGATTTTAGGTACATTCCTTAACTCACACATTTTTTTTTTACTAGTTAGAGTAATAGAGTAAAGTAACTAGTTAGGGTAATACACATAATTGTATTAAGGTTTAGAAGTCACTGGAAAAGTCGGAGGTTGTGTTACATCTACATCTACATAAAAGACTTGCACCATAAAAGAATGCACAACGAAATAAGGTTCTTAGCCGCGCGCGCGCGCCGATCTTTTTTTGCCTCCCCCCCCCCCGGTCCGGGAGGTGCGGGCGGAGCTCACAACGACATTACGCAGGAAGGTGGGCGCACAGCGGCCCTGAGCACTTGTATTAGAAGATTGCACCACAAAACACCTCCATAAAACTCCATGAAATAAGGTTCTCAGAGCACTTCAAAGTTCAAGGTCGCAGGGACGGCAATCGAAAGCGCAAGGTTCTGGATTGTCTGGACGCGTCGATCCCTCGGCGAGGCCCTGCGACTCTGCGAGGCCCTGCGAGGGCTGCTGCCCGGCGCTGAGGTTTCTGGTCAGCTTCAACGCGCGATCGACTCTCAGCCCGAGTTTCTCACCTCCTCGCTCCACCGACTCAGGACTGTAGACCATTCTTCGCCTGGCGCTGCCTTGACGGGTGTGTGCATCTGTGCGTGTGCTTGCGAGTGTGTGTGCCAACGAATGCGTGTTATGAACCCGAGGACCTCGACTGCTCGCGGCGACGATTCCCGAACTCGACTCTCAACGATCTCAACGCCCGTGCCAGCAGCGGCAGCACCGACAGCGGCAGCGGCTGCGACTGCACCGTCGTCAATGTCGTCGTACGACGGTCCAGCAGTGATGCACATCGTATCGCACACCCACACACCCTCACTCTCATCCGATAGTCGGCGTGGTTCCTCGTCCGGCGCAGCAAGCGGATCCGAAGACTCGTATACGATGCCCGCCTCGGTGTCCATCGCGGATCCCAGCAGCATGACGATCCCGTCGTCGCCTCCGCTCGCTGATTCGCAGGCATGGAGCGACTGGTACGGAGAAGGCAACTGGCACCCCTCAATCGCGCCTCCCATCCCCGCCAGTCTGCACGACCTCATCCACGACCCTGTTACGTTCCCTACATCGCCTCAGCTTGATCTCGACGATGTACTCGGTCCCGAGGTCGACCGAGCCGCTGCAGTTTCGACGGGTGAACACGCTCGGGAGGAAGTGTCTCGGACGGGCACCGCGCCGCGATTCCGACACCCCGACGGCGGCGCCGGCGCCGGCGAAGCTGATGTTGACCCTGAAATTCAAGAGGGAAAGGACGTCTTGGTCGGCCTGGATGCTTCGATAGGAGCAGGGATGGCAAGGACCGGTAGCTACAACGATGACGACCCCCACCCTGGTTCGTCGCTGTCCATCGTAGCCAGCTCTCCTTCCCTTTCTACGGACGACGGTCGGTCAAGTTTATCGTCGCTCGGCGTCAACTCGATAGCGTCGGGCGATATGTCCGACATCATCAAGCAGTTCCGGACTCGGGGTTACTTGCCGGGCCCGAAAAGTCGGCACGAGGAGGAGCGCATGCGCATCGTCCAAAGGTACGATCTCGAGTCGCCGAAACGACGAGCCGCGGTCGACCGCATCTGTCGCATCGCCAAAGCCTACTTCAACACACATACCATCATCATCACCCTGGTCTTTGAGGGCCACACCGTCTTTGCGGCCGAAGCGGGGTTTGACCCTGATGGCGACCCGAGTCTCGAAACGCCCGTGCGCAAGATGCCGATCGACACTTCGCTGTGCACGCACAACCTGGCTCGGATCAGGGACCGGGAGGTTATGATTGTACCGGACCTAAGTAAAGATTGGCGCTTCCGCAACAACGTCAGTCACCAAGCTTTGAGAGTGATCTTGTGGCGGGACGAGACCGACCCTAGAGCCCAAAATGCTGACTCGAATATGCCCTGCATCCACACAGCCTCAATCGATTGCCTCTGGTGGTAGACTGGCCTTTTACGCAGGTGCCGCCATTCATTTGCCGACGACCTCAGACTCCCCCGATGCACCTCGAACCCTCCCTGTCGGATCGATCTGCGTCTTGTCCGACAAGCCACGGGCGGCGAATGACTTCAGCGAGGACGACCAGCAGGTCTTAAAAGACCTCAGTTCGCTCGTTGCCGAACAGTTCACTTTGGGCTATGAACAGCTCCGTCGCGATCGAGAACGCCAGCAGACCGAGTTCCTGGGCACCTTCCTCGAGACCACGCTCGTGCAACCCCTCAACTCGAGCGCACGATTGCGTGCCGCGGACGCCTCATCCTCGGCGCCGGTAACCGTCGCATCACTGCCTTCGGCCGCCGCGCAGACACTTGGGCAGTCCTTCCAAATGGCGGCTCACGAGATGCGAGGCTTGACGGGGGCGACATGCACGGCCATCGTTGACTTGAGGACATTTCGGCTGCCGCACCCGCAGCAAATGGTCGATGTCTCCGACTTGGATGATGATGCCGTCGATGCACTGGGCAGCATTTGTATGCTCGCTAGCGATGGGGACGTCGATTGGGACGAACTAGTCGCTAATCGACACCTCGAAGTGGCCCGGGCGGTGATCAAGACCGTGCGAGTGTGGCGACAAGACGGCTTGACCGACTTCATTGGTGCCGAGCAATCGCCTTTTGCTCCCCTGCTGCCCAGAAACGTGACGGCCACCACGATCGTACCTGTGGCCGAACTCGATGGTATCGTTGCATTCATGCTCATCTTCACATCATCGAGCCCGCATTTCGTTTTTGAAAAGGCCGACCGGAAGTTTGCTTGCAACGTGGGCTCGGTTCTCGCGTCGGCCCTGCTGCGGGAACGGGCGCTCTTGGCGGATCGGGCCAAATTGGCGTTCGTCTCCCAAGTTTCGCACGAGCTTCGAACGCCACTCTTCGCCGTGGCCTCCCAACTCGAGCTGCTGCGCGAATTCTCGACCCCCCAAGAGTTGAAGAAGATCAGCCCCATGCTCGACGTGGCCGACGTTTGTCTTGAATCACTGCGAGACGTGCTCGACGATACCTTGGACGTGGCCAAATTCTCCAACTCGACGAGCGAGATGACGGCGCACCAACGCTCGGCCCTGGCCCGAACGGATTTGGCACGACTGGCCGCCGAGGTTTCGCAGGCGTGCTTCATTCGCAAGCGGCGCTCGGATTATGTTACAAAGGATCAGATCCTGGTCCAGAACGACCTGACCCAACGGCGGCCAGACGTCGCCTCGACGACGGTCGAATTGATCCTCGAGGTCGAAGAACGTGAGGCGGGGTGGGAGGCGATGATCGACGTCGGTGGCATGAAGCGCGTGCTGTTGAATCTCTTGGGCAATTCGCTCAAGTTTACCGAGGAAGGCTACGTCAAAATCTCGCTTCGAGAAGTGAGCAGTCCGACTGTGCGGGCCAACGATGATGACTCGAAGAGCGTGGTCGTCATTAAGGTAGAGGACACTGGCTGCGGCATGAGCGAGGAGTTCGTGCGATCGGGCTCCATCTTCACACCATTTGTACAAGAGAACCCGTTTCGCAATGGCGCTGGACTGGGCATGTCGATTTGCGAGACCATCATCAAGAGAATGGGCGGTAAGATCGACATCGTCTCTGCGCTTGGACAGGGCACGAGCATCCGCATCACGTTGCCCGTCGACTTTGCCTCGACCACGACCAGTCCTGGTTCGCCGACGACGCCTCGGTCCAAGCTCAGTTCTGCCGAGACCCCCTTGGCGTCTCGCTTCGTCACGAACCCTTTCGCTCCTCGACCTCGGCCCGCATCAAGTCGCACGTCGCCGACGATAACATCCGGTTCGGCCCGCTTCGATGTGGAACCGTTGACCTTACATTCGGACGCGACCCGCGGGCATGATTCCGATTCGACGAAGCCGATGCGCAGACGGGTCATCAGTGAAGAGTTGTTGGCCTTGTTCAACCCTGGTTCGCAACTTGCAGCAACGCCGTTCGAGGAACGCCCCGAGTACGACTTTTCCGCGGCCGTCAGCGCGGCGCAACAAGCGCTCAGTCAGACGGCGTTGAAACGGATCCCGTCGATGAAACGGAGAAAGACGACCTCGTCGGTGACGACGGACAAGTCGACGAGTATTGACCTCGTCGACGAGGTGGCCAAGTTGTCGATCGCGGCGCAGACACCGCCACCGAAGGAGGAGAGCAAATCGTCTTTGTTCTTCAATGACATGAGGTTGAACGCACAGTCGGTCACCGATGACGATGGACAACGGCGGCGGACCGAGTCGGCGGCGGCAACCACGTCGCTGGACCAGACCGTGCCGGCGATGCAGGGCCCCAAGTTGAAGGTCCTGTACGCCGACGATAATGTCATCGCGAGGAACATCTTGTCCAAGCTGTTGTCTGGTAAGGGCGTTGCTCACGTCGCGGCCGTCGATGGACTGGACGCGGTGCGCAAGTTTGAAACGGAGGGGCCGTTCCACCTGTTGCTCTTGGACGTGCAGGTAAGTCAGCTTTAGATGGCCCTCCCCATCACTTGGGTGTTCCCGAGCTGACATGCGTTCGGACGATGTAGATGCCCAACAAGGACGGGATCGAAGCCGCTTTCGACATCCGTCGGATCGAAAAGGAGCAAGCGCTCGCGCCAAGCCGGATTATCGCCTTGTCCGGTCTGTCGAACGAAGCTGACATGAGGAAGGCGGGCTGCTTGGACAACGTCGCGGGTCCGGTCGACCATTGGATCGTCAAGGGGAATCGATCGTTGAGGCAGGTCATGACGGAGGTGATGGCGCAGAAGGAGGTGATCGAGGAAGGTGCAGTCCCTTCACCTACGATCTCGGATCCTTCCAGTTCGAGGTCATCATCATGATCCGGGGTCATCAGCGTTGTGTGCTTTCTTCCGGATCCCGAGATGTTTAACGTGTCGTAAAGAGTGGATTTCAAATCCCACCGTTGTGTTTCCATCATTTCCCCGCAGAACGAATCGTTCCCTCACCAGCAAACCATATCATACTCTTGTTTTTCCTCTTCTTTGCCCCTCGATGTCTTCTAATGTTTGTACTACGCTCGACGACTGGTCCCGGAAGCTTGTAGGATTGTGTAATCGTGTGGGTACATTTTTCTTTTGCCTTATCTTCTTTCGTAACTTTTGGTACTTGAAAGTTTCGTTATTGCCTCGATGCGACTTTGTGCTTGAAGGTGATGTTGCGAGTGGCGTGGCAAACGCGAGTTGCCTTGTCGGATCGTCCCGGAGGCGCGTCTCCCAGGTGCCAAGCTCGCTGTGGCTCATCCACTCGCCTTCCCCATCTCAACCTCACACGGTCACACCCACCCCAGGCTCGCCCAAGATGAACTGGCTCGCTGACCAAGTCGAAGGGCTGGCCAAGCAGGCTAGCGTAAGTCGTGTGTCCAGACTGTGCCTCGCTCGTTGCGTCGATCGTGGCCCATGAGGTGGCCGGCGGTGGTGGTGGTGGTGCGACGTGGAGCGCAGTCGGCGGCCAGCGAGTGGGACGTGTCGCCGACGCCGTGTCGCGCTACGCTACCTTGATCGGGGCGGACGACGCGCCCGTGCTGCCTCAATCGGCTTTGGCGTGGTTCGAGCCAAGTGTGGCTGATCGAGCCTGAATTTATGTGCTTGCATAGGAGATCACCATGTACGACATCAAGAGCGTCGTCAACCAGGTCAGTGCTCAGCATCCCGTGCGGGCTGGCAAGGCGCCTCGCGTACGGATCGGCCACGAACGACCAGCTCATCCCGACCCTCATCGCTCTTCACCAGGCCAAGAACATCGTCATGAACTTTACCGAGATGGAAGCCAAAGTCAGGGACGCGACCAACGACGATGCATGGTTCGTCGGGCTTGCTTCCTTCTCAGCTGGAGGTCTCGTTCGTGCCATCGACTGGAGGCGACTGACGCGTGCGGTATGACGCTGTCCTTTGCCTCGCTTCCTCTCTTTCTTCGTCGGTCTTCTTTGAATCGTCTCTAGGGGTGCGAGCTCGACCTTGATGCAAGACATCGCGCAAGGGTAGGTCGTCCCGTCGAGAGGATCCGGTCTGCTCGGCCTAATGGCTGATCCGCATCGTTTGGGACCGGTGCTTTTTACAGGACCTTCAACTTGTGAGCAACGATCAATCTACAGCTGCACTCGTAAAAGAGAGCAAACGGCTGATGCGAGTGAATCAACCCACACGTAGTCAACTCTTCAACGAGATCATGCCTACGATCTACGCTCGGTTCACCGAAAAGGAGGCTCGGCAATGGCGTCAGATCTACAAGGCGCTCGTACTTCTGGAGTCAGTCGAATGTTTTCCTCGAACTCGTGAAACAGACGTCTGACCTGTACCTTTACGGAACACTAGATACCTGGTCAAGAACGGCTCCGAGCGCGTGATCGATGATGCCCGAACCCACCTCAGTCTGATCAAGGTCCTGCGCAACTTCCACTACACCGACGAGAACGGCAAGGACCAAGGCATCAACGTGCGCAACCGCTCCAAGGAACTGGCCGAACTGTTGGGCGACCTCGACCGCGTGCGTCAAGAGCGTCGCAAGGCCAAAGCCAACAGGAACAAGTACACCGGTGTCAGCAGTGATGGGTTCGGTGGTGGAGGCGGAGGAGGCCCTAGCTTCACCTCGGCGACAGGGTCGAGGTATGGTGGTTTCGGCAGTGATTCGATGGGCAGTGGCTCGGGCGGAGGTCGAGAAGGGGGTGACCATGGAGGGTTTTCCGACTCCCGAGCCCCGGCTGGTGATTTCGAAGAGTACGATGCCGGGGACTGGGAGGACAAACCAAGTCGTTTCAACTCGGCGCCGACGCGAGCCTCGGGCTCTGGCTCCGGATCCCATTCGCGAGCATCAGCGAGTGTCAAGCCGACGCCGCCCGCTCCCAAACCCGAGCCGCCCAAGGCCGAAGTCAACCTTTTTGACTTTGACGATGAAGACGACCAGCCCACGCCTCCACCAAAGGCGAGCTCATTTGCTGTTCCGGCCCCTGCTGCCGCTTCCCTAGATGGTTCGTACCGGTGACTGGATTCAGGAAGCCCTATTCGACACCATGGGCTTATCCGCGCTTCTCGTACGAGCAGATGACTTTGACGATTTCCAATCCGCCGCACCGATTCCTTCCGTCCCCTCGCTCCCCATCTCCCCCGTCTCTGCCGCCCCCAAGCAAAACGCCTTTGCGATGCTCAACGCGCAACCTTCGACCCAGATCCGACCACCGCAATCGAACCCCAACTCGGGTATGATGGGCTCGTTCGCGCCTATGCAAGCCCAGTCCGCGATCCGACCCAACCCTCCCTCCCACACCAACTCGACCACCTCGGTCTTTAGTCAAAAGTCGTCCTCGTCCTCGGCCGCGGCCGCTGCGCAAGTCAAGCCTAAAGCGGCTGCGGCTGATTTCTCGGATTTGTTCGGCTCGTTCGGTGGCGCCATTACGCCGGCTGCAAAGAGTGGTTCGGCGAATGGTGGGATGACGATCGCTCAAATTGCGGAGAAGAAGCGACAAGAGTCCTTGTTCAATATGAGTAATGGTGAATTGATCATCACGCTCTGAAACTTTCGTTCAAAAGAGATGGGAAGCTGATGAGTAATGTTTCTGCGTGCGCTCGACTTCACAGCTGGGTCCAAGACACAACCTTATGGTGGCGGAGGAGCATCGAGCACCGACGACAACGGCTGGGGCTCGTTGCTTTGAAGATGGGGCCCTGACATTTGGGAACACAAAGTCTTGGCTATTTCCCGTTGTATCACCGTACCTTCTCCTTACGACTGCTGCCTGTGATCACCTCCTAGTTTGGGTTATCGCTGTACATGGCCGATCGCATGAAACACCACGTGAGAATGCGCGGATGTGGACACTCGGATCTCGCACACAGGAGCGTAACTCAACGTGAGATAGCACTTTCGAGGTCTCACCTTGCCTCTCGGTGGTCGTGTTGAGCGGCGCACCAACGGTGGTGAAACGGAAGATCGACCCCCGTGTCTGCACGTTCAGGGGCATGTCTCAGATATCTGAGCTAAGCGCTCAGCGTCCCCGAGATACTGGTCTCAGTTTTCCGTGCTCCTGAGACTCGAGAGCAACGTTGACCTGCAGGCTTTCTCTCTTTCTCTGTTCCCTCTCTCTGTCTCCATCTCTGCACCCCTTTGCATTGCCTTGACGGCACCATCGTCTTCAGCTCACTGCGCTACCAATCTTCTTTCAACCTCCTTTCCTCCCTGCGAACACGTTCCAAGCCCATACCACTCCCTACACACCACTCCCTACATACCACCCAGTTCGGCCGTTATTCACCCAGCTCCTTCGTTTTCATTGCGAATCTAATCTAGCTGGTCGCCATGTTCTTCCGTGCCACCACCGTGTTCACCTCCCTGCTACTGGTTGCGCCCGCTTTGGCGGCGGAAGCACCGAGCCCCGACAAGCGCGGGTTCAAGGTCGAGCTCCATTCGCGAGCTTCACACCATCCGCATCATGCGGGTAAGGCATTTAAATCGGGGTAAGTGTTTGTGTTGAAATTTTTGGGATCTTGCGTGGGAACACTCCTCAGATCCTGCTGGGAGGGCAAAGAGGCGGATTTTGTTGTGCTCGAGGGGTCTGTACCGTGTCTCCTTTCCGGTTCGCCACGTAACCGCGGCGGCCGCTTTCCTGTTCGGCTTCCCACGGCTTCCCTTGCGACGATCGGACACAAGCAATATCGAACAGAATGTACCCAATATCCGGATTTTTCACTGAGCTGAGCAATTATCGCAACTGTTTCTCACCCACAGTCACGCCCATCCCCACGCAAAAAGGCTCAAGAATGGCCCGGCTCATCCCCGTCGCCGTGGGGCAAAGGCTCACCAAGGACACCCTCCCTTCCTCGCGGCGACGAAGGCGGGATCCAGTCAACCTTTCGCCAAGTTGACGAACGTCGGGAGTGAGTCAACCGCTGACGAAAAATAACAACAGAGTCCGGCGTTTCCCAGAGAGCTGATCCGTGCACGAGTCTGTCCAAAAAGACATCGATTGGAGCGCTGACGTTGCGTTTGGAAGTCCTGCGCAACACGTGCCCCTCTTCATCTCGATGGGGTCCCCACTGTGAGTGAGACTTTGACCAAAGGAGCCGCTTGGAATCAATTGATCGTCTAAGTGTGGTTTCTGGTCTTGGATGCTCAGATCTACCGTAGCCGACAAAAGTATCAAGAGCATTAGCAAGGCCAGATACGACCCCAGCAAGTCCTCGACCGCTCGCAAAATGAGCAAAGCTCAAGTGGACCCCAACAGTGAGGCGCTGCATCCTTTTGGAGGAGTGAAGGACCAAGTTGAGCTCATTTCACAGATATGCTCTTGTTGTACAGCCAACGTCACCGTCATTACCTACAAGGACAAGGTCTCAATCGCCGGTTTCGAGGTTCCCGACCAAACTTTTACAGTCATGACCTCGACGCCGGATGGGTACTATTTGGAGGACATTTATGCTAGCGGCGATGTACCCTGGGCGGGAACTTTGGGTCTAGGTCGTACTGGTAAAAGAACGCCGAGCTTGTCATTCCTCGAGAATTTGATCCGATCGAGGATTATTCATCAAGCGGTCTGTGGTATTTCCATCACCGTGAACGGAGGCGCACTCGATTTCGGCTTCGTCGACTCTCGCTCTTACAAAGGCCAGATCGAGTGGAGTCCTGTCGACACCGATTACATGGAAAGCTACTGGACGATCAAGACGGGCGGATGGAGCTTGAACGGGAAAGTCGTTGCCGGTACCGCTGGTCGCTTGCAATTCACGCCCGAGAACACGTGAGCTGCTCCCGAATTTCAATCCCCTGTCTTCGGGTTGTGCAGTAATACTGATATCAGCGTACTATCCTTAGGTACACCTTTATTTCCAAGAAGCTTGGGAAACAAATCTTCGCGGGCATCAAACATCAAGTCGATCCCGAAACGCAGCGTTACCTGCTGCCCTGCAAGTCGAAAGAGACCGACACGATTGGGTTCTTAATCCACCAACGCATGTTCTCCGTTCCCATTCCCGACTTGATATTGTTCGGTAAGTAATAGTATCTCAAAGGCCCTTGGTTGCTGTATCGATAATAGTGTTCGAAAGAAGCAAGAAGGCGCTGACCAACCGCGCATTGCTGTCGGCGTTTCCACTTTGCAGCCTCGAAGTCCAACCCTGGCATGTGCCATACGGCTCTGCTCCAGGTTAAGAGCGAGGGGTTGCTGGACGATTATACCATCGCCATTGGTGCGATTCTCATGAGGGTCAGTTCGATTGAAAAAGGAAACTTTTTTTCGCCGACGCGATGAGGCGGGCTCTCCCTTTCGCTTCCCACGCTAACGAGTTTTCCGCATGGTACTCCTCTTGACTGCTTCACACGAACATTCAGTCCTTCTACACCATCCTCTCTTACGAAAGGGTACACGGTGGTCTCGCTCTTGGGTTGGCGCAGTCTTCCATCGAACCCTCGGGCGGCGACCCCAGTCAATCGGAGAAATAGCGCGACTTGACGACCGTCGGCCTGGCGCCGTCGATGAGGAGGGAGTCACTCGCACCGATCCCTTCTCGTCTTTTCTGATTTCGGTTATTTCAATTTATCCGGGTCTTTTCTTCTTTTTGAGGTGTTCCCCCCGGTGCTTTGTTCCCCGTGTACCAACTATACCACGTTCGTCTCTTTAACTTCCTCGAAGCGAATACATACCTTCGATGCGCAATTCCATCTAGGATCCAAAAAGATCCACAGAGTCCATTCCCCTCACGTGGCTCACGACGAAACTCACCAACCTAATCTCCCCCTGAATCGAGTCAAGACCTCCTCGATCCTCAACAAAACACCCGCGGCCGCCCTTCCCGCTTTACCCTCATCTAATCCAACCTCCCCTCCATCGAACCGTTCAAATACCTCCGTCGCCCATCCTTGACTCTCCCCAATCAAGTTCGAACCACCTTCGACGCGGGTCATCAGCGCTCGACCTCCATCGAAAGAGACTATCGCGTCAAAGACGACGAGAAGGAGAGTCATCTCCTTCTCCAAAACCTGAGGGTGATCTTCACTTCCGCCAGTCGTCCTGAGCGCGAGAACGAGATGTAAAACTTCCGGCGCCAACACGTCTGAAAAGTTCGGTGTCAATCGAGCTGCGTGAAGTAGCAGTGCGAGGGTGGAGAGGTATTGCGTTAAGATTAAGGGGTCGAGTAGGACGGCAGATCCTGATCCTCCCGCATAAGGACCCTGTTGCGTTATGGGCATGGAAGCGACTTCGCGGAGGTAGAGCCAAAATCGATTGATCAAAGGCATCACGAAATAATCCGAAGCGAGCGAGGTGAAGGAACTCGTCGTCGAGCTTGTTCCGGAATTGAGTGATTTGGCGGAAGCGAAGCGTCGCACTCGAACTAGTTTTTCTTTTGACGCTTCGGGGATCGTCGATTCGGCTTCTTCCCTTACGGAAGAAAGGGTGATCCTCGTAACGTCCTCCGTCAAGATTTCCAGTGCAGTCGGTTGAGCAGTCTGCAACAGTCGTTTGTGCATCGCAGGTGAGAGTTGTTTCGAGGGAAAGGACGCGAGGTCGGGGACAACGGCTTGTTGTGCTAGAGCGAGCGACCCGTCTTTGATCTCGACGGAGAGACCGGCGAGTTCGCGTGCGCCGAGTGCGAGGGCCGTTAGCATCGTGTATCTCTGAGCGACCGAGTAGGAAGGGGTAAAGTATTGTTCGATGATGCATCTGGTGATATCAAAGGGAGGGCTGAAGAATGAGTTTTGTGCGATCTTGGCTTCGGATGAGTACAGCAACGTACGGAGCGACTTTGGTCGGACACGCAGCGACGAGCGCGATCATGATCTTGCGTTTCGAGTGTTCGAAGCCGTCAATCTCATATTGATCTTGAAGTCCCATAAGAGCGAACGCCAAATCCACCGCGTTCTCCTCTGCAAGCTCACCAAACCCAAGTTAACCATCAGTCATCCCGATCTACCTGCGCAACGCGAAACTGACCTAATTCCCCACCCCACCCCTTTTTCCTCCTCACCAACCCTTCCCCTTCCCTCAATCCCACCTCGACCCTCTCCACCTCCTGATCAACCTCTTCCTTCTTCCCTTCCGGATCCAAGCCTTTCAAATAGGCCGTCAACTCAGCTACATACACAGGCGGCCTTAACCTCCCCCTCTTCTTCGGGTTGATGTTGAAGGGAGGGAGGAGGAGGGTATGGCAGTGGCGTAGAGGGAGGGGTCGGGGGAGCTGAGGGCGGCGAGTGTTGAGAGCGATGGTCCGGGGGCGATTGGGTAACGGGGAAGTTCGGAGGGGTCGGATTCGGAGGAAGAGTCGGATGAGAAAGCGGAGATCACGGATATGAGAGCAGCTTTCTTGTCCTTCTCGACGGGGACGATGGGTGCAGGCGACGATCTCTTCGGAACGCGGTCCAGCTCGGTCTTGAGAGCCTCCCCTCGGCTTTCAACGAAGGCGAACCTCAACAACTCTTGCCACCCCTTCGTATCCTCCGCATTGCCCTTCTCGACCCCCCTTAAGAACCGACACAAACTCCTACCCTCCCCATTCCCCTCCCAAATCTCTTCCCCAAAGCTCAAAGCTTTCATCCCACTTCCCTCTGGTAACGCTTTGGCCGAAACGATCTCGGCGATCAACATCCCTAGAAGACGGACGGTGGTTTGCAGGAGAGTGAGATGAGTTGAAATGGCTTGGATAAAGGTGGTGGAACGGGAGAGTGAGATTAGGGATGGGTGGGCTGGGGGTAGGGAGGAAATGAGGAGGATGAGGAGGGTGGAGAGGACTACGGAGGGAGGGGAAGATTAGCTGTGTACGGTGTGGTGATAGAGACGGTCAAGCTCGAGCTGTGCCTTACAAATCCGATTCGATGCACCAGCGGTTTGAATACTGGACGCATCACACCAAGCTCTCATCACCAGATCCAAAGCCGCGATCCGCGTCTTCTCCTCCTTCCCGAGGAACCCCAACACGACACGAGCCATCTCCACTTCCTTGCCATTCCAAACGTTCGTCCGATCAGTGATCATCTCGAACGCAAGGTTCCACGTTTCTTCTCGCTCGGGTCCCAGAGGCCCAAAGAGTTCAGACAGGAGCCACGAAGCGGCGTGACAGCGGGGTATCGTCGTCGTCGAAGGATCTGGGACGTCGAAGAGCGGTTTTTGCACCTCGGAAAGGGTCAATCGGAGCAGGCGCGCGATGTATCGATCGGACATGTCGAGGATGACTTCTTGCCATAACCCAGCGAGACGTTGGCGCGAGAGGAGAAGGTCAGCAGCGACGGGGAAGGTTTCAGGAGGTAAGAGATGGTACACGGTCGAGTTGAGTAAAGTGGGGATGATGTCGGGGTGTGAGAGGAGGGTCGAGAGGGTCGTTGAGAGTGAGATGATCGAGTAGGACCGCTCGTCGGTCGTTTTGGACAAGGTGTGTAAGAGCTCGGAGAAGGATCGAGCCCAGTGCTTGGTTTGATAACTGTGAGATTAGATGGAATTCCTGAGATTAGGCGCAAAGTCTTCGTGATGGGACCTCCACTTGGAAGAAACTCGGCTCTGACCTGAGATGCAAATTCTGCGGAACGTTCTGTCCCAGGGTCCGTTTTCCGACGGTCAACTCGCCCATCCTATTGGCGACCAAGATGGGCATCCCCATCAAAGTCTTGAGGATCCTCTCCCATCGATCTTCCCTGACTTGCATCGACACCCCCTCTCCGGCGAAAATGATACGATATGTTCGCTCGAGGGAGAATTGGGTGACCCATTCGGATAAAATTCGGACGACGAGATGAATAGACCGAGGATGGAGGGGCGATTGAGGCGGCGATGACTTATGGGTTGATAAGCACGAGCAGAGAACTTGGAGTGCTGATAAGGCGATCTCGTTGGAGAGGGAAGAAGCGTCGGTGTTGGCTAAGTTCGGGTCGGGGATGAACCAGCTCGAGAGGAGTTGACGAGCGCTTATGGGTGAGCCTTGTAGCTCGGTGGATAGGGCATGTTCCCAATCTGGCCAGATGCGTTCGAGGATGACCCGTTGTACGAGTGCGAGTTGACGCTTGATGAACTTGGCCGGGTCCTGCGGTGGTGCAGCTACAGAAGAGGACGACGAGGACGACGAAAGGAGAGAAGACACCAGCTCTTGGGGGAGTGCACCTAGTCGAACCAATGGTGGGACAAGTAATTCGAGCAATTGATCGGTCGAGGTGATGGGGCCCGCCAAGCGTGTGTGTAGTGGAGGCGCAGAGAGGGTGGAAGCCCCTGAGTTGGAGTGGGCACTCGAGCCCGAGCTGGGGTCGACACCGAGTTGAGTAGCGTCCAGCTTGGTGCTGGAGGAGGCAGAATCAATGCTGAAGATCAAGGCCATCGTGCGGGAGGTAGGGTTTGCATTCCGCTGGAAGGAATGTACCAAGTGCAAGAGCCGTACACGCGACGCACGCGCACACGCTGGCACGCGCGCCCGGGAACGACCTGGAACGACAGGGAACGACGTCACTGCGTCAGTAACTCGCACGCCTACTATAGTACGTTCTACTGTCGCTCTGTCTTTTCCTCTTGCGCTCGCACTTGCGATATCAAAGTCCAGCTCTCCGCAAGAATGAAGCTCACCTACTTTCCCATCCGAGGTAAGTGTCAGGGCCTCAAGGTCTCCACTGAGCCCATCAAAACCTTCGGCCTCCGCATCCCGACCTCGTTGCGAAACCCCCACATTCCTCGACCGTCCTAACCTTCTCTCCCTCCGATTCCACAGGTCGAGCCGAGCCGATCCTCCTCCTCCTTATCGATTCCGGGACCGAGTTTGAACACGAAATCATTCAATACACGGTGCGCAACTCCCACCGAGGCACTCTGCTCCTCGCTCAGGATCCTCACCCAATGACCGACGATATGACGTCGACCTCACGTAGACTTGGGGTGATTTGAAAGCCAGAGGCGAGAATGGACCGCCCAGTACGTTCGCTCTTCTCTTCAAGGATGCAGCTGTTCTAGATCACTGAAAATGCTTTGACTTTACACAGACTTCCCCTTTGCGGCCTTGCCCGTGCTCACCTTTGGCCACGGAGCTCGGGGAGGCAATGATACCAAACTCGCCGAGACGGGCGCTATCCTCATGTTCCTTGAAGGTTAGTCGGGGGTTTGATTCCGAAGAGATGCGAGGATGCTGATGTCTTCTTTCATGTGTAGGCAAACTCGCGGCTGCTGGAACGTCGCCGGTAAGCTTCCGGGCAGAAAAAGATTTTTTGGACCTCCTCGGAGCGAATCTGATCTGACAGCAGCTACTCTTGCTCCCACACAGAGTCCGCCCGACGCCAAAGCCGTACGTTCCAATCACCACGCCTACTACTACTCTCCTCCACGCTCTTCACTGCTAACCTCCCCTCTCCTCCCCACAGCGTCTCGAAATGATACGCTGTGCCTCGTCCTTCCTTCTGACCCGTCTCTTCTCCCTCGTCTCCCCGACCTGGCTCGAACCCGCCTCACGAACGCACCTGCTACGTTCCTTGATCCACCCGTACCTCTCCTCCCTCTCGCACCACCTCAGTTCAAGTTTCTTCCCGCCTCTCCTAACCCGTCCCCTGACGAACGGTCAACCAGGCACCTCATTGAGTCCTGCCGCGGCGACGGCATATACCACCTTGTGCTTGATTCAAGAATTATTCCCTCGCTCATTGGGACCGGGTCAGGAAGGTGGTATGATGAAGTTTTTCCCACGATGTGAGGAATTACGGACGTCGGTCGATCAAAGACCGAGGATAAAGGAATGGATCGCGAGTGGGAAAAGGGAGGTCGAATGGACGACTCGTAGCGGAGGGGAGTTGAAAGTGATCAAGGAGATGGCGGATAAGTATGATCGGGTCGAAGAGGTGGAGGAGTTGTTTGGCCATGGTAAGGAGGGGAGAGGGGAGAGGGTCGGGATGGAGGGGGTGAGGGAGGAGGTCGAGTTGGATACGGGTGTATAGGGACGGAGGCAGCGGTTTACGTTATCGTATCTTAGACGCAATTCAGCCTTGCCTTGTCATTCCTCGTCACTACTCTCACTAGACCCGATCGAATCATCCTCCTCGTCGTCGTCACTCTCCTCTTCTTCGACCTTGCCAACATCCCAAGCCCTCTCATCACCTCGCTTACCCCAAATCGCCTCCTCTTCTTCTTCTTGATCAGCACCCTTTTTCCGTTTCCTCTCCAACGAAGGTTTCCCACCCCAAGTCGAAGCACGTTTCTTCACCCCCTCCATCCCAGCAGGTTTACGGAACCCCGACCCAAGCTCCAAGTCCACCCCTCCGGAAAAGTTCCTCCTTTCTCCATCCTCATCCTCATCCTCATCCTCATCCTCATCCTCATCCTCATCCTCATCCTCATCCTCATCCTCGTCAGCTTCACCGATCATTCGAGCCTCGACCTTTTCGAACGCGTTGTTCTTCCCCTTCGATCTGGACTTGGTCCGACTCGAAGGCTCGGAATCCTTTCTCCGAATCGAAGTCGTTGCCGTGATCGACTTGGCGAGCTGATTAACAGGCGAGGCTTTCTTTTTAGAACGGTTTGAATCATTCGGCGTCTTGTGCTTCGTGGATCCTTCGGTTTTGACTTTGGAGGTCCGGTTGAGCGAGACTTGAGGGTTCGTCAAGAGCTATTTCAGAAACGAACCAAATCAGGATCATCAGGATTATTTCATCATCTTACGGAGTAAGCGCGAAGGCGTAGCCGTGAAACGTACCTCAATTTCCTCATTCGCACCGCCGTAAGAATACCTTGCCATCAATGGGTATTGAGGGGTCGAGGTAGAAGCGGAGTGTGAGGTCGAGGTACTACCTAATGTTGTTGGGGAGTAGGCTTGTTGGATGGAAGGGAAGTGGAGTAAGGATTGACTGGTGGTGATGAGACGACGTTTCTTGCGCCTTTGAAACGGTCACGTGCGATCAGTTACGGTTCCGCATCCTCTCTCGGAATCAAGCGAGACGCGAGAGAGTTTTAAGGAGCTCGAGTGTTCAGAACGAGAACGTACCCATTGTTCCCGTTCCCGCTCCCGCTCCCGTTCCCCTGCCCCAATCTCGTACCCAAAGAAGTCGTCGTCGCGCCTCTCCAAACTTGCCCATCTTGTTCCTTCAAACAAGTAGAACTTGCCACCACCCCTGGTTCTGGTTCTTGTTTCTCACTCTTCACCACCACCTCCTCCTGCTGCTGCCGAACCGTATTCGTATTCGTACTAGTAGGAACGTGGTTAGGTGTACGCTGCGAAGCGACGACCCTTTGCATGAACTTGAGGCCCATCGTGCCTTTGGAGAAGGTTCGGGGAGGGGCTGCTGGTGGGCCGGAGGACATGGCTTAGCTTTTTTTTGGGGAGGAGGGGGAGAAAGAGGTGGGTGGGGCGGTTTTTGAGGGTCTTGCGGGAGGGGTGGTCAAAGTGGGTTGGGGTGGTGGTGTGTGTGTGTGGGAGGGGAAGAGGGTGAACGGATTGGGCCACAGCGCGCGGTGGGCTTTCGACGATCCGGGCTGGTGGCGAATGATCGGGTCATCGCAATGAATTATGAGAGCTTGCGCACACCTTCTTCGAGTCCATTATCGCAATGAAAAAAATCCCATCACAAGATATATACAACACGAACACTCATAACCCCCCACCCTTCGAAGCGAAGCCAAGCCCAAAAAGCCGCTTTCTCGGACAAAAGATCGTCCCTCCATCCTCATTCTCCTTCAGCGTGCTCCCCCATTCCAACTTGCGCCTATCCCAACATCCCCATTTGCTCCTGCTCCTGATCCTTCTACATCCGAATCCCCTTCCATGAGCTTTCCCTTCCCCGATCCCGAAACGGTTTCCTTCGATTTCTTCGGTTCCATCCTCAACACCACACCACGCAAGGCCCTTCCCCACTGTACAACCACCGGGGGGCGCTCGAGAATCAGTTTTCAAAAGAAATACCCTTACTTACCACTCTCCCCCGACCCCCGCCCGATCGTACTGGACTTGGACTGACCCCACCTCTCAAAGGTTTCCTACACACCGGACAATGTTTATCCAATTCACCCGGTGGTGGTGGTGGTGGCGGTGGTGCAGGAGGAAGAGGAACGTGTTGCCTATTCCTATTCGGTGGAGGGTAAACCCCATAATCATCCAATTCCTCACCATCGTCGTCGTCGTCGTCGTCGTCGTCGTCGTCGTCGTCGTCGTCATCGTTTTCGATTCGTTCCCCCCAAGCCGTTCGATGATGCGCGTGAGGACCTCCTCCACGGGATGATCGACTTTGATTATTCGTAGTTGTTGCCGCACCGCGAGCTCTACCCCTTGCTCGGGAAGGATTAAAAATTCCTCCTCCTCCTCCTCCTGCTGCTGCTGCTCCTGGTGCTGCTGCAGGACCTAATCGTCTACCGAAAGGTATTCCATTCGGTATAGGATCACCTTCGACTCCTCTTCCGGGAGGTGGAGGCGTTAGTTCGGGACCGGCCAATAAGGCGGCGTGCAAACAGGGTGCGCAGAAAACGTGTCCGCAGGAAGTGGCGGCGATCGGTACGGGAGGTCCGAAACAGATCGGACAGCTTAGGTTCGATAGGCTGCTCGGAGGTGGGCTTGAAGTGGGTTGTTGGGAAGGTGATCGAGAGTGAGAGCGGGAGTGGGAGCGGGAGCGGGGACGGGGACGGGGACGGGGACGTTTGGATGGGCGAGGGGTCGGCGGCGGTTGAGGTGGGGAAGAGTGGAGGATGAGCAACGATTGGTCGTCGTCTTGGGCGGCGGAGGATCGTTCGGCTTGATCGTCGGTCAAGTCCAAAACGGACGCTTCGGCTCGACGAGCAGTGCGGTGGGATTGGGTACGAGTAGTAGGAGTAGTAGTAGCTGCTTCCGCGATGGCAGCGGCGACTTTGGAAGCGGGTCTCATCCCCACCGGAGGAGGAAGGCCGCGCTCGTCATCGTCATCGTCATCGTCATCGTCATCGTCATCGTCATCGAAGCCATCGGACTCGGTATCCGGTTCGCGATGATCGGACTGTGCAGCATCGTCAGCGGTCGGTCGTGCGTGTGCGTCGGTCGTGGGTGGAGGTGCGCTCTGAGCTGGGGAGGAAGCCGAGTTGGGTCGAATCGAGTCGAGTGGGGGCGTCGTGGCGCGAGCTGCAGCGGAGGAGTGCAGAAAGGAGGTCGAAGCTGATGCTGATGCTGAGGCTGAGGTCGATGCCATGCGCCACGGCTTGATGGAGACACGCAAGCGGCGGTGATCAAAAAAGAACTTTGGCACCCGTCGGCGCGAGAGGCCAAGACTATTTACTAATAGCCGAAAGTGATGAATAGCGGGAGTCGATGACGCTGACTAATTGAAATGGGATGCCTGAAGTTGGCCAGGTCACGCTGACTGCTCTTGCGCTCGTTCGACTGCGAGCTCGCGCTACACTCGCACAAGATGGATCCAGACGAACCGCTCTCGGCACCCATCATCAAGCGACGCAACCTCAAAGGCGTACGACCGTCCTCCTCGTCGTCGTCGTCACTTCGTTCTTGGCGCGGCGCTCAAGTGTCTGACCCACGTCCGGATCAGGCTGGCTCCGATCCGACGACGACCGGCTTGGCCACGGTCACTCCCAACACGACGATGGAGGTTGGTAGCAGTACCCTCGATGATGGGGAGGAGGATGCGGTCGTGTTCCGGAGGACCAAGAACAAAAAGACGCCTCGAGGGGCCGTCTTGGCAGCGTCGACCAAGCCGCCGATCAAGTCGAGCCTCAGGATAGCGCTCTCGATCGCCGACGAGGTACGTTCACACCCCCCAACTAAACTCGTGCTCGACTCGATCGTGGGCTGATTCGTGCTTGCCCCCAACCTAGGATGAAGAAGCCGATTCGTTCGTGCTCACCAAACGAACGCCGTCCTCCTCGTCCAGTACAGCCGCACGAAAACTCCTCTCCGTACCCGACCTTCGCACGACCCACACGACCCAAGCCGCCCTTCCTTCCAACCTCGACCAAGCGACCTTGTCCCCACAGAAACCATCCTTGTCCTCGGTTTATTCGAGCGAATACCTCCAAGAGCTGAAGAGCGCCACCTTGTCGACCCCACCACCGCCACCGCCACCACCGCCAGCCTCGACCTCGCACGACGACTTGACCCTTTCCAAATTCGCTTCCCGTTTCGCCACTTCAGACGATCGTCCGTTCAACTCGATTCTCACTTCCCCACGCGCGCCGTGACTGACTTTCAACAACTCCTTCCCCCCCCCCCCCTTCCTCCTCCTCCTCCTCCTCCTCCTCACAGCCCACCCCGAATCTTCACCGATCCCGACCACAGCAGCGATCGCCTCTGCCAAAGCCCGACGAGAACGTCTTCGTACCCAAGGACCGAGCGCTGATTTCATTTCCCTACAAATCGCTTCCTCGAGTTCTTCGAAAACCGGATCCCAATCCCGCCTTGTTAGAGAAGACGATGATCTAGGTGATGGGATCGACCACAGGGCTGATTTTGAAGGGTCTTTACCGTTGGGTAAGAAGGCTACGATCGTCAAGAGGAGGGAGGAAAAGGAAGGTATGATGAGGTTGATTGATGAGGCCGAGGAGGAGATGGAGGAAGAGGCCGATGATGAGGTGAGGGAGTGGGAGGAGAGGCAGTTGGCTAGGGTGAACGAGAGGAGGGGAGCGCAAGAGCACGTGCGGTGTTTTTTTTTGGCTTGGGGCTTGGGGGCGTGGTTCGGTGGTGGTTGATGATTTGACCTTGTTGATGTACAGACCTCGACTCAACCGACTTACGTCCCTACGCCAATCCCACAAACTTCAACCCTCCCAACCCTATCCAACGTCCAAGCCCGCCTCTCAGCAGGTCTAAACACCCTCGAATCATCCCGAACACTCGACGTCGCCGCATTGAACCATTTCGAAAAAGAGAGGAACGAATTGGACACGCAGGAAGGGGAACTACGCTCCGAGGCGATAAGGATCGAGCAGAAGAATAGATGGTTCAACGATTTCGAGAACTTTATCGAAGACGTCGCCGCGTTCTTGGATGAGAAGGTCGGTTCGGGGGGTTTTGTTTTCGCGCGTGAAGTGCTGAGATTGATGTTCGTTTCTGATGTTTTCTTTTTTTACAGTTTCCGGCTCTGGAAAAGATCGAAAAGGAAAACTTGGCGATCCAGAGAGAACGTTACGAGATCGTCTCGAGGCGCAGGTTCGAGGACGATTCGGATGACGTTGCGCTCTTCACTGGAGCGAGCGTACCTTCAGCTTTCAGTTTGGATCCCAAGGCCTCCGCAGAAGATGATGAGGACAAGGACGGGGAAGAGGAAGAAGTGGATGAAATGGGTCGATCGACACGAAGAACGGAAGATCGATTCGGACCGCGATCAGGAGCTCGTGTAGCTCGTCGCTCAGCTCGAGAACGTCGACTGGAAAATCGAAAAGCGCTTTATCAACCCAACGGAATTGCCTCAACAGCCGAAGAAGACTCTGCGATGTGGACCGACGACGATCTCATCTCCGCCGATTCAGCCGACTTGGCTGACGCCTTGACCTCCCTCCAAGACCTCCGTAAGACGCTCTTCGAGGATGTCAGAGTCGACGATTTCAGGGATCCGAATTTGGGGATCAGGAAGAAATTTGAAGAGTGGAGGAGTACGTATAGGGAGGATTATGAGAATGCTTTTGGGGGGCTGGCCTTGGTCGGTGTTTGGGAGTTTTGGGCGAGGGTCGAGATGGCGTTGTGGAATCCCTTTGGGGTGCGTCCACTGCGGACATTTGGAGAATTTAAAACCGTATGCTGACGTTCTGTTGGCGTGCGTTGATCCAGATTGATCAATTGGCCAGAACCCCGAGCGGACTAGATTCCTACCATTGGCACTCGAGTCTCACAGCCTTCGGCCACGCCTCCCACCCCCCCAACGGCGAAGCAGACGACGATTCCCACATGGACGAAGACGATGCCCCTCCAGACGAATCTGCCGAAGTCGTTAATGCGTTGGTCACGTCGGTCGTGATACCGAGGTTGATCGCGTTGGCGAAAGCTTCGTATGATCCGTGGTCGAAGAAGCAGACGATGAAGGCGTTGGCGTTGGTCGATGAGGTTTCTTATTGCGTCGAGACGACGAGTCCGAAATTTGAAGTAAGAATCGCGACCTTTCTCTGGGGTTCGGGAAAGAACCCCAAAATTCTAACTCCTTCATATATCTCAATTGCGCAGTCCCTCGTCCAAGTCTTCCTCAACCGTCTCCAACTCGGCATAACCCAAGCCTCGACGCTCATCCTCCCGCATCTGAACCAACTCAGTCTTCCCTCCAACGCCTTCGACCCCTCGACCTTTCTCGCTCGAGAACGCTTCCTCCTACGCCAACTCAAGCTCTTACAAAACGCTCATAAATGGAGGAGGTACGCGAGGAATTATAGATTACCCCTTTCCACCGTTCCTTCAACGACGATGACGGCTCCATTCACCGAGATTGGCTCAGGCGCGAGCTTTGATGAATTGCTGCAACGTGATTTGGTAGCGAAGGTGATGTTACCCGTTATTGAGGCGAGTTGGTCGACGGGCGGCGAGAAGGTCGCGGGGAAGGTGTTGATGGTTTTTCAGGAGGCGGATTGGATTCCGGCGTTGAGGAGGAGGCTGGAAGGGGGAGGAGAATAAGGGTTGGAGGGAATATGATGGTGGTGGTGGTTGTTATTGGATGTGAAATAGATGGTGAAGTCTACCCATGTGGGTGATGTGCGACACGGATAAGCCCGAGTAATAGTTGCAGTACGCTGAGCGTCGTTGCCTTTCTCAAGCGAGGTGCGCGGGACCATCTCAGCTGAATCATGAGTAGAAAGTGCTCCAACTTTGAGTTGAGCTACGAGTTCAATGAATCCGGTGAATCGTGACAATGTCCTGATCGATTGTCGGCCAAGTGTGAACAAAGGAAGAAGCGCGACAGAGTTCAAGGCGCTCTTCCGCGACAAGTGTCTGGCGACAGGTGTCAATGACTTGCACAACCAGACGGGATTTCGGACCAAGCTAACGATTGCAATCCTCTCGGAGCTTAAACAGATCTGCAAGAAACCTATGACGCACCAGTCGAACGCACGAGCAAAGAAAGGAGGCCCTCCGCCGGAAGAGATTAGCGTAAGTTCTCGAGGACGGGTGCCGCAAAATCAGGAGAGCAAACTCGCGAATTCGCAGGCGCTATCGTCGCTCGTCGAGCGTCTCGTGTGTCGGGCCAAGTAATACGACGAGCAGTGTCCGACTGAACGACGTTTGTGCCGATCTATATTGATGAATCTGAATAGTTATAAAATAAATGGCTTGGGTTTGGGCTTGGGGGCGAATTCCCCCACGACACGGCCCCGCCGAAAAACCGTCGGGGCAGCGCAAGCTTGAAGGGGAGGCAAAATCGGGAAGGCGGGCGGGAAACTTGGGCAAAGCTTCTGAAGTTTCGAGCGAGCAACAGGCGATGTTGCGAGCGAAGATAGTTGGTTCTAGCAAGAGGGATCGATTCAAACCGCACTCGCCTTTCGACTCACTTGGCGCGCACGTTGGTCGCACGTTGGTCGCCTTTGGCAACCGGCGGCAGGATGAGAAAAGTTCTCGAAAGTTTGGCGTCTCCTGTGGGTCTCCGAGTCCCTCTTGCCACGTCGTCTGCCAGATCACATCCAGCTTTCCAAGCGCCAACATCGCAACCGCAGGATACCTCGAAGACACCATAACGTAAGTAGGACCTGTACATGAATTGAATCCCGCTGAAGTTGATGCCCGAGTCATCGAAGTTGACTCTCGCTCGTCGTCGATTCTGTCCACGTCACGTCAACAGCCACTCGTGACCGAATGACGCCGTGAGCGTCACCGAGCAAGCGCCGATCTTCCCTTACTCCTGAAGGTAGCGCCAAGCGTGAGAAACGAAGAACATTGGCATCATTGGCGAGGTGTTTCAAGTACCACCACCCCCTGCTCCGTCGTGACGTCTACCGCACTGCAGGCGACACCTGCCGGCCGGCCGACCGCGCTCCTCAGGGATGGGGATTTATCTACTCTTACTTCAAAGAGCTATTGAAGCTTCTTGTCGTCCACGGCAGATCAACTCCCCGGCTGAAGTCCACAACAAGACCTTTGAGCCCTTGACAAATGGACATGACGAAACAATCGCATCGACCACAAAACCGCGACTTCATCGAAGATCTCACCAACTTTGCGAGTTCCGTCTCCGAGACGATGACTAGGAGTGCAACGGCTCTGGCCATCACTCGAACGACTCCGACAACGATGATCATATCCTTTTTCGTCGCCGGGGCAGCCAGATGACTGCAGATTTCGACGATGTTGCCCTTCCTGACTACGACCACTACAAAGACAAAGAGAGGGCGGATGACGGGGACTCGCGAGAGCGTTCGATTTGATCAACCGTGGCCTGCCAACAGATTGTGATATGATACGCCTGAAGGTCCTTCCAAACTCAAAGGCGACTTAAAGTTATGTTAAGCTGATGATCGCTTGTTGCTCCAGATGCTGAGGCCAGCGCCACCTTGCGCCCTCTTTGGCGTGGACCCGGGAATGTGCTTGCGCGTTCGATCCCGGGCCTTTTGTCTTCTCGTGGCGCGTGGCGGCCAAGTCGGACCCTCTGCCGAACAAAAAGAATTGACCAGCCGTCATTGAAGGTAAGCGGATATGCGCAGTGGTTCTGGTCTGATTTTGCAGGTGCTGAATGCCGGCCTTCATAATCCGCAGCACTTCTTTCGTCCGTACGCGAAAGCCGTCGTTGCGCTCCCCAGGCTATGCAAATTCCACCAGGCGGCGCAGGATGCAGTCGAGAAGCTCGTCCGGGTGGAGCGATTGCTCGACTGTGAGCTCGAAGGAACTCCGAAGATCCACGGTCGAATGGCCAAAGATACGCTCACTCAAGAATTCACCTAACGAATGAAGTCCTTCCTTGCATCAGCCATGGATTGAGCTTGCCTCATCCGATCGTCTTGGTCGGACGATTCCGTCAACTGTCGAAGGTTGTTTGTCGACGGACTGCAGATGGAGCATCACAACTCGCTGTACGCGCCTGCCATCAAGATTCTCGAGGATGTCGCCGAGCCAGACGAGCGCCTTGTACGATGCTGAGCAGAGAGGAAGTAGCGGACCGACCGTTTCGAGTTCCTCGAGATTCTTGATGGCACGCGCGTACCGCGAGTTGTGATGCTCCTTCTCCAGTCTGTCGAAGAACAACGTTCGACAGTTGACGGGATCGTCCGACCAAGACAATCGGATGAGGCGAGCTCAATCCATGGCCGATGCGAGGAAGGATTAAATTCGTTAGGTGAGTCCTTGAGTGAGCATCGACCGTGGATCTTCGGAGTTTCTTCGAGCTCACAGTCGAGCAACCGCTCCTCCCGGACGAGCTTCTCGACTGCATCCTGCGCCGCCTTGTGGAATTTGCATAGCCTCGGGAGCGCAACGACCGCTTTCGCGTACGGACGGAAGAAGTGCTGCGGATTATGAAGGCCGGCATTCAGCACGTGCAAAATCAGACCAGAACCACTGCGTAAATCCGCCTACCTTCCTTGACGGTTGGGTTTTTTAATTTTTTTTTTTTGTTCGGAAGAGGGATCGACTTTGGCGCCACAAGAAGGCAGTCGGATCGAACGCGCAAGCACATTCTCAGGTCCACGCCAAAGAGGGCGCAAGGTGGCGCTGGCCTCAGCATCTGGAGCAACAAGCGATCATCAGCTTAACATAACTTCAAGTCGACTTTGAGTTTGGAAGGACCTTCAGGCGCATCATATCAAGACCTGTTGCCAGGCCACGGTTGAGCAGATTGAAGACTCTCGCTTCCTCGTCATCCGCTTCACTCGTCCCTCTACTTTCCTCACTGACTCAAGCAAACCAGCGCGCACTTCAGGCCACCACACCGCATACCTTACTACCAAGACACTGCCACCGCCAAGAGCCTAATCGACTCAACCCTGGACGTCATTGAATCATACCTCCCCTCCTCCGAGCCTCCTCCGAACCTCCTCCGATCGCTGCACCAACTCCAGGCGATCCCCTGGACGGCCCTCCTTGCCTCCCCTACATCCTTTCTCTCCCCTTTTTGCTTCTCTTCCTCTTCGCAATTTGCATCGCCTTTCTGTCTATCTACAACACCACCCGAGCCGCCTTTCCTTGGTCGGGGGACTACCCCATCGCTTGGTAAGATGCAAGCACTGACCCCGACGACGTGGGAGGTTGGCAAGACGAGCGCTCAATGGTGGTTCGGCCGGGGGAAGTCCGGATTTGCATCGGGATCGAGGAAGAGATCTAGCGCGATTCGGGCCAGGAAGAATAAGAGGAAAAGTGCGCGCGAGTGGAAGAAGGAGGACTTGGGCTACGGATGACCGAGGATGATGCTGCATGGGACGATGCGGCGGCCGAAGTCGATCTGGGCGAAGGATATGGCGTTCCCGGAAGAGGAGTAGGCGCGAGTGGAGAGAAGGCTTGGAACACGGCGAGGGAAGCGTTCTTCTCCTTTATGGGTTCAGATGCAGCATCGGCTTCGAAGAACACGGGGAAGCAGTCGACCAAGCCCAAGGCCGAAAACTCGGACTCAGGCCTCCCCTCCGAACGACATCCCCGGGGGGTGGGCGATGAAGTTCGCGATGAACCAGGCCAAAAAGATCTAGGATGAGGCAACGTGATCTAACACAGCATCATTGAGGGGAGCTGATAGCAGAAGATGGAGTCGATGATTTGCGAAAATGCCGAATTTTCAGGATGCACTCGAGCTTGGGATGTTTGACCGCTCGATGTCGCGCTGTAGATCTATTAGAATTCGACCTGGTTTTTGTTGTATGATATCAGATCGTGACACGCTTGCGTGCGACAAGTAACGATTCGGCCTGCACCTCTGTCGGTAAATTGCTCGTGCTCCTCTCGGATGGGAGAGATTTCCAGCTGGACCGTGTTCGATTCTCTCGGTAGCATAGCCATGACAATCGTAAGCAATTGCTTCTCCTCTTTTTCGCGCTCGATTGGTCTCCTCATGGGAAAACATCGAGATAATCTTGAAGCCCTACATCGGAGGTCACGATCGGCTCGTATCGGTCGTCTCCGAAAAACGACGCTCTATGAGCGGCTATGAGCGGCTATGAGCGGTGGGCGAACGCAACGTCGGGGGTTGGCCTCACGTAATCGCGCCAGTCAGCGTTCCCCACCCCACACGGCTCACGAAAACATGTCGTCCAAGGAAGGAGCCAAGCTCAAAGCCGAGTGAGTGAACGTCTACGCGTGATGACTCGGTTCGTCGCTAACCACTGCGCTACATCTCGTGTACCCAGAGCTGAGAAGGCGCTCAAGCCGTCGGTCAGTCCTATCGCGCCTCCTGCCGTCGTACATGGCGATCACTGACGCGTCCTCCGTCGCCAATCACCGCAGTGGTTTGGTAGTCAGAAATCGAGAAACACTGCCGCCGAGGAGCTGTACGAGCAAGCCGGTAATCGCTACAAGGTCGGTCGCACGAGGCTGGACCACGTCATCGAGCCTCCGTTCGGACGGGGTGCAAGGCCGTAGCGACGAGGATGCCCGCCCCGCCCGGCTAGACCGATCACCTCGCTGACGCGATGAGGTGATGTTATGCACAGGGTGAAGGGTACTTGAACGATGCCGGGTTCTGCTACGTCAAGGCGGGCGAGCTGGCGCGCACCAACGACGAACGCGCCTCCGCGGCCAACCATTTTTGGAACGCTTGCAAGGTCTACAAGAAGCAGGATCCTAATCGTAAGTCTTGGGAGCCTATTCATTCGGTTGCGTGACCGCAACCCTGTCTGGATCCCTCTGCCCGCTCCGATCGCGGACTGACCCCATACGATCGAACCCCCACTTTGTGTTCCCGCACGCGATCCCAGTCGCTGTGGGCGCACTGCAGAACGCGATCGAGTTGTACAAGTCCGACAACAAGTTCCGACAAGCTGCCGATCGGGAGAAGGAGATGGCCGCCATATGGCAGGCCGAAGGTGGCAATCTGAACGAGGCTTTGAATGCGTACGAGCGAGCGGCGAGGCTCTACGAGGCCGAGGATGCGCAGGCGTAAGTTGAAAGTGACCCTTGCCTATACACACTTCATATCTGACAAGTACACTCGATTCCCATTAGCACTGCGAACGCATGCCTCAAGGAAGCCGCCGAACTTGCCGCTTCGGTCGGCGAGTACCCTCGAGCGGTCACCCACTTTGAAGCTGTGGCCAAGCATTCCTTGATCTCGGCACTGACGCGCTACAGCGTCAAAGAGTACTACCTCAAGGCTGCGCTTTGTTGGCTCGCGACAGGGGTGAGTACTTGCGTAGACTTGGTGTGCGTCTGATGACCCAGCTGACGGAGTGATTGATCGACATGACAGGATGTCGTCTCGACCCAACGCAAGCTCGAGGAATATTGCTCACAGGATCCTAGCTTTGGCGCAACACGCGAAGCCAAATTTATCCACGACATCGCGGATGCCTTCGAGGGTGGGGATACAGAAGGGTTCACGGCTGCCGTGGCCGACTTTGATCGGTACATCACTCCGCACTCGTCTTCGTTCGTTCATGAAGTAGCACTAAGACTGATTTCACAACCCTTGGTCGTCTTTTCTGAGAGCAGCTTGACACGACTCGACAACTGGAAGACGACGATCTTACTGGTCATCAAGCGACAAATCTCCGAGGAGCCGAGCCTGTCGTAGAAAGGCCTCGGCTTTCTTTCATGTGGCACAGCCCATCCCTCCCCGCCGGGTTACGGAGAGGGACGAAGGGACCACCTATTGTGTACTTTTTCACATTTCATTTGTAATGACTAATTTGATTCGTATCCTGCCATACGTGCGGCCTTGCCTTCTTCCCTTTCTCCCACTCCTGACTTAGCACGTCCGTCTGCTTCGCCATTGCGAGACGTTCTCAAGGACGAAGACCCTTTCTGCTCATCCCCTCAAGGTAAGGAGCGGCCTACCATTCGTCTTCTACCCTCAATTCGAGGTGGAGATTCTTTTGCTCGCAGACTCGACGCAACGTTGTCCACCGCGGGTGAGAGAACGGTCGATCTCTCTCCTCATCGGACCAAATTGGCGGGTTTGCTGGGTGCCCTTTTCTTACTTTCTGAACGGCGACAATGACGACAGTCAACGACTTGAGCGTAGGGAACACGTTCTCGACGATCGATGGCGTCAAGGTCCTCGCGCACAGCTCGGGGTCGTTGCAGTCATAAATGCTGATCTCGATGTGTAGTTGAGTGACTTGTGACGATTCACACGCGAGTGCTGACACGAGCGGTCTGAGCGGTTGGATGATCCCCCTTCCTTCGCTACCATGCCAAGCCCAGCCCCATGACGAGAGTCGCAACCTTAAGGTCCGCAAGCTGGGGCACGCACAAATGCTATCAGCCAGCGCATCGGCGGAACGGCGAGTAGTCCTTTGCGAATTTCAAATCCGTGGTGCATGCGCATCTCGATACGTGCACTTAGAAACTACTAAAAACCGAAAAGGGTTTACGAGGGAGGCTCAATGTAGGAGTTGGATCTGGCCAGGCTAAACAAGGACAAGTCGCCTGCCACTTGGCACCGCCAACATAGAGTTCCGAAGTGAAACCAATTCGAAATTAACAGAAAACAAAAGGGGACCTTGTCGACCGGGGTGGAGATCGCTTGAAGACCGTGTGCAGCTGGAGGTTGATGCGTACACTATAAGTAAACTACCTGGTGCCACAGGATTAGGGTACCTGCTACTCACTGATATTGAGGGTACCGTGAACCTCCTTCGATCCGAGCAGGGGAGATCGGTCGATTGGGGAACGCAGTGGAGGCTGCTTGTCTGGAGAGTGTAGGCGAGGATCGAATCGTCAGTCCCGCCTCGCCCGTCATCAAGGGCCGGCGAGCACGCTCGATCCATCGATCGATCATCAAGGGTCGAAGCAAAGACTCACGGGGTACGATCAAATGCAAGCGGTCTTGTGGATCAGGAACAACCTCGGTGACATGCCGTAGGTGCCATTCAACACTCGTCGACGAGTGGATAGGCTGATGGCAAGCCGTGACGCAGTGACAGACGGTAAGGTCCGAGTGGCAAGGTGGGAAGCGAGAGATCACGGTGAGAGGGGAGAGGGGAGGAGTGGGGTGGGGTAAGATGATGGAGGTGGGGTGGTGAAAGACGGACGCGAGACGGGTAAACACGAGTCAGTCCGACCCTACGCCACACGAACACGATCACAGCTAGGTGGTTACTCACACTTTTGACGGTGGGAGGGATCGAACGACAGACTCTACCACACCACAAAGGCTACCGTTTCGTATCCTCCTGAAAAGGGGGGCGATGTCGGTAAGATTAAGTGGTGCGAGAAGTGCAGAGCGCGTCGACGAGGGAAGGAAGGAGGGGGAGAGAGGCTGGCGAAGGCCAATTGGGAGGGGTCAAAGACGAGTGAGGAGAGACGACCACCGATAAGACACGAGGTAGACGAGAGACGAGGTAGACGAGATGCGAGGTGGGATCGGGTGAGGGAGGTCAAGGTCAAGGTGGAATCGAGGTGGAGTGAAACGGGGGTCAGGTGAGACGAGAAGGGAGGGGAGGGTTAAGCAGTGTTGAATGAGGTTGAAATGAGGGTGAGGGGGGGGGGGGGGGGGGGGTTGAAGAGGGGGGGGGGGGGAGGGGGAAGAGGTGAGGGGGAGGTGAGGGGGAGGTGAGGGGGAGATCGCCACGATCGAGTCAGCATCACCGCTCGGGGCACAAACAAGCTCGTCGGGTTGCACCAGGCATCAACTCACAAGTAGAGAGGGTGGGAAGGGGGGATGATCGAACGACAGACTCTACCACACCACAAAGGCCACCGTTCGTATCCTCCTGAAAAGGGGGGTGATGTCGGCAAGATTAAGTGGTGCGAGAAGTGCAGAGCGCGTCGACGAGGAGAAGGAAGGAGAGAGAGAGAGGCGACGAGCTCGAGGTGGTGGCTGACTTGGGTGCGGGGTGTGCGCTTGGTAGAATGAGTCATCTCATCGATATGACGCCACGCCGTGAATTTAAGCTTTCGATCTTCTCCACCTCGGCCGAGGGCGGCCGAGAGCGCCGAAGATCTGAACGGAGAGGGGACCGTGCACCCGACATCGAGGCCAACGATCCATCCCTCGGAAAGACCGAATACCTTGTCGATCAAGCTCGGTCAAGTGTGAGCAAGTAGGTTGAGCTCCAGGGATCACCCCAGAGTGGAGATCGCCGCGATCGATACAGCGGTGGTCGCTCCTGTAACTTGGTCCGAGTTGGGACGACCCCGAACTCCGAATCCGCCGCAGAGCAGAGTTGCGGGGTTGGCTTCACGCGAGAGCTCCGACGCAGCGAGTCGAGGCCGTCATGCAAGCAGGGTGGCACCCAAATACAAAATCATATTGAAAGAAGATTTTTCATCTTTTTTACATGTACGTCAACCCATTGTTCATCAGAAAAGTGGCGGATTCTCGCTGCCTAGATCGTGGACGGTCAAGCTCCCCACTGCGATCTTCCGAAAGGAGGCTGCCGCCTTGACCAGACTAAGATTGAGAGCCAAACTAACGAATCTGAGGTACAGGCCATTTTACGGTACCATTCGAGATATTATGATGCATCTTCTCACACTACTCTGAGCTCGAACGACCCTTTGTTGGACCTGCCCCCGTTTGCTTTTCGGCTGGCAGCGATGGGCAGCGCAGCCTTTTCAACCACCGTTGATTCTTCCTGCACCCTGCATCCTGCACCTTGTGCCTTGCGCCTTGCGTTTTAAACAGCTCATATCTGCCTCGATGACGGTAAAACACGGTCACGACTGCCTCGATGGCGCTTTGGAAATCGTTCCAGACGCCCTGCTCTCTCGCGAGAGCAACCTGAGCAGCGCGCTGGCTTCCCTCGTCGGCAAGATCGATGGCAAGTCGCTTCCTCAGAGCCCCTTCGCAGCCCGTAACTGCTCCGCCCCGATTTTCCGAGCAAACCCTAGCTGACCGTATACGCTGTCCATCACTGTGCTCCACTCAGTCGCCATCATCGACGGCGCTACCGCGTTCGCACGTCAGCGCCATGCCGCGACGGACCGCGCGCGACACAACGAGCCGAAGCGAGGCCGGCTGTTCCTCAGTGCGATAATTCGACACCTCGAGGAGGTCATTGCAGCGACGGCAAGGCGAATCCAAGTGATCGTGGTATTTGATGATCCCATCCTTCGGCCCAAGCTCAAGCAAGACACCGTGCTCGATCGCCTAGATCGCCAGAAACCGCAAGAGCCTTCCGATAAATCGACCCCTGTCACCTACCCCGTCCTCTTCATCACGAACGACACCCTCGCCGCGTGCGTTCACGGACGATCGAGCAAAGAATGGGAGGTCGCTTTTCGCCACGGCGACGAGCCAACCCGAGTCGCCACCTTTGTTCGCTGGTCCGAGCAAGGCTTGCTCGTCGTCGCGGCCCACGAGGCCGATCCCCTCGTTTCGGCGTCGACCAAGTTTGGCCAGATCTGCGACGTTGCGCTCGAACCCAACCGCGTCGTCCTCGTGAGCGCCGACAGCGACTTTTTCATGGTTCTCGGCGCCGACCAAGCCCGCTATCGCGCCGTGCTATCGGGCAAGGACCAAAAGATTAGCTTGGTGGACCTTGCCGTACTCGACGCTCACCCCGCGGTGTGGAATTCTCGTCAGCGATTCGTCGCGAGCCTCATCCTCGGGTGCGACTATTTCAGGGGCATCAAAGGGGTCGGGCCTGGAGGACTTAGAGACCTGCCTGGGCAGTGGTTGGACGAGGCGACGTGGCAGAGTGGCTGGGATGGCGCCGCGGGGGCGTTGATCAGGAACGTCGACTCGGGGCCGGCGCCGACGGAGGAAAAGATTAAGGAGGTCAAGTCCCTTTGCGCCGCGATCGATCCTATCCAAAAACTGCTGCACTACTACAAGGACAAGACGTTCGCAAAAGCAACCGCGGAGTCGATCACCACAGTCACAAAGGGGACCAGGGTGCAGTTCAAGGGAACGCCACATGAAGACCCGTCGGCAGTCTCACGATATGCCTATGCGCCGATTCGCCGCAACCCCCCTCTCGTCCACCAACCCGGGGTCGCCTCCACCGGACCTCTGCCCTCTCTTTCGAGTCTCTCGACCGTTCAAGATCTTGAACTCCAACGTGACCTTGCCAAGGCTCGACGACGTCAAGCCGAGCAGCCGGCCCGCATGGTCTCGACGCACAAGCTCGCTGTGCAAGGAACCGTCAGGGCGTCTGACTACCGCTTGGTCGATCCCGAATTCGGGGACAGCGCAGAACAGCGCACTCGCAAGTCCAACAATTCAAAGTCGATCGAAAGGAACAAGGCGACCACTGCGGCCGAAGTACGTGCCCTGTTCTCGAAGCAATCGGACTCGGGCAGCAGCGGCGGCGGCAGCGGAAAATCTCCTGGCGGAGTTTTCTACAGGATGTCGACACTGACGGGTACGCTCGACGATCTGGTCCGAGGATGCATGGTGTCCGGAGAATTGACACAAGGCGCACATCGGGTTCGAAGACCCCCGGCCAGGACGGCACGTCAGGCTGAGGCAAGTGCACCACCGGCAGCAACTCGAAACCGAGCAAGCTCGCTCGGGCTGATGGAGGTGGACTCGGATGCGGCTGGCGCAGCTACAGCATTGCAGCAATAGAGATTGATAGGTGAAGCCGTATAAAGACAAAGAAGGTCGATGCGTCGTCGCAGCTCTCGGGGTTTTCTTGCGCCGTCGACTCGGAGTCGACCGCCTTCTTTCGTAGGTAGGAGTCGCCACTCGCACTTTAAGGTAGCCTCATGATGTTTCCCAGGTGTCGTTCCGGATCAGAATCGTAGAACTTGTTAGCTTCCCATGAATGAACTCCATGAATACAGGTCGTACGGTGGGCAAACTACACTCAGAGATAGGTATTCTACGAGATCACTCCTGGGCGCCTAGAGAATTGAATGAGAAACGGACCCGTTTCGGCCGGCGGTTCCGGGGGTTCACGTCCTTCACGAGTTTGATCGGCTTGACCCTCAAAATGGCTCAAGAGTTGATCTGGTCAGATGATACCTCGTAGGGATTGAGATCATGCCATGATTTCTTGTTGTGTTCGATACGCTGGAATGATCTACCACACAAGCGCACCTTGCGTGAATGGACGTGATCGTGGGCCGAGAACATCAGCAACTTTGCCACTCGCGCTTAGTGCTATTTAGCGCACTTTAGTGCCAAAAGCGCACTTTTAGTGACATTTAGCTCGTTTTCTATAATCTCCGGTGCGCCAAATTGCACTAAGCGCGAGTGGCAAAGTTGCTGATGAACAAGATCTTAGGCCTTTTCCACTCGCGCGTGGATGCGATCGTCGTCTCGCATAGGTGTGCGTCCGAAATCAATTTCGGACAGGGTGCGCCAGCGCTGGGGCGGGGTGGGCACACGGACCCACTCGCCCACCCATCTCTCGGTCCCTGACCATCAACATTCGCCCACAAGTGCTCTCGACAGGGTTAAAAAGGTAGACACTATGCCTCCCCGCCCTTCTGACACACCCGAACGCCCTAGGCCTGCCCTACAGGCCCTGGAACCATTCCTCCGCCTCCTGGCGATCTCCCACCGTGAGATCGAGAGCGTCGTCGCCGATGCGCTCGGTCGATGCCTCGGGCTCTTGACGCGCGCGCAGTGGAAGGAGCTTGGCTTGAACCCAAGCCGCTGGCGCGCGTTGTTCATGTCCATACTCTTCTACCTGCTGCGCGAGGACGGAGGAGCCGGAACGGGCGGGAACGGTCGCACCCGGCTGGAGGACCCTCACGCTCCCCGATGAAGCGTCAGTCGGGTCGGACGCATACGAAGAAGAGCGCGCCCTCTTTCGTCGCGTCTCGGGTGGTAAGGACGTCATTTGCTTTTCGTATGTGAGTATGCGTAACGTGGTCTCGTTGCCGTTGAACGTGGACGTGTGGACCTGACGCGTGCCCTGCACTGCGCACGCCTCCCCCCCTGTCTCACTTCGCAGGCCTGGACAAGCGTCATACGAGCAACAATCGACACCAAGATGCACAGGGTCTTCGTGCCAAAGCTCGTTTACCCGGCGGATTGGTGGGGGGACCGTGTGATGATGCTGATCGTCGGGCTCTTTGGGTGGAAGGATCGGGTACCTGCGGTCCTTCGCGTGTTTGCCTCGGCCGGCTTTGTGACCCCCTCCGCCGGGGGTCGCCACCAAGTCTACGAGCTCAAGGTGGCCGAAGCGAATTTTCGGAACCAGAGCCTCAAGCGGATTGTCGAGGCGATGCTCTTGGTTCCCCTGCTACGCGACAGGGCGACCCACCCGGCCACTGCAGACCCCAAGCTCGAGGCCGCTCTCCGTGCCTTGTACAAGAAAGCCCACAAGATCATCCCCGATGCCGCGACGTTCGACCCGATCTACACATCCGCCCGCCAAGTGATCTTTGACGCAATCCAAGTCGTCGAAGAACACCTCGACAAAATGGTCGGTCCGATTGAGCGCGATCAACTCCGCCGCCAGCACACGCTCGGCGACCTGGTGCAGGGGAAGTTCAAGTTCTTGCCGACCCAGGTCCTGCTTCCGGCACTGCACGCGCTCAAGATCAAAAGTGGTCGTAGCTTAGGCATCGGACCGGTGAGCACCCCTTGACACCTTCGGGCGGATTTGCCACTGCATTGGTATAGCCAAGTGAGCGCTTCGTACTGACCGAGGCTCGACCCGCTCCCCGATACTTCACAGGACTTTGCGCCGGAATTCATAACGATGTCCTTGCGCCGTACCGCAATCATCCTCTGGAAGGGATCGGAGGTTGCCCGAGTGCTTGTCAAATGGCTCGATGGGGTCTGGATCCCGTGGGCTGCGCAGCGTGCTGATGCGCAGACAACGAACGAGGAATTCGCCGGCGCCGGTCAAAGGGTTCGCGAGATGTTGAGGCGACAAGTCGACTCGCAGGGTGTGCTGCTGGGAGGGGGAGGCGGAGGCGAGGAATGGGTAATTCGTCCCGAATGGGAGGCCCAGTGGTATACGTTTTGCGAAGCGACGATTCATGGCATCTTTTCCGTCACGACCCCACCCCGGTCGGAAGCTCCTGGCAGCGACTCCGACGGTGACGACGCCGACCTCGGCCCACCCACCCAGGTGCGCAAGGTGACCGCCGCCCAGTCCGACCGAGGCCTCTTCAAGCCCAACTCGGATGGCGTTCCGCGTTACCTGACCGGCAAGGGACCGCTCGTCGTCTTGCAGCTCTTCAATTTCGAGCTCTTTGGTCCCCACCGAGTGCCACATGGTCAGTGGCAAACCAACGGCCATTCGGTCCAGATCCTCACGCTCGATGTCGCAGAGGCCGTTCTCGAAGCTCGCTCGTCGCCTGATTCTGAAGCTGCGATTGTTCCTCGCCAAACGGTCTACGAAACGTTCGACCTCGTCACCGACCACTACCCGACGTGGTATTCGTCCAAGAACGCGGGTCCCATCTTCCGCAAGCTGATCCAGAGTCTTCGAAAGATCCCCTCCGTCACAAAGTCCGCGACAAACCCAAAGGGAGTGGGACACGAGGAGCAGTCGGTGCGCTGGGTTACCAAACGTGCGGTCAAGCAACCTCCCACCCTCCCCGGGGGGATGCCAATGATCCAGAGGGTTGAGAACGGGAGGGAAGAGGCGCTGCAGGCCATCTTTCAAAAGGCGACTGGGGAGGTACGTTCCACTCCTACGCGAGCTGAGCGGGGGGCATTGATCCTTTGTAAACCCAAGTTTGCTAACCTCGTGTGGTGCCTTTCCTCCTTGCACCTCATATCGACCGGGTAGTCGTGGGGCGATTACGAGCTCCCCCCAATTTCCACCTGCATTCCGGGCTGCAACGAGTTGGCGAGTGAGCTCGAAGCCGGTGTCAACCGCGATGTAGTCAGTGTCGGCATCGACCCGGGTACCAAGTGCCCCGTGGCCATCTCCTCCCGATTGTACGATCGGAACGGAACCCCAATGGAAGACGAGCTGGTCCTGTACGCGTCCTCCGTAGAACAGGCCCTCCGTTCGACGCAAGAGCGCACACGGGTAATCGACGCCGAGCTCGGCGCCGAACGTAGGTTCGGCTTGCAGATTTCGTCGGGGCCGGACACTGCCGGAATGCCTCGTATCGTGCCCGCTACCGCCACTCCTGGCCCCGCTCCTCGCGTCCCGGCCCCAATCGCCCCTACCGACGCGCTCGCAGTAGCTGCCACCGACGCCCATCGGTCGCACGCTGGCATATCGGACGACGCACCCTCGACTGAGTGGCTGCGGTCCGAGCCAGAACGCCAGGCAGCAGTGCACAATTCCCGGGTCCACGCCAAAGCGACCGTTCAGCGCCTCGTCGACCAAGTGATGAGCGCGACGGGTGTCCGCGTCGTCGGTGAGTGCACCAAGTTGACAGGGGCCCTCCCGGCGCCGGTCGAGCTTCTGGTGGCATGCCTAAACCCCACCCCCGGTGACTGACCACTGCGTAAATCTGGCCCGGATCGCGGGGTTTTCTCTTTTATTTTGGTCTTTCCCTTCCTCACTCAGAACGAGCCTTGAATGGAACTCGCCAGCAGCAAGCCCTCGACAGCCTGCGCTCGCCCGAGTTGGCGCTTCGAGACGACATCCTGTCGTCGGAGCCACGCCTCTTCATTTTCTTCATCGGCGCGGGTGGCTCGAGCCGTGGCACGGTTCACGCGACCTACCGCACCAACGTCTTCCTGCGGGCACTCGTTGCAGAGATCGAGCGTCTGAAGCGCGTTGGGTTGGATATTCTGGTTTACTACGTCGATGAAGATTTGACGTCGTCGTTGTGCAGTAACCAAGACTGCCGGAACGAGCACGGCCACCGGTCGAGGTCAGTCTCCGAGTTCGGACAGGGCCGAGTCGAGGTCATGTTTGCTGGTCTGATCACCAACGTTGTTCTCCTTCGTCGCCCTACCCTCTACAGGCTCAACGACGAGGGAACCGTCGAGGGCAGCGCGAAGCCGCTGTTCCGCGTTTTACAATGCGAACGCGGATGTCAACCCCCCGTCCATCGCGATTTGGTCGCAGCCAAGAATATCAGGTTCGCGGGCCTCCATTGCCTCTTCTGCGATCACCACCCCTTCAAGCAGTATCATTAATGAGACTTGCTCCTGTACTAATACGTTAGCAATCAAAGTTCGCAAATTCGGCACAGTGTCGTGAACACATTCTTTTTATTTTCGGGTGCCGACTCGGAGCTCACGGCATCCGCTAATGATTCCGAGGCTATTAATAAATGAAAGTGGAACGTCACAGTGCAGCATTTCCGGTGGAGTTCACTGATCGGCAGTTCAGGCCGATATTTCAATCCGCCCGATTTGCACAAGGACTCCAGTAAAGAAGGTCGTGCGTGGCATTGAGGCAGACACCTCACTACTACAACGCTTGCTAGAAATCTCCGAGACGAGAATTTGATCAAGGTTCAAGCTATTTTCCTATGACAAAGTATATTCATAGAGCCAATCGCCGACCACCACGCTGAAACCGCTGGGTTCCCTCTGGCGACCCCTCTCCCCTCCTCCTGAATGTCAACGCGAGAACAGATTTCAATCGCATCGACCTAAGCATCCATCACCCCACTCAGCCGATGCCGTCGCAGCCAACGGATCCACGAGTGTGCACGCGCTTATCATCGACACCCTTGACCCCGCCTCTCAACTCGCCCAACTCGACCTTCAACGCCTCGAGTTCCCTCTCCGCGCGACCGCGGCACGCCTCGATCTTGGCCGCCGTCGTAGGGGTCAAGCCGTGCGAGTTGGGCAACAAGGTGAACGCATCGGCCATGCAGTTGAGCACGGTCGTCAGGTTCTGAGGCAAGTAGCGCAGGATCGGCGATCCACCGCGAGTTTGGGGTATTCGGCGAGACCATGTCGTCGTCGCAGAGCGTTGAGGTACTCGAGATCCCCTTGAATTTTGCGCGTCGATTTACCGACCAGGATTGACGTCGCCTCGAAGGCCTCACCAGACACGGCCCAGGGCATGATGACCGCGTAGAAGAGAACGCCCTTTACAAGGTCGTGCTCGATGAGCGTGAACCCCGTCACCTCCTTGTCCCGGGCTGGTGAATCCTCCTCGTCGGGCTGCGATGCGGACGAAGGACTGACGTCCGTGCCATCATCCCGCGTCTTGACCTTGGACTTGGCCCGGCGTCGATGGGGTGTGGCCGAATGCAAGGCGACATAGCGGCGGATAAGTCTTGACTCCTCAATGTCCTCGCGTAGCAGCGAAGACAGCAGATTCCATTGGTCGATGCATTGGTTCTCGGCCTCCCGAAACGTAAGCCTGGTGAGCAACACCGATGCAAATAGCCAAATCAGCATTGCCGTGGGTCACGCAGTCTGTCAACTCACGCTAAGCTATCTCCTGTTTCCAATACTTCCGGTCGAGCGGTCGAACGTAGCCTCGTATCAAAGTACACCAGACGACATCGCGCCTCGAGCTGATCCAGCTTGTCCGGATGAATGTCCACGATCGAAAGAGTCTCAAACTCCATATCCGACAGGGGTGGGTTGCGCGCATGCGACAGCTGGCACGTGCGACGGCCCGCGGGGAACAACTCCTTGCACCTCCATCGTCCGGGTGTTAAGCGCCCACCGCCACCGCCGCAATCGGAGCAAGGCTTGTATTTGGCGATGCAGTTCAGACAAAGAACCTCCACCGTGAAGCTTGGCAGGGTCTGCAACGTCGCTGACGTGATCTGTCCCGCCCCGATGATTCGATCACAGATGTCGCACGTGAACGCTTGCTTCTTGATGTGGGGCGGAAGGTTTCGGCCCACCTCGACCGGCGGCTCGATCACTACGGTAGCGACCTCGCGTCCTTCCATGCGATCGATCTCGGCGCTCATCGTATCGGCATATGTGATCTTTGCTTCCACCGGCGTGGATTTCCCAACTGTCGTTTGTGCCGGTGGTGTTCCGCTGGGTGTCGTACTCTGGCTATTGACCGAAATGAATGTTTCCGCAAGAGGCTCGTCCACTTTGCTCAAAAGGCAGGCGAGACATTTGAACTCGACCTGAGGGGCAAATTCGACATCCTTCCCGCGCAGCATCAAGTTCGCGATCGATTTGTCGCAAGTTTGACACGTTGCCGGTACTTCGGCCTGGCGCGCCTTTGAGAGCCTGCTCGTGCCGTCGCCATTGGTAGCCGGACTCATCATGAGTGCGTACTTGACTCCATCACGCTGCACAATCGGCTTTGCGGAAGCTGAAGGCTCCCGGGCGGGGTTATACTGGAGGACCGGTGGAGCAGCACGTAGTTCCGCACGCATTCGCATCGCTTTGGCGAGCACGTCTGCCAAATCTGAGCCATCTGGTGCTGCGGCATGGACTGGGTCTCGGGACACGTGCTTCTCTTGAGAGAACGAAGGAGCCATCAAGGTCCCAGTCAGACCGGACAGACCAGTCGTAGGGGGGGGGGGGCATGTTCGACTGACACGCCGTAGATAGTCCTGGGTCAGCAACCCAAAAATTGGGTCGGTGGAATGAGAATCCAGCTCACCATTGAAGTCTGCTCCAGGGCATGCATCTCCTTGCGTTTGAGAAAACGCCGCTCGTGTTCTGCAAGGTTCAAAATATTGGACGCCGAGAGGTGGTTGACCGCGTCGTACTGAGATCCCTCGGAGCTTGCGCCGAACCGGTCGAGTTGCATAGTACGCTGGTCCAGGTAGTTCACTCGGTCATTTAAGCCGCGAACGTGATCGTCGGCAGGCACAGCCGTGGTCGAAGATGTTCGGACCCCCATCCCGTGTGGGTAGCTCATGAGCGGCCGATTCCGACGAGGGGGACGGTCCGTTTGTTTTGCCGACTAGTGATCCCACGACTTGGAAGGCAGCCATGGCCCACCACAAGTCTCACGAATGGGCGCAAGGTGCAATCGATGAGTTCGAGTCATTGCGTGATGATTACTCAGTCTTTACGATTACGAAACGAGACGAGCTTCCCGCGGGCGCCAAGGTTCTCGCCTCCAAGTTCGTTTTCCGAACGAAACGGGACAAGGATGGTCGGCCGACTTCGTACAAAGCTCGACTTGTTGCACGAGGCTTCACGCAACGGCCGGGAATTGATTTCAAAGAGACGTTCGCACCGACAGCGAAGTTTGTCTCGATTCGTACTCTCATCGCGTTGGCGGCGGCCCGGGGTTACCATATCATCCAAGCGGACATTGACAAGGCTTATTTGCATGGCGAACTTGAAGAGGAATTGTACATGCGCGTACCGGAGGGAATCCGCCTGCCCGACAATGTCTGTCTCAAGTTGCACCGCTCGATTTACGGTCTCAAGCAGGCCGGCCGGGTATGGAACGAGACGATCCATAAGACCCTCGTCAAGCTTGGTTACAATCGTCTTCGGAGCGAAGAGTGTGTCTATCGTCGAACACTTGGCAAAGACGATTATTACATCGCGGTTTACGTCGACGACTTGTTGTTCGTTGGTCCCGACTTATCCGAAATCGATCGCGTGCTCGACGAATTGGATCGATTGTACGGAGTCAAACGTCTCGGAAATGCAGAGTACATCCTTGGCGTCCAGCTCATTCGTCAAGCGGACGGGATTGCGTTGTCGCAGCGACAGTATTTGCTCGATGTACTTGCAAGGTTCGGCATGGCGGATGCTAACAAAAGTGTATTACCAATGCAACCGGGTCTTCAGCTCAAACCCTGCGACACTCCGGATCCCTCGTTCCAGACGCAGTACAGGTCGGCGATTGGATCGTTGATGTACGCCGTCGTTGCAACTCGACCTGATCTTGCGTATCCGGTGTCGTACTTGGCAAGATTCACGAACAAGGCGGGCAGCGACCATTGGGCAGCAGTTCTGCAGATCCTACGCTACATCAAGGGAACTCTCGAACTCGGCATTGTATACAAGGCGAAACGTGATTCGTTGGTTGGATACGTGGGATACTCGGATTCAGACTGGGGTTCATCGGATGGGGCGGGGGGTATTCGCCGTTGCCAACACGACCCCAATGGCAGGAGTGTCATCGATTCCAGAACCTCCGCCGGCGACGCTTCAGACGACACGCGGAGGGTGTCATCGTTTCCTCCCCTCGAAGTCAATGCCGTAGATGCATTTTCGATGGGGTCGGTTTCAAGCTCGGATCTCATCATGTGAGTTCCGGGATGCTTGATGGAAGACTGAAAGCAAGGTTGAGTTCGGCGGACGTGCAACGGAAGCGTGCGGATGATGAACAGAGCATTCGACGCTGGAAGAGCTGCGATCGATCGCAACTCGGCTGCTCTTGATCTTTACGCCCAAGATCTGCGTTCGGATCGGACTCCGCGTATCGACCCGTGTTTGGGACGCGTCGCAAAACCAGTGACTTGACTCATAGAAAGCTTTACCGTGTGAATTTCACAAAGTCTGGTCAAGAATTCTCTTTCAGTTCTGCACCCACCCACTCGCAGAAAATATTAAAGTCTCCCCGAGAGGAATCATATTTGGGAGTATCAGACCCATGGAATTTCAGACATCGCAAGCATCGGTGACAGATTCACGTCTAAGCAACCATCAAAGGAAAGGTTTGACATGATCATCCAGAGAGAAGATGTTGTGGCCTTTGTTCTATCCGTTGGACTTAGTCAAGCGGCCTATAACATTGAGATCAATGGTCACATTTTCCTTGTCACACCAGCTCTTCAGCTCGTCCCAAGTGGTTTCGTTCAACTGCGAGTCGATTTTGGTTTTCGACCAAACGACGGCTTCCTTCTGGCCGACGCGAGTGTCGAACATGTGGAACCAAACTTGAATGTCGACGAGCCGAGGAAGTTCACTCGTCTGAAGGCTCTTGAGTAGAGCGACCAAGCAGACCTCGAAGCCCAGCTTGGCGTAAATCGAAAAGTTGATGCACAGCGTGTGGAAGGGCGCATACGAAGGGATTGCCGCCACGAGGGGTCGAACGGAATTGAGCTCTTGGGAGTGATTGCGGCCGCGACACCCCGCGTAGGACAAAACACTCAAGCGGAAGATCCGGAGCGATTTGCACGCTTGAAGACCCTCTACGAGAAGCTTGATGATTGTAGAGCTTGCATCGAGTCCATCGTCCTCGAGGATGAGAGAGACTTCCTTCAGTCGCACGCCTTTGCAGGTCAGGAGCTCGACCTCGAGCGCTTCGCGCGTCGGCGATGCATGGTCAAAGAGCTGATTGTACCCGCATTTCAACTCGATCTTGACGAGTGCGGGCGTGCTCACGTGCCGTGCAAAGTGGGAGAGGGCATGGAAGCGCCCTTCGCGGCATTTCAGAAAAGTGAGCTTCGGGAGCACCGGTCGCATGTGTCTCAACCACTCGAAGCGGCAAGATTCGATGCCGCTCAGCTCGAGCCGTTCGAGATCTGCGGGGAGGGCGATTGGGGTCAGTGTCTCGGATTGCTATCATGTATTACACGAATGAAGCGGGTAAGCTTGTACTTTGAAGATCATACTTGATGGCGAACAGATCCAGCACCAACTCTTCTTGCGACACGCAAAGCGCCTTGACCGACGATCGCGTCAGGCTCAGCAGGTCGAAGAAGAACTTGGCGGCAGCGGTCTTGTCCCGAACGAGCGAAACGCGGAGGCGGTGGATCGGGTACCGCCTCGCCAGACTGAGGTCACGTGTCTTGTGCTCGGTCCAACGCCCGATCGTAACATGCAGCTCCTGCATCAGCTGGCGCGAAAAGGGACCGCGCCATGCTCGACAGGTTGCAGCCGCGTTGCGAAGGTCTTGGAAAACCGACTGGGTTCGCCATTCGACGTCATCTTCGTCGCTGCGACGCTGATCGACAAAGGCCGCAATGTCACTGAGGAGCTCGGGCGGCAGGCGGCGAACTGCTTTACCACTCGCTCGTGCGTGTAAAGGCGCCATGTTTGTACTGAGGGCGAGGGTCGGCAACGAGGCGCCCGCCGCCCGGTCAATTTGCTATCACGACACTGCTGGCGGCGGGGGCGCGTCCGAGTCGCGACGAGAGCAAGACGCGCTATACCCTGCTACGCCTGTCCTGACGTAATACGCCTCGGCGCGTGACGCGTGACGTAGGGCATTGCAGCTCCCTCCGCATTCTCGCTCCCTTTTCTCAACGCCGCCAGAGTCCCCAGTGAACAAGTGAACATTACCACATTTTAGCAGTGAGTGGGTTCCTGAATCGACCCGAGCAATCTGAAACCAAGTCGACGATGGTGTTGAGCCTGATAGTATTGTCATGTCGTTGCAGTGAATTCGACATCCATCGTCGCCGGGCCATCGTCCTCCACTTCCCACGATTCACGCTCGCAAAGGGACGAATACCGTGATCGAGAAGACGAGCTCGAGTCCGACTCTGAAGCCGGTACGGACGTCAATGATGCGGAGAATGACTCGGACTCCTGGAGCATCGCCTCGTCACGTTCTTCATTGATCGTGTTCGAAGAAAGCATCGAAGAAAGCATGGGGGATTCGGATGGAGATTCGATCACGGAGGAGGAGGACAGGCACGCGCACGCCGCCAAAGTCGACCAGGACTTTGCGAAACACGTCCAGGATCGAGAGCGCGAGTCTCAAACAATAAAAAATCACTTCATCAAACCTCGTCCCGAGCACGATTCGCGCCACGTCAGCTGGACCGGTCGCTTGGGATCGAGAAGGTCGGTTGAGGAGATCGTGGAAGCGATTAGGGTGGCAACGGTGAGTGCGGACAGTCCCCATTTCAAGTCACTCAGGGTTCAGCAGTGGAACTGATCTGGTCGAGTGAAACCGCACCTCCTGGCACGTAGGGGGGACAATCTCGGCTCGTCGCATGCCATAATGCGAATCGGCCCTGCGCAGAGTGTCGCTTCGAGCCGGCCAACGAAGGGCCTTCGCTCGATGAGACGCCTGACATCGTCCTCCTTCCTCTCGAGGTTGTTAACGACAAGGACTCGGACTTTGTGGGGGCTTGGAGTCGCCTCAGGGAAGGCGAGAAGGATATCCGTGGCTGGATCCACGTCACAAGCGTCGGCATCATACATCACAGCGACAGCTCGCGACATGCCCGTCGCGCCGTGCCCCGCCTCAAGCGCCAGCTCCTCCGAATGCTGAACACGCCAATCCGTGACTTTGCTCTCGGTTTCACTCTCTTGGGGTCGGCTCTTACCATTTACACCCTCACGAATCAAGGTCTTTTCTATTCCCCACCCATCGAGTGTACGCTCGAGAATGGCAACCTCTCGACGTTCCTCTTCCGTCTCCTCGACATGAGCAATGTCGAACTCGGTGTCCGGCTGTCGTACAATGGGAGCTTCAGCCTGGAGGGACTGAAAAAAATCCCTTTGGACTGATCCCTGAGGCGGAGAGACACTTCACGTCCATCACCCGGGGGCCCCCCTTGGTTATCGCAACTCCACCTGTTCATGACCGAGTTTTAGTATTGGAGTCCGGTTTCATCGTTGATGATCGTATAGCGCAATATGATTACAAGCATCTGGAGTGCCTCTCCCCAAGTTCCCATTCCAAAATAACACGTTTACCCCGTTTCAGGCTCGGTGTAAGACACTGAGGGGGAGTGCAGCCTCAGCCGAGCGAGCTCAGCAGAGGCTCCGCTGTGGAAGGGCCTCGCTCGGAAAATGCCGACGCGGCGGATGACCTTCGTCTTTCACACCTGCGCACATATCCCTGGCTGCACCATCGAATCGAGAGGTGTGATACTTACGTTCAGTATGATCCTTCTTGTCCTCATCTTCACCATACTGATCTTCGCAACCCCCTCTGCATCGCTCGCTGGGCGTTCCGCTTCGCAAAAACCGTGCCCCCCGCCCCTCCGGGTCGATCTTGCACTCGCAGTGATATCAGTGAGTTGACGGTGACCCTTTCTGAGTCTAGCTGGAACGATGATCCCATCAGCACATTCTGCTTGTTTCACCTCGCTTCGGTCATGCAATACTCGCATTGAGATGGGTACGACTTGGCGGAGGCGGAGCCGACAGGGGCGTGAGTCGCCGTGACGCGAAACGCCGACGTGGCTCGATCGAAGCTGCTTCGACGGCGAAACAAGAGCGCGTGAATGTCGAGATGCTCGATGGCGCCGAGATCCGAGTCGAAATCGTGGACGCGAGGCGGCAAGAACTTGTCGGAGATGGAGAACTTGCCGGTCACGTCGTCGACGTCACTCGTACTGGCCAGTACGCCGTAGTCGCGGTCGTCGAGCTCGAGCAGGTGTAAAAGAACTCTCGAGAGGAGGTGCTTGTTCGTGTCTGTGCGAAAGTCCCGGGTCTCGGTCGCGAACACACCGTAAGCGTTGACCAGGTACACGCGAAGCATCTCGCCGCAGAGCGTGAACCCGAGCGCATTGGAGCGGATCGGCGTGGTCAACAACATGTGGAGTCGACGCAGGAGTTGGCGCTCGACGCGCCTTATCCCAAGTTGGAGCTGTCGGGGAACTGAAGAAGCAACGCGGTGAAGTCAAGGAGGCGAAGCCGCAACTCCTGCGTCGACTCCACATGTTGTTGACCACGCCGATCCGCTCCAATGCGCTCGGGTTCACGCTCTGCGGCGAGATGCTTCGCGTGTACCTGGTCAACGCTTACGGTGTGTTCGCGACCGAGACCCGGGACTTTCGCACAGACACGAACAAGCACCTCCTCTCGAGAGTTCTTTTACACCTGCTCGAGCTCGACGACCGCGACTACGGCGTACTGGCCAGTACGAGTGACGTCGACGACGTGACCGGCAAGTTCTCCATCTCCGACAAGTTCTTGCCGCCTCGCGTCCACGATTTCGACTCGGATCTCGGCGCCATCGAGCATCTCGACATTCACGCGCTCTTGTTTCGCCGTCGAAGCAGCTTCGATCGAGCCACGTCGGCGTTTCGCGTCACGGCGACTCACGCCCCTGTCGGCTCCGCCTCCGCCAAGTCGTACCCGTCACAATGCGAGTATGGCATGACCGTGGCTTGGGTTGAACAAAGTCGACTCGCCGGATGCCTCGACCTGCGCAAGAAGATGCACGCCGCCCCACGCTCGGAGACCCAGGGGCTCAGCCGGATCGTCGGCGTTCACCGCGGCGCTTTCCGGATTCTCCCCGACTTCCTTCCCGACGACGAGGTGTTCGAAGGCATCGAACCCCGTGCGCTTGAAGTCGTCTTCTTCGAAGAGTGTTACTCCACACTAGACTCGGTCCAGGATACCGAAGCCATGGCTCGCGTCGTGTTGGGCGTCATTCACGGTAAGCATCCCAAGACGACGAGTGCGGCTCTTGGGGATTGTCCCTGATCGAACCCGGCTCATGTCAAGGCCACTGGAGCCTGCACTGACTCGGCTTTCTCCAACGTGACGTCTCGTCCAACAACGTCATGGTCGATCGCACCGGGCACGGGGTACTGATCGACTATCATTTGGCGGTGGCGTACGATCGACCTGACCATGACCACATTTTCAAGACACGCTCCACCGCTAGAGACGTATACCGGAGGGCTGGAGCGTGTCTTGAAGATGAGGTCATAATCTGGCAGATCGTGCGCCTCCGCCAGCTGATAGTCGATCGGCACCCGTGCCGGGTGCGATCGATCATGACGTTATTACGTCACGGTGGAGAAAGCCGAGTTGGTGCAGGCTCCAGTGGCCCTGACATGAGCCAGGGACACTCCCCAAGGGCCGCACTCGTCGTCTTGGTAGCGTTGTAACACTGTTCGAAGACGACTTCAAGCGCACGGACTTCGATGGCGTCGAAGACCTCGTCATGGGGAAGGAAGCCGGGGAGGATCCGAAAAACGCCGCGGTGAACGCCGCGGCCGGGCCGACGATTCGGCAGAGCCCCCGGGTCTAGGCGAGCACCACTGGAAATCGAGAGCGAGGATGGGGCGTGAGTCAGCTGAATCGCTGGTTTCGACGCGTTCGATGAACACGGTAGGAGGGAGGCAGACGCGGTCGACGAGCGGCCGAGGCTAGTCAATTCGTCGCGGCAGCTCGTGCTAGTCAGGCATGGACGTCGGACAGAACTTCTACCTTGCGCATGAAGATTGGGGGAGCTTCAATCACGGTGGGTTTTTTGTGAGATCGGTGGAGCTTCAATCACGGTGGATTTTTTGTCGGAACACCCGAGAGCATGACAACGCCCAAGACGACTCGTCGGAAAACTGGGTGGGGTCGGAAAACTGGGTGGGGTCGGAAATGGTGCGTTCAAACTCTTTTAAGCCAATTTAGACTGTGACATCATCGAGGAGGACACGTACGATACGAACGAGCCAAATTCTCTCCATCAGTTTGCTGCTGCGACTTCTCTTCATCGGGTTGCGAAAACGATTTCTCGAGCTTCTGTACGGCTTTCAGGCATCGGGAATTGTACGTTTATAGGGAGGCGGCACAGAAGGAGATCGGAGGGAAGGGGAAGAAGGGGGCGAAGGTCGAAGATTCTAGTGGGCCGGGGAAAAAAATCCTTGTCGAGGGGGAGGCAGGGATCAGGAACCGGAGAAGCTGAAGAAACGGAGGACACGGAGAAGGCGGAGGGAGCGGAAGAACCGGCGGACGCAGTCAGAATACACGAACCTGAAATGGCGACGGAAACAGACTCCTTAGACTTGAGGCATCGATCGGCTTCGATTTGTACAACTTCAATTCGCCGGAGGCCTTCGACTCCAGGAAAAGTCAACACGGGTGCGCGTTTCTGGGAATGGCTGCGGGATGCTCAAGCGGCGAAAGAAGAGCAGTCGGATGAGTCGGAGCGGTCGGTCTTTAAGGTGTCCTGGACGGCCATGACGGTGGGAAGGAGAAGAACGAGGATTGGGAGCTCGAGGAAGGAGAGGAAGTGATGACAATGACTGCGTACAAGAAGGTTGGGGTCAGGTTGACCGACGACTCGAACATGGCGGTGATCGATTACGGCGGGGAGGCAGTGCTGATGTGATGTAAGGTATGCGCCTTTGATGTGCACAAAATATAATTTGTCGTTCTTGAACGCTAGGCTAAAAGCAAGTCGTAACTAGAACTCGATAGTTCTAGCTACTCTACCTGTGGGGCTGTTCCTGTAAGGCATCCTTTTACACGGGGTGGGCCTCCTGTCGTTAGTACCTTATCTTATCTTCTCTCTCTCTCATTAGTCTCCTGGGGGGAGCAACCGCTTGGCTGGGGCATTTGAATCCCGTTATTGGATTGGTGGACACCGGCCCGTTTCTCGCACTTTGGCGGGCGGTTTGTGTTATCATCGTCGACTTCCTTCTAGTTTTCCGTAGGCCAATCAGGGGGAACAGGAATTGGGGGCAATACGATGAACAGTTTCTACAAGAAAAAAAAAGGGGGGGGGGGCTTCCGGAACGGTGAGGAGTTCATGGTCGAGCAATTCGTGTGCGTGCGCGATCGTCATGGCTGTTGAGAGATGGAAAGATGAGGGAGTGAGAGGGTAGTACCCGAGGTGCGTCAGACGTGAACAAGTTGCGCGTGACGGGGACCGGCGCGCTCCTGGCTCACCAGCTCGATCTGACCCCTCGGAATCACTCCGAACCATGGAGGGGCAAGACAAGTAGTGAATCGTTCGGAATTAGAGTAGTACGAGCAGATGCGTTAAGCTACGATTGTCATTTAAAACCGTCAAGAACACTGCTTTTTTCATTGTTGCTGCTACAAATCAGGTCGACTTGGTGACCTCGGGTGACTGAGGGGTCTCCTTTCGGAAGACCGCAGCGCCGAGGGAGCTGCGATGCCGAGCGGCGGCGGCGCGGGCTAGCGTCATTGGCACGGATGAAGCAAGCTCGTAGAGCTTGACCTCGAGTCGCTTGATAAGCGCCAAGCCTGGCCTCAGCCTTCTTCAGCGGGCGCTTCGTCGCTCGTCGAGCGTCTCGTGTTGGCCAAGTAATACGACGAGCAGTCTCCGACTGAACGTCATTTGTGCCGAACTCTGTTGATTAATAGTAAATGGCTTGGTTTGGGCTTGGGGGCGAATTTCCCCACGACACGGCCCCGCGAAGAAACCGGCGACCCAACCGGCGCAGATTGCGCCGCCGCGAGCGAGGCCGAAAGGGGGGAAACAGGGGGTCGAAGGGAGAGCTCGCCCCCCAGCACAAACCAAGCGAGTTTCTGGGCGATCCTCAGATCCCATGTTTCACATTACCGGAGACGCGTCCGCGATTGACCGGGTGCGCGTCGTTCCTGATCACCGACAGCGAAATCGAGCGGAGAGGGCCGACTTGAAGGCGAAAGCAGTCGTAGTCAAAAAGCTCCGCGATGCGACCCTTGCATGGAGAAACGGGGAATTTCGCTAGCCGCTACCTGACGAAATGCGTCATCATCGTCCGAAACGTGCTTGCTCGGAGCAAAAGGTTCCCTGGGAAGGTGACGGAGGCCGAAGTCGAAACCCGCGCGGATCTGGGTCGGGATCAAAGCGACTTGCTCGAAAGAAGTGTTGCCACAGTATACGCGAAGGCGATTCATGGCCGATTGCCATCGATTAACGTTGAGGGGCGTAACGACATCGGTCAACGCCGCACGTAAACTGTGATGGAACGGAGAGCGGAGAGCTTATCCAACCCCGACCTAGGGGCTCTCGCTGACTCGGAAGAGGCATGAACAGGAAACTAGTGTCCCGTTGAGAAGGGTCTGTAGTAGATAGGTCAAAAAAGAAGTGTCTGTGTGGAATGCCCAGCTAAGACCTGGGCGGGTGACACTGGATGCGTGGAAAACGTAGGCACCGAAAAATACGGGGCCAAAGAGGGGCTTTGAGAAAGCGACCACATTCGAGGACGGATCCGGCCGTATGATAGAAGTAAAGCCAACATGGCCGGACGATAGAAGTCAAGCCAATATGGCCAAATGATAGAGGTACAGCCAATATGGCTGTACGATAGAAGTAGAGCCGAACATGGCTGTGTGACGGAAGTAAAGCCGAACATGGCCATACGGAGTAAAGCCGAACGTGGCCATACGAAGTAAAGCCGAACATGGCCATACGAAATAAAGCCGAATGTGGCCATACGAAATAAAGCTGAATGTGGCCATATGAAATAAAGCCGAACATGGCCATAAGAAGTATAGCCGAACGTGGCCAAACAAAATAAAGCCGAACATGGCCATAAGGAGTACAGCCGAACATGGCCATACGAAATAAAGCCGAATGTGACCATATGAAATAGAGCCGAACGTGGCCGTACAATAGAAGTAGAGTCGAACATGGCTGTGTGATGGAAGTAAAGCCGAACATGGCCGTATCAAAGGTGCGCGGATTGCGAATAAACTCACTGGCGCTTGGAAAATTTGTGAAACAAGGCTCCCGACGAGAAACGAGTGCAGGCATCCGAGTTGAATTCGTGGCTGGGACGAATGGGTGGGTGGTCTAAGAACGTCGATCCGCAAACGATGCCGAGACTAGATGCTGGCTCCAGGTGTGAACAGACTCAATGGTATCGCTTCTGGTCGCCGCGTTGGACGCGATGTCAAACAGCTCTCACGAGACTGTGACCGGCGAGTCCGCCTAGGCCGCAACCAAACTGGGACGAGAGTGAGACGTTGTGACCTTGTATGAACTGAACGACTTCTTTTGGGAATCCGATGCCCCCGCCTGGAAACTCCTGTAGAGTTCGCGGCCGAAAGAGGCTAGTACTAGGTCAGGACCGCCAGCATCCACAGCTCCGCCAGCCAAGGATCCGCATTAGATCAGATCACCGTCAGATCAGATCAGATCAGATCTGGATTTTTCTGATTCTGCCTTGATTGATCTGATCTTGATCTGATCTGAGCAGATCAATTTGATCTGAGACATGAAATTGCCTAATTTGGAACATAAAGACTTCTACATGTCTACATGTTGAAATCCTCATCTTCTTCCTCCACAACCTCATCCTCATCCTCATCATCCTCCCAAGTGATCACCTTGCTAAGCCGCCGTTTTTTGGAGGAGCTTCCCGCTTCTATGACTGGATTGGGTCGCATGATCCCTATGAGAAAGTGTTTGCAATGAGTCAGCACCTGACACTGCAACGAAGGCCCAACAGAGGAGGACCACACCCTGTAGTATTTCTGTGGCGCCGGGCCGACACCCAATGCGGCGGCGATGCCAGATGGCAGATGGCGTGCTCCTTTCTCTCTCATGCAGTGATCAGGTGCGCCGCAGTTGGCATTTCAAATCACATTGGCACCATCTATAGGTACCGCCTACTTTTGGATTTTTTTTCTCGAGGCTTGATTGATCTGAACTTGATCTGATCTGAACTTGATCTGATCTGAACTTGATCTGATCTGAACTTGATCTGATCTGAACTTGATCTGATCTGAACTTGATCTGATCTGAACTTGATCTGACCCCCGTCAGATCAGATCAGATCAGATCTGAAACTGTTTAGATCAGATCAGATCTGATCTGATCTAATGCGGACCCTTGCCGCCAGCACCACCAGCACCGCGGGGGGGTAGGGCGACGGTCTCGCCGCCTCCGAGATTGATGTCCGACATGGGAATGGCGATCGCCGCAAGTGGGACACTTGTTCGTGTTGGAACGAGACAGTGGGGAGAAAGAGGTTTGTTGGCGTGGGAAGGCGTGGAAAGCAAAAATTTCTGAAGTTTCGAGCGAGCAACAGGCGATGTTGCGAGCGAGAACAGATGGTTCTAGTGAGAGGAAGTGACTCACACCGCACTCGCCTTTCGACTCGCTCGGCGCGCCCGTTGGTCGCCTTTGGCAACCGGCCACGAGTACGAAAGCGCCGCCGCCGCCCGCCCCCACCTCTCTCTCTCTCCTTCTTTCTTCGTTGATGAGTACCTCTCACATGGCTCCCCCACCACTGGGCCGTAACCGACTAGCGCATCGACGCAGCACCGAGGCGGTAGGTGGTGGAAGTCGGCAGTAGTGTACCATCAGCCACCGTGAGTTCACCCCTCCCACTCGTGACAACCTACTGGTAGTTCCGTCTGCTCGAAGTAAAGTTGCGAGCTGCCGCTAACATGGCCACCCGCTGCCAACAGCTGCTTCAACTGGCAATGCGGCGGGACAGGTCAGACTCGAGGATGGGGATGATGGAGAGGAAGTGGGGATGTGTGGCGATTCACTGTATTTGCTTTTTCATTAGTCTTTCCCACGTGCACGTATTAGGCCGCGTTGCACAGCGACTCCGTCTGGTGTCCTCTTCTTTGATTTCTCATTGTTTGGGTAGAACAGAGTCCGAGGATTAACCGTGCTGGAATGCGATGATCCAAAGCCTCCACAAGAATGATCCTATTCCAAAGGTCCGGTCCGGTCCGCCTCCCTTATTCCAGCTCATCCGCACGCATCAATTCCTCGTCCTCCCTCTTGCCAACTCCGAAAACCTCCTCCTCATGCACCGGCATCAACTCGACCGACGTCGTCCCCCCTTCTTCCCTGATCCTAAATCTCGCCGTGTCCCCATCCCTAATGGTCCCTTTCAAAATAGCCGACGCCAACTGCTGTCTCACCACTTTATTCAACAAACGATTCACCTCCCTGGCTCCCCAACGAGGTTGATACGCTTCTTTCGCCAACCAGTCCCTCGCCTCTGGGTCGATGGATAAGTGGATCTTGCGTTCGTTGGTATTGAGCATCTGTTGGATTTCGGAAAGGCGCATGTCGATAATGGATGCGACATGAGTGGGCGAGAGGGAATTGAAGACGATTTGTTCGTCGAGTCGATTGAGGAGTTCAGGTGGGTAGAGCGAACGAACGCGTTCGAGAACGAGGTCTCGAGCTACAGGGGTCACTTCACCATTGGGTGAAATGGATTCGGGTCGCATGAGGATATCGGAGCCGATGTTGGAGGTGAGGATGATGGTCGTGTTCTTAAAGTCGAGTTTACGACCATGCGAATCCGTCAAAGCGCCTTCGTCGAGGATTTGAAGGAGGATGTTGGCGACGGAGGGATGCGCCTTTTCAAATTCGTCGAAGAGGATCACCGAGTGGGGATGACGACGAACGACGGACAATTCGCCTCCGTCTTCGTAGCCTACAAAACCGGGGGGTGCACCGATCAATCGTGCGGCGGTGTGTTTGTCGTGGTATTCGGACATGTTGAGGGTGATCAGTCGATCCGTGCCCGTCAATTCTGCGGCGAGCGCTTTCGAAAGTTCCGTCTTGCCTACGCCCGTGGGACCGAGGAAGAGGAAGGAGGCGACGGGCCGATTGGGGTTGTGTAGACCGGCACGAGAGAGTCGAACGGCCTCGGCGACGGCGTGGAGAGCGGGCTCTTGGCCCACGACACGTTGGCGTAGGATCGACTCGAGGTCGACCAATCGAGCACGGTCACCACGCATCAAGGCCGAGACGGGGATGCCCGTTGCTTTGGCGACGACGCGAGCGACGTCAGAAGCAGTGACGCGCGCTTGACCCGCTTCAGCGGCTTCTTGACCATCCTTGGGGACCTGCGCTTCGAGCTTGGGGATTATCGAATACCTCAACTCGGACGCCTTGTCGAATTGCCCCGTCCGAACGGCTTCCTCCAATTCGAAGCGTTTCCTCTCCAATTCTTCTTTTGCCTGTCGGATCCTCTCTCCTCGCTCCCTCTCGTCCCTCCACTCCTTCTCCATCTTGGACGCCTTGTCCTTGAGCCGGGCGATCTCGTCGACCAAGACCTCACGACGTGATCGACTAGCCTCGTCTTGGTCCTTGCCCAAGCTTGACAACTCGATCTGCAACGTCGTCAAGTGTTGTTCGAGTGCCTCGAGTTGCTCCGGTTTGGATTCCCTCGCCAGGCGCAACGCCGCCGCCGCTTCGTCGATCAGATCAATGGCCTTGTCCGGTAGTTGTCGATCGGTGATGTAGCGTTGCGAGTAGGTGACGGCGGCGATGATAGCCGCATCAGAAACGATCACGCCATGATGAACTTCCATGCGCGACTTGCCACCTCGCAACATGGTGATGGCTTGTTCGGCCGAAGGTTCTTCGATCGTCACTTTTTGGAAGCGGCGCAGCAACGCGGCATCCTTTTCGAGTTCGCGAAATTCGTTCCACGTCGTTGCACCGGCGAGTTGGAGACCCCTTGCGAGAGCGGGCTTGAGCATGTTACTTCCCGTGAGACTGCCTTCGGCTTTGCCGAGTCCAAGCAGTTGGTGAATTTCGTCTGTGGGGCATGGCGTAATTAGCGTCGGGCTCAAGGAAGAAAAGTTCGAGCAAGCGTGCTCCACTCACCGATGAAGACGATGATCTGCCCCTTGGCATCCTCGATATCGGCAATAAGATCTTTGAGCTTGCCTTCGAACGATCCCCTGACGGCGGTACCACTCATGATGGACGCCAAGTCGATCGAGATCAATTTCTTCCCCTTGAGTGACTCGGGCACCTCGCCCGCAACCAATCGTTGCGCAAGAGATTCAATGATGGCCGTCTTGCCTACCCCCGCTGCACCAACAAGGACAGGATTGTTCTTGGTACGCCTGGAAAGGATCTGTATCGTGCGTCGTACTTCGTCGTCTCTTGCAATGACGGGGTCGAGTTTCCCCTGGCGCGCGAGCTCGGTCAAGTCGACGCCGTGTTCTTTCAGAGCGGCACCCGGTTCGCGCTTGGGTTGACTGTTGAAAATGTTGCCGATTGGGAAACCACCACCGCCGCCGCTCGCGTTGTTGTGGTTGTTGTTATTACCGCCGGGTGGCGGTGGGTGTCGGGCTGGGGCTCGAGGAGGGGCCGAATGTGAGAAGGAGCGAGCTTGAAGTGAGGACCTGTTCAGCGCCGGCTGGGTGGTGGCGACTTGGATCGTCGGTCGCAACAGCAGCTGGCCATGACGGTGCGCAGGACGGAGTAATCGAGGAGCAGTAGATGCAGAGGTGAGCGAGCGCAAGGAGGTTCTCTGTAACATAAAGGTACCAAGTATGGGCTGTGTAGTGCGTGCTTGAGTGTGAGTGTGTGCGTGGTGTGTAGGGGAGAAGGGCAAGGAACTGATCGAGCTGGGATGTGGGGGGGGGGGGGTGACCCGGTGACTCGTGCGCGGGAAATTGAAAATGCTTCGACTGGATTCTTGTAACTTCCATTAGCTTCCTCGCCGTTCCTGGCCGAATCCGACCTCGCCGTACGAGGGCACGTGACCTGCTCCGTCATCATCGATCATTACCTGCCTTCGCCCATCGCCGTATCGCCATACGGCGTTGAGCGGCCCCCCTTCCGATTGAGTTGCCCTACAGTCGGAATGGCCGTAGCATCAACATCGACCCAAGACGATGCCACTTCTTGCACCGAATCATCACTGCTCGTCCTGCCGAGTTTGCCCACGCTCGTCGTCCAGGCCTTACCATGGCTCTACACGCAATGGATCAAGCTTGATCAAGCTCAGTTACAAGGCTATCAGGTGTGGGCTGTTGAGCAGAGGTAGGTGTCCTACCCCGGGTCTTGGGATTGGGGTGGGGAGTGTCCGCTGACGACTCGGACTCGGGTGCTGCATTGAATGAATAGGGTCACCGATCGAACGGCCCTGTTACCCGTCATCACCGTCGCAACAGGCATAGACGAACATGTGGTGTGTAGTCTCACCTCTAGTCTGGAGTTCCGACTTCCACCTTACTAATCACCTATTACCTCCCAACAGATTACCGTCGACCGCTACCAATTGAACCCGGCCCTCCACCTCACTCCGGACCAACACCGCCAAGCATGGAACAAGGCTAAATCTCTGCTCAAAGCTTCCAATGCGAGGCTAGCCAACGTATGCGCCCCAAAGCAGCACTCACTTGGTGGTTCCTCTGTGATTCGGAGCTGACGTGTATTCGACGCCCCACCCAGACCCACCTTGGCTCGGTCCCCGTCACGGCGTTACCTTCCCTCGCGGCGATGAACCTCTCTTTGGTCCAATTACCCGATGCCGTAGATTATGCCAGCGTTATGGATGTGCTCTATCAGAACATCAACTTGAGGAGGTCGGTACTGTGTTCGCACCCAGTCGGAGCAAACACGTTCGCTCACAGTTTTCGCACTTCTTGCCTTTGCCCACAGACTCGGTATGGGAGCGAGAAGTAGTCTCGGTTTCGCACCGGCAACGCAAGTCCCGCTTGATTCCACCCTAGTCATCACTGATCTCGGTCAAACTAACCCCCTTATCGCCTAACCCACCTCAATAGATACCCTCAACTCCTCCACTTCCGGCAAACTTTCCACCTCCCCACCCCCACGCCCCGTTCCCACTCCCTCCCCTCCACAATCACATCTACCTCAACCCTCTCTCAACCCTCCTCGAACTACATCATCATCGACCTCCTCAAACTGCTGCAACACGCCCTCTCTCTCTTCAACCTAGGGCCGGTGTATACACCTTCACCCGGAGGCACGTCGACGACGACGACAGACGATCCTGAACGACCATTGAGGAATCGAGAAGGGGATGGTTTGTTGTGCGATACGACCCTTTCCGCGCTCGTCAAATTTCGAAAAGAATTCGCTTACCCTTTCGTAGGAATGGATTCGAAAGCCTCGGGATCGACTTGGTCGTTGGAGAACGAAAGGGGAGGTGAAATCATTCTCACTTCCACACTTTTGGCGGCCCTTTTATCCCTAAGTTTGGCAACTCGTACACGTATGGTCCTTCAAGGCGCTCAGAACGTACCCAAGGATCCTTTTGAAAAAAGAAGGAAATTCGTTCGTTCTGTCGCGGCGTTCAAGAAGGAGTATAGGATGGAAGAAGAGGGCGAAGGGAATGGGTGGATCACGACGTCTTTTTTGGAGCGGTTGAGAAGGGAGGGGAGGAAGGGGAGGGGTAAAGAAGGGGAGACGGCTGGGAGGAGGAAAGTCGTAGGAAAGGTTTTGAGTGTCGTTCCTGGAGTCGGTGCAGGGAAAGGGGGGGACATGCATGACGAAGATCAGGAGCACGGGTCGATCAAGGACGACTCGCATAGAGATCATCGCGTGTTGACGAGACGACTACACAAACCACGCCTAGGCGATCTCGAAACGACCGAATTGGAGGCGTTGGTCGAACACATGAAGAACGGCTCGGTTGGGGGTGTATTGACGGCGCGACTGTGGGATTTGACGAGGAATCGGAAGGAGAGGAGGGAGGAAGAGAGGGAACGCAAGAGGGAGGAAGTGGAAGAGGGGAGCGCGACGGATGGAATTGGTGCAACCTGGGGAGGTGCGGGTGGGGGTACTACGAGCGGTGAGGGAGAGATCTTTGGGTTTGGAAGAGGGGTCCTCAAAGGAGTTAGGCAGCGGGCGGGGAGAGCGGTGGGCAAGATTGGGGATGGGTTGGGCTTCAATGATGCGAGTTCGGCCGCGGCGGGTAATCATGGCAAGGAGACGCCGAGCGTCGTCATTTCTGCGTGAGTCAGATTGGGTCTCAGAGGTCCGTTGGAGGACTAAGCGCCGCTCTGATGCCCCATGTATGATCTCAGACCCGCGGGTTACGACCTCCGTCATTCCTCAACCGGCGATTCGGCATCTCTCAATTCTCAATCCTTCGCCTCGCGTATCGCCTCAGCCCTCACAACCGAACACACCATGAACCCTCTCCCTTCCGTCGTCCGTAATCGATTCACCAACAGTCAGTCCCCTCCTGCTGTGGCTCGATCAAGTAATTCTACGGCCACGCCGGGGAATGGGTCTATCAAGAGTCGTGAGAAGGAGGATGGTGGGGTAGTGTTGCCGAGTTCGTTGAGGTCCGAGACTTCTTCGGTGGTGCATTTGGGGGTGGGGACGTTGGATTTGAAGTTGCCAAGGAGGACGGTTAGTGCTTCAAATATGGGGCATGGGGGGAATGCGCCGTCGTCTTCTTTGGGAATGGGAGGGTGGCATGGCATGACCGACGACGATGAGGAAGAAGAAGCGATTAAACGTGACGAACAAGGTTCAAGGCGTCGTCACTCGTTCCACACCCTCTCTACCCTCGAAGAACCTTTTCAACACCTATCCCGCCGTCGTCTCGAACTTGACGTCGAACTACGCTACGCAGCATGGTCCCTCAAAAGGAAGGAGAAGAATCTCCTCAAGATGAAAATGGCTCTCAGGAACGTCTTGCAAGCGTATGGGAAGGCGGTTGAGCAGGTTGAGAAAGGGGATCAGGTAGAGGTGGCCGATGAGTTGGTGGAGAGGAGTGAAGCGCTGTTGGATCGGTTCGATTGGTTCACGAGATCGAAATCGTCAACATTGGGGGAATTGGTCGATTCGACGAAAGAAGCCTTGTATGGCGCCGATCGATTGAGGAAGCGCGTTGACGAGATTGAGAGTATGGAAGTTTCTCTTGCGGATTCGTTGGGGAAGAAGAAGGTGGGGGAAGGGATGAGGACGGGAAAAAGCGGACTGGAGGATTTGGTGGAGAAGGCTCGAGCGCAGACGGGCGGATTGATGAGGAAGGTTGTGCAGGGGTTGGAGAGATGGGGGGTGGACGGGTGGTTGGAGTGGTTTAGGGATGAGTTGGACGTGCCTGCTCGGATTGGGGAGGACGCCATGGGTTCCGAGCACGACGAGGGGGGGTCACAGGTGGAGGACGGGGGACTGAAGGGGGAGATGGTAAGGGTGCTGAATGGGGGCGGAACAGACGGATGAAGACGAAGTTGAAGAACCGGAGTGGGCCAAGGCTTTGGAATGGGAGGCGGAGAGGACGAATGAAAGGGAAGCAAGAAGGGAGGTGGAGGAACGGGAAAGGCATCGACTGCGCAATCAGTACGATGATGATTTCGAGTAGGGCTGAGACATCTTCGTGTCATAGCGTACATTCATCGAACACTTGTAACATTAACAACTTCGAATGACACCAACCGCTCACTCTAGAAGCAATCCCTACTCTCCACTCCGTAAACGGTCCCATCCAGACCCCTACAAACCAACGCGAACTCATTCACCACTGTTCTAACCTGTTTGCCCGTCCTCGCTGCCTTGGAGGCCTTCTCAAACTTCTCCTTCACACTCGCTTCCGCCCTTGGAGACGGCCAGTTCGAATCTTGGGTAAAGAGCTCGCGCAGAATGGTCTGCGTTTGACCTCCATAACGTAGAAGAAGGGCATGGTAGACCTCCGAAAGGGAAGCGAGATGCGAACGCGGGACTTTACCCGCAATAGACTCGATCAAACCCTTGATCAAATCCCTCAAGTGGCCTTCCAAAATTTGAGCGAACAAGTCCGACGAACTCGAAGCCATTCGAGTTTGTTGCACGATCGAAATGAGCACTTCGAGAGTCGCTTTGAGGGAGAAGCGTTCTTGGAGGGACAAGCCTAGGATGGAGAATTGGAGGAGGGTGGAGAGGTGTTGTGGGAGGAGGAGGAAGATGCGGGGAAAGTGCCGGATTAGGGATGCGTTGAAGGAGAGAAAGGCGGAGACGAGGTCCGGGTTCTCGCTCATTGCGCTTGGGGTGGATAGGTGGGTCAGGGTTGTTGTGAGGGAGGTTTCGATCGGCTTGGAGAGGTTGACGAGATCCTCTTCTGTAAGTTGTGCATCCGATTTGGTCCGTGCCAATCGAGCTAGGAGACTCGTCTGGACCGAGACCCAGACGCTCGAGATGGAAGTTGATAAAGCCCTCGAAGTCAACCTGAGCAGATTGAACGGATCCAATGTTAACGGACCGACGATCGAGTCCGTTGTTGTCGCTCGGATATAGTCGGACAATGCTTGTACGACTTCAGCATCATGGGCCAGGAGGACGCAACTCGCTTCGATCGCTTGTGAAAGCTCTTGCCGCAACGCTGCAATGCGAGGGTCGGACAGGAGTCGCGAGGAGGCGTCTCTATGGCGTTGTTGGTTATCATCAAAGGACGAATTGAGTTCGAGAAGATCGTCTTCGGGATCCGAGAGCCCTTTGGCGCATGAAGTGAGGTAGTTGAATTGTTGAACGATCACTTCACGAGAATCCGCAGTCGAAGTAGCACCGGACACAGATTCCCGGAGTTTGCGAATTATGGGTGTCGCAAGGCCCTGTGGGTTCAAGAGATCACAATCAGCTCTGATAATGCATCTGATTGATTTTATGGCAAGCCAAACGCACCAACAAGGGCTCCACAATTTGTTCCTCCGGTAGAGCCTGGATCACACTCGCGACGCTTTCCAACACTTTGCTCAACTCGACATCCTGTGCAAGCCAAACCCTTCCGATCAGTTTCCACTCCCAAGCTTGATCTCCATCAGAAGGCAGAAGCTTACCTCAATCCTCCCCTCCAACCGTCCCAAAACTGCCACGAAACTTGCGACATGGTCCCTAAATTCATGACGGTTCTGATCGCACAACAACCTCAAACTCCTGGCTGCCCAACTCGTCACACCTTGTTGAGGTTCTTGCAAACAGCCTACGATGAAGCTGACTGCTGCCAAGAGGGCTGCCTTTCGATTACCCGAGTCGGAGTCGGTGGAAGGGGAGGAGGAGAACCATGAAGCGTAGGCCCCGATGAGACGCAAAGCCGTCCTTTGTAGGGTCGGATGATTCGTCGTTGGCAGTGCGGCGATGAAACCAGGATCGAAGAGCTTGCTCAACGCAGGGGAGGAAGTCTCGATTGAGACATCCTCCTGTATAGTATAAAGAAGGAATAAGCTCGCTTCGAGGTCTTCGAACCCGTCTGCTGAGGTCGGCGCAAGTGTAATTTGTGATCTTGACAATTCGACGAGTTGGTCCAACATCTCTTCCCGGAGTGTGTAGTAGGTGTATCGAGCGACTTCACTAAGGTTTGTCGAGCGGTAGGTCCTGAAGTCTTCCTTGGCATCTGTGGATTTTCATACCACCTTAGAGTTAAGTTAGCCACGATTACGATCATCGGTTCGGGGTCGGTTCGGGGCAGAAATGAGAGACCGACCTTTGGCCCAGCCTTGATAAAGCTCCTGGTCGTCCCTCCTGGCTCTCCCTCTCAAGCCGTCCAAGAGCGCTCTAAACACGCCACTGACGACTTCCCAATCCGCCTCCCTCCCTCTTCTCCCTTCCCTTCCCTCTCCCTCTCCAAATACCAACCCTACATCGCTGGCTTCCTCTTGTAATGCCATCCAACACCCTTCGGTCAATTCGTTGATCTTGTGCACCTCCATCGAATGACCGGGGTATAAAGTGATGGTGATCAGAAGATGGAAGAACGTTTGAACCTCGGGCGATTGTAGCGTCAAAGCGGGTATGTTGGATGCTGGAGGAAGTGGGGAGAAGAGGAAGCCGATGAAGTGTTCTCCCAAAGTAGAGAGTAGTCGAAGGATGGAGAAAAAATCATCTTCTTCCGCGTAGGCTAGGGCGGTATCTTGGTCGACTAACGCTTTTTGAATCGTGTTGATTACGCTTGTTGAACATGCCCATTCGGTCAAGAGGTGTTGGGTCTTGATGCGGGACATGTACCGACTGATGCCAACGGAGGACGAGGTGCCCGAGGAGCGATCGATCAGTTCTTCGATTTGGGTGATGGCGTTGTTTCGGGTCGATGGGTGATGGAGATGAGGGAGGATGAGAGGGTATAGTACGTCGAGGTCGGTGTGAGTGAATTGCGAGGCGAGGAGGAAGGAATGGAAGCATTGGAGCGCCGAGTTGATCTCGGAGAAAGTGGCGGGTGAGGGCGGGAGGGACAACGAACTGGACAGTGTCGAGACGATCATTGGAGTTGACGAGCTCAAGGAGCCGATATAGCTGGATCTGTGCTCGACAATACCTGTTAGCTACATGTTTCGTGGCTGGCTGGCCTCTGCTAGGAACATGTCCTGGACACACCTCTTGGTTGCCGACAATTCTGCTCTGGCGACTTGTTCAATCACGACACTGAGCACCTGCAACACGCCTTCGGTACTTGTACCAGCCGCTACGACGCGGGTGATGATCTCTAACAACCAGTGGTCCCATCCCTGATCGAATAGCCTCAGACTGAGACTCGTCAAGGCACTGGCGAGTTTTCTCAAGACGATCCTTTCGCCGACGTTGGCCGGTGCTGAGCTACTTGATGAAGTTGTTGCTGTTGCTGCTGCTGCTGATCGTGGGTAACTTGCTGATGCTGATCGGGACGACCACTCGAGTACTTGTTCTTTGATAAGCTGATGCTGCTCCTCCGGTAAGGAATCCCAAGCTCGGGCGATCTTGAGTTGCAGTGTCGAAGCAGCGAAGAAACGGACTTGAGTTGGATATGGAGACGTGGAGGAGGCTAAGATGGGGGAGATCAAAGACCATGATTCGGGGTTGGATTGGATTGTTTGCAGTTGGGATTGCAGGGAGGTTTGCAAGGACGGTGGGGTGTGGGGTGAGTAGAGTGTCTCGATCAACTGGGTCGCTTTCACGAGGGAAGGTGAGCGAAGGAGATCGGGCTAGGAGCTGAGGTGCGGTGAGGTATGGACTTGCCTGGCCCAGCTGCTGGAGGTCATTTTGGGACATGGTGTGCGGCTGGTCGGGAGAGAGCCAACTCGGTCGAGGGGTGCTCACTGCTCCGTGTGGGGTAAAGGAGAAAGGAGACAAGAGCGAAGGTCGACCGAGAGCTGCTCGTGCGACGCGACTCTACGCGACTCGCGCTGGTGACTGCTGGTGACGTCGGTCGCACCGATCATGTTCGCACCGCAGTCACACCGCATTTTTACCTCGGCCAGTAATATCATCAAGCACCTTATTCGTAGAAGCTATTCCAGCTGCCTCTGGCCAGCACAGAGAGCTGCTTTAGGAAACAAGTCCCATTTTGGGATTGCACAAAACACACACACACACACCCTACTCCCTCCTCTCTTCCGAGAAATGCATTAAAAAGGCTCAGCACTCCATCCTCTATCACTTCAGTCCTTGCACCCGTGTTATCGTTCAATGGTGGTTGCTGCGAGAGAGAGAAACGAGACGGCCATCAGAGTGAGCATTCACTAGGTCGTACGGCGGGAGCGTAAGCGGGTGTAGCTTACTTCTTGTGGTGCTTGAGATGCATGTTGTCTAATAGAAAGCCCATCGTGCAAACAGTACCATGATCAGTCACCCATACTTCCCCGCCCCCTCCATCCACACACTCGCTCTCCAACCTGACGCCCATCCCCCATGCACACCCCCGCACACCCCCTCACTAAAGCTGCAAACTCACAAGCGACGGAATACCCAACGATGAACAAGGCTCCAATGGCGTGGATGAAGGGAGCACCGGAGGCGTTCTCGCCCTCAAAGTACTTCTTGCGGTACCATGAGATCGGGCCGGACGAGGATCGTTTAGGCGCCGATCCCTTGGGCAACTGCAGGTGCATGAGAGGGGGGGTGAGGTGCGGTCAGTGGGCAATCCTTGGATGTGTTGTTCAAGAGTATCATTGATGCGGTGGTTTGCGAGGACCACTTCGACCAAGCCAACGCCGAGCATCGACGACGACCGGGCAGAAGCGGAACGCCCCCTCCGCGCCGCTCCATCGTATACATATACATGCACCACCCACCTTGGAGTAGAAATCAACGACCCGGGTCATACGAGCCGCGGATTGAGGCGCACCGATCGCGGAGGGGGACGCGATCTTGGGAGGGACCAAATGAGCCAAGCGGGACATGGTTCGTGTGCGGGCTGCAGTAGGCGCAGGCGTGCACGCGTGAGCGGAGCCAGGCGGGAGAAATGCGGTGGCAGGTGGGTTGGGGCAGGGGATGAGGGAGGGAAGAGGATCAGTGTCGGCTGAGATGGAAAAGAAGGGGCAGCTGGGGGGGGGGGGGGGGGGGGGCGCACTCACGAGGTTTGAATGGGGTGTAGAGGGGGTGACGGAGGCGTACACAAGCGGGGCGAAACGGGTCCGCCCGCCAGCCAATCCGCTCGGCCAGGCCCAGGGCGCACTAGGGCGCAGTAATAAAGCGCTTCGAAGCGTTTTGGCGAGTCAAAAACGCACGGACCTCTTCGGATCAGCTTCAAACCCCTTTGGCCGACTTTCGACGTTCGCACACGGGAAGGTCGTCGGATGAACGGGTGCGAAACATTTCTCACGTGTATGGCTCTGAATTTTATTTGACGTAGTGTTTCATGAATGCCCGTAGCTGCAGAGTCAGTTCAAGACCGAGGCCGAGCCTGAGCCCGAGACGTCAGTCACGATCATCTACGGACGTCGGAGGTATTTTTCCCTACCGTGGTGTGTTATACATCTAAATACGAAGACCACGATCCAGAGCTCCATCCTCTCGAAAAATAAACTCGGCTGGCGGGCCCACTGGCGGCAGTCCAGGTCACGATAGGTCACGTGAGCCAGCTTGAGCTCGTCGCGCGCGTTGTGTCATGCTGTGTGCGCCTCGTCGAACTCTTGTTTCGCCCACACCTCTCGCCCCGCTCTGGGCTCCCCTCTGCACGGTCTTTGATTTGTTACAACCCCCATCTGCGCAGTATCAACATGTAAGCTATCCTTCTCCGGTTGACTCTCTAAGCATGCTCCTGACTCACCTCGTTGTACCCCCACAGTGCGGCTCATCGTCGTCGCGCCTGCTCGAGTCGCGAAATCACCAAACAAAGCCCCCACCAAACAAGGCCCCTTTCCACCGCTCCTGAGCTCGCAGGCATCCCTCCGACCGACACCCTCGCATCTCCAGCAAACATATCTCGCCTGTATCCATCAACTCGATCACCTCTAGTTCCCCATGCAGGCTTTACTAGCCTCCCCTTCGACGCGCTACGATTCACCCAACTCGTCGTTCGACTCCAACTCGTCTTCGTCCAACTCGTCCAACGCATCACTAGGTTTACCTCCGCTGAGCTCTCCTTTCGAATTCAACGATCGACCTGGAATTGTTGGTGGTCGATTCGGTACCGGCAAGAGGTTCGGTGATTCGCCTCTGAAGAGGGTTGCGATTGTTGTGGAGGGGGATGAGAGCTTCAGTGATTCCGAAGAGGAGGAGGAGGAGGAAGCATCCCCCAGTCGACCTGCGGCTTCTGCTTTGGATTCCTTCGGAATACGACCACCACAAGAGTCTTCGCCTTCTTCGGAATCGAACTCATTGACTTCGACGCTCCCACCTCCGGCTTGGATGACGGATGAATTGGACGAGGAATGGGTCGCTCAACCTGATTCCGAAGAGGACGAAACTTCCTCCGACGAGGAGGACGATCCTCAACAGCAATCCATGTCGTTATGTTCGGTGGCTTCTCCTACCTCGGCAGCATTCATCACCACTTCTTCTTTTTCGCCGGAAACGTCCAAGAAGGCGAGTCCGACTTCGACGAGGAAGAACGCGCAAGAACCCGAGGAGGAGCAACACGATCTTTCCCCTTTCACCTCATCGGCTTCAGCATCGATGGCGATGAACAAATACGCCTCGCTCAACCAACCCAAAGTACCCTCCTCCCTTCGACATGGATTCACAACCCATTCCAACACATCCGGGTCCCTGAACGGGGATACGTCACACCCCGACCTATCGGAGCATCCAGCGACCTACGGCGGCGTAGGCACCTTCGATTCGAACCCCACCTCGACCGATTCGGATGCCGGTTCATGCGTTGTTCGTTCGGAGAATGATCGACCTACGAGAGGTGGGGCCTTTTACCGTCCTAGTCAATTACAAGCGGCGGTCAGGGCGTTAAAGGGTGTCAAATCGGCGGGTTTGGGCGCCAAGTTGGTTGAAGAGACGGATGGGGATGAGGCGGATAATGAGACCCCGTTGGCGGGAACACCGATGAGGAATGGGATTGGGAATAGCGACGGATTCGGTTTGATGAAGTTGTTTGAACCGCCCAGTCCTCCTAGTGAGTTCCTTTGGCTGCGAATATTTCATCGATTTCAGGAAACTAATGCCAGGCCTCTAGCAGCGACGACCCCAACTCAAACGAGCAAAGCGCCGGCTCCTTCAATCCAATCATTTACCTTTACTCCGCCGCCTCTCGAACGAACGTCCTACAAATCTCTCGTTTCTCCCGCGTACACCACCACGACATCAGGTTCCGCGACTCCGATGCCCAAATCTCGTCGGAAGCCCGTTCCGACCCTTCGAACGGGCAATGACTTCGATGCGACGCCACCTTCGAACGCGCAGGGTGGTGGGATGATGCAAGCCCCCGCTTTGGAAATCAAGGATCGAGTTTTGAGATCGCAAGCTACGACGACGATGGCTTCAACTTCCACGGGCACGGCGTCGACGTCGGGTATCGCTTCCCCTCCTTTGACTGCACTTCCTTCGTCCACGTACGCAACCGAAGAAGAAGGGATTTCAATCTTGCACGAATCCGAACCTCCGCCAGCTTTGATTAGTGATACGTCCACTTCTTCGAGCAAAACGCCTCCTAAAGTGGGCCAAGAAAATTTCTCCCCTTTCCCTCTTACGCCAGCGCCTCAAGCAGACGAGCCTGAGACGCCTCCGAAATCGACACAAAACCAAGTGGCTGGAACGCCTAGGTCGGCAGTCAAACTGTTCGAATTTCACTACGATACCTACACCCGAGATCATCTGGCTGCTTTGGTGGAGGAAATCGATCGATCTACTGGGAACGCTAGATATGGGTCTTCAAGCTCCAGTCATCCTACCAGTTCATCGAAGGAAGGTTCGGTCTGGGTCGATTTGTTACCTAGGACCAAGTCGACGCATGAGGATGGAGAGGAAGATGTTGAGGAGAATCAGAGGAGTAATAAGAGGATTAGATTGAGTCCCAAGTGGAGTTTTGCGGAGGATGACGGGGTACAGAGGAGTACGAGGGGCAGGAGGATCACGAGTGTTGGGAGTCTGAGCAGGCACCCTCGGGTGAAGGATAAGGTCGTTGAGCAGGTCTCGCCTAGTGCGACGAGGAGCCAGGTCACGAAAGAAAGGTTGGATCAGGCGAACTCGTTATTGGATCGGATTCGAGCCAAAGCCGCTGCGGCGTCGGGAAGAAAAACGAACGATGATCAACTCGCCTGCGAAGGAGATCAAGTCGACCAGATCATCGTGCCTGGCTCACCGAGGCCAGTTACGGTCGACTCGCCTTTGCCGAAATTGGCAGCAGCGGCTTCGGCTTTGATTCGGCATGCTCTCAGTGGGGATTCCTTGTCAGCTTCTTCGAGGTCCAACTTGGGTCATGGGCGACGACCTTCGTTGGCTCAGTCCGTCCTCACCGTCACGAACCTCGCTGCGTCCTCTGCTGCACCTTCCGTTGCCCATCTTGCTTCGAACGAGGGCAGCGTTGCGCCGAGCCCCAATAGTCGTCGTCATTTCGCCACGACCCCGATCCGATCTTCGAACGGTAACATCAGCTCGAAACGCAAAACCTCTGCTTTAGGCGAACGATTCGCACCAAACTCGTCGATCCGAGTCACTTCCCTCGATTCGAATGGCGATTCTAAAGATCCCGGCGCAGCAACCGATGAAGAGAAACAAAGCAGTCGAGGTTCAACGGCTTCGTCCATGACCTGCGCGACGAGCGGATCAGGAGCGACGAACGACACGAGAAGTACGAGAGGTGGTAAAGGGCATTCAAGACAATCAACTTTGACGACGATCGGACCTCAGGACGTCGGGGCTTTGTTGGGGTTGAAGAACTCACCTGGGACGGGGAGGTCGAGTCGGATGGTGTTTGATCAAGTTCATCAGAGATGGATCAAGACACCTCGTGCGTTGATCGTTAAGAAGGGTGAATCGATGATCTCTGGGTCTTCGACTGTCGTAGCGGAGGAGAATGGATCCGGCGACGCGAGCGGCTCGACGGAGGATGATCCGTTTAGGGATTTCGAGTCGACGAGAGCGTCGATTGATATCAGGGATGAATTCAACAAGAGCTTGGTGAGCGCCGCAAAGGAGCAAGGACCACCCGGATTGTCGGGGTTGGGGATTACGGCGGAGACGCCAAAGATCGAGGAACCGAGGAGGATTACGGACGATGATGTGGGCTCCCCATTGGATGCGTGCTATTTCGAGGTAGCGCCTATTGAGCAGAGGATTGAGGACGAGGAAGGCACGAGTCCTCTTCCTGAGTGGGGGACACCGCAGGTCGAGCAAGAGCGAGAAGAGGAGCAAGTCCAACTGCGCCCAATGCAACAATCTCCCGAAACATTCGCACAACCCGCAGTATCCGTCGTCGCATCCTCAGCCCCTAGTCCGGCCATCGTTCCAGTCCCGAGTTTTCCTATCCCTACCACCCCGAGGGGTACGCACGCCAAACCTCAACTTCCTCGCTCGGCGCTCAAGAACGCCGTCGCTCGATCGCACAGCGACCCAGGTCTACACGCCACACCTCGTCTTGCTTCTGGATCGTCCGCTGACCGACAGCTCAAGGTCTCCCGATCGGTCAGTTTTTCGGATGGTAAAGCCGAAGGCAAGATCGAAGGATTGGTCGCTGTCAGTATCGAGGAGCTTGAGAGGATGAGGATGAAGAATGTCGGTGGGGTGCTTTCGGCCGGTGGGAGTCGCCTCAAGTTCCAAATGTCGACAATCTCGGATGGGTCCGTATCGAACCATGCGGAGAGTGTCGATGGACTCGTTGGGGAACCCGGGTCGTTGGCAATGGAAGGCTTTGATGAAGAGGCACCCAGCGCGAATGCATCGGTCTCGTCTCCCTCGATCAGGGTTTTGACGAGGTCCAAGAGCTGTCAGGATAGAGTCATCGATTTGGATCTGGCTGGTAAGTCTTTCGCAGGCGACCCGGTTTCCTGTCGAGTGGGACATCCGCTTACTCAGGATGCCCCCACCACAGCGGTCTCCGAGGTGCCAAACGGAACACCCCTGCCCCTCATCCAGTCGACCGTCTCCGAAACCTCCCTCACCACGAGCTCGCACTCGACCTCCCGCACATTCCGCCGCACCACCGCCCCGGACGCGACCTTCCTCACCGAGTGTTCGTTCGGCGTCTCCGCCGACCGAATGGTGCAGTACATCACCGATGTCGAGCCTTTCGAACCTGATTGGGAAGCAGTGACGTCGATTGATCTCAGTGGCAAGAAGATCGAGAGTTTGGTGAGGTTGAAGGAGTTCTTGCCCGGCTTAGATGAGATTAATGTGTAAGTGTTCGTTCGTCCTCACCTCCAAGCGCGTTGAGCTGACTTTTCTCTGGGTGGTGTGTAGCAACGAGAATCAAATCGCCTTCCTCACAGGGGCGCCAGCAACCCTCCGAACGCTGCTCGTCGCCTCGAACAAGCTCAGTGGTCTGACATGCTTTCAACACCTGCTCAACCTCGAGAGTATTGACGTCAGCCACAATCAAATTGATTCGGTGCACCAATTCGCCTGTTTGAAGCATTTGCGCGAACTCAAGGCCGATGATAACTTGGTCATGGACTTGGAGGGCTTGTTCGGATTAGATGGGTTGCAAAAGTTGAGCTTGAGAGGTAATCGAGTTGAGGTGGTGGATACGACGAGATCCAAATGGTCAGTTCTTCACTCTGGATTTCTCATGCATGAATTTAGCGGGCTGATGTCGCAACTCTCGACGCCTGCAGGACTCGCCTTGAGACACTGGATCTGAGCCGCAATGCAGTCTCTTCGTTTGTTGGCCTCGAGCGACTGGGCTCGCTTGTGTCACTGAATCTCGGTTAGTACCTTCCATCTTTACCGTTCGTTGGAACGTGGAAGCGTAAAAGCCCCGTCCCGTCTGACATGCGCCATCCTTTTCTCTCAGACGAAAACAAGTTGAACTCGATCGGAGCAACGAGTCCGATGCCGAGTCTCCGCGTTCTGCGCATCTCGGCGAACCCACTCGTGAAGATCAACGTGTCGTTCGCGCCGAGGTTGCGGACTTTGTTGATGGATTCAGCCAAGCTCGACCCGATTGGCGGGTTAGAGAAGCTGGGACGACTGGAGAACCTCTCGCTGAGGGATCAGGATGCGGACCAGCAAGTTTTGTGAGTTCAGCCTGCTCCCTGTCCGTAGCCACGCAAGCAGGTTCTGACTGTCGGTGAGTTTCACTCTGTAGGTGGTTGTCCCCGACCTCCTTGCGTGATATAAAGCGACTGTATCTCTCGTCGAACCCGTCGTCTCTACCCCTGTCGCTGCTTTCCCCCTCCTCCCAGCTCGGTGCGCCCTCACCAACATTCTTCAACCTCATTTATCTCGAGCTCTCCTATTGCCAGTTGACCCAACTGCCACCAACACTTTCCTCGACAATCCCCAACATTCGCGCCTTGGACCTTAGCCACAACCCTTTGACCTCGCTCGATGGTCTTCACGGCCTCGCTCGGTTGACCAAATTGACTGCCGTTGGCGCGAGATTGGAAAGAGTGAAAGAGCTGGCAGAGGTGTTGAGAACCTTGCCCGAACTGCAGAGCCTTGATCTGAGGTAAGCATATCACCTGCGTCACCTTGCCCCCGCGTTCACTGGGTACTGATATACAGCTTTCTCTGATGACCACCCCAGAATGAACCCCCTTACGCTCTCCTTCTACCCTACGTTCACCACCACTACTCCCACCACTACTCGCTCCCCTCCCTTCGATCTCGAATGGTGTAAAACGGACCAACATCACCGACGGACGCTCTCAGATGAATGGTACTTTCGCCGACTATCCTACCGATCCATCTTACTCTCCCTCATCCCTAGCCTGGCTTGGTTCGATGGAAGTCTGGTCAAGGAGAAGGAGAGAAAAAGGTTGTTGGGCGTCGTGAAGGAGTTGACCAAGAGCGGGTTGAGGGAATGAGGAAAGACTATATTGATTTACTTTTTCGTGTATGAACGATTGGGATGGGACTGGAATGCATCAACTTGCGTGTTGTAGACTGTCCAGCCCGGGCGATTTTTTTTTGTATGGTCCGGCGAGCCGAACACGTTTGGTGCGAGGTGGCTCGCATATGATCCCGAGCTTGCCGTAAAACCTGCGTTGTGGTGTCCGATAATGTTAATATGGCTTTTCTTGACGCCGAGCGCGAGAACGGCAAGTTGGCCTCGCTTTCGGCGATGGCTGGTGCTCCGGTCGTGCGCAGTCGATTTCGCGTTCCCGTGTTCCTCCATCCATCCCCAGCCCACGGACGAGTCGTCTTCCTCCACCATGACTTTAGCGAATCGCGACCATTCATTATCCACCTCTTCCACTAGATCTGCTAGTTTTCATCCCGAGGGGTGAATCCCCCCCCCGGGGGTTTGGCGCGCTCCTGGCTCATCAGCTCGATCTTCTGACCCCTCGGAATCACTCCGAACCATGGAGGGGCAAGACAAGTAGTGAATCGTTCGGAATTAGAGTAGTACGAGCAGATGCGTTAAAATACGATTGTCATTTTTCAACCATCAAGAACACTGCTTTGTTCATTGTTGCTGCTATAAATCAGGTCGACTTGGTGACCTCGGGTGACCGAGGGGTCTCCTTTCGGAAGACCGCAGCGCCGAGGAAGCTGCGATGCCGAGCGGCGGCGGCGCGGGCTAGCGTCATTGGCACGGATGAAGCAAGCTAGTAGAGCTTGACCTCGAGTCGCTAAGCGCCAAGCCCGGCCTCAGGGCGAGTATAAAAGCGCCCCCCCCTCACCTCTCTCTCTTTCTCTCCTTCCTTCTTCTTCGTTGATGAGTACCTCTCACATGGCTCCTCCACCACTGGGCCGTAACCGACTAGCGCATCGACGCAGCACCGAGGCGGTAGGTGGTGGAAGTCGGCAGTAGTGTACCATCAGCCACCGTGAGTTCACCCCTCCCACTCGTTGCAAGTACCACCGTCGCTGACTTGGGCACTGCCCTCCTCTCGTCTTGACTCGGATCGTCACCAGCCTCCGATCGCACGCTCTTGATCGAAGAGGGGCCCACGGCAGTCCTGGTCGTCTTGCGAGGTAAAAGGTTTGGGAGAAGTTGTTGGCTATCATTGTATCGGGTCAGTCCCGCTTGTGGCCGCCTCCGAACATGCACCCCCACCGCCACCGCAGCTGCCATCATCGGCCGGACACGACCTCGTACGACGGACTTGGGCTGACCTTGCTCTAACCTTCACCTTTGCATGCCCGTTCATCTTCATCCACCTTCACATCACACCATCTTCACCTCCACCTCCGATTCTCGTCTTCACCCCTTCACCCTTCCCCATCGCCATCACGTTCGCTTCCACCCCGAATCACCTCCACCTCCACCTTGATCCCTTGCCTTCACCTCTACGTCTGTTCTTCCCCATTGCACCTCCACCTTTGACTTACCCTCATTTCATGCTGCTCTTTCTTTGACCTTGATCTTGACCGTCAACCTCGCCTTCACCACACCGTCAACCTCTTGCTTACGTCATCCACCTCCACCTCCACCTTTGCCTCCACCTCGGGATTTGGCGTTACAGGGGGTTTCCTTGTCCGCCAATCGGCAGTGCAAGACGTCATGACCGGTATCAATGATGAATCAACAACTTTGTCCACAAAAAGTGAGTTTTATGCACACCAGGTATCACTGCCTACTAGTAGTTCCGTCTGCTCGAACGTCAAGTTGCGAGCTGCTGCTAACATGCATGGTCACCCGCCGCCAACAGCTGCTTCAACTGGCAATGCGGCGGGACAGGTCAGACTTGAGGACGGGGATGATGGAGAGGAAGTGGGGATGTGTGGGCGTTCGCTGTGTTTGCTCTTTTCGCTTTTTCTCACGTGCACGTATCAGGCCGCGTTGCACAGCGACTCCGACGATTGTCCTCTTCTTTGTTTTCTCATTGTTTGGGTAGAACAGAGACCGAGGATTAACCGTACTGGAATGTCGATAAGTTGGCTCGCTTTTGTCTATTCCGAGTGAACACGCGCGGGGCAATGACAATGCGCGCGAGACCACTTCACAGCACACACCAGACATAACTGACACTCGCCAGACCCTCTGTGACATACCTCGACGCATCGAACACATGCGTCAGCGCTATCTTTGACCCACGAAGTAGCATTTATACACTCCTTCGCACTTTTCACTTGTTTCCGACCCATTTTGACAACACTCTTTCCCACTTCAGGCGCACTCGAGCGAGGTTCTCACGCTCCCCAAACTTATGATGACGCACGCCAGACCACATCTGAACACACGCGAAAGCGACTTGAACTCTCCTCCAACATTTCAACGCACGCGCCAGAAAACGAAAATGAATTTCGGGATATTTTCCCCGGATTTATAACCCCGCACTCACTTGTGATGACTCGCACCAGACCCGAGTTCACCACCCTCTCCCCGCGCTCTGACGCTCCTGAGCCCCGGGTTCACACCCCACGCAACCACATCACACTCGCGCGAGACCCCATTTGAGGCACGCCGTGCGTCTCATATGTCGCACCAAGTTGATGATTGACGCACGAAGTTGATGACTGCCGCACGAGATCAAGCTCAGCGGGACTAACGTGGCGTAGACTGTCTACTAACTTTAGAAATTTTCTAGTAGTCTATCTTGTGCAGCCACAAAGAAAGCCTTCCATATGGAAACTGCTCCCGTGCTCTCCGTGTAATTCCCAATCAGTGAATCCTCCCAGGTGTAATGAAATAACGTGCTTCAAACAGTACCACAGTGGTAGCCCGAGCGGCTCTCCTAAACGAAATATGCCGGCGTGGGAGGGCGTGTGCACCGGGGGGTGTATGCGGGTGCGCGGATGCGCGGGTGGACCGTGACTTCCTAAGCTGGCAACAGGTGCAGCAAATGTAATGCCGCATGTACGAACCAAAACAGTAGCATGTTTAGTAGCATGTCTAGGCTAGGTTAGAGACCCTACAGCGCGCAATCTCAGCAGTACTCGTCGCTCGAGATGCATCGCAGCGTCATTGAGTTTCGGGGGAAGAATCACACGGATGAATGTAATGCTTGAGACATAGCACAATGGATGACCGGTGATGATTGACTGGGCGGGGCTGTAGTTGTGGGCTGCCACTCACACGTATTGTTGCAGCTTGAACGAGTGGAAATCTGGGACTCATGCTCGCGTCGGCAGCAACTGCGTCGTACGAGCTCACTGAGCACCAGCACACCTGATAATGGCGTCGCAGCCGGCATACTTGTTGTGGCGATCGTTCTTGTGCCATCTATGGTTGATGAGCCCGAAGTCGGATAGTCTCATACAGCGTTTTCGGGTGAGAATGAGGACGGTGAAGGCGAAGCACGGGCGTGCGTGTCCAAATTCGCGTGCGTGTGTTCAAGTTCGCGCGTGCGTGTCGTCAAATCAGCTTGCACATCATCAAGCAGCCGCGCGCGTGTCATGATCAGCAAATCTCGCGCGCGTGTCTTCAAATCGAATAAAACGACAAAAGGCGGCCCCATACGCGCGTTGGTCACCGTCACCCTCATCGTCGTCGTCGAGTCTCACCCCGCTGCTGTCCCTACGAGCACCCACTCTGCCCATCGTTATCGCCGTCGTCATCAACTCCGTTTGATCTTCGTCGTTTCGCATCGCACTTGCTCTCTGTCGTCGACGCTCGCCTATCGCCCAGACCGTGCCCGTCACCCGCACGCTCTCAACGCCTCTCACCCACCTCCACCCACACTCACGTCACAATGGGATTGACCTTTTCCAGGCTGTGTGAGTATCGTCGCGCGAGCTGTTGACGTCTACCGTACGCGTCGTGTCGAGTTTGAGTACTGATGCCTCTGTTGTGCTCCCCCCCTTGCCTTCGATTCTGGCGTTCGCTCGCGTCTTTGCCCTGCCTGCCTGCCCGCCGGCTTGCCTGCCTGCTGCCCTCCTGCCCTTGCTGGCCTGGCCCGCCGCTCTGGCCTGCCTTGTCTGCCACCGTCTGCCTTGGCTTGCGCGCCCCATCCGCCACGCCACGCCCTCACGCCCGCGCGCGCCGCTCGCTGCCCGCCTGTTTACGCTGCGCCAACCGCTCCACGCCACGTCGACAATCCGAATACCACCCACCCCATCCCACCCCGTCGACTCTCCCATTCCACGCGACTGGTGCGCTCGTCTACTCGCTCCTCAATCCCATCGTCTCTCAACAACTGTACACCTCATCTACACCGACGCCTCGACATGTCGTGCCGTATCGCATGCATGCTCATGGCATGGTAACGACGATGACGACGGTGACGACGCTCAGTCTCGACCCTGTTCAGCAAGAGGGAGATGCGCATCCTCATGGTCGGTTTGGACGCCGCCGGTAAAACCACCATCTTGTACAAGCTCAAGTTGGGCGAGATCGTCACAACGATCCCCACCATCGGTGAGTCTTCGCCTTCTACTCAAGCCGTCCACCCTCTACGTTACGTGATCGCTCCGACACGGTCGCTGCCAGCTCGACCGGGCCGGCGGTCGTCACATCACGCGCGACACTGGCCCGAACGCGGATGCTCTTGCTGCCCGGAGTCCTATCGGCCGCACGTGTCGTATTGCAGTGGCTTCCATCTCGGCTGTATGCCTACCATAGAGGTGCCTAGGTGCAGACTGCTCGGATGGAGCACAGCAGCACACGCGGCGGCTGTCTCCCTCCATTCGCCACGCAAGCGCCAGCCTCGACGCACCCCGCTGCGGAGAGCGACGCGCTGACTCTTCGCCCCTTCCCCGCTATAGGCTTCAACGTTGAGACAGTCGAATACAAAAACATCTCGTTTACCGTATGGGATGTCGGAGGACAGGACAAGATCCGCCCCCTCTGGAGGCATTGTGAGTAGTCGTTCACCCGACGTCCACTCATTCTTACGCCACTCGAAACCTACCCTTACACCTCTACCGCTCCATCTGCAGACTTCCAAAACACTCAGGGTATCATCTTCGTCGTCGACTCCAACGATCGCGAGCGTGTTGCCGAGGCGCGCGAGGAGTTGCAGCGCATGCTCAACGAGGATGAGCTGCGCGACGCGTTGTTGCTCGTGTTCGCGAACAAGCAGGACTTGCCCAACGCGATGAACGCCGCCGAGATCACCGACAAGCTCGGTCTGCACTCGTTGAGGCAGAGGCAGTGGTACATCCAGGCGACTTGCGCCACCTCCGGTGATGGTCTCTACGAGGGTTTGGAATGGGTGCGTTTCCCCCCACGACCTGGCTTACGGAGACAGAGATCGCGTTTGCTAATCACCGTAAAGGTTGTTCTCGATGCACAGCTGTCGACGACGCTCAAGGGAAGGCAATAGATGCTTTTCGACGGGAGATTCTTCACGCGTCCTTTTTTTTTCCCGAACGATCAGGTTCATGATCCTACACCACCCCACGCTCGATCAATCACGACGGAAGGAAGCCTTGGGAGGAGGAGTAGATGGTGGAGGGTAATAAGATAGGGGAGAAATGCAAAGACGGGAGGATGAAGAAGAATGAAGAAGAAGATGGGGGAGTTTGTCAAAGCTTCCTCCATTTATGAAACGAAAGCAACCAGCCCCTTCCCTGTTAATTACGGCCACTGAACCCATTCCCCCCCTTTCCCTTTCTCCTTTCTCCTTTCCCCCCCATACAACCCCCCCTCAAAGCCCCCTATTGTTTACCACTTTCTCGTTTTCCTCCCTCTTTTCTCTTTTCTGTTTCTGGCTCACTTGCCCCCTTGTTTCTTGAAACGACGTTCTCTTTTGCTACCCAAGTCTAGTTGAATTTTGTTGCTCTCTTCTCTTTCTACTTCGTCTCTTTCGACTTCACCTTCTGCACGTTCTTGCTTTCAACTTCTCTTCCTCACCTCCCTGCCCGTCTTCTTCGCTTTCCTTCTCTCGCAATCTTGCCTTCTTTCACTTCTCACTCCATTCACCCGCACGGAACGGAATTTAAGAGAGCGCTTCTCGGCAAATGTTAGCGATCGAGCTCACCCCGCGGGGTGGACCTTGTTGCTTATCAGTGTAGCGAAAGCGGCTCGTATGGCAAACCAGATCTAGTAGGGGCATCGGTCAGTCAGATATTCGGACAAGGTTTTTCATCTCGGCCGAAATTGAATTTTTGAACTGACTTGGGGTCGGACGCGAGTGCCGGTTGCCTTTCGACTTCACCCCCCCGCGACAAGTCGGTCGAACTTGGGGAAAGATATTCGCGCCTACGCTCAGCTTTTCGTCTGCCGACATCACAGCTTGACGGTCAAAGCGAGTGTGAGGAGGCGATCACTTGGCCATAAATCCAAGCTGCAGGAGGATCACTCGACGTCGCCGGCCTCTCCTTCCGTGCGACGCGGTGGTGTGACTCATCTGTCGTACCACGACACAGGAGACACGCCAGATCCCGCGTGACAAGCAACCCAAACAACACTTGATTAAGTCATCGTCATGAGCATCACGCTCACCTCTTTATCGGAGTCGCCGCCGTGCTACCTCCTGACGATCGACTCGGCCAAGATCCTCCTCGACTGTGGCATCCACGACACGACTGCAGAATTCCCTTCTTCTCGCAGTTCAACTTCAACCGATCCCACTTCGACTTATCTCGAGAGGTTGAGGGACCTCGCACCTTCGTTGAACCTCGTCATCGTTACCCATCCGCTCTTGACCAGTTTGGGTTTACTGCCTTGGTTGAAAGCCAAGTGTGGTCTACGATGTCCCGTTTACGCGACCTTACCTACGAGGGAGATGGGACGCTATGCAGTGGAGGAATGGGTTGTCGCGAGGAGTGAGGAGGAGGAGAATGAGCGCTTTAGAGAGGGGGACGCTGCTTTGGACAAGGCGACGATCAAACCCAAGGGCAAGGGGAAACGAACGAGGACGGAGGTAGATGATCAGGTCGTTAAAGCCGAAGGAGGAGAAGAAGTCACGATGGACGGGATGGAAGTGAAGGAGGAGGATTTGATGCAGCAGGTGTGGAAGTTGTCCGTTCACGATGTCCGGCAGGCGTTCTTGACGGTCAATGCGGTCAGGTGGACACAGCCTGTTCATCTTTCAGGTCAGTCCGAGTCTTATTCATTGGGGTATGGCATGCTTACTGATTAGACGCTTCTACAAAATGTGCAGGCCCCTTGAAGGGGTACACCTTAGTCGCCCACCGATCAGGTCACACCCTCGGAGGTTCCCTCTTTACAATCCGACCTTCGCTCTCTTCCTCCCTGTCCCCAGCAAGCTCGGCCTCATCGTTCCTTTACGCGCCTATCTTCAACCACGTCAAAGAGCATCATCTCGACAGTTCGGCTCTGTTGAACGGAGCCAGGATCGACGAGGCCATGAGAAGGATGGGTGTCGTTGTCGTTGGAGCCGAAAGGAGTTTAATGGTCAATGTCAAACGGATGGACAAGGAAAAAACCTTCTTGGGTGCGTCACCGGGTCTTTGGGTAGGCTGAAACGAAAGAGCGCCAAGTCATTCGAGACTTACTTGACCGTATCACTTGCACAGATTGCGTCACCACCACCATGCGCAACAATCATTCGGTCCTTTTACCCGTCGATGCCTCGGCACGCATTCTCGAACTGCTCGTACTTTTGGAAACACATTGGTCGTTTGAGAGTTTGGGGAGGCAGTTCCCTTTGTGTGTTGTTTCGAGAACGGCGAAGGATGTGTTTGTTTTTACGAGGAGTTTAACGGAGTGGATGGGAGGTCAGGTCGGGAGACAGGTGGGGGATGAGAAGATTCTCAAGTTCCCGTAAGGTCCCCCTTGCATGTCATCCGGCGAAGATCGGTCAAAAGAGCAGCCCTGATTGACCGAGTCCCTTTCTTTCTCCTCCCGCAGTAACGTCCGGATTTACCCCTCCATCGAAGCCCTCAACGCTGACATCCCTCCCGAAGTCCCCAAGACGATCCTGGTCACACCCCTCTCACTCTCGCACGGGTTCTCGCGCAAGCTCTTCGTCGACTTTGCCCAGGTCCCTGGAAACGTCGTCTTGTTGACTCAGACGAGTGACGAAGGGAGTTTGACGAGGTGGCTGTTTGGTCTTTGGGATGAGGCACAGGCCGAGGGGGAGAAATGGGGTGAGGGCAAAGTCGGTCGGGCGGTCAAGATGGACAGGACTCTGGACCTCAAGGTGAGACTTGCTCTCGGATCCAGTCCCCCAGTCGAACCCCAATGACTGAAACCCAACACAAAATTATCACCGTAGATGAAACGCAAAGTTTACCTCGAAGGCGAAGAACTCGAACGCCATCTCGCTGCCGAACGTGAGGTTGAAGAACGTGAAGCGCGTCACCAAGCCGCTCTCGATCGATCTCGCCGGATGTTGCATACGCAAGGTGACAATTCGGATTCCGACTCGGACCTTGATTCGGAGGTCGAAGACCCCGACGAAGCGATCAAAGAAGAGGGCACGATTGTCGTTCCTGCACCACGCAGAAGAACGGGTGGCTTCACGGGTGGTTTGGGTGCATGGGACGAGTTCTTGGACGAATCGAACCTCAGTGGTCGAGCGGCGACGTTCGATATTTACGTCAAGGGGGAGGCGGGAGTCAAGAGGGTTATGGATGGCTTGAATCGGTATCGCATGTTCCCTGTTGTGGAGAGAAAGAGGAGGGTCGATGCTTATGGCGAGGCGATTGATATCGAGGGCTGGTTGAAGAGGGGGATCGATGAGGATCCCATGACGATGGGACTGGCCGTGGGGAACTCGAATGCGGCGAAGCTGTTGGGTCAAGCGGCGGCGGCTTTGGGTGTTGGTGGAACGGGGGCGAGTAAGAAGATCAAGATGGAGGAGGAGAAGGTCAAGGAGAAGGAGGTGGAGAAACCGCACAAGTATGTTGTCGACGAGGTGCAGGTGCGGATCGTATGCTCGATTTTCGTGGTTGACTTCGAGGGCGCGAGTGATGGGAGGGCTTTGAAGACCATCTTGCCGCAGATGAACCCGAGGAAATTGGTGAGTGATCTAGTAAGAAGTGTACTGTGTTTGACCTGGTGGCTCATTACTTTTTTCAACTTTGGACAGGTCATCGTCAACGGTTCCCAAGCCTCAATCAACGATCTTGCCGCGCACTGCCAAGCCGTCAACGCTTACTCTGAAGAGATATTCACCCCTTCTCTGAACGAATCGATCGTCGTCGGCCACGAAACCAAGAACTTCTCCATCCGTTTGGGGGATAGTATCATGGCTTCGTTGAGGTTGTCCAGAGTTGAGAGTTATGATGTGGCTTATGTGTCGGGTGTGGTGAGGTTCGATCCCGAGTCGGATTTACCTGTTCTGGAGAAGGTAGGGGTGTTGGAGGGCGCGGGACAGTTGAGGATTGAGGGGAACGCCGAGGCGGAGGTGACGGAAGAGGGAATCAAGGTTGAACAAGGCGTCGAGGAGGAGGAGAAGGAGGGGGAGGAGCAAGACGATAAGATGGACGCCGATTCGATCACGCCCTCTACAAGCCTGATCAAGACGCTTCCCCCTCTCCGTCCCTCACTCTTCATCGGTGACCTACGTCTTACACTGCTCAAAGAACGGCTCGCAGCGCGCGGAATTCCCTCCGAGTTCGCAGGTCAAGGCATTCTTCTCTGTGGGCCTGCACCGCCTCAGTCGTTTGGGTATAAGGGCGAGTTGAACTTGAGTGGTGGGAGAGTGGTGGTGAAGAAGAGTGGGAGGGGGAGGGTGATGATCGAGGGCACGCCGGGGGAGACTTATCATGTCGTTAGGGAGGTCGTGTATAGCTTGCATGCCCAGGCTGGGTAGCATGTGATGATGCAATTATGAAACAAGTGTTCTCAATATTAATTTCATCATACGCCAACCACTTAAGCCGTTTGTTCGCCCTCAAACGACTCCACCATCCTGTAAAATCTTGATCTCCCCATCCTCCATCCCCAAAACCTCCCTCAACACCTCAACAGTATGTTCCCCCAAAACAGGCGGCGGTCGATGCACCTTCATCTTCTCGCCATCATAAACGACAGCAGGAGCCAACAAATCAATTTTACCCGCCCTCGGGTGTTGAACCGAAACCGTCACTTTCCTAGCTTTCGCTTGGGGATGAGCGAACGTTTGAGCGATGTTGTTGACGGGGGCGAAGGGGAATCCACCGCCTTTGAAATGGGTGAGCCAGGAGGAGGTGGAACGGGATTGGAAGGTCTTTTTGAGGAGGGGGATCAGCGTCGAACGGTTGGCGACGCGCAGGGCGTTGGTGGAGTAGTCTGGGGAGGCGGAAAGTTCGGGTTGGGATATCAAGGTCGTGAGTTTCTTGAATTGGGAATCTGTGGGGGGTGAAAGGGCGGAGCTTGAGTCTTGAGTTGCGGGAGGAGAGGCCATCGGTTCAGTGGGACGAAAAACTTACCATTCCCTGCACCGATCATGATGTAGCCATCTTGTGTAGGGAAGACTTGATAAGGTACGATACTGAAGGGATGAGCACATCAGCCGTCAACTAGATTTGGCAAGTTTCCCATAAGAGGTGTGAAAACTCACGAAGGGTGCGCGGTCCCTTGCCTCGTCGCTTCCTGACCAACAATCAAATAATTCGAAGCCACATTTGCCAAGGAAGCGATCTGCAAGCAAGACACCCTCTGTAATCAGAACCGCTGTCCGTCCCCGACTCGAGAGAGTGATCCTTCCTCACCTGAGAATCAAACAACGAGCAATCGATCCAAACCCCTTTCCCCGTTTGAGATCGCGAGATTAAGGCTGCCAAGACGGCGCCTTTGAGGTAAAGACCCGTTGTCAAATCTGCAGGCGCATACGAAGGCGTCAGTCAGTTCCGAGAGAATCGAAATCTGCGCGAAATCCAGGGCGCCTAAAGTTACGAGTCCGTACCTGTGATGGCTACACCGACTTTGACGGGAGGGGCATCAGCTTCGCCGGTGATATGCATCAGACCTGCTTCGGCTTCAATGTTGACGTCGTAGCTGATGAGGAATGCAGAACGTTAGGAATTTAAGAAACCTTCTCAGTTCGATCGCAGGCAAAAAGCTTTTTTGATGTACCCTGGGTTCCCAGCATAAGGTCCTGTTTGTCCGTAGCCTGTTGTAGATTCATGTACTCAGGTTCAGTTCAAGAGGAGAGAATGACCTTGTACAGCTCACTGACCCGAGATGGACGCGTAGATCAACTTTGGGTTCAACTCCTTGCACGTTTCGTAGCTGAGGCCCAGCTCGGCGAGTTTTCCGGGGACATAATTCTCGACCTGAGATGCATGTCCAGTGGATCGAGCATGAAGTGAGTATATAACTTAAGATGAAGCACACATACTGAGCCCTTACGTACCAATACATCGGCCTTCTTGACCAACTCAAGCACCAACTTGAGCCCCTCCGGATGCTTGAGGTTGATCCCAATCGAGCGCTTCCCGCGATTCGCTTGTAAGAAGTAAGTCGATTCGGGGGGTAGCTTGGACCAATCGTCTGTTCTGAGCTGGACTTTGGAAGTTGGGGAGGTCGGAGGTGTTGGGGGGAGGTCGATCAGGGGTGCGGACGGGGGGTTCCTACAGGGGTGCGGGTGTCATTCAGGTGGGAATGATGAGCGGATCGAGAATGGGGGTGGGAGGTTGCGGGGATGGGTAGCGTACCATGCTCTTGTATCATCTCCTCGTGTAGGATGTTCAATCTTCCACACCTAATATGAAAAAACTCCACCTCACGGAGAGAATCAGCTTCTCGGACTGAGCGCTCCAAAAGGCGGGGCCCCAGTCCATCATCCCAATCCGCCCACGATGGTTCGAGGACTTACATCTGCTCCTAAATCAGACAACATCATCGTCGCATACGGACCGGCCAGAACGCGCGTCAAGTCGAGCACTTTGATCCCTTTCAATGGTGGGGGCATCGCGAGGACTCGGGAGGAGGTGCATAATGAATGACGTTGAGCGAGGACCATGCTTGTGGATCGGGGAACGGTCGTGCGGAGTACATGGCGGGTGAGACGACTTCCTCCCAGAGCCGGGACAAAGAGTCGAGGTGTCATGCTGTGAGCTACCCGAGGCGATAGACGGAAGGAGGAGGAATCAGAGGCAGCTCGAGGGACCGGGAATCTTCGCACTTTCGTGCTCGATCGCTCCGGTCGGCGGCTTCTTGCTCGTGCCGAATTCTGCTCCCGATTGCTCCGAAAGGTCCGTGCGCAAATGCTCGGTCGACTAAAAAAAGTCCGATAAAGCGCTCTGTAGGGGTCAGAACATCGAGTGGAATAGGTGTGGACTGTGCAGGACATATCGGACCCCAAAACATGTTGATCACTAGGGGCGGTATCATCAGAGATAAGCGGGTAGCTCGTGCGAGGCCGAAGAAAGGCACTGCAAGGTTTTAAATTTCGCCGGGCAGCAAATCTTTACAAGTCATCGGTGCGTTGGCGGCTGCAGCGGCCCTGTGTCACACAGCGACTCCCAGACAGCTTTTCGCGAGCAGCCTGTAAGGACTGCTAAATCCCCCAACATGTCTGACCGAGCTGCAGATCAGCGGCCAGCTTGCTGTGCGGGCGGCGTATATATAGCTCCAGCAACTTGAAGGGGATGGATGACGCGGTGAAGCTTGGACAGCTTCAAGTCTCATTCTGCCTGGCAGCACGACTCAGAGGTGTTGCTTGGCAGCATACCTTGACCATCCAACCGAGCCGGATTGATGAGGCGAAAAGAAGATGCTGGAATGATTATTCGCGGTAGGCATTTGTCATCCACTGCAGTTCCCGCCCCGAGCTGCCAATCATGGAAATCCAATTTGGGACCGTGGAAGCCGAGCTCGAGACCGAGACGTGACTCGGGGCGGAGGAGGAGGCCACCGCTTTCAGAAAAACTGGGGTTGAATAGCAGCGTTACTAGCGTGTTTCTGCGTTAGTAATCGCGGCGTCGGTGATTGGGCGAATTAAAGTGGATTTGCGCTGCCCCCCGGGCCGTCGCCCGCCTGTCGCCGCCCCCTGCTGTGCTCGCAGGCGCCAGACCCTCACTTTCGAGGTCGCCTTTCTCTGCTCCAAACACCTTCGTTGTTAGGCGCCGCACACGAGTAAGGACCATGCTCAACTGACGAATCGACTCGACCAGATCAACCGTCTCACCGACCCGTCTTACGACCCAGTACATAGTCCCGTTGCGAGTGCCCCCCGCCAGTTGGTCAACGTCTCGGGCTCCCTTCCTCGGCGCGTTGCAGTCACACCCATTGGCCTGCCCCGCTCCAGCGTTCCAGCCCCAGCCTCAGGCCTTTATAGCCTTCAGCGCCTCAGCAGCGCTCAGTAAGCCTGCGTTGGTCAGCCCGCCTTTGGGCCCAGCGTGTCTCCAGACCCAGCGCCACTTTATTAGGATTTACTGGGCCAGCCCATCAAGTCAACAAGCTCCTCTCCATCTCTCTACCTCCGTCCAAGCACTCGTCACACCCTACCCCACCCACATCGTCTCGGAGCGTTTGACCTTCCGACCTGTCTCGCCGCAGGGCCAACGCCGAGGCTCGATCGCACCCACCCGCGCGTGCGCACCACCGACCCGCTCGCTACCCGCTACCCACCACACACCCTCGCGCCAACGGTCAACAGTCGAAAGCATGTCGTTGACGTCCGACTCGTCCTACCCCAACTCGAGCGTGCACACCCCCGGTACCTCCACGCCCTCGAGTGAATTCGACCAACACGTCGACCCTCTCCCCACCTTCGCCCAATTGGACCTGTCCCTCTCCCGTGACCAAGGCTCGGTCCGTTCGACAGGCTACGGCGCAGGCTCCGAAGCGCACACTTTGTCCGAGGTCGCGCACTCGAACCACAATGTGCTCGCGTCGAGAATACTGTCCCGCACCTCCGTAGGCGAAGGAGCTGGGGGTGCGTTGAGTCCCGAGAATCTACCCAAGGCTCCGACCGAGTTGCCCAGGATGCCAGTCGATCACGTCAGCGCTCACCATTTCGCGATGGGCCCCACGGGCAGCGCCGTAGCCAGCACCGTCATTTTGCCTTCCTCGGTCACCGCCAGCGCCGCGGCCAACTTTGCCAGCACCGGTACATCCGGTACGATCACCAACCCCGTCTCTTCGACCGCTCGCACGGTAAACTCGGTCCCCTCTACCACGTCGAACGCGACTACCGCGACGACGACGACGACGACGGCCGACAAGGAGCGGACGTTGATGCCACCGCCTGCGACGACAACGGCGCCCAAACCCCAAGCCCCTGTTTTGCAGCAGAAAAAGTCCGTCTTTGGCAAGCTCTTCTCGAGCAGCAACGCGTCCAACGCCTCGCTCAACAGCGGCTCCGGGTCGAACGGCGAGCGAATGGAACGAGGCGACTCGAACGCCGGTTCGGGGACCGAAGGCACTGGCAATGGAGGCGCGAGCCTCGCTCGAAGACCTAGCAAGAAGGAGCGGGAACAGGAGAAGAAGGAGGCCAAGGAACGCGAGCGTGAACACAAGGAAGAACAGGCTCGACTGGCGCGGAGACCTTCAACCGGCGCAACACATCAGGACCTTGGACATGGGACCTCACCTTCGGGTAAGGATCGGTCAGCTTCGACTTCGCGACCACGAGCTGGATCGCACGGCGCCAAGGAGAAGGAAGGTGGAATGGGTCAGGCCTTGAACGATTTCATGCGCAACAAGGTCCAACGCAAGTCATCGCAGACCTCGCGCAAGTCCGACGATGGACGTTCGGACCACGATGGCACCTCGACCCGAGGCGACGGCGAGACGCGATCACGTGCCGGTTCCCAAGCCGGTTCACTCAGCCAAAAGTACGGCGTGTGCGAGAAGATGGTGATTGGCAAGGGGGCGACAGCTGTTGTCAAGCTTGCGCACAAGTGGGATCGTTCGACCGAGCGCCTCTACGCCGTCAAAGAGTTCCGCAAAAGGAGAAAGAACGAGACGGAGAAGGAGTACGTCAAGAAATTGACGTCCGAATTTTGCATCAGTTCGACATTGCATCAGTGAGTCTTGTGCGGGCTTTTCTCTGTGTGCTTGGTGGACGGGTACTGATCCGGGTGACTCTGCTTGCCGCGCCCGCAGTCACAACATCGTGGAAACCGTCGACCTGGTCCAAGACGAGCAGAACCATTGGTGCGAAGTGATGGAGTACTGCCCCGGAGGAGACCTGTACGCCGCGATCAAGAAGGGTGACATGTCCCCTCAAGCGATCAATTCATACTTCAAGCAAATCCTCGCCGGCGTCGCGTACCTCCACTCCATGGGTGTCGCCCATCGTGATATCAAGCCAGAGAACCTGTTGCTCGATGCCAAGGGACATGTCAAGATCACCGATTTTGGTGTGTCGGACGTTTTTAGGATGTGTTGGGAGAAGACGACGCATCTCTCCAAGGGGCTTTGTGGGTCCGAGCCGTATATCGCCCCGGAACAGTTTGAACACAAAGGCGAGTTCTTCTGCTTATATGAGCGGGTCGGTCTTGCGATTATCGTGCTAACGTGAGCTTTTCTAACGGGTGAACAGAATACGATGCGCGACTAGTCGACGTCTGGGCGTGCGCCGTCGTCTTTTACTGCATGCACTTCCAGGAATTGCCGTGGCGAGTGGCCAAACCGTCGGACCCTTCCTTCGGCCCTTACATGCAGATGTACGGTGGGCAATCAACCCCTCCCCCTTTATCGAACCTCGTCCCTCGGGAATGCCGCAACATCATTCGAAGGATGTTGGACCCGGATCCGAAAACGCGCGCGACGACGGACCAGATCATCAGTGACCCGTGGTTCGATCAGATCAAAGTCATACCGCCGTTGGAAGGGATATTGCCACCCCCTGGTGCCGGAGGTCAAGTTTTGATCAACAATCCACCGATCCCTTCGCCTGCACTATCGGGACAGAGTACGAGCCCTTCGACGCCTGCGATGGCTTGAACGCAGCCGACGATCCCTAGATTCTTTCGATATACATACCTCTTATATACACTTACGACCACGAATCCCTGTCGACCACTCTGTTCCTCTCTTTGACTGTCCAAAGTTCTTCCTGATGTTCTACGGTTCTTCTTCTCTGCGCTGCGCTGGTCGAGTCATCGTCGTCGTCGTCTTTCTTAGCTTTCGTCGTATTCGATCGTGTGCTCGTCGCTTCCTCTGCTTGCGTTCTCCTTTCTTCTCGTGGTGTGCGTACAATACATGAAGGCTCCATTTTCTTTGATGAAATGACTAAAGAAGGATAGATAAAGAACTTCGATGCGGCGAAACGAATCTGGTAAGAGTCGCCTCGAGAAAAAAAAGACTCTTGGAGCCCCTTTCCCGCGCGAGTTCACCTTTCCCCATCTTACTCAACCTAAACCCATCCGTTGAAGCACGGCCCCCCAAGTCGAGTCGAAGCGTTCGACCAGGCCAAAGGTGGGTGTAGTAGCACCCGACGACTCCGACGTGACCAGACTAGGCCACGCTTGCCTTCCTCCCACTGCACTCACTACCACCGCTTACCTCTTGCCTCCACCCTCGTCTATCCATCTCTGCCTGACGTTTTCCGAGTGAATCGACGGTTTGGCACCCACCTGACAGGCAGCGAAAGGTGTGGCTAAGGCGGTTAACCGCTGAAGAAAGACCCCGTTCGAATTCGGAGCTACCTTTCGATGCCTCAGCTGTCGGGTGGGTGTCATATCAGCAGTCAGATGGGGTCGATTCACTCGGAAATGGTCAGGGGGAGATCGATAGGTGATGGTAAGAGGTAAGAGGTAAGCTGTGGTAGTGAGCGGGGGAGGAAGACAAGGGAAACTTTGCGACGCACATGGATTCGGTAAACAATAAGCGGCCGTGGCGGTACTAGTGCTACGTAACCCCGTAGAGAGGAGCCTCAAAAGCGGAGTCGACCCCCGGGCCCTCCTCCGACTTCAAACTTATGCTCCGGCGTGTTCCCCCTCAAAACCCCACACCAATTGGTCGCTTCATCTTACGCTCAACCCGGTAGCACATCCTTTCTCGATCATGCCGTTCAGATATCGTACGTGAGAAGGCGACGATTAACCCGTGGCACCCACAAGGACAAGGGCTCTCTGATCTTGCCAAGCGTCACGGCGCCGTGAGTTCCAAGTTCCAACCTGAACGTGAACTCAACAAGTTGCTCATAGTCCACCTCTCCTAACGCGATCCCCCACAACCCCCTACTCGAAGAGCCTTGACGCAGCCGATCCCCAGAGTTTTGAACGTGTTGATGCGTCCGTTTGACGAATTTGAGAGAGAGGTTGAGGAACTCCAGATCGTGCATGTCCGAGCAGTGTGCAGTGCGCGCTGCGCTGCGCGCTTCCACTGGCACGGCTTGACTTGGTGACAATGTGTTGAAGACGACGAGTACGACTGACCCCTTAGACGCACATCATTAATTTTAAAAAAGCTAATGCCCCAAGCTGAGGTACACTTGCGGCCGTGCAATTGAAGTATGCGTACGAGCGAGACCCCAGCAGCCTCCTAATGGAGACACTGCACGTCACTGCGTTGGTTGCTTCGAATTGAGGCTTGCTAATATTAGGCTGGCTGAGGGATCGAGGGTCGAAAGAGAGCACTTTTATTCCCCGGGCTCATTGTAGTAGTAGTTTCCAGTTTCCGAGCAAGCTTCCCCATGGCAGGTACTTACTACTAGTCCCGGAGATGGTTCGCCGGGATCTCTTTGACCGCGTACCCTACTGTGGCCCCTAGCTTTTTGATTTCCAAAGATGACAAAGTAGAGAGGAGTTCATGGTCCGCTCCAAAACCTTCCTTTATTTTGAAAAGGTACGGTCTCGGGTGAGAGAAATCACAAAGAGGAGAGACAAAGAACAGGCAACAAAACGCTATTTTTTTTTGTGGGGAGGGAACCGGTCAAAAACACTTGGGGAAAAAAAGTAGACAGGAACGAGTCGATAGAACGTGAAGAACAAGAGAAGGGGTCGAACACGAAAACAATGAGTTCAACCTCACCACTCTTAGCCGAGCGCACGCTCATCTCAAAGAAACCTGTTCACCAACCCGAATCGTCCCTAGCGGCAGGAGGAGGCGGGCTCCTTCCACCCACATCCGCACCGGCCGATCGACGAGGTTCGGGGGACCTATCCCTACGAGCGGGGGAGACCGAACGACGACGGTAATCGTCGCGACGATCATCGCGCTCGTCACGACGGGGAGGCGGTCCACGGTCGTCGCGGTCGTCGCGACGGTCGGAACCGCGAGAGGAGTAACCGCGGTCGCCGCCGCGATCGTCGTAGCGGGGTCGGGAGTCGTAGCCTCCTCCCCCTCCACCACGAGATCCTCCGGCACCGGGCGCCTAGAACAGGGGTGGACGCAATCTCGTCAGTTTGACGATATTGACTGATCATTTTACGTGAGTGCGAAGAACGTACAGCATCCTCAACGGTGACGGTCGCGCCGTTGAACTGGGTGTTGTTCAAAATGCGAATCGCCTCATCGGCATCGCTGCGCGAACCGTACTCGATGTATCTAGGTGAGTAAAAAGGTGGACCAAACGTCAGGTACGAGTCAGCACACGCGCCAATGTCGTAAATAAAAAAACAGGGGGTGCGTTGCCTCCGAATCCACACTCACCCGGTTCCGGTGTTGCGATCGACGTCGGAGTAACCAACGTTGCCGGCTGTGCGACCAAAGTCCTTGAGGTCCTACGAGGGGGTGGGAAAGTCGGAACCGAACGGGTGGCGAGAGGTGGAGCCAAGGGAAGAGTGGGGAGACGACGGAGTTGAATTAGTTTTCCGCAGAGCGTCCCTCGTCCACGGCCACTTTGAAACGAGTTTTTGGTGAGAAAGCCAAGGTCCCGAGAGATGGAGGAACGGAACGACCCGAGCCGACCCGCAACGGAGAAGACCACCCGGCGAGCTGAACCACTTAGCGAGCGAGCGTCATCGGGTAAAAGGACGGTTCGCGACAGGCAAAATGAAACCTCCGCCAGAGGGATACGCCGTCTTTCGGGTTCAAAAAAGCGTCACGCGAGCACCATCGACGATTCGCCAAACCAGCCCTTCGAGCCAACGACTGCGACCCGCCAAAGCACGAAACGAAACGAAGCGGAACGAAACGACCCGGACCCGGAAACGAAAAGCCAGATTCGCGCAGTGGATGCACCGCGCCAGGGACCGTCCACGACAACGCGTCCTACGACCGTTCGGAAAGCGCCACGCCAACGCCAACGAGTTGCCTCGAGCCGAAACGAAAACGCGAACCAAGCCCGCCACACGACCGGACCGGACCGGACCGACCGAACGAGCGAGCGAAAGGGCGCCATGCCAAACGTCCCAAAGGTAACGAAACGGAGCGAGGAGAATCGCGACCGTCTCGCCCACGCGCCGCGCCGGTTCGGAAACGCGCCGAGGCTACATGAGCATGAGCCAGCTCACTGTGAAAGAATGTTAGAACGACGCCGAGTTTTCCGGCTCTTGGAGGTGGGAGCCGCGCGCGATCCGATGCGAACCAAGCCGAAAGCACGTCAAAGGATGATAGAAAGCTCTTCACTAACCTGCCACGAGACGCCGTCCGGAATGCCATTGACGACCAGCCTGAATCCACGAGGGGGAGGCGGTCCACGGGGAGGGGGACGATCGTAGGCGCCACCACCACCGCCGTATCCACCACGATCGTATCCACGATCGCCACCGTATCCACCACCACGGTCACCGCCGTATCCACCTCGATCACCGCGATCACCGTAGCCGCCCGGTGCACCACGAGGGGGTCCGAAGCTGTGCGCATCACCACTCGGGGGGCGGGGGGGGGGGGGGGGGGGTTGTCAGGAAAGGGTGTGCGAGAGTTGGGTCAGGAACGCGTGTGCACTCACCGATCTTCACGGGGACGAGGCGGCTTGGCGAACTCGACCGAGATGCGATCGCCCATGAAATCACGACCGTTCAGATCGGCGACAGCCGCTTCGGCGTCCTTGAGGTCCTCGTACTCGAGAAAGGCGAAGCCGCCCATGACGCGGATGTCGACGATGCGGCCGAGCGGACTGAAGTAGCCCTCTGTGATCAAAGCGAGCACATCAGTACAGGCTTCAAGAAAGTGTGGGTGGTGCACTGTTCGATGGACGGGTGCTGGACGGCATGGAGGGAGTAGACGCGGTGATCACCACCCCCAAAAACCGCCGCCTGCTCCCGCACCGTGCACCGCGCTGCTCCCACCACCCGCACCCCCAGCACACCACACAGGAGGCACGTACCCAGATCCTGACGTTGCACATCAGGGCCGAGATGACCAATGTAGAGACGACGACCGGACATTGCTTTAGAGAGTACTATGGGGTAGTCTTTGGGAGGGAAAGAGAGAGGCAGAGAGGCAGGGAGGGCGGGAGGGCGGGGGTTGTGTGCGCGCGGCCGGCCAGCCAGCGGCGATGGAAAATAATGCCAGATAGTGCCAGATGATGCCAGATGAAGCCGCCTTTTCTATTCCTTTTCTTGGGCGGGAGCTAAGCTCACTTTTGAAGACAGCGAAGTACTAAGCTCTTCTAGCTTAAAAAACATCATGTGCCACGTGGCTAGTCTTGTGATGAAGTTGACGTCAAGCTGCAGCAGCTCAAAGTCTGCGTTCTGGCTCGGAAAGGCCTAAAAGTGGTCCGAGCGCGCCGTTGCAGCCTGTTGCAGCCTTCTCGACTCTGGCACAGCGAGCTCACGCCGGTGGCTCCCGCTTCTTCTCCCTCGATCGTCGCAACCACTTCCCATCGTCAGCAATATCTCAACGCACCAAGATGAAGTCTTCGGACCATCAATGATATCGAAAAGGAAATACGACTCTTCATCGCGTCAAAAGCAACGCCGCGAGGCCGAGGTAGACGAGAAGCTCCGTTCGCTCAACATCTCGCTATGTCAATACCTCCAGTGGTACTTCAACCCAGACACGACAGCCCTTCAGGTCTTGACGCATCGCCCAAAGCTTTTCAACGGTCACTGGGCCAGCTTCGAACACGTGCTCAATCTGATCGTAGAAGTCGGCCGACAAAGTAGCAGCAAAGGACGAGATCGCATCAACACGTAGATTGCCAAGCAGGTAGGTAATGCTAGCCATCTACCACAACTTCACAACCCCAAATGATCGACCCCCGAGATTGTAGCTACATCGCGTTATCTTAACAGTCTGACTCGATCATTGTTCAGGAGATGAAGAGATCAAAGCCAACTTATGTTCCCAGCCACGAGATCACACCCGGCCGTCTGACATCCGACTGCATCGACGAAGGGCTCGACAAAATTGCAGACGACAATCAGTTTCTTTTTGGTCGAATTCAAAACCTACTCTCTCGGTGCGCAGATACTGCCTGGAGAGAGCCGATCGATGGCGTCGTTGCCAATCGTACCGCGCAAGATGAGGTCATGGAAGATACCGATGGTCATGGTGTGCAAGAACACGGCACTGAGTCGCAACATCGTAGGGAACAGCACTTGTTGTTTGTGAGTTCTCAACCGTCGTTTGTCTTGTTGTGCTCACACTTCAGACTTCGCACTGACAGTGTCCGCTTTCCAGCTTTCACGCACTCTGATGGGGCAACTCGCGTACACTTGCAATCGTCGGTGCAACGCCATGCAACATCGTAACGGTTTTTTCGCCTTGGCATGCGGCGCAAGCGAGCGCTTGACAACTTTTCTGCAAGAGTGACTCGAAATACTTGAAATCCTCGCTTTCGTCGAGCAAGCGGAGAATCGACCGTGACTTCGAGGCCCCAACTTTTGTGCAGCGCAGAAAGACCGATCGATGTTTCCTCCCTGGTGTTGCAGTACACGATTGATTGAGGGATACTACTTGAATCGGATCGGACGCTGAACATTCTGGGAATATCTTTCATTGTAGCCTTGGTATGAGGTGTCATTTCGACGACGATGTTGCGTAAATTAGGGCGAAACAGGTTGGCTTTGGCAAAAAAAGTTCGCGATTTAGAGATGGTGGCAACCGCTAGAATTTTGTCGATTTTGTCGGGTGGCGCACCCGCAGTAAGGAACAAAGTTTGACAACCAATTCGGAGACGTTGTTGAACAATTTGAGCATACTCGGTGCGAAATGGGTTGGATCCCTCGGTGGTATGCGCCATAGCGCCGACTCGGTCTTTTCGTCCCGTGAGTCCCCACTCGGCGATCTTGATCGCCTCGTCGTAAACCAGCAATTTGATCCGCTCTCGGAATGAGGAAGTGAAAATCAATTCACTCCAACGAACGTTGCGCGCATGCATTTCTGGAGACTGCGAAGTCAACAATGCCGTACAATAGACCGTGTTCAGCCAACTTGAAGCAGAAAATGCAAGGTCACAAGGTCTTGAAGCTTACGTTTTCTTGGACACAACAACGGCCATCTTGCCCCTCATGAATAGCTTTGCGGCCTGTTGAATGCTCCGAGCGTGACCGTCAGTAGACGCCCGACACATTGGCCGGCAGGAGTCTTGCTTACCTGATGCTCACTCAATGCATTTAAGGGACTGATGATGATTGTAATTGCTCGCTTACCGAACACGAGACTCATTGCTTCGAAAAGCGTACTTTTGCCGGACCCTGTTGGTGCGGCGACGAAGACTGCGTCGAACGTATTCGTGCATCCGCGCTTCCTGTCGAGCTCGAGGAGACCAGCGATTGCATTGATCTGAAACGGCCGCGGCTCGAAGTCGTCACCAAACTCTTCGAGAAGCAGCAGCTTGACCTTGATGCGTAGCGAATCACGGTCCATTCGATCCTCCTTTGGAATACGTGAGTTCCATCGAACGATCGAGGGGGATTCGGGGGTCGGGTTGGATGACGGCTCTACACGGCCGATAGATGCTGTTAGACTTGCTTTGCTGGCTGAACGCATAGGAGATTCTCTGATTTCAATTGAGGGATGTCAACGAGGTAGGTTTTTGGCTGGTGTGGTAGCATTTTGGGCTGACATGCTTGGGGTGAAGAGCCAAAGCCTGGTTTGGCCTTGCAGCCGCTCGTTCGAATTCGAGCCCTCCTGGTCCGTGCGCGCGAGTGCGTCTAGGAAACATTCAGAACTTTGTTCCGCTGTAGCACCATGTAAACGGCATGTGTTCGCTTGTCCTTTTGCAATACACCTTTTCAACTATCTGAGTATGACCTCTTCAGCTGTCGCAAAAAGTTTTGCAATATTTGCCATGATACAGCAAACCACCCTCTTTTGGCCCAAGGAATTCGGAGGGCAACCGGGCCTGACGCGCCGATAATGTGCAAGCCCCTCCCAGAGGGAGGGGGGGGTCGAGCTTAGGCGGGAGCCGTTGCGCGCTTTTGGGACCGCTCGCTCAGAGCCGTCAAGCGCCAAGCGTCGAGTCATGCAGTCATGCTCTCCAACGCTCACCGTCGCGCAGGGCACGGTGCGGCAGAAGAGCAAGACCTTTTCAGAACAAGACACAAAACAGAGAGGGAACATCAACTCGGGGGGAAAAAACAGGGAAAAAGGGTAGAAGAAGAGGAAAAAGTTCTAGGGCCGAGGGACGGGGGGCCCAGGTGTGATAAGGAAAAGGGTCCGTTGCGCGGATCGGTGGCGGTGCACGATTGACGCAGGAGTAGGGCTAGAGTCTAGGAACGAGACAAGGAAGAACATGGATGTGCTACAGTAGACCATAACCCCTCGAAATGCTTCCTTCTCCGCCTTTGATCCCACGCTCCTCCCCGTCCCGAGCCGCGTTGGGTTTGAAAGCGCAAGCCGTTCAGCACTAGAGAAAGCACAAAGCAGATCAGTCACCCCACGCACTACGCCAAGTAACAGGCTCCTTTGTGAACTTACCGCGGGGTGGTCACTCGATCGGGTGTTGAGGATCAAAGCGACGATCAGGCCGTACAAGCCCAACACCTCGGCGAAAATGAGGATCAGGATCATGCCGACGAACACGCGCGACTAGAAATCAAAACGCCCACACCGTCAGTCAACTTGGGGTGATGACCTCGCCTTTGTGCGTGTAGGTGGACTGACTTGTTGAGCCACACCTCGCACACCGGCATCACCGACGATCCCGATCGCGAAACCGGCGGAGAGACCGGCCAAGCCGACCGAGAGACCGGCGCCGAGTTGGATGAAACCCGTGTAGAGCGCCATAGGGGACTTGAGGTCACCCGAGATGAGCACAGAGACGACGAGGCCGTAGATCTGGTTTGAGCAAGGCGAGATCGAGAGTAAGCCAAAAAGGTGCGGAAGGTGGACGCGCGGAGCAAGCCATCGTTTCGGCGATCGTCATCCCGACTCCAACTCGAACCTTCCCGAGAGAGTATCAAAATCAATACCGCGAGGTTGTACTCACGGCGATGATACCGGCCATGACGACGGGGACGATGCACTTCATCATCAGATCGGGTCGGAGCACACCCATCGCGGCGATACCGACGCCGGACTTTGAGGTACCGTACGATGCACCGATGCCTGTAGAGAAAGAAAGAAAGGTGGGTTCATTGTCAGTTCTGGAGTTGCTGGTAGTTGGGATGACCGGACGTCGTGCGCAGTCTGGAAGCGGCGAAGGCACGGCAAGGACGCACAGGTGAAGACGATCGCGGCGGTGCAGCCCCTGTGGACGACCCGATCCGAGCATCGTGCAAAAAGGGGTGCATAAACCTGGTCAGCTCAAAGTGGCCTCGACAGACCCGGAGATCGGGAACGATGGCGGTGGGAGCGCGGGCGGAGAATGGGGGAGTGGGTGGGTGCAGAGCATAGCGAGGAAGGCTCACATCGCACCGAAAAAGGGGGCATAGATCTGTACACACAAAAGCGGCGGTCAGTGACGAGCACTAGACATCGATCGCAGGAAGGTGCACACACGGGGCAAGCCTCGGAGAATGCGCTGTAGAGGTCCCACGCCGGTGGGAAGGTCGGTGGTGGCGCATGGCGGAAGGCAGGCGAGCGAGCGGGGAGCGTGTTCAGCAATGCGGTGACGGGTGAGAGCAGCACCGCGTCAGTCGCTAAAGCACACTGCAGCTTCAAGCGCAAAGTACGCACCTGACGGTCGACATGATGGGCTCGGGTGAGGTCGATTGGGCAGAGGGACGCAAGCGGGACGCAAGCGGGAACGGGCACGAGCGCGGGCGGCCCACAGTCGCGCGGTGACGACGACTGACGATCGAGGCCGAATCTCGCATTAGAGACCCTTAATGACCTTTAGAACAGTTGAGCTAATGCGCCACGATCGATGCTCGACGAACAGTGTCATCCTATCGACGAGGTCAGACCGGCCGAAATGCATAGACCACCCTTTGAGCTAGTCTCCTTCACTTCAAGTCTTGGGGGATCTCCAGAACAGGAGCCCTCCTGTTACACTTGGTTCGGTCTCGGCGCTATCGGGATAGGCGCATAAACTCGAAAGATGTCACAATCTTCCAGGACTCTTCCTCGTCTCTCTTCTCTCCACACAGAAATAGAAAAACAGCATGATTTCAACCCCGAAACCCATCTACACCCCACCACTCCACCACCTAAACTTTCAAACACCTCACCGTCTTGCCACATCCCGCCGCAAGCCATTCGCCCCCTCCACCCCAAGCGACCGCATTGATCTCCCCCGGTGCTGAATAACTCAAAGAAGGGGTCGTGATCATCTTGGGACCCGTCAAAGTGGCCGATCCTGATGTTGTGGATGCTGCTCGTGTGGAAGAGGTCGTCGGTGGGGAAGGGGAGGTAGAAAGGTCCCAAAGGAGGAGGGTCGAGTCGTCCGCTGTGGTAGATCGGCCTTCGAATTTAGTTCTTTTCCTTAAAACTGAAACACCCCCCAAAATGAGCCACTTACAACACGTAGCCAACCACCCCGGGCCGGCCGTATCCCCACCCCCTCCACCACCCCCAGAAGAATGCAACGTCGAACCCCCCCAGGCCATCCCATTCACACTCGCCGCATGCCCTCTCACTTCCATCACCGGCACCCCTGGACTCCTCGTATCCAAAATCTGGACATGCGTCGAATCGGCATGTACGATCGAGAGATACGTTGGACTGGTCGGGGAGAAGGCGAGGCGCAACAAAGGACTTGGGGGGAGCGGAGTTTTCGAACCTGGGTTGGGCGAACCATGCGATTGGTTCGATGAAGTCCGCCCACCACCGCCATTCTTGTTGGATGAAGAACCCGAAGTGGAAGGGGACGTCGCTTCGTAGAGGATCGTGGAATGTTCCAGGGAACGGAGGTCGAACATCCGGACCGAACCGTCGGCACCGACGGAGGCGAAGACGTCGCGTGAGGCGGGGGACCATGCGACGTCATAGACTTCTCGATCGTGCGCGATCAGTTGAGTTACGGGTACTCGGGTCGAGATGTCCCAGACCGTACATGTCTGGGGGGGGGGGGGTGCGTGCCGGGAGAAGATCGGATCAAGCACCCGAGTTGCAGAAAGCGAGGTCAAGGTTGCGCATCAGCAAAAGGAGTTTGACAATGTGCCAGATCTGACCCCACTCACCGTATCTATCGACGAAGTGACAATATGGGTCGGCTCCAACGTCGACCACGAGAACGACGTCAACGGTGCCGAATATTCCTGCTTGGACTGGCAGCGTCGACTCTCACGCAAGGATCAGCCCCCCACCACCTGACCCGCTCGCGAGAAACGCCTTTGCATGACTCGACACTCACATTCGCCAACTTTGCTCTCTCGACCAACCTAGTCTGAGGCCCCGCACTCGCCCTCCTGCCCATGGCTCCGACGAACCCCGCCGATCCCGACCCCGTACCCCCCGAAGAATTCGCCCCGACCATCTCCCCATCGCTCGCGACCAAATCCCACAACCTCAAACATTCTGAACTACTCGCGATCATCTCCCTCGTCGTTTCGCCCTTGGTTGCGATACTAGAGGATTGTAATTGGTTCGAGAGGCTCGCTGGACTGAAGGAGATCGCCGAGGGTGGGTAAGGCATCGGTGCTCGGGCGGTGGTGAGGAAGGCGGATTGGGAAGGGAGCAGTTGGCCGTTGCGGGCTCGGACGTAGCCTTCGATGGAGAGCGAGGTGTGGTCGTGGTTGTTAGTAGTACCATGCTGGGAGGAAGCGGAGGAAGAATCGAAATCGTTGGGGTGGACGTCCTCCAAGTCGAGGTAGGCCGGATCGAGGGAGATGATGGTCAAGTTGTTGATGTCCTCGAACGAAGAGCCCGACGAGGCCGAAGACAGGCCGCTCGAGGTCGTGGCGGCGGAGGAGAATGCGGTGGTCGAACTGGTGTGGGCGCGCGATTCGTTGTAGGAGCCGACGGCGAGCTTGAGGGTCGAAGTGGTCGTGCCAAGTGGGGAGAAGGCGAGCGAGAACGTCGGGCAGTCCGAGTGGTAATCCAGTACGGTCGGCGTCCTGGGAAGCAGTCGGTCACACTCGTTAGCTCGGATCCCTTGTCCGTGGCGCTCATGTAGCTCAAGTCCAGCGCGCGATGCATGACGAAATAGCTTCTCCCCCAGCCAAAGTGCGGACGTGGAGCTGTCCCCTCCGCTCGCCCCCACGAAGACCGACCAGCGCGGGTGCAGCAAGAGGCAATACACGTACATGGTCACCCAGCGTTCCTCTTCCGACCGATGGCAAAGCTAGCCTCCAACTAGGGCGCTACCCGACGACGCCAAAGATGCGAATTGCTGCTGCAAGAGCACAAGTTAAACCCGCTCGTCCGTGGATCAGCCGCGCCGGAACTCAAGCAAGGTAGGTCCCGAGTTGGTCTGAGTTGGTCATCCGAGCTCACGAGTCCGGCGTCAAGACTCCAAAAAACCAACTGATGCATTACGGGGTTCAGATTTACGGGTAAGCATGTACAACAAGAAGCCACAGACGATAACGGTAACCAAAAACAACATCAAAGCAAGAGGAACGGGCAACACCCCATCACTCTAGTCTTTCGCCCGAACTCAATCTTCCTCACTTTCGGAATCGGGCGTATCGGCCGCCAAAGTCCTCGCTGTACTCGGATCGCCCAACAAAAAGTTCAGTACACCATCTTTGATCTTGTCGAAGAAATTATGATCAAACCCACCTGTCCTAGGCAATCCCTTCTGAGCCCTCTGCGGCGGCGGTGGAGGAGGCACCACGACCGATTTGCCCGCCCTCGCGGCTTTAGGTGGCGCACCTTTGCCCTTCCCTATGCCTCCAACACCCCTCGGAGGACCGGGTATCATCGACGCATCATTCCCGCTTCCTGATCCTGAACCAGAGGGATCTTTCGCCATATTCGAGGATCGAGAGGTCGTAGGTACGGTCGAGGCGTTAGTCCTCAAGGTGGAGGAAGCAACGTTCATCGCCTGGTTATCCCTCGACTTTGACAACGGCGGCGCCGACGAAACGCGCGTCATCGCCCCACTCGCAATCGCCTGTACCATACTACTCCTCCCTCTCAGATCCCCTCCTTGCACCATACCCGCGCCTTTACCACCCGCAGTCCCACCACCTAGGGTCGCATACCCTTGCAACGAATTCGATTCCCTCATCGCCAAATGGCCGGCAAAAACTTGTCCAGGAGTAGCGAGATAACCTTCTGGAATCGCAGCGTCGTCATCATCCTCTTCGTCGGAACCATCTTCGTCTGAATCATCGTCATCATCATCATCATCCTCATCGGAAGAAGCGTCCTCCCCATTTGAATCATTCGACACGTCAATTCGAGAAGGGACGGATTTCATCGCCGCAACGGGACGTTTCATCGCCGCAGGAGGCAATGTCGATTTCGAGCCCCTCTGGCCTGGACCTGGTGGTGCGGGGGGTAAAGCGGGTCGTTTTGAAGCTGCTGTTGGTCGAGAAGGAGGAGTGGCTCGAGCGGTCGTGTTCGCTGCTCCTGGCGCGGGTATGAGATCGATGGGTGGGGGAACGATCCGAGGTGATTCTTTGGCGGCGGATTGCTGCATCGTATTGGATGGGGGTGCCGCACCGGGGGAAGACATCAACCCTGTCGACGACGACGAGGGTTTGATGGGCGAGGATTGAATCGCTCGATCCTGCCCGCTTGTGCTACTACCATTGTTGTTCTTGTTCGGGACGACGAGCCCCGAAGATGCTTTACCCGGCGAGTTGTCGGACAGATAGACGGATCCGAAATTCTCGACTTCGGCCAACTTGGAATGCCCTCGATGGTTGGCGCCTCTGTTCGAAGAAGAGAGTGCCGCATTCGCACTGACGGTTCGACTCCTTCCCGCACTTGCGCTGGGGGTGTTCAGGCGACCGGTATCGGATCCACTTCCGCTGCCTTTGCCGCCTCGATCCGTCCCAGCGAGCAAGTGCTTCGCTCGCCTGGCTAGGGAGAGAGGTTTGGTGCCTTCGTCGGAAGAAGAGGAAGAGGAAGCGGTCGAGGCACCGTTGGCGTTGATCTTGCGTCGCTTGGCCGTCGTTGGAGCCGGAGCCGAGCTTGAGGCGAGTGGGTGATAAGGTTGGGTTGGGTCGGGGGTGGGGTAAGGGTGGGGCGCGGACGAACGGTCAAGCGCCAAGCGCACCGAACTGTCCAGACGTTCCAGTGAAAAGCTCTGCAGAAGAAAAGTATGCTCAGCATTCCTTCTCTAGACGAACGATACTTACCGCAGCAAGCCTGTGCGGCGTTCACCTGCAGCTGCTCATCCCAAACGAGCACACAGTCGACGTCCTTGGAGTTCTGGACCTGGCCCGTGAACCTCACTTCGCCCGTCCGCTGTTGGCCCGAGCCTCCCGAGGCAGGTGCGGTCGATGTTTCGATGGGGAACGCGGCGAGGACGTTCCTTGTCCCCGGGGGTGTTGAGTTCGCGTTTGAGGACGGGTGTACCCATAGTAGCCCCGTAGCGGCCGAGCCTAGCGAGACAGGCTTTTGTGTATCTGGCGGGCGTATACATCGCTTATGTCAGGAAAGTAGTCTCTAGCCAAATGGCCAAAACACATGTACTCACACCTGAGCGAGACCAAAGCATCGTCGTCGTGTCTTCTCAGGAACGACGCGCCGAGGTGAATGTCGTGCAACGTATCCGAAGCGACCGTCGCAGTCGTCGACGTCGAGCCGGCAGCAGCTGCAGCCGCCATCGCTCCCAAGGCCTAGCGTACTTGTCTCTTGTCTTTCTCCTCGAGATCTCTATCCCGAGCGTGTGGCGGCGATGGCTTCTTCCTCCCTGCGATTCCGAGACGACGTAGACGACGGAGGGACGGAAGCGACGAAGCGAGCAACCGCCGCCGAGAGCTCCACGATTGCACGAGGCGGCCTCGGTCCGGCCAGCCTGCCAGGTGAGACACGGCCGACGGGATCCTCGCGCGGTGTAATTCGACCGGCCGCCGGCGGGGGCTAAATCGTCGCGCTCAGACACTTTCACATTTTTATTTTTATTTCCCCTTCAGATGCCTGATCAAGAGTAATGCAGATATCTTCGGCCTCAAGTCGAGGAGCGTCCTGGCTTTATGCAGTGGAATCGTGACATTCGAGCCGCACATGGTCCCCATCTCGTCCCGTCGTTCCCTTCGATCACATCTCGTCATCACTCTCCGTCGTCGAAGCCCAACATCCCATCGGCCGGGCGTTCCCTCCGGGCCTCACCGATGGGGGGTGATCGTACCAGTCGCCTAGGGGCAGGTCGTCATTACTTCTTCATCGTCATCGAAGAAGAGATTGACAATCTCGACGGGACGGTCGTGTCCCAGGGCGATGGACATTCCGAGACCGTGAGGATCTGAAGTGTGAAGCCAAAAAGGAGAGAGTGACGAAAAATGATTCGGTCGTCACTCCTCGGCCGCCACTTGACACACATCTCCCCCTCTCACCACATCGATGTTCTCCGCGCTCACGCACAAACGTTCTGTGGAGACAGTCTCTTTCTGCTGCATTGACCAGCAAGAAGCCATGGCAACCTGCGTTTGGGCGACCAAACGAGACCGCCGGACTCTCCTTGGCGAGTACACCGAATCGAGGTCCGATCGCCACCTCGTGCCGCCCACTTGCCCCTGTGGCCCGTTCTCCGCACGGGACACACCCTTGTGGTCCTTCCAGCGGCATTCCAATTGATCATCCAGTAAATCGGCAGTATCTTCAAGGCGCGGTCAACATGATCGCCACCGGCCCTCGTCTGTAGACGTTCCTTTCCATCCTGCAAACAACAATTTCGTCTTTTATACGTACGCCCTTGTCCCACTCTCATCTCGAGGGCCAGCACCTTGAGACACTTTTGTTACTTGGCGATCCTAGCGTAATGACTCACTCGAGACGCCCTTGCACCTCATTTCTTCCTAGGTCTCCTCGGGAGGACCTTTGTGGGTGACATATCCCGAGTCGCGCAGCCTTTCAAGATAACGATACGTCCCCTGCGCAAGGAAAAAGTGGTTCACACAGGACATTACGAAGGCATGTTTTATTTTATTCTTAAAAACCCTGAATACCCCAAGAAACTCTTCATAAGTCTTCGTTCGCCGCGGCATCGCCTCTCGAAAGCGGCCCCAAACTCACTTCCCGAACGCGACTAAGAGAAAAGGGGCCTCAGCTGTGCTCACGAAGCTTTTCAGAGCCGAGCACTCCTCTGAGCCTGGCTTTTGCTCTGACCTTTCAAGTGTCTCCGCGTTTACCTCCGCACATTCTCTCCACCTTCCTACGGCACATCAGCACTCCTGCACTCGTCAAAGTCGACCTTAGATGCGGCGAGAACGATCTGCTCGACTATCGCACATGTAGCAGCACCATTAAACGTTGAAAGGGCTGGGACATCTCTGGTCCATGAATCCTGTTAAGCATCCATCATCACGGGTATCAGTCGGTGCGTGAAAGACGAAAGCTCCGACGACCGACTCGGAGCCGACGTCGCTCCTTTGCAACGGTTGCGACGGGTGACTCGGACTTCATGCGCTTCACGAGACCGTTCCATTTCCCCCTTCGGTCCTTTTGATTCCGTGTTTGCAGAGAAAGGTTTTAATGTTCTCCAATAAGAAGTACCACTAATAGTTGAAAAAGTAATGGGAAGCTTTGAGTGGCTGACGGATTTTACGTGGAGCCTGACAAGCGTCAGCGTGACTACAGAAGCCGCGAGGACCGTCATAGTTTGCTGCTTCTACCCTTGGTCTCCTTGGGTCTAGTAACTACTACATCAACACCTTCTTCAACCACCAACGCCTACTCCAACACAACTCTACTACAACAACATCAATCAACGTTCAACAATATGTATTATACATCATATAATATATAGTCAACAACATGGATCCTCAAGACGTACCCATCCAACCTCCACCAGGTCAAGCCACTTCAACTTTCGGTTGAGGACTTGACTGCCCATCATTCACACAAGCCCAACAAACCATGGCCACCGAACGTCAACACTACAACCAAGCGTTGGCCAATGCCGAACAGCAAAATGCTGTGCTTCAAAACCAAGTCCAACACCAAAATGTGGTCGAAGAGGCGTTGACACGAATCAGTCAGCACATCTCAACCCCTAACAACCCCTCCGGCCCCAAGCCAAACTTCAAGACGCTCACGCCGGACAAGTTCAACGGCGATCGACGCAAGACCTCCAACTACCTCGAGCAACTCAAGAATGTATTCCTTACCTCGCCCGAGCAGTTCCCGGATGATCAGTCCAAGATCAACTATGCTGCCATGTGTCTCACCGACGAGGCACTCAAATGGTTCTCAGCATTCCGCAACCTCCCTGAGTCCACCAAGACGTCAGACTAGTATGACTTCCTTCGCAGTTGATCCAAGTTCCAAGAGAAGATCAAACAGGCCTACGGGGACGCCAACGAAAAGGAACACGCTCATCAACAACTCCACATGATGCGTCAACAAAACTCGGTCGCCAACTACTCCTCCGAATTCCAACGTCTGGCAACCATCGCCGAGGTCTCCGATGACCGCTCGCTTTTCTGGCTCTATCGCCGAGGACTCAACGCCAGGATCCGCGCCGTCATCATAGTACTACGGCCTCAACCCAAGAACCTCGATGAGTTGATCAAAGAGGCCAACCGAATTGATTTGTACCTTCAAAACGAAGCCATCAACACTGGTGCCTATCTACCTCGCCGCATGGCAAGTGGGTACCCACCCAATGATTTTGCCACCTCACGATCGGCTGTTTCATTGAACGATGGAGGACCGCGACCCATGGACATTGACGCCAACCGTCGCCGAATCCAAGTCAACAATACCAACGTTCGTCGAGGACCCCTGTCTGGGAACGAGAAAGAACGCCGCCGTGCAAACAATCTCTGCCTCTACTGCGGCCGCGCCGGACATCTCTTCGCAAACTGCCGTGCTCGACCCCAGCAGTCAACCACACCTTCGCGCAACTCCTACCCTCGGTCGACCAACGAACATTATAACAACGCTGGACAACACAGGTCCAACATCTACGACCACAAGAGGAGTGCTGCGGTGTCTTTCCGCCTCACTGGCCCCAATGCTTCCGTGCTTGGCAGCCGTCAACCAAAGCCCAGAATGCTTAGGAGGTGCTTTCCAGGGCGACTCCTCCGATCTTCTCTCGACTTCCAACTGTACAACACCGGACTCAACACTTTCGCACAACATAAACACCACACAAGAAACAAAAACAACTATCAACAGCCTCCTCAAAATTATTCAAGACTCAACAAAAACATCACAAAATGGCCCTCAAGAAACAACTACATCGTCTTCGCCCCCTATCGTCTTAGAGATTCCCCAAGAACCAACAAAAACACAACAAAACGACCTTCAAAACCCATCAAAATTCTCGCCAGTGCAAGGATTCCCTGTGCCAAAACACGTTTGCGCCAACTCCAGTGTCTCCCCAGAATTCGACTCCACGGAACACCTCATTGTACCAGCACAACTATCAACTACAACCGTGGACGAACTCACCTGGGCCATGATCGACTCGGGCTCTTAACTCAACCTTATCTCGCGCGACTATGTCAATTCACTCCGCATACCTCAAGTCACCATCCCGAACGCGCACATTGTCGAAGCTCTCGATGGACATCTTGCCCGCCCCATCACACACCAAACAGACCCCATTCTTCGCGAATTACGGATATCACCCTACACTCGACCTCACTCTTCCGAGCTACAGCAGCAAAACTCAAAACGCGTTCGCATCGAACCACTACGACACGCTCCGAGACACGCATGCCCTTATGCGGTACGACCTCGCTGCTGCGATAGCCAAAATGGAGAGGAACTATAACAAGACTAGGAACGAGAACCCCGAATTCAAGACAGACGACCTCGTGTGGCTAAGCGCCAGGAACATCGAATCCGTGCGCGAATCCAAGAAGCTCGATTTCAAATGGTTGGGACCCTTCAAGATCCTTGCCCCTGTTGGGCGCTCCGCTTTTCGCCTGGACCTCCCACCCTCCCTCCGCGTTCACAACGTCGTGCATGTTTCGCTCTTGCGGAAATACGACGAATCAAATATCGAAGGACGCATCGTACCACCACCTCCTGTCACGCTCATCGACGGCAATGACGAACACGAAATCGAGACAATACTCGACTCTCGCACTCGAAATGGCGCCCTTCAATATCTCGTTCAATGGCGTGGAACTCTTTCAGCCACTAATCCACAATGGGTTAGGGACTACATCCTCGATCACGCCATCGACCTCGTCAAGCAGTTCCATATTCAGCACCCTCGCGCCGCGAAATCAGCCCCGCATCGGGTCTCAAGCCGCTCAGGAGCGCAGCTCTCAAAGGAGGGGGTAACTCCTGGAACGCCCAAGCGCCGCGGCCGAAACAGGGAACGCTCCGATCAAGCTTCCGCCGGCCCCGCCACAGGGAGCTCTCGCAATTGATCACGCGATCGTCAACTTTTGCCCCACACCTGGCAGGACTCCGACTTCGATTCCAAGACTTCCCCATCCACAACTTCAACTCCGATTTCTCTTTCTCTTTCTCTTTTCTCTTCATCACTTCCCCACACTTCCTTCCACTTTCCACCTCATTCCAGTATCACCACATGTCCTTCTCCACCACGGTCAATAGTGCGCTGCGAGTCGAGACTGTGTACGTCTCCGATGGTCACCTCTACGCCGCCCTCCGCATGCCGTCTCGACAAATCGTACATGTCCCCGCCTTAACCGTAACAGACGACGTCCTGATCGCCGACGTCTTCTCGCGCGACCACTCGTGGGAAGCGCTTCACGACACTCATCGCGCTCATCTCCTCCCACCGCAATGGCTGAAGTACTACAACCTCTTCGTCGCTCTCGTCCAAGGTCCCGTCAATCTCAACGCCCACCAGGTCATCGAGTTCCAACACAATTACCTCAGCTTGATCCAACGAACCGGACGGCTTCCCCAACTGCCCTCCAGGCACATGACCGAGACGTATCGATTGCCTCAATACGATGCTTCCCTAGCAAGCATGCGTAACGATATCGACCTCAAACTTTGTCCGCCAACCCGACAACCCAGCCTGGACCCTCGTTTGGTCATGAGGACTTATACCGACTGCGATAATCTCAAGGCCTACCTCGTATCTCCAGCGTTCATGCGCCAAGACACCCCCGACTCGAGTTACACGGACAACTCAACTACCGACGAAATCAAATCCGAGATCCCTCGCAATCCTCCGTGTCTAAACTATAGTCCTCACTATAGTCTAGAACCTTTCCTGTCCGCGAGGACCGTCATAGTTGATCATCGCAGTCGGTATAAGTTCTCATGACCAAACGAGGGTCCAGGCTGGGTTGTCGGGTTGGCGGACAAAGTTTGAGGTCGATATCGTTACGCATGCTTGCTAGGGAAGCATCGTATTGAGGCAATCGATACGTCTCGGTCACGTGCCTGGAGGGCAGTTGGGGAAGCCGTCCGGTTCGTTGGATCAAGCTGAGGTAATTGTGTTGGAACTCGATGACCTGGTGGGCGTTGAGATTGACGGGACCTTGGACGAGAGCGACGAAGAGGTTGTAGTACTTCAGCCATTGCGGTGGGAGGAGATGAGCGCGATGAGTGTCGTGAAGCGCTTCCCACAAGTGGTCGCGCGAGAAGACGCAAATCCGAGTACACCGACTATAAGTCGACCAAGAGTTCGACCTTAACGAGGGGCGACTGTTACGAGCCGTTCCTGAGCACGGACCTTTAGCGCGCGTGCCTGACTAGCTGCTCGCTGCGCGAGTGTTCACGTGACCACCCTCGATACTGGATCATTGTGTGAACCCCTTTTATTTATTTGCTTACCAATCGGACCACATAAAACACCTTCAAAGATTATTTTAGCCTTTCCAGAATTTGTATAAATAGTGGTCCTCTCTGAAGTTGCTTCTTTCCTTCCTGCAAGCGACAACTCCCATTCTCATCTCCCATTCTCGCTCTCAATCTCCCTCGCCTAAAACCTTTACTCTTAAATCCTCATCCAGTCTCATCTCGGCACCTCGCCTCATCCACCCCTATCCTTGGCCTTCAGTTGCTTCGGCCCAACCAGACCTATCCGAGATCCCTCGCAATCCCCCTCGTCTAAACTATAGTCCTCACTATAGTCTAGAACCTTCCCTGTCCGCGAGGACCGTCATAACTGTCAAGAAGCGTCCGGAGAACCGAGTGACTGGACGCTTCGCCGAGGAGTAGAAGATTGTGTCAACGCCAAGTCTCTACATTGGGATCCGAGTTCGAAGACGAATGAAGGACGATATTGGATTTGGAGGGCTGGCTTGTTCTTGACTCTGAAGATATGACTAAATGGAAGAATGGCAGGATGTTTCTACTCGACTGGGATCGCCATCTTACCCTGGCTGCAGTTAATTGGGCCCGCCATCTAATTATTAGGGAGGCGGGGCATTTCTAGCAGATTGTTTAGCACTTGGGCGACACTTCGTCTCTTTCTCTCTTCATTCGCTCTCGCATTGAAGACTGACTGAAGTGTCGTTCAGATTTATATAAGCGAGATACATAGCGGATCACCCACCAGCAACAATACATAGAGCTCAGTCGTCAAGGCGCCAATCTGAGCGCTCATCGTGCCGAGGTACAACGTGTTCAGCGAGTCGAGTATGTCGTAAGACGTGTAACAACCCCTGACCAGGCGAAGATTGGCTTCGTCGAAAAACTGAATGATTTCAGCTTGAGTTCGAACCTCCTTCTTTGGCTCCTTGGCGATCTTCGCGTCCATAGATGCGAAGTCGAGCCGCTCCAGGGGCGAGTGGAAGCCGCGCGATCGATCGTCGATTGCGACCTGAAGAACGGCCTCCGCAGCGGCGCTCAACGGCCTCGATGCGCAAAGATGCAAATCCTTGGACACAAGACGACCAATAAGACGTCGACGCCAATCCATGTAGTTGGTGGCTCGAAGAATTGGGACATGTATTCCACGATCACTCGTTTCGGTGGAGGGTCTATCGGTGTCCATTCCGATGGTGGTGCGATGGGAATCGCTTTGCTGACCCGGGCCTCCTACGTTACCCGTTGGGCTTCGCTCATGGAATGGCATCGGAACTTCGGACACATGGCACCCTCTTCAATTCTTCGACTTGTCAATTCCAAGGCAGTCGTTGGAATTCGTTTACTCGACAAGAAGATTGATGACTGTGAGCCGTGCATCATCGCGAAGGCGCGCGCGGGCTCTCACAATCATGTTAGTCGAAAACCCGAACATGTTCTTCAACGAGTTTCGATCAATCTGGGATTCGTCAACGATGACGATACCAATGGACGATCCATCTACATGGTTATCGTCGACCAACTTTCAACCTATAAGTGGGCTTTTCCACTTGGTTCGAAGTCGGCATCCGAAGTCCTCGAGGTCTGGCGCGGCTTTCAAGCGCAGGTCGAGAGGCAGTCCGGTCAGAAGATCAAGTTTGTTCGTTCTGACAATGGAGGCGAGTTCGTCAACCAGCTGTTTGGCGACGAATTCAAGGCACTTGGCATCACCCACGAACTGGCTGCACGCTACACGCCGCAGCAGAATGGTCAAGCGGAGCGCGCGAACGGCTCTCTCTTCGCGCTCGTCCGTGCCATGCTCAAGGACTCCGGACTTCCCATGAAGTATTGGTTCTATGCATTGGAAGCGGCTGTTTTCGTTTCCAGTTGGGCTCATAACCTATCGCAGAAAAGATGCGAGCGCGGAAGTAAAGCCTTCCGATAGGTGAGGGTGCACGACGCCGAGAAGTCAGGACCACAATGTAGAGCGAGTGATGAGAAAGCTACCAAGAGTAAACAGCCGCGCGGGAAGAAAGCCCCGCGCGCTCCCTAACTTAAACAGATCAAACTCCAATACCAAAGTGACTATGACTAAACACACGCGCACCTAGCGCAGATATCACAGGCACAGACACATGTCAATTAACAACATGCGTTTGGGCGACCAACGAGACCGCCGGACTCTCCTTGGTGAGCATACCGGATCGAAGTCTAATCCCGCGCCACCTCGTGCCGCCCACTTGCGCCTGTGGCCCGTTCTCCGCACCGCACACAACCTTGTGGTCCTTCCAGGGGTATGTCGATTGATCATGCAGACAATCGGCGTTATCTTCAAGGCGCGGTCAACCTGGTCGTCACCGGCCCTCGTCTGTAGACGTTCCTTTCCACATTGCAAAGAACAAGCTCGTCTTTTATCCGTAGGCCCTTGTCCCACTCCCATCTCGAGGGTCAGCACCTTGAGCCACTTCTGTTGGTTCGTTATCCTAGCGTAATGTCTCGCTCGAGACGCCCTTGCACCTTATTTTTCCCTGGGTCCTCCCGAGGACCCTTGTGTGACATATCCCGAGTCGCGCAGCCGTTCAAGATAACGATACGTCCCCGGCGCAAGAAAAAAATGGTTCACATAGGACATTACGAAGGCATATCTGCTTCCTAACAACCCTTAATACCCCAGAAAACTCTTCATAAGCCTTCGTTCGGCGCGACATCGCCTCTCGAAAGCGGCCCCAAACTCACGTCGCGAACGCGACTACGAGAAAAGGGGCGTCATGCGTGCTCACCAAGCTTTCAGAGTCGAGCACCCGCCTCTGGCTCTGGCTCTGAGGATGGCTCATGCTCTGACCTTTCAAGTCTCTTTGCTTTATCGATGTGATTTCACTCGTGTGATCTCTCGCATCAAACTGGGCTGCGACCCTTGGCATTCGAAGAACCTTCGTGTTTTGTTTCGTAGGAAGATCCGAAGCCCATCCCTTCTCCCAGTACAGGTCCGCCATCTCCTCAAACTTCGTTTTTGCGTCCGCATCGTCTTATGCGTACTTGACATCTTCGGCCTGGACTAAATCGAAGGGAGGCGAGGGCGAAGCGAGAACAATTCGAGAAGCGAAAGGATTTCGGATTTGATAGTTGGAACCGTGACCCTGGCCGCTGCAAAGACTGTGCCCCAGCGCGTCGAGCCACGCTACAGCGTGAGCCGTGCTGATGAAGAACTCGCACGAACTGGAATCGGGGGTCGCAGCGACGAGGGACGAAATGAAGTGTGTCACCGAAATCGGTTGCTCTCGCGCCTCGGCCGAGTGAAGTGGCACCTACACGCCGGTGGAAGACCAACGGGGCAAAGATCGCCTACTGCATGTACGACAATGCAACGCTAATAGGACCGGGACATCGGTGGTCCATGCATCCTGTTGGCATCCATCACCACGGGTATCAGTCGGTGCGTGAAAGACAAAAGCTCCGACGACCGACCCGGAGCCGACGTCGCACCTTTGCAGCGGTTGCGACGGGTGACTCGGTCTTGCGCATCACGAGACTGCCTCATTTGCCCTTTCGGTCCTTTTGATTCGGTGTTTGCAGAGAAAGATTTTGATGTTCTCCAACCAGAAGTACCACTAACAGTTGGAAGAGTAATGGGAGGCTTTGAGTGGCTGACGGATGTCACGTGGAGCCTGAGAAGCGTCAGCACTACATCGGAAGCGTAAGCGCTACAGAACCGGGGTGCGACTCGTGGAAGACACTCCTTGGTGCATAGTAAGGGTGAGACTTCGACCACTCGCGGGCGAGAATTAGTAGCCATCATCGAAGGATAAGAGATCATCACTGTCAAGAAGCGCCCTGAGAGCCAAATGATCGTACGCTTGCCGACATTCACCCTGCCTCCACTGCCGCCCCCGCTCTCAGTCTCACACCTTCTCACTTGCGTGTGGTCGCTCCAAGCGCTCGTGCACGGTTCAACCCTTCCTTGCTCCTCGCTTCAATCTCCCAACGTAACCGAGAACGGCCTAGACCTTGAGCGGTCGTGCCCCGATCGCGATCGTCGTCCTCGCCGTCGTCCTCAGCGGACCCCGCCAAGAGTGAGTCTGAGCAGGGTCGAATCATCCGATCAGTCACAGTTCTGGAGACTGCGGCGCTGTCTTGCCTGCAGTGGGCAGTGGACACTCCACTCGAATTTGTCACGAACACTGACCAGCGTCGCGCCTCACGTTACACGCCCGCAGTGAGCTCCGACCGCGCAGCGCCAGGTGCACCTCGTCGCAGCAGCCGGATTGAGCGGCAAAAGCAGCGCGCGCCGGTCACTCAACCAGCCGCCATCAACGCTCGTCTCGCGTCGACCTCCGCGTTGTCGTCCTCGGCTGGCCAGACTTCCACGCCGCTCGCATCGGAGACCGACCCGATCACTCGAAGCAGCGAAGCCTACGACTTCTCCCCCTTGAGAAAGTCGCTTCCTGGCCCCGGGTCTCCTTCTCCGTCGACCCCAGGCGCTTCGCGTGCCACCGGCCCCGCGTCGCCCGCAGCGTCGCCCGCAGCGTCCACCTCGCGCACGTGCTTGTCGACGCCGATCTCCGCCAGGACGGTTCCCAGCGCCGGAGAGCGAGCCATTGCGAGGGCCGACCGAATCGCCAACGCGATGGAAGGGAAGGAGTACTTCAGCCAAGGGCTGTGCGACTACTTTTTCGGCAACCCGACCGCCTGGGAGGTTAGGAACAAGGTGTGGTCGAAGAACTTCGCGATCGGCACCGAAGAGGCGATGGCCGAGGTCATAGCAGCCGTCAACAAGATCGTGAGTCAGGAGGGCTGAGTCCTGAATCGGTTGGCTGCATTCGTGTTTCTGGTGCAAAGGTCTGACTTGCGGCGGGCCGTGCTCCTCGCAGACCGGCGACAACCGACTCGTCGCGTGCAAGAACTCGCCCAACTACATCGGCGTTGCCCCCGACCGCATCGAGACGACGGAGAAGACGGCCGACGTCGTTCTGCTCACCCGCGCTTCCATCAAGCACGACCCAACACTTCCAAACGTATGGGCTCTGCCCAAGCATGCTCGACCGGACGCCAAGGACGAAGGCAAAAAGGGCAAGGGCAAGGGCAAGGGCAAGGGCAAGGCCACGGCCGTCGGCAACGGCAACGGCAACGGCAACGGCAACGGCAAGGACGATGGCGAGATGAAGGAGGACAACATTGATGCGCTCGTTCGAACCCTCGTCCATGTTGCCGCCGTCGGCGAGGCGAAAGGAGGCGACGCCGACGCGAGAAAACATCTCCTACGACGACTGTCCGCCTTATTAGCGACTCCGATCCGAGAGTTTGCTATCGGCTTCACCTTGCGACACAACCGACTCAAGGTTTACCTGCTCAACGCGTGTGGCCTCTTCCACACCAAAGAAGTCGTCGTTTCTGAAGAGAATGGCTTTCTCTCGACCTTCTTCTACCGTCTCGTCGGGCACGACGACTTCGAGAACGGCCTCCTGGCAACCACGAACTCGCTCGACGATCGTCAGGGCCCGTATACGCCCTGCGATGGCTTCTTCCCCGCGGCGGCCCCGGAATTTGTTGGTGGACCCGTGTCGCTGAGGGAGATCACAATCGTACGACTGCTCTTTCGGCGTCAAACGGAGTGCGGTCGCGCTACCTCGACGTACGAGATCACCGTCCGCGATGGCACCACCGTCAAGACCCACGCCATGTCGATCGCCTGGGTTGAACAGTCGCGCAACACCGACCTGGCCGAGATTCGGAACTTCGTCCAGGCGAAGAGGCCTCGAGGTCTTGCTCCGCTCGTCGCCGTCTTCCGAGGCGAGTACGAGACCCTTCGTCCCGCGTTCCTCGATCGCGACCATACGTTCGACAAGCTCGTCCCCCGCGCCCGGGAGGTAGTGATTCATGAAGAACGTTACCGATCCCTCGACACGATCGAGAACACGAAAAGTCTCGCTCGCGTTCTCGAAGGTGCGATTGAAGGTAAGTGCCCCGAGCGGAGCCGAGCGGCGTCGCCATGCCAAGATCGGCGCACGTCGGCGCAACGGCCGCTGATCGGTTTCCACACGCCTGACAGGGCATCGCGCGCTTTGGAACCACGGCTACATCCACCGAGACGTTTCGTACGGAAACATTATGGTCGACAAGAACAAGGATGGCATCTTATTGGACTACCACCTCGCCGTAAAAAATACTCGATTGAACGAAGAAGAATACCGCCTGAACCGCTCTGTACATTGCCCGCTCTCGTTTCAATCGGCTTCCGCTGGTCCTGGCTCGGGTTGGCTTACTCGAACCTATTCACTTGCACCACGATCCATAACAGGGCACACTGCCTTACATGTCTTGGTTGCTTCTAGACGGCCCATCCGGAGGGGTCACGCACGAGCGCTGGCACGACGTAGAATCGTTCTTCTACGTCGCCTGCCATAGGGCCTTCCAATCCACGTCGTCGTCCACGCTCAAGGTCCTCGCGATTGAAACCCCAGAAGCCAAACATATTTGGAATTACTGGAATGCCGGGGATCTGACGGGCGCAGCAAACGCGAAGTTCACCTTACAACGGGCCAGGAAGTTCGACGAGCTTGTCCAGGCTCGCGCACCTGGATGGGATCGAATGAAGGAGTTTCTGACTACCCTGAAGGAGCACTGCTGGCTTCACTTAATCCAAGGAGAAGAAGAAGACCTCAAGGACCTTTGGGAATCGCAAGTGATGTCGTATGATGGACTCCTCGCGGGCTTGAGGGCTTTTTATCAGTCACCTTGAGGGGGGCGGGGGTTAAGAACTCGGCATCATTTTGTGCACTTTCCGACCCGGATGTAATGCTAGCATTGTTCCGAGTCTATTTTGTGGGTGACTTCTGTGTCGATCCCCAGCATAGCCGCTACTATTTGATACCCTGCGCCAGCAATCGACACCGCGAGGTGATCGGTGCAGGGGGTACCCGGGGCGACGACCCGGGGTGAGTCTTTCGTCTCGTTCTTTGGCCAAAGCGGCAAGATGTGAGAGACCCAGTAAGAGTGTACACCGGAGCGACAACGAGAAGATCACAGGGCCAAAGTATGGGATGACACGGGACACTCTACCTCAGTTGCTGCTATGACAATGCCTTCTAACCCTGGTGGAGTGCGATGTCGCCGAACGGTTCCATCGAGTGTTCCATGTTCGATTTGGACTCCATCTTCGCCGGGCGCTTCTCTCCGTGATGTCCACCATACGTGGCTACGAGCCTCCTGATTTACTTGCACTGATGAACCAAACTTGGACGTACGCAGGAATTCGAGACGTAGAAACACCTTCACAGGACCAAAGCGCGTCTCGAAGGCGAACGGGCCCGAGGTCATGCAGAAGGCTGCTCAAGGTGAGCTAAAATGGCTCGACCCACGGGAAAAACGTCAAAATCTGCAAAGGCGCCTCACTTGTAGAACGTACGTCAATTTTCTGCAAGGCACCTTGATGAATTCGAGGATCTTGGATCCTCAGAATGTCAACAAGAGGAATCCGCTTTCGGCGCAGGGTCAGGGCCTGGCCCAGCGCTGCCACTGCGCTGCCAGGCGCCGCCTGCCAGGACCAAATTTACCTTGCACCTTCAATGGCTGCCTTCTGATTCCTATCTGCATCGATTGAAATCGTTAGTCTTTTTGGCTGTGTAGTCCAGTTGTGAACGGGCTGGCCTTTCACCGCCTCCGGCGGGGCTTGACTCGGCGGTGCGCGCAGCCGACGAGTAGCCGACGCTAGTAGCCGACGTCCGCGGAAGGCAGAGGAGGCGAGGCGAAGACGCTCACTCCAGGAGTCGAAGATTGAGCCTGGAGAGTGAGTGCGAGCCGACGCGGGCGAGAGGAATAAAAGGAGCCTAGGAGCAGTACGAGACGGGTGGCAATTGCTATTGATAGGCGTGCCGCAAACACCATGGACTGCTGAATAAGGCATGGGTGTCCGAAGTTGGTTATTTATAGGCAACGCTTCTCTCAGCGAGCTCTGCTTATGACTTGGCACTTTGTCGAATCAAATGCTACATGCATCTGGACCCCCAAGCCGACTGAAAAACATTTCAACACTTCTGCACACCTCATACCACCCCGAGATCAAGCCTTCTTCTGTTCGCGCTTAAAAAATTCGCCCGGTCCAAAGCCCCTAGGTCCTAAGGCCTCATCAAGGATCGCCATCATCTTAATGACCTTCTCCTCCTCATACTTGGCCGCAATGATTTGCACTCCGACCGGAACGCCCTCCATTTCCTTGGAATCATACCGCGCCGCTTTCGGTCCATACAACCTCCCTTCGATCAATTGCGACCCAGGCTCGGTGCGCAGGAGGTCCATAAACTCGGGCGTCAAGGCATCCTTCTCCGCATCGACAAAGGTAACGGGCAAGACACCCGCGGTCGAATCGACGACGTTCCACAAGAAGGTCGAGACCGCGATCGTCGAGATGTCCCACGTCGTTTCACACTTCAACGCCGGTGTCGCTTGAGGAGCGGTCAAGAGACCGTCGAGTCCGTGCGTCTCGAAGAGCTGACGACGGACCGCGTACGCGTAGACTTGACGTTCGTGAGCCCACGCCTGAGTCTCGGTGACGGTCCTTCGGCCAAGCGCGCGAATAATACGAGGAAAGACTTGGTCCCCCATGAACCTCTCGATACCTCCGGCGACGACATTGCGGAACCATCGAGGGTACTTGAGGGGCGCGTCGAGGAGCCACAGGAAGCCTTCTCTGGGGTCATCGCGCACGCTGCCGAGCAAGGTCTCGTAATTGCCTGCAGAGGTGAGGGCGATGAAAAGCTCGAGGCCGCGGGCGACGTCCGGAGCGGGGATTTCGACGACCTCGTGGCCCTTCTTGCGGAGAGCATCGATCGACATTTGCAGCGCTCGAGCGCAGGCAGGCGAGTTTCGGACGACGCCGTCTAGGCGACAGGATACAACGCTTCAAGGCATCAGCGAATAGTTCACTCATTGGCACCCGTGCCACCTTGAAAACTCACCATGCTGGTAGTAGCCAAACTTGAGCTTCTTGGGCATGTCCAACTCGCGCCAAGGCAAAGGGATCATACCTTCGATCTTGGTGTACTTTGCCGAATGATCGACGAGGCAGCGCATACCAACCTCAAGATCGGCGACACTTCTTCCCATAGGTCCGCACGAGACGGCGATGGCTTCGAAGCCCGGGTTCGCACCGTGGATACCATGCGTCGGGGTACGACCGATCGTGGGCTTGAGGCCGTAGCAACCCGAGTAGTGAGCAGGGATACGGAGCGAGCCACCAATGTCGGAGCCGATGCCGAGCGGCGAGGCATCCGAAGCGAGGAGGGCCGCTTCACCACCGGAGGATCCACCAGGGGTGCGAGTCGAGTCGTGAGGGTTCGTGGTTACACCGAACAGCGGGTTCGCGCATTCGAACGAAAGCATCGTCTGGGGGATGTTGGTCTGAGCAGGAAGGATGGAATTATGGGCATCAATGGTGGATCGCTGGCGAAGCAGGCGAAAATTCTGTGGCTTACCTTGACGAAAGGATTGGCACCGGCTTCGATTAGAGCACTGACGAGAGGAGCGTCTTGTTCTGAAAGAACCGAAAGCAAAGAAGAAAGCTTCAGCTTTACTTTTTCAAAGACTCGCTCGGCACGAGAATCCTTTTCGTACACTCGTCGCAACTCACCCGCCGGAACCCCATGTTTGTAAGTGAACCCAATCGTCGTATCAACGCCCTTGACGTCCAAATGATCTTTGATCGAAATAGGGCACCCATGCAACCTTCCCTTTTTCTCCTTGGTCTCGTTGAAATCGTGATCGAGTTGGGATGCTCGGTCCCAGGCGGCCTTGAACATGACCTCGGTCAGGAGGTTGGATTTGGCATGCGCGCGCAGGGCTTGGGAGATGTAGACGAGGAGAACGGATTTGGCGGTCCAGCTTACGGTGGAGTAGAGTCTGGTCATAACGAAACAAATGGCAAAGGAGTGAGGACACGCGGTCATCTGCATGGCCAAAAAGGGCTTCGGGCACGATTCGGGAAGCTGGGCGCTGGGACCCTGACCTGGCACGAAGCCCCCTAGTAGGGCCGCGAATGGAGCGCAACAACTCACTTGTCTGAAAGCTCCGCAGCACCAACCGACAAAACTTGACCAACTTCTACCCCTTTGAGCAATTCGGCTTGTTCTTTGAGTAGGTCGCGACCCCATTGCAGTTCCTTGTCACGGAGAGCGCTGTCGAAAGTGCGCAGGGAAAGTGGGGCGCACACGAGGGAGTCCATTGGGTCAGATGGAGGGGGGGCAACCACGTCATGATGACGGACGAAGAAGGCTGGACTGACAGATGCGCATCACGGTTCACTTCCCAGTCTGCAGTCATGTTGATGGGTACGAAGAGGTGAGAGAGTGAAACGAGAGAAGGCGGAGGGAGGATGCCAAATTCCAATCGGGAACTCTTTCGAAGATCCGACGACGACTCGGGCACGGCTGGACCTGAATCGGGGGGCACTTGCTTACCGGCTCCGGGGCCGACGAAGACCGGACTCTCGGAGCTTCCCGAAGCGGCGATTTGCGATTGATGCGACTCGGCTTCTACAAAGAGGTATGGCATCCGCGCACAGTGTGTGCAGGGCCAATACATATGTAACAATTCCAACACCTGCATGTCACTTCCATCGATCCAGAGCCTTCCTGTACAAACACAGAACCCCATTCCTCCCAAACACAGTAAAATCAAGCCCCAAGAGAATAAAAATGTGAAAAGTAAGACACGGAGACACGGAGAGGGCTGTTCACAGGTCATCGGTGGCATGGTCGAAGAAGAATACACACAGACACAAGGTGAAGATTTGACCATCAAGGCCCGAGTAAACAAACACCCTCTTTCAGCTTCAAGCCGCCAGCGGTCCATTCATCTCGGCGTCGAGGTGACTCGGGTTGAAGGTGTTGCTATCAAAGTTGATATCGAGACCCCCAGCAGCGTCCCTACGGACAGAAAAATGCGGTCAGCCCAATTCCATCTTCCCATGTGCGGGCCCAAGTCGTGATGTGCACTTACAATCCTTCAGGCCAGGTAAAGAATCCATCCGCACCTTGACTGACGAGCACGCTCGAGAAGAAGTTCGTATCGTTCAAGAATGAATCCAACGGATCCATGGGATTGAACCCCGTATTACTCGCTCCCGCACTTCCCGCACTTCCCGCACCCCCACCAGCTCCATACGTCTGATGTCCCGCAGGCGTGTGCGTCCCCGACATGGTCCCCGATCCACCTGTCGCAACGGCCCCACTTCCGAAGAAGCTCCGATTGTCATGATTCCGTTGTGCGAAAGGCGTAGACATGAAAGGGTACGAAGCGGAGGGACTCATCGGAGCTCCAGCGAGCGTACCATGCAAACCCAATGCCGAACCGGGCGGTCCTGATGACGACCCATTCGCACCGAACGGATCGGAACTCCCATCCGCCGCGAGCCCACCGTGGGGTAATCGACCTCCGGCTTCGTTCGGGTTCGTTTGCTGCCGGGACATACCGTGCGAATTGGCCGGGTTCTGTTGCGCCTGTAGCATCGCCTTAAACGAAGCCAACAAGGCTCGCAACATCGTGCAAGCCGTCGAAGCTGCATGGCGAGGCGAGCACGTCGCGGCTTGACAATCGTAAATGGCCTGGACGAGCAATTGCTGCAGTTCGTCGGCGTCGACGAGTTGCGAGAAACGCGTATTGGAGACCTTGACCTTGATCAAGAAGACGGCGCCGTAAAGGATGAGTAAGAAGTTGACGTCAGGGCAATGCAGCAGGACGCCCAGCTCGGCGTATTTATGCGCCAGGTCGAGCACAGATTTGGCGGCGGTGATCGTCGTCGAGACGCATTCCGGATCGTCAGCGACTTCGCCATTGCGTAGCATGGTGTGGAGGGGGATTGTGTTGAGGAACAATTTCGACGAGAAGAAGTAGAAGAGTAGGTTGTTCGCGATCGGTTCACCCGCGACGGGGCACCACCGTTGTCGCCAATCGTCCATGCGGTTGTTGAAGATCTTCATCACCGTTGCCGACGGCATCTCGTCACTCGCCGAAGAAAGACCATAGATGCGATCGCGGAACGTGTCCATAACCTGCCCAATGATCATTTGCAGTTCCTGATGCGCGATGACGCCAAGATCGAAGGGCAGACTCATCGTGTGCAGCGGGATCAGCAGAGGTTTGGCTTCATGGATTTGGTAGGGTCGACCCATCACGGCGGACATGTTGCGATCGATGACGAAGCCCATCAACCACGTGCGCTCGCGATTGATCGCATCGCGTTGCTCCTCCTCCGACACATCCTTGAGATTCGCCCATGGATTCGCCTGCGACGCGTTGCGACTCGTCGACAAGTGGTGATCGACGAACGGCGGTGGTCGGAACAGACCCAACTCAAGTCCCATCCGCACGGCCATGCCAAAGTAGAGCCATGCCCGTTGTGGTCGATCCTCGGCGTCCTTTTTCGGCGCCGAGGTCCACACGGTCAAAATCATCAAAGCCTGCACGGACTCGATGCTGCGCTCGCCGTTGGCGACAGTGTCGACGAAGCACGCATGCGCCTCATCGTAGCACTTGACGTGCAGTGTCGGATCGGGGTTGAAGCGCGAAGCGACGGCACAGATCGCCGTAAAGAGGAACGGGGACCGCGCACAGACCGAGGTCGCCGAGTTTTGCGCCGGGTCAAGCAAGGGGAGGTGGATGTAGCAAAAGTCGAAAAAGATGCGGAACATGTCGACCGCCGTTTCGGGGGTGATGATCCCTTTGCTCAACAGCGCCGGTGTGCGCGCCTCGTCCTCGCCTTCGGACCCATCGCCCTGGATCGCCTCCGTCACGCGACTCAGGTTGAAGCCCGGGTCGAGTCCCGTCAGCTTATTACGACCGTCGAGCTGAGCCGCGAGACTCGCATCGGCGAGCATCGAAAGCGAGGAGCCACCACCGGCACTCCCCGGTGTCCGACTCGCCGAGGGAAGCTGCGCCGAATCCGTCGATGCAGGTGTCTGGGACAACGGCAGGGTCGGGATCCGAGCCGAATTGAGCACGCTGTTGGGTGACAGGGACATGTTGTTGGTCGTAAAGGGGGAATCCGTGCTCGAGTTGCTCTGCGGGTAGTTGCCGCTCGCATGTCGAGGTCGTTTCGCTGGAGGGATCGAAGCCGAGCCTCCTGCGTGCGAGTCATCACCGGCACTGGTCGGGGATTCCATCGTCGTCGATGTCGCTCGGGTGCCATTGTTGATGCTTTTGCCGTTGCGCGAGGTGTCGATACCATCGGCAAGCGTCGACTGCAGCTGCTGCAACGCGTTCGGATCGGGTGCACCGCCCGAATTCATCGACTGTAGGAAAAGCGACAGATTCTTTTCGACGGATCTGAACTTTTCGGCGAGGGCGGCGTCGTTGCCACTGCCGTTGCCGTTGCTGGTGGTGGTGGGGTGGTCTGCGACTCCTCCACTGCTGCTACCGAGAGCGTGCTGACTGTTGTCCGCAGAGTTGTTGCTGGCCGAGATATTGGGTAAGTTGGAAGCCTTGGTATTCGGTGTTCCACCCGGAGGTCTGCAGCGGCGAACAAGGAAAAATGAGGTCAGATTCCGCCAGCTCGGCGATGTTACGTCACGAGGGCGGGAGCTGGCCTAAAGGAAACGTACTTGGCCGGGCGTTTGCCTCGTTTTGATTCGACAAACACGCATTCGTGGTTACCTGCCCTGCATCGTTTGCAGGGTGGGTCCTCGGCTCCATCGCAGCGCGTCTAGTTGGCGGTGAGGGTGAGTCATCGCGAGATATCACGGCCGGGACAGGATCGGATCGAAGGGGGCCACGGCAAGCGTTCGTTAGCGTTAGGGCGCGCGGGCGGCAGCGAGGTGGCGCGGTGGGGCCGGAACGCAGAGCGCGGCGCGCGGCGCACCGGGGCCGAGGGCGGGTCGAAGAGCGAGAAGATGTCGGTGAATACGGTTCGAGCGGGGTCCCGGGTGGTTGGCACGGCGCGGATCGTGAGTGAAGTTGTTATTTTGTAGTGTAAGAGAGAAAGAAGAGCGTGGAAGATTGGATAATCCGTCAGCTATGAACCCTCTAGGGCGGTTTTGGCGACAGTCGTTGGCAGGCAAGCACCGTCCCAGGCCCTGCCCCCGCACTCGCGGACATAACGTGAGAGGCGCACCGGCAACCAGCAGCGGGCTGGCTTGCGCTCCCAAGGCCGCATGGGGCCACACCAAACGCCAGATCGCAAAACCAACCTTGAGCTTCCTACAGGCGAGACAAGCCCTTCCCGATCTAGGAGCGGTCGGGTCGGTGGCTTGGGACCCGGTCATGCGATGCTGCTGCGTCGGGGTGCCCGATCGATTCCCACCCGCTGTGGAGGAGCCGCCTTGGCCGGCTGGGCTGTTGCTGTGCTCGTCGTCGACCTCGTCCAGTTCGTCGTCCAGCACCGACATGGCGTGGTGCGAAGAGGTGTAGTCCCCATTGGGACTGCCGTTGTTGTTGTTGTTGTTGTTATTGTAGTGTTGTTGGTTCAAGGCTTGTAGTTGGGTCGCACTGAGAGTTGACGACGACGATGGCGCACCTGCACCCACAGCGCCGTAAGTGGTCGTCGTCGACAGCGATGATCTTCCCCCTTCGGAACGACCCATGTACGAAGCAGAAGTCGACGACATGCCTTGGCTCGTAAAAAGTCGGGGTCGACTAGGGTCCGTGGCGCTTTGAATGCGTACAGGTCAACCCTCCGTTCTCAGTCGAGATGTGGGGGCCGGGGAAGGGACTGAGTCTTGAAGTGACGCGCAACGACGATCGCTGTGTTCTTGCCGAGCACCGAGCAGAAGCTAGCAGAAGGGGTAACTTAAATTTACAAACCAGACAGAGGCTGCTCGGGGGTCAACCGTGCCCCGGGTGGGGCTGTAAAAATTCATAGGGCAAAGAGAGAAGTACAGACAAAAAAAGACATTGACCCAGTAGTACCAGTAGTAGTATGCTTCCGCCAGGTCTGGAAAAGAAAAGTAAAAAATACGGGGTTCGCGGACGAGGCGCCGAGACTTCATGCCGGTGTACATCGCAGTGCATCGATGTGCACCCGTGTGCATTGGTATTCATTGTCCCACACGAGTATGGATATGGACTGGATCCGGATTCACGAATTCACTTCAGCCTGCTCCGAACCTGGTGTTTGCAGTGGTCGTCAGGTCGACCGGAGCCTGACAGCCTCACTGCTCGTCACGCCCTTCAATCGGTTCAATGCCCCTTTGCACGTATTTGCCATGTCTCCCACGAGCAGTCGGTGACTCGTAATAAAAAAGCCTACTGTCCCGCTGATCATGCATCAGGGATCGTGGTCCCCGCCCTGCTCCTTACTTCGCCTCAGCTTGCCGGGCACTCGGCGGTTGGCGAAGGAAGGGGTTTCGCAACGTTGAAGCGTTGAACCTGGTCGCGGAGGGTCGATGTTGTGCAATGTGGTGCAGTGAAGTTTGAATGAGATAGAAATGAGTAGGCATGGGTTCGCAATCATGCGTACACGCATGCACCAGTATGCACTCGTGTGCGCGGGGGGGGGGGGGTTGGTTGACACTGCAGAGGTCCGGCGCCGGCTGCCAGCGACAGCAACTTCGCGACTGCAAGGACCAAAGGCGGCTCCCTTCTCATCTCAATCTGCATTGATTGAGAGTGCTAGTGGTTTGGGCGGTGTAGTCGAGCTGTGAAGCGGTTGACCCTATAGCGATCGGCCGGCGCATGCCGCATGCTGGAGTTGAGAGCGCCCCTGCAATGTCGTGTACACGATAACAGCGTGGAATTCGATTCAGATCAGCCCCTTTGCGATTGCAAGCCTTGCTCGGAAAAACGCCAACGCGGACGAACGAGTGGGGTCGAGATCTCCGGGAATGCCGCTCCGTCATTGTCCGTCCAACGTCGCAGCTTGGACGCGTGGAAAACGTTGTGTGACTTGTCTCCCGCGTTCAGCTTCAGCTTGTAGTTCGACGTCTCTGGGCGAGCTGCAAGGACCTCATAGGGACCATCAAACCTTGGGAAAAACTTGGCTGAGCGTGCTTCCCCGTCGGCTTTGTATCGTAGTCGTCGATCCCGAGAGTCAACCAAGACCTTGTCGCCGACTGCGAACTCCGGCTCCGATTTCCGCGCCTTGTTGCTCTGGTTGGCCTGTCGAATCTTCGCAATTGCCAGGGTGTCCCGAGCTTCTGCAATCACCGTTTCACGCTGTTCCATAATGGATTCGACTGCCTGAGACACGGTTGAGCCATACACTGGGGCAATCGGTGTCAGTTCCGGTGTGAACCCAAGTACCACTTCAAATGGTGTCTTTCCCGTGGACCTGTTCACGCTCGAGTTGATCACAAACTCTACGGTTGCCAGGTGTTTGGACCAGTCGTTCTGTCGGCGGTTGACCATCGTTCGTAGGACTTGAATCACTGTTCGGTTCGTTCGCTCGCTTCGTCCATCCGTTTGCGGGTGAAACGCCGTCGACATTGCCAATTTCGTCCCCATCCTGCCTGTGTACGCGCGCCAGAATTCGCTGGTGAAGAGCTTGTCGCGATCTGACACCAATACCCGTGGCATGCCGAAGTATCGGTGCCATCCATTGAAGAACCGGTCGGCTGTTGCGGCGGCGTCGTCCGTTGTACGGCAGGGAATGATGCGGACGTAGCCGGAGAGGCGATCTGTTACCGTAAGCAGTGCGTCATTACCGTTGCTAGGTATAAGTGGCCCGACAAAGTCTAGGCCAACTTCCCGCATTGGCCGGTCAGGCACATTTAAGTTGTGGATCCGACCGGCAAAACCGGTGCCATGCATCTTCATCTTCTGACAGACCAAACGGGTTGAACTTTGATGGGCCTGTCCATCCACCGACTCGAGTGGGTGTCATGTCCCAAAGGCACGGCTGTTTGAGAATGTACAGGGCCGGAAGGATCCTATGAACAACAAGCAGCCACCAAACGACTTGATCAGTCTCTTGTAAGTCGTGCACAGATTATGTCATGTAACAGAACTGACATGTTCGCAACAATGTAGCCATTCTCACTGCCAGCATATTGCAACTTGGCTTTGTTATTAGGCGTGGGGGGCTGGAATGATAGAGGAGGAGGATGTTTCAGCGTGAGCCGGGAGCACGTGTAGAAATTGGCGATCGAAATCGCTGCGCACAATCACAGGGTCGGGAAAAGTGGTACGTACACCTGTAGGCCAGACGGGGTCACGGAGACCGGTCCACATCACCGTACCGTTCACGGGATCATTCTGAAGGAAATGTATGCTGCGACCGACGAAAATCAGAACATCAGCACGAGTATTTCCGCGACTCATCCGAGGTTGCCAGCTTACTTTTCGGCCATCTGCAACGCCAAGTCCAAAGCACGTCGGTCTCCTGTGACCTGGTACATCTGCCCTGCCGCCCTGGAGGCTTCACCGAGGTACCCATTTGCGAGCACATTGCCGATTCCGTTGGCCAGTACGGGCGGGATCTTGGCCAGTAGGCCAAGAGCACTTTCAATCTCCAATCGTGTTACGTTGCCATCGGTACCACCCCAAATCGTATCCACGTATCGGTCGTTGGGGTCGCAGTACCGTGCTTTGCAGGTCATGGTGAATCCAACAGCGGTCCCATCGAAGCCGGATGGTACTCTGTTCGTCGAGTTGCAAGGGTACCTCGGAACCACGACGGGTGGGATGGTTGCGTTCGTAGTGGTGTTCGTGATCGGCACGCACACCGTCACGTTTGCACCGACGGGGTTGACATCAGTCCCATTCATCGCCGTTCCATTTGGGGCCAGGGTCGCATTCGAAACAGGTGTGGTGTTGTTGACAAAGGTGATGATGGTCGTGCAGTTGAGCGTCACCTTGCCCGGGCCAGGGAGGGTTGAATTGGTGCCGGAGGACGAATTGCCGACGCCCTGCGTAAAAGCGGGCAGACCAGAAGTTGTGGTCGGGGTGGAAGTCGTCGACTTCGAAAAGGTAGATGATGACGAGGTGGTCGATGTCGTCTTTGGGGCACTTGATGACGTTGTCGTCAACACAGGCTTAGTGGTTGTCGTCTTTGACCGCGTAGCAGAAGAGGTGGTCGACTTGGATTTAATGGTCGAACTCGAGGTCGTTGCACGCTTCGTTGTCGTCGGTGCAGGGGTCGGTGGGCGAATGGATGTCGTCGTTGGCCGTCGACTGCTCGTCGTCACTGGGCGCCGAGAAGGAGTCGTAGTTCTCCTGGGCGTCGTCGTCGTTGGGCGCCGAGAAGTAGTCGTAGTTCTCCTGGGTGTCGTCGTCGTCGGGCGTCGAGAGGTAGTTGTCGTTCGCCGGGGAGTGGTCGTGGGATTCCGTACGCCATCCGTCCGAGCTCGAGTGTTGGTCCTGATTCTCGGACTGCGCGTTTTTGTCGTCGCGCGAGGCGCCACCGTTTTCCGCCGATCGACCGTCGTCCGACGAGCCCCCGTAGTAGTCTTCTTTTTAATCGTCGTCTTACGTTCCACCGCAGCCAGCTGATGACGAGGTGACGTCGTACGGCGAGTCCTCCTCCCCCTCCGAGCGGTCGTCTTGCGCAACTTCTTCTCGTCGCGCTTATCTTGCTCCGCTCTCTTCTTTCTCTCGCGTGTCGCTAGTTCTTTCCGGTAGATCAAGAGTCGGAATAAATACTCTTGAAAAAATGACCTTCGTCATATTCGTACATCCCAATCAACTCACCTTCCACTTCATCGTCGCCTAGGTCATCTTGCGCGCCTCGGGCGTCGGTATCCTCCTCATCGATTACTTCTATAGGATCTCGAAGAATTTCCAGCTTCAAAGACTTAGTGGAAGTTAATGTACTGAAACGGTCACAACAACAAAGCACTAACCTTCATCCGCCGCCGAGTATGACTCGTCCGACTCGTCCGCCAGGCCCGACTCGGACTCGTCAAGTTGAACGACGACTTGGCGCGAATCATCGAATTCGTCGGCCGACGTGACCCAACTGCTTCTTCCACCACGATGACGAGGTGCCAGAGAAACATGGTAGTCCGCTCTTCACCTTCGGCGCGTACGATCGCATCGTCGTAATCGCCGGTGGAGATTTGGTCGAGGTGCTCCCAGATCACTCCATCGCAGCTATGGATAGGCGTGGACCGGCGAATGTTAGTTCGTGCAAGATAGCTTCCCTCACTTCATCGCCTCGTCTACCCTTTGGACTTGTCCATGTCGGCCTGACCAAGCGAGACCACGCCATCGAACAAGCTGTCGCGAGCGCAAAAGAGGCAGAGGCCGAGCTTACTCAAACAAGATCGTGTCGTACTTGTCAACGATCTCTTTCAGGTCATTTCGTGTTGTCAGATCGCGCGTCATGTCTCGTGTCGATTGCGTAAAGCGAGGGGGCGCAGACAAAGCGAGGTCGTGAGGCGCGAGCGAGTATCAGTGTCTGCCCGACTGCCGTCTCCGAGTCCCGAGGGCCTTCGAAGTTTAAAAGGGCAGCGTATCAAAAAAATGTTTAAGCATCCAACTTGCGACTACTATTAAGTTATCAAATCATCATCAAGCACCACCAAACCCATTCCAGGCTAAAATGCCGTCTCTAAGCGACCTGTTTGATCTGACCATCTCCCGCCCTAAGCCGACGCATCGCCTCCTTCTTGTGCCTACGCATATGTTTGGCCTTTTCGACTCCGAACCCATCGCTAAACACTTCGAGCGTCTCCTCTAAGCTCAAAAGCGCCGTTTCAGGGTAGAGGAAGATGCAGAACAAAGCGCCGAGGAAACAAATGCCCGCGTAAAGACCTGATCGAGGAAAGACACCTTTCCGGTTACCGCACAGTCCGTCAATTTTGAAAATCTGAGAGCACGGAAGACTGACCGAATGCTCTCGAGGGGGTGATGGCGTTGATCAAACTCAAGAACGTCAACGAGATGATCAGATTGCCCGCCCAGTTGCACGCAGTACTGATCGAGGTCCCAATCCCACGAACGCTCACGTGGAACAACTCTTGTTGTTGCCAAGGGATGTTTCCGAAACCCTGGGGGCGTGTGGGAAGCAAAAACCCTGTTAACCGGCTGTGACTCACAAGTACACTTGATTGAAACTTACCGTAGCGTAGAAAGCGACGTAGATGATCATCGCGGCCAGGACGACCGGCGACCATTTTTGGTCGAGTAAGGAACCGCTCACTTGTCGACGAGTTGAGGAAAAAGGCGAAGGTGCGAGGATCTGGCGATCCAAGTCGATCTTGGGCTCGGGGATGAAAGCGCAACGTACTGGACGTGCGACTTTTCGCATGAGTATATCTCAATCACTATTGGTGAGTGAGGGGTGCCTAGATCGGATCGCCCCAGCCGGAAGCGAGGTCTTGAGTATCGGAGCCTATGCGCTTCCGATTTATAAAACCCAAACCTCTCTCTGACGATGCCATGGACCTTCTTATTTGGTACAGATTATCGATCTTGATTATGCTACGTAACTCTTCGGAGCAAGCTGAGAATCCGGAGTGTTCTAAAGTGCGAAGTCAGTACGACCGACCCGGGGGTCCCACGCTTACCAATGACGCTAGCCCGCGCCGCCGCCGCTCGGCATCGCAGCTCCCTCGGCGCTGCGATCTTCCGAAAAAGGAGACCCCTCGGTCACCCGAGGTCACCAAGTCGACCTGATTTGTAGCAGCACCAATGAAAAAAGCAGTGTTTTTGATGGTTGTAACATGAGGCTCATATTTTCACGCATCTGCTCGTACTACTCTGAGTCCGAACGACCCATTACTCGTGTTGCCCTTCCATGGCTCGGAGTCATTTTGAGGGGTCAGAAGATCGAGCTGATGAGCCAGGGGCGCGCTCACGCGCAACCTGTTCACGTCTGACGCCTCGGGTACTACCCTCGCACTCCCTCATCCCTCATCTTTCGATCTCTCACCGACCATGACGATTGCACACGCACACAAACTGCTCGACCAGGAACTCCTCACCGTTCCGGAAGCCCTTTTGGGTCAGCATCAAGATGTGCGACAGGCGTTGGTTTCGCTGGTAGGCGCCGTCGATGGTGAGTCCGAAGCCACCGTCGCTGCTGGTGCAATGCTCCACCTACCGATGAACACCCTCTCTCTCCCCCTCCCCCCTCCCACCTCCCACCTCCCACCCCCCCACACACACACCCGGCTGTCTACTAGTCGTGATTCTCGACGGCTCGACGCTGTTCTCCTCCGAGTGGTTCTCGGCCGCTCGGAGCGGCACCTCGGAACGAAAACAAACGCAACGTTTCGTCGGCTCGGTTCGTGCAGAGGCGTATCGCATCGTCGCGGCGACGGCCGGACGAATCCACCTCGTGATCGTCTTTGACCACGCTTCGGCTCGTCCGGCCTTGAAGGCCCGTCGGACCCCCATGTCGAGAGACAACGGGAACGGCGTCCGGTGCTCGCCCCAAGTCTCTCCCGACAATTTCCAAAGGAGAAGCCCCGACCGGCACACCGACCCCATGACCGAATGGCTCACCAATTTCGGCGGTCAAGGCGAGCCGACCTTAGCGGGACACGTCTTCGACATGTCCTCGGAGGTCACCGTCATCATCTCGGCGCACGAAGCGGACCCCCTGATTGCGGCAAGCACCTGAGTCGGCGTCATCGGCGGCGTACGTGTTCAAGGCGAACGTGCCGCCCTCGCCAGCAGAGATTCGGACTACTTCATGATGATCCCAAGTGAGCGTGCGAGATACCGGATCATTCCATCGGTAAAGCATCGCGTGGTTAGAGTCATCGACCTCGAAATCCTGGAGGGTCAGGGAAAGTTCCCGGGTGCGGAAGGAAGGTTCGTTGCGGGGTTGATGATGGGATGCGACTACCTTCCAACCGGTATCGAAGGTTACGGTCCCCCCAAGCTCGAAAAGTTGGATCGGTCAGTCTTTCAACTCGCGACTTGGACCCAAGGTTACGAACACGCCACGGCGGTCTTGCATCGAGTCGGCGCCAAATTTGACGTTCGCGCCGTATGCGATGCAATCACTCCCATCCGAACACTGTACGACTTCTATCGGTGCGACTTGGTCTCGAAGCCACCGAGCGCCCCGCGAGCCATCGAACATTCCCCCCGGGTCCTCTTCCCCGACACTTCGTTCGATGGGGGCTCGGACGAACACCTGCGTCGCCAGTCCGCGCCCGCGCTGCGGCCGTTCCGTGCAACCCCGCTCTCGCAAGGGCGCCAAGGCCACGGATCAGAGAAGGGTCCCCTCCAGCCTCTCGCAGTGATTCGCGATCAAAGGACACGACACGAGGCCGCGGCCGTTCGGCGACTCGAGGCCGTGCAGCCCGGGAGATGTGCGTCGACCCGGAAGATTGCGACCAAGGGCGCCGTCAGGGCGGATGGCTTTCACCTTTTGACCCCCGAGCGCCCGATCGTCGAGTCCGTATCGGAAGGCTCCAATAAGGCGAAGAAGAAGATCACGACCCCAGCCCCGCCCAGGGTCAAGGCAATGTCTGCGAAACAGGGGCGGCGGGCACACGCGATCGCCTCGGGCCAATCTGCTACTACGTCTACCGGCGACTCGGACCGCTCAAAGGGCGCCGGGGCTCTGGCCCAGGTGTACAGGATGTTCACGATGTCGGGTGCACTGGAAGATCTCGTGAGGGAGGTGGACGGTGGAGGCCCTGGCCCTGTGGAAGATTCCAAGAAGCGGCGGCGAAAGGCCAAACAAACGAGGCGCCGGCACAAACAGGGTCGGAAGGCGACAAATCCGTCGACGAGCTCGGGAACGTCGCACTCGCCCGAGACGGCCAGCGACGCCATGTCGATCGGTTGAGCTCGACGACCTGTCTTGCTCGTGGCTTACTCCTGGCGTACTCCCGGCTTACTCCTGGCGCTCATTCTCGCTTGCTTCCTCGTTCCGATCCTCCCCCCCTCATGACACTCTAATCGCACATCGAAGTTCTTTTCTGGTTGATAGCCTCGTCGCCTCATGATTCGATCCCTAGGCACATTTTCTTCGTCTTTTTCACGTACGCTTTGTACGAGTTATAGGGTGCTATTCAGAACACAAATCATCACATCATCATATTGTGTGGCTATTGCCTCGAGACTATAGCGCACCCCTCAGCAGGTGGGAGGAGCGAGTAGGCGGGGAGCGGGGCAAAGAGGAGTGAAAAAGGGGGGGGGGGGGACGCGGAGTCTGTGGCCGGGGAAGAGGGTTAAAGGGGTTTGGATCTGCGATCGCAGGGCACTACTTCTTTCGAGTCAAAGGTCAAAGTGAGAACTATCTTACGAGCTTGAGCTCTTAAGACGATGGTTTACACTGCCTCGATACAAGAGCAGGGTGAAGAAGAGGAGAGAGAGAGAGAAAGAGACCAAAACCGGACTGCTAGCCATGAGAACCGTCGCCTTGATGCTTCCCCGTAAGCAAAGAATACGATGAACCCCCGCGAACCATGTACGGTACATATAAACACCCATCAACATACCATCAAACTCCCCCTCAACCGATACATGGCCCCGCAACGCTCACATCCGATCCCAAAACCCGGTCACCTGACCTTTCCAAGCGGCTTTTCCTCGGGGAATGTTCTGCTAGTCGGGTACTGCGGGACTTGTTAGAGATATATGGTTGTATCGTCCTTCACCTGATTATGGTTCCTATTGTGGTGCTTGGGATTGAGCCTAGCGACGCTTCATGAAATCTCTAGTCACTCATTTTCCCTGCTTTACTAGTATATAATCCCTCTTCCCTATTAGCATTACGCTTCACTTTCTAGCCTTCCGCGAGTCTGTCTCTTAGTCTCTGGCCACTCTGTTCTCGTCCCCGTTCATTGGACTGAGTCGTGGTCATCATCAGATTCCACTTGAGAACATTTCTGCGATAGGACTGTTCTGCTAGTTGGGCACTGCATACGATGTTGACGAATCATGTCTCGGTACCTATCGAATTTCTGGCCGTGCGCCATAGCCACAGGAACAGGTAGGTGATACCTGAGGCTCGCGGCCTGGCTACCGCTCCACGCACCCACGGGTCACGGCACCAAGTTTCGTCATCAATGCCATCGTCTTCCGCATTGAAGTCCCACTCCTTAAGCCTAAATGCACCGTTGTCTGTCGCGTCGATAGAGTGATGACTCAAATTGTCGCTTGAATGATCCCTCATGTCAAAGTCAACTCCTTCGTTCGTGTTGTCGTCAGTCTCATCAAGCGTGTCACCAGGGCCGGCGCTGCCGGCAAACGAAGCCAAATCCCGCAGGTCACCCGCTGTCGTTCGCTGAAAAAGTTTAGCGTCGTCGGTACACCAAAGTCGAAGCTCCACGCACCCCTCTATCTGTTGTTCGCCCGTGTCCCGGGTGCACCGCCACAAGTAATCAAGGCTCGGGATCAATGGCGATGGAGGAGGGTTCGGTCGGCGTTTTGGACGCCGCCTCGTCAGGATGCCGTGGACATTGTGGGATCCGGTCGCATCCGCCATTTGACTTGTCAAGGCCAATAGAAGTCGTAGCAGCAGCAAGTTCTGGACTTGGTCGCCTCGACAGCGATCATTTCCGGCGGCCACGACTCGGAGAGGAGGGAGACTAAAGACGGCTTACGGGAGGGAGATGAAGAGGAGGTGGTGTTGTACGGGCCTTCACTTTTGCGCCGCAAAGACTCGGAAAACGACGAGCAATGGTGGGATCAGTAGGGCAGGATTTGGAAGGAAGACCGGGCCCGATGTGCGGATGAAGCGGTGAAGGGGAATGAAGAGAGAGCAGCGGTTTGAACGACCGGGACGTTTGAAAGGAGTTTGCTTCTTGTTTTCAGGTAGACTACTTTCAGGATCATTTTTTTGTTTCCACTTGTCTCTCACTTTTTGCGTGTTTCACGTCTCGTTCGGCATCGTCTCCAGTCTCCGACCTCAGCGTTTCGTTCTCGAACTCTGTCTCTCTCGTGTCTCTCGCAAGTCGGGTGTCTTAAAAGCTCTTAGACATACCCTAGCCCTCATGTTATCATACCATCTTTGATTGATAACATCTTTGATTGATAACATCTTTGATTGATAACATCTTTGATTGATAACATCTTTGATTGCTACTGCCAGCAGCGTAGCCGGAGAATTTTACAAAAGCCTCGCTCTTCGGGGACAAGCCTAGAGCGGCTCCTTTTCTCGTTCTCATACGGGCCAGGACCTCATCATTTTCTTCTTCTTCTTCTTCTTCTTCGCCCCTCCTTTGGTCCCGTGGTCGCCCCGTTCTCGATGATCGTGTCGGCCGCCTTCTTCCTCCTCCTCCTCGTGAATTTCTTACGTTTGGTCTTGGTCTGTCTTTCTTGTCTTTCCCATCTAGGGAATCAGGATTTGCTTGTGGTAGTGGCAGTGCGTGTCGCAGGGAGTCCATGCTTGAAACGAGGCCGATGGGTGCATTGCGGTGGAGGATAGTTGAAGCTTGAAAGTGGGGGTGCCACTGGCCAATGTGTGCCGAGGCCAAGGGCCGATTAGCTTAGGCGAGTAGCAAGTGCACTACCTGGCTATGCGCGGGCGGTGGGGAGGGATGGTATACCATTCTGTACCAACGGTTTCCTGGGCCAAAATTCCGAAAGCTGCCTTAACGCGTTACGTGTAAGGTATGCACCTCTGATGTGCATAAAATACAATCTGTCGTTCTTGACCGATAGGGTGAAAGCAGGTGTTGTACAATGTGTAGCCTGGCAAGCAGGTCAAGGTCGTGGTGCTGTTGCAGGTCACGACGTTCGGATCGGTGCAAGGCAGGCATTGTTTGGCTGGAGAGCGCCGGAGCGGACGATATAATCGAGATCAGCCATTGAAACTATGTGACAAGATTGCGTGGTAGAACGATGAATCGCAATGTCTCACCATCCGGGCTGAGGCAAGTACCCGGAGTCTTGCTGCAGTCCACGGCTGCGCACCTGCTCAGGAGGGGTCATAGATAGGGGCTCAAAGTGTCACGAATCAGCAGTCCGAGGTCTGAGCGCAGCGCCACCGCGCAGCTTACTCAGCGCCGGGAACTTTCTAGGAGCTTCCAGTTATCTCTATGATCTTGCGCCTCGATCACTTCCTTTGGCTTCAACTTGCTTCCATGAGTTTCTGTCGCTTTCCCTGGGCTTTCCTGCGACTATAAATAGGGCTTCTGTGTAGAAATCGCTCTTGTCTTCCTTCTGCAATCTTGAGCTCATAGTCAACTCCCCCAGTAACCTCCAGCCCCCTCGGCCTCTGTTCTAGTAGTCTTACAAGAACAACTACATCAATCCCGCACTTGTCCCGTCGTCCTCGCTATCACCTGCTGCCTACGGCCCAGCAACCTCAACCTTGACACAAAGTCAGCCCATTCGCCTGCATTAGCCCCAGTACCAAGGCTGAGCGCGAGCGGCATGCACTACTCACTTGCGTTTCGAGTTGGGCACACCGTATGAGCACGTCAGATGCTCTGATCGACTGCACTTCGTCGCGTTCGTGTAGAGCGGAAGCACACAACACGCAAGCGTTCTCTACGATGAACAAGGATGCCGAGATTCAAGCGATGGCACAGGCACTCTCCTTGATCAACACCCAGAGTAGAATTCTTCATGAAATGCGGAAAGAAGCAGCCTGAAGCTGAATGAGGAAGATCGGGCTCAAAGCACGAGGCAGGAATGCCACGCCCAGGGGCAGAG